ATAAGGTAGCTTCCGTCCTGCTCGTCTCCAGGCAAGTCCATGATCGACTGTATATTACCGAGTAGAATAATAGATAGAAAATCATGAATAATAATAAAAACAACTCGAGTTAATCTTATTAACTTTAACTTAGGTATAATCCTGTATATTATCATCCTACGTAGGAAGGTGGTAGATTATGATGTCTCACAACTGCCCTATCGGAGACGATCCAGACTTGCTCCAGCTCGCTCGTGCCAACCCGAACGGTCACGGTCTGTGTTGACGTTGGGCCGAACCGTTGCCGTATCGAATTCATTCCCTCTTATTTTCCGGCGGTAGGAACAGCTGTTGACTAGATCTAGATGTTGTACTATAGGATATATTATATAATAATAGCAATTATTTATACATCAATTTATAAATCATAACCTGGCTGGACATCATAATACCTACCGTCACAGTCCGTCAGCTCGCCAACGGATAATGCCTGCATAGCGCAATGCTAGATAGGGCTTTGCCGCTCTAGTATGGACCTAGCTTGGTGGTCGGCTCCACAGCTTGTCATTCTCTCAAGCATCTTCCTCTGTCTACGGAATATTCCGTACCTGGTAGATGGATAGGTGGTAGGTAGGAGGTAGATAGTAGGACCTAGGTACCGGTAGCCTAAGAACCAACTGCCGTGTCTACTACTCCGTATCTCAGTTGATCATGAACGAGGTCGAGGAGTTAATGCCGAAGATGGACGCCCCTGAGGCTGGACGATGATCCAGGCCGGTATTTGTTCGGGAAAACTGGATCTGGTGGAAATCGCACCAATGGGCGGCGCAGCGGTGATTTTCAATCTATCCATCGGCATATGAAATGAACGCTGGGCGCGAGTGTCTTATTTTTACCCCGAGGGTGCTTGGCGGTTAATTTATTATATAGTATTCGATTTTGATTATATAGTAGGTTGTCTTGTTATTGTTATTTATATATTTTTTTGATTATTGTCCCAGGCCTCGATCGTGAGATCGTATGATTTATCCACATCGGTGTCCAATTTCTTCGGTTTCAAGATTCTAATTGACAGTCCTGGAGGGCATAGCTGGCGGTAGAACAGAATAGAGAGATAAAAGGGGCATCATCCCGACAAATCAATCCTCGACTGACGTCTGCAGATCCGATCGCCAAACATGAGACAGTCCGAGGGTGTCCGGACCATCACCCGTTGATTTTCTTCCCTGCCCCCTCCTTCTTTCTTAGGTGGTAACCAACTAGCTAACTACATTTCTTTGGTAAGATGACGATTGTGATTTTTAGCACGGTGTACAATGAAGAAAAAAAGGAGGCTGGGCTAAAATTAAATAGTAGCACAAACCAACCACTTGGACCCTCTTTTCCTGTGGACCGTTTGTCGGTTGTCGTCCCAGCCGGGGTCCACTGGGGGGAGAGCGAGGAGGGGGGGGGGATCCTGCGCCCCGCGAATGACACGCCTGTGATCCTCGATGATGGTCCGAAGGGCAGAAACTTGTGATACTCTGCTGATGGGAGTTTGCCTAGGCTTAGTGTTTGGGTTATTATAACATGGGTGGCTTGGACATGTGGGTTACTTTGGGAGTTTGACTTGAGTACTCTATAGTGTTATAATGTTATAATGTCTAGGAGTATACATTGATTAAATTAAATCAAAGAGTGGCCGAGGAACGACCACGCCAAGCCAGCAGGTTTGGAGAGTGATATATGATAATAGTAGACTGAGCGTACTCGTACACTCGGAGTAGTTCTTGGCCGGTCCCTGCCAGTCAATGGGGCCAAAACCAGATATCCCAGGATGGTCATCCTCCCACGGAATTAGACTTGGAACAAAGGACCAACCCAGGGAGTCTGAGCGAGGAAAGAAATGAAAGGAGGCTGGTCAAACTTATGCAGTGGACGAGAAGAGAATAGCCATGAGGAACAATCATCCGAGATAAACAAAGAAAATATTCAATTCAACATTCAAATAAAATAGAACAGATAGATAAATAAAATAACAAAAAAATAGTAAAATCAAAGGTTAATTCCAACTGCCGTCCCGAGGATACTAATTCCGTCCTCGTGTCGCTCCCCGGGCACTGGGTCTCTGCCACCGTGGCCACAGCATTTCTTTCTCTAATTTCTCCTTTATTACTCCGTATGTGTGCTTGAATGCTTTGATATCGATTAGATAAAATTATTATCAAGAGGATCCTATCGTGGATCTCGGTTCCGACAACCTCATGGGACTATTATTGCGGGGCAGTTCAATCCCTGGCTTCATTCTGTAAACTAATAGAAGAGAAATAAATTATGATCAAGCGGATATGGTTAAATGGATAAAATATATAATATAAATCTATAGCATAGCAGTAGTAAAATAACAAAAAACTGACAGTAAGTTAATAATCAAACTAACGATAATAATCCAAATCCATCTGACAGTCTGGCCAGCCGGGCTCCACTATTTAGTATACATTCCATCCATTGTGAATTTGTGATCCATATCCACAGGCCCACTACCCGATGAAACCACAATCCACGGACGGAGCTGCAGCGGTGGTAGCATGGTAGCATGTCCGGCATGTCCTCCGTAGGGCAAACGCCTCGCCTCGTCTGGACTATGCCCAGTCCGTCCTGGTCAGCAGTCTAGGACCCTCAACCCGATTTTATTCAATTTCAAACAAGAAAAAGAACAAGACGAGAGGTAAAAAGAAGTGTAAGAAAGCACTGACATTGTGGCGTTGGTCATCAATCTACGGACGTGGACGGATGCTGGAGGATGATCACGACCAACGACAGGATTCAGATTGAGTAACCACAGACCAGGAAGAGGGGAAGAACCGTTGACGGTGGATTGAAGAACCAGAGGAGCATGAGTATGTTGTAGGCCAATCAGGGTGGAATTGCGAGTCGAGACTTTCAGATGGAGACAAAGGCTAGGGAGTACCTATAGGTAGCTAAGGATTGATGATGGACAAGTCACGGATTGAAATGATGAACAGGGATGATAGTATTAATAGTATTATAGTATGATGGTTGTATTGGGATCTCTTAGCAGGGCTTGATTCTACTAAACACTGGCTGATACTATCTTCTTCTTCTTCTCTCCTGTCTTCATCCTTCTTCCTCCCTCTCCCTCCCTCTCCCTCTATCCCTCTCTTAAATTATATCTTACTTGATTTATTTTTACCCTTTCCTTCATTTCATTTCATTTATTCTATTATATCCACCTACTCACACACCTCTCCCCCCTTGTCTGGGTACACCGATCTGATCCCTTCCCTGTCCGTGCAGGGGTCTGGTACACTTCCATCATCCGCAGCGCCTCCTTCTCCAGCAAATCCTCTGCAATTGCAGAGAATCCTCGAACGACGGTTCTTTGTCTGCTTTTCCCCGTCAGCCGCCTGCTTCTCATTAGCGGGCTATCCTCAGCCATTCAGCCAACTTCCGAGCATCCTGGTTTCTTTGGGACGTGGATGGGAGTGGTTTGACAGGGTTGCGAATCTCGACCAGGTTGATCAAGAGAAGAAATTAATTAATCAATAGACAGAACAAGACAAAAGAAAAGAACACAAAGAAGAGAGAAGGAGAATCTTAAAAAAAAAATCAATTGAAAATTATCAGAAGAAAATCACACCAACCAGGAAAAGAATCAATTCAATAAAATAAAACCAAGAAATAAAAAGAAGAATAGAAAAAAAAGATTATAAAAAGATAAAAAAAAGATTGAAAAAAGATTAAAAAAAAAGGATAAAAAAGAAAAGAATAAATAATATCAAAAAGAAAGAGAAAAAGAACAAAGAAACAACGACAATCTCCATCTTCCTCTTCGCAATTCATCATCTCGACCACCTCCGTCGTTTCCTCAACTCTTCATTCGTCGATTGTTGAACCGCGTTCAACATATTTCCCATCTATCGTCGACAATCCGACTCCCTTTCTTTCCTTTTTTTCAATTTATATTATTCTTCCTGTTCGTTTCGTCTTCTGCCGGATTGGATTCCTTTCCACTTGGACCCCCTCATCCCTACCACACAACACACACACATATACCCACAGATACACAGATACACAGATACACCCCTCCATCTCCACTCCATCTCGACCCTGCCTAGCTTCTTCCGGCTCCTGGATATTTCTTCCTTGACTGCTTGATTTTCCCTTTTCGGGTTGGGGCATGATTGACAGTAGACCTCGTCTCTCATCCCATACCCGATACAAGAGCTGGATAATTCCTTCGATGCTCGGGACGATCAACTAGGATCCGGCACTCAACCCTGGTTTGGAGAAGATCGTTCTCAAAACTCAGAGTTTCAGAATCGTTTGCACCATGACCGTGGGCTTTTAATCCTCCCTTTGCTTACCGGCTGGTTATGTTCCACCCGCTGTCCCTGTATGGGAGCTGCGTCCAACTGAACCCGCGTGGCGCGGACTCGGCTCTTTGATCGCAGACCATCATCCTCTTGCTATCTTATGTCTCACCCGTCTGTTCCTTCTATATCCTACCTCTCTACCCACCCCGTGCTGGCTATTTCTCCGTCCGGGATTTTTCATCCCACTCGTGTTCGCCACGGCATCGGACCTACGGAGGAGTTCTAGACCTCGTCCAACCATAACAACAACCCTACTACACTACTACATTCATTATCCTCCCCTTAACCCTCATAGTTGGCTTCTCAACCTTCTTTGATATCATTTCCCCAGCAATAGTAACGAAGGTGGGTGGATGCGTATGACCCGCTCATTTGAATCTTGTCGGCAGGCTGAAAGTTCGTGTTGCTAAGTGTGACCACTCTATCTAGGTTGCATTATTCTTTTCTTTTGAACCAAAGACCGCCGTTGCTTATTCTGTTCTCTCTCGTCTTTTTTCCCTCCTCGAGTTCTATCTTCCACTGGATTCCCGGCGGGATACTCCAGGAGACTCCTTCCCGGAAAGCCGCCACGCTGTTATGTCGTTATCTTTAAAACTCCAGGCGTTCAACGATTGACTACCCCCCATTCAAACCAACACCGCCACCATGTCGACCTACTACGTTGGTCCTTTCGGCCGTATGTTACCCGCTGCCGATGCGCCCTCTGTGGAGCGAACGCCAGACCACCCAGCTAACCTGCCAGTGACGGGATCCCATCAATATCAACTCCCACCCCCGCGTGCTTCTGGAGCCTTGCAATTTGGCACGGATCCTTTTCTGCACCATCGGAGCCAAGGAGTCAAAAGTGAATTAGGAGGAACCCCCTCAATCCGTTCCCAGAGCCCTGGACTACAGTACGCTTCCAATGAGCAGCTTCCATCGGTGAGCCAGCTATTGACTCCGACGATTCAAACCCCCCGATCGCTGTCGCCCTACAACCCCAAATGCTTTGGAATCTACTTGCCTGACGGGGGAACGCCGCGCCATCGCTCCCCCAGTGACTCCGGCCTGGTGGGCTCTGGGTCGCAGGATGGCTTCCGCGGCAGCAGCGCCGCCATGGACGCGGTCCCTCCACCACACCCGGGAAACTTGCCCTCACTGGCCCACTTCACCATGCAGAACTCCAGGCGCGAGAGCCAGGGACCCCCCATGGACTTTCGGGAATCTCCCACGCAGCAGATGCAACCGGGCCCCTTCTCCTCTCCATTTACCTATAGCGCACGGTATCACGGGAGAGAACTCAGCGGAGAATTGACCGGGTCGACCGTCCCCGAGTCCGAGTCGACACCGGCTGGACGTCCCCGAGCAACCAAAGTCCGCCCCCACGTTGTCGATGAGAAGTTCATCGAGGGAGCAGGCCTCTGCTACGTATACGCCGATGGCTCCCACTGCCCCAAAAACGTTGACGGGGAACCGGTCAATGCCAACTGGGGCATCACGAAGGCGGGGAAGCCGAGGAAACGGCTGGCACAAGCTTGCCTGACATGCAGGGAAAAGAAGATCAAGTGCCAGCCAAACCTGCCCAAGTGTGACCAGTGCCAGAAGTCGGGGCGGGAGTGCAGGTTCGAGAGTGCGTAAGTATTAACAGCGAAACCCATGCACGAGGAAATGTCATAGCCTAGATTTGATCGCTAAAACTTTCCCTCCATTCAGACCCCGTGGCCATCGTTCGGCGTTCAGGTCTTCACAGACGAATCGACCCGACACGCGGGACAGCATGCTATATTCGGACCATATCAACTTCGGCTCCTCCAATTCGATGTACTCCCTCGTGCGGGCCTCAGACAGCTCAGTCTCTCTCACAGGATCCAGCTCCCAGTCTCCAACATCGGACGCTTCGATGATGACGCCGTCCGCCGGGGATAGCATCCACGACGGCGTACCCGATCTGGAGTTCCGACACGGCTTCAGAACCCCAGGAACGAGGGGTGTCTCCAGCGGAGCCGAAGACCTGTCCAGACGGCTGACGGGGACAATCGCCCCCAGCCTACTGCCCGACTACACTGAAATACTAGCCGAGTTGAAGCATCTGGACCCGCAGAACCCCCAGGTCAGTGCCTGGAGCATGGACCCGTACGAGGTGGACCCAGAAGCCACCCTTCACTATGTCGAATGCTACTTCACCTACATCAACGATCGCCTGTGTTACTTGTTTCCGCGGCGACGATTCATTCTCTGGCTCCGATCGTGCCAGACCAAATCACTGAGCGATAACATGCTCCTTTTCGCGATGATGACCCTGGGATCGGTGTTTTCTGATCGCTCGGATCGACTGGCGGCCATGAAACGATACTCACGCACGGCTCGATATGCCGTTGAGCATAGCCGACATAGCCTCTCCTTACAACTCGCTCAAAGTCACATCATCATGAGTCTCTGGTACCACGCGGTCGGCGCTCTGGTCAATTCCTGCGATGCCGTCGGCGCGGCCGTTCGAACCGTGTGCGGGCTTCGATACAATGTCGAGTCGGGCATCATCGTCGACCAGAGCCAGCCTTGCGAGTATGGATTGCATCCCCAGGCGCTCATGGAGTGTCGCCGGCGAACCTTTTGGGCTACCTTTCTGATGGATGTAAGTGTCGGAAGGGATCCTGATTCAATTATGCATTTGGCTTACCATCAAACTTCTAGCGTTTTTCCTGCTTTTATACCGCATCGTCCACCTTCCTCTCCTCCCAGACGGCCTACCTGAGACTTCCCTGCCGCGAAGAAGTTTACGAAGCGCAACAGTATACGACGGTGCCCTTCTTCCAGAATTTCTTGAACCAGCTCCCCGTGTCGCCCGAGGACGAGCTGTCGGGGATCAGTACGATGGCTCTCCTGATTGATATCATGTCACTGTGGGGTGATGTGTCGGACTACGTTGTCCGATTGTCTCTGGCCCAGGACGATACGTACGGCCGGCAATTCGAGGGGTTTCACGCCACAGTCACCCGACGGTCAGAAGGGTGGCTTGCACGACTCCCTGACCACCTGGCATTTACAACGGTCAATATGGAGCGAAATATCCGAGCCAGAAAGGCCGATGCCTTCATGGCGCTCCATCTCTTGTATAACGCGACCCTGATGAAGCTAAATCGCCACGCCCGCTATCAGTATCTCCGTCCCGGGACCACAGACGGATACGTCAACACAGCCAGACAGTGTGCCGTGAAGATCCTCCACATCTCCCAGTCCATCGTGCGGTACGGCTCAGAGCACGAGACCTCCCAGCGGACCGTCGAGCCGAACTCCCCGAAAGGCACCATCCTGAACCCTTTCCTCGGCTATGTGATCCTCTCCGCAGTCGACGTCCTCAGTGCCGCAGGCCTGATTGCCGAAATCCCCGAGTGCATCAGTTCCATCCGCGGTGGCCTCGACGCAGTTCGCGAGCTGGGCCGCTTCTGGGATAGCTCTTTACCCCTGGCTACTCTTATTGAAAGACGGCTGGATGCCCTGGAAGACTGCCTCCGGCGCCCACTCGAGCTAGAAGGCAAGATGGTCTTCCTTGTAGATGGGACGTCCCTGGACAGTCAAGTCCACACTGGGACCCCTCATCAGGACGTTGGAGTCGAGCACGATCTCCTCTACGGTGGACTGCCCCGTGAAAGGCTCTTGAGTGCCTTGGGTGCTGGCGATGTGTTGTTTTCGGGTGCTAAGATTCTGTGGATTCGGGAGGGGAATTGAGTTCTAGGGTCTGGTTTTGTTTTTGCTTCATGATGGAATGTATTAAAATGGGCCTTTTTCTTCTTCTTTACTGACATACTTTACTTACTTATACCTGGCGGGTTTGGTTTTGTTGCTGGACACCTGGTATATCTTGGCTCAGGTACTATGATTGATTGATTCGTTAGCGGTATGTATGTATGTACTATGTATTATAATGATGATTTTGATGTTTGTTCTCTGTAGTTCTGAGAAAGGGATAGTAGTAGAAGTAGTTGTAAATATTCTATGTATCAATATATATTTTCTTATAATTATTTTATGATTTTCTGATTGTATCTCCCTAGTTGAGTCTAAAGTGCTCCCCGCCAAAGTGAGACATGTAACAATTTTCCCGGCCGGAACGTCATCCTTCTAACTCCGTCAACTCCGCAGCCAACCTGGAAAACCAACCCCATCCATCCGATTGCACTCGCACACCTCCAACCACCACATATATCAGCGCTTTTGATCCACGATACTGAAGTATATACCGATTGACTTTCGCAGATTGATCATGGGCTGTTGACATATCTTCAATCCCTCCAATTGCGATCTCGGGCGAGAAAGAGTGCGACGCGACGACGCATCCGTTTACCTATTCGTCTGTCCTCTTCTATCGTCGATTTATCACCCCTTGAAACGCGATACACGGATATTTAGATAAAGAGAAGAAAGGAGAAGAGAAAGAGCTACAGCTATAAACAGAACGAACCCAAACAAGCCAACAAGCCCATCCAAAACAATGTCCACCCCAGCAGACCAAGCCTACGACGACACCGACGAGCCCCTCCCCAACCACCAAGATGAATCCTACCCCACAGAAACAGACTACTACGCCCTCCTAAACCTCCCCCGCTCGCCCGCACCCACCGAGTCCCAGATCCGCTCCGCCTACCGCACCCTCGCCCTCAGCTTCCACCCGGACAAGCAGCCCGCGCAGTGGCACGATGCCGCGGGGAGACACTTCGCGCTGATCCGTGCCGCGTATGATACGCTGGTTGATCCGCAGAAGCGCGCGGTGTATGATTTGTTGGGGGCGGAGGGCGTGCGTGCGGAGTGGGGGCCGCAGGGAGCGATGGGGGTGTTTGGCGAGGCGAGGAAGCTGGAGCGGGAGGGGAAGGGGATGGGGAAGGGGGAGGTTGGGGTTAGGGCTATGGCGCCGGAGGAGTTTAGGAGGTGGTTTTTGGGGGTCATGAGGAGGAGGGAGAGGGTTGCTGTTAATCGGTTGGTGCAATGTCGGGTTTGTTTCCTTTTTCTTTGCTTTTTTTCTTTCTTTTTTGGAGAGATTGATGGTTTATGGGTGATGGCTAACTGACTGACTGTAGAGCTCTGTGTCTCTCGGGCTTGATGCCGCCGGGTTGATTATTGTTGATGAGGATGATGAGGTATATGTGGGTATTCCGACTCTGCAGACCAATGCTTTTAGTGTTGGGTGTTCGTTTAAGACGCCGTTGCCGACTCCGCGGGTGATTTTTGGGGAGTCGGAGAAGGAGGACGAGGAGGGTGAGTCTGCTGAGCAGGATGAGGAGGCTCCTGTGGAGACGGAGATGGTCATCAACGCCAGCGTCAAAGGACAGCTTCGACATTTGCAGCGTGAGGGTGTAAGTTTGTCGGCCTTCGTTCCGTCGTCCCGTCTACCTACTAACGACCCGTGTAGACTCCGCTGCCGTTGCTGATGGTCGCGAACAACATCACCCTCGGAGCCAGTATCAACCGTACGCTCGACGATTTGGCGAGGCCCAAGGGCCTCTTCGGCGAACGATTCTCTTCCCTGTGCACCAATGCTGGATGTGCTGCCAATTTCCTGGTCTTGCCGGCCCCCATCCTACAAACCGCTTACGCAAAGGCATACACGCCCATCCCCGGCACGCGACCCTTCACGGTCCAGGCGTCGGCTCTGTTCAAGAACTCCCCTATCAAATGCATGCCCACCCTCGGCCTGCAGATCACCAAGGCCATCGCCCAGCGGAAGACGGTCTTCTGCTCGTGGTCAAGCGGCACCCTCGACTGGCCGTACCTGTTCGAGCGACTGTTCGGACTAGGCGCCCACGCGGACGACGTCTCTCAAGAAGCGAGCAGCTTCCAGCTAGGCTACACCTCTCTACCAAAGCTATCTCGAAGTCTCGCCACGCAGGACGACGAAGGTGACGACGTCGATGACGAAGACGAAGAAGAGCTCGCTTTCGAGATGGCCCGCAACCAGCTCCGCGCAGAAGACCAAGCCGCCGAATCGTGGCAGACCGTAGCAATGGCCTCCCCCGGCGGTGGCGGCCTATCCGTCACCTACTCGCGCAACCTCTTCTCTGGCAAAGCGGCCAACGAACCGCGACGCTCCGAATGGAGCGGCGAAGGCCACTACCCGCTGCCGCAGGAGGTCGAGCCACGCTCCGTGCGGCTTGAGATCCAGACATCCCTCGCGGCCGACCTCTCCCTGTCGTGGGTCGTCGAGGGAACACGCCAAGTCGGGGAATTCACGCGCATGGGCCTCGGCGTCGGCCTGACAGATGCCCAAGGTCTGATCATGACTTTCTCGTGGAGTAGACTGGGCCAGAAGATCCAGATCCCTGTTAAGGTCTGCCCCCTTGACTCTGTCACGTCGGATGCGTCTACCCTCGCGCTTGTCGCGCCCTGGGCGTTGTACTGCGCCGTCGAGTTCGGCATCATCCGTCCCCGGGACCGCCGGAATCGCCGCCGTGCGATCGCTAAACGACACCGGAAGCTGAAGAAGCTGATTCCCAAGCATCGCGCGGACAGCCTGCAGGCGATTGAGCTCATGGCTGAGCAGACGCGGCGCCGACAAGCGAGGGAGGAATCGCAGGGCGGACTCGTCATCACGAAGGCTGAGTACGGCCACTATCCGTCTGGGAAGAACAAGCGTGACGGCAGTGAAGGGGCAGAGCCCCGCCCGGATGAAGTCGTCGATGTTACTATCCCTGTGGCGGCGTTGGTTGATCGGGGGCAGCTTGTGATTGCGAAGGATATGGTTAAGGTGAGTTCTCCCACACTTTGTTGACTCGGCTCTATTTGGTTTCTGTTTGGATAGCTGACGAGTGATGTAGTTCCATATTCTGGGTTTCTATGACCCCGCGCCGCTTTTGTCCAAGTCGTTGAAGATTTGGTATATTTATCATGGTAAGGAGCACTTTGTTGAGGTGAGAGATGGTGAGGGTGTTGCTTGTCCGATGCGGTCGCATTCGATTTAGTATTCGCATTGCATGACTATGTGAGGATTATTTTCTTTGGTTTGTCTGTTCTCCTATCTGTTCGGATTGGTTTGTTGCTTGGAATGTTGTATAATGTCTGTATGATTACTACGTAGTATGTATTATAGGTGTGCTTGTATAGATCTGATCTTGATAGTTAATGTTTACATATCTATACTATATACTTATCCAGATCTTAGCGTTAAGAAGGCAGTATTATTGAGCCTTATTACTATCATTATTATTCTTCTCTTCAATACTCAAATCAATAAGAAGTGTTGCAGGCATGATGTCGCTGTAGTACTCCGTACAGATATACTAGACAAGCCACTGATTGGTTATATAAGCCACACACGCACCGCCACACCCCAAACAGGAAAAGCGACTTTCTCCCGATAATCAAGCAATCATCATCACTCCAACTTCAACTTTTTCCCTCTACCATCCCCCCCTTCTTCCCCCCACTTTCCCTCCCCATCTCATCATGACATCTATCGCGGAGGGACTTTTCAAATCCCTCCCTAAGCCGAAATATACCGGCGAGGAGGAGGATTTACCACAGCATGCCCAGCCCCGTGGTCCGCGGGTGGTGGGCCCCGAGCAGCTGGACGAGACGCAGGTTGTTTTGAGGGTGAGGATCCATTCTGTCTCTAATAATTGTCATTTACGATAGGAACAGCGCAAGCTAAGTCTATAATAGAAAACAGGCCCCCCTCCCTATGGCAACCGCACCGGATGGCGTCCCCGAGCGCCCGAAGATTTCGGCGACGGTGGCGCGTTCCCCGAGATCCTCGTCGCGCAGTACCCCCTCGACATGGGCCGCAAAGGGACATCGTCCAAGTCGAACGCGCTAGCCGTGCAAGTCGACGCGGAAGGCAAAGTGAAATACGACGCCATCGCCCGCCGCGGCCACAGCGATGACCGCATCGTGCACGCCTCCTTCAAGGACCTGATCCCGCTGCGCCAGCGCGTCGACATGGGCGAGATCTCGCTGGACCGTCCGTCGGAGGAGCAGGTGGCTGAGCAGATGGAGAAGACTAAGAACGCGCTGGCTAGCTTGGTGGACGGTGCCGTGCAGGCGCAGAAGCCGAAGAATGTTAAGGGTGGACGCCGTGCGGAGCCGACCTTCGTGCGATACACCCCCGCCAACCAGATGGGTGATACTACACGCAAGAATGACCGCATTATGAAGATCGTCGACCGCCAGCATGATCCGATGGAGCCGCCTAAGTTTAAGCATAAGAAGATCCCCCGTGGCCCGCCTTCGCCTCCGCCTCCGATTTTGCACTCCCCGCCCCGGAAGCTCACCGCTGAGGATCAGGAGGCGTGGAAGATCCCCCCGCCTGTGTCGAACTGGAAGAATCCCAAGGGTTACACTGTGCCGCTGGATAAGCGTCTTGCGGCTGATGGCCGCGGCTTGCAGGATGTGACTATCAACGACAAGTTCGCGCAATTCGCGGAGGCGCTGTTCACGGCGGATCGCCACGCCCGCGAGGAGGTGCGGCTGCGTGCCCAGATGCAGCAGAAGCTGGCCGAGAAGGAGAAGGCCCAGAAGGAGGAACATCTGCGGGCGTTGGCTCAGAAGGCGCGCGAGGAGCGCGCCGGCAGCTCCCGCCAGGGCGGTGGTGGTGGTGGCGGTGGTCGTGCGTCGTCCCGCAGTGTCAGCCGCAGCCCGTCGCCGTACTACTCGTCGCGCTCGGCGTCGCCCGACAGTGCGGACGAGGCGGCCCGCGAGCGGGAGCAGTTGCGTCGCGAGCGGCGCCAGGAGGCGGAGCGCGAGCTGCGGCAGTCGCGCATGGGCACGGAGCGGAAGATCCAGGCGATGGCGCGCGAGCAGAACCGCGACATCTCCGAGAAGGTGGCGCTGGGACTGGCCAAGCCGACGCAGTCGTCGGAGGGCATGTGGGACTCGCGACTGTTTAACCAGACGAGCGGGATGGACTCGGGCTTCAACGAGGATAACCCTTACGATAAGCCATTGTTTGCGGCGCAGGACGCCATCAACAGTATCTACCGGCCGCAGGCGCAGATGGACGACGAGGATGAGGGGCAGGGGGCTGAGGGTGAGATGAGCAAGATCCAGAAGTCGGGACGGTTTGAGGTGTTGGGTAAGGCGAAGGAGGGATTCCGCGGTGCGGCTGATGCTGAGGTAATTCCCTTTTCTTTTTTACTCTTTTTACACGTTTTCGTGTATGATTACAGAACTATGCTAATGAAAACAGACTCGCGACGGCCCCGTGCAATTCGAAAAAGACACAGCCGACCCGTTTGGCATCGACAACATGATTGCCGACGTGACAGGGGAGGGATCCGGATCGGGAGCTGGGCAGAAGCGCTACGGGATCCAGGAGGCCGAGGGTCGTGGATCGAAGCGGGCTCGAGTGGACGAGGAATGAGCCTGAGCCTTCTGTTGTTGCTTGTATATTGCTTTACTTCTTCTTTGTGTGTGTCGGATTGTGCATTGCGGGCGTTGTTTTGGACTGATATAGTTTATCTTTATCGAAAGGAAATATCATGCGCTGTTGTTTTTCTTCGTTACTGAGAGTGGATCTATTAGTGTTGGACAGAATGGAGGCGTATCATTGTCGGCTATAGATCCTTCTGGAGCGTCGTATGTACTACCAATTTAGTAGATACTTCTGTGGGTCTATATTGATTAATACCTACCTACCTCCTACCTACCCTGTGCTAGGTAATCATCTATACCAGGTACCTACCCAACGTACCTAGTCGACGACACAAACCAATCACACCACAACCCATTATCTATCAGTATACATAAGTACCTGGGTAGGTAAGTACATACCATGTCAGGTTCCCGGTATGTACTAAGTAGAGTTATGTGAGTAGTACTAAGTAGGCAGTACCTTGAGATAGTCGCTATACCCCGCAGCCAAGGAGCCACCCTGTTAGGGCTACCTATCGTGTTTCCTTATGCAAGCTACAGGGAAGACAAGAGTCTCCGGTCTCCACCCCGTCGGAACGGTAGGAAGACAGGTACTGATTGGTATGTTGGTTGGTTGATAGGTACTTTGTTAACTTAGGTGGTTTTAGGGCTTGGGATGTCTGTGCGGGGTGTTTCATTATCATTGTGTTCGTACCTTACCTAGTGTAGGATGTAGTATAGTATAGTATAGTCTAGTAAGTTGACATCATTTTAGGAACTAGTCGGTTCGTCAGAGTGTTCAGTAATCTGATGGAGACAGGTACCTAAACTACTATTTGCCTCTGTGGAGCAGCCCTATCTTGGTATGTATGGATGGAAGAGTCCACTGGTTGATCGCCACAAAGGGGTGGAATTCTTTACTTCATGGTATGGACACTATTCGATCATCATGAACTGCACCGATCCCTGTCCACCCTTCTTGAAGAGATGTCCAATTGATGGGGAGAACTCTTGGACAGACGTTGTCGATCTCGGGTGCAGCGCCTGTCGCGGTGGAGCTGAGAGAAAGATAAGCGTAATGGATAATGTGGGGAAAGATAAGGATGTTCAATCTCCGTAGTTATTGGTTGATACACAGAGTGACTATTCTTTTCTTTATATATTTCTTCATATATTTCTTTATAAATCTGCATCCAGTGGATGTCTTCAATTTGAGTTTGATTGAGTCATCGGCGCAAATGAGACAAAGGAGACAAAAGGAACAAATCGGTCACCTGCTCTGGTTTCTTTATCTCGTCATTTTCTCCTCCACTTTCTACTGTCTATTCTTCTTCTACTACTCCTCTTTTATAATCCTTCCACCATCTCCCCTCTGATGGCGTAACTAACTCCTCAAACCATGACACCACTCGGTTTCTTCCAATTCTTCAAGCGCAAGAAGAAATGACCTGCTATCCTTCTCCCACATCAGTGCGATATACAATTGACCCATGGATTCCCTCTCCCTCACCTCCGCGCAGGTCCAGTTCATGGTACGTCCTACCATCCCCATATTGAACCTCAATTCTAACCAACTGCAGGACGACAGACTGGCCCTCGTCCATATCCCCCTGGACCTCTATCCCTACTTCCTCCAGCCCATCCTGCAGGTGCTCTTTCACGATGTCTCCCCTGTCCAGGATGAATCGTCCCACCCCCTTAAGGCCCCCCAGTCGGCCTTTCTGAACCTGTCTATCACCCCCGTCGAGTGCTCCGTCATGTGTCCCAGACAGCTGGCGGACCTGTACTTTGCTCCCTTGATCCACCGCTTCGCTGGCACGGCGTCTTCGGACCGTCTGGCTATCAGCCAGGATGACTTTGTTGCCATGCAGGTGTATGGGGAGGGGCTTAAGGCTGGCCAGCGCGTGCTTGAATTGACGAGTCCGTTGGCTATGGCGGGAATGTATGTACCATCCGTTTCTTTTTCTTTCTTCCGGCGATAAACTAACCAAACAGCTCCATCTTCTTCATCTCCACCTACTTTTCCGACTACATCATCGTTCCCCTCCGCAGCAAGCAACGGGTCATCGACGCCCTAGGCAACCGCGGGTTCCAGTTCGAGATGGACACCGAAGCCTTCGTCAACATCAACCAAGGTTCATTCAGCAGCCTCAGCCCTATCTCCCCCGCTCGCCCCCAGCCACTCCACCTCCATCATCCCTCAACGAGCTCCAAACCCGGACCTTCGCCTCCTTGCGCAAGAATGCCATCGTCCCGTTCGTCGACCGCTCCCTCCGTCTGGTCCAATGCGCCGCCCACCATCACTACTCCTCCGACGCCAGCTCCATCTCCATCCTACGCGAGGCCCTCACCGCCGCCCTAGTAGTCGACCAACCCCGCTTCCTCTCCCTGACCCTCACGGCCGCCGACCCCGCCGCCTCGCTCCTCCTCGAGAAGCGCCTCCTCCCGCGCTTCGCCTCGTCCGACCCCGACGACGACTCCAGCCTCCTCCTCGGCGCCAAAGAGGACATCCTCGTCCCTGTAATGCTAGACCTGCGCAAGCTTCCCCCCGAAGCCACCGGCATCGTCTGCGGCGTCGCCAGCCGCCTCGCCGACGCCACGCACGCCGCGGACTACCCCAGCGCGGTTCCAATTGAATCCCCGGTCGACGAGCCCCACTTTTCCTTCTCCGGTGGTGGTCACTCGATCCACCGCCTCCAGCCGGACCTTGACGCGTCCCTCGACGCCGTGGAGATCAGTTTCCTGAGCACAGCCCGCGCTGGCACCATCCTCGTCGGTGAGCACGAGCTCAACCGCGCTATGGACGCGCTCGACACTGAGAACCACACGTCATCGGACGAGCTTCAACCTAGTTCATTATCTTACGATATATGAGTGCATATATAGCCTTACCCCCTCCCCTCTCTATCAAGGGGGTATGAGGCACTCTCTTATAATCTGACGTGACATGACGTGACATGACGACACAGCGGGTTCGCTTGGCTTGGAAAAGTTTGTTTGATTTTCTTTATTTACCTTTTTCTGGGATTGAAATTCAATTTGCCTGTACTTTTATAAATTGATGACGGGGGTAACATGGGAAGATGGCTCGTGTGCTTGGGACCGTCCTATCTAATTTATCTTTTGATACTATCACTAAATTGGACTGATATGTGGACTTAATACAACCGGTTTCAATAGGTCTATACCTAGATAGTACACTGTCCTGATCACAGATAGGTGTAGTGTATCAGTTATCTACATGGATAGTGACTCGGTACAAGCCATGAGATCTTACCATGAACTAGTAGACAAAAATCTCTAACACCTACCGTTTGGTTTAGTTAGTCTATGGGCCGTAGCCTTACCCCTCCCAAGTCACAACAGCACATAGCAACTAAGGAGAGGACGGAGAAGTGAAGCACAGACACAGCCACAGCCATGGCAAGTCAGCCGCGCCTGGTGATCTCAATCATCAGCCATCGACATCAGTGAGCCAGAGTGGCAACGAGGGATCACGCGGGTTGAGATAAACCGGCGCACCCAAAGTAAAATCAGTGACAGATCATTCCGCTCTGGCAAATGCTCTTTGTGAGGGTCGTAGGAGGACATGGAAATGTCGAAGACTAGAAAGATGCGGCTTGTCCATTGCTGCCTCGCGAGACGCTTCATGGGTGGTAGGAAGGGATAATAATGGTCATTTTTATGTGATAGGATCTCAGTACTCGATTCAACGACAGCGTGTTATAACCCTATATCCAGGACTGCTCCACATATACAATAGACCCTGATTCTGATGCCAGAACTTGGTCTTTGTGTGAGCTGATCTAGGAGTTCATCGACTACTATCTAGTTTCTATCATCCCGGTTGACTTCCAATACCGAGGGTTCTATAGTTGCTTGAAGTTAATAGTTCAGTTTCCATGATAATTGACCGACTTACACCCAACGCTTATTGACTGAGTAGATGGTTCCTGAGGATCAAGAAATGGAAGCAGACTTATCCTTTTCTAGCAGGAACGCGATCTACCCTATCTATTGTAGTCAAGAGCGTCCATAATCTACCTGTCTGTCTTCTTTTGTATCTAAACATCAATCAGCCTCGTAATTTGGTGTGGGCTGCTGCTATGATTGGATTTTCATACCATGTTTCCCTGCTAGTCCCTGCAAGGCTACTTCGAGTCAGTCCTAATTACCCCCCTTATCCTTCCCCGCAAGGCCCTCCGTTATTGATGAATCCACGTTCTCACTTATCAATCCCGTCTTTGCAAGTCAAACTTGACAATATCCCAGACTGAGTCAGTCCGACATCTACCATGGCAACTGGAAACCACAGGTCTCTGAATGATTACACTGTCGGATGGCTATGCGCCTTATCGGAGGAGATGGCGGCCGCGGAGGCTATGCTGGATGAAACCCATGAGTCCTTGCCTCTGCCGGAATCTGATGATAATTCATATACATTTGGCAAAGTCGGAGGCCACTGTATCGTCATTGCATGTTTGCCAGCCGGGGAATATGGTACTACATATGCTACTGCCGCTGCTACGCATCTGATCTCTACATTTGGACGCTCTATTCGTTTTGGTCTGATGGTCGGAATAGGTGGAGGTATACCAAGTGAAAATGCAGATATTCGGCTGGGTGATGTTGTGGTCAGCCACCCAAGGTTTGCATACGGAGGAGTTGTGCAGTACGACTACGGCAAAGCTCTTCATGATGGCATCTTTCAATCGACCGGCCAGCTTAATGGTCCACCCAATAACCTTTTATCTGCACTATCTAAGCTCCAAGCAACCCATCACAGGGACAACAGACAATTCATGTCATACCTCCGCACGATAGGGCGCGGTAGTTCGCAATTCGCTGCCCGCATGTCCCGTCCAGCGCTGGAAGATCGTCTTTATTGCGCTGATTATAAGCATGTTGAGGGCCGCGCTACCTGCAGTGAATGTGATATCGCGAAAATAGTTTCTCGGGAGATCCGTGATACTAATGAGCCACATATTCACTACGGAGTGATTGCATCAGGTAACAAAGTTGTGAAAGACAGTCAGCTACGAGACAAACTTGGCCATAAGTTCAATGCATACTGTTTGGATATGGAATCTGCAGGCTTAATGAATCACTTCAAGTGTCTAGTAATTCGTGGGATCAGTGACTATTCTGATTCACATAAGAATGATCGATGGCAAGGATATGCCGCGGCAGCGGCAGCTGCATTTGCCAAAGAGTTCTTGCTTACAGTGCCTGTGGTTCAGACCAGGAACACAGAGCCTATGACAACTGGCCCAACCTCTCTCACAGTAATGGCTCCTGTCCCATGATAGCATATATAGAGATTGTCTAATACCGTTCTAGTCACCTCCCACGCCTGGCCTTAAATCTAGCCCAATAGATTTGACAGGTGACGATGAAGAAGAATCGTCTGATGACAGCGATGATGAATACATTGTTGAACAGCAATGGGATGAGGTTTGCCGAGCTCGAAAATGGAATGATCAATGCCTGAATTGTGGTTGGGACAATCATTATGAGCAAACTTGTCGCATTCGATGCGGCAGATGTAAGAAACACCACAGTAGCTTCCTATCAAAAGACTGACTCATAATGACCGTGTCTAGGTCAGATGAATAACCATACACAGCGAAACTGTCCGAAGCCAGTTAAATGTTATAAATGTCTGTTTATCATCCACTCCCAAACCCCTCATGATTGTACTAAAGGCTCTTGATATAGGTGGTGGTATTAACCATATGAGACAGGACTGCAAGGAAAAGAGTTGGAGGTGAGTAAAAAATCTGGCATATATGTATAAATATTGCCGCGCGTTCAAGGATTCAGACTCAAATATCTTTGATATTAGAGTTGAGTCACTGTTTCATCGAAATCTTCGAGTTTAACAACACTGATTTTTCATGGAACCTAATATCATTCGGAGAACTTGACTGACATCTCTAAGACCTTCTTATATTCTAGATGACAAAGAGTACGAGTGTCTTAGGAACTTGTGCGCAAGTGATCCTGAAATAAGAAAGGTACACATAGAACAATCAGGGGATGGACTCCTGAAAGATGTGTATCGCTGGTTTCTTGAAGATCATGACTTTCGACAGTGGCGTGAGAATCCTCATTGCCAACTTCTTTGGATCAGAGGTGATCCTGCCAAGGGCAAGACAATGCTACTTTGTGGTATCATTAATAAGTTTAAAAGGCCCAGTGTTAAGTCAGGGCTTTTGTCCTTCTTCTTCTGTAACGCTCATGACTCAACTGCCACGGCTATCCTTCGGGGCCTTGTCTATCAGCTTGTTAATCAACAGCCATCCCTCATCTCACACGTACAAAGGAAGTCTGGTTATCTAGAGAATAATGACGCAAAGTCCTGGATCATCTTGTCTAAAATCTTCACCGATATCTTGGAAGATTCGACTTTGAAAAGGGCCATTCTGATCATTGATGCTCTTGATGAATGCCAGACTGGTCTGAAAGAACTTCTACATATGATCGTGCACAGATGGTCTTCAAATCCCCATGTCAAATGGCTAGTCTCTAGTCGCAACTTGCCTATTATTCAGGAGCAACTGGACAGTGCTAAGCAAATATCTCTTGAGTTGAATGCCAAGTCTGTCTCCACTGCGGTTGGGCTATACATTGATCATAAAGTGCGTCAGCTAGCGAGGCTGAAAAAGCACGATCACCAAACACAACGTGCGGTACAACAGCTCTTATCTCAATTTGGAAATGGAACATTCCTCTGGGCGATGCTGGCCTGTCAATATATTGAGGATGATCCACGAGGACATACACTTCTAGAGCTGACTGTATGCCTGCCGCATATTATTGCTCGCTACCGCGAGGCAGTCGAGGCAACTTATCGCTCAATGGATAGAAGTCTATGGCCCGAGCTTAATGAAGAGACCATCTTAGAAGCCATTATGGCCGCCCCTGGTCCATTGTCCAGCGATACTGTGACGGAGCCAGCCTTTAGAGATGGGGTCGATGAGCCACGGGCTGTACCTGGACTTGACGCGGCGGATGTTCGGTTCAATGAGTCTGGCCCCAATGTGGTTCTCCCAGAAATAGCACACGAAGTGAACGATCCAGCGATGGTCGATATACTACTAGCCAATCGATTAAAGGACGTGGAGGGGGATTCGGGGTACTCATCAATGGCTATGTCATCAGAAAGCCTAGAGTTACGAGAAGGTAGAGATTCATTGGCCACAGGCGAATCTGATGATATGCAACGTCCATATGATAGTGAGATCCAGTCACAGGTGTCCGACAAAGAGGACATCGGTTCCCAAGCATCCACTGGAACGACCGTTGACAAAATTACTGGAAAAGCCCTTATAAGGATGTCTTTGGCCAAGGATCGTATTTTCATATCTCTATGTGAAAAACTCATGGCAAGGATGGGTAGGCAGCGCTTTGTGGAGAATTTACGGCGGTTACTGAAATCATTTCACAAGAACCTCAGCAAAGAAGCCAAACACGAGAGGGAGAAGAAAGTCGCCAAGCTACTAAGAAGCAGGCAGGTAAGGCGGTGGATCAGTGAACAGCTTGCTCTTCATATTCAAAATGAGCAGGAAGAAAATTTGGGGATGGACAGAGCTGGCCTAGAAGTTGGTCCGGAAGAGAAGCAGAGCGTCGAAGCCTGGCTCGGACGCATACCAGAAGGAACTTCGCACGAGCCTGCAGTAGAAAAACCGCCGGTCCCTGGCAGATTTGAAGATGAAGACATTGCCAAATCTTCAGAATCAGACTCTGATGATCGCTCCGAGGGAGAAGAGTTCCCTCGCGTCTCTGAGCTGACAGTTTTCTTCCAAAAGGCTAGATCATTTGAACTTCTTCGGAGAGATTCCATGTTGATGTTTCTGCCAACCGACCTGAGACATGTGCTACTAGCCATTCCCAAAGAGCACATTTGGGTGTCACAGGAGCAGGACATCTCCTTGACGAACAGGATGAAAGCATGGGTAGAGGACAACACTCTAGTTAGATGGAATTGGTGGCCTCTTGAACCGCGGAAGCGGTTGCTACGAGACGATGAATCCCGATTGTTCTGGCAATGTGTAAGTTCAAGATATCCCATGTGCACATATGTTGCTGAAACCTAGCAGACCTGTGGTGCGCAGCAGTGGGAAGAAATAACCGCCGAACAAGACGAGTTCGTGAGACAGATACTCGAACTGCTGGATGATGAACCTTCGACACCACATTGGTGCAGAACAAAGATACCCAGGGCGCCTTTGACAGTTTGGCTTGAAGACATGTTTCGGAAAGCACTTCTCACGTTGTCAGCTACAGTAACATCATCATCGGCCGCTCAGGGATACCCACCGTCAGCAAGTCCCGCACCTACACAATCGCCGAGTCCTTCACCAAATAACGGCGGCCAATCTAGTGCAACAGCTCAAAATCAACTTCAGCAAGCCTCCCCCGCCATGGGGCAGCAAGTTCAGGAAAATGCGCAGGGCCCAGATGGCCAAGTTCAAGGCTGGATATTATTCGGCGTTCAAGGAGCAGGGAAGTTCCTGAAATCGGCCCAAGTATTGGTCAACGACCATAGTACCGATCACAGTGTCTTCCAAGACCTCAGGAAATGTTATCGTGCCAAAAGAGGCCGGATAAGGCTGTGGTTCTCTATCTGGCGATTGGAGTTCTGCGAAGTCGTAAAGGTTTGCTCCCCGCTCCCAGCAACGTCTTACGCACTAAGTGCTGACGCCCACATCAGTTCAGCAGGTTGCCACTCGAGCTGGTCCGCCAGTATAGCGATCTTCCCACAGACGAGGTCTATCTATACAATCCTCGTGCTGGGGCCCCGGATGTTACAAACCCCCCCGTTCCGGCTCATCCTTTTGATAATCTGTTCTACGCCTGTCCCGTGCCTTGCACCTGGCATAATCTCCATAGCTGCAGACCAGCACTGTCTGGCGCTGAATTTATGCAACGCATCCCGAGGAGAACTATATGCTTCGAAAGAGATCAGGAATCGCCGGTATGGGGCCTCGAAGCAAAGTTTGCGGTTTCCGCTCTCTGCATTACCATCTATCATTGCATCATGCTGGCGGGTCCCTTCGCATTTTTTGCATGGTGGCTCAGACATCATCCAGGTGATTTGCAGAATGCCTCTGTTCCAGCCACCATCGCTCTAGGTGCTCTATCCCTCTTTTGGAGCATTGCTGGAATCTTGACAAGCCACGGTAAAGATTAAATAATCTGGGGCCCTGAGGGCCGAGCTTGGGGCGTGAGTAGATGATTAGTGCCAGGGAAGCGGATGAGTGCTCGCGCACGCACACCTTCGCGATATTACGCAGCTGACGGAATGGGCCTTCGAAAGACCATAACGAATTCTTTTCCTTCATTCTTAGAAGATTTTTTGAGGCATCAACCTTTTCTGTCTCTTGCTTCTTATCCGGCGTTCTAGAAGCAACATCATTCTGCCGTGGCCCTTCCGCAGACTATGCTGTACGATTTGCAGCACGATCACTGGTCACAGCATGTGTGGACGCCAGAGGCCCTATCCCTCGCTCTTTGAGAACTCTCTTGACGACGATGTGATAGTGTTATACTGTTCTGTAAAGACGACAAGGGCAAACATTGCTTGGACAGTGGGATGGAATGGGGACAAGGCCCTCCTTCAAGTCAACCCTGAACTAGTTATGGACTATCACATTGACTATAGATGCAACGAACAAAGATTATGGTGAAATAGATTTCGGTGTCAATCTTGCATTGGGCGCATGGCATGATAGGCCCACATGGAACTATGGAAGCCCTTGCATATTGTTACAGATTGTGTTGACAATGTTGATACAGATCATCATTCAGTAAGGCTGGGCTAACTTCGTGATAAGTAGATGATGAGAAGTACAGAACAGACAAACAGACGGTGGACAAGTTGACCTTGATACTCGTGCGCTAAACCTCAGCGTATCGGTCAAATGCCCAGCAAGCCTCCCCGTAGCGCCGAGGCTTTGATTGCATACTTCTGCAGGGATCAATTGGTTGAAAAGTCATCTTGGTCGTGCCCCCCTTGACTGCGCCAGTGTCGGAGCACGAGGCTTGGGTTGGGCAGGTAGTCAACCGGTCAGATGGGCGGGGACGATATTTGACTGACTGGACAGACCATCTTTGCTGCCTACATTCTCGCTTCATGATCTGGCAGGATTTCTGAAGACACTGTTCGATCTTAGCTTCAAAAGCCAAGCTTCAACTTGTGACCTCTGTCAAAGATTTTCCATTATTTCTTCTGCAAATTTCTTTTTCACGGTCGCGCAAGTAAATGCATTATGAAAAAGTTCACCAAGGGAGCCTGATGCCTCCTCCAATATAGGAACCAACCAACAAGAAGACTCCAAGCAGCCCGCTAAGGACTCTTCCTCGCCACTCCCTTGGCCGGAAGGCATCAAAGTTTGGCACGACTGTGTCGACGCCATGGTCGACATATGTTTTGTTCATGGCTTGGCTGGGGATCGAAACAGTACCTGGACCGCTGGGGCCCTTGTTCCTATAAAATCTAGTATATCTTTATTAGAAATACTAGGGACAGACGACCAGCTTCTTGAAACTATTCAAGCTGACTTTCGGTCAATAACTCGTGAAAAACGAGAGAATGGTCGACATCTCAAGATCATATGCTTTTATGAAGAGTTGGTTTCGCCTATAGCTGGGAAGATTGTTTCCAAAGAATCAGCTACTCTTGAAGGTTATACCTCCATTAGTGTTCATGCTAATCATAGTAATATGGTCAAGTTTAGCTCCGCTCATGACTCTGGATTCAAGAGACTACTTAAGGAATTATCACGAATGAAAACTTATATCAGGTGTATGTATGTACATCTACCATGGCTAGAGTCCCAGTGCGGGTTTATCGTTCCCTATGGAGTGCCCTACTGGCTACACGAAATAAGATTTCACCATCATACATACTATCTATTATCCTAGCATGGTGTGTAGTCTTGACTGGATTCCAAGATTTTCCAGGGCCGTTCAGATGGCTAAGCACGGGGAAAGCAACTTTGAAACAAAATAGAGAAAATCTAAGTATTCCTCACGGATGACCCATACCAAGGTATGCCCGTGCGTGCATCAGGTAGATCAAGTGTAAGAAACTACCAGTAGAATAATCTCTTTATTCCCCTCTGACAGAATAAATGGCGTTATCATCTTGCATGATGAACCAAAACAGTCTGTGGAAGAACAAAAAGAGTATATGGCTAGTGTCATGAGACGTGCACGGTTCGTCTGTTTCTGCTGGAGTTTGGTTGTGGTTGTCATCATCATCGGTAGTCATCGGAGGGACTTGATTTCTGATCACTTTTTTCTTGTTTTAGACAGTTCATGCAGTCTATCTATAGATAAAGTTAATTGTAAGACAGGTCTAGGTCTGTTCTTCATGGGTTCGTCATGTTCGTATCACTTGGCTATGCTCATGTTGAATGACAGTATTCGGTTCGCGCCATCGGCTAGATACCTAGACTAGCTAGGAAGAGCAGCAGATTGGATCGGATGGTTCCGTGATAGTGTCGTGTCCTCTCTGCATGCGTACATGCTGGATTGGCCAGTTGGATTGGCCAGTTGCTGGCCTGACTAGACTCAAATAGAGTTCGATCTTGCTGGAGGGCCTGAGCAACGCATGTTCGTCCACATGGTCAGACTTGCTAGTCTGGTCTTGTTGGACGGCGTTGGTATAGTGCAGTATGGTAGATGTCATCCATCTAGCGATAAACTTTGACCGTTCCTGTAGCTCGTAGTCAGTATGCTGCCCGAGGACAGGAGCAATGAGAAGGAAAGAAAAAGGAAAGTACCATCAGAACACCCCCCAGCCCAACATCCCCCCCTCTCATTCCACGCCACACACCCCACAGCCTTAACTCCCTCCCCAGCAGGCAAGCAAGCAACGACCTCCCCACTAACCACATCCCAAGCAAACACATGCGCCTGCTGCTTAGCCGTCCCCTCACTGCCACTCAGCACGACCGCATCCCCCTGCGCAAACACAGTCCGCATTCGCATCTCAGTATTGCGGTACTCAGGCTCCTCTCCCCCCTCTTCCTCCTTCGTCGCACCCGTCCTCCCCCCCACAGCCTTCAACAACTTCCCGTCTGACCGGTCCAGCACACGGATGCGACTATCCAGCGTCGACACAAGCAGGGCGTTTCCATCTGTGGAGCACCGCACGCTGGTAACGGGTTGGCCGAGGACATCGACGGTCGCGTGGCCTGTGCGGACGTCGTAGATGCGCGCGCGTCCGTCATAGCTCCCGCTGGCGATCGAGTATGACGCCATGTGTGTGTGTAGCGAGGAGACGGTGTCGCCCGCGTCGCTGAGTGTTTGGATCGGTTTGTGTGCGTTGGACCGTGTGTCCCAGAGGTTGATCGTCGTGTCTGCGCTGCCTGTACAACAATTGATTAGCATAACCCACATACCCAGATACAATAGGACCATCCATCTTCCCCTCTTGCACACCACAAGAAAAGGAAGAACCCACCAGAAACAACCACTGAATCCCCCTCTCCCGCAAACTGCACAGCCTCCACCCTCGCCGCATGCCCACCCCACCTCCTCACCGTCGCGCCCTGCTCAACATCCCACAAAAACACCTGCCGATCGCCGCCCACACTCGCAAACTGCGCGTTGTCCGCCGTGACAGCCACGTCCAGCACCGAGTACCCGTGCGCCTCGTATTTCTGGATCGGGGTCGTGGTGACCGTTGGCGCGCGCGCGTTGTCGGGGATCGCGCGCGATAGGTGGATCGTGCGGTCGGAGGAGCCGGTTAGGACGTAGCTGCCTGTTATGCTGGAGAATGTGACGGTGTTGACCGGGCCTAGGTTAGGTTAGAGAGGTTGGGTGGTTGAGTGAGGGGTGGTGCTGGCTCGGACTTGACTTACCATGGTGTGTTTTGAGGGTGTGGGCTAATTGGGTGGGGAATTGTTTTGCTGGCATTTGTGGAGATATAACTTATGTTTCACGATATAATAAAAGATTGATTGCTTGTGTTGTGATTGAGATATGGAGTACGGAGCACGGAGCTATGGGGAGACGAACTGGGAGATCAACTGAAAATGAGATGAAGCTCACCGCCGAGGCCCCACCGGATGGAGCTCCAAACCCTATCTAAGGTATCTAGATCGCATCTCCATCGACTCCGTAGTTTCCACAACGGTCTAGACAACATACTGGTTGATATACAAATACTGGCTCATATACAGTTACTGGCTTTCATACAATATATCCAAAATTTACTGCAAATAAACAACATTAAATCTGTATTGATATGCTACGGAATACAGTCGGTTATTATCAGAAGACAAACCAGCGCTAGTCACCATCAGGTACTTCAAATCAATCACGAACCCCCACCGAGTCCGAGTGGGTGGCCTTGTCCGAGTCGCAAGAAACCGAAAAACAAAAAAAAAAAGAAAAGGAAAAGAAAAATAACCACAAAAGAAGTCAAGGGGTAGTCAAGTAGGCAATACTAATCGCGAAGGCACAATGCTGCTTTTTCCACCAGTTCGCACGGAGCCCAAGAGGGCACCGTGAACTTAACGGCGTCCATGGCTGCGGGTCGACGAGCCCTGCAGGCCCTCGATCTCCTGCTCGATCGATTTGATCCTGGTTTGGTCAGTAAACCTCAACTCACTATGAAAACGGGGGAACATACGCAGCATGGGTGGCCTCCAGATCCTTGTTGAGGCGGTCCCGCTCGGCAATGAGCTTCTGCTCCCACTGTCGGAAGCGCTGCTCCTCGACCTTGACCTGCTCGGTGAATCGCTTGCGCAGAGTCTCCTCCTCCTCCTTGAACTTGGGGTTGTCCAACTTCCGGGGGCGCGCCTCGCCGAATTTCCTCGTCTCCATCTGCTGTGCGCGGTAGGCCTCGTAGTGCTGCTCCTCGGTGGTGTGGATCAGGTCCAGCATGTGGGTGCGGACCAGGATCGAGCGCAGCTTCTTGAAATCGCAGTGGTCCTCGTTCTCCACCTCCGCGACACCCCAGGCATATTGACGGCCCTTGACGACGCGGTTGTCCTGGGTCTTCACATCCTTCTCGGATCCGATCACGGCGAACGGCATGGCGGCCATGAGGCTGCGGGCGTGGGTGGCGGCGTGCTCATCGTCCTCCTCGATCGGAGGGGTGTAGATCTTGATGCCCTGGGCTTCGATAACGGCTTGGACCTAAACAACGTCGCAAGTTAGTCGCGGACAACGGACCGGTGGCAGTCCGGTTGACTCACCCTTTGCTTGTAGCGGGTCAGGTCAGCGGGGCTGAGCGTGTCGGCCTTGGCGATGACGGGGATGAGGTTGACGCGAGAGCTCAGGCGCTTCATGACCTCGATGTCCAGCGGCTTCAGGGTGTGACCGGTGGGGCGAATGAAGTACAGGCAGGCGTGGACTCGCATATCGATCTTGTCCGAGCGGCGGGGCTGCTGCTCCTGCAGCATATAGGATTCATGCTGATCGTCAAGGAATTCGATGATGGGTTGCCACGAATCGCGGTTGTTGACATAGTCTCCGAATCCGGGGGTATCAATCACAGTCAGACGGACTAGATAGAGCACGCGGTTAGCGATCGATCGTCCAGCGCGTCGGCAGACCCGGTATCAACCTTTGAAGAACTTCTCCTCCAGCTCAGCCTTGGTGATCTCAATCTCGACGGTACGGTCAACCTGCTTCTGGTGACGGCGCTTGTGGTCGGCGTAGTTCTTGATGGTGGTCGAAAACAGTGTGTTGATAAACGTGGTTTTTCCCAGACCCGACTCTCCAGCAACCTACACTACCAGTCAGTATCACCCACACCCAATGCATCGTTTCTCGCAAAACCAACCATCACAGTGAAGGCCGCGCCCCGTTTAGCGACGATCTTGTGTCTGTCGGTGTCGGGTTAGTATCGCCTGATTTCTTCCATCACCATCCCTCCTTATCAAATCCACATACCGCTGGTTGGGAAGCTATTGCGAAGATCAGTCAGTATTCGATACATCCCCGACAAAAGATCGAGATCGAGATCTACTTACGTTGGCAATGCCGATAGGGGAAGCCGTCTCGGTAGTGGAGGCCATTGTTGTAAAGGGGTCAATCGGACACGAAATCGAATGAATTAAATATTAAAATCGAAGAAAAACAAAAGCGACAACCCTGGCAAAGACCAACAATTAATTAAGGGGGAAGATGATATCAAAAATGGAGATTGGCAGAGAAGCGTGGAGAAGAGAGGGGAGGAGAAGATGGAAAGGGAGGCAGTAGCAGGAAGGGAAGACAAAACGACCAAGTTCGCGGTTTCCCTGGGCACTCACCTCGTGCGATAGGAATTGGGTCTAGCAGGACGGGAGCGTAACACAGCAGGAGCTCACTTTCTTTTCCCAACCTTAGTTTACCTTACTGGATCGGTCTGAATCCAATGGATTTGGCCAAGTTTGGGTCGAATTGCCCCTGAATCGACGGGGAGTGGAGACGGAGCCTGAGGTGTGCACAGAACAAACGGTGCAAACAGATTATATCAGCAGAGGCTGATCTCGGAGCGGATTAACTCTCCGCTCCACCTTATCGTGATTTTTTTTCTGGAAAACGCGACGGCTTGGAATTGAAGGACCGTTTGATATCGATTGCTTTTGCTGGTTTTGTCCGGTGCTGGTGATCATGAAGACGGATTTCAAGGTCAGTTCTGGACATCCTTATGTATAGTTGGGTTCCCCACTGACAGTCGCAGTTTTCCAACCTTCTGGGTACCGTCTATCGCAAAGGGAATATTCTCTTTACCCCCGATGGCACTTGCTTGCTCTCGCCCGTGGGCAACCGGGTCTCGGTGTTTGACCTAGTCAAGTATGTTTCATGAGCTACAGGGGAGGAGTCAGACGGATATCAATCCGGAATGAATGGAAGATCATGCATGTACTAATCGGCTTCCCCGCACAGCAATACCTCCTATACCCTTCCCTTTGCGCATCGCACCAATATCGATCGTCTAGATCTTTCGCCCCGAGGAAACCTCTTGTTGACCGTGGACGAGAATGGTCGCGCGATTCTGACCAACTTCCCCCGCCGAGTCGTCATCCATCACTTCACCTTCAAAGGCCGCGTCTCCGCCCTCAAATTCTCGCCCTCTGGCCGTCATTTCGCCGTCGGAGTGGGGCGACGTCTGCAGCTGTGGCATACGCCGCAGACCCCCGGCGCGGACAACAATGGAGAACTCGAGTTCGCGCCGTTCGTTCTGCACCGCGATCTGGCCGGGCATTTCGACGCTATCCAGAGCATTGAGTGGTCGAGCGACTCCCGCTTCCTTCTGACGGCCGCCAAGGATTTGACTGCGCGCGTATGGAGTTTGGACCCGGAGGATGGTTTTGAGCCGACGACTCTGGCGGGACACCGCCAGGGTGTCAAGGCCGCTTATTTCTCGGCGGACCAGGAATCCGTAAGTCTCCGTCCGGCCTAGATTGGGCCACTAAAGCCTTTTGTTCGACATCGTCACTAACGTCGTTGTAGATCTACACAGTCAGCCAGGATGGCGCTCTCTTCCGCTGGGAGTACGTGACCAAGAAAGACCCAGACACGATGGAGGATATCACCGACGAGCGGTGGAGGATCGTCAAGAAGGACTACTTCATGCAAAACGACGCCAGGGTCAACTGCGCTGCGTTCCACGCTCCCACCGGTCTTTTGATCGTAGGGTTCTCGAACGGTCTGTTTGGGATCTACGATCTGCCAGAATTCAACATGATCCACCAATTGAGGTAAACCAAGCAAAATATCCTTCCTCCGACCAACGCTCATATCATACAGTGTCTCCCAGAGTAATATCGACAATGTCACCATCAACAAGTCCGGCGAGTGGCTGGCGTTCGGCTCCTCGAAACACGGCCAGTTGCTGGTCTGGGAGTGGCAATCGGAGTCCTATATCTTGAAACAGCAAGGCCACTTGGACTCGCTGAATTCTCTCGTGTACACGCCGGACGGACAGAGGATCGTGACTGCGGCAGACGACGGCAAGATCAAGCTGTGGGATGTCAAGTCCGGCTTCTGTATTGTGACCTTTACGGAGCATACGAGCGGGGTGACGGCCTGTGAATTTTCCAAGAAAGGCAACGTCCTGTTTACTGCGTCGTTGGACGGGTCTATCCGAGCTTGGGATCTGGTCCGGTATCGCAATTTCCGAACCTTCACCGCGCCGTCCCGCTTATCCTTCTCCTCCCTGGCAGTCGACCCCAGCGGGGAGGTAATCTGTGCTGGATCCCCGGATTCCTTCGACATCCATATCTGGTCGGTGCAAACGGGCCAGTTGCTGGATCAGTTGTCTGGCCACGAGGGCCCCGTTTCGGCCCTCGCGTTTTCTGCCGACGGAAGCCATCTGGTCAGCGGCAGTTGGGACCGAACTGTTCGGCTGTGGAGCATCTTCGGGCGATCTCAGACCAGCGAACCTCTGATCCTCACGTCCGATATCTTGAGTGTCGCTTTCCGGCCCGATGGAAAGCAGGTCGCGGCGTCCTCGCTCGATGGCCAGCTCACCTTCTGGTCCGTGGAGGATGCGGTCCAGCAAGGCGGACTGGACGGTCGTCGTGACATCTCGGGTGGCCGCAAGGTCACCGATCGCCAGACGGCCGCCAACGCCGCCGGGACCAAGTCCTTCACTTGCGTCACATACAGCGCAGATGGCAGCTGCGTCCTGGCAGCAGGCAACAGCAAATACATCTGTCTGTACGACGTGCGGACCGGCTCGCTGGTCAAGAAGTTCACCGTGTCTGTCAACACCTCGATCGACGGCACTCAGGAGATCCTCAACAGCCGCGACCTCACGGAGGCAGGCGCGCGGGCTCTCATCGACGAGACCGGCGAGGCATCGGACCACGAAGATCGCATCGACCGCAGCCTCCCAGGCGCCAAGCGTGGAGACGCCGGGGCACGCACCACCCGCCCCGAAGTGCGGGTTACATCCGTGGACTTCTCCCCGGCCGGACAGGCCTTCTGCGCCGCCTCCACCGAGGGACTTCTCGTCTACAGCCTCGACACGCAATTCGTGTTCGATCCCTTCGATCTCGACATCGACATCACTCCCTCGACCATCGTGGCCACCCTGGAGGCAGCGAAGGCGGCCCGTGCGTCGGGCGAGGTCGACGAAGACAACAGCTTCTTAAAAGCCCTCATCATGGCCTTCCGGCTGAACGAGGCTCAGCTGATGTCCGTCGTCCACCAGGCCATCCCGCCATCAGACATCCAGCTCGTGGTCCGTGCCGTCCCCACGGTCTACCTCCCCCGTCTGCTCCGGTTCGTCGCACACGCCGCCGAGGAGACCCCCCATCTCGAGTTCAACTTGCTCTGGATCGAAGCCCTATTCAGCAACCACGGCCGCTACTTCAAAGACAACGCAGGCACCTTCGCCACGGAGCTCCGCGCCGTGCAGCGCGCGGTCGACGACATCCGCGAGAACCTCAAGCGCCTAGCCGAGAAGAACGTCTACGACCTCACCTACCTCCTCTCGCGCCCCGCCCTCAACAAGAAGGAGACCCCGGTGACGCTGAAAGCCATCGAGCTTGAGGTCAACGGTGGAAAGGACGAGGCCATGGTTGAGGATGATGCAGAGGAGGGAGAGGGAGATGGTGAATGGATGGGTCTGGAATAAACTACCTGATTTTTTTTTCTTTCTTTCTTTTGTATTATTCATGTGTGTGCCGTCTTCCCTAGATTTTGCATCTGCGTCTGGCGTTGAACTTGTGGGATACCTACCTGGATTTATATGATAAAGGGGACATCAAAAGTTTGGGTCCTGTGCTGCTTGGTAAATAAAACGTGTATACTTCTTTGTCTATTGTTTTCTTTTTTTACGCAAGTATGTAATGTAGTCGACTACACAGATCTCACGCTTGGGTCACTAGTACTTTTTTGCTTGCTGCATATCTCGTAGACTGCATTGGATTTGCGCTACATGTCTGCTGTCTGCCTGGCAGCTTCCATTATCAAGCTTATAAAGTGGCAGTACCGTACAACAATACTCGATCCAGACCTCAACTTGACTGCAATACTGACTCCTCCAACTAAAGTACCCATACCACCCTAAACAGCAAAACACCACAAACCCTAGAAGATAGCCACCGCATTAGGTGGACTCGCCACACCACCAGGCACCTACAACATAGTCAATACAACCATTCCACCAACCTCCCCAAATCAAGACCAAGAGAAGGAGCAAGAAAGACGAACCTTCAACGGCACACTCGCCAAAAAACAACTCCACCGTCCAGTCTGTCTACAATACTCACTCACGCCCTCCAAATCAAAATACTCCCCAATCGGCATCCCCCACCCGGCCAAACACCACGCATGCAGCGTGTACTCCCGCGGCAGAATCGGACTGGGCTCAAAGCTGGGCGCATCGCTCGCGATCGCGGCAAACTGGTTCTCCCACAGCCAGCGCAGCGTGGGCTCGCCGTTTTCGACGCCGAAGAAGTCGGGGGAGGGGCGGGCGGCGAGGGCACGCTCTTGGTCGGGGGTGAGGGCGTCGTAGGCTGCTTTGAAGCCGGTGCGGATGAGGAGGATGTCGCCGGGGCGGGGGGTGGTGTTGGTTTCGGAGAGGATTTGTTGGAGGTGGTGCAGGCGGATTGGGGATGTTGTGAAGGGGGTTAGGGGGATGTTGTTCTTGTGGGCGTAGGTTGCGTAGTCGAGGAGGATGCCGCGGCCGATTATGCCGCCTTTTTGGACCCATGCTGGACGTCTATTAGATGATTTTCTTTTTCTTCTGGTAGAGGGACGAGGGGCGTACAGTCTATCCCTATCACGGGAGACAGCGTCAGGTCTTCCTGTTTGTGACCGTTGAAGAAACAGCCCATTTTCTGATCTCCTATATCAGTCACATCCTATCAGCAATATCCCAACTACACAACCAACCACCCAGTAAAAAAAAAGAGAAAGAAAAATAGATACCATAATGCCTAAACCCATCCCACTGACTCCCCGCCTGCGTATTAAAAGTCAACACATCATCATTCACCACCCTCGGCGCCTTATTGATCATCCGCTGCGCGAACGGCTCCCTGCCATAGCTAGGATGCTTCAGTCGATCCAGCGGGAGGTCGAGCGAGAACCGCACCCCCGTGCGGATCTCCTCGGCTGCTGTCCGCTGCACCAGTTCTGGGGTTAGCAGGTTGAGCATTCCTAGGTCGTTGTCGGGGCCCCAGAGGCCCCAAGTGTTGCCTGGGGGTCCGGTGGGGTCGAGGGTGAGGTTGTTGAAGGTGGGTATGGTTTTTGGGGGTTGGGTCATGGTGGATAGCTAGGACTTGTTACTCTGGGAGATGCTGGGGACTATATGGAAAGAAGAAGTAGATAGTGGGATAGCTATTGTGATTCTTGTCTGCTGGTCTGCTGGAGAGAATCCGGTTATAAGTCCTGGTTTAGCGGCTACTTTCCATCTCCGCAGTTCTTGATGCGGGGAATTACCTTACTAGCCGAGTGGTTCCTACTACGGCAAATCGTCTAGAAGATCAATACATCGAGCGCCATTGCGGCCGTTTCATTTCTATCCACTGGAATGACACAGCTTGCTATATAGACAGTCGCATGTCATGCTGCGAACCCATGCCACCCTTCCCATCCAGCAGCTGACAATCCGGGATCCTAGAATAACAAGAGGAAGAGGAATACATCATCGCCTTTGAAGAAACCCGCCTGTATCAGGCACTGGTCTCAGCGGAACCACTCGCCGCAGCAGCCCCTCGTCCCCGACCTCCGCGTCCGCCACGCCCGGCACCTCGACCTCGCCCCCTGCCTCGATCGAGGCCCTTGGGAGGCGGCACCTGGTTATAATTCTGAGGCCGGAAGTTGGGGTTGTCGACGACACCCACATCCGGGTTCTGGTCGATAGTGACATAACCGCCGCGTCCGCGGTTTCCGCCTGCACGGCCACGACCACCGTTACCGGCGCCCCGACCGCGACCACCACGGGCTTGGCCGTTGCCCTGCGAGTCTCCGCCATTGGGGTGAGGACGGAAAGGCAGGGTTGTCGGCGCACCGACTCCGTTGAAAGCACCGCGTCCACCACGGCCCCGGGAGAAATTGCCGCGCCCGTTGCCGCCGCCGGATACGGCGCCACGGTAAGAGTGGTTCAATGGGGGAGGAGCGGACGCCTCTCTCAGCTGGCCCTGTCCACCGGGCCCCAGAGGTGCGCCGTAGCCATTCACCGTCAGAGGGGTGGGTTGGCTTTGTTGCTGGTTAGTCCCCGCGCGGGTGCCGGCCAACAGCTGGCGGTATGAGACGTTGAGGACGGACGACGCCAAAACCGTCTGTCCGCGGAAGGGCGAACAGCGGTCGCCAAGCGTAGTACCGCTCATGAACGAAGCGTCGAACACCACGTCGAGAAGGACGGCTCGGGATGTGCGGGTGAGTCCAACCACGGTGCCGCGGGTCGCGATGGGCACTTTGCCGGAGTCCTGGGCATAGACCACTCGGTCCCCTAGCTTGAAGCTCTGGTTACCCAGTCTCTGCTCGACATCCGCAGGGCGAAGGAGAGCGCTGCGAGGAACGCCCCGGATCTTCTTCGCCTGCATCGGCGGCTGGTTGTGATGCAGTGCGTCCGCATCTTGCTCGATTAATTTGACGAGATCCGAATCCAGCTGCTCGGCATCGAGAGGGACCCTTTCAAAGCTCTTGGATTCGATGGCCTTCAGCCAATCGCGAATTTCTTGCATCTTTGCAAGAGCAACGTCTTCCGGGTAGAAGTCCGTGGGCTTATAGCGATCATTTTGAGGGTTTCGTTGGATGCCAGCAATGAACTCGGGGAACTTGATCATGTACTGCTGTAGCAATTCGACAGCCTTGGCGCTGAACTCCCATCCGGAATCTCCGCGACGGGAATACCCAAGGACCTTCTGCTTCTTAGCCTCGAACTTCAGGTTAAGACCGAGGTTGACGCGCGATCCGTCGATGTCGACGGAGAAGGACGATGTGATCTTGGCCAATACCAGCGGGTTCAGTCGCAGGTTCCGTGCAATCGCAAACGACGGCATATACGGGCAGAAACGCTCGGCTTCTCTCGCACGATCCCTGCCAAATTCAGGCTCCCGGCCCTTGACAGAGGCAATCAACCCATTCACCTTGCCATCTTCATATCCGGTGATATGCACCGGCCTGCCGTAGTTAAACTCGCCTAGGAAGAAGGCCCGAGAGCCCTCGGGGAACTCTTCCTCGATCGGCAAAGCTTCACGCTCAATGAACCGTTCGTCAGGGTTGATCACTTCATCGACAATCAACTGCAGAGCGTGGTCAGGCTCTTGACCGGGGATATCCATGAACTCTTTCATTGTAGCTCCTTCATCCGTCTTGATCAATCCCTTGAGGGGTTGGACATGCACCATCGACTCCACCGAACCAATGACCATGCCCAATCGCCTGCCGTATTGACCCTCAATCCTATCGGCCTTCTTCTTCCACTGCTGAATTTGAAATTCAGTATGAGGAGTCGCAACCACGTGCTGTTCACCTTCGGGCAAGGTGTAATCGAAAAGCTCGTCTGAAACACGGACAACCAGAGCCTCCTGGAGGAACGGATATCCGACGTACACTCGCTGTCCCAGCTTCGTCTTGGCCAGCTCGCTGCTTGACCTGTTTCCAGGTTCAAGAATCGTGACCACCATGCTTTCGTTGCGGCTTTCCTGCTGGAAGACGCAGACACCATGGAAGGCCAGGTGGCCGTAGTGTGGCAAAGTCTTCAAGCTGGGGAAGCCAGCCAGCGCGGCGGCTCCGAGCTGAACACCATCGACCAGCCCAGAGTACGGCTCCAGACCATCCATGGTGGGCAGATCGAAAATGTTTTCCACGCAGTGACAAGCCGGGAGATCGGGGAAAACACCCGGCAGAGACGAAGGATAAACGTACTGCACCTCTGGAGAGTAGGTGAATTTCAAACTTGTGCCATATCCGTTCCTCGCTTTTTCGTCAGGTGTCAAAAGGTGTTCTCTCGTGGCAAGGGCGTCCAGCAAACGGCGTTCGTCAATGAATGGGATTTTGACAACTGCTTCCCACTCCATCTTCTTTCCGTTCATATCTAACTCAAAATCCCGAGGATAAAAGTCGACAATCGGGGACTCTGGCGACGTCATCAAATCGTGATATGCCACTGGCACGATTTTCTTGCTTCGATCGGGAAGCACACCCATCAGTTGGTCATAAGGTCGGAACGGACGGCCCAGCTGGAAGTTGGTGTCTGCTTTCAGACCCTTCTTCACGTCTACACGCTGTTAGTAACGAAAACTTTTCCAATGACAATGGAGAGGATGCCAATACTGACCAGAAATCATAGGTGCATAATGATAGGCAAAGAACCACGGCCAGGACGCAATGCCCCTGTAGTAATAGTAGAGCACCCACTGCAGACCTTGCACATAATTCTCCGTCAACTTCCTCATTTCTTCGTGGTTATCCAGTCCCCATCCAAACTTGGTGACGTAGTACTTGTCCTTCCACTCCTGGAACTTTTCATGGTACTTCTTCTCCGCCGCCTTTTGCGCGTCCTCTGCAGACAACTCCTCGATCTTGGCGTTCTCATACTTCCGGATAATACGTTGAACGGCCATGGAAGCCTCCTCGTCTTCCTCGTCACTGTCCTCCCCTTCGCGCTCCGGGTATTGCAGCCTAATAAAACGCTCGCCGTGTTCATCCGGGACAGTGGTCCATGGCAACCGGAGATCGTCTGCCAGCTGCTCCACGAACCTCCGGTCACGAGCGGCCAGAGTAGGTGGGAAGTCAAGAGGGGTTGTCTGTTCCGCCTTTTCAGGTCGATTCAAAACATACTTCTTGACGTCCTTAAGCATGGTCTTCTGCTGTGGTGTGATAGTAAGACCCCTTGGCTTCTCCTGGGCTCCCGAGGAACCTTCCGCGCCGTTCTTCTTGGCTTTAATCCAGCCCGCATCTGAGTACTCAGCTTCAAAGAAGCGATATTCCACATCGCTCAGACCGTCGAGGAGAGTGCCTAGTCGGTCCATGTGGATCTCTCCCCCTTCGTTGATGTAGCCGCCCATCTTCGGCAAAATGTCCTTGTAGATCTTGAACATCAATGCCAGGGCGCCCTCGTTGATATGCAGATTAGGCAGATTAGGTAAAAAGTCATTTCCAACGAAGAAAGCCATCAAGATGAAGTCATCAATAACTCGTTCCATGTCGAATCCCACAGCACCCTCTTTTTCCAAATCCTGAAACTCCATTCCCAAGTATTCTCGTACCATGCTCAGATGTAGAAGGTAGAAGTTCTGGTGTTCAAGCTCCTTCGGCTTCTTCTGCGTTTGGCGACCAAAGGTCACTTCTTCACGCAGCAGACAGAAATGGGGATCATGGCTCAGCAGCCCCAGCATGATCAGATCTGCATCAAGCCCGTAGAGACAGTGGCGGACATTCGCATGATATTCGGGCTGTGCTTTCGAACGCCGAATGTATTCCATGATCTTGTGTTCACCTTCACCAGGGACCTCATGGCCCGACAATACAATCTCCACTCCCTGCCAATCTTTATCCTCCGACACCTTCTTGCTGACGAAATACTTCAACTGCTCCGTCAACTTCGCCATGAACTCCGTACCGGGTGTAATACAATTGCTGTCGAAAGCATCCTCTTTGGGCATCTCGATTCCTTGTTTGATGGCCTTCTCCTGAGCTGTCTCAGCATCCAAAGCCGTCCGGAATCGCCGCGCACGTTGTTGATTCATCTTGGCGCGAGGAGCAACACCATCCACCGCCATGAAGAACAGCTTCTTCGGCTTAATCTTTCCATACAGATGCTCAATGTAATTGAAAATAGCAATAAACATCTTATCCTCCGTCATTCGAAACGTAGGAGAGTCGCTATCCTTGTGCGTGCAGTTATGAATAATGCCGTTCATATCAAGGTATAGGTTGTCGAATTCCGGTATCCGGTTCTCCGCGATCAACATCGAGATGGCGGGATACCGCTCGCTCAGCCAGCGGAAGAATTTGGGAACACCCATGATGACTGCACAATAATCTAACCGGACTCAAATCAGACGAGTAACAGATGGAGGGATCGTAGTCAGTCGTTGTATTCGTCAGAACGCTAAGAATCGGAGCTCGGAGGCAACACTCATAAACCGGCCGTAGACGAAGCAACGAAAATTCTTAGAATAAAAACAGAGGTGGGTAAGCGTGTAAAACCAAATATAAGCGGAAGAAAGGGTAATCCAAGCAAATCAAGTAGGAGAGATGAGAAGGAAGGTAAAGTCTGGGGCGACGACAGCGCCGATTGAATCCGCAAAGATGAGTGGGAGTTGAATGACTCCACGTTCGCCTCATCTCCCCATGTCGAAGTGCCAAGACCACCCTACCCGAACAGGCTTAGTGGGATATGCGCTCATTAACGCGCTGCCCGGCAAAGTCGCGCGACGTTTCTGCGAGAGCTTGTGGCTGTTGGTAGCTCTGCTTTGCTGGACTCGCAAAACTCAGAACCTCGCTGCTGTCGGTGGTTTCTTGTGTTTCTCACTTATTGACTTTCTTCTGTTTGGAGATATCCTTGATTTTCATTGCATTCGCCCTCAATCACACAATACACCCACATCATGGACCAGCCTTATGACGACGGTGCGACCATCTTCCAACCGCTTGTCAGGAGACACTCTAATCTGTATGGGATATAGGTTTCATTGAGGAGCAGGAGGAGCAGGAGGAGGAGCGGACAGAGGAGAAGGTGATCAATGAAGGTATTTAGGCCGACGAGTCCCATGATATGTCCAGGATTGAAGACTAAAGACCGACCGATCAGAGTACAAAACATGGAAGAAAAACGCACCATTCCTTTACGACATGATCCTCAGCACCGCGTTAGAATGGCCGACTCTGACGACACAATGGCTGCCTGATAAGCAAGAGTTTGTCCACTCTACCCTGCGTAGTGGTCGTTGCGCAAACTAACCAGCGTAGGATTCCGGACAAGCCGTATTCGACACATCGCCTGCTGATTGGCACCCACACATCGAGCGATGCACCCAACTATTTGCAGATTGCCCAGGTCCAGCTTCCGAACCCGAGCGCCCCTAATCCCGATGACTACGATGAGGAACGCGGGGAAATTGGAGGGTATGGTGGCAGCTCCAAGAAGGCTCCGATGGAGATCAAGTTCAACATTGTGCAGAAGATCGATCACAAGGGCGAGGTGAACAAGGCACGATACCAACCACAGAACCCCAATGTAATCGCCACCATGTGCACCGATGGACGAGTGATGATTTTCGACCGCTCGAAGCACCCTAGCCTGCCCAGTGGAACTGTCAACCCTCAGATGGAGCTCCTCGGTCACACGCAGGAAGGATTTGGTCTGAGCTGGAGCCCTCACTCTGCGGGACATCTGGTCACTGGTAGCGAGGACAAGACTGTCCGCCTTTGGTGGGTTTTCAGTGTTACTTCTCGTGTTGATTTGGTTGACTGACTTCATTAGGGATTTGACGACCTTCCAGAAGGGCAACAAAGCGCTCAAGCCCGCCAGAACCTACACCCATCACACGTCGATTGTCAATGATGTCCAATACCACCCTCTTCACTCCTCTCTCATTGGCACGGTGTCTGATGATATCACCCTTCAAATTCTTGACATCCGAGAGCCCGAGACGAACCGTGCGGCGGCTGTTGCGGACGGCCAGCATCGTGATGCCATCAACTCGGTCTCTTTCAATCCCGCTGCCGAAACCGTCCTGGCCACCGGATCTGCGGACAAAACGATCGGTCTCTGGGACCTGCGCAACCTCAAATCGAAGCTTCACTCGCTTGAAGGCCATAGCGACTCGGTCACAACCATCTCGTGGCATCCGTTTGAGGAGTCCGTGTTGGCAAGCGCAAGCTACGATCGAAAGATCATGTTCTGGGATCTCAGCCGGGCCGGCGAGGAGCAAACCCCCGAGGATGCACAGGATGGGCCACCTGAGCTGTATGTCTTTCTTTCTTCTTTTCTTTCCCCCGTCTTTCGGTCTCTTCTGTGGACTTCATTCGCTAACACTACACAGTCTCTTCATGCACGGCGGCCACACCAACCGGATCTCCGATTTCACCTGGAACCTTAATGACCCGTGGGTCCTCTGTTCGGCTGCTGAAGACAACCTTCTACAGGTCTGGAAGGTCGCTGATGCGATTGTCGGTAAGGATTTGGAGGACGTGCCGACCGAAGAGCTGGAGCCATAAGATAGTCTTCGGTGGAGAGGCGTTGAAGGATTTGATGCATATGCCATGGTTGGACTTGTTTACTGTATGAATGTATTGCAAAAATGATTTCTATACCAGAAAATACGGTTTTTCCTATGTCGATGTAGACGTTTTGCTGTACAGCTCGGAGGTTGATGCCAGCGAATTTACTCCATGAATTGCGACCACAAAGGCAAATATATATTCCCGGCACCAATCAGATAGGGCAAATCAGACATAGCACTAAAGACAATAACAATCCTAGCAATAGTCTCCGATTACTGTAGGGAAATAGGTAGGTAGTATATATTCATGGGGACAACCGCCACCACAGCTTGACTAGACACGCCACGCAATTGGTGTTTCTCACTTTTCTTCACGATCCAAAATGCAACATTTATTGCTAGCTGGGCTAGACCCATTTGGGTGGAATTCTTGCGGTTCGCTGCAGCAATCGACCCAAGCCCAGAGTTACTTGCATGGCGCATCGTGGAGATATATCTTGGCGGCAGACGCTATGCGACTGACCTCAGAGTAGCACTTAGCAATATTAGTATTCAGCAAAGGTGTCACACTAGGTAAATACCCTGTAGCATCGTATGTCTCTCTACATAATTAAGTAATTAACTATACTTATATATCTACTTATTAAGGATCGAGCCATTCATCATGAACTGTAGTGGGGACGAGTGGCGGAGAAGCCAAGGCGGTGAAAACGATGAGATCAGTTCGGAGAAAAGTCTCGATCGGCGTCGGTATCGGAGGGGCTTATTGAGCACGGCTTTGCCCCGTTGAACTTTTTTCCAAAACTCCATCCGCAACATTCCTCGCCCCCAGATTTCGAACCGTTACGTCGATCGTCCTGTCATGTTTTGGACATCGTGAAATTCTCATAATTACTCTTTGTCTACCCCAGACGCTGGACATTCCTTACTTTGATACCCGCATCTTGTCCTGTATTTTTATTACTTACTTAACCCCTCCGATACCCCTCCATCATGGGTTCCGAATCGCCTCCTCGCCCAGGCCCCAAGCCTAAGTCGGCTATTCCGTCTCGTTTGCTGAACGGTGGATCGGCTCTGAATCCGTCGATGAATTCTCGTGATGCTCGTGAGCGCGAGTCTCTCAATTCCTCGATTCGTTCTTCCTTTGCCCCGAAGATTCCCATCCAGTTCGAGGGAGTCGAACCGCACCCGGCGGTCGAGCAGACAAATATCGTCGAGGAAGTGGCTGAGAATGCAGGTGCTGTGCAGTACGTTGATCGCATGCTTTGGTCCGAGAACTTTTGCTGATATTAAATGTTTATCAGGCCCCCCACCGCAAGTGAACAAGCCCGCGAGCCTAGAGAGGAGGGGCGCGACGTGACACCATCGTCAGCCGTCAGCCGCTCATTAAGTCCCTACACCTTGTTCCCTCCTATCGATTTCGATGGTCTGAGCTGGCCGTGTAAGTTGAATACCGTCTCGCTATCGTCATAATCGGTCTCATGTCCTGACTCTTTTGACCAATAGGCCCCGGAACGAGAGCGCGCCTGGAGTCATCGCCGGAAGAATATGATACCCGTGTTCAGAAGTTGGCCGGAGCTGTCAGAACTATCCTGGAGTGCGTTGGTGAGGATCCCGAAAGAGAAGGGCTGCGGGAGACACCCGAGAGATATGCCAAGGCTATGCTTTACTTCACCAAAGGTTACGAGGAGAACGTTCGTGACCTTGTCAATGGGGCTGTTTTCCACGAGGACCATGATGAGCTTGTCATCGTGAAGGACATTGAAGTGTTCTCCCTATGCGAGCACCATATGGTTCCTTTCACAGGGAAGGTGAGCAACACATTCGCATTTGGCGGGTACCAAATTCATTGCTAATGGCATCTCTTAGATGCATATCGGGTATATCCCTGACCGACGGGTGCTGGGCCTCTCCAAATTGGCCCGTCTGGCGGAGATGTTCTCAAGGAGACTCCAAGTGCAAGAGCGTTTGACGAAACAAGTTGCCCTTGCCATTTCCGACGTATTGAAGCCGCTCGGTGTTGGTGTTGTGATGGAGTCCTCGCATCTCTGCATGGTGATGCGCGGTGTGCAAAAGACCAGCAGCACTACCACTACTAGCTGTATGCTTGGGTGCATGCGCTCCAGCGCAAAGACCAGAGAAGAGTTCTTGACCCTTCTCCACCGAAAATAATGGCTAAGCCTATTCAACTTATGATGTGTGATGCATACATTTCGTCCCCTATTTGATGGTGGAACATATGATATGATGGAGTTACGGTGGTTACCTTTCAACAGGTTCTGACGTTTGATGTTTTGGATTTACTCTGGCCATGTGAGCGGCTGCTTTGTTATTTTCTATTCTTGCTTTCTATTTCTTTCCCCCCGTTTTCTTCGTTGAGTGCAGACTCAACCTGTATAGATTCGATGACTCATATGGCTCTCCCTGCTTTTCATACCCATCATGCAGACACAGTTTGTGTTCAGTGATTTATGTTGAAATTTGCAAGATATGGATAGATGTGGCAAATATCCAACAGAGGGATACTGCAGGGGAAATGTCGTTGCGGGCCCAATTTTTGGACTTGCCTGGTGTGGTGGACGACTTGGATTTATATACTGCACTTGCATACCCTCTGGTGACCTTTTCAACACTCACTTTTTCTTTGTTTACTTTGGGCTTTGATTCTATTTCAGATGTCCATCGAATTTACTTCCAACCCTGATGGATTGGTGTGAAGGATACTCAACATCACTTACCATACTCGTGTATACTTTCAACTAATATATGCATATTCCGTGATTTGCTACAAGTATATTCATCGAAGCAGTAACATTGTAAGTAGTCATATACTAGCTGCACAGTATGGGTCCTCTAATCATCGTCCTCGCCAAGGCAATCGAACAATGGTATTATTTCGTAGATATGTAGGTCAGTCACTGATATAATGTCACAGCGACAGACAGTCACTGCAGGAAATACAGCCCCAACAGTCCGTCTTTGGCCGTGACTCGCTCTAGGCTCCATGTTTCTATCCATTCACTGCACGTCTCGGTCACCTTCTTATTCCTTTCCCTATGTAATTGCACAGTGTCTAGTTGCAGCACACACACCTATTTAAACACGTACCTGTAGTCATATCCTTCACCTGACACACTCTTCCAACAACCCGCTTCCATCAAAAAGGGCAACAAAGCCATCGTCATTTGCAAACAAAGAAAGTTCCATCATCTCATTGTTGGCTGCCAGTGAGGGTTCCTTGTCAAAGTATCCCTGATAGGTATTTTCAACCAAACGTGTCTGGGAACTCCCAGATTGGAACCGAAATGGATCCAGACGAAGAACGTGACGCCGCAGAGTCCCTGCTTCTCTTTTCGCAGGACCCAAGGGAGAATGCATCTCACAATACCCAGGAGCGTCCTCCCGCCGCGTCCCACGGAGAAGCTACTGCGCCAAGCTCTAGGGCTACAAGCACCAACCCTCCAGGAAACGGAGAAGGGGTGCGCCCACCACGCTCACGCCCTACCAGACCTACGATAGACACTTCTGTTGGAGCGCAGACTCGTGCAAGCGTGGCCCGAAATCCCAACCCCAATCCCTCACAGAGGGACACAGGACCCAGGAGAGTGCAGATGACGCCCGCAAATGCACTGCAGGCCTACCTGATCAGACAGCAGATCCTCGCCGGTATTCCACCCCAGCACATGATTCCCATGACGGGCCAGAATCCTTACCCTGCTCCACAGTACCAGCAGCCTGGCTTTGTCAACGACCCGAATGCCCCGTCCGTTGTGCAAGTCTCGAATAGAGGAGTCATGGCGCCACACATTCAGCCTGCGAGGTTCAACGGAGTGTTTCATCCGCCGCAGATGGCACAAGGCCAAATGCACAGACCTGTTGGTGTTGCTCCTGGATTGGTTGCTGCATATGGCCATCAGTTTCCACTTGGTGCGGCTAGACCACTGTCGGGTCATAGCGGTTTGGCACCTAGGCGTCCCGTATCCCCAGGATCCCGTCGTCCACGTAGATCGGAGATGTTAAGCTCAGGTGTTATTGTGAGACGCGGCCCTTGGGATGGTTCTGATGAAAATACCACTACCACTCAGCCCCCCGCGCCCGGAACGGGCAATGGCTACATCCAGGAGCAAATACCCTTTAGGCTCAGGAGCCAGGCTACTGGCCATACGAACCAGCCTCAGATCCAGGGGGATGAACAGACTCCGCACAGACAAGGAGCTTTTGTTGGCCACAGACCTTCAGCACCTGGAGGTGGAACTGGTCAGCGCATCGAGGCTCCACACGACGGGTTCGACTTGATAGAGGCTCTATGCCGATGCCTAGACGTGGCGCAGATGGTCACCGACTACCTGGACGTGCAGGATCTGGTCAATCTGTATTCCATCTCCAGATCGTGCCAGAGCATGTTCAACAGAAACTACCAGAGGTTTACTCTCCGCCACGCCCGGCTGAATGCTCCCCAATCTGCACGCGTATTCCCGTTCCTCTGCTACTACTGGCTCTTCATCCCAGGAAAGTTCGCTCTGCCGTTCTACAACCATGTTCACCAACGAATGCAATTGCATCCGATACCCACGTTCCGCTGGCTGGCCATGGTCCGCCACAGGGAAGCAGTCGTGAACGACATCGTCCACTTGATGGAGCAAGAAGGCTTCAGGCTACCAACGCCCTGTACACTGGTCATCAAAAAGCTATGGTTCCTCATGGACATACCCGACAACCGGCGTCGCGCGTGGACAATCCAGAATCGAAGACTGTGGGAGGACATCGACTTGTTCTTCGCGATGTTCTTCCTCGTCCAGCTCGACATATGTCTGAGAAGGCGGCATAACAAGCCAAACGGCGCGCTTCGGCGTCTCGTCATGGCCCAGCCCAGTCTGATGTTCCTGTGGAGGGTTCTCACCAACACTGCGCTGACGAACCAGTTTGAAGTTGTCGACGCTTTCGTCCGCTGGCAGTACACTCTGGAGCACCGCGAGCCCGGCGTGTATATTTTTGGCGTGCCTTCTGAGCAGGTGGGACTGCTTCAGTACGAAGGATATCGTCCAACAGACGGAGCACAGATACTGCAGCGCCCGGACGAACTCGTTGTGCGCGAAATGGTCAGAAGAGGACTGCATATGCAGACTATGTATCGTGACATTTTCCTTCTCGGTAATACACAGCCCTACACTACTCCTGACTCCGGAGATGCTGCATGGGACGAGGAAATGCGTCAAGCAGTTAGAGGCACGGGTGAAGATTGGATGGACTGGGTGATACTGGAACAGTCCTGGGCGGCAGCAGAAAGGGACGTTTAGGTCATGGCAAAAGACTAGCGGCCCTGAGTGCACTCGGTATGTATGATTAAGGAGATTTTCAGAAACTGAACATCAGGCGGGGGAAATAAAGGAATTTGCTATTAATGGATTGTTGTGAAATTGAGGAACTGCACATACATGTACATTGCGTTGATACTACATTTATGCCTTAGGCACTAATATGAATACTTTCCTTCCTTCCGGGTCACGTGCACGTACAGCGACTTCGCCTGTAGTGAAACTCCCAGAACTTGGGGTCATCCAAACCCAACGACAACCACCCGTCGTTGCGAGGCGTGGCTGCTTTGGGATATTGTTCAACATCCTTTATTCCCCCTCGTTATTTTCACTAATCCATATATCTCTACTCGGCTATATTTGTAACCATCTGGTCCAGACACCTTGCGACCGCCTCACGCACGACTTGTTCTCACCAGACTCAATCTGCCTAGTTGATTGACCTCACATCCCCCACCCGCCCACTTGTGCACACGTCAGACACCACCGCCCTTGGACTACGGGGTACATTCTTGGGAGCTTTGGTACACTTAGTGATGGTGGATTTATACAAGGACCTGCATCTTGCATTAATAGACTTACTTTGTCTACTAACCGACAATAATATCTTTGTGGGGTCGGCTGTTGAGTCGCTGGTGTCTGTTGGCCGACACTCGCAGTATGGGGGTTTGTACGCCTTGCAGATTCCAACCTTTGGGGGAACCCTCTCCAGGATCAAAACCTGTCATGGCTCGATAAATAATCGGCCATCGGTTCGGCGCACTCGGCAATATTGTGGGTCGTTAGAATGCTCGCCGCAGGTGATATGGTCGGCCTGTGTGAAAGCTTGCGAAAAGCCTCGCTGCTGCACTTTGATTGATTGCGATGCTTGTTTTTTTCTCGAGGCTTGAATGATTGTTGAGTAAAACAAGGTGTCCTACTGCTGGACTCCGTGTTTCATCCCCTGGCCATTGGAGATCTCTTGGGGAATCGTCGCGTTGTCACTTCAACCGCGACTGCTTCCCGGAGATACTGGAAACCAGCGTACACTATTGACGTCGTTGCTTTCGGAGCTCACCCAAGGATACGGTGACCAAATATGACCCTGCACATCCTGCGCTACCAAAGGAGATGCGGGCTCATGGGTGAGACCGACGGGGCCAGGATATTGTTCCCGTGGGCCCCGCATGCCTGGACCTCCAGCCTTTGGCTATCCTTTGATTTGTGTTTTTATTCAAGCACGGCTTCTGGTTCCCGTAGATAGGTCTACTTGTTTCTGATGCAAAGGGGCGCTGTTCGTCCGATGACGGATGACAAGAACATGCAATTTTACGGCGGCAAGGGGGTATGAAGCAAGTGGGAGAACTTTAAAAGAAAGGCAACGGAAGTTCCACGGGCAAGAAGGAAAACTGCACGTTGCCTTACCAGACACTCCAGCTACCCGACATCGTGAACACTGCGAAAAGCTGATCTCGAGTCGAGAAAAGGGCGCCCTCTGGCTGACTCAAAGCCCACATCTAAGCCTTGAAGCCAAGGCCGCAACAGCTTGAAAGCTACTTACGACTTCCCTTCCACCCCAAAAAGGGCATACATCACTCAGGAGGGCTGAGCTGAGGCTGATGGTAACGCGCCCAGCCCCGTGACAGACGGGGATGTCCCTACCCACCGAGTTCGAGGCCAGATTCGTCGTAGAGCCGCACTGGCAGGCGAAAAAAAGAGGGAACAAGAGGAAGAGGGTTGATCTCACAGATCAGGTGCAAAGTTGACATCTTGCCTGGTCCACCTGTCCAGTCATCACCACTGGGCGGCTAGCTTCTTCTTTCCCACACCGGCTAAGTAACTGTGTCTTAGCAACTTAGTAGAGCCCTTCCCCCCCCGCGCGCCACTGCCTTACCACCCAGGCAATGGCGATTAGTATATCGTACCTTATTGATCGGGTATTCAAGTGGCAATAAAACATAAAGGAAAAAGAAGGGAGGAACAGCAGAAGAAATGCACAAAGGACAAGTATCTAAACCCAGGTGCGTCATCCCTGAAGGAAGTCTTTTTCTTTTGGTGTTCGGGTTGTTCTCTTTCTCAACGATGATGCTCTAACACTGCAGTTCATTTCCCTCATACCTCAGGCTCTCCATCTCCCCAACCTTTACCATCCGCCCCGGAAAAACCGGCCTTCCGCACCACCCAATCCCCTCCCACTCCCGAACAGAAAGTCTTCCCTGGACGCGGCCGACACGCCTACTTGACTAGAGGAACGATAGACTCCACAGCAAATTATAACACGCTCCCACCTACCTCCATGCGACTACTTCTATCAAACAGTGGGCTGTTTTGATTGCTCTCTGTCGACCTTGTCCCACATCTTTTTTTGTTTTTAAACCCGATGCTGCTGGAGGAGTTTACATGGCTGGGTCCCATAGGAGTCCACTGAATGATCAGTGGAGAGGTGCCAGCGACCCTAGAGAGCAGAGGAATCGGGATAGGCACAGGCCGCGTGGTTCTTACCATGACCGAGAGAGAGACACATTTCGCGACAGAGGCCGTGGTCGCCGACCAAAAGACGGCAGATCCGATCACGCCTTACGGTCGCCGCCACCGCGTCCTTTGCCCCCATTCGACAACGATCAACCCCTTCCACCACGACGTGAATTTTCCCCCGGCGCCGCATCAGCCCGTGGCTCTCCTGGTCGCCATCGTCCCTTTACCCATGCCGAACACTCGGAGATGGGTTCGCGTCCTTCTCCCGAGTTTGAGAGAAACTATCTAAGAGACGCTTCTCCGTCGGCACCTCCTTCAAAACGGAAGAGGACACGGAGTCCCTCCCCCAACCCTTATCGCCACCATCCTCACTACCAACCGCATCGTCGCCCCCCGTTCAGAGGTGAACGAAGGGGCCGATTCCCAGGCCGTGGAAGGTCTCGAGGGGATCCCCGACGAGGGCGAGATCGGCGCGGGGGTCGTCGGAACTCATCCCTCCAACGGCGCTCTCGGTCTCCTGTCCGTGGTGCCAAGTCATATGCGTACCCTCGTCGGCGATTTCACAGTCCTTACCGGGAAGGTGATGCTGAAGAAGGGTCTCGTTACCGATCTATGTCCCGGGACTCTTTCCGATCGGATGACTCTAGGTACTCGGTAATATCACGCAGGGACTCGAGAGGTGATCCCTCCATGCATTCGAACTACCCCGTCCGATCCACGGGGGGTTCCTCAGTCAGATCGCTGACACCACCACCTCGTCGTCGCATGTCGGGATTCGATGCGGATAATGCTAGTATTTCTGGCGATGGAGATGCAATCGATGACTCCTTTTCGAGGCAGGAAATGCACGGTCCTGAAGGACATGGCCACCATCCCCGATCCTCTCGGACGCATGCAGACCCTGGACGATATTCGAAATCCCCGCGTTATTCTCCCACCAACTCAAATTACGGCTCTCCGCAGCCTCCCTATCACGAACCAGCTGGGTCAGTTTCCTTGACAAAACTTCCTTAACCAACGTTGGCTAATATTAGGTGATACAGTAATTCCCCCCCATATTGGCAGGATAATCATGCGGCAAATAAACCCCAGAGCCATAACTATAAACATCAAAGCTCGTCAAACTCATACTCGGGTCCGTCACATCGCCCTGGCTCGGGGTACCGTGGAGGCTATCAAAGCCATGGGGGCGACCGTCGATTCTCTGGTCCTGGCCCACCAGGTTATAGCAACGGACCGTCATCGCGTGGTCGGGGTGGCTTCCATAGGGGTGGTCGAGGAGGTCCTCGCAGTCCACGCATGGGCCACCGTTCTTCACTAAGTCCTCCGCCCCCGCCTCCGGCTCCCGCAGGTGACGAGCTGCCTTATAGCCCCGACGAACGTGAGCTCGCACTCAAACCTTTCAAACAGTTCTTCGAACGCGAAGGGGAAGGGCCAAGACCGGCATCAGAGAATGGTGATTCTGAGAGACCTGCGCCGGCTGCACAGCAGCAGCAACCCGATACATCAGCGGCACCGAACAAAGGGGGCAAAATCAGCTTTGCCATCAAGCCGAAGCCGAACACAGCATCTGCCCCCAAGCCCGTACCTGATCTGGCCCAGAGGATGCTCGCGCGAGAGCCACCATCGCGGGCTGCTGAACCTCCTCGCAGCAGGATGCCCATGGGGCCGCCGCCCAAATTCAGGCCCGATCCACGATCGGAGCGCCGCGAACGCGACCGAGATAGGGAGTGGGACGCGAAGCGAGACAGAGACCGCGAGAAGGGGAGAAATGACCGCCGAGACTTTCGTGATTCGCGCGGTTTCCGTGAGTTTCGGGGTGGGCGTGATGCGCCGAGAGGTGGGCGTGATTCTCGGAGAGAGGATCGTCGGTTCGATAATCGCCACGATAGACGACGCGGTGGTGACCGCCGACCCGACTACCGTCCCGAACGTTCTCCAGAGCCGCCGAAACAGCCTAAGATCCTCACTCGACCCAAGCCGCGCCCTACTCTGCCTGAAGAATTCGCCAAGTCTGATTCTGTCTATTTCCGGAAGCCTGGAAATGAGTCGGTGATCGGCGCTGGTACCTACGGAAAGGTCTTCAAGGCGATCCATGTCTATACCGAACAGAAGGTGGCCCTGAAGAAGATCCGGATGGAAGGCGAAAAGGACGGATTTCCTGTGACCGCCGTCCGCGAGATCAAGTTGCTTCAGCACCTCCGCAGCGACAACGTGGTCAGTCTGCTGGAGGTCATGGTTGAGAGGAATGAGTGCTTCATGGTGTTTGAATATCTCTCCCACGATCTCACTGGTCTCATCAACCACCCAACCTTTGCCCTGACGGCCGCTCACAAGAAGGACCTGGCGAAACAGATGTTTGCGGGGCTGAATTACCTCCACCACCGGGGCATCCTCCATCGCGACATCAAAGCCGCCAACATCCTAATCAGCAACCGAGGGCAATTGAAGTACGCCGACTTCGGATTAGCCCGGTTCTTCTCCAAGAGCCGCCAGGCCGACTACACGAATCGCGTGATCACCATATGGTACCGGCCACCCGAGCTCCTTCTCGGCGAAACTCGGTACGGCCCCGCCGTGGATGTCTGGAGTGCAGCCTGCGTGTACGTCGAGATGTTCACGAAAAAGGCCGTTTTCCCCGGCGAAGGCGGGGAGATCAGCCAACTGGACAAGCTGTACAACTCGCTCGGGACACCGACTCGGGCCGAGTGGCCCGATCTCGTGGAGATGCCGTGGTTCGAGCTGATGCGGCCGACGGAGCGCAAGAAGCGGGTTTTCGAAGAAACGTACCGCGAGGTTCTGTCGCCTGCCGCGTTGGACATGGTGTCGCAGGTGTTTCAGTACGATCCTGCCAAACGGCCGACTGCGGAGCAAGTCCTTCAACACCCGTACTTTATGTCGGAAGAGCCCCAGCCCCAGCAGGCTATTGAGTGAGTTTCCCCTAAATTATCATGATGAACCTCATACTAACTGGTTTACTCTATCTAGGTTGGAAAACATCGTGGGCGACTGGCACGAGTTCGAGTCCAAGGCACTGCGCAAGGAAAAGGACAAGGAGCGCCGAGCGGAATACCAGCGGGACAAGGAGAAGCGCAAGGCGGGTCTGTTGGTCCCGGCGAGTGAACGCGAGATGAAGCGTGCGAGGCCGGAGGATTCGTCTGTTATGCCGTAGACCCTGACCCTGGCCTTCTATAATTGGCATCACATTTTCTTCATCACATTTTCTTCAGTCTTCAATTTCAAAAGCGTGGTACGGGTGCATTATGGAGCTTCTAGCCTGACACATCGGATATCTTTGGGATGCCCTATGATGGGATAGGCCTCTTGGACATTACGTTTACGTCTAGCACATTTGTCACAATGGACGATCTACGCATAGGATGAATCTTTGCAGCGCAGAAGCAGAGTTGCATTTGAGGGTATTATTTGCGGGTTATGGGTGGGGTTGGAGTAGGGTTGGTATCTAGGCGATATGGCTGTAGATTCTTTTTTACCTCGTACAGATCGTCCAAACACCACTAATTATTCAGTAGGTAGGTACCTACATCCACCCATCGTCAGCAAACCATATACTCGCACAGATAAATAGATCAACCAATCCCCAAGCAGAAATTGTCATCAAATCAGACTTTGCCTTTTTAAACTCATACTCGACCAGCGTCGTGGCCTGTCTTTTCAGACCAGTGTAGTTGGCGCGGTTGAGTTTTCGGATTACCAGAGAATTGAGTAATTCTTTCTCTCTTCATGATGATTCTTCTTGTGCTAGGGTGGATGTGGGTTGTGCGGTGGTAGGAGAGATGTTGACGCACCGGCTTATATAAATCTACGGTTGATTCATTCTTGATTCTTTGGATTTTTCATTGGTTGAATTCTCCTTCGTATAGCTAGCTAGCTATAAGTATAGCCCAGCTATAGCTCAATCTCTAGTATATATTCAAGGGATCTCTTGTTTAAAAGACTGTCCCGACTATCAGGTCATCACCGCATCATGGAGCCGGAAAAAACCAGCCCTCGTGATGATGGTTTTAGAAGCGGGTGGGGGTTACTCTCGACACACTCATCGGAATCGTCAGGGCAGTAGGAAAGAAACAAAGCTAACACCTGGCGATGATTTGAGTTGGTGGTCTTGGGTTTTGTGGAAGAAAAAAAGAACAAGAGAGGGAGAAGAGGGAAACCACAGTATTTAAGGAGGAAAAAAATGGAGAGGAGTGGAAGAATGATGATGCGGGCGGAGAGAGATAGACGGGACGTGATTGGTGGGAGGGGAAGAATGACTTGGTAAAAAATTACAGAAGGGAAAAAAAGGTGGAGCTGGTTAAGTCACTGGACTTTCTTTGCTCTGTTGCTGCAAGTTATTTTCCACCATACAGTCTTGTTCAGTAACACTTACTCTGTACCTCGTCTTCCTCTCTCATACATACTCCCTCATTTTCATACCTATCTACCTACCTACCGACCCAGATACATACATCCTCGTCAAGTCTAGTACCTCGCAGCCTCTCCCTGTTGGCCTCTCGACTCAGGACCTGGGATCCATCTTCCCTCCATCTCTTCCCCCTCTCTCCCCTCCCCACGTCCACTACATCTCGACCCTCCATCCTTAACGTTCACGATCACGATCACGAGTCCTTCTTCTCCTCCCTCCCCAATTCCCTAATTTGTCGCTGGTCTCAACTCTTCATCTCGACTGGGCTTCTTCTCTTCTTTCTTCCTTTCTCTTTTCCTCTCTTTGTTCTTTTCCTTTTTCCATCGTCGGTTGGATTGCCACGCTGCTTGCCCTTGATTTTTTATCTTCTTTTATTTTTTTCTATTTATTTAATTTTCCCCTGCATACAGCACACTTCAAAAAATTGGTCGGTTCTTTGAGTCCTCTGCAAACCCGTCCGCCGCCCTCCCTCCGTTCCCTCCCTGATGACCGCTCGCTTCCAGAGCTGTCTCAGAAGCTATCTCGATGGATAACGCAAACCTTTGGACTCGTCGATCCAAGTACGTGGCGCTCACCTCCCTCTGCTCTTCCCGTGGAGGGGCCATCCACTAACCGTCCCCGTGCCCTTGCAGCTCCTCCAAATTGTCCCTGTCCATGACCGGGACCGACGGTAAAGACGGTGGCGCCAGAGTCGAACTCCCCCGTTCATCCAAGCGCTTTGGCCCGGATAGCTCCCACGGTCGATCGAATCCCTTCAACGCCCTGTCCCCCCTCTCCGGCGGCGTCTCCTCCCCGTCGACAAACGCTTCCTCCGCATTTGGCCTGGGTTCCGGCGCCTTCGCCTCCTTCGGGGCCCCCAAGACCCCCGGGGAAAAACGGGACACCCCGTCCGAGTCGGATCTGACCGAGGCCGCAAAGCCCAAGGGCGCCGCCCCGGCCCGGCCCGCCAGCACGCCCTCAAGTCCACCTGGGTCATCTGGTACCGCCCACCCACCCCGAAATACTCGGATTACGAAAAGTCCACCATCCCCCTCGCCTCCATACACTCGGTCGAGAGTTTCTGGTCCGTCTACTCGCACCTCAAGAGACCCTCCCTCCTCCCCACCGTCTCCGACTACCACATCTTCAAGAAGGGCATCCGTCCGGTATGGGAGGATGAGGCCAACAAGAAGGGCGGGAAGTGGATCGTGCGGTTGAAGAAAGGGGTGGCGGACCGGTACTGGGAGGATCTCCTGCTGGCCATGGTGGGGGACCAATTCGCCGAGGCCGGCGATGAGGTCTGCGGTGCGGTTCTCTCGGTGCGGAGTGGCGAGGATGTGCTGAGTGTGTGGACGCGGATCGATGGCGGGCGCAACATTAAGATCAGGTACGCCCTTCTCCCGTCTCTCCCCCCGCTTGATTTTATGTGGAGATAAGATGCTAATGTGTTATTTTCCAGAGAAACGATCAAGCGTCTGCTGGGCTTCCCCGTCGACACCAACATCGTGTGGAAGAGCCACGACGATAGCATCGCCCAACGGTCCGCCATCGACCAGGCCCGCCAGGAGAAGGCGGTTGGCAGCCACCACCCCCACCATCAGCATCACCTTACCCAACACGCCCTGGGATCCGAACGACGACGGGCGCCGACCCTTGACGACTCTACGGGGGATAAAGGCAAGGGAACGGCGTCTTGATGGAATTGCCTCGGAGCCGGGGGTTTGGGGGTCGTGTATAGTAAAAGGAAAACCAAAAAATGTCATTTGCAACGAATTGGGATTGGGGCATTTGGGGCGAACATTGCGTCTGATTCGATTGGGTTTATGTCATGTGATTTCTTCTCTCTTTTTCATCCTTTTGCTTTCCTTTGTATTCTTTCTCTTCCATTTCTTGGTATTTGGGAGATGAGTCGGTAAAAGCGTGGGTCAAGACATGCACTGCTTAGTTGGTTTCCATGGGTGGTTTGTTGGAGTAGGAGCATTGCTGGGTAGAGAACTAGCTAATTGACTATCCATTGATCAGTGGATATGAACTGTCTCATTTGTCCTAAGTGTTCTGATTTCTAAAATGATTCAGAGTATACAGAGTAGAGCGAGTAGAAATACTAGAAACGATACGACAGGCAGAAAACACCCCCACCGCCTTCCAACCAGCCAACCTGATTGGACTGAACCTCCGATGATAAGTGAACCACTTTATCTTTACTCCCGTCCCAATCTTGCAGTACTTTTACTCCTCCAGAGTCTACTTTTCCACCGGGTTCGGGCTATGAAATCCCTCCTGTCCTTTCCGGTCCGGCCATGATCCTCACTGCTCTCCCGAATACATGTCACTGCTTGATAGCCTCTCCAAGCTGATCCCTAGCTTGAGCCCGCATCGTCCTCCCTCCTCCTCTTCCTCCTCCCCGCGCCGGCTCGTTGATCACCACCACCGCCGCCGTCCTTCGCCTCCGCCGTCTGATGCGACCTCCGATGAGGTGCGACGGGCACAGCCTACGTCCGACGAAGGGACTTCTTTTTTGCATGTAGATTCTCCGGTGAGTTGAAACTGGGGATGCAATGGTTGTGTCTTTGCTATTTGTTTTATTTCTTGTTCTTTTGATTTTTGATTTTTTTTTTCTTTCGGTCTGGACGGTCTTTTTTCTTTCTTGCCTTTTCCGGTTTGTTCTTTTTTGGTCGTTTCTTTTGCGATTTGTCACGTCTGTTTTTTTTTATTCTTTATTTCTTTATATTATTTTCGGTTATGGTTATGGTTATGGTGGTTGTTCGATTTGTCTTTGTTCGCTGTCATACATCTCTAATGTCCCCTTGTGTTATACGTTTCTTTCTTTCTTATACACATGCGTTACTCCCCTGATCTCACCTCCGACGATACAGCGACTGACCTCCTGCTATGCCCCGCAGCTTACTCCCAGCTATGCCGAAGAATTGGAACCCTCCCCAGACACACCGCAACCTCCACCTCCGAAATACCGCTCCGTCCCGCAACCAGATTTGGGAATGACTCCTCCGTAAATATGGTCCTTCGACACAACACGGGAGATGACGCTGATTTGGTTCCCAGAGCCGGGGGAGGGACGCCGACCCGGAGTAAAGTCCAGCTTTCGCAAACTCAAGACGATGAGCAAAGATTGCTACCTAGTTTCAAGAAGTACGTCCTGAAAGATAGTTCGGAGGTTCCATATACTACCCGCCAGTCACTGACGTGTGACACTCTTCCAGCTCGAGAAGCCCGAATGGGGTCAGAATAGTGCCAGGGCAGACGAGTAGGAAATCCAAGAATCAGGCCCTTTCGGTATGCGACAGCTGGTATATTCCTGCGACGATTCACCTCTGACATGTCTGGCTGCTAGAATATCAATACCCCCAAGCCGTTCGATACGATTTCGCGACACGCCCGTCAAAGTGGACCGGTCCCCGCACACGGACAGCCAGGACGCCGTCGGAGGGTTCAACAACCGGGCCCGCGGTCTGGCGTGCCCCACTCGGACAATACTGCCTACGATGAAGCGCTGGAACGGCCCGCCAAACGTCCCCGCCGAGGAAGTCACGAATCGGCATTGAGCGGTCTGGTCAGCATCTCCGATGACGACATCATGGTACAGGCGGTGCCGGACACCTCGTCGGTAGCTGGGAATTCGGCACGCCTATCGACGACCTCCAGCCAGCTTTCAGCAAAGCCTAAAAAGTCGCGAGAAATGAACGAATTTCGAGACGTCGAACGAGGTGTCAAAGTACGCCGTCCCTCCCACAATAGCCCCCGGCATGGTGGCCCCAGAGAGACGGTCTGGTCTCCGGATGAAGAGCGCTTCACTGAGAACGCGACGAAGGAGAGACGCTCTGGTTTGCCCCGGACGCAGCACCTGCCGAAACGTGATATACTTCAAAGTGTCGAAATTGCGGAGGGGCACGTGCCCACCGCCAATCCCGCTGGTCCGGTCCCGTCCCCGACACGTGCTGGAAGCGGGCGGTCGAGAGAGAGTTCCGACGAGCTGCAAGGGGCAGCAACGGTCTCACAGGCACGGGCGTTTGGCGCTCTTCGTGGCCGCGATTCCAAGCTGTCCCAGGCAGCCTCCGTTTCGCGATCATCGCCATCCGATATCATACCGACTGTTTTCATTGGTGAAGGGAAGTCGAAGAAGAAAAACAAATCCAAAAAGCGGGACGAACTTCCGGTCTTTGAGACCCTTCGTGTTCAACTAGGGTCATCGGAGCTGCTGCCAGCAGAAGGGGAGTCCGTGCCGCTGCGTCTAGACGGAAAGAGTGGAAAAATCATCTTACTTGGCAAATCCGGTCCTAAGCACTCGGAAACTCTCATCCAAAGAATTACAAAGGTCATTCAAGGGGGTGGGTCCAGCCGCAAGGCCCAGGTGCACTTCCCGGCGACCCAAACATTAGACGGCAAGGCGGATATCGAGTTTATATCTCCAGAGGCAAGGCGAGGATTCTGCGAGGGGCTTGAAAAGAGGGAGATCCGAGTAGTTGTCAAAGACAGGTACGCTTCCCTTCATCTTGAACCATTGGATCTGTGACTAATGAGAACAGTGACTGGATGGACAAAGCATTCAGGACACACAAACGGCAACTAGCCAGTCACGAGCGTCCGACGAACGGGTCCAAGCGAGCTCGTTCCGAAAGCAGTCCAGAACCAGAAGCAAGACCCGAAGGCCCTAGAAGGGCCAAACTGTCAGACCGTCTGCAAGACGAGCGAGGAAATACTGCCGGACAAAAACCAAACTCTGACACCGCTCGTGGGCGCGCAAGCCGAAAACTTTCGCCTTCTTCTAAACGTCATGGTACTCGCCGCTCGCCCAGCACCGATGACCACGGCGTGGACATACCCGTTATCAAATATACGCCTCAGTCGTCGACGAGATCAACGAGGTCAATGGCTCGCCGCATGCCTCCGACGACTATCGTTTGGTATGTCTGCTTGGTATTAACTGGTTGGGTCTTACTAACAGGTGCAGTGACGATGGGGACGATGATTACCATCTCACGCCGAAGTCTGATGTGAAACATAAGAAGTGGCATCGGTCAGTATTCCTCTCTTATGGTCATCTGTTCTGCTTTAGTCCAATACTAACCATAGCAGACCCCTTGTTTACCCCCGGTTCGGGAAGAAAAAAGCGGAAGTCGATGCACAAGACCTGGAGCGGCTACGTGCCTACGAGTTCTTGAATGACAACCTCATCGGATTCTACATCCGCTTTCTTGAGGACCACCTAGATCGGTGTAACAAGGAGGTAGCGAAGCGGGTCTACTTTTTCAACTCCTACTTTTTTGCAACCCTCACCAACGCGCCTGGCCGCAAGCGCGGGATCAATTATGAGGGCGTGGAGAAATGGACTAGGAATGTGGACTTGTTTGGTTACGACTATGTGGTTGTGCCTATCAATGAGAATGCGCACTGGTATCTTACGATCATATGCAACCTGCCTAGTCTGAAGAGCTCCATGGGGGAGGTGGACACGAAATCGGAACCAGACAGCAAAGTGTCTCCTGCCGGCGGGAAAGATGTCCAGGAAATTCCAGAGACGCAAGATACTGAGGGTACCTCGAGCAAGGACCAAAATAGTAGTCAAGTTGTCGACTCGGAATCATCGCAAGAAGAATCAGCCAGGGAATCTTTTGCGTCCATGAATCTGGATAGTGATTCGAAACCCAAGGACGTGGCTAGCGAAGAGTGGCCGGAAGATGAGGAGAACCCCAGTCTTACCCGGACGAGTTTTTCCAGCCCTGCCGACAGACAGACTCCGCAGGATGATCCGAAACAGGGCTCCAAAACGGCGCGTCAGTCACGGAAGAAAAAGAACCCTCGACCATCAAGCGCGAAGTCAAGCAGCAAAAACAGCACCCAAAGACCCTGCATCATCACCTTCGACTCGCTAGACATGTCCCGTCCATCAACAGTCCGCTTCCTTAAAGACTACCTCTCCCAAGAAGCCCAGTCCAAGAAAGGCGTCGAGATCAACACCAGCCTCATCAAAGGCATGAAAGCAGGCCACAGACACATCCCTCTGCAGCCGAACTTCTCCGACTGCGGCCTGTACCTCCTGGCCTACCTGGAGAAGTTCGTCCAGGACCCGGACTCGTTCGTCAAGAAGCTCCTCGCGAATGAAATGCGCGTGAAGGAGGATTGGCCGCCGCTAAGATCGGGGCTCCTGCGCACTCGACTGCGTGGCTTTCTGGATAGGTTGTATGATGAGCAGATGCAGCTTAGTCGGGAGACGGCTGGCGAGAAGATCACGATGGCGGATAAACAGCCTGTGGATTATCTTCTGGGTGTGCCTGAGTTTTCTAAGCAGGAGGAGAGTGCGACTCCGCGTCAGTCGTCTCCTGAGTCTGAACCTGAGTCTGACGGTGTCAAGAAACGCGACAAGAAGGATGGTGCAGACAGCCCCGCTCCAGAAAAACAGCCAACAGAGCCCAAGGATACAAAGCAGGCAGCAGCAACAACCAGGCAACCATCTCGGAGCCCAAACCCTCAGCCCCAGCCAACTGATCCTCGACAACCAGCCCAGCACGAAATTGTCGAAGTCCCAGATAGTCAAGAGCCAATCCATGCTCCGCATCCAACCCCGCCGAGGGTCGTCATCAAACGGCCAGGTAAACCAGCGGACACGGTGACCGACGACCACGACGCCATCTCCATCGTCGAACGACCCAAGACAGTGGCAGACACAGACACACATGCACAGAGAGCCACAACCCCAGAAGCAGCCCCTACAAGACAAACCCTAGAAGTGCAGGTCCCAGGCACGCCTCCGAAGAAGTCATCTTCTCCCAGTCGAGAAAGGGTTAGGAGAAGCCCACACTGAGCTTGTCTTTTCCTCTCTAGACTAGATTTCTGTTTCTTGTGAATGTGAATGTGCCTGTCTACCTACCTACCTACCTACCTATCTATGTCCATTTCTTTTGTGTTTAGGTGGTGAACTGGTGATTTATTATTCGTGGCGTTCTGGTGGATGGATGGGTGAATGTAGATTCGTTGAGATTTCTTTGTTTATTTGTTTGTTGTTGTTTGTGGGTGCATAAGATACCAAGCATTGCATAGTTTTACATGTTATATCATACATATCATACATATATTATCATATATCTATAGTTTCAATCACTTATTCATGCTCTGTCTGGCTGGCTAGCTTGGTGCTGTACGTTGATGGTGTAGTCCTTGTAGAGTACTGCATAGATAAGAGGCACTCACTACCTTACTCAATCAACCTGCGCAGTCACTCTACCATCCATATACACCAGACCAAATCAGACCAAACCAGACACTATGTTTCTTCAGATATACCAATTAACTATTATATCGATACTCATACTACAAGATATCCTTACTCAAACAAAGCCATACCCTCCATCCAATATATCCATAACCGAATAGTCCATACAAATGAAATATATATATATATATGTATATATATAGTCACCACCATCTATCTCTATCTACATCTACATCTGCCATACCCAACAACAAAAGAAAAACCAAACCCAACCAAGGATATATTTAAGTAGAAAGAAGAAGAAGAAGAAGAAGAAGAAGAAGAAGAAGGAGAAGAAAGATCACCACTCATCCTCCGATGCAGTAACCCACCAAGCCATCTTATCCCTCTTAAACGCCTCGAAATCCCACTCGGTCGACTCCAGCATCTCCGCGCCCGCACTCCACACGTACGTATCGGCGAGGACTTCCTCGCTCTCGTCGGCGAAGTCGGCGCCTGCTGCTGAGAGGACGGCGCGGAGATGGGTGTCTGTTTCTGATTCTGATTCTGTGTCTGGTTCTGGGTGTGCTGCCTTGCTGCCCGTCTTCACGCCTGTGGCTGTATGACTGGTGGCCCCGTCGCTGGAGAGAAAGGTGTTTTCGCTCGTCGGGAGAGATTCTTGCAGGATACGCACTGACACGCGCTCTTTGGCGTACTCTGTGCCTTCGTAGATGTCTAGCCGGTGGAGGTCTCCTTGGGTTAGGCCTGATACGACCGTGCCTAGGACGGAGACTGTTTTATCTAGTTCTCCGGTGGAAGATTTCGTGTCTTCCCCAGTGGAAGTAGAGGTAGAAGGGGTGATGGAAGAAACCCGCACAATACCCGGATAATCAGCCCCCCGCACCCGATGACGGCGATACCCGTGCAGCACGGCGGGCTTGAATGTGAGGAGGGCCTTTTGCCATGCTTCGGGGGTGGGCGAGCCGTGGATTACGCGGTGGAGGATTTGGGGGGCCATTAGGGTGCCTTTTCTACAAGTTAGTGGTGTGTAGGAGGTGGTTGTGGGGTTGGGTTTGATAGTTGGGTGAATTGGATAGGAGGGGGTTTGATAGGATATCTGGGGGGGGGAATGATGCTGATATAATTGTAGTTGCTTTGCTTTGTATGGAGTGATTGGAGATTGAGTCATGTATGTGATATGTTGGATGAAGTGGATGTAGAAGGCAATTGACATTGGATTGGATTGATATTGCGTGAGATCTTACCATAGAAGAATAGGACGTGGTCGCCCATACTGCAGATTATACCTGAAAGGTCTCTTGATGATAATGAGATTGTACTTTATCTCAATTCTAGGACTGAGGGGTCCAGTGGATATGAGTGCGGGGCGAGTTGGAGTAGGACTGGGTGGATGTATATCAATGATTAGGGCCTTGGAGAGCGCTCTAAATATCTTCAAAAATGAAAGTAAGAGGATGATCTTCAACAACCAGTATTATAACTCAATAAGTCAGTGAATAGGTGACTGTTTATCAAATAGTAAACATGAGGCTATTGATGCTCAGATAGAGCCACGATACTCTTATCGATAAGCACTCACCGCCCTCTCACCTCCCTCTCACCGCCTACGCCAAAGGACCATCTGGCTTCATCCACGCTTATCATCATTGCCCAGCATCACTTCAAGTTGTTCCTCGCAGGAGTTTTCCTGTCTGACTTGATATTTCATTCTACTGTCTACTGGAGAACCTGCATCATGCACTCCTCCCTCAACCGCCTCCAGGCCGTCTTCGGCTTCTTCACCACAGTAGCCCTGTTCGTCGCGGGCTTCGCGGCGCTTTCTGTTCTGCTGTATCCCGGGGATGATGCCACGGCGCAGGTTTCTCTGAAAGATGTGAAGGTGTATGTTTAGTATTTTCTCCGTGGGAGGTAAACCAATCTAACAGCAAGGTGAAAACAGCATCAAAGGCAGACCCCATTACTACTCCACCAAAAAGGAAGAATACGCGCAAATGCGATTCGACCTCGACGCGGGTATGTCCCCAAACAAAGAAAACAACATCAACAAGAAGAAGAAACAAAAGATACTGATGGATGAAAGACCTCTCCCCCTTCTTCAACTGGAACACCAAACAACTCTTCGTCTACGTCTACGCCTCCTACTCCTCCTCCGACGACCCCTCCTCCTCCGCCCTCAACTCCGAGTCCATCATCTGGGATACGATCATCGAGGCCCCGGCATCGCCTTACTCTCTCTCCGCTCTTAAAGAGCGCTTCCTCTCCTCCAAGTCTTCCAAGAAGTCGTCCAAGCGCAATGCCGCCTCTAAGAAGAAGGCTGGCGCGGCCCCCGCGGAGCCAGGTGTCCTCCGTCTGCGCGGCCAGAAGTCGAAGTATCAGCTTTCGGATATTACGGGCCGGCTGGCAGAGAGGAAGAATGTCACGCTGAATGTGGGGTGGAATGTGCAGCCTTGGGTGGGTGCCTTGTGGTGGAGTCCGCGCTCTGGGGCGGCGGTGCAGAGGACGCTGGGGGAGGCCGCGCAGAGTGAGCCGTTTGATTTTCCGCCGTTGAAGACGAGGAAGGTTGAGGGTGCTGGTGCTAAGTAGGGGGATGAGTTGTCATGGGTTTTTGAATAGCATTTATTTTTTTATGGAAGTGAATCGTGGACATCGTTGACCTTTTCTTGCTTCTATGGCTTGTATTACCCCGATGCAATTCATGATTCAGTCGCAACGCCTCAATTACATTAATCAACATAACCCGAATCAGCTTGACTAAACTCAACTCGACTCCTGAACATATACCATATACGACACCACACTCATCATCACATCCACACCCCGCAACATCCCCACAGAAATCACAAAATCAGCTAATACCGCGGAACCGTCCCATAGTTCACATCCTGGTTCGGACCATTCTTGATGCGATCGGAGTACACGCCCGGCGCAGGCTGATACGTGCCGTACATTGGGGTTCTGCGGTTCTGGTAGTATACGTATTCGAGATAGAATGCGTGGATGTGGCCTGGGAAGTAGCTGGTTTTGTTAGATTATGTTGTGATTGTAATTGATGGGGAGAAAGGAGGGGTGGGTGAGTGAGTGTCGGGTGTAGGTAGAGTAGGCGGTTGCTGGAGCTAGTGAGACGATGGATGGACATACCCAAGACAAGTGAGTAAAATGTTGATGAGAAGGTCGGCGCTGCAGCCGGATATGAGGAAGACTCCGAGGGGAGGGACTGCGTTGTTGTTAGAGATGTCTTTTTATGCTGTGTGGTAGTGTGCTTGGTCGTGGCATGGTGTGTATCCGTGCTACTAGGATGTAGGTATACGTACTGAATATGGTGATGAGAATCACGCAGAGCATGGAGCCTGTTCCTGCCATGTTGAGTCCGATTGCTGTCTGTTAGAGATCTAAGAGTGTAATAGTTGAGCTTAAGCGTAGGTATGAGCGTCTAGGGCACGAAGAATATTGTAGATAGGAAGATGAGATTGCTAGATTTCACCCTCTGAGAAAAGTGTTCAATTTCAACTGACGTAGCGGGTCCACACGCCACACTCGACAACCACATTGACAACGCTGAAGAAGTACATGTGCGACATGCACGGGTAGTAATAATTTGTACTCCGTAGAGTGTACTGCAATTGTCCAATGTCTCCCGTGGTTGAGATCGCTGACGTCATCCCGAAGAAGCCGTGCGGGAGCTCTCGAGCTCGAACGTGCGAAGCCAGTCAATTCTTCCCTTGCCGGTTCCGGCTAGTAGATCATGGCGCACATGAAATCTGGGGTACGAACCGTGGGACTTTGATAAAGGTGGGGTGCGTAGTGTGATGATGGCATATATGACACGGCTTTAGTAATATTGTGAGAATGATGATAGTCGAGGTATGGCTCGAACGACTGTTGGACCGACTAGTGTCGCCTGGACACGACCCACGTCCAAGGGAATGTGACAGACTATAAACCTGGAGGTGATCACACGGCATCCATTGATGCTCTCGTCGTGATCTGCTCGTTCTTATTGCCCAGCTTCGAGATCTGGAGAAAGGCATCCACCCCGTACCCCTCCAGGCTGTGCAGTTCCAGACTGCCCGCCCAGTATTCCGCATAGACCCGGCTCATCGGGAGCCCCATCCCGAGTCGGAGATTCGGAGGGCGCGAGGTCAGTGAGTCGAGCGATCCTTCACGGAAAGTTTCCTTATCCTCGCGCTTTCTCTCTTTGGACACGGCCAACTCTTGCATGGTTGCAGCCATCGCGGGGACCTGCTCGAGATTCTGAAGTCGAGCTTTACTATGAGGTCCTTTGTTGAACGACCATAGATACGGGAGTATCTCGCGCGGGATCCCGCCTCCCTGGTCGGATATCCGCAGGATAATATGCTGCGGCGCCTCGCAGACAAGGACTTCGATCGGGGGCGGCCGCTCGGGCAAGTTACGGTACTTCTCGCTGACCGCCTGGATCGAATTACGCAGTAATTCACCAACGATATACTCCAGGTGGCTCAGCATGTAGGGAAAAGTCGCGTCCGAATGGCCCTGGACGGTGATCTCGGGAATATTATCGGATCCCGCGCTACCCCGCATCATGTCTTGCGTGAGTTTCCCACAGCGTTCGATCACCTCCTTGGCATTGCATTTCAGGAATACCTCTCCGATGTACTCCGAGTTCGCATCGGCATTATCGAAAGGCCCCGCGAAGTGCCACGGGGAGTTGAAAGTTTCTGTCAAAGCCAGATGCTGCTCCGCAATAACGCGACGGGAGATCCTCTGAGGTGGGTGTCAGCGGCGTACATGGCAGCCTCCAATCTGCAATCTGCAAACTTACCGCCCGAAGCAAGGTGTTCATGAATTGGTCAACCATTTCCCGTGGCAACAAATCCCGGCATTCCAAAACACCCATTGCTAATTGAGGAATCACCACCAGATGGTCCTTCAAAGTCTTTCGGAGAATGTCACAAAAGCGATCATTATCGTCCAAAGTCTTGATCTCGGGAATTGTTCGAAATCTCTCAAACGCCTGGTAATACAGTTCATAGACGAGCGACAGATGGGGATTGGACACTACGACGTAGGGAAGCTTTTGAATATCTCGGAGGCGGTGCGCCAGTCTGCTCGGGAGCTCCGTTCGTACATAATTCGCAGAGCTGATCAGGCGCGCTTCCGTCAACGTCCGCCCGAAGAAAGTCAATTGCCGTAAACTGATGGGTCGCATCTCGCGTTCCACCCATCTATGGAAAACACATTCAATTAGCAGATGCTTTCACTGGGTTGGGCCTGGGGCCATACTCGTCTAAAATAGAAGCCGGGCGCCATGGCGGCACACTCTGTGCAGCATGGCTGGAATATGAACGTCGGCCAGCGACGCAGCATCTGTGTCGGAGCGTCCACAGAGGGCGCATCGTGCCAATCCGCAACATCTTGGGGTGGTGACTTGCTAGGGCTCGGTCAAACAGGTCTCGTGGAGTCAGACTCTCGAAACGTCTTATGCATGATCTATATGCAACCGTCATCGAGGCCGTAAGGGACAGAGTCTTGTATTTGACATGTCATTTGTCCAGAGGATGGGGGAGGGGAGAGAAGGAGGAGAAGAAGAAGAGGAGAGAGATGGTAGTATGACTGACAAGCTGCAGCTTCATATGGACTGACCGTGAAATACCCAATACGGCAGGCGGTGAGAAGAAAAGAAACCGGGGCTGACATGTGACTTGCCGACTCTTCTCAAGTAGACAGAAGGATCAGATGGAGGTTTTATAAATGATAGTCTGTTGATTGATTGAGTTATATTTATCTATACTAATATAGTTAGTGGTATTGAATTACTTAAGAAGTGTGGTTGGTTTAAGAGGAGATACTCATTGTATCCTCAATGTCTTCATCGGACTGTCAGACATCAGAAAGAGTCCCTCGAGAAAATTAGTGTCGCTAGAGGATTCTTTGAGATATTTGAAAAAGGAAGCTTTGCTTTGTATTAAAATTCTTTGTCGAAGCATATATATATATTCACTGTTATGACGCTCGAGAATGGAGGTTGATCCAATAGCTTCAATATACTAGTACCGCTAGTACCCCGAACGATTTGTCTGGCTTGGCGTATATTCTGTATTTTACGCTGCCTGTATATAGATATATCAAGATAGAAATGAATCTATATGTATATATATATCGAAATCTTAAAGCATGAGTCCATGGTGGTTGAAGTCGTAAATGATGTAGAAAGACGCTGACTTAATATGATTGGATTTGCTGGGAACTCCGCCACTAGCTTCAGTTTCCTCACTCTAACCTGGACTGACTCCTTCCATCCCGCTGGACCAGACCTTTTTGTCTTGACCTACTGCCTGGTGGTTACCTCGTCATTACTTCCCCATCTTCAGTTCATTCTCTACGACTGATCATCTTCGCTTTTCTTTTCGGATTTGGTTCCCCCTCTTTCCTTTTTCTCTCGCCGTTTCCACCCTCAATCTCCGCCCGACTGCTTAAAACAGGTTGCCTCTGACCGTTCGAGTGCGTGGAGGCACTTCTTTATCCTAGATGGACAGCGTGAGTCTTTCCCTCGTCCTTTGATCTTCGCAGTGACGGCACCAAAGTCGATGATTCCTCGCTCCCTCCAAAATTCTGCGACAATAGTGGCCGTCAACGTACTAAGACGATTCTTCTGGTATAGGTCGCGGATAATGAGATGCTCGTCGATGATTATGAGCAGTATCAAAATGACAAAACCGACGATGTCGTGGTCTCTCAGTCCGGTTCGGACGAACCGGAGTCGGAGCCTCTTGCAGATGATCGTGAGAACCTCTCCCCCGCAGCCCTGGTGTTCGATGCCACAAGCCCCGCACGTCCTCCAGACCCGTCCAACTGGGATCACGGCCTCCCCGCGGAGGTGTCCGGTCTCTCCTTTAGCCATTGCTAGCACCGGAATATTCGACTGGTTCACGTCCGAAGCATGTCTAACGGAAAATTTCTGATACAGATGCGGCAATGATGGCTCGAGTGCTCCCCCAAGACCCGGACCTGGAAACCGAAGATGAGGCGTGGCATACATGGCATATTGAGGACTGGAAGAAGTTGAAGAAGAAGGAGCATGGGCCGGTGTTCCAATGCGCAGGATTCCCTTGGTAGGATTTTTTTCTTTTCTTGATTCGGGACCTGGTGTCTCGGACGGTCCCCGCCCGCGTGTATCGTGGTCCAGTGCTTACAAAAATCACAGGCGAATCCTTTTCTTCCCGTATGGAAACCACGCCGATTATGCATCATTCTATCTCGAGCACGCCTGGGAAGAAGAGCCCCCAGAGAATTGGTATGCATGCGTACAATTCGCCTTGGTGCTGTCGAATGTAAATGATCCATCTATATATGTGTCGCACTGTATGCTGCTACTACTACTACTGCCCCTTGAGGTGGGAGACCAGTTCCGCTGATGAGGAATCATAGACGCGACACATCGGTTCAACGCAGACGAGGGTGACTGGGGCTTTACCCGGTTCTACGAGCTGCGCAGACTCTTCACCATGCCCTGGGAGGGCCGCGGTGTGCCTCTGATCCAGAACGAAGAAGCCAACGTCACAGCCTACGTTCGCGTTGTCAAGGACCCGACAGGAGTTCTGTGGCACAGCTTCCAAAAGTACGCAACTCCGGGCTGCTTTCGTTCGACGAGATGCTAATTACCCCCCAGCTACGACTCGAAACGGGAGACTGGGATGGTTGGCCTGAAGAATCAAGGCGCAACCTGCTATCTCAACTCCTTATTGCAGTCCTTGTACTTTACCAACGCTTTCCGAAAGGTATATCTCTGATTGTCGGGCCCTATGTCAACCCGGCCTACATACTGATGTGTTATAGGCTGTTTATCAAATCCCCACCGAGAGCGAAGCGTCCAAGGACAACAGCGCTTGGACTCTCCAAAGACTCTTCTATAACCTGCAAACCAGCGAGAACTCTGTCTCGACCACCGAGCTCACTGCATCGTTTGGCTGGGAGTCTCGGCAAATCTTCGAACAGCAGGATGTCCAAGAATTGTCGCGGAAGCTCATGGAGAGACTGGAAGAGAAAATGAAGGGCACGCCGGCCGAAAAAGCGCTCCCCGAACTGTTTGTTGGAAAAACAAAGACGTACATCTCCTGCATCAACGTCGACTATGAGTCGTCCCGGGTGGAAGATTTCTGGGATATTCAGCTGAATGTGCGAGGCAACAAGACCCTGGACGACAGCTTCAAAGACTACATCCAGGTGGAAACCCTCGAGGGGGAGAACAAGTACGATGCCGGTTCGCCGTATGGGTTGCAGGACGCCAAGAAGGGCGTCATCTTCGAGAGCTTCCCCCCCATTCTGCACCTTCATTTGAAACGATTTGAGTACGATATCCACCGAGACGCAATGATGAAAATCAACGACCGACACGCCTTCCCCATGGAGTTCGATGCCACGCCTTACCTTTCCAACGACGCCGACAAGTCGGAACCGTGGATCTACGAATTGCATGGCGTGTTGGTGCACAGTGGTGATTTGAATGCTGGTCATTATTATGCCTTTTTGAAGCCTACCAAGGATGGGCACTGGTATCGTTTTGATGACGACAGAGTGACCCGAGCCACCGACAGGGAGGTTCTGGAAGAGAACTACGGCGGCGAATATGAACTCGCCAACGGTGCCACCGGGGTCAGACAGCCGTACACCCGGGGTTTGTCCACCAAGCGTTCCATGAACGCATACATGCTTGTTTATGTCCGGAAGACGAAACTGGATGAGGTGCTCTTACCCATAACGAAGGATGAGATTCCGTCTCACATTGGTATGTCCTCGTGCCATTTCCCTCACTCCGTCCGTGGCCTCTTATGCTAACCGAAACGCAGAGACGAAACTCATTGAAGACCGTGCTGAACTAGCCCGGAGGAAGAAAGAGAGGGAGGAGGCTCATTTGTACATGAGCGTCGGTGTTTTGACCGAAACGTCCTTCCAATCGCATCATGGGTTCGATCTCACAAGCATGGACCTGCCGGCGGATGATCCCGCCGTGCCAAAGCACCACCGCATTCTTCGATCGACCAAGGTCGGCGAGTTTGCAACTTTGATGGCGGAAGAAAATGGCCTAGATGTCAATCGGATTCGATTCTGGGTAATGGTGAACCGCCAGAACAAGACCACTCGCCCGGATCAGGTCATCAGAGACCCGGAAATGACCCTCGAGGAGGCTTATAGCAGATTCGGTACCAAAGGAAATGCCTTCAGGCTTTGGATGGAAGTTGGCGAGCCCGGTCAAGATGGCACCGTCTCATGGCCGGATAACAATTCCGTCCTTGTTTTCCTGAAGAACTTCGACGTCCCAAGCCAGACGCTGTCCGGCGTGGGTGCCGTATACGTCCGCAAGTCCCAGAAAGTGGCTGATCTTGCGCCAACGATACTTGAGAAGATGGGATGGCCTGCTGGCACGGAGTTTCTACTGTTCGAGGAGATCAAACATACTATGATCGAGCCTATGAAGTCCAAGCAGACCTTCCAGCAGTCCGAAATCCAAGACGGTGATATCATCACGTTCCAGAGGACGATTGCCGAAGCGGATGTGCCTTCCACTGCAATTTTTCCGGACGCCAAACAATACTATGACCACCTCTTGAACCAAATGCCTGTCACCTTTGCGCCGATTAGAGATACTGAGGCCGAGGAGTTCACCTTGACACTGAGCAGGAGGATGACCTACGACCAATTCTCCAAGAAGGTCGGGGAACGTCTGAACGTGGATCCTACCCATCTGCGGTTCGCTCCTGTTCTTGCGAGCACGGGCAAGCCCAAGGCTTTCATTAAACGGAATCCCAACCAGAACAGCCAGACGTTAGGCCAGATCCTCTCGGGCCAGATGTCGGGGTATGGGTACAACCTGCATCGGTCTGATGCGTTATACTATGAAGTGCTAGAGATGAGCCTGAGCGACTACGAGTCCAAGATCTGCCTGAAAGTGACGTGGCTTCCGGAAGGTATCACAAAGGAGGTAAGTTATTCTTTTCATGTTGTCCAGAAGACATGTTGCTTACTTTGATATTAGCAAGTTGTCGAGGTCTTAGTTCCCCGAGACGGCACCGTCGCCGACATCCTTTCTGGATTGCAGAAGAAGGCAAACCTCGATGATGAGACGATCCGGAACACGCGGATCTACGAAGCTCACGGTGGCAAGATCTATAAGGAGTACGAGGCCGAGTCTAAGGTCGCCGGAATCAACGAATTCGTCACGCTATACGCCACGCGGGTTCCCGAGGAAGAGGTCGAGATTGCGGAGGGGGAGCGGCTGATCAATGCGTACAACTTCGACCGGGAACCAAGCAGACCGCATGGGGTACCGTTCAAGTTTGTGGTCAAGTCGGTAAGTCAATCTCGCCCTTTGTGCGAAGTCTCCTGCTAACGTCTGTCAGGGTGAGGTGTTTAGCAAAACCAAAGAACGCCTGTCGAAGCGGACTGGGATCAAGGGCAAGCAGTTTGAGAAGATCAAGTTCGCTGTTGTCCCCCGGACTCTGTACTCCAACCCGCGTTATCTCGAAGATGGTACGCTAACTTTCTCCCCTGTGCTTGCCCGACATGGCAGACATGCTGACTTGACTAGATGATATACTTTCTGACATTGTCGGCGATTCGGACGACCTCCTTGGTCTTGACCATGTAAATAAAAGCCGGAGCTTCTGGAACCGGAGCGAGTCCTTCTTCATTCGATAGAGGCAGAATGTACCATGTTTGCAGCTTTCCCGGCCAGTCCGTTGTTCTGCGAAGGGCAGAGAACATACCGTCCGCCTATTTTCCAATCTCGTTTGCGGAGAGGAGACCTTATGCTTGAACGAATTCTGGACCTGCTGCCGCGTTGTCTCATGACCTTCTCCTTTTCTCCTTTTCTTTTTTATTTCTTCTTCTTCTCCCCCCCTTTTTTCTTTTTTCTTTGTCTTTCATTTTGTTCCTTGATTTCTTTCTTCCTTTTTTGCCTTTCCTTTCGTCTCTGTAGATGGGGCAGGTCTCACGCTGTTATGTTGGTTTGCGCAAAGATGCGCCTTATGGTCATTCCCCGTTATCTCATATTTTCCCTGCTACTTCTCCTGATATGACCCATGACATTTATATATAAAATAGTTATCAGCAAGATAAGATGAGTAACGCGGAAAAAGATTTAAACCACAAATTCAATACGATCTGTTGTGTAATATGTCTCCCAAGTAATCCACCGGAGGAAGTAAGACCCTTTTTCCGGACAAGGTAGTTTATTTTTGGTGGTGGTGCAAACAGGACAAACACCGCCCAAGAACACAAGCTGGCCAGAACTTCACCTCCATCTCCAAAGGTCGCGTAGATCCAACCGTCACCGTCACCCCTGGAGAGTTACCCCAGATCGAGCTACCGGCTCTTCCATATATTCTCCAGCCACGATGCATTTCGCAACCCTGGTCATCGGCCTCCTGGCCTCCTTGGTGTCGACTGTGACGGCCACCGCTCTGACTTACCGACTCGAGGCTAACGAGAAGGCCTGCTTCTACAACCACATCGAGGAGGCTAACACGAAGGTGGCTTTCTATTTTGCTGTAAGGATTGAGATATTATTTGTTTCTACGTCTTGGTTTGGATTCTGACGGTGCTTTTTCTTGTGACAGGTTCAATCTGGCGGCTCTTTCGATGTTGATTACGCCGTGTCCGGTCCCGGCGACAAGATGATTCTGGAGGGAACAAAGGAGCGACAGGGTGATTTTGTCTTCTCGGCTCAGAGTGTCGGAGAGTACAAGTTCTGCTTTAATAATGAAATGTCGACCTTTGCTGAGAAGCTGGTGGACTTTGAGATTGCGGTAAGGGACAACCATAATAAATCACCCAGGATAGAAGGGGGAAGGAAGGGTACAAGCAGGAAGCAGTGAACTGACCACCGGTTTTTTTTTCTTTGCAACAGGTTGAGAACGAAGAGCGCGCGCAGCTTCCCTCGCGCCAGGGCGCCAGCCCCGAGCAGGCGTCAGCGCTCGAGGAGTCCATCTTCAAGCTGTCAGCGCAGCTGTCGACCATCTCGCGAAACCAGAAGTACTTCCGTACGCGCGAGAACCGGAACTTCAGCACGGTGCGGAGCACGGAGCGGAGAATCTGGAACTTTAGCGTTATCGAGAGCTTGATGATGGTGTCTATGGCGGGGTTGCAGGTCTTTGTTGTCCGGTTCTTCTTCCAGGGTGCTCGCAAAGGTAGGTCTAACCCTTGTCCACCAAACGTCATTTGGCACATAACTAACTTTCGCTTCTTACTTGTGTAGGCTACGTTTGATGAGTATGCATGATTATCATTATTAGTATTATTATCATTATCATTATCCCATGTCCCGCTTGTTCTTCTGAATTGTGGCGTCTTGCAAGCATTGTATCTACCTACCTACTTACTACACCATCTCATATAAGAAAGATTATTAGAGAATTATCTGTCCTTGTGACGAGCTTGTTGAATCGAAGCAACTTACCAAATTAGGTGATACGGACGCTGATGCGTTGAGCTCCTCATTGGCTCTCGACTCTAGATCGCCCTGCTGTTTCCTTGCTTGCTACAGCTATGACGCAGGCCCTTTTCTCCGTTTTGTTTCGTTTCGCTTCGTCTCGCTTCGCTGTCATCTGCTCTTACTCTTACGGTCGAGTCCCGAGCTTAGCTTAGGGCTATGTCCAGCAGCAATCAAGACGCGTAAGTAGGGCTGGATCCCAATGGGGAATGCTCGACGAGTATCGCACCGTCATGGAATGGGAAGGCCTGCGAGCACAATGACGAAATGCAAGCCCATTTGTACAGATGGTCTCGGTCCGCGCGCCCCGTTTCTCACGTCCTTGACGTCGTGCTTGGAGACATCGAGAGGCTAGGTTAGGTCATTCGAGGCGAGGGGTGGTGGGCGGTGGGTGGTGGTAGGTCATGATGGTATATCGAGCAACGATCATCAGCCAGCATGGGTCTTTTCTTTTCGGCCGGGGGTAGGAGGCTACGGGGGTATGCTGTAAGATCGGAAGGGTCGTTTTATCTTGATTTTGATTTTATTTAAATGTTTTTTTTTATTTTTTTTTATATATATATTTTTTTATAATTGTTTGGGAGAGGGGGGTTGTTTTCTAATCTTGGTCTATTTCTCATTCGTTATTGTTTTATTTGTCTTTTTGTCTCTCATCTTCACTCATATGTAACTAATCTGTGCCAATCTCCTATCTAGGTACTCGGTGGAGCAAATTGATATCATCCAGCGTCCGACAAGCGCGAGGCTAGGAGAAAGTCTAACCCATCTGCTAGACAGGGATCAACATGACAGCCTCACAAGGCCCATTCCACAGATGATGACGTCTGTTTGCATGAGCATTGGATAAGTGACTGACTGGGGGTTGTCTTTGAGAACGAAATGACCCCAGGGGACGAATGGATAAATGGATGAATGGGTGGGTGGATGGGACGTCCCTAGCAACGACACTAGCATCATGCCAACCCGACCCTTCTCGAATATCTCCCTACGAGGTATGATCTCATATCCGCTAGGGAGGTCAACGTGGCCCCCCTTCCGTCGGCAAAACAGAGCCAGTTAGTGGGCTTGACGGTGATGTAATGCTAGTTGGCGACACAGTGGGCATAGTTGTCGGGTGTCGGTTCAGGTTGTGCTACATTGGATTGACGCCCTTGATGTTTGCTTGCTTGGTTTGTCTTGAGGTACAGCTATCTCCACCTTTGTGGCTTTATTTGTTGCTTTTATTGTGTAAATCGGTCTGTTTCTCAACCTTGAGCGTTGACTCCGTAGGAATGTTCTGGAGAGAGATATGTGGCTATCTTGGCAGCGTCAGTAGATCGCTACTAGCTTACCATTGCTACCTTCCCTTGCTTATGATGTTGGTCTGTTTCTCCGCACCACTTGTAGTCCAATTCTCCGCTGCTACGATGAGCTCATGACGGAGGAAGAGCTGAAGAGAGATACCTTACCCTAGTGTTAGTCTTAGTGCTACGTGAGACATCCAATCCTGGGAGCTTTGTTTCCACTACTCCTGCTAAGCAATCCTCTACATTGATTCTGCGAGGGACCCAAACTGCTCTGGTAGACCACGTCAGACTGAGGGGAAAGTAGAGCGGATCTACTTCGTAGAATGCGCAAGAATGACACTCCCCTGTCGGTGGTACTGGAAGCTTCACCTCTCTGGTGGTCTTCGCTCGGAAATACGCAAAGAAACGGCCGAAAGACGCAGGGCTGCTTGCGTAGGATCCATCCTAACAGTTCACCGGGTCCACCAACAAAGGTTTGATTGTGGAGGGGTATTTGCCTCATGGATAGTGTCGTACATAGCACATAATTCCTTGCCCCTGTGATGAAGTAAAGTTCTAGCCACCCGGTCCCAATACCTGGGGTTCAAGGAACCAAACAGGATTTCTCTCGGTCTGTGCTTCGGCCGAAGAAGAGGGACCCGTACCATTGTTAGGTTCATTTTTTTCCCTCTAGCAATGACCCACCTGGTGGCGACTTGATCCGCACCCGCCCCTCTTCCCACCCCGATGAATGGGCGTTATCGTGGCCTGGCTGTTCCGTCCGTGGGACGCTGGCCCTCATGCCCATGGTTAGGGCTGTCCCGTCGGCGTGGATTACTGAGGGGGGAGAAAAGGGGAGACTGGTTGTTTTTAAGGTTAGAAACAAGGCATTATATTGCATGTTGGGTGGAAGATGGGGTGTGCGACGGAGGAGGTAGAAGGCTAAGACAGGAAGCTAAAGCCATCTGGTGGGACTTTGTGGGAAGTTTTCCGTACAATGGGAGACGATGGAATATAATTCCGAGGGTTGATCTTACTGGCTGAACTCAGCTATCTTAATCACATAAGACCATGACAAATGCTATGGAGTCGGAAAAGATTCGCGATAGGGCAGGATGGATGAGAGATTGTTTTAGGGCTTTTGATATTGATCTGGAATACCAAGGCGGGACATACCTAAGGCACCTAGGCACACACACCGAATCTTCGAAACTCTCCAATTCGACTGATCTCAATTCTTGTCTTTGCATCTTGATTCAATGCATTCACCTCGAGTATTCTGTATGGAACTACAGCAACAATGAACATACCAATATGTTTAGGTGTCTCCCCTGACACTATCGTCTCCAAGTGTTTCCCCGGTTGAGGTCTCCACTCATCTCGCTTTCCACTCAGAGAGTGTGCCAACTTCCATCTGTACCTTTCCAATGGGTTTGACGCATGTCCCCAGCTTTTATGCCTTCCGCGTCGTTTGAATGATCGATTTGGTCCCCACCCTCCCTCATCCTGTGCATGTGGAGTCGCGGGTTTGGGGCGCGTTCATTGGCGCCGGAAAATCCAGAGGGAGGTCTCCCCCGTAACCATCCAACTAATTCTGTTAGTTCATCTCTTAGTTAGGCATTGTCCGTGACACATCGCGCCTCGAGCTACGGTCTGCGCTGCACATGGTGGTTCGTCAGACCGGGATTGTTGCGTCTCTCCGCTGCAGGTCTGCTCCATGCGGGCGTCCATCTTCATCTAGTTGAGACTAGACACAAGCTAAGACTGCACAGACTGTACGCTGTATGAGGTACTTTAGCGACAGCCCCCGGAGGCTATACCTGTTCTTCCGCCTATATGCGTCGAACTACGATAGTAAGATGACCGCCATTATACCGTCACACCGATGATCTGCAGGGACGACGTATTATGCGGCTGGCGATACGGGGAGAAAATGAAAAATGAAAAACGAAAAATAAAATATCTGGTCCCTCCTCTGCTCTTTGGGTCCAGCGTGGCATCCCATCCCGTGACCTCATCTCTCACCATGGATGGTGGATCTGTGGACCATCCTGGGGGAACGCCGGCCCATGAGCTTGTAGAGCGCCATGACACCGATCACTATCTTCTGCCCCCAGCGAGGAGAGGTCAATTCATTCGTCCACCAGACAATCTAAGACGATTCGAGTAAGGGATCAAGAAATAGATCCTTTGAACGTGAAAAAAATAAAATGGGGACTAAGAAGAGGAGGGGGGCTTGTCGGCCAGGCCCATCGCTACCCCCGTTTCGCCGCTGCTGGATCCCCATGATGTCATGGTCGCAAATTAACGCCGACGTTGTTGGCTCCGATGGACCTCTCCCCTCCCTTCGCGGTGCCCACTTGTCCCCACAAGGGCCCCCAATTCGATCATTATGGGTATCCGCTGATTGTTGATAATCATGATCCGCCTGTGGCTGGCATCCGCTCGGTAATTTCATCTCGGACACGATACCCTTTATATTGGGACCTCGCTGTTTTCGGACTATCTCCTTTTCATTCTCATTCTTCTTTTACTGATTTTATCGATAACTGCATTTTCCCTTACCATTGTTCACGTTTCTGCTCTGTTTGGACATACTAGACCAACCCTAGTCCATCTATCTACAATTCTTCATCCTCTACACGTCCCGCCTAGATCTTGAGAAACTTTCCCCTTTCCCTGTCTATATTCGGGTTTAAATACGGTGAGCGAGCATAAAAACACTGGAATTCCCTCTACCGGTATGGTTCTATGAATCGTGTGTCGCTTGGTGCTATCCCATTGCGCGATGCTTTGAGCCCAAGACTCGACAACTATTGTCGGGCGCTGTGATGGCGAATTCGGTCCCTGACACTATGTCGCCGGCGCCGCCACCCATTCCCATGGACCGTTTTGGACTTTGGAAAGAAGATCACAAAGAAAGGCAATAGCAGCTGACGGTCTCGTGTCATAGATCCTCACATATGTCTATCGCCATGCAATATAAGGACGCCCCCATCACTTCTAGTCGCGGAGCGGGCTGTCAGGGCCAAATCCAGACAGATAGGATGGCCAACCCGAATGAATCAATCGAGGACTACAGCCGCGTCATGCTTCAATACACCCACAAGCGGATGTCATCTTTCACCCACGTCGACCAGGACAAGCGCTCGCCGTCTGCTTCCAGCCGCAGTAGTGGCAGCAGTGGCAGCAGTAACAAGAGTGGCACTCGCGCGATGGCCTCCGTTCCTGGTCCGGGTGGTGCCTGTCATGACGGCCCCAGCGGGTCTCAGGACAGTATGGATACGAAGGCATCTTAAGTCTGTATCTCTGTCGATTAATGCAGTCGAGTCGGCGGTGATGATAACCTGACCAACCGTCTACTCACTGCTAGTCGTCGATCTTTGTCCACAGTCATGCAAGACAAGGACCTTTTTTCTTTTTCAGCGAACTTTTCTGTCGATTTGTGGGAGTCTCTTCTCCCGCTAGTGGTGGATGGCATCAGCGAGCACACTTTTGATTCCCCACGATGACCTGAGGTCATCACTCGTTTGATGGTCATTACGATATCTGCCCTTTCGTGTTTACCTTTCGCTTCGTTTCCGTGATGTGTACCTGAAGGTTGAATCAATAGGTTTGAGGTTGGCGTGATATACGGAGCCAATCCTCTTACCTTCCGTTCCAGGATATGAACAATTACCCGGTGTCATTGACTGTTGATTTGACACTCCGATTCCTTCAGAAGACATAATCGCCTTTTCTTGAAACCCGACCAAGGTCTCCAGCGAGTCTGGAGAGACCTTGGCTTTCAAAAAAATTTCTCCTGCCTTCGCCAACAATTCAAAACAATTGTTATTCATTTTGTCCGCACCGCAGCATGTTGCCCTGGTTGGCCCAGTGCTAGCCAAGTGGTGGCATCATTTGACTTCTCTTCGTGTGTTGGTATTCTGTCTTTCTATTTGGCGTTGGGCTGGGTGACAGGACCGGATCCTGTCTTTTTATGACTTCGTGTATATATATATATATTTATCTTTTCTGCATGCTTCAAACACACGGCCGATTCAGATGATAGCTCATCTGGTATATCAATTCATTGTGAAGGCTTTATACTTTATCTCCTTGCCCATCGAATCAGCCTAGCTATACCCGGTGTTCGCATCAACGACAATGCAATATAACTTGCCCGGTGTGGTCTCAACTTAAATAATGTATCATTGACTTCCACTTATCTAAAAACATCTTGCCTACCTAACTACTTTGTTCCCCTTCCTATCGGCCTACTATAGATTTTCACTCGCCGTCTAGCCCCAGACAGACAACAGGCAGGGCAGAAGCTCCACCCCTTACATCAACACATCAAAATTGCAAGCAAACAACCAAGCAAGGGATGTCTCAGATCGTGGTGTAAGATACCGACACCCACGTATCTGCACGAGCCGTTCTTTATTTCCATTGTTTTTTCTCTTGCTTGCATGCTAACTAGTAGCGACTTGCCGCCACCTTAGTCAGAGTAGAGTTCAGTGATTACTCGATACCTAATGGACGGGTCTTTCTCTTTCTAGGCCCTCACATTCCACCGTGCCAGGACGCGCATGCCAGGCGTGTGGCAGGCTACACCGTGCCTTGTTTTTCTTGTTTGTAATGGGACACGCGGTTGTTTCGCCCTTGATTATTATCTTGTTGGGGTGTTGTATATGGTTGTTGGTCTTTCCTAGCTACTCTTTATTGGGAGACAGTAGCTATATTACGATCCTATCAAGGAGTAAAGAACAAGAGAGGGAGAAAGATGTCGCAGACTAATCTAACTATGACACGTAATTGGTCTCCTTGATTTATTTTCCCTGAAAGAACGCGAAGACAAGTAATCGAAATGCTGCAGACTTGGCTGGGATGAAGTCAGGGTATGGTATGCGTGCTAGCCCTAATTTCTTCTCCCTTCTTTTGTTCTTCTTCTGTCGACAACAGCCAGCGGAGTAGACATCGTCTTTTCACATAGACTTTCTTTAATGGTGTCTTCTGTCGTTGATCTAACTTGAAGCATTCTTTATTTTCATATCATATTCATATCCATATTCATATTCATGACAACATTGAACACCAATATCAAGCTAACATATCACTCAATAACACAATAACAACCCAAAAGACAAGAAAGCCAAACAAAATCAAGACAGAGAACAAGAGACAACAAGAAAAAGAGAAAAGATGAACCTCCTCACCCTCCTCACAACCCTCACCCTCACCTTCACAATCACCACCCTTGCCATCAAAGACCCAACACCAACCACCCTCATCCCCAGCACCACCGCTCTCTCTTCCTCCCCCGCCTCATCCTCCGCCCCCGCCAACTCAGAATACGACACCTGTCCGCCCTCCCACCGCTCCAAACAGTGCTGCACCTCCATCAACGGCATCACGGAGTCCATCTTCGGCGAGATCGGCAAGGTGATTCCTATCCTGAAGGATGTGAAGGTTTCTTCGAGTGCCGCATTTGACTGTATTAACTCCTTTCTCTCTTTCTTTTTTACTCTACGGTAGGTTAATGGAGAGTGCTAATGGTGGATATCTGGATGGATAGGTAAAGGGATGAATGACAATGACTCCCATGATCAGTGTCTTACGGACGTTATGTGTTGTGATGGGGTTTCGAACGTATGTCCCTACTACCTCTTCCATATATCTTCCCTCCCTACCTCTCTACACCACGGCCAAGAAAACCCCCAAAACTAACGAATGAAAAACAACAGAATTTGGACCCAAAAACCTACAAAATGCATTGCAAACCCTACGATAAAGCCATCAAAGACAAAGCCAAGAGCGAGAAACAAAGTCACGATCATCCCCTCGCCGATGCGCTGGCCAACGCCAGTTCCGCCAATGATTATTGGAACGATAATGAAGCGAGTTCTACGCCTGTTTCGACTCCGTTGAGTGGGCAGGGTCGGACTCCTGGGGTGGGGTCTGCTGCTGCTGCTGCTGCTACGCCTACGCCTGGTGAGGATTAGACTTCGGGGGCGAGGGGGTGTATGTACCTATCTTTGTTGGTGGGTGGGTGGTTGGTTGGATAATGATGGTGTACACTTGATTGATTGGAGTTATGTTTTTTTTTTTCTTTCTGGATCTACCACGTGATGTTTATATATTTTTCAGTCATTGTTCGTGTACAATCAATCTACTGTATCCTTGTTAGATTTTTGAATCACTTCATCCTCAATATCGTCTCATTAAATAATCATATCTATACATCACTTCCACCCCCGTCCCGCAGGCGGATACCCATATTGTCCCCACCCTCGCCCCGCATGCGGCGGCGGGAAGTGATACTGCCCCGGAGGCATCTGCTGTCCCGGTCCTCCCATATGCACCGGAGGGAACTGTGCGCCCTGCGCCGGGAACGGTGGCGGAAACGCACTCGGTCCTCCTCCCCCCGGCGCTCCCCCGTAGCCCGGAATCGGTGGAGGCGGCCATGGACCCTGGTAGTTTGGTGGTGGCGGCGGAGGGGGGAGGCCTGGTGGTATGCCGGGTGGAAATCCAGTTGGAGGGCTTCCTGCTGGTGGAGGGAAGTGCATTTGCGGTGGTGGGGGAGGTGGGAAGTGAGGGGGGCGTAGCCGTGTGGGTGTTGTTGGGTGTGTTGGAAGGGTGGTTGTTGTGGAAGAGATGGAGGAGGAGGAACAGATCGCGGGGCGGGTGGTTGAGGGGAGTAGGACCTTTCGCGGGACCCTGATCCCCTCCCTGATGGACTGCGCGATCGAGAATCGTAGTGGCCCTGTCTGCGCGGCGGCGTCCGACTGCGTGAGCGGGACCGGCTCCAGCGGCTGTCGTCGCTGGCGAGGCTGTCGCTGTATCGTCGTCTCCGGGGGGTGTCGCTCCGGCTGCGGCTCCGGCTGCGACTGCGGAAGCTGGACGATGTGTCTCTCTTCTTCATCTCTTGGCAGAATCCCCGCGACCATCCGTAGTATGTGCTCCCTGCGACGATGTCCCCCGTGGGCCCGTCCCGGATGACGGTCTGCCCTAGCTCGTCGATGTCCACGATCTGGTCTTCTTTGGGCTCCGGCTTGCTCGCGTCGTATATGCGCTCGGCATCGCTGAGGAACACCTTGAGCGCCGTCACCAATTTCTCATCTGCCGGTCCGGCGAGGAACTGCAGCGGTTTGATGGAGTCCGGTCGCAGCGGTACCGTCACGCTGGGGATGATATGAGGGAAAAGGTTGCCGGCCGGTAGGTCGTAGAACGGGGTGGAAGCGTCGCCGTGGGTGGCCGGCATGACGAACGGGGCGTCCTTCCCGGGCTGCTTCTTCGCAAAGTCCAGGTTGCTCGTCTCAACGTCCACGGAGGCTTTGACCGGGCCGGATAGAGCCGAGTTCTTCACCACCTCCCGAAGCTTGTTCACGTAGTCGCTGCCATAATATCCATTCTGCTCCCAGATATCCAGCAGCTCGTCCAACCGCCTATGGTGTTTAGGATTCTTCGCCCGGTCGTACGACGCCGCGTACCCGAGCAATTCCACGATAAACGGCTGTATCGAGCCGCTCAGGGTAGAAAACGAAGCAGTCGAGTCCAGGTGAAACTTGGTATGGTGAAACAGGTCGTTCAGCAGATAAAGGATATGCAGTCTCTTCCGTTTGCCGGACGGACGAGGTCGGCCGCCGCCGGGCTTCTCCGAGTCATCAAACGACCCAGACAGAGCAACGAGGTATTTGGCCAACCCGCCCACCCGATTAGACGATGAAACGACAAGATTGAGCAGCCATGTTTTGCAAGTCTAGTGCGTGCCGGGGGGCAAAAGTTTTAGTATTCCTGTGGATTTTGACGGCCAGGGACTCGCAATTCAAACCTGGATGTTTGCTGGGGTGCAATGCGACAACGCCCTGTCAAGTGCGGTGTGGAAGGTGAAGATCTCGTCGCGTGGAACGGACGTGGGGTCGGGGCGTAATAGCCCGGCCGAGAATGAGGCTTTTGCAATGGCAAGTTGGTGAGAGGCCATTGCGCCGGGTGTGTTGGGGATGTGAAGGTGTTGGAGTCGAGGACGAGACATCGTGATCCGCTGCGGAGTCGCCGTGATGGCACGTGACCTCTTTATATACTCCGCCTACAACTACCAACTATGTTGAAAATTAACGTTGTCTACATTTGAGTATCCAAGTATTCGGTGCTATTCTATCTATTCAAAAGACCGGATCAAGAATGCTATATGTACATGGGTGAGTAATAGACACCCTGGGCTATGTACTAGAGATGTTGCTGCCCAAACCAACTAGAGTATCAAGTCCGACGAATGAGTAGTATATTTATTTACAGGCTTCAAGCCCGAGACAATCATCCATATAGACACTTTATCTAGTGCCTCCCCATACCATGACGCCGATGGGCGTGGTAATGACGATGCGCAGGGGCAGAGGTGGAGGAATGCGGCGGCGTCGATGGCGATGTGCTAGTCCAGGTATAGCTCGAGGTCCTTGTCGTAACCGCAGTCGAGGTTACCACGCTCGTCGATGTAACAATAGACGAACTAACCGGAGTGCTCGGAGAGCGCGTTGGACTGCCGGGGGTGCTCGACTGGGCCCCGGTGGGACCGAAACCAACACAGGTCGATGATAGAGGCGCGGTGATTTCCTGCATTATGTCAGAGGAATGGTACGAAGTTTTCTAGAAAGTCCAATCTGAACAGAAGAATTATACGTGTGAAACTTACCGCAATCTTCTGCTGGATGATCGCGTCTTCGGGCTCATCCGCCTTTGAGACGTCTACATTGATGCTGACCCCGACAGCAGGAATCACGTTCGCGCCGTACCGGTGGTGTTCCTTGTCATCAGCACAAGCACCGTTGGTGTCTATATTGATCAGTAAGATTCTCCCAGTCGACATAAATAGAGGGGAGAGGCATACCGGCAGAGGCCGAGATGGTCTCCGAGATAGAAGGCTTCATGTTGACGCCAATCTGGAAGCCGTGATCTGCGCTATTATATTAGCTCATTGTTATTTATGTGGAGGTCGCTCGACTTACCAAGGATGGACGCCGCAAATTGAACTGAAGCTTTGCCGTATACCTCTGCTTTTGTCTCGATCTTCCCATCAAGCGACACAGGCACGAGCTCCAGCTCGGGGGTCCAACCACCCGCGGAGACATCTGGATGCAGCATGTCGATTTCGAGCTCCGCCGAATCCTTGAGACTCATTTCAACACCACCTGTAATCCCCGCCGAGCCTTTGATGAGCCCGATGGAATATCCAACGCTGAAGACGATTTGCGGGCCAAGATCGAGGACACCTCCGGGGATGGTGATACCATTGACCGGGATCGTGGCAATCTCGTACTCATCGCCCAGATCCTCGTGCAAGTTGCCACTCAATGCCAGGCGCGGCGTCAGACTCGCACTGACCCCGTTGGGTGAGAGTGTCAGTGACGCGTCCTCGGGAAGGCCGTCTTTGGTTTTGAGGTGGATTCCAAAGTCGAACGATCCCTCCGTTTTACAATCGTTGCAGGAAATCTCTACCGAGACACCGGAGTTGGGAATCGGGAACGACTCGGTGAAGGGGATTTTGTGGTCGAAGCTGAGGGATGCGGTAGGGCTCCATTCTCGCTTTGTGGTTGCTTCAGGATCATTGCCCACCGTGAGCTCGTAGTTGCGGAAGAGACGCTTCCACGTCGATTCCACGCCGGTCAACTTCGCTTTCAGTGCATCCTTGTCGAAGGTAATCGATGAGACCACGAAAGGCGTCCTGTGGTCGTTCCAACTGCAGTGTTTCTTCCCAGCGACGAGTACCAGTTTCCGGTCATCGTCATCGTTGACCCACTGCCATCCCTTTTGGGTGTGTTCAAACGCCTTGGAGTCGTCGAACTCCATAGTCATGCCGTCTTTAGCGCAGTCAAGGGACTTCAACAGGTGCCGGAACCGTTCCATCGAGACAATGCTCGCTTCATCCTCTCCGAGGTCGACAGTGAGGTTGGCCAACGTCTTGTGGCCATTTTGGGACCCTATCATACCGAATTAGCGGACATCCAACCGGCCTCAATTCCCCTGGCAAGTCGCGTACCGTGCCAGTACCATGAGTCTTTCTTCAGGCGATCAAAGAGCGAATAGATAGAATCGTCCCCTCTGCCGGCCAACGAATTGACGGAAGCAGGCGCTTCGGCGTCTTCGAATACTAGAGAGAGTCCCTGTTGCGCCAGAAGCGAAACGGCCAGGACTGACAACGATGATCGCAAAAAGTTCACCATCCTGGAGGTGAGAGTGAGTGTCTGCGGGGGGGAATGGATTGTAAGGAGAACCCATATTGTCTTCAGGGGACATTGACTTCTTAATATACGAGTACGCTACTATTGGGCTCGAAAGTGATCGTCACCTTGGGGTACATCTGGAAGTATCACGGACGTGGTTTAGCCCCGGTGTTTTCAATCATTGACGTGGTAGTCTATAGATAGGATGGAGATGGAGTAGTACTAGATAAGAGCTAAAATGCTTGTCAGGGGCACGCTAAGACGCGGCTGGCTCGTATTCTGCTGGAGACCGTTACGGGGCCCATTTTTTGAAACCCCTTGTCCAGCAACGATTCCCATGGAAGATGATAAGCGGTTTGTTCCTGTCCATCATAATTCGCAATACGTGTTAAGCCACAGAGTAATCCACAGGGCAGTCCACAGAGCAATCCATAGTGCAATCCATAGAGCAATCCATACTCCGTAGAGCAACCCCATTGAGGCTGGGAGCTTTCCCGGGCTCTCGGGTAGCATACTTAGCACGAAGTATCTCAATCTCAAACCTCGCTTGGTATACGCAGGATTCGATCAACAAGGGAATCAATCCGGACTCCCGCCCTAGGCCGATGATCTGGATGCTAAGTAGGAGACTGGGAGTCCTTGACGATGCCATCATTCCTTCATCAGACATCTCATCAGCAATCATCCTGGTATTCAGCCAGTGGACGCTCGTGGCACACATTCAACGGCCGCTGCAAGGGTTGACAGCATGGCATGAGTACAATCTTATTGATCGAGGCGGCATCCATGGTTGAGCCACAAGTTCGACACTGAATTGGCTGGAGTGTCAACATTGGAGTATACCAGACTTAAGTTGAAACAGCAACCCAAATGACAGGGGTTCAGCCTCTGTTTGAACTGAAGAGTAGCTACTCCCTTGTATAGAAGGAGAAGCGTCGATCAGGCTGCGCTGAGCTAAGCTGAGCTAAGCTAGCTCAGCTGTCACGGGACTGGCTTATCACGGGGCTAGACTGGAGTCCAGTCACGTGTAGTGACGTAGGCTGTGTTACATGCCTCAGGCCGCATATCCCGGTATGGCATGATTCAATCCCGCTCAGCCACTCCTTCAGCCATGTTTGCCTGTCAGATTTCGTACGAAAGTTTCAAGGGTCCGAAACAGAAACACATCACACCACCAATCCGGATGTTGGTTCTGCCGCCATCAGGACATCCCCTGGACGTTCCAACGGACCACTCCCCACCCATGGAACCAATGGCCACGCGCGGGAGTCATCTATACCATTTAGGAGAGAGACTTCTTCCATACTAGATCGAAGTTTGGGAGAAGGCGTCCAGTCACCGCTACCGTATTACTTTTCATCTGTGAGGGTGTGGTGAGCTCGAGAGAGTTGTGGCTGGCCTAGTGGACACTAACTAGGTACCTAGACAGCCCCGCATTGAGTCTTCGGCCGGGGATCGCGATCATTGCGCTATTGATGGCGTGAGGGAATATCATCCTCTATGAGGTGATTTACTGACTGGATTGGAACTATGAGTCAATCATGATCCAGCCAGTGGCTCAGGGTGGAAAATCTAGTAGGTATTCTAGTACGGCGTACTACGGTTGTATGTAAATCCATTTCCTACACTTCTAGAGAGTAGATAGGTACATATGAAGTACTTCAACAGTACCAGGCCAGCACAGTCTGCTATATGGTAATCCTTAATTGGATAAAGTCACCGTCTTGTAGCTGTTAAGTACTCTGGAAGTATACTATCTGGTCAGGTGGGCCTTCAAGTATGAAACCCCACAGGAACCCCAGACTAACTATAGGTAACTATGTGTTTTGTATTCCTCTGTATTGTATTCTTTCTTTCCCCTCTCCTCCCTCAGGTGATTCGATTCATAGTTCCCTCCGAGAGATGATGGCGAATCTCTGACAAGAAGGGAATGCTTGGTTTCTATATAAGGTTGCGACAACCCTGCCTGTCTCCCTACGCTTCCTATTTAGAAAATCTACCCCCAACTCAGTCCCACTGTTCACCTCGATATAGTACCTACTATAAAGCCAACTTCCTACTACTGATAGTCATATACAATCTACGAGTCCTACCTCAAACACAACCACAACCATGAGTGTCGCCGTCCAAATGATCCGCCCAGCCATCCGCCATTTCTCCGTCCGCCGTCCTCGTCCAGACTCGCGCACTTCGCGCTTCGTCACAAGCTCCTGTCTCGTCTCCGCAGTGGTCCTCCCTTTCGTCCCACCAGCTCTAGAGAGCTCTCGCGAAAAGAAGTCCGGCTATCCCAACCACAACAAGTAAGCTTAGTCGCAGTCGCTATACTATGTCCAATAATCAAAGCATCGACCAAGCTGACTGGTTTTACTTTAGAGCGCATCCCCCGCTTTGCTTCCACGCGCGGTAGATCAATCTGTCCGGTGCTGTTGAACGGCGCCCTTCTACTTAACTCTCTTTTTTCTATTTTCTTTTGTTGTCTTTTTTAGCGACTTGTTTTTTTGAAGGGCCTACACTTCGCTTCTGATCGACGATCTTATCTTTCATCATTTTCGGCGTACCGGTACACACAACACATATAAGCCCCTTACATCTCGCTGTGGAGACAAATGACGTTGGGGTTCATCTTGCATATGGAGTTGGGGGCGGTTAAGCTATGGCGATCGCTTGGTTGATTTGACATCTTTCTGTTTACTTTGGGGTAGTTCTTGTGTGAGGATAGTATGCGCGTCTTGGTTGGTGTGGAACTGACATACATTGGAATATACTTTGGCTCCGATGCGGGGATTGCGCTCCAAGGTCTATTAATGGGCATTAGTTTGAGAAATCTAGCAATAATGCAAGTACTAGCGGCCTGGCGTCGCAGGGTCAATTCCAAATTGTTGTTATGAGTAAAATCCAAGCAACCACGTAGCATTGTGTACATTACATCTAACACATGTAAAAAATGTGTTGGCTTTTGAATTCCTCCTGCACCTTTGGTCCCCGCACATCGCCAGTGGCCCGCAGTAAACCCACATTGTCCCCTTCCTAGCAGCTAGCACGTTCGGAGAACAGCAAAACTCTGGTTTTATGATACAGCGCCAGACCTCCCTCATTACTGAGATGGCAGTGGCAAAATTGGCACCTGGCACCCTGCAAGCATAATTGCTTAGCTGAATCGGTTGCCCGGGGGCGGTCGGAAAGGCCGGGCCGCCTCATACTTCCCCTTTTCTGATACCCGTTCGGCCTCGGTGAGGGGCTCGTGTCGAGTAGGAGCGGGATCCAGACTCGCCTCTACACTCGGTGAGTTGGTGTTGTCGGCGGCGTTTTCGCCGCGCGGGATGTTGCCTCGGTTCAGGCCGGCGGACCCGGAAGATGTCGGTGTCGCTCCAAGTGTGGCAGCCTTCCGTCGATCCTCCGCCTCCAGGGCAGCCATCTGCGCTTTCCGCTTGACTTCCGCTTCATACCGAGATGCACGCTCGGAGTTGATGGATTTCTTCGCAAAGTAGTAGGCACCGCCGCCGGCTGGTAGGGAGTGTTTGGTTAGTCGTTGTATTCCATTGGATAGCCTGTGTCCTTGTCTTTGAAACGGACTGAGAGTACTTACCAACACAAAGAGTGCCCCATCCTACCCTGTAGGAGCATTGTCAGAGCTTAGTTCTCAATGGAATGTGCATGTTTGGATTATGGGTGTAGGGCGGAGTGATTACGCACCAGGTGGATCGAATCTAATAATTGAGAGCTCTAAGATTAGTACTTTTCAGTAACAGCAGAAGTGAGATAGAAGCATACCGTGTTCATGTTGTAGAAGTTAATGTGCAAATACAGAGATCAAGATGATTCTTCAATGCGTGCAAGAAGATTAATTGATGATGGAAGAAGAACTACGTCAATAATCCGGAAGGCGAATTTAAACCGGCAATTTTTATACCGCCTTCCGTATAAAGACATCTGCTCCGTTAGCCTTTGAATACTTCCGGCCGATCCTCTTCAGGCTTCCACTCATCTCCATCTTTCTCACTCACTTTCACTTACACACTCTCTATCTCTCGCATACCATCCCCATATCCTACATACCGTACAGAGCGACCCTGGACTATACTCTCCTGATCACTGAAAGACCCTATTGTCTCTCGGGGATGGTTGTACTTGTAACTCTCAACTAAGGCGCTGGTAGCCTTGGAGCATACCTCTGCCCGTGTACGAATCGGTCAGCAGCCATCATACGAACATAGACTTTTAGACATCATTTCAATACACATACAAACAGAGCACGGATCATGCCTCCTGCAAAGCGCAAAGCGACCGACAGTATGATGCTTGATACTCGAGGTCACATAGATATTGGCTGACTCGCGGCTAGGTGGTCGGTCTAGTAGAGCATCGAAACGAGCAACCCCCGTGCCTGACATCCACGAGGTTGGCAGTAGCGACGAATATTCCGATTACGAGGAGGATGCGAAGGTGACTAAATTGAAAGGTAGTGGAACTCGCCTGGTTAGGAACTGCGATAAATGGCTTACTGACTCATTGTTTAAAGAGGTCGTCGACAAATTCTCCCTCGAGTCTTTCAGCAACAAGAGCGATGGACACGTGCAGAAACACGATCCAAATTTCGGCTACAAGGACTTCTCTTCGCTGGATTTGAAGCCAGACCACGCCAACCGTCCCCTATGGATCGATCCGCTGAAAGGCACCATCACGCTGGAGAGTTTCTCGCCGTTGGCCCCTCAAGCGCAAGATTTTCTGACAACGATCGCCGAGCCTCTTTCGCGTCCGACCCATATGCATGAATACCGGTTGACGGGGAATAGTTTGTATGCGGCCGTGTCTGTCGGTCTTCTCCCTCAGGACATCATCAACTTCCTCGACCGACTGTCGAAGACCCCGCTACCAGATGCCATCAAATCTTTCATCATCGATTTCACCAAGTCTTACGGGAAGATCAAGGTCGTGCTGAAGCATAATCGTTTCTTCGTGGAGAGTACCGACCCGGGCATGCTCCAGATGCTTCTTCAAGATGAAGTCATCGGACCGCAGAGACTGCAGGGGTCGGAAGGGATCACACAGCAGGCAGCCCCGAAGATGGGCGGTCTGGTGATTCCGGGAACGAGAGATGCTGCCGGTGTGAAACAGACATCGGAGCAGCAACAGCAACCTGCAGAGGAAGGAGCAGTCGAAAGGACCCAGGAGGACGACCTGCTCCTGGCGATCCGCGATGACGACGACGATGATGATCAGGAACAAGTACACAGCTTCGAGATTCCAAACGAGGCGGTAGAACCAGTCAAAGCCCGCTGTCAGGCCATGGGCTGTCCGGCTCTGGAAGAGTACGATTTCCGCAATGACGAGATCAACCCGACCTTGGATATCGATTTGAAGCCAAATGCACGGATTCGAAGTTATCAGGAGAAGAGTCTTAGTAAGATGTTTGGCAACGGACGAGCGAAGAGCGGTATTATTGTCTTGCCTTGCGGGGCTGGAAAGACCCTGGTTGGTATCACTGCTGCTTGTACCATTAAAAAGGGGACAATCATCCTGTGTACGAGCTCCATGTCCGTGGTGCAGTGGCGAAACGAGTTCTTGCGGTGGTCCAATATCGATCCCGGTGACATCGCCGTGTTCACATCCGATAACAAGGAGAAATTCCGCCGATCCACCGGTATCATCGTGTCGACATATTCGATGGTTTCCCAGACGCGGGCGCGATCGCACGATGCGCAGAAGATGATGGATTGGATCCAGTCGCGGGAATGGGGTCTTATGATCCTTGACGAAGTGCACGTCGTGCCTGCTTCTATGTTCCGAAAGGTCACATCGGCCATTGCCACGCAGAGCAAGCTCGGTCTGACGGCCACGCTGCTGCGTGAGGACGACAAGATCAAGGATTTGAATTTCCTGATTGGTCCCAAACTGTACGAAGCCAATTGGATGGAACTCGCCGAGCAGGGACACATTGCGAAGGTCCAATGTGCCGAGGTGTGGTGCCCAATGACTACGGAATTTTACTCTGAATACATGAGGGAGAAGTCCAGAAAGGCCGCTCTCCTTTATATCATGAATCCCCGGAAGTTCCAAGCGGCTCAGTTCTTGATCGACTACCACGAGAAGCGGGGCGATAAAGTCATTGTGTTCTCGGACAATGTTTATGCTCTCGAGCGTTATGCGCTCAAATTGAACAAGGCTTACATCTACGGCGGTACTCCTCAGAATGAGCGGATGCGAATTCTCGAGAACTTCCAGCACAACGAGCAAGTCAATACGATTTTCCTTTCGAAGATCGGTGATACCTCGCTGGATCTCCCAGAAGCTACCTGTCTGATCCAGATCTCTTCGCACTACGGTTCTCGGCGTCAAGAGGCCCAGCGACTTGGTCGTATTCTGCGGGCCAAGCGTCGAAACGACGAAGGCTTCAATGCATTCTTCTACTCCCTTGTGTCGAAAGACACAGACGAAATGTTCTACTCGTCGAAGCGCCAAGCGTTCCTTGTCGACCAAGGTTATGCCTTCAAGGTGATCACCCACCTCCAAGGCATAGAGAATCTGCAAGGTCTTGCATACGCGACACCCGGTGAGCGCCGCGAGCTTCTGCAAGAAGTCATGCTGCAGAATGAGACCTCGGCGGAGGTGGAGCATGTCACGGACGACCTTTTCTCGGAGCGCTCCGGCGGCGCCAAGGGCAAGAAGGCGGCTGTGAAGCGGAGCGCCGCTACACTGAGTGGATTGGCTGGAGGCGAGGACATGGCTTACGTCGAGTACAACCGGAGCCGGAACAAGCAGCTGAAAGACAAGGGAGCGCACCACCCTCTGTTCCGAAAGATTGAACGGGATCTTCAAAAGAGGAAGAAGGATATGGCGGACCTCCGGTGAAGACGTTGGTCTTACAGAATGCTATTTATCCCCTTCTCTGTCGATCATGTCTTTGCTTTTCCATATTGGGTTGCTTTCCTTCCGCTGATCTAGAGACGATCATTTATCTTTGGAATCATTTACCCCATAAAGTATCTCCATGTATCTAATATGGATGTATAAAAAATCCTGCGAGGTCTTAATATCCAATTAGACATCCAAAAAGACTCCGCCACGCATCAGGCCCCCCGAGCCAAGAACTCCGCCGCCAGAAGCATCGTGGCTGGATGCTTGGCGACGATACGTCACAGTATATACCACATTAATAAATAGCCATTCAATTCACCATGATTCTTCCTCTTCAGACCCTCACCTTATCCTGATCGTATACCACTCTCAATCCAAACCCAAATACACACCAACATGAAGCCCACAAGCATTATCCTCCCCCTGGGTCTCCTCATCACCAACGCCCTAGCCGTCGACGTTACAATCACCATGGCAGGTGGAACAACCGACCTCCGACACCTCCCCACCACGGGAGAGTGCATCGACTTATTCCAGGGGTAAGTATAAGTAGTGCCAGTCCCAGTCAATGGCCTTCATATACATACATATCCATGAAAGTTGCATTCATGCTGACGACCTCCACAGAACACACCATGCCAAACTTCACGGCGGAGACAAGGGTACTCTTTGTGTTTTCTGGCTGTATGTTTCCCCTCCCCCTTTCTTATGTCTTGATTTGCGTGTTGAACGTAGTGGTGTCTGCTGTGATTGTGCTGATGCGTTCATGTACAGAGACTCCGGATGCACGGGTCCTCCGGTTGGGGCGATCTCGACGCAGAGTCGTGATAGTGATATGGTTGACTCGGCGAATGGGGCTCGCTGTCATTGAGCTTTGGTTCACGCTTACTCTGCATGCGCATATTACTTTGGGTGACTTGAGAGTATTCTTGGGGGTATATACTTAGTATTGGTATGACGTTCTCGTGAGGTCGATCTAGGCTCTTGGATGTATTTGTTTTAGTGGAAATTTTGTATACGTTTTAGTAATTTGGTCAATACTATGCAGAATGGAATTCAAATATTATCTACCAATATCAATAGTAGCTAAAAGCCATTCTATATCTTGATTTACTCCAGTATGAATAGCCCGATCTAGACGCTAGCCTGACAAACCTGGCACCCTATTTATTACTAACCACGGCAGATGATTCGCCTGATGACGTCGTTCGTTATCGGCCACCCCCAAAAGCCGAAGCTCCGACCCCTGTTCGTACTCCGCATTCTCGTATATAATATATGACTATCATCTGTCAGAAGAAGCATCGAGACTTAGATCCTTACTAATTGGATTAGAAGGGATTGGCTTTTGGGGTCTGGATTATACACGTTGTGCAACTGACGACTCGTCTTGTGGGTGGCTATATGAACCCCCGCTTTTCGTCGCTCGGGGTGAGTTTCTTCTTAAATATCTAGTTTTATTTGCCTGGAGGCATCGAGATTATATTGACATCATTGGTAGTGTATGAGATTGACCTCGAGTCGCTATTTGTCGCTGCTTCGCTCGACGACCCGTGCTTGCAAAGGCACTATAGGGCGTGATATTTCTTGGAGACCTGCGTCTTCGACTTCGACGTTCAAGTCACCGATAGCTGCGACTCGAAACAAAAAGCACTATTTTAGCACCGCTAGACCTAGCGCAATGGCTACAGCACGCAAGGTCCAACTGTCCCTGGCCAACGCTGGCGTCTTCTCAGCGAATCCTAGAGAAGACACCGCTCGGACGGCGAGCCAGCTCCTGCAGGGCGATCTGGAGAACCACCATGTATTCTTCAATGATGAAGGGTTTCATAGTCAGTCATGCGGTTCAAGAAATAACTTACCTGAGCAGGATCGTGCTGATCATAGTAGATCATCTGGTCCACCAGATCTTGACGATGTTTGCCCTTGGGGCGTCGCCGGATGAGGTAACGGCCGCGTATAACAGGAACAAAAGTTATCAGAGGCCAGCCTTGCCTGCAGATGAGGCCGTTGTTCAATCTCTGTACGACAAGGCTCGGTTCAGAGAGTTGACGGGCAATGGGCAGAACTATCCCCATTTCCTGGCCTTTTTCCAGCAGGAGATCGACAAGAAGGGGTGGGAGTATGTCCTCAATGAGTATGTTTTCAAGGGAGACGATAATGCCGAAAACATGCTGAGCAGACTGTTTGGAGGTATGTCACTGTGATATGATGAATACCGCAGGCTACCAAGTATACTTACAGCGTACTAGGCCTGCTGCATCCAATCATCCACATGGGCTTTGGCCTTGAGTTTCACCAACCGGCTATCGTCGCAGAGGCTCTCGCGCAAACTGCCGTCCACGAGGACACAGTCGCGCGGCTGTTCCTCTTACCGACAGAGGCCCGCGCAGGCGGTGTTGGCAAGCCCGGGAAGAAGCCAATGCTGCAGATTCTGGAGGAGATCCGTGCGGACCGGAAACTAGCGGATTCTGTCCATTGGTCTGATGGGAACAAGATTCGAGACGGGGTTCTCAAACGAGCCTCAGAAGAGATGATTCAACATGCGGCTGAATTCACCATATCTGAGGATCAGGTGGCTGAAAAAATCGCGGAGATGATCAACGTCCCCGGTAGGGACACCTTGAATAAAAGCTTCGCCAGTTTATAGCACTGACAGTGGTGTTTAGTTTACTACACGAGTGCCGCCCAACGCCCCCCCAAGAAGATCAAACTCGACTTCTTTTTCTTGCATTCTCTCAACTCGTCCATCTTCCTCTCCACATTCGTCGCACTGCCGTTCCTCGACGTGCGCTCCAAACTCCGTCTTTTGGAGTGGAAAGGGAGGATGGATCTCCTGCTGTACGTGTCCCGCGGTACACCTAATCTCCTCCTAGACGAGGTGACAGGCCATCGGGCATCCGATAGCTGGGACACGCTATTTGCCCATGGCAACACGCACCCCGGGGATGACGGCCACCTTTCAAAAGCGATGCGGGCGATCGCTCACGGCGAGAACGTTTGTCGTCCGTTTGAGGCGCAAGCTCGCGAGCGGGGATTAGCGATTACCGGGGATATGTGGCTGAAGGTTGGCAACATGGGTAGGTTAATCCCTTGTCATGAAAGCATCTCAGCCAATAGGATTCGTAACTAATATTGTCTACAGCCAAGGATTCAACCCTGAAACCGGACAACATGTGGGTGCGATCCACGGGATTTGAAGAAGCTTGGGCTGGGGTTGAGGACCGAGCACGTCTATAGGAGCCAAGGCCAAGTGGGGGGCGCCTATAACTAGTGCAATCAATTTTGGTTGACGCTATTCCAAGGCTCCACTCGAGTTTGGTTGAACATATGGGGTCAAGGATTATATGCATGGTACTAGTGATATTAATAAGTTTGCATATCGCAGGTCTGAGACCATGTAGGCAGATGTAGGCAGACGATGGGAGACTATCGTTGAAGTCGTAAATGTCGTAAATACAGATGAATCATTTCGATGGACGGCAGAATAAATTGGCCCGATCACGTGGTGATAGTGGGGCGGTGGAGAGAGATTCCCAACAGTTAAGAAAGTTGGCAGTTTAACCGACCGAACTTCTTCATCCATATCCATATCCGTATCCATATCCATTCGATTCTTCGCATTTTCTACACTGTCTTGTCTTTTGTCGATTACCCAGTTATACTTCTCGAGTTCTGCGGTTTTGTCGTCATGGCGGGTGAAGACGAGACTCAGCGTCCAAAAAACCAGCAACAGTCCTCGGATAGCTCCCGCGGGAGGTATGACGACGAGAACCCGTTCGTCGCGTTTCGCCGTTTCGCCGATGAACAGATCTCCTCCTTGCTCCAGTCGGTGACGGGCCTCCCATCCTCAGTGCATTCTCCTCATAGCGACCATTGGCCTGTTTTCACAGAGAACAACCACCACAACAACAACAGAGACTCCCGTGCTCTCCAGCGGGTGGCGGCGGGTGGCAACGACCAGGAAGATAGCGCACACTCACAAACCGCCTCAACCGACCCATCTGCGCAACGAGAGAACTCGCCAACATCGTCGCGATGGCCCGAAACCGAAGACCCGTGGAATACGCGTCGCGGACACAAACACCCCAACGCACCGTCCGGTTTCTTCGATGACGTCGATTTCTTCTTCGACTCCTTCTTCGACCGCTACTGGTTCAACGACGCCTTCTCCTCGCGTTTCTTCCACCCCTACCAGCGCCCCTTCTTCGCCAACATGATGAGCGATGACTCGCCCGCCTGGCCCGTCACATACCTCATGTTCAGCCCCTACTCGCCGCTCCACCTAGAGCGCCAAGCCCAATACCGAGCCCATCGCGATCGCGGCGTCTTCACTTCGCTCATGTCTACGCTGAAGCCCTCGAGCTCTGAACACGATCCCGCGGAGCCCCAGTGGCGCGAGGCCTTCGAGGACCTCCTGCGTCTCGAGAACGGAATGCCCATGCTGGAACGCGCCGCCGGCGCACAGCAACCAAGCCAGCCGCAGGAATCCGCAAAGGACTGGTTGCAGGGTCTGGTGAAGCGGGGAAGTATGGGAGATCGCTGGAAATATGTCGCCGGGCAGAACGGTCACCCCTGGTCTTCGATCACCCTCGACAACTCCAAGGATAACCAGGCCCTTCCGGAGGGAGAACGCGCAGACGACCAGGCTGAAAAGACTGAAATCCGCTGGAACGAGGAGGATGGCTCGGGGGCCACGACAGAACTGGATATGTACGATCGATTTTTGACGGACATTGAAGCGCGTCAGCGCGAGTTCTTCGATGAAGCTCGCGCGAGTCCGCTCATGCATTTCCTTTTCCAGGGCTTGCATTCGGCCCGAGACAGAAAGTCTCAGAGGGAGGAGGACAACGACGACGACACGAAGAGCTGGATAGACCTCGTCTCAGGCGGCCAGAAGGATTCCGTTCCTGATTCCGTCCCGGAGCCATCGCCATCACCCCCATCATCGGAACAAGATCCTTCCAAGGCCGTAGAGCCAGCCCAGCAACAACAACCCTACGTCATATCCACCAAGATCACAACAGACCGCACCCGCCTCTCCGACGGCTCCGTGCAGACCAAGACGACCAAAACAAAACGGTATGCCGACGGCCGCGAGGAGACCAATGAATCCGTTGAGGTTGTTCATCCTTCCCAGCAGCACTCGGATGGGTCGAGCAAGAAAGGCTGGTTCTGGACGGACTAATTAATCACTTATGCCAATGATGCAGCCGCTATTCTTTTCCTCCCTGTTTTTTTTGGTTGGATTTGTTTTGTGTGTCCTTAGTTACGATTCTCCTTGTGTTGAACACTTAGCGTTTTTTTTGGTGTTGGTTTTGATTTTATCATTCTGCTCTGTTTCTTGCTGTCCTGCACTGCACTATCGAATTATATAGTTCTCGCGTGTCACGCTCACCATGCTCAGACTTCCATCTGCTTATGTATAACACTCACTCACTCACTTCATCATTTCCCTTACAAATCATCTCAAAGTTAATCTGATCCTGCTTTGTTCATTCCTGCTTCAAACACGAGTCCATTACAAGTTAGGCAGTTGAAACCATCTAATCAATCACAAGAATGATACATTACATTCCTAGTACTCCGTACATAATCACGTATACGTATCCAGGTCTTAAACGGATAGGATATCCACCTCTACTCAGCTCTCCTACATTACTCCTAAACTTCAATCAGCCTTGACGCTCTTCTTCTGCGCCTTTCCGACTGTCCACCCCTTTGACTCCCAGTACCTGACGCTGTCTTCCATTTTCTTGTAGGCCCACGAGAAGGATGGGTCTGTTTGAAATTTGTTAGCTGGGTGCTGCCATTGATTGTGGGATAAGGAACAAAACGCACAGAGGAACTGTCTCAGATCGTGCCTGTTGTCGTCGGGAGAGTACTGTTCCGCGTGATAACTGGGCGTAATCACGGTCATCTTGTGGCGGTTAAGGGCGCTGTAGTTTCACCAGCATTAGTATATTATATTATATTATCCTTATCAGTCTGCAGCAGCTCAGATAACTCACTAATTGTAGAAAAAGTGGCGCGTCTTCTCGTAGATCTCGCGAGGGCTGTAGTCGTTGCCCCAAACGTGCAGCAATCGCTCGTACATCGACCATGGGCCGAGCTTGGCGACCTTGCGGAGGTAGCCGAATGTCGAGAGCTCTGCATATGTGACGCCCATGTCGGCCTCGTCAGACTGGACGTAGGTCGATGTGATGGGTTCGAGTTCGGCGGTTGGGGTTGCGTCTAGGAACTCGTGAAGGATGGGAAGTTCGAAGGAGTCGCGTGCCCAGGCGATGAATTTCTTCAGGTCGACTTTACTGATGGAGCCGATGGGGTTGAGCTGGAGAGTCAGTACATGGTATCAGGTGAAGTGTATGTATGAAAGGGACGTACATCTGCGCTACTGGCGTCGTATTTGGTCAAGTATCCGCGGAGGCTGTTTGGATTAGCATTGGTTTATAGAGTGTGGGGCGGAGTCTAATGCTAGATTTGCTGTGGGATCATGCACGCACCATTCTAAGGGACAGTCAGTAAATGTCTGCGCAAAGTCACATAGGCAATTTGAACATACCATCAACATTAGACGCGGCTAAAACGAGCAATCCACCACCATTGGGACGCTGTCGAACAGTCGGGAGCAAGGACGCGAAAAGATAAGCAAAGACCATCCTCAGGCGGGCCTGTACGTTCTGCAACGCTGCATTTTCAGCCTTGCCCCCACCGTGGACCTTGAAGCGAGGCTGAAAGTTGGTGACAACAGTGAACATATTCGTCAGTGCGGTCACGACTGTATCGAAATTGAAGTCGATGTGGTATGAGCCAATGTCCGTTGCAAGTGCTTTCGATCGGTCCCTGGTCTCCTTGCTGGAGTTCTGCGTGCCCATGTAACTTGTGTGGAAGATGCGACTGGAACAATCAGTACTCCGAGACTAATATTTATACCTAGAGTTTTTCAACATAAGAGCAAAGGAAACCTACTTGCAGACTTCTTGGCTTGTGCTGGGAAGCCAGTCGGAGCCCTCGGGCTCGGCGCAGAGCTTGCGCACATCGGCGATAACTTGTTCATTTCCTTCTTGGACAGCCTTGACTACCTCCCTGCACATTGAGTGGACAATCACAGCGGTGGCGCAGCTGTCAATCCCACCACTAAGTGGAAGGAAGTATCCCACAGCCCCGCATCTTCGGAGGTAGTCCCAAAGCCAGCATGCAGGTCCCAAGGCGACCTCTTCTTCAGGAGCATGGTACCGAGGCAGGATGGTCTCAGACGGAGCGAGACTAGGCTCGGCTTCTTCGTCGCTGCGGGAGAGTCTTGTGTCTAAGTCAAGGCGAACGAAGGGAGGCTGTTTGCTGGCTTGCATGTTGCGACTGGTGCTCGAGCGATATGTCCGCACCTACACGGTGTTAATGCATTCCAAAGTTTGGTGGGCGTTGGCGCTCAAACCTCTTCGATATCAATAGTAGCTGTGACAACCTCCACGTCATTGAGAGAGAACTGAGAACCTTGAGCCACGAGATTTCCATTGACGATGATCATCGCGCAGCCATCATAGTACAACCTATCGCCGTCGCACCCCTGCTGGTTGGCATAAAGATAGATACCACCACTCTAGAAAAGCGTCAGTGATTGCTTATCATACTTCGCAGCATATAGTGAGCAGCATTACCAGCTTCGTCGCCTGGGTGATAAGATTGATACGGGTGTCCAGCTTTCTCAATTCATGGTGACTTCCTGACGAGTTCGAGATGATCTCCACGCCAGCTAGAGAATAGGGAATGTGCGGACTATCCGGGGATAGAGTTAGCTAGGACGCTGCGACAATGTTGATTGTACCACATACCCATTCGGAGTGAAAAGCTCCTCGCAAGTCTCCAGACCCAAGCAAGTATCTCTGGTGCTGATGACAGCATCGCCGAACGGAACCTTGTACTGGCCAGTAATCTTTCCAACAATCTGCTCCAGATAATAATCCTCTACTTCTTGCGGTCGTTGCCACGGAGTGAAGTGTCTCATCTCTCTATAATTTCCATCTGAGACGAGCAGTCAGCAACACTGGCCATCAAGGCGCAACAAATAGTATCATGGAAGATAACAAGTCGACGGGATTTATACAAACCATTGGCGAGCCACATCTTGGGGCGGATAAGGATGATCTTCCGGTTGAAGAAAATGACCCTTCACGACAGTCAGTTCAAGTACGCATATGAGAGCGATATGTTGGATGTACCGGCAATTATATCGCACGTTCCGATGGCGAACGGGCATTCCCACATCGACCACAATATCCTGGCAATCGGGGTGGTCGATGATACGAGCGAGCATTTCCCAAGAGTGCAAGAACGTATCACCTTCGAGGAATCCATCCAATACTCCATATCCTACCATTGCACCAAGCCATCAGTTTGTGTTCCGTTCACTGCCGTCGAAGAACATTACCAGTGATTTCAAGCTCAGGCCCGACTCGCAAGGAAGCACCAGCCGCTTTTGCTTTGCGAATGCTCTCAATGATCCTCGCTGCGTTGCCCTCAAAATCGAGAGCCCACTGGTTAAGGGAGCTTGAATGTCAGGTCAGTATGTATCTCCGAAAAGAAAAGATCCGAATTGCCTATGGCGTACCATGTTGCCAGAGTGACTAGGTGTCCCATTTTGATGGAGACTGGCTGGCACGATGCACCGACTCAATGACTTGTCCGGTAACCCAATATGGGTCTATAGGTAGTACTGACAGGCGACGAAGGTACTAACGGTGTCTATGGAGTCGTTGATAAGAATTGGAGACGGAAGACATCATCGCGGTCACGTGTGTGGGGAGCTCCCCTCGTGCCCCTCTATGGTCACGGTATTACCGTATATTATCCATCTTGCATAGCAATCTCATGAAATGATGTATTCGGGATACCCGCCACCCCGGAACTCCGCCGCGATGATCCTCGGCCAAACAGACTGCTGATTAATCCACGATATCGTCCCCTCGTTCGGTTGTTGGATGATTCGCCTTCTGTCAACGCTAGATGAGATACGATTATCTGCTTGTCTTGGAAGTTCTGCTCATTTTGTCTTCTTTAGTCTGATTCATTAGACGTGTTTCGCTTTGCTTGCATAGATTGATACCACCCGTTGCTTTTGTCGCATACATATTTCATACGTATCACATACCAGACAACTCATACATATAATTGCCAGTCTCGCTACAGGATGACGACTACTCCTCAGATCCCAGCACCTGCGCATACGCAAGCCGACTCCATGTTGTCTCGTCATTTTGGGAGGGAAACTGTGAACTATTTCTCTAGTAAGGTTGCCCCAGGATGTAGAGGAACAACTGAAACTGACTGGGCTAGGTTCCCCTCTGAACCGGCTGTCCTTTCTGCGCTCCGAGCACCCTTTCCTGTCAGCCGCCTTAAGACACCCATCGACACGCTTTGTGCTTTTGAAAGACCTCGCGCCGCTTACGAAATCGCCGTCGGAGTTATATCTCGCCCAGTATGACGAGGTCCGCAATCTCGTCCCCGAGAACTTCTACGATAAGCCCGAGGAAGACATGATCAAAAACTTCGACTCGCGGAAGACCACCGCGAACCTCATTTTCCTAGGCGTAGACGAAACCCGCAAACAGGACGGTCTAGCCTGGAAGATCTACACCGGTGCGCCCTTCTTCGCCCTCGATGTGACGCCAAAGGGATGCGATGAGCAGCAAAACGGCGCGAACGCCATCATCAGCGCCATGGAAGCCAAGGGTCTCAGCTTTTTCCAATCCCGCGTAGTCATGTCCTTCTCTGCTGACGACGGTGCGTCACTTCCTTTCCCCCTCGCAATCGTGGAATACCTCTCACTCACGCCCTTCTAGCCGCCATCTACGCGCAAGCTCGCGCCCTCGCAGACTGGAACACCCGAAACAACTACTGCGGCACCTGCGGCAACCCAACCCTATCCGTCAACTCAGGCACCAAGCGCGCCTGCCCGCCCACAGACGCCGCGCGAATCGCCGAAGGCAAAACCGCCGAGCGACCAGGGTGCAACACGCGCACGACGCTCTCAAACTTGTCCTTCCCGCGGACCGACCCCACCATCATCGTCGCGGTCGTCTCCACCGACGGAAAGCGCATCCTGCTGGGCCGCTCCAAGCGCTTCCCGCCGAACTGGTACTCCACTCTGGCGGGGTTCATCGAGCCCGCAGAGTCGGTCGAGGACGCCGTCCGGAGAGAAGTGTGGGAGGAGGCTGGGGTGACTCTCTCGCGCGTCATCATCCACTCGTCTCAGCCGTGGCCTTACCCGGCTAACTTGATGATTGGCGCCATTGCGCAGGTCAGCGACCCTGCCCACGAGGAGATCCACTTGCTGCATGATCCAGAGCTTGAAGATGCAAAGTGGTTTGACATTAAGGAGGTCGAGGAGGCGTTGAGGGTGGGCACCAGTGCCTTGGGCGAGAAGGCGGGTACGGAGTACAAGGAGGGCGGCTTGAGATTGCCGCCTCCGACTGCCATCGCTAACCAGCTTATTAGAGCTGCGGTCAACATTGATGGTCTGACCGCGAAGGGCTCCAAGATGTAAAGAGGGGCTATTCGTTGAGTTTTTTATATTAAATACCTTTTCATTCTTTTCAGTCTTCTTTAAGCCTGTGACTGTCGAGTAAATACTCGTTCACATACGGTGCATTTTATAGACTAAACGTGGGAACGGGCACTATGATCAGAGAGTATTCCAAAAGATTTGCAACCCAGAATCGAGATATCATGCACATTGATTCAACTGATAACTCTAGAAGACGGTCATAGATTCGCATACACAGTCCCATCCCTCAACTCATGTATACTCCCCCTTCCACTAGGCGACCCAACCTCCGTATACATCCTCCCATCCCGCAACTCATGGATCGTAATTCTCCGATGCGACTTCCGCCGCCTCGAGCTCCGCTGCGACACCGAAGAAGACGTACTGCGAAACTCGCGCGACGGGGAACAGACGCTGCCTTGGTCGCTGAATGCGACGTTGCTCTCGGGTGTCTCTTCGCGACTGGCTTGGCCGATGGAGGCTTGGAGCTGGTTGTCTGCGACCATTGCCGTGCCGATTTCGCGGTACCACTTGTGGAGTTTGGTTGCGTAGCTCATTTCGGCGCTGGTGGGGTCGATCTGCGGGGCGTTTAGTTGTGTTCCGTCTGCGGATTTGAGAACAGCCCATGAACTTGTGTCGGTGTTTACGAGCGTTACCGAGTGGTGGAAGAGTTGGGGCCGGAAGTTCTGGAGGAGGATCGCTTCACCGTCTGCCAGTGATGGGAGCGCTTCTTGTTGGGGTCGGAAAATATGAGCTTGTAAGGTTGTGCCGGCCATGGATGGGTCCGTGAGCTGAAGCACCAGCAAGAAGTCTTTCGTGCCTGAGGTGGCGCGGGTCACCGGATAAACCTCCGTTGCGATCGAGATCGTGTCTGTTAAGGTATTGTCGCGGTCGACAAGACTTGCCAGGGAAGCAAAGTGAGCGCGCTTGCGGTGGTGACGAGGGGTATGGCGGTTCATGTCAACCAGATCAACATTGTCTAACGAGTGTATGGACTCGTAATCGTCATGTGAATCTGTGTCGGGACTTTGATGCTCCCTAGGACTATGGTACGTATCCGCTTCATCCTGAGCAGGAATTTCAGCATCATGGATCAAGGTACTGGTCTCAGAGTCTTCCGCTTTCACTCCAGTCGGTTCTTGATGCAAAGACGGTTCACGGGGCAGCGTTTCGATCGGTGGAGCTGGCTTTTGTGTATCGTCAGGCGTGGGTCTAATGGCGTCTGCAGACACTTGCGTAGGAGATTGTGCGTCAGGTTTCGATAATTGGGAAAGTTCCGGAGTCAACGGCATTTGGATGTTGGAGTGATCGGGCGATTTGCTGAGAAAATCAGGATGACCAGGCTCTGAGGTTGATCCGTTCGCAGACAAAGCAGCGTTATCATCTTGTCGAGTTGAATCCCCAACGTGGTTTTCTTCCTGGCTTGGCGCATCTTGGTACTCATGGGAGTCTTGAACTGCATCAACGTCCATAGTCCCTTGAACAGGCCCTAGCCCTTCCAGCGCTGGGTCGATAGCTAGTCCAAAGCTATCTGGAGCACTAGAAGAATGAGTTGGGTAAGGCTGGTGGATTGTTGGCAAAATACCCGAATCGGCATCATAAAAGGCCGGTCCTGGACTCTGCAGTGATGTTGTGTCTTCTGCTGTGTTCAAAACATCGAGAGGTTCCGGCCCTTGTCCATCCAGATTGGAAGGTCCTTGTGGTGACATGGACATTCGTGTCCTTTCGGTTTCTTGATCCATATGGAATTCGGCAATTTCCGCATCGTCATCGTTGGCTGCTTGAACTTGTGGTTCTGAGCCCTCAGCATCTTCACCCGGGATCTCTTCCTGGTCGTTGTCTTGCTGGATGTTCTCTTCCTGGGCGTTCTTTTGCTGGACACCTTCCAAATGAACATCGTCCTGGTCTTCCCGTTGAACATCCTCTCCCCTGATGCTTTCCTCCCGGATGCTTTCCTCCCGGATGCTTTCCTCCCGGATGCTTTCCTCCCGGATGCTTTCCTCCCGGACGCTTTCCTCACGGATGCTTTCTTCCAGGATGCTTTGTTCCAGGATGCCTTCCGCCTGGGGCTCTTCTTGCCGTGAGTCGTCCTGCGGGACGTCCGGGATATCCTCCTGCTGGATATCCTCCTGCCGGGTGTCTTCCTGCCGGGTCTCCTGCTGAGTAGCTACCGGTTGCGGGACTTCGCGGGCGTCATCGTCCATGCTTTCTTTTACTTCAGCATGCTCGGCGCCCTCATGCCCAATTTCATCCGTTTGTGATTGCTCGCCTTCGGACTGGTCTTCTTCCTCAACTTCTATCACCCCATCTTCCTCTTCTTCATATCCCACTTCGACGCCCTCCATTTCACTGCCTGCCTCTTGGTCCTCCATATCGCTGCCTGATGCTCCTTCTTCCTCTGCCTCCGATGATTCCTCGACCTCAGAGGAGTCCCCGGTCTCGAGATCGTCTGGCATTTCGTCAGAGGCTGAGCCTTCATCCTCGGATCTTTCTGGACCTCGCATTCTGTCGGTATCCGGGATTGGCTGTTCTTGTCTTCTCACTTCTGGGGAGTACGAAGGTGCAGGTTCGTCTTCGCTGTCGCTATCCAAGACGATGACTTCCGTCTGTGCTGGTTTAGGAGTTGGTTGTTGTTGTTGGCCAAGGCCTTCATGAGACATGCCATCCGACTCGCTGTCATATTCAACCATTTCGCCGGATTGTTCATCGTATCCGTCGGATTCCTCTACGGCATCTTCGTCATCGAATAAGCCGACTTTTTCGTCCTTGTCATCCTCGTCCTCGTCCTCGTCCTCGTCCTCATCTTCACCTTCGTCATCCTCATCTTCGCCATCTTCGCCTTCGCTGTCGTCGTATTGGTCGTAATGTCGCTGCTCATCTCTGGTATCATCAGCTGAGTATCCGCGTTCGCCCGCAGAAGGACCAGTCGTTGCCACTGGCGAGCGTGTTCTGCGCTTCGATTCGATTTCGGCGATATCTTGAGGAATATGTCCGGTTTTCAAATATTCAAAAGGACCATGCCCACTGTCGGCCGGCACGCGTTCGGGGTAGGAGTCCTCGGTGAGATCCTTTTCCTCCGATTCAGATTCAGATTCGGGGACATCATATTGTAAGTTCTCGTCTTCGCTTGCTTCCAACTGCGATTCCTCTTCCGATCCTTCTAGCTCATCTTCATCATATACCTCGCTATCTTCCTCATCCTCTTCCACGCTTCCTTGTTGGCTTGCCTCGTCCACACGGACCTCAGTTTTCACCGTGCTCTCGACAATAAACGATGCTGATTCGTCGTCCTCTATATCGTTCTCAGTTTCTTGTACTAATTCCTTCTGTTCGACGTATGCATCGGAAGTGCTTAGTACAGCTGAGTCGACCGATTGCGATACCGATTCCGATGTAACTTTCGTGCTTGCGAAGGTTGGGGGTATATTAGCATGATCGTCAACCGTATTAGGCGCAGGTTCTGTGACAGCCCCAAAAAGGTCGTTATTTTCTGGTGGTCTAGATTCGAAACCTGTTGCGGCGGGCCTCTGAGACTGCGACTGTACGCCCGCCGCGATAGAGGCAAAATATCCTAGTGAGTTGTTGGAGGTGGTGACCAACGGCGATGGGATAGGTAGACCAGGGGACGGAATAGGATATAGGTGTGGTGTATCTGTCGGTTGATGGGCAGCAGAACCGAAATGGCGCGGCTCATGGAATAGGCGAAAGCGTTCAACATGCTGGCCGATACCGGGGGGTGGTTGCTGTGCGTGATGATCTTTCTCGTGGTGATCAACTTGTTGCTCTCGATTATGCTCAAAGACCACCGGGGGTCCATCTTCCATAACCGTATCCAAGTCTGCATCACTATCCGCTTGCGGTTCAGCCTCCACGTCGGGCTGCGTTTGGGCCTGTGCTGTCTCGAAAGGTTTCTGGTCACTTTCACCAGTAGCCTGTTCCTCAGTATCTGATATAGCCTCCTCATCAAAGATCCACGCCCAGTCTGCCGGGACGTTTTTCTCGCCTGGGCTTTCAGGTTCGTCAATCAAGCGCCAGTCACTATTGTGCATGCTGAACCTGGTTCGCTTCCTTCCTTTCCCTGGGACGAACCCATCCTCCTCTGCGAAAGGATCAAAAGCCGAATCGACTAGGCCCCCATATGATTTCCGTGAACGTCCCGCAAATGCTGGAGATTGCCAGGCGCCGAGCCCCATGGTTGATATAGCAGGTCCACTGGGGGTATAGCCGTTGGTGATCGCGGGTAAGGGCGGCGGTGTACTCGGGGTAGCTTCTTCGGCTGGCGCAGGAGATGGAGGATCGACCCTCACGGTTGCTAGATGCTTGGAGGAACGCGAAATCTAAGAATTCGTCCGGTCAGCTCACACTACCCAGTTGTTCAATACCGGGCTCCCAACCGTACCTCCAAGAATACACGATCGTCAAAATGCACATCCCACGCGACCCATTTCCCAGGCGTTTGGGCGTCCGTCTCCTTGCTCACAAACCTTGAGCCAGCCAGCCCAAGACGGACGACGTCACCAATTCCGACCTGTGACTTTGCGACATTTTCTGCGATGACCCCATGAAAGACCACCTTCACTTGTCCATTCAACCGGCGGAGACGAACGTCCGGGTCTGCCAACAAAAGGCTCAGTGACTTTGTCGACGATGAGTAAGGCCATAATAAAGTAACCACGGCGTGTATGCAGCTATCTGACAGGTGCTCGACCGTTGGCGAAAGTTCCGCGATAGGGGTGGGTGCCAGCTGTAAGGGCTCGGAGGCCACAGGAGATTGTTCGTCCGCACTCATCGCTGTAGCCATGTATCGGTATGCAACTTCCACATGGTCCCAGTCAGGTGTAGTACATGGTTCGTTAAGTATGGGCGTTTGTTTAAAGATATGCTTTCATGTCGCGAGCGACCGAGAAGACAAACGAGCTCAAAGCTGTTGAAGAAAGAGGTTCAAACGGGAGCGAAAGAAAGATGGCGCGCTTGGTTCGTCGATCCGCTACATCATCAAGCTACTGCTGTTTCGGATGTGTAATATTACCCGTATTCTAACATTTGAGTGCGGGATCGTATTATATTTCATGTATTTATCGTACATGTCTTACCATATTGGAGGAAACTTTGCGATCCCAAAGCTTTTACATTACTTGATTCTTCTAAGATACCTGATACGTTGATGTCAAATTAAACATTGATTTATTATAAATACCTATCATGCACACAGTACCTGATATCGACAGCTGGAGTGGAGCAGCAAATCACGACATCGCATGGGGACCCAGTGGGGTCTGGGGAACCATCAGATGTCATGACTGGAAACAATCCCCAGAGGTTGCGACAAGAATCACTTTTGACCATCAGATCATACACTATTCCTTTCCTAATTCCCAGGTGGCTATTCGAGAACTGTAGCTAATCTGGATATGTCCCCATCAATCCCCGTCCGTCGGATAGCAGTCATCGGCGCAGGACCATCTGGTCTCGCTGCAGTAAAGTACGGAACCATTCGTTATCAACCCAACCCCACCTGTGACCCAGCTGCCACTCTAACTGTTGCTTTAGATATCTACTCGCGGAGAAATGTTTCGAGAAAATAGATGTGTACGAGAGGAGAGATCAACCCGCGGGGGTGTGGAATTATTGTCCAGCAACCTTCAAGCAGCTCATGAAAACCCCGGTGCCTCAGACCACTCCTAACGTGGGGCTCGAGGAGCCAATATGGCATCCTAAGGAACATTCAAAGGATCAAATGGAGCCAACCTTTGTTTCCCCCATTTACTCGACTTTGGATACCAATATCCCCAAAGAGTTGATGGCATATGGTGAAAAGGCCTTTCCCGCCGATTCACAGGAGCTGCCGAAGTATACGACGGTCAAGCAGTATCTTGACGAATATGCGGCGGGGGTGAAACATCTCGTTCAATTCGAGACCCAGGTTTTGGATGTGCGGCTCAAGGAACAGGGCTCCCAAACATGGGCGCTGACGACAAGGAATCTGCGAACTAGAGCCGATCGAACTGAAACCTACGACGCCGTAATCGTCGCTAGCGGTCATTTCGATGTACCCTATCTACCGGATATAGTGGGGATCAAAGACTGGGATGCAGCGTACCCAGGAAATATATCCCATTCCAAACTCTACGACTCCCCAGATCCATTCCGCGGCAAGAAAGTCATTGTCGTAGGAAGCTCTGCTTCTGGGCTCGATATTGGCAACCAGATCAACAAAGTGAGCAAGGGCAAAGTACTAGCCTCCCACCGGGTCATGCCACTTCCGACCACCACAGACAAGATCTATGTTCCAGAAATCGTGGAGTTCCTGTCCCCCGCCACTCATGACCGAGCGGTCCGCTTTGCAGACGGCAGGGTTGAAGCACAGGTCGATGCGATCCTGTTCTGCACCGGTTACTTTTACTCCTTCCCATTCTTGTCATCACTCGACCCTCCGGTGGTCACCGACGGACGCAGGGTGGAAAACATCTACCAACACCTCTTCTATGCGCCCAACCCGACACTCATATTCCCCGTCTTACCCCAGCGGATCATTCCATTCCCACTGGCCGAAAATCAAGCGGCCGTCTTTTCTCGTGTTCTATCCGGAAGGCTGGCTCTCCCGTCGTATGCCGAGATGAAAGAATGGGAGTCCTCTACTCTTGAGCAAAGGGGCAGCGGAACGCCATTCCATCTCATGCCATTCCCTCTAGACGCAGATTACATGAACATGCTTCATGACTGGGCATCCAAGGCCGAGCCACGACCTGGGCTTTCCAACGACCAAACCGGCAAGCGATGCAACCGTTGGGGAGAAAAGAACAAATGGATCCGACAACTGACCCCTGAGATACGGAGGGTGTTTTTCGAAAAAGGCGAGGAACGCAGAACCATTAAAAGCTTGGAAGAGCTTGGGTATAATTATGAGCAATGGCAGAAGGAACAGGCCACACTATAGTAGATTCTAAAGGATCCCACTGTGGGTCTAGCGCGGCTGAATAAATTTCCAATAGAATCTATAGAAGACAAGGTTTAATAGAAATTATCAGCATGAAGTATTGTGATTGTAACCGCGACAGACCAAAGCTAACAGGCCGCGACAGCTGGCACATCCCGGTCGACCGAGTGGAGTTGGCCCCCGATAAGGGTCACGTGCCCATGATCAACCGCGCAGCTGTCCCGTCTCCCAAGTGCGTGATGCGTTCATTTGTCTTTCATTCATACTCCTCTCTCTTCATTGTTGTCACCTTCACAGACCCTGTCCCCACACCAGAGACTCGCTCCTTGCAGGGGGAATATCCAGTTTGCATAAATAATTCCTCAATCCCCTAGTCATTCCCTACTGCTTAATCTTCAATATGGGCTACAACACTTCCGCGGCGTTCTTTGGTTCCGCATAATGGAGCGGAAGCGCAAGGCTCCTAATTCGATAACAACACAACCCACCGACACACATAGAGCAAAGAAGCAACAAGGAAACATAATCGTCCTCGACACTGATAACGAGAACGAACACGAAAGTGACAGTCTAGAAGAAGACGAATGGTATATCAAGTGTATACTTGACGAGACAGATTCCCAGTATCTAATCGATTGGGAAGGACCCTGGTCGCCGACTTGGGTGAGTTATCTGGCCGACTCACAGCATCGAAGGTTACTTGGGCCCAGTATTTATGTTGGAATTGTTACTGACAAGGGGACACCGGTGACCAGGAACCAAAAGAGCACGCAAACGACGGTGCAGTTGGCGTGTGGGAGCAGCGAAAGAAACGACGTTACGCTCTTCGAGAGGCGCTCTTGGATGATTCTCCACCGACAAACGCATCTGTGTCAAGTCCTTTGACTTCCCAACCGAATCCGCCTGAAATCGAGGAATCTATCTTGCAAACCAGCACCCGTTCCAACTCTCCCCTATTTGTGCCCTTTGGTGTCATTTCAGAAACACCACAGGTCTCCGGAACCTGTGCGGTCTTACAAGACAATCGCGTGATAGAAGAAACGCCCTTGACAAATCGCGCCATAAGAAGCGAACCACGCGCCGCCGTTAGTCGCGGAAATTCTTCGCGGGACGACAGATCCACCAACCCGGGAGCTGTGTTTGTATACACCCCTCGAGTTTCAATTCCGCGTGAACTTCGACTCCCAGACGAAGCTGAAGACGACCTTGCCCGTGATACACGAAGTGTAATCCTACCCACGAGCCAAGCAACTTCGACCCTTCCGCCTGCCGCCGACGAACATCAATCCGACGCCGAACCCCCTCATAGTCCTGCTACAGATATTCTCTCAACTGTGCACAGACCAGCACCTGTTTCGCTTGATCATTTCAGCCAAGTAGACGAAATTGCCGAAACACCGGCGCCCCAGTCCAGCATCGTTGGCCGTCCAATCTTACTTAGTCAATCTGGAGCAAGAAGCCGTATTTCCGGCACACAGTTATCCTCTCAGACAACCAGCTATCTTTCTCCCTACAGCACATTACTATCCAAAATTCACCTCCGCAACACTCATCATTCGTCAGGTTTGTTCTTCCGGCTTCTGTCCACGACTTGCCACTGACTTGCTGCGTAGGCTCCGCAGACCATCCCCTAGAGTCAGTGTCACAGTCAATCCCAGCCAGCAGCGAAAGCTTGTCACGGTGGTTCGCGAGGTCTATTTCTTCCCATCGACGCAGCTTGCCTGTTCGTCCAGCCTCAATCATGGACGATAAAGATCGCCAGGAGTCGTCATCATTGGCGGAGACCATGGAAAAGTATAGCCAGATCGAAGGGGCAACCCCTAGAGAAAAAATGGCCAATGCCTACGCCCAAATGCGCGCGCGAGCCAATGGTGGAATGTCTCAGATTGCCGATCCGAGTGCAACCCCTTCCTCTGCTGGGGATATCGAGCCTTCTGCGCCTGTCTCAGTGCCAGAAACCGCAGAACCGCTCAGCATTAGGGTGGAAAAGGAGCCAGCCCTTCCAGTTGAACATGAAATGCACCCGCCCGCGACAGGGGCCGCGGTCGAGCCGACTGAGATCGAGAATCAGCATTTCGGGGTACAGACAATCCAACCTAGTGCATTGACAGTGACACATGTTGAAGAACTGTCTCCTGGATCAGTGCACCTTGGGCCGTCGGAGTTCGCTGTGCCACTCCCCATGGACTCTAGAGTCAAAGATGATTATGAACGGATCTTGGAAGCCCATTCCCAAAACGTTCAAGATTTTCTCAAGGGTTCTTATCCGCAGGAAAATATCCCCGAACAAGATGTGAGTTGAACGTCCTGATTCTCCGAATGCCGTTAATCTGACTGAGATAGCGTGGGCGCCTTGTATCTGCCATGTACAATCTTCTTCGACAGCTAAGCAATGTCACGACACACCCCGATCTAAACATCACAGAGCACATCAAGGATTCGTCGTCCGACTTGAAACAGGAGGCGGCTTGGGCCGAATACTCCAGTGCAAAGTTCCTGTTCCTGGGCTACCTTGCCGAGAACGCGACTTCCAAAGACATACACCTCGTGGTTATGGTGCACGGAGAGAAAACCCAGAAGGTTGTTGAGCGATACCTTTCAGGGAAAGGACTCGTATACACCCGACCCCGAGGCGAAATGGGAACTGGCACCAATTTGGAAGTTTCCATGATGAAAGGATCGTTGAGCTTTGGCATCCAGTCCACGCAAAATGATGGCGTCATCGGTACATACAGGACACCGTCGGCGATCATCGCGATGGACTCCTCATTCAGCCCGAAGAACCCAATGGTTGAACATATGCGGACCACCTTTGCCCGCGATGGGAATCTCCTTCCTGCGATCCGACTGGTCGTGTCAAATTCCAGCGAGCATGTCGAGCTTTGTTTCCCCAATCTTCCCGAAATTCGACGCCTCTACTTACTAGTCCAATATACCATGCGGCTTCGCGACGTGGTCGGAGACCTCCAAGACGACGCATTGGGGGTGCAGGAAGACGCCGAGGAGATCATAACATATCTTGTATCGGACAACTTCAATGCGCATTGGTCTTTGCCTCTAGTGGAGCCGCTGCACATTGTGGACGCGGACGAACTGGATCTTACCCAATCCCAACATCCAGAGCAAAGTGGCAACAACACGCCTTTCCCCGCCCCCCAGATTCAGAAACGTTTACATGTGGGTTGTCCCATCCGAGTTCCTGTGCCGATTGTGGATCTAAGCTAACTATTGTAGACGGAGGAGGAATCTTCCGGGCAGAGCTCTAAACGACCTAGGACAGAGACATCACAAGAAGCCAGCCAGCAAACCGAGTCCACAAAATTCCCGAGCCAAACTCTCGACAACGACCTACATCTGTTGGAGCGGCACCTTGTGCACCTGAGAAGCTCTCACGCGACGGAAGTCGAGTCCCTGCGGAAGGCCTTGACACAAGCGCAGTCCGGTCTACAAGCAAAGGAGAAGGCCCTTGAAACCCTCCAACATCGCTACGAAAGCCGCACCGAAGAGTTTCACCGAACGCGTCAGGAACGCGATCGATTGACCGAAACCAAAAGCTCATCGGAGCAACGGGTCGAGCGGCAGAAGGAGGAACTCATGAAACTAAAAGACGAACGCACGCAGCTGCGACACGAGCTCGAAAAGGCGCGAGAAGAGTTGAAGTCAGGTGGGGGCAGCATCGCCGAGCTCGAAGCGGCGCGCGAGGAAATCCGCCGGTTAGGAAAAGAGAATGCCAACCTGGAGCGCAAGGCCGAATACGAGGCCAAACAGAGCGAGTACACCCGCGAGCAATACCAAAATGCCTCGACGACAGCTGCCCAATCCGTCAACGAGATCCGCCAACTCCGCCAAGAGAACGAGGCGCTGAAGCGTAAAGTAGACGGCAATGCCGTCCAATTGCGAGAGCTGAACCTGCAGAATGACGAGGCTCGGCATCTCGCTCGGGTCCACGAGGTGGAAGCCATGCTGCGGTTCCGCGAAGACCTTCTGCGGCGAAAGGAAGACGAACTTCGGGAGATCCGCAAGAATCGGCCTTCGACCCGGTCCACTAGCACTCAGCCGCGGAGCCCCAAAATCACCGCCAATAGCCGACCGACTAGTCCTGGGATTGGCGGCCGGGGTAGTGGACTCCGTTTCAGCTCGGAGATGTCCCTCCCTTGAACTTTGTTTTGGTGGAATTAGACTTGTCTCAACGCTCGTGTTGGTTTTCTGATGATCGTTGGGCTGTGAGTTCAGTGGTGTTTTGCACATAGGCATTGAGTTGGAACTAACTGTATTTGTTTTTGCATTCCTCAAACTCAATTTCTACATTGGCTATAGCGCACCTGGCTTGTTTATTTTGTGTTATGACCTTGCATTATCTGGGCGTTTACTCCATACATCTCCGGGGGTTTCTTGCTCTCGGTCTCTGGAAGCCGATCATGAAAGCTGACTTTCCTGTGTATCTCGGGTCTCTTGGAGCCTCTGTCGTCCAGCCGGCTTCGGTCGCTGGGCCATCCCTTCTAACACACACATGGTATGCACACTGAATGGCATTTGTTAGACGTAAAGATCTGGTCTCTCTATATTTTACTTTCCCATCCTTTCCTTACCTTTTCGTTCCATCTTTTTTTTGGTCCAAGGTTTGACCAGAGTTTGTGGCATGTTACCCCGCATGATGATACACGGCAAGCGACCACCGCCATTTACAAGCTACCGCCACTCGAGTCAGATCAAAGCAATGTATCACTCGCTACCTGCATTCTCCCACTCGACGCTACCCCCGGATCTGGTTGGTTGGTCCCCGAAGTAAGCGACTCGATGGTTCGGCAGGTCGCCGAGCAAGGGATAAAGCGCACGGGCATCGTAGGGATGGAAGGATGGAATGTTGCTATGGCAAGGTGTCGATCCTGTGACAGGAGGGTATTCAGTTCCAGCCAGGGTATTGGAGAGAAGTAGATCAGAAATTTCCATGTACGATGTCAGTTGTCGTTGACAGTATGGATATGTGTGTTTGTGTATGTGGAACTGGGGCGAGGTAGTCAGTCCATGGGTGGGAGAAGCGGGTAGCGGAGACAACCATGGATCCGAGCTTTGGGGAGATAGATCGGGCATCGGTGGCTGGTGTGTCGATCAGCATCTTAGTATAGAATTAGGTCACCCTCTGGATTCCACCCACAATCATAAGACAATCTCTATAATCTGGAGGGAATGAAATAATTGAGACAAATGAAGAGAGAAGAGAGAAGAGAAGAGAGAAGAGAGTAAGATGTAAGAGAGATCGATCTGATCCACATTAAGCTTATCGATAAGGCGGCGCTAGGCCCAAACAGGCACCCACGTAAACAACCTAAACAATCAGGCCTCACCTCCAATTCACTCCGCTTTCTCAGCTGAACTGTTCATCTCTCTCTCTCTCTCTCTCTCTCTCTCTCTCTCTTCTTCTTCCACTTTCTCTTCTGTCTCCTCTTCTTCTTCCTTTCCCACGTTGGTGTTGCTGCATGAGGTGGTTGTTCTCCTTCGTTCCCTCGTCTCCTCCACTTTTCTTTTCTTTTTCTTTGTTTTTATCTTACTTCCTGTTCTCCATTTCCCTTGCATTTCGTCCGCATTTTCCTGGTCAATCGCTTGGTTTTGCTATGCTCTCGTTGCTTCCTTCTTTACACGGCTTGTGATATTCTCCAATTGCTATCTTACCGATCGACTATTAGATCATCTTCTATGGGGACGTGTCCAAGGACGCAGTATAGTTCGAATCCGCTCTCGACCGCTCGGCCTAGAATCCTCCGATCGCTCTATTTGACGCCCTGCACGGGAATATCTTCCGAAATCTGACCGGTCAATCCCTGCGACGATCCGCCCTGCTGCAAGTGGTGTTGCGTCTCTGTCCGTCATGGCCGGTGCTCCGCAGCTTCCTCCCCGGTTTCCATGCTGGTGTCGAGCCGTGTATTCGTGGGGAGGTGAGACAAGACGGGACCTGGGGTTTGTGGAGGGTGATTTGATAGAGTGTATGAATGCCGGTGATGGTCAGTGGTGGATGGGCCGGTTACGGCGCGACAGGCGTATGATGGGTCTGTTCCCCTCCAACTTCGTCGAAGTGCTTGGAGAGGACTTTGTGCCCGTCACCCGCACCGAGAGTCCCATGATCCAAGCGACCGCATCCCCAATCACGAATCCGACCTCCGCCCCAAAGAAGCAAAAGACCGTCTTTCGCAAGCCATTCCAGGCTCACAGAGAAGCGGTGGCACCATCGGGGCAATTGAACCGCAATGGGACCTCCCCCTCGTCCATCAAGAGCGCGATCCCGGAGACGCCCCCGCGTGATGGCAGCTTGTCAAAGCGGGCGAAACCACTGCGCACGCCTACCAGCGCTGTGAAAAATCAACACAACCTATCCCGGCCCTCTTCTAAATCGTCCCGGACTTCCTCCCGGCCATCGTCTCGCGCCATTTCACCTCGTCCTCCGCCGGAATCAGGGCCCTCGTTGTCCACGCCCACGGGGCGAAATTCGACGCGGTCTAGACCGGTCTCGCGGGCGATCTCCCCGAGACCACCCCAGGAACTCGATATGTCACACCCCATGTTCACACCTGTCAATGATCCCTATGCCAGACCCCCTTCCCGTGCTCGATCTCCTCGACCGCAGTCACAATATGGGATGTCGGCGCCTATGTTGCCGACTTTAGATGATCTCTACGCCAGGCCTCCCTCCCGTGCGAGGTCTCCTCGGCCTCAGTCGCAATATGGAATGCCGTCGCCTATAGTCCCGGTCTCCAATGATCCATACGCTAGACCTCCCTCTCGTGCGAGATCTCCTCGACCCCAGTCGCAGTATACCATGTCGGTGCCCATGTTGCCGGCTTCCGGTGATCCTTATGCCAGACCCCCCTCCCGTACGAGATCCCCTCAACCCCCGTCTCAATATGGAATGTCGGTGCCCATGTTGCCGGCTTCTGGTGATCCCTATGCCCGATCCACCTCTCGTGCCAGGTCCCCTCAGCCTCAGTCGCAATATGGAGTGCCATCGCCCATGGTCTCGGGTTCCAATGATCCCTATGCCAGACCTCCCTCCCGTGCGAGGTCCCCTCAGCCTCATTCACAATATGACATGACAATGGCCATGGTCCCGGCTTCCCAGGTCCCCTACCCAAGGCCTCCGTCGCGTGCGAGATCCCCCCGACCTTATCTTGAATACCAGCCGACGATGCCGTCTTCCTATACGGACTACCCTAGACCGACATCTCGCCCAAGATCCCCCCTCCTACCGCAGGAAGGCGAACTAGGACTACCCATGATTTCAACACCTCAGGCCGTCGCTTACGGCGGGCCTCCATCCCACGCAGCCTCACCCTGTCCGCCCGATGAGCCAGAACCTCTGCCACCGTCTGTTCCGAAGCATCAATCGTCTTTCAACCGGCCTTCATCCCGCGAGATCTCGCCCCTGCAACTCCAGGAACGCGAAGAGTCTCCGCCGCCGCCGCCTCCACCACCGCACCGGGTTGCAGTCAACCGCCAGCCGTCGATGGAAATGGGTGTCCCGCCGACTCCCACCGCCCATGACCGTTATGGGAATCAGTCGAGGACCCCATCCCCCGCTGCGCATTCTGATGCCCAGGGTAACACACCCTCGCCCCTGAGAGATGCGATGGAAGACGTGATGTCCTCCCTTCAGGATATGGGCATGCCCCGGGACGAATCGCACTCGCCATCAGCGCAACCAGTGTTCAACAACCCTTGGTCACCGGCTGCCTACGACGGCTTCCGTAGCACCCGTCCAGCGCAAGCTCCCGCTCGACCGTTGACCGCCACGGGATTTGACAGTGATAAGGGCCATCAGTACGACGGTGCCCAACCACATAGGAACAGTGTCTATGCCCATGATCAGCTCGTAGATGGTCCACCCCAGCTGAGCAACTATGTTCAGAGGATGGAGAGCCGCCTGCGTCAGATGCAGGAACAGAATCGGCGGGGTTCGGAGGATGTACAAGCCTCCGAGGTCGATGAGGAACCTCCTCCACCTCCAATGAGGAACGTCCCTTACCACGGACGGCATAACTCCATTCCAGCCCAGTTCCCACATCTGAGAGGAAGAAGGTCCGGGAACGATCTCCGTGAGGACATGTTGGATCGAAGCTACACCACCAAGTCGAGCACGACGAATTCCTCGAGTGGTGTGCAGAGCGTCAATACCAACCTGACCACTAGCACGGATAAGACCAGCCAGAGCATGATGAGCGGCCCATCCGCCGGTGGGTTCAGTGCTACCAGTGCCGGCAGTTATGCCAGACGCGGCGGGGGACTGGACGGGCGACCGAACACAGCTGTCGACACGGTTCGCTCTCGAGGCTTCAGCGATGTCTCCCGGATGCAACGACCGGAAACTCCACTCACAGGTGTCTCCTATCATTCCAGTCATAATTCCTCCCGGCAAGGCGCGTCGTCGGCCATCCCGTGGTCGTCGACGGAGGCGGACCCCGAAGAGTCCGCGGGCGTGTTCGGTGGTCTATCCACCCCCAAAGCCAAGAAACATGGGTTCTTCAAAAAGATCTTCGAGACCGCTAAGACAGGTGCCGCCAATGCCCGCAGCAGCATTACAGTCGGGCACACAGGTAGCTCTTACTCGCCTACAAAGGGCCGGCCGGTCACTCCCATTCTCTCTTCACACTCAAATCGAGGAGATGCGGCACGGGAAATGGGTCTCGGGGGCACTTCCATCGACTGGGTGCAGGTACGACGGGATGTGCACCGGGCTAGCTCCCCGAGCCGCAATGAACGGGCCGAGCGGGCTGAACGGTGCCAGATGATGGATAACCCCGTGATTTACGCGGTGGAGGAGCTGCATGAGACTGCGGAAGGCGACGAAAGCATTGATGGGCTCCCGATTAGTGAACCAACTGACTTTGGAGCCGCCAATCTGACACTTGTCGACAAGAGCGCGCGATTTGTCAACAGTCTCCCCCCTATGACGAATCCGATGAGTCTAGCTCAGGGTTATATCTGCCGGCCTTATAAGAGCGATGTTCAACGGCTTCGTGCCATCTTCACATGGGTCAGCGAAAAGGTCGCCTGGGACGAGCCTGTCGAGGAGATCGGAGTCGACTTGAAACGTGTTGTACAGACGAGACGAGGAAGCCCGCAAGAGGTTGCGTTCCTGGTGCAAGAGATGTGCACCTCGGTTGGTTTGCATGCCGATGTGGTCAAAGGGTATCTCAAGCCGCCCGGTGATCTGTTGGAGCTCGACAGCCTCTCGCGGGCGAACCACTGGTGGAATTCGATCCTGGTGGACGGTGAATGGCGTTTCATGGATTGCTCTTTGGCGAGCCCAACGAACCCTCGACGGGACCAATATGTGACCAACCCACTTGCCACGGCCGAGACCTGGTACTTCCTTACGCGTCCGCTCGAGCTCTGTTATACGCACGTTCCGCTGTCGCCTGAAGATCAACACATTTGCCCACCTATCTCTCCTGACGTTCTGCTTGCCCTCCCCACCGCCTGTCCGCCTTACTTCAAGATGAATATGCAATTCCCCGACTATGACACTAGTATAGTACACATCGACAACCTCGAGCTCGTGCAGTTCCGTTTGTTTGTCCCGCCCGATGCAGAGTGCGCCGCCGAAGTTGAATCACCCGCCTTTGCCCGTGATGCCGACGGAGATTACTTCGAAAGCGGGGATGTCGTGCGCAAACGAGCACTGGTGCAGCCTGACTGGGTCAACGGCCAGAAACGCATCACTGTCAAGGCCGTTCTTCCGGGAGACGAGGGACAAGGCATGGTCAAGATCTATGCGGGGAAAAAGGGACTCATGCATTCCAACCGGGACATTCCCCACCCTCTAGCACTCGCTCTCCCCATCGTCCACTCCGGAGAGAACCCAGCCTACGACTTCGTGCTGCGTCATCCCACCCCTCACGCCCAGCGCCACGACCTGTACATAATGCAGCCCCAGTGCGCTAAGCTCGCCGTCAACAATACGTTCGTCTTCGCCGTCCGCCAGCACCCGTCAACACTTTCACTCTCGTCAATCAGCAACGAGTCTGGTATCGCCGGACGTGTCTCGCCATCCATGTTCGCTCGGCCGGCCAGCGCCCTCAGTATGGTATCCAGCTCCGCCGCGGGATCGTCCGTGTCCGCCGTCTCCCACGAGTTCTCGGCTTCCACATCAGCCATCTCGTCCAATCGATCAGCATCGGGCCGGGAGAAGCCCGCCAAGCTAGCGATCCAATCACCATCAGGCAAGATCCTTCGCCTGACCCGGAAGGCAGACCACATGCTGGGGTCAGATGTGGGCAATGACGCGGACGGCAGCGTTTGGGAAACGGTGATCAAGATCGGCGAGCGCGGCGTGTGGCGAGGTCTTGTCCTAGCCGATCGCGTTGCTCGATGGTGTGTATTTTGCGAATGGGAATGCTTTTAGCTTTTACAATCCCTTTCAGATTCAGCATGGGACCGCCTTTTCTGCTCTCAGTGATTGGTTGACTGACCAACTGACTACACGCATGATCGGAGCCAGGGTGATGCATTGCATTACTTTTATTCATTGAATTTTTTTTTCTTTTTTTTTTCTTCTGTCTATCATGAATTTCCATCGCGGCGCGCATTAGCGAAATTCTCATTCTGTTCAGACCATTTGTGCGGAGTTAGGGATGCTTCAATATGTGTGCGGAGCGTGTGAATGTGTCATTGCTCATACTCATTTTATATGGCGTTGTCTTCTTTTTCTTTACTACTTTTCATTTCTGACACTATGCATGAGCATGTATGTACCATTTGGCTTACACTGTACCTGGCTTCCGGGGGAGTAAAATGGCTGGATTAAGCATACAGCATATAGATAGACGTACATAGACGTGTCTAGGCAGTTGACTGACATTGCTTGTGAAGAGAAAATGTGGCGTACTACCCATCTGTTTGTCTACTTATCGTAGTTCGTAGTACCTAGACATCTTATTATACTTATGTTGGTATTCCCACACTGTACATGTATATATATATAACATAGTAAATTCAACCCCCCCCCAATCCTCTCTATATATAAAAGTATGCATATGTGAAAGATCACAAAGAAGTAACAGCCTCCCGCACCAACGGCGCAACCTGTTTCCGACTCTTGCTCAAATCCGCCTGCACCCACACCCGTCGATACTGCCCACCTTCATCACCCACCAACGACCGCGCAATCTCCTCTTCTTGATCCTGACGATCGACCACGTCGAGCGCCGCCCATGGCTGGAGACTGAGTTTCTCCTCCGCTTGGTCAACGAAGTGCTTTAGGGCTGTGGTTGCCACATCATCATTATTACCGTTGATGTTAGTGGTGTGACGACCCCCCTCCAACGCAACAACAAACAACTCCCTCGTAAACTCTCCCCCCTTCACAGGCGAGCTAAAGGCAGTCATAACAACCACAATACCCAGATCACGGGCTCGCGCGAAGCCCTCCACTGCGTCTAAGAAAGACCTCGCATTCCCTGCTTTGCGGATAATCCACGGGAGGGACTTGACCATTGAGCAGAAGCCGATTTCGACCGGCTTGGAGTTGGGGCTGGGGTTGGAGGAGGAAGGCGTCTCGGTCCATTGTTTGTAGTCGCGGTCGAGAATCTCGTTGACGGTGAGGAGGTTGAGGCTGTTTTGTTTGGTTTGGTGGACTTGGTTGTAGAGGTTTGTGGTGTTCTTGTTGTTGGGGGAGAGTTGGCGGGTGAGGAATTCGACGGCGTGTGTGTCCCATGGGGTGACTTTGTCTTTGGAGGTTAGGTTTGTGGTGTCTATTAGGATGGCTGAGAGAGCGAGAAGGGCGAGTTGGGCCTGCTGTTGTTGTTGTTGCTGGGTTTGGGGATCGTTTAATGGTGGGTTGTCACGCCAGAGGTTGAGGGATTGAAGGGTGTGCGCCACTAGCGATGCGCATGATCCTGCCGTGTGGATTTCTAGCGGTTTGATCTGAGGACCACGGGGCAGGAACCCCTCGTCGATGTGGTGGTCTACGCAGCCGAGGACTGTGAAGTCGACGGCTGTTTCTAGGCCGGGTATGCAGCCTTTGGGGTGCTGTTGCTGCTGCTGCGCGGCAGATGGTGATGCCATGGGCAGTGCATTCCAATCAACAAGGACAGCATCCGCTTGGAGACGTCCACTAGTACTTCCAGGATTAATCTTTAGCTGCGCCGCGAAATCCGCCACAGTCAGGAAATGGTCACGGAGGAGCGCGCCAGCCGACTCAGGCGTCTCGTCCCATGCTTGCTCGCCATCTAAGGCCGGGTGTGTCGATAAGTGGAGAGCCTTGACGAACTCCGGGCGGAGCCTGTACAGCTCCGGACCAGAGGGAACATTGGGCAGGTTGATGAGCGGGATGTGCTGTCTTGCGGTGAGATTGCCGAAATATGCGTAGACCACGGCGGAGATAATGGAGTCGAGATCTGCGGAGGGGTTGCCGATGACGTAGATGGGGGGTTCGGCGTGGGAGAGCGCGCCGGTTATGAAGCGGTGATGGGTTTGGAGAGCGGTTCGGAGGGTTTTGAGGAGGGAGGGAGGCATGGTGTTATATTTGATATACTTATGGATTTCTGAAGATGAAGCTTCGAATTAAGATGGGAAAACGTTATCGATCAGATAAGAAAGGCGGTTGTGAATGTCGGGCGGAATTACTGACCGCCTTGTTATCGTCGTCTATCTTCCTTCGTCCACTTCACTTCAACTTCATCTTCTATTTCCATTCTCCTTCGTCTGGATTGGGGACCTTCTGCTGAATTTTCTTTGATATTAGCGTGTAAGTACTTACTGAACTACTAATCTAGTTCTATTCCACTAACCTAGATAGATACATCTCCAATTACGGCCGTGTATATACACCATCCTGATACAGCCATAGACTTCATACTCATCCCACCAAACGAGTAAACAACAACTATATCTGTTACAATGGCCCTCTCCCTCCCCGAAGCCCTCGCCAAACTCCCCCGACACCCCCTCCTCTACTCCCACCCATCCCCAATCCACCCCCTCCCAGCCCTCACCTCCTACCTCAACACCAACACCAACACCAACCCACCCAAATCCACCAAATCCACCCCCCAAATCCGCCTCTTCGCCAAACGCGAAGACCAATCCTCCCCCCTCGCCTGCTCGGGCAACAAATACCGCAAACTCGAATACATAGTCCCAGACATCCTCTCCCCACAGCCCCTCTACAACAGCTACCCCAACAACACCCCCAACCCCAACCACCCCACGCCAAGTCAAAAAACAACAACCCTCGTCACAGAAGGCGCCATCCAAAGCAACCACACAATCCAAGTCTCCTCCCTCGCAAACCACCTAAACCTATCCTCAGTGGCCCTCCTCCACAAAGGCACAGGAGGCGGCCTCTCCGCATCCACCGACAAACCCTCCTTCCTCCGCACCGGAAACCCCCAAATCGCACACCTCCTCGGCGCGGACATCCGCGTCCTCGAAGCGGGCTCCACGAACGGCGGCAAGATTGACACCGTCGAGCCCGTCCTCGCTGAACTCCGCGCAGCAGGCAAAACACCCTACTGGATTCCCTCCGGTGCAAGCCTGCACCCCCTCGGCGGGGTGGGCTACGCGCGCTGCGCATTCGAGATCGCCGCGCAGGAAAAGGAACTCGGAGCTCGATTCGACTATATCTTTGTCGCTTGTGGCAGCGGAAGTACAGTCGGTGGCCTCATCGCGGGCTTTAAAATGCTCGAGCGGATGGAATCATCCTCTTCCTCCACTAGTACCTCCCCCTCCCAGAACACCGGAGGGAAAACCAACCCCCCCCGCAAAGTAATCGGCATAATCAACTCGCCCACGAAGCCTCAAACCTGGCACGAAGAGCGCGTGCTGCGCTTCGCGCGCCAAGCAGGGTCGCTCATCGGGTTAGAAGACGCGTCGCAAGCCATCACGCTCGAGGCAGACGTGCATCTTGACGGGCGGTTCGCGGGCGCTGCGTACGGCGTTCTGGACGAGGATACGAAGCGCACGATGGAGATTGCTGCGCGGAGGGAGGCGCTGATTTTGGATCCGGTTTATACGGGGAAGGTTTTGAGGGGCGTTATGGGGTGGGTTGAGGGGGGTGGTTTGGTGGGGGATTGGGAGGGAGGGGTGGGGATGTTGTTGGTGATTGTGAGGGTGAGGGTGATGGTGAGGGTCCGTTGAATGCGCTGTTTATTCATACGGGTGGACAGGCTGCTTTGGCGGCGTATGCGGATATTGAGTAATCTTGCATCTGCTGGTTATGCATCTTGGGTAGAATATTAGATAGAAGAGCATTCATCTATTGAAGGTACATATCACTAATTCTTTCTTTTCTTCTGTCTTTTCTTTTCTAGAATTACATTGATAGGACTCACTCAGCCTGAGCCTGCAAAACCACAGTACCTCAAAGACAACGAAACTAACACATACTGAAACAGCCAGCCAAACTCCCCTACACCGTCTCTTTTGAACGCATCGAGGTCGTAAAACCACACAGGCGCCGGGGACCGAAAATAAGGTCAAATGGAACGCAGGAAAGGAAAGAAAAGAAAAAGCCGAAACAAAGAGGAAACCCTCATCAACACCGGAATAATACATTGCAGAAAGCCACCTGGGATTTGAACGCCGCCCGCCAAATGCCTGTGGACATATTAATATTAATACGTCCGGCCGGGAAAAATTCCCGACGACTTGCGAGATATAAATAGGAGAACAGAGCAAAAGGAAAGAGAAGGAACAAGGAGAAAGAAAAGGGGGAGGATAAGAACTATAAAAAAGGTGTTAAACGCATGCCACATGAACCACCACGTCGTTGGGTACATCAAGAGGATAAGGTTGGATTGAGGATTGAGGATCGGTGAGGTCACCGCTGCGTTGGAGAGAGAGTCGATTCGCCCGTCTCGGCCGTCTCGGCCTGGTCGTTGGTTGCCCCGTTGGTCTCTCCGTTGGTCTCGCCGTTGGTCTCGCCGTTGGCTTTCTCGTCCGGCGACTCGTCGACAGAATCGGAATAATCTCCGCCATTGCCCGCGTCAAGCACCTCCAAAGCTTCGTTGGCGTGTGTATTTTCCATGGGCTCAGGCTCTAGTTCAGCTTCAGGCTCGATGTCCTGGTTCGTCAGATCGGCGAAGACATCGTCAAGATCCTGCCGCGGGCTGCTCCCGAAGGGGTTGGAGTTGCCCACGTCCACTCCGGCCGGCCGATCGGCCTCATCCCGGCTGAATGGACGCGGACTGAAGAGGGACGGGTTCAGGCCCTGGTGGGGAGACGGGGAACGGGCTGGGAAGGAAGGCGAATGGGGCTGGGGTAAGAAGGCCGAGGAGCCTGGGGCGAAGGCGGGCGCGGTCTCGTTCTCCGGGAGGGAATAGTTGGCAGAGAACGGATACGTCGACTGGGGAGCGTCACTCATCGGCGTCAGCGTCGGACCACCGCGGTTCGAGTCGGAATTGTTGCCATCCCCGGGAGTCGGCGTGTTTGGTTGAACATGGGAAGACCGACCGCTCTGGGAATCCATGGACTTGTTACGGGCGTGACTCGGCTTGGTGCGCAGATGGGGCGGAAGATCCTCCGGCCGCTCGACGCCTAGCTGCGCCATGATCTTCTGCTGCTTGGTGGGACGCGGCTTTCGCGTGGACAGGGATTCCTTCAAGATCGGCGGCGCATTTGGCGCCACGGGCGCCCACTTGTGGATCTCCTGTCGGAAAAAATTCGTCTCGTAGGCAAGCAGAACCTCGGCGCCTTCGATCTTGCGCAGGTAGAAAATCAACGTCGGCACCTCCTCCGTCGTGGGGCAAGCCGCATTTGTGAAGCCCTGGAGAAAATCTCGGAATGCCAGAGCCTTGCTGACAATGTTCTCCAGAATCTCTTCCTCATCGGGCTGGAACGGCAGGCCGGGCACTTCGGCCTGCCACTCCTGCAGGTCCTCGATCTTGGGACGCGCTGCGTCACGAGGGATCTTTTGCCGCCAATCGCAGATGGGACAGGTATATTTGTCGAACTCTTTGACTTTGCCGCGGGCGATCTTTAAACACTTGCCGTGGTACCTACTTCAGTCAGCCATGCTTCCGGAAAGCAAGAAATGTATATATAAAAGATCGAAATATAAAAATAAAGAAGGAGGACTAACCATTCGTGACAGACTTCACACTCGATCATCATGCCTGCCTCGGAATGTCGGCAAATGCAAAAAACATCGCGTTTTCGGGACTTCCCCCCGCCCCACATGCTGGCAGTCGTGGGGTTGTCCAATAGACCCTCCGGGGTATTGTCGCGGGAGGCGGGCTCCACGGGCGGTCGGTACCGATCCTCCAGGTCAAAACAGTACGAGTTCCTCTTCTCCACATACTCCATGTGGGACTTTAAGATGTGCAGCGGGGCATTGGCCTTGCCGAACAGCTTCTTCCCCTTCCGCATCCAGTCTTCGTGACGCTTCTGTTCCCTCTCGAGGTCGATGGCCCCCGTGGGCCGGCTGTTCAACCCCTCCAACGATTCCATGAGCTCCCGGACATCCTTATAGAGGGGCCGCTTGCGGAAATCCGGATCCCGACTCTTCTCATACAGGGACTGGATCTGCTTCTGGGCCTCCCGTTGCTTGATCAAGATGGCGTCCACCGCGGCGAGCGTGTCGGGCGACACGGGGAACCGGGCGGACTGCGCCGACAGAGCCTCGAGCTGCTGGTAGTGCACGGCCTCGACGGACATGAGCTCCTTGGCCTTGGCCTCCCAGGCCTCGCCGTGGCGGTGCAGGTCCTTGAAGTGCGACAGGTGCTCGTTGGTGGGCGACAGTCCGAGTTGCTCCCCGGTCCGGATGAGCTCCTGGCATTCCTGGAGGGTTAAAGGGCGGTCCCGCCGGAGGCGCGCCCCGTCGTTCCACCGCATCTGCCGGAGTAGGTGCTCGAGGCCCTCGACCTCGGGAACGTCCACGTTGAAATTGCGGGCGGACTCCACCAGCTCCTCCACCTCCGGGACCGATCGGACGTGGGGGTTCATGAGGGCAGCGTTAACGTCCTGGCGGAATTTCTCGATCTCGCGGGTCTTCTCTTCCAGAGCCGCCATCTGTGGACAGTCGAACGACAGTTTATCAGCCTCTGTAAGAAGGGCGTAGATGTTCTCTACTCTGCGGATTTCCCGATCTCGTTCTTCCAGCTGCGCGGCCTTAGAAGTACTTCGGCGCCAAGCCTTCTCGTTCTTCCTCCGGTTCTGCTGTTTGCGGGTGATGTAGTTGGTTGCTTCTTCAACCCATTTATCGCAGCGCTGGACGAATGCCGCAAGATCTTGGAGACCGGGCAGGTGGTATGGGATTTTCTCACCTTCATTTAGCAGGCTATGAAGGACCTTCAACTGGGGCTTGGGCTCGTTCTCCAGAGTCTTGTCGAGCTTCTCGCTCCATGCCTCCGGCACGCGGGCGCGCTCCACGACTTTCTGCACTAGGGCCTGGAAGGCGTGGTCCCCAATCCGGTACCGAAGCGTGTGATCCGGGCCGAGTAGTCGCTGGGCCAAGGGCTCTCCGCAGCAATCAAATGTATCCACGTGGATCATGCACACAGTCTTCCCGGTCCGATGGCAGCGAAACTGTGTGAGGTAAGTGTAAGCCTTGCAAAACGCGCACTGGTAATCCTCCTCGGGGAGATCCTCCTCCTCGACGAGGCACCGCAGCTGGCAGTCACCCCGGGCTGTCGGATCGTCCGACCCCAGGACGCAGGCGTGCGGGGCGATCTCGCGGTGCCGCGCGATCAGCGACGTCCGCTCCGCCAGCTCGCGGGCGCAGGTGCGCTGGAGGGCGGGCGCGAGCCACTTGGCGGTCTTGATGTCGAGCTCGCTCTTGGTGGCGGCGGTCATGAGCAACTCGTCGTGCGAAAAGCACGGGTGCCGCCGGAACGCCTGGAGGCGTTCCACGCCCAAGGCGCCCCACGGCTCCCAGTCGGGGGGCGCGAAGTTGACCGCTTCGTTGAAGTTGAACCCGTGGTTGAACCCGGCGTGGTACGCCTGCGGGAAGGTGACGACGAACTCGCCGGCCCGCTGGTCCAAGGCGTAGACCCTGACGCCGGCCTTCCGCAGCTGATCCGGCGGCATCAGGGTGACGAGCTGGAAGAGCAGGTCGGGCTGGCCCTCGAAGAGTTCCGGGACCGCCTGCCGCATGGCCTCCTCGAAGGCTTCCGCGTCCTCCCCCGGGATGCCGTACCAGGTCTTGGTGGCGCCGAAATGTTGATAGTTGGCCGAGTAGGCGTAATGGTCTTCGTTGTGCCAGCAGAAGGTCGAGAAGCACATGCCCACGTAGACCCAGGGGACGGTCATGCCCGAGATGTCGGTCTTGATGTAGCGGAACAACGAATCCCCGTAGAAGGGGAGGACATTCAGATTCCAGCCGTCGTGCGAATACGGGTCCAGCGGGTTGCGCTCCAGGGTGGGGAAGCCACTGCCGTGGGTGGTGGAGTGGATGTCAGCGCCGTACTCGACCTCGACGGTCTCGGTCAGGCTCTCGACCAGTCGCCAAAACTCGCGCTCAACGTCATCCTCGGACTCGCGGCGGTGCGTGTTGAGGACGGGGTCGAAGGGCATCTTGGACGCGAAGTAGTTCTTCTTGAAGTGACTGGCCTTCTCCTGGAACTGTTTGAGCGAGTAGACGCCTCCTTCCTCGAAGCCAAACTCGCCGGTGCCGACGAGGCACTTGGGACAATGCCAGTCATACTCGGGAACAGCGGTCAGGGGGGGATCGAGGCAGTACTTATGGAAACCGTTATCGCAGCTGTCGCAGACGAGAATCGAGGCTCGATCCTCGGCCTTGCCGCACGCCTCACATTTCTCCATGATGTTAACGCGATGGAATGGGACGGATCCAAGGGGGCAGAGGTGACTCACCTCACCGGGGGGTTGGCTATCAGATTTGCGCGCCCGGGGTGGGGCGGGGCGGAGTAGACTCATATGCGAACCGGCGACAGTAGGGGGTACATCTACAAGACAGAAAAACACAACCACAAAACACGGTCAGCGACGGTCCTTCACGTGTGATCCACGCGGAATCGATCAGTACCCTTACGTAACCGTTTGCTCCGCCGCCCATTTGGATCATCTCCATTCTCGGGCTGGGAACTGCTGTCGTGGCTGATGGCACGCTTCATCGGAAGCGGCCCATGACCATTGGAGAGGGGGGTGGCGCTCGGAGGATGGTCAGCGAGACTTTTGGGGGTCAGGGAGCCATTCTCGGCCTCGCGCTTGACCGGGGGTCCGTTGTTGACGGCCATGAAGGAGGGTGAGCGGTTGACGGCCGTGAAGCCCGAACTGGCATTGACCGGGGTGAACCCCGAGGCGACCGGACGCGGCGGGGGCGTGGGCTCGATCGGGGGGAGCGCCGGGCGATCCGGGGTGGCCTCGACCTCGGGCTTCGGGAGGCTCAACGCGGGTTGGGGCAAGGGAGGCTGGGCGGTGTGGTCGAGGAGGAGCGGCTTCTTAGCCACGGGGGAGGGATTGGGGGACGGGGTATACGGGCCGCCATGCTCGAGCTCCAGCTGCTGTTGGACGCCGGGCTTCGCCACGCGCAAGTACTCCTCGTAGGGCTGAAGCCACCGTTGGTAGGAGTTCTTGAGGGAGGTGGACAGGGACGACATGATCTTGCCACTGTAGCCCAGGTCCCGACCAATCTCGGCCCATTTCTTGGTCTTGCAGACGGCATCGAAGCCGCCGCGCACCTCGACGGCCTTTTTCAACTTGTAGAGATCCAAGGGGCGCTTGTCGACGGAGGGGAAGCGGTTGAGATTGGTACCATGCTGCTTGTGAAACTTGGCGAGCTGGTCGAGGTAGTTCAGGTTCGCACGGGTGCCTGGGACCAGGTCAGAACCGGGCAGGGAAGGACCACCGGCCGCAAACCGCGCCGAAAACGGGGGCATACCTCCTTCCACCGAGTTGAGCTCTTGACGACGGGTCTTGAAGTGGAATCGCTGCGCGGTGAAACGGAAAAATAATGGTTAGCGAAACTTGAACCTATGATGGAGAAAGGGGCCGTCGGCCAGGGGGAGATTTTTTTTTTTTTTTTTTTTTTCTTTCTTTTTTCTTTTCTCTTTCTCCAGCTTTTTCCATGTCAAGCATACCTCCGTGTCAATGGCAAAGGGGGGCTGCCAGTTTTCCGGTGGGATGATCCGACAGATGCCAAAATTCCTGCCCTCGGGGGCGATCTTGCGAATGTATTGCTCGGGATCCTTGAACTCCTCCTCGGTGGGACGAAATGTGGGAGCCTCCTGCAGGCCATGGGGACGAATGCGTTTGCCGAATTCTCGAGGGGCATTGGATTGGCCTCGTCGTTCGACGGTGGAGAGATCGAGGGGGGCGGATCTTCGAGCGCTCAAGGGGACATTGTGCGAATGCGAAGGATGGGTACTAGAGGAGCGAGGCGGTTGGTGGCTTGCGGGAGACTGACCACCAGTCGAGTTCCCTCCCGTTACGGCCGGGGCGACCATTTCTGACGGGCGAGAGACGTTGGATTGAACGAACCCACGGAGGAAGGGTGGGGGGAGGAGTGTGCGCGTTGGATTATCGCAGACGGAAGGACGAAAGCATGCGATGCGAAACGCACATGGAGTGCCGAGGCGAGACGGGGGGGGGGGGGTTGTGGATGGCGTTAGTGGATCGAGAGTCGAGACGAAGAGAGGAAGGGAGAGTAAAACGGATAGAGATCGAGATGGGGAGGAAAAGGGAAGGAGAGGAGGAGGATGAGAGGGATGATGAGATGATGAGAGCAGGGAAGAGAAGCCAAGATGAATCCGGGAAGAGGGATGGGGAGTGGAGAAAATCGGACGAAGCAGAAGGAGAAGAGAAGAAGAAGAAGAGAAGAAGAGAAGAAGAGAAGAAGAGAAGAAGAGAAGAAGAGAAGAAGAGAGAGGAAGAGGAAGAGGAAGAGAGAAAGACGAGGGAGGAAGAAGGGAACCAATCAGTCCGGTCTCGATCCAGTCGGTCTCAATCCCTCCACTGCATCCAGTCTAGATTGGTATCGATTCTCTTCTTGATTCTATGTACTTATCTGTCTGTTTAATTGATATAATTATTTTCTATAATTATCTTGATCTGTATTCCTCTGTTGATCGAGTCTAGTCGAATGGGATTGTTTACCATACCGAGTTCATACCTGATAATCCAGGCAAATCCAGATATCGCAAACGGTGATTACTGTACCATACATGGTATCATATCAGCTGTACTCGACAGAATTCTATACATATGAAAGAAATCATACACATAGATAGTGTTCGAATAGAAAATAACAAGGGAGACCGAGGTGAACCAATACCAAGGACAGAGGACAAGTGGACACGTCAACCATCCACCGTCTGCCAGTGGCTTTGGGTTGATCCAGCCATTCTTCTCTGGCGATGCCCTGGTATGTTCCGTATTGTGGATGGTAATACCGTTACGCTTCGATCTCCGTCGGTCCGGTCACGGGATCTGTATGCCTCAGGCTGTACTGCATTGGGACTGTACATTTTGTACCTTTACATCTCTCTATAAACATATAGATTTACATATAGATATTTATATCTATCTATGTCTGTCTGTATATGTATGTATATATTTATTTTTATCTATCGTACTACCGGTGTAAGCGTATAGAAGGGCCCAAGGGATCAGGTCGACCTATGAGTTACTCACATATCAATCATTAGACAAGACAGTACATACAAAATAATTCAAATAGAACGAAATAAAGATATCAATAAAGTAGTACAAGTAGTAAGAATGAAATAAAAATAGGCATGATCATCTACCCTGTAGTCCATAGATAAAGATAGTAGAGATCTTATCGCAGATCATCCGCATCTCATTTTTCTCTCCCCGACTCTTCCTCGCCCATCACCTCCACTCCTCCTCCACCATGCAGCCCATCTCTCCACCATCCAAGGAGGAGATGCTCCAGTTTACCCTCTCCAACCCTGTCGCCTCGACCCTCTCTCCGCGCCTGGGGTCGTTGGCCATCGCCGGGAGAACATCCATCTCCACGCCGCATGTCCTTCCCTTGTCCTCCCGCGGCGCTCTCCCGCACATCGCCCACGATGTCCTGCGCGACCACACCTCCGTCGCCAGTGTGTATCTTGGCTTGGAAGATTGTACTCAATTTAGATCCATATCTATCATTTAAGAAAGGAGAAATACTGACAATATGCCCATCGGGCCAGGTCAGTCCTAGAAAGGCAACACATCAAGAGTGAACCCCCCCTCTACAAAATCCCCACAGCCCCCCATGAATCGGCTCTCCGCAACTTCACCTGTCTCCCCGACGATATCGGCCTCATTCTGGGCCCTCGTCGCGTCCCCCCATCGTCTGTCCCCCGGACAACACGACCAACTCGATCGCCATCTCCACCATGTTCGGATTCCGCCAGTTGGAAGCCACCCAGTACGTCGACGCCGTCCGGAGACTGCGCCCAGATATCGTCGTCGGCCTGGCCGATCTTCGACCGGGACAGTCGCCCGGCGTCAAACGCCGCGGCAAGATGGTCGACCGCACCCATGCCTACACCATGCACGCCACCGAGCAGCTCTACGGCAGTGCCATCCCCGAAAGCAGCCGCTCCCCGGCGGCCTACTTCGCCCCCGTCCTCCCGCTCGACAACACCGAGCAGTCCATCTACCTCGAAGACCTGGAGCACGACCTGCGATCGTACCTCTCCGGTCTCGCGCTATACGAATCCGCATCGCTATCCCTAGTCCCCGACGGGCTCGCCTCCCTCCCGCGCCTACTCCTCAGCGACCCGGAAACCCCGCACGACCTCCTCCGCGACGTCTCACTAGGTGCAGACCTCCTCACGGTGCCCTTCTTGAGCGCCTGCTCCGACGCCGGCATCGCCCTCGATTTCGTCTTCCCGGCACCATCGTCAGAGTCGCCCGGCACGGAAGCGAGAGCGCCCCGTCCCCTCGCCTTCGACCTCTGGTCCACCGACAACCACCCCACCGACACAGGGCCCCTCTCGCCCAACTGCACCTGCTACGCCTGCAAATCCCACCACCGCGCATACGTCCACCACCTCCTCACCGCCAAGGAGATGCTCGCCTGGACCCTCCTCCAGATCCACAACCTCCACACCATCGACTGCTTCTTCGCCGGAATCCGCGAGAGCATCAGCCGCGGCACCTTCGACGCTGACGCCCACACCTTCCACCGAACCTACGACTCGGAACTGCCCGAAAGGAAGGGCCAGGGTCCACGGTAACCTCCTCCTCCCTCCCTATCTTCTCTATCCATCCATACTAACTAATAATAATACAGCCTCCGCGGCCACCAACTCCCCGCCGCAGGACCCTACCAACCCCGCCCCAACCCCCGCTCCTTCGGCCGCCTCGACGACGCCCTGCAAAAGTTCGCCGAGTCGCAGTCGTCCGTCGCTACGCCCGACACGGACGCCGACGGCCTCGAGGAGCATGGCTTCGCTCAGAAAGAGTCTTCCTAGCTTTTTATCGCTGGGAAGGGACCAGGATCGCTGGAGTGATCTTCACCTAGATCTGGGTAGAGATAGAGATCTGACTGTGACGTATATACGAGATTTGGTAGCGTTGAATTTGATATATTTATATTACGTGCAATATACTACTCGAAAGCCTCTTCTATAGATATATATATATAGAGAGAGTACAAGTCATGAGACCCTCCCACCACATATATATATAACATACGCATGGATTAGTTTCAATCATCTGAGTCAAAAGAGTGGCGAAGGATCAAATATATATCCAGCAGTAGAAACCCCTCATTTCACACTGTCAGGTGACGATGTTTAAATGTAACACCAACCTCAGCCCTAGCATATAAATATATATATATACAAAGCTTAGCCTTCCGTCCCGATCACGAAATAAGATACACTGGTGTTCAATCCTAGACGCACTATCACTATCTTTTCATTTAGGTTATTACTGGTGGATGGAGTTCTGTATACTCGCACTGATAGCTATTGAATGGACAATGATCAAGTAAGTGGGAATGGTGTAGCATTACTACTACTAAATACTACTAAAGATATAGCTGAATAGAAACCTGCTCACCGATATGCATATACACAAGGGAAAGGCAAAGGGGGAAAAGAACAGAAAAGAAAAGAAAGCAAAGAAAAAACCAATTTAGATATATTGCATGTCATTCCATCCAACAAAAAGTAGAAAGGTAAAGTAAGGAAGAAAGGAAGAAGGGAAGAAGGAAAATCTAACTCTCAATCAACTCCCTCCACATCCACGACCTCTCCTCCTGCTCCTCCTTCGACCCAACCTTGGTGCCGGCACCGAAATCCTGCCCCACGACACACACCAGCCAGACGTCGTTCTTAGTATCGTTGAGGAAGCGTTCCGTCGCCGACCCCCGCGGGTGGATGCGTCGCCACTCGTCCCAGATGCGGAAGGCCTCGTCGCCCCAGGCGCGGAAGCTGACCTCTTCGATGATGGTCGGCGTGACGATCTCCTTGCCGCGGAACACGCCCCACGTCACGGCGTTGACGTTTTCCGGGTTGATCTCGATGGGGTCCGCTTCGGAGCTCTGCGATGGCATGGACGACTGGAAGTCGCCCTTGCTGTTGACGGCGAACCAGGCGAGTTTCTCGTGGCCGTGCTTCTGTAGGAGGGGCTTGACGACGGTGGTGTAGTCGCTGTTGGGGCAGAAAAATTCCACGAAGGGCTTCTGGAAGACGAAGCCTTCGCCGGGCGGGCCCCAGCCGAATACGGGGTCGTCGCTCCGCCGGCCGTTCACGGCTGGCTGCGAGGCGAGCGTCCACCAGCCCTTCTTGTCGATCAGCTGCAGGAGCTCCGGGCGGATGGTGGCCGTCTCGGGGCTCAAGCCACTGCTGTTCTCCTCCGCACCGCCTTCGGACCAGGGAACGATGTAAAGCTCGTCCGACACGTGCCGGCGGAAGAGCGCACTGATGTCGTCGCGGGAGGCAGGGTAGCCCCAGACCCGACGAGCGACGGCGGGGGTAACCTTCAGGGAAGGGCCGTAGCCGTCGATCTCTCCGAACGCAGGCGACCGCGCGTCACCCCAACGACCGTTGGGGAAATCATCCCAGGTGGCTTCTCGGCCGAGCGCACCCAGCCCTTCGGAGATCTGCAGCGTGGTGCTGCGGTCCGGCGGCATGGCGGGCATGCCGGCACTGGTGGCCGGAGCCTCGTGGGTCATCGAGCTCCTGGAGGACTCAGCGAACTGTGGCCGATCCACGATGACTCGGTTATGGGGAAGGGAGTTGAGCGACGACCGGCGGCGCCTGGAGGCGGAGCGGCTGGCTCCATTGGGGCCCGCGGCAGACAAGTCGAGGGCGGATAGACTGCCGCCATCAACCAATGCATCCGAATCGTCGGCGTACTCGGGGATCAGGCCGCAGCGCTCGATGATGAAAGATACCGTCTTCTCCAGGTTCAAGGTGTAGAAATGGAACCCGCGTTGCGCGGGACGAGGAATCTTTCGGATCCCGCCCACCAGCTCAGTGAGCACGTCGACGCCAATGCGCTTGACCGCGTCATCGTCGAACCGCACCTCTTCCATCTTCCTGATGATCGGGGGCGGGATGTGTACATGGCTCAGCTTGGTCACTCTCGTTAGGATCTTATAGCTGTGGATGGGCATCAAGCCGGGGATGATGGGGATGGTCTTGAAGGCGCCCGACTCATGGGTCCGGAGACGGTTCTCGAAGTTCACGTAGGCGTCCACATCATAGGTCAACTGGGTCATGATGAAGTCGGCCCCGGCTCGCGTTTTCTCCACCAGGTACGGCAGATCCCTCTCGGGGTCCTGGGTGTCTTGGAAGGAATCGACGGGGTGACCTTCCGGGTAGGCGGCGACACCGACGCAGAAGTAGTCTCCGTACTGCTGGCGGATGTAGCGAACCAAGTCGATGGCAAATGTGAAATCCTTGTTGCTATCGTCCTCCCCGTGCATGTTGTATTCCTCGCTGCGCGGCGGATCACCCCGCAGGGCCAAGATGTTCCTGATTCCCAACACCTTTGCCTCCTCGAGCGCCTGGTCGACGAGCTCCCGACTCGTGTTGGTGCAGGTCAGGTGTAAGCAAGTGGTCAATTGCAACTGGCGCTGGCAGACTTCCGCCAGCTCCAGCGATCTGGTCGCGGTACTCCCGCCGGCACCCCATGTGACAGTGACGAACAGCGGTCGCAGGGCCTGTGCCATGCGCTCTAACCGGGCTTGGAGGTTTGCAAAACCCTAGATGTAGTCATATCACATGGTCAGCCATGGTCTCTTTTACCTCATCCATATTATTCCAGTGCGGGGAGGGGGACCCCACCATCTGAGTTTTGGGAGGAAAGAACTCCAAAGAAAAATAATTTTCATCCGGCGGCAAAGCCGCGATCTTATCCGTGATCTTCTCCATGTCGAGCTCTTGTGGTGAGTAGACGACGGAACGGGGTTGTTGGGGGGGTTGGATGGGGGAAGTAAAAGAAGAGGAAGAGAAAGAATAGTAGGACGAGCGATAACGAGATGGAGGGGAGATCGGAGGGAGATCGGAGGAGACTTGGGCCCGCCGACGGAAGGCAGCTGACTTGGTGGTTTTTATTTACTCAAGTTTTTCTTTCTTCCTTCTAGTATTATTTGTATTTTTTTGATTCAATCCTTTGATCTCTGTTTGCACTGGTTCCTTTTCATATACAGTTTACAATACGGTAAAACTGTGGAATATGCCGGGTTGAGGCAGCAATTGATGCATTCGGCCTCCGCAGGCGCATCATCAAGAAGCACGATACCAGGCATAATCTCGAACATAAGACTCTAGAAAAAGTCCCTCATTACATGCAAGTATACGGACTGCTATAGTTCAGAATTTACATGATTAATCGATCTGAAGTTGATTAATGGCCATATTCAGAACTATACTACAATTGTGTACGGAGTATTCAACCATGAGATCTACGCGATGTACTAATCAATGTATGAAATGCACTAAATGTACTAATCGCCGAGTTATATGCAAACATAACAAACATAGGCTCATCGCTCAACTCAACCAGATGATATATCGCGACAGAATCGCCTCGGCTTCAATTGACAATTGTCTGACAATTGACAGTTGACTGTCCATTAGCTCAGGAATGCTCCTACCTGTCTGATTGATTCTGCAATTGATTATCTCTACCATCTTTCCGTTCCCGAGACACCTCACAGCCGGACACCCTCGAACACCCCGTCGTTCCTCACCACCGATCAACCACTCGTCCACATGCTCTCAACAATGCGATAGAACACCTACACACCCTCAAATCTCACAAATATGCCACCCTCTCCCCGCCAACCTCCTCTCCTCCACTACATCCGAGCAATCTCACGCCCCCGCGCCCCCCTCCCCCGGCGCAACCTATCCACGTCCCCTCCCACCCCTCCCACCCCTCCCAAAAAAGACCCCCGTTCACAGCTCCGCCGCCTCAACGACCGACTCCCGGCCTTCCTGCGCGCATACACCACGCCCCTCCTCGGCGCCCCCGCCACCTATATCACCTCATTCCTGATCCTCCACGAGCTCACGGCAATTGTACCCCTCTTCGGTCTAGTCGCCGCCTTTCACTACGGGAATTGGCTCCCTGATTTGACCGCTAATCGGTCTTTCGAGGAGGGCACGCAGCGTTTTGCGCGGTGGTTGCGCAAGAAGGGATGGGTGGAGGATGCGGATGTGGAATCTGTTGTTGGGGAGGGGTCGTCGGATGACTCTATCGGGAGGTTGTCTCCGACTAAGGAAGCGGCGGGGGGAAAGGAGGGGACGGGTGCGTGGTTGATTTTGGAATTCGCTACAGCTTACGCGATTACCAAGGCTTTTTTGCCGCTGCGGATTGCGGCTAGTTTTTGGGCGACACCGTGGTTTGCTAGAGTTGTTGTGAGTCCTTTGGCTCGAGGGACGAGGGCCTTGTTTGGGAGGAAGTAGACCGAGCTACCGAGTTCGAGTAGCATCGTACTAAACGCGTCGACTAGAGGTTGTTTTAAGATGTAGGTTTTTTTTAAATTCGTTTTATATTTCTCATCCCGTCCTTCTCTATCTCGCTACCAACCGATGCTGTTTATGCCATTACTCGAGGTGCACACAGCTCAGATGGAAGTTGGAGGATCGAGTGGAGCAATCTATTGCTCCTTCTCGTAGAGCCAGGCGTACTGGGCGAGCTTGTAGGTCTGGACCTCCTGAGGCTGGAACCAGAGGGAGATCTCCTTCTTGGCGCTCTCGACGCTGTCGGAGCCGTGGCAGACGTTGCGGCCGATGTCCTGTCATGCAATTAGTCTTCGGGAAACCGCACGAATGGACGGAAAAGACTTACGATGGCGAAGTCACCACGGATGGTACCGGGGGCAGAGGCCAGGGGGTTGGTGGCACCGAGGATGGCTATATCATTGTTAGTTCATCGCGAAGAAAGATAGTGACCGGATAAGGAAAAAAACATACTACGGCCGGTCTTGACGACGTCCTTGCCCTCCCAGACCATGGCGACAACGGGGCCGCTCATCATGTCTAATCAACCGTTAGCACACTCCAGTACACCAGGTATTATTCTTCCATTTGGAGACTTACAGGCGAGCAGGCCGGGGAAGAAAGGCTTGCTGGACAGATCACCGTAGTGCTGCTCAAGGAGCTCCTTGCTGGGGGAGGTCATCTTCAGGGCAGCGAGCTTGAAGCTACAGATCGTTAGTTCTTGTCACATTTCCCGATTCATATCAAACACGGCTTATAGAGGGTGTACGAACCCACGGTTCTCGAAGCGGGAGATGATGGGGCCGACGAGTCCACGCTATATCCATACGATTAGTTTCTGTAGGAATGGACAATGGCGACATTGCTATATCGAAAGTCACTTGGTTCGTACCTGGACTCCATCGGGCTTGATGGCAATGAAGCTATTCCAAGATGTTAGTATAGGTAAAACAAGCGTGGAAAAAATTGCACCACCGTGCAGTAGAGCGGGGTAGAGGGGAAGAGGATAGGGAGGGGTTATGCAAGTGTATGGCATAAATCACTTACGTCTGCTCGCTGTTGGACATTTTGAAGGATTGGGAGGAATGAGATCTGATTGACAGAGTATCAAGAAGAATGCAATTGGGGAAAAGGAGAAGAGAAAGGAAACTTTTAATGACGGGCCGAAAAGGTGGGCGAAAATATATACGAGGGAGTTGTGGGTGGGGCGGTGGGCTGTTTGGGCCTTCTGGACGGGTAAAGCCAGCACTAACAGCGTGCCAATGCCTGAAAAGATGGGCCACTGGTTGCGGCCTGGCGGCCTGGCGGCCTGGTGGCCTGGTCGCTGCCTGACGGGTTGGCCTCTGCCTCAGGTGTCTTAACCGGGGTAGCCCGATCGGGCCTAGTATACAGGCTAAACCCAAACGGGAGCTTCCCCGGCGGCCTCCTCAATCTCCAGTCAGGCCAGCCTGGAATTACCCACTTCTGTTGTTTACTTGGTAGCTCCGAAGACTGACCGGTCAATGTCATTCTCTGGCCTTGTCAACTCACTCCCCATCTCACTTTACGATTGATTGACTGGACGGATCTTTCCACTGTGTATGCTGGACACCTTCATCTCGGGTAGATGCAGGCCAGCACGTTCACGGAGGGCAATCGTTTTATTGTACCTTCTGAGGTGAGGGACGACAGTGATTAACGCAGCCATGACGCGATTACAGCCATCGTCCACTTGGTGGACCTTATTTTTATCCCTGGTGATTCTACTCGGATGCTTGGTCATCCCTGGAGGTGAGTCCTGCCCTTGGCCCTCACGACGGGTCCAGTATTGACCGTCTTCCAGTCACCGTGAAACATGAAAGTTTCAAGAAATGCGACCAATCCGGTTTCTGTAAACGGAACAGAGCCTATGCCGACCATGCCTCCGCCCAGAGCTCATCTTGGAGCTCTCCCTACGCCCTCGAACCGTCCTCGATTCACTTCAAGGATGGCCTGTTGCAAGGAACGATCCTCAAGGCGATCTCGGCGACCGAGACCGTCAGATTACCCCTGGTCGTGTCGTTTCTCGAGTCGGGAGTCGCCCGGGTTGTGGTCGATGAGGAGAAGAGAATGAAGGGCGAGATCGAAATGCGACACGACAGCCAGGCCCGCAAGGAGCGATACAACGATGCGCAGAAATGGGTGTTGGTGGGGGGCCTGGGATTGAGCAAGTCGGCCACCCTGAACCCGGAACAGGAGGAGGGAGTAACGAAGATCTTGTATGGACCGGAGAACCAATACCAGGCTGTCATCCGCCACTCTCCCTTCAATGTGTTCTTCCAGAGGGACGGACAGACCCATGTCCAGTTGAACAACAAGGGCTACCTGAACATGGAGCACTGGCGCGCCAAGGTGGAAGTTCCAGAAGGAGCCGAGGCACCGCCGACCACGGAGGACGAAGGCACCTGGTGGGACGAAACATTCGGCGGAAACACCGACACCAAGCCCAGAGGCCCCGAGAGTGTCGGCCTCGACATCACCTTTCCTGGTTACAGCCATGTCTTTGGGATTCCGGAACATGCGGACTCCATGTCTCTGAAGGAGACCAGGTGAGCCCTCGTATCTCGACAGTGTCTGATAGGTGACGACTAATCGTGTGTTAGAGGTGGCTCTGGAAACCACGAAGAGCCCTACCGCATGTACAACTCCGATGTGTTTGAATATGAGCTCAATAGCCCCATGACCCTGTACGGTTCGATCCCACTCATGCAGGCGCACCGGAAAGACTCGACCGTCGGAGTCTTCTGGCTGAACGCTGCCGAGACTTGGGTGGACATTGTCAAGACCACCGCCTCGGCCAACCCGCTCTCCTTGGGTATTGGCGCCAAAACTGACACCCAGAGCCATTGGTTCTCGGAGAGTGGCCAGCTCGACTTGTTTGTGTTCTTGGGCCCTACGCCACAGGATATCAGTAAGAACTATGGCGAACTGACGGGTTATACACAACTGCCCCAACACTTTGCGATTGGATATCACCAGTGCCGCTGGAACTATGTCACCGACGAGGACGTCAAGGAGGTCGACCGTAACTTCGACATGTACCAGATTCCCTATGACGTGATTTGGCTCGACATTGACTACACGGACGACGTCAAGTATTTCACCTGGGACCCTCTCCAATTCCCCAATCCCATCGGGATGGAGCAACAGCTGGATGAGAGTGAGCGCAAGCTCGTGGTGATCATCGACCCCCACATCAAGAACCAGGACGGGTATCCCATCGTGGAAGAGATGAAGAGTAAGAATCTGGCCGCGCGGAACAGGAAGGGTGAGATCTACGAGGGTCACTGCTGGCCGGGCGCGTCCCACTGGGTGGATTGCTTCAACCCCGCGGCAATCAAGTGGTGGATCGGCCTGTTCAAATATGACCGCTTCAAGGGGACCCTCCCCAATGTGTTCGTCTGGAACGACATGAATGAGCCATCCGTGTTCAATGGGCCGGAAATGACGATGCCCAAGGACAACCTGCATTGGGACAACTGGGAGCACCGCGACATCCACAACATCAACGGTATCACCCTCGTGAATGCCACTTTTGATGCGTTGCTGGAGCGCAAGAAGGGCGTGGTCCGCCGTCCATTCATCCTGACCCGGTCGTACTACGCCGGCGCACAGCGTACGTCGGCCATGTGGACGGGCGATAACCAGGCCACCTGGGAGCATCTCGCCATCTCACTCCCCATGGTTCTCAACAACGGAATCTCCGGCTTCCCCTTCGCCGGAGCGGACGTTGGCGGCTTCTTCCACAACCCGACCACCGAACTCCTGACGCGGTGGTACCAGGCGGGCATCTGGTACCCGTTCTTCCGTGCCCACGCCCACATTGACACGCGCCGACGCGAGCCCTTCTTGATCCCCGAGCCTCACCGGTCCATCGTCGCGCAGGCGCTCCGCTTGCGATACCAGCTCCTGCCGGTCTGGTACACCGCTTTCCACGAGGCATCGGTCAACGGCACCCCGATCGTCCGACCGCAATTCTACGTGCACCCGGCCGATGAGGCAGGGTTCGCGATCGACGACCAGTTGTACCTTGGAGCGTCGGGCCTCCTGACCAAGCCGGTTGTTGCCGAGGGGGTGAACACGGCGGACATTTATCTGGCCGACGACCAGAAGTACTATGACTATTTCGACTACACGGTCTACCAGGGCGCTGGGAAGCAGCATACCGTGCCCGCGCCCATCGACAAGGTGCCCTTGTTGATGCAGGGTGGCCATATCCTCCCCCGCAAGGACCGACCCCGTCGCAGCAGCGGGCTGATGAAGTGGGACCCGTACACCTTGGTCGTGGTCGTGGACTCGAACGGAGAGGCCGAGGGGACCCTGTACGTGGACGACGGCGAGACCTACGACTATGAACGCGGTGGCTACATCCACCGGCGCTTCCACTTCCGCGATGCCACCCTCTCCTCGGAGGACATCGGCATCAAGGGCCCCAAGACCGCCGAATACCTCAAGGCCATGTCCGCTGTCCGGGTGGAGAAAGTGGTCATCATCGACCCGCCCACGCAGTGGCAGGAGAAGGCCAGCGTCACGGTGGTCGAGGAAGGAGCCAAGTCCGCGTCGACGGCGACCGTGGAATACCATGACCAGGCGAGCGGCAAGGCCCCCTACGTCGTGGTGAAGAATCCTGGGGTGAGCATCGGCAAGACTTGGCGCATGGAATTCTAACCGCATGACGGTCACCTTTATGTATACATAGTTAGCAACCATATGAACTTTCCCCTGGAGCCAGAAATCTAGAATCCCACGTAAAATTAAAGACGCAACTGATCAAAGACTATCCAAGAATCAAGCAAGAAGGAAAGGGGATCGGTGGACCCGCTGAGTCAGCCAGGCACGGGCTCGTGAAAAGAAAAAGCGAGAAAAAGTGACGCTTTCGACCTGCGAAAGGGAAAAACAGGTCTGGTTCGAGATTGATTAATTTCCTTCTCACCCTTCCTTACTCTCGATTCGTATTTTTTCAGAGAGCGTCGCCGTCCATCTTTAAACTTAACTTCGTCCCCTTGCAGGATTCCATTCTTAAACCTTGAGTCTCTTTCTTCTACCCCCCTGACCTTGGACACACGCCGACTTCGCGCCATCTTCCGCCCCGTTCCGTCGGTTTGGGCTCGGCATCCTGTGCTTATTGGCACTTCCGGTCTTTCGTCTCGATTCTATTTTTTACTCTTTAACCTTCAATTTATCTTTATTTCTATTATTCCGGCCAGTGGGATTTGACGCCAGGGCGTCATTACATCGACGATGTCTCTTATCCAGATGGCGGTGGATTATGGGGCTCCGATCTTGTATGTCGCGAATATTCCTATAATTATTGATCGTTTTTGAAAGAGAAACGCAACAAGAAAAGAGAAAGAAAGAAGCAAAAGAAAGGAGATGAACTTAATGGATAGAATAAGAACGGAATGCTGACCGCGGGGCTCCCCCTCGAATAGCCTCGTCACCTCGCCGGTGACGTCGTACGCGGACCAAATCCTCAGCATCCACCGGACTCGGACGTCGGCTGGCTTTTCGCTCGACATTCCTCTGATTATGCTCCTCGCCTCGATTCTCAAGTAAGCCGACAGGTTCCTCGACCGGGATGCGATCCCTAGGGCTCGACGTTGACTTCCGCTGTATAGGGTGTACTTCTGGTTCGGCGATAACTACTCGATCTCGCTGTTGGTACAAGCGATCGTCATGATTGGAGTCCAGATGGTGTTGCTCAAGGTCGCGTTGGATAACCGTCCGTCCCCGGGGGCGAAGGACGGGATCGAACACACTCCTTTCGCGCAGCTCGACGCTGCGGATACCAGACCGTACGAGTTTTGGCAGTGGAAGAGTGCGAGGCCGTATGTCTCCCTTCTTTCTAATCGACAACGCAGAATCCGTTGAGCGGAACTGACAATATGTCGCATCTAGATACTGGATGTGTCTGGCCTACTTCATTGGTGCGCTCTCCTTCATTCAGATCCTCCTCCCGCCCCTGTCGCAATCCCAGCTGTACATCAACTTCCTCGGATACACCGGTCTCGCCGTCGAAGCCACCCTACCGATCCCCCAGATCCTGAAGAACTACCGCTCTCGGTCCTGCGCCGGATTCCGACTGTCGGTAGTCGTCGCATGGATCCTGGGTGATGTCATGAAACTGAGCTACTTCTTCTGCAGCTCGGAGGTCATCCCCTGGGCCTTCCGCTTGTGCGGCATGTTCCAGTGCGCATGCGATTTCTACCTCGGAGTGCAATTCTGGATGTACACTCGATCCTCCGAGGACGCCGGAATCCCGCGAGGCCAACCCGCCAGCTGGAACGAAGAGAAAGACATCCGAATGACCTGAATGCGACCATGGCGGCGTTGGAGTTATGGCTCACGAACCCGGTCACTTCAACCCGGTTCACTCACCCCTTTCACTGCCCTTCTTGCTTCCTGTACAGTAGAAATTTTGTGTCTATGATGAACGGACGGGTCTGCGCGATCCGTCCCCGTTCAGTAACGACGATAGATATATATATTTAATTAATGAATATTGTTACGTGTGTATGAAAACACCAGATGAGAAATTCACTTCCAATATCATCATAGCAAGAAATAGACAAATAGAGAAATAAGACCCGACGGAACTGCCCCGCGGACAAACCCCGCCCTCGTGAAGATCCCCAAGAAAGCTTGTTCCAGCGACCTCGTCTCAACCATCCTTCAACACTCACCTGATATATCGCGCGACTCGACCCGCTTTTGCTTCCTTCGTCTTATTTAGTTGTAGTATGGCGTCCGCTGTGGGAACGATTCGAATCGGCTATGTGCCTGGTATGTCTAAACATCTTCTACCTTGTCCTGGACCTTGGCCCTCGTGGCCCCACTCAATAGGGTGGAGATGCGGTGTTGTATTGCATTCAACAATTACCATCACAAACCCCCAATAGAACGAGACACGACTTCACTACATACAGTAACTAATATGCGAATCCAGAACACTACCTCACCCCCCTCCACCTCGCCCTCCGCTCCCCATCCCTCCAATCCCTCCCGTTCAAGATCTCCCTGACGCCCTTCCCGTCCGGCACGGGCCACATGATCACGTCGCTCCGCGACAGGGAGATCGATATCGGGATCGGTCTGACGGAGGGATGGATCGCAGGGCTGGCGGGCAAGCAGCAGGCGCAGAAGGATGCTGCGGCCGGCGGGTATAAGGTTGTGGGCCATTGGGTTGATACGCCTTTGCGCTGGGCGATTGTTACTGGGCGCGGCCGGGATGAGATTCGGGATGTTGCTGATTTGGAGGGGAGGAGGGTGGGGGTTAGTCGGCTTGGGAGGTGAGTTTGTTGGTGGGTGGTTTTCGTTTATCATGGGGGGATGATGTTTCGCATCCAATATCGTTGTTTAACGGAGTTTCTGCTACGGTACAACGGCTAATCTCCCTCCCAGCGGCTCCCACATCATGTCCTTCGTCCTCGCGCAGCAACAAGGCTGGAAATCTGACTCCCTGACCACCGTCCCGCTGGGTCCATTCGGGGCCCTCCGCGACGGAGTCACCGGCCAGGGCGCATCAGAAGCAGGGTCTCCAACAGCCGAGTTCTTCATGTGGGAACACTTCACCACCAAGCCGTTCTTCCATCCTATTCCTGGGAAGCCCGAACCGCCGCTGAAGAAAATAGGCGAGATCTACACGCCCTGGCCGTCGTGGATGATCGTCGCGTCGACGGAGGTCTTCCCGCAGCCGGTGCAGGATGAAACACTGCAAAAGCTGTTTGCCTTGCTCGATCAGGGCATTGAGGATTTCCGTGCGGACCCGGCGCAGGCGGTGAAATTGTTGGGGACAGGGGAGTTGGGGTGTACGTATGGGGAGGAGGATGCGAGGGAGTGGTTGAAGGATGTGAGGTTTGTGTCTCGGGGGACGAGGGGTGTGGAGAGGGGGGTTGTGGATGGGGTGGTGGATGTGCTGAAGGTTGCTGGGGTTATTGATTCTGGTATGAGCAATGATGAGGCTTCGGAGAGGGTGGTTGGGATTCCGCGGTAGATGTGTGACTCTGTAACGGTTGATGGGGAATGATATAGTCTTTATCTAATAACGACGATTCCATAATACGTTCTTCTGGCCTTGGAAACTTCACGCGCTGTATGATTTGTGCACTCCGACTGGTTTGACAGGCTCTTTTCTTTCTACTTCGACTAGCCTGATACTATGTTGGGATATCAGTCATATCGGGCTCGACCAAGATATACCGATTCGGTATTCTGTTGCAGTGGCTATCACACTACAATCACCAGGAAGACGCTCGGCGATCAAGTAAGCGCTTTGTCTCCCCATGGCATGCCTTCTACTGACTCCACCATCAAACAACCAAGGGTGACTCCATCCCCCTCATATCTACATCACAACAGCGTCTGACTGCCCCAGCATGGAATTTGCTTCTCAACCTAGTACGCCGCCAACCATTAAAGAAGTCCCTAAAGCAGTCCTGCGATACTGTGCAAAAACACATTCCTCATCGTCGTGCCAGCAGCCAAGCATTCCAAGCAAGTCAGGACACACCTCAATAATGTTATTACTAACGACTCAACTGACGGTGACAAGGCCACTAAACGGTCATCTGGGACGAGCTTGCGTATACCCAGGCAGGTGGACGGCCGCTTGAGACCCCACCAGGTGGATAGATCTAGACTCGGGGAGCTTGACGGACACTGTCTCTTGAAAACGGCTGTAGGGCGGCGTGAAGAATGCGTGGGCTGGTGCCCGATCGTCTGACGCTTGCGATAGGGAGCTCCACTGCCTGCAGAACGCAGACAGCTAGTTGTCTGTCACCTGTCAGCCGGATTCTCTGGCTTGATCAGCGTGTCTGTATCATTCTGGCACTCATGGTCTCTGCATGATTATGTCATGACTTAGAATTCATACGCGGGAGATCATGGGTTATGTATCCCTATCTACTAGGTGGAGTATGGATCCATACAACACAACACCGTTACCCGGACAGGTACGCAGACCATCATATATCACCTATATAAGGCAGTCCAGTCTAGAACCATTGCTCTATTCTTAAAGCAGGGCAATCCTACCCTGGACCTCTTTCCCCACCAAGCCGTCGCAAGCTTCGTCACGGATACGGAAATCCACATTCCAGAGCCCCGCGGATGACTTCCTCAGGAATGCGCGTCTACCACAATGACCCCAATCACAGAGTCCGGACATGATAGCCCGCGAGTCAAATCACCTGTTCTAATTCTAGCATGGCAGTTGGTTTGGTTCACACCTCCATGCGGATGGGACTTTTTAGGAATACCGGGTTGGATTCTGCCTTAACGAAAACGCCTCGGCCGAGGCTTTGGCTGGTTATAATGCTGTATGAGGACGGCTTGGGGATACATAAGAGGGGCTCTTTTCGAGGTCGTCTCTTTTTTGGGTCTCGTTGGTATTTGGGAGGTCGGATCTGAATATTGGTTTTGTCTACTATATCTTCGGTGGTTCTACTCGAATTATTGCTTGCTATACGACTTGAGTCATGTCATTCTTGAATAGACTGCTGGCTGTTACGGCTGCGACTGCTTGTGTGCACGGCGTATATGCCAAGTTTGATTTGGAGAGCAGCAAGAATGTTGTTGTTTACTGGGGTGAGTGATTGATAGTCTATCTACGATGAAACGTGATTGACCTTTTGTCTACAGGTCAGAACTCCTTCGACGGCCAAGGGGAACAAGCCCAGCAGAGACTGGGACATTACTGCGAGAGTGAGTGTTTTTTATACTGTTCATAGAATGCACATCAGATTGAGCTAACGTATTTAGATGAGGACATCGATGTAAGCCTACGTACATATCAGATAATATATAACTGCATATCTAACAATATCAGGCAATCCTCCTCTCCTTCGTCATGAGAGTGAACGGACAGGGAGGCCACCCCGAGTACGATATGTCTACCGCAAGCGAAGACTGCGAAGCATTCGAAGGAACCAACTTGAAGAACTGTCCTGAAATCGGGTACGTATCGTCCCTAAATCAGGCACCCTATCCGGGAGTCCAGCAATTGACCGTCCCAGTGAGGATATCAAATCCTGCCAGGAGAAGGGGAAGACAATTATTCTGTCTATTGGCGGCGCGACCTACAGCGAAGGCGGCTTCGAATCTGAGTCCGACGCGAAGGCTGGTGCCGAGCTGATCTGGAAGACGTTCGGTCCGTCGTCCGGTAGTAGCGATAGCGGCAGCAGTGACAGCGACAGCAGCAGCCCTAGCAGCTCGAGCAGCTCCAGCAGTCCCAGCAGCCCAAGCAACACAAGCAACCCCGGTGAACCCAGCAACCAAGACGAACCCAGCAACCCCAGCAGCAATGCGGACAAGCCCCAGCCCAGCGAAAGCACCACCGTCGCCCACGCGAAGCCAACACACACGAAGCCAACGCACGCAAGGCCAACAAACTTCTTCGGCGGACACTACCTATTCGGCTACCCATTCCACCCCACTCGCTTCCACGCTTCACATATAGCCCGTTCCGACAACAACGACGCAGCCGAGAGCGAGGTCCTCCGACCCTTTGGAGACGCCTCCGTCGACGGCTTCGATTTCGACTTTGAAGCCACCGTAAAGAATATGGCTCCGTTCGCAAGCCGGCTGCGCGAGCTTGCCGACGCAGACGGCTCCAAGCGGATCTACTTGACCTCCGCCCCGCAGTGTCCTTACCCCGACGCCGCGGACAAAGATATCCTGAACGGGCCGGTGTCCATCGACGCGGTGTTTGTCCAGTTCTACAACAATGCCTGCGGCTTGCAATCTTTCCAGTCCAACTCTGAAGACCAGACCAACTTCAACTTCCACACCTGGGACCAGTGGGCGCGCGAGACGTCGCAGAATAAGAATGCGAAGGTGCTTATCGGCGCCCCTGGCAACCAGGCTGCTGCTAGCTCAGGTTATATGGGCGCTGACCAGCTGGCGCAGGTGATCAAGTATGCGCAAAAGTTTGATAGCTTTGGCGGGGCTATGTTCTGGGATGTCACGCAGGTGTACTCCAATCAGGGCTTCTTGGACACTGTGGTTCAGGCGCTTGGGAAGGGCCAGGCACAGGCTCGTAGTTGGATGGGATAGATGGTTTATAGGTATTTTGGCTCATATTCTGTTCATGGGGGGCTGTTTGATGTTTATGGTAGTCGGATAATGTACTAATGATATATCGTCAAATATACTAATTTGCTAATCAATCAATTCATAATGTCTGATTTCAGTCTCTTATGTATAGGGTTAGACATGTCAGCTGTTTTCCATCGCTTTCCCACGTAGATCGTGTTTTGTCTCTACTTTCCTCGTCTTTCCGAAACCATTTCGTACCTGTTCTAACTCTTTCATAGTATTGTGAATTATCAATATCATCAACATCATATATCTTGACCGCGTCAAAAGACGCGTTTGATGGGGTGGAGCTCGAGAGGACAGTCGAGAATTTCAAGAAACTGGACCGCTATCTTGACATTAATGACACGCAACCGATATATATATATATATAAAGAATGATGGCTCAGCCGTTACTGGATATCCTCCAAATCGATAGAGAGATTGGTATACAGATGCTGGACTCGTACCGCAAGACGTGGATCAGCAAGGTTGGACGAGCTCTGATTTCACCTGCTACAGCAATTGTCTAGAGCGTCGCATTTTCCATATTGGAATAAGGTATGTTTGACGGCGATGGACTGTGTTTTGGAGCTGATAACTGAGAGTATAAGGCTTACTTGGCCCTGGTGGAATTTGCAATGGCATTCAAGTTGTCCGCGGAAGACCGTGAGATGGTTCAACCGATCTTCGATAAGATCGAGGAGGGCTTCATTCTGAACCAGGACTACTGGAGCTGGGGCAAAGAGTATCACGCCTGGCAGACTCAGGGCAAAAGACTGATGAACTGTATCGATGTCATCAGTCGGACGGAGCACCTTCCAATCACAGAAGCAAAAGAAAAGGTGGAGGAATGATCATTGAAACCGAAACCGAGTACACAAAAAGGAAGGAGCGGTTTGCCACGCAACACCCGGAGTCCTGGAAGCGTCTGGAGGGGTGGATTGAGGCGCTGGGTACAGCCCTCGGTAGTTACCATTACATCGCTTCGGTCCACCCACGATATCATCCTTTCGCAGAGAGTCCATACGGGATGTCGAACGGAACCCAAACTCTCCCCGCCCTCGACGACCTGACGTCGGACCAAAAGAAAGAAGACCTACCATTCTTACAAAAAGAAAGAAGTGCCAACTGCAGGAATCTGCGCCGTGCTCGTGGCCAACAGGACTATGCAGCAGTCGCTGCCCCGCGAGACTATATCAACTCTCTTCCCTCGAAAGGAATAAGATCGATGCTCATCGACGCATTCAATCTCTGGTTATATGTGCCGCAGGGCCCACCGAAGACCATTGAGGGTCTTGTCCAATTATTGCACAACGCGTCACTGATCCTGGATGACATCGAAGACAATTCGGAATTGCGGCGAGGGCAACCCGCCGCGCATCTTGTCTATGGAACCCCGCAAGCGACGAACAGTGCGACATTCATGTTTGTCCAAGCCATCCAGGAAGCCCGACGACTGAGAATTCCGCAATCCATGGACGTCATTCTCGAGCACGCTGAACGTCTCCATCTAGGCCAGAGCTGGGATCTGTACTGGAGGTTCCACAATCAGTGTTCGTCTGAAAGTGAGTACATGGGTATGGTGGACGATAAAACAGGGGCCATGTTCCAGATGCTGGTGGGTATTCTCCAAGCGGAGAGCCCGGCCTGTCCCAGTTTGGATTTGACCATATTGACGGTTCTATTGGGGAGGTTTTTCCAAGTACGGGATGATTACATGAACCTCCGGTCGTCGGACTACACGGAGCAAAAGGGGTTCTGTGAAGAACTTGACGAAGGAAAGTATTCCTTTTTAATAGTCCATCTCATTCATGAATGCCCCGACGCAAAGAGCTCCGTCACCAGTCTCTTCCAGCAGCGCCAGGAGAAGTTGTCCCGCGAAAACAAGGAGTTTATTCTTGACCTTCTCAAAAAAGCAGGGACCTTCAAAGCTACCCTCAACTATCTGAAGCAGACTGAGGCACATATCGAAGAGGAGATTGAGAGGCTCGAGGAACTCGGCGGGCAACCAAACCCTCTCTTGCGGTAAGTCGTTGCCAGACTAAGCGTGAAGGATCTATCTATGCATTGAGGATAGCAACTCGAGGAAACGCAATTAAGGACAGCGGGTGTGCTCAACAAAGCTATGCGGCATTGTGACTCCTGGGATAGAATACTAATTACCAAATCTACTATGCACGAATACCGTCCACATTTCATAATCAACAGCAGGAACGAAGATGTATCCACTCCCAGGGCTCGCATGGAGACGATTTGGGGGAATATTTCATGCATAGAGGGAACAAAGAGCCCATGGTGAGAGTTACTAGCGAAGGGTTTGAACGAAGCATCCGAAGCATCAATTGTGAATATGTACTATGGCTCTTTTATTGGAAATACCAAGAATGCCATACTCACAGATCATCCTGGCCGTAAATCCGAGTTAGGGCATGGTAGCCGCCTAGTAGACCGCTTGCAGATTCCCAAATGGGCAAACTTAGGAGATACACGCACGTCACCACCTAAATGGGAGCAAAAACAAAACCACACCCTAAGAGGCTCATTAGACATGTCGTCTACATAGAACTGGATCTCACTCCTTTTTGCCCCCTATCTCTTCTCTCTGAGACCTCGTCAAACCAATATCTGGCGCCGCACCGCTGACCTCCACCCCCGCAATCAGCTCCAACGACGGCGGAACAAACTGCCGCCTGCCTTTGAGAAACCAGCCGGCCAGAATAATAACAGAGAAGATTGCACAGATTAGGACGGTATAGTTCATGTTGGACGCAGTCAGCGGATGCTGCTGCGGGATCTGGCAGGTACAGATTAGCAGCCGACAACTGCGATAATATACGGCTAGAGTGATTCTCACCATCACGATTACCGCGACGAACACGCTATACACGGATGCTACCATGGCGATGGCGTACGATTTGGAGCCGAGAGCCCAGCGTCCCTGGGTATTACCCATCTCTGATCTGCGTGTGACTAGCATAAGGAGGGCAGGGGAGCCTTTCCTATACTATTAGATACCGTGAATGAGGTGGTGGGCGAGAGGGGACTTGCCGAAGCTGAGGAGCAAAAAGGCACACTCTGCGCCGAGGATAGCGTTGAATCCTTGTGGTGAGAAAAGATACCTACGCGTGTTAGCATGGTCTGTACATGTCGCTGCTGTACCGGTGAGCGATCCTACACGAGACCAATAAGCAAGGAGAGAATATATGCTAAGGTAAGAGACCAGAATGGAACTCCTCGGTTGCCGGACACGTATGATAGACTTAGATGTGTTAATGCAAAGAACAGTGCAGGGAAAGGAAGCCTCGCACCTGTCGCCATAATACGGGAACCCTCCGTCTCGAGCGAAGGCAAGTCCCTGTCGGCTGGTGGTTGTCGCGCACGCAACAGTGGACGCGAAGTACACTGTCAACTGAATGAAGCCGAAAGCTACGGCAGCTGCCTGACTGCCGGTTGCTTGACGGACCAGTTCCAGGATTGGGACCCTATCATCGCATGTTGCCGTCAGTATATGCTATGCGTGCAAGGGTGGACCTTTCTGGGTGGGGACAGCTTACCCGGTTCGAGTGTGAATGACAAGGTCCGGATTCACCATACAAAATCCAATAGTGAGTATCCAGATCGCACCAATAAACCACTGGATACTGACATTCAGGATCAGCACTCGCGGGACGACTTTGGTGGGCTCTGCAATCTCCTCGGCGATGTGGGTCGGCGCATCGAGACACTGCCAGACAGTAGTCGCGCTGAACAAGCCGATTAAGACCGCCATGCTGTTCGAGGGGTATCTGCATATGTCAGAATCTAGGGCACTGTTACTGACAGTAAACGAGAGTCCTACCCAGTTTCATTCACTATGTCTTGGAAAACAAACTCCACGCTTTGCTTGGGGCTCACCGCGAGGAGAGCAATCGTGTAGGTCACGAAGCCGAATGTTCCTGCCCACCCTAGGAAGCGAGGATGAATTAGCAAGACCAGTGGATCAAAAGCTTTTGAGAATGTCCTCACCTCCGATCAGTGCACAAAATGGCGTCCACTGGATCGCAAAGGTATTGATTGCCCAAGCCGCCGTTGCGCAGGCGATATACCCGAGAAACAGCCTCCAGCGGATAAAGACGTCGAAGCTGCCATCCAGAAGGTTCACAATGCCGAATATCAAGCTAGATGAGATGGCACAGCAGGCAGCAAAGGTCAGGACCCAACCGATGTAGTTGAACCACCCCACTGTATACGACACCCATCGCCGGTGGGGAAACGGTGTCAGAAACGAAGCGAAGTGATAAGAACCGCCTATCCATCGTTACGAGGTTAGCGCAGGCATTCCAACGTTCATCCGTTGGGGACAAGAGGCTGGACGTACCCGCAGTCGGATACAACGAGGCGCATTCAATAAAAATAACCGTGATACAGATGGCCCCTACACTCGCACCGAGGCTGAACGCGCGCGTCAGATTTACACGTACATGCTCCTCGCAGTCAGATAGAAACCATACTATCCGTAGAAAACGGCCGGGATGCCCCCGGCTGAAAAGGCCGTGGTGATGATGAAGGAGATCCCCCCGAAGAGGTTCAAGGTGTTGAGACCTACACTCAGCGAGCTCCAGATTCCAAAATGGGGCTTCAAACTGGCCTCCGTCGAATTGTCTCGACCGTATGCCTGGTGGTGATCCTTTGAATCCCATCCCGGGGAGGTGACAGGTGTTTCCATTGTTGGTGGTGAAGCGGTCTGTGAATTCGGTACATAAGGTCCGTTGAAGGCCAGGATAGAAGTCTGTCAATGTAGAAAAGCGAAAGGGCTTGGGATGCACGGTATCTAATCTGGTATTTTTGGGACCATACCACGGTTGACTCGAATAGGTGGGTTTACGCTCCATGCGTATCTACCCGGCTCTTATTATTGCTTATTGTGGCTAGAGTAGGAGACCCAGACGGGATTGATCCGATCCTGAACTCTGTTGAGTGGCAGGACCATTGCGTGGATTCTCTTATCTGCGGCATCGAAATGGAAGTCTACCATTATGATGGAGCTATCCTCTATATATACACATATATCTATATAGAAACAAACGTCAATAATCTTCTCCAGGTCTTATGAAGCAAGGGTGTGAGATGGCTGTCCTTTCTGGTTGTCCGATACCCCCTTAGGGCTTCGTGAGGTCACGAGAATTGCACGCCCGAGAGATGATGGTCAGTGGAAAAGCCAACCACACGAAAGGAAGCAAGATGCGAAGAGAATCTCTAGCTGTGAGAAGTGGATAGTATACGAGAATAGAACCGCCCAATGCCATTTAATAGTCTGTAGATCATCGTGACGCGGATATCCAGAGCTGCGAAAGTTGATCTGGGACGCAGAACGACGGCCCAGCCTAACCCAACCTATTTGGGACAAATTTGGAATCCACCTCGGCTGGAAGTCTGGAGATCATCATGTCTGCGGGGAAAGGATATAGATGTGTGTGCATATATACATATATATATATATGAAGGGATATCAGGGGGCAAGACAGTGTGACTGAACTAGAAGAATTGGATCTTCTGTGCACCTCCCCATCCCTTTCCAGTCCCAGCTCGTGACATGTCTCCAATCCAATGCATTGTCGCGTACCCAGCGCGCAAGCCAAACGGCGAACCTGCTCATTTCGACATCGAATAGTAAGTTCTGCAGGCCCCAAAATGACGAGAGTCGGAGACACCACGGCGATAGAATGTAGTCTGATTCCTCAAGCTATCTCAACAAACACATGCCACTGATCGATGAACATTGGGGCCCACACGGGATGAAAGCGTGGGATGTGTTCCAGCTTCCCCTGTCAAATGCGCTAGGTGGCGAGGACGGGACATATCGCGTTTTGGCAACACTGGAGTTTGAAAGTCTAGAGGGACTACAAGTTGCTTTGCAGTCAGACGTGACGAGAGCGGATGTGGCCAGGTATTGTGAGGTGCAGCCTTTGATCTGGGTTGGTGAGAAGGTTGGGTCGAGGTGTCTGTAGGGAGACCTTGGGTTGATATTAGACCGTGTTGAATAAAAGATGGCATATATAGTATCACAAACACAAGGCTATCTGCAATACTATCCAGCAGTGACTTGACGTAGTCTCGCAGGACCATTTGGGGGTTTGCAGGTAGTTAGAGTTGTGATATGCTCGTTGCTACAGAAATCAGAGTGCAAACCCTGACTACAGTCACCAACCTCCCGAGGAGCAACGTACCACCTGGAGGGAGACGTAGGCTAATTAGTCCAGAAAGAGTCTCAATAGACGACGATCATCCAAACGCAAGAGAAAGCGTAGCAAATAGCTCTAATGTTGTATTTTACATTTTCCTATCCCCTGGGTGCTCTCTGTGATCTGACGCCCTTTCACTGACCCGTTCAGCAATCACAGATACAAATTGGTCACCGTGCAAGACCATGGTCCAGTCCATCGGAAAGTCCGCAGACGACAAGTTTTTGGAACTTGGAGAGACGATCGCGAAGTCCTGCGCGCAACCATACCTCGAGAGCAAGACCTCCCGCCGGGTCTACGGCCCCAAGAGACGATCCACTAGACTGCCACGGACAAATGACAATCTCGCAGGACCACTGAAATGTAGGATCCCCAACATTTATAAGGATGGAGCGAGAACTGAAATTAATGGCTTGATCGTCGATCTAGGGAAAGAAAGAATATACCAACATCCCCCAAACAAGCGAACAGCAGGACGCATGATGGGAGTAACCGGTGTGATGCCGACGTTTCCATTAGACCATCTGCTAGATATATCAACCACCTTTCTAGGAGTAACAAGCCAGGATCTTTACCCTGATGAAATCGACCATGAAAAGGATCCTCCTATCCCACACGGGACTCCAAATTCAAGCTGTATCCTCTACCGCGAGGAGCCGCTGGCCATTGCACCGGAGGCATTCCAGTGGATGACTTCCGACACATGGCAGTTTCTGCAGTTTAAAAATGCATTGGACGTCCCAGATGTGAGCCTCCGACGGGCGCTCATAGACGCATATATCGTCTTTGTTCATCCCAGTTTGCCGGTGTTGAATCTCCCGCGGGTCTTGGATGACATGTTGGTGAGCCAGGATGAGCATCATTTTAGTCCCTTGTTGTTTCAGGCTATGATGTTTGCGGCGAGTGCGTTCGTAGACACAAGTACTCTACAAGCGGCTGGGTATCGGTTTCGAAGTGACTTGAGGAGGGAACTCTTCTACAAAGCGAAGGTACGAACACGTCCTACATATACGTGATATTTCAGCGTTCTAAGCAATACAGACAATCTACGAAAGCGAACTAGAGGCAGACTCTACCGTTCAAATCCAAGCACTCCTCTTAATCAGCGACTGGCACGACGGAGCGAATGCCCCCAAGGATCCCGCCTACTGGATGAGTCTGGCGATATCCACAGCGCACCGACTCGGCCTGCATAAACAGGCATACGACGGGCTTGACAGGGTCCGCAGACGGCTATTGTGGTGCATTTACGCCCAGGATATCCGAGTTAGTCTCAAACTTCGCCGTCCCAGACAACTCAAGGATGCCAGCGTCATGACTGATTCCCTCCAAGAAGAGGACCTAGACATGGGGCCTATGGATGATCGAGTCCGATCCGAATTTTCGGAGTGTGTCGAGCTGTTCAATCCTGGGAATTCACGATGGCTGCATAGAGTATATCTGCACAGCATCAATCTATGCGTGCAGATCGGCCATGTACTGGATACCTTCTACACCCCATCGTGGACCCGAAACGCCTTCACCGAGTCCCCCGTGATACTTGTCCCGCGAAGGCCACACTCAGTCCGAATGGATCTCCAAGCGGAGCAAGCCTTCGACGACCTAGCGGCCGTATATGCAGTCTTCTCTCGGGAAGAAAGCCTCCAACACGCAAATAGACAGGCCGAAATTGGGTCTCTCGGCCTCAGCCTCGCGATGCAAAAAGCCGAGCTCAATATCACGTACCACTTGGCCCAGTGTATCCTGTTACACGCACTACTATTTCCCTCTCGCTCACTCCCATCCTCTCCCTGGAAGGAAAGGCTCCGTCGTGCGACGGACAACCTGACCTCGAGTCTGCGATCGCTCTGCGACTCTCGTCCTGGGGCGGGTTTCCCCAGTATCTGCCTTCCGGCCGTTTCGCTCATCACGGCCACCCGTGTGCTGGATTTGTATGACCCAGATGAGAGCCGGGGGGTGAAAGATCAGTCGCTGTTGAATTACCAGTTTGCTAAGGATGTTTCCAGGATCCTCCGCGAGACGCACCCGGCTGCTGGTATGATTTCTATGGTTTCCCTGGCGCCCAACTCGGGACATTGTTGGTCATTTGGGTAAATTATAAATACTAAATCAGACGCTTATAACAAACAGGCTATGGCACATGGCTTTCGGGAGAAACAAGGTCTACAGCTACTACACTGTATATTCAGCATTCACCGCGAGAGCAGCCCAGCGAAATAACCATTGCTATCATCTAAACCATGAATCCAATCTTACCAACATAGGCAGTCATCTCCAAACATTTCCCTATTAGGCTTAGACACACCTAATAGGATCTCGTTATCAACTCCAAACATTTCCCTATTAGGCTTAGACACACCTAATAGGATCTCGTTATCAACTCCAACTCGAACCTGATACTCCTGTCAAGACATGAGCCAATCGTTATCCTGTAATCTCATCGCAGTGGAGATCGGTGCTCTCCCCGCATCTAAGCCCATCCTGGATCGTCACGCCTCCACCTGTTAGTGGAACCGGGTGATGGTGTTGGCTTGAGTCTCATCCTCGCGTTGATAAGGTGAGAACAGATACGGGAGTTGGAGTAGAGGTGAGGAGAAGAGGGGATGTTGGTGAAGATGTATATCTCCGCTCGTCGCCTTGCGCATCCCCTATCTTCCTACGTAGCATATAGATAATTTTGAAACATTCAACATCATTCCCTATCATGTCCGGAACACGTTCGCGAAAAGGTACTGATTATCTCACTAAACCTAGCAGTAGTCTCGCGCTAACAGTGCATCTTCAGGCTGCGCGACCTGCCGAGAAAGACGGCAAAAATGCGACGAGACGAAACCGACATGCGTCAACTGTCGATCGCGCGGCATCGAATGCGGTGGATATGCAATCCGGCTGACGGATTTCAATCACTACGAGGGATACGATGGCCAGATGGTCTGCAAGATGATTCGGGGGGAGGACAGTGCTGGCAGGCCTCCACGACCGCGTCTTAGGGCGAAACGCCGCAAGGTGCGTCCTGCGGTTTTTGGTGTGTATTTCTCTTTTCGTGTTGGTGGACTATACAGATTTATCAAAGATGGCCTAACCATGAGATATAGAGGTGGATCCCGATGTTCGCACGCAGAGGAATCCACGGTTGTCAGACTGCAATCACCCCGGACGCTCGCCCCCTGCATCGCAACCACAACCGCCGCCGGAGGAAGCCCTCGAAAGCCCAGTAGACAACGACCCATTTTCATGGATGAAGACGCCCGATGACACCAATACAGCTGGACATCGTCGCGGGTCGCAGACGGCATCAGACAGCTCGCCACAAGGGGCAGGAGAGGATCCATTCTTGTGGCCCGATTTACCCACCCCTATTTCCAGCGATTTTCTATTTTCTCGCCCTGATGATCTGTCAATGGATATTTCGTGTCCGTCATCTTTACCGGGACTGCTATCGCCCACTCTATGGCCTGATAATCTAGCCCTGGGTTTGTCACCTTTGCCGGGGTTGAGCGCCATCTTTGATGAACCTCAGGAGGGCACTGTGCGCCCTGCGGAGAGGGTCAAGACCGCGTTAGGTGCGGTGGACTTGTGTAGCGCCTCTCCTCATAAAGGCGCAGATCAGCACGTTGGAGGTCTCTTGTCGGAGGTTGATGATCGATGTGTATTCACTTCGACGCCGAATGATCCGGGGGTGTTTGAGAATTATCTCTTCAAACATTGTGAGTTATTCTTGGCCATAGAAGAAAGAAATGAGAAAAGAAAGAAATAAAACAACAGAAAAAGAATGAAAAGCTAACCCTCTTCCCTACCTCGTCTAGTCGTTGACGTCCTCGCCCCCTCGCTATACCCCCTAGACCCAGACCGCAACCCCTACACCGTCGTCTACGCGACATTAGCAGGGACCTCCCAAGCCCTATACAACGCGATCCTCTCCGCATCGGCAAATCATCTAGTGACTCTCGGACAACTCCCTATATGGGCAGTGGGACCCTACCGGCAAGCGATGCAGGACTCGTTTCGCCGGGCTGTCGGGTCCGGCACCGTGTGTCGCTCGACGGCCGCTGCAGTGCTTCTCTGCATTGCGGCTGAGGTACGCTTCTTACATATTTCGTGGACGAGCAGCGCTAATAAAAGTGATTGTAGGTCATTGGGTCGGGAATGGGCGCCTGGAGCGTCAAGCTGGGCGGGGCGCACCGGCTTCTTGCGAATGCGACGAAAGGCGATGGGATCCCGTCTGATAGCAAGTTTCTCTGGCTGCAGTATACATGGATGTCGGCTATTGGGCGTACGCTGTGGATTCCCAAGTCCTCGCCAATGCAGTTAGCTGATATCCAACCTCCGGAGCATGGTGAGCTCTCTTTCTGTTCGAGTCTGTTGGGGGATCTCATTTAAAAACTCAATTTCTAACACACCCTCCAGACCTCGATCTTCAACTGGCGCAAGAGCAAAAGCACTGGTACGGCAACATGCCAGACTACGCCATGGTGCACTTCCTCCGCAAAGCCAGCACTATCGCCCACCAACTCAGCCAAGTCCCATCATACGCCAACCCCATTCAAGCAACGCAGCGTCTCACCCCTTATATAGCCGACCTTCTCAACGAGGTGCGAAACTGGCATCCACAGCCCTCCTCCTCAACCATAGACCCCTACGCCAACTGCGCAGCCGAGGTCGGTGAGATCTGGCGACAGGGGTTACTATGCTACATCTATGCCGAGCTGTGCTCCCTGCCCAGCAGCGATGCCCGCATTCAGGAGGGCGTAGCGGCCGCGTTGGCTGCTATTCAAAAACTTAGCTGGATGCAGTCTGTTCTGTGGCCGGTCTTTATGATCGGGTTGCATGCGCTTGGGGAGGAGGACCGTGGGGTGGTTGAGAGGGGACTGTTGGCGATGAATGCGGCGCTGAAGTTTAAGACGCCGCTTTCCTTGGTGGGGATCTTGAGGAGGGTTTGGGATGGGGACATTGGGGATTGGAGGGGTTTGGTTTCGAGGGAGGGGATGGAGTTGAATATTTTGCTTTGACTCTTTCATTTTGGGATTGTATAGGATGTGCTTGTATTTGCTTTGCATGTATTGGTTATGTCCAGCCGTCATTGACTTGATATATCCATCGAATAGAAGAAGAATCCCACAGCATTGTACTATCCGAGAATAAATTAGATCAAATCCCCAGGAACCCACTTTGTATAATCCCCATTCGCCTTCAAAAAGTCAATCGGCTCCATCTGCTCGACGAACCCCCCGTACGGACGACTGATACGGTAGCCCAGCAGCTGTTGTACCTCCTCCGGGTAAGATTGGATCGTCTCAAGTGGGATAGCGAGATACTGGTTCTCGTCTTGACGGCACCATCCGGGGGTCATGAACCCTGCCAGGAGCAGACGATATTGGTCTGTAGTGCTGTTGTGCCCGGCTCCGTGGTACGTAGAGCCCAGCCTGAGTTGTCAGTCTCGTAGACGCCTTACTGAAGAAAGGGAATAAAAAGAGGAAGACCGACCAGATCAACGCGTCTCCCTTCTCCAACTCCGCCGGGCACGCCTCCTCCATACTCGGCTTTCGCTCATCATCCCACAAATGCGACCCAGGCACAACATTCGTCGCCCCATTGGCCTTCCTCGACGGTGTCCCCGCAAACATGATCCCCAAATCCGTCTCATACTTCGCCGGATGTCTCGTATGATGGCACTGGTCATCGCGGTGCAGGCCCTGCGCCTGAGACCCAGGACCCAGCCAGAACGCCATAGTGTTCGTCACCTGCGGCAAACTGGTCGACGTGGTCTTCTCTTTGCCGTACCAGACTGTCGTCGTCTTGGACAGCAGCTTGTGCGCGACTTCTTGGTACAGCGGGTTCGTGAGCAGCTTTGTTGCGAATGTGGGACTTTTCCCTGCGAGGCCGCACACGCGTCGGCTTTCTTTGGCGAAGGTCACGCCTGTGTGGTCGAAAGATTTGTTGTTAATTTCAGATTGGATCTCGGTCCATGCTTGGTCGATTACGACGGGGTCGCCTAGTTTTTCAACAATGAGGCCTCCGTCGCGGCGGAGGATGGAGAGCACCTCGTCCGCGGATGCGCTGGCTGGGACGCGGACGAGGGAAGGGGATGGCTTGATTGGGGCGATCATGTTGGACTATATCTTGTGGTTGGTTGGTTTGATTTGGTGGGATATGGTTCACTTGATATATATAGATAAAGAAATTTGAATATCTGTATGTGTATCAAACAGTAGGGCCAGAATCCGCCGTCTATCAGGTTCAGCGTCTATACTACTTGTCTCGACAATCAACAACCAACCTGGTCAACTGGATCGATTTACCAATTGGGGGCAGATAGCCGGACTGGCGTGTATTCAAGGTCACATCGATATGATAGGGTGAACATATACCCAAGTAGGCAATGCTAGCCTATATTTCCTGAATGAGAATATCTAAACCACATGGCAGTGTGAGGGGAAGACTACAGAAAGGTTCATTTCAAAGCACGACAGTTTATATCAAATTAAAGGCACACATTTTCCAGTAACTGTTACCTTATACCTAAGTCACTAGTTCATCATTCAACCAGAGTTCTTTGAAGAATCAAGATGCCCAATCCACCGCACCAAGCAAACAACCCCGCTGTCACCGAGCTCCCGGTGACATCATCTGCAAAAGAAGTCGCAGAGATCATCCGGCGCGATGGCGGCGTCATCATCAAGAACTTCATCTCGACTGACACCGTCGCGCAAATCGACAGGGAGATTGCGCCGCACTGGCAGCGCAAGGGCGTCTACAAGGGGAATTTATTCAACGCAGAGGATCCTCCACTGAGGTATGCTGCTTCTTTCATAGGATATAGAAAGAGAGATATAAAGAGAGAGTGAGAGAACTGACTCAAAGTATCAGTGGACTCTGTGGCAAATCCCCAACAGTAGCAGAGAAAGCCCTGAATCACCCCCTCTATCAAGCCGTCTCGAAGGAGCTTCTTCGCGATGTGACGTACGTACACAATCTTTTCTTGGTATCTTCTCCGCTGACAATATGCAGCTACCCCTGGTGGGGCGACTCTCGCAGCATCTGCATCTCCGACCCCATTCTCGCTGTGTCGCAGGCATTCACGCGCGGGCCCAAGACACCCGGTCAGCCATTGCACCGCGACGACATGCCGCAGCATTTTGAGCACGAGGAAGGAAGCGGCGATAGTTCGCTCTTGGGACTGCTGGTAGCTGGGACGGTGAGTTTCTTACCTTGCACCACTGTGAGAACGGACTTGCCTGATTTGACTATATAGAAATGCACCTTCGAAAACGGCGCCACGCAGCTCATCGTCGGATCTCACAAATGGGGCGACGATCGCGGCCCCGCCGATCCAGCGCTGTGCTCGACGGCGGAGATGGAGACAGGCGATGCCCTGCTTATCATTGGGAGTATCTGGCACGGAGCTGGGGAGAACATCTCGCTCGAGCGGCGCAATATCTACTCCGTGCATATGGTTCGCGGGACGCTGCGGCAAGATGAGAATCAGTATCTGGCTATTCCCAAGGACGTGGCTAAGACATATAGCGCTGAGGTGCAGGCTATCATTGGGTATTCAGTCAGTCAGCCGTACTGTGGGTATGTGGAGATGGATGATCCGGCCAAGCTGCTGAAGGAGAATGCGGGCTTTGAGCATCATGATTTGCAGGGGATTATTTTTGAGGGGCCTGGGTCGGAGAACTTCAAGGGGGAGAAGCCTCGTCTGGTTACTGTGGGTTGATTGACTTGAGCTTTATGTATTTGACGCTGTAGCTAGGATGCAGTTTATGCCAATCTTTTGGATACCAAACCTACCATTGAGGTCTATCGAGAATCAATAGACTGGCTCATGAAAAATATTATTATTAATTTCTGTATACATAGCAAAAGATTCAGTCTCCGTAATGAATATGCCTCTCATAGACATATGTACATCCACGTATATAATCTATAGATCAATCCAACTCATAAACCCTCACCCTTGTAAACTTCTCCCCTCTCGTCTCATAGAAGAACACACAATGCGTCTCCTTCCTCTCCCCTTTTCGCAACTGTATATACCCCTCCGGGCAACCCTCACGCTCAAAGTCCTCCTGCAGGACATCCTGGTCCGCATGCCAGCCGTACATTGTCTCCACGGCGAATCCGTCAGTCCCGGGGTAGAAGGATAGAATTTTGATGGTCTCGTGCATGTAGTTGTATTGGACGTCTTTTACCCGCAGGAAGGCTTCCATGTCGGAGTATTCGTGGCCGTCCTTGAAGATGGTGAAGTCCGGGTGGAAGAATTGCTGCGCGGCAAGGCGCATTTGTTTGGATTCCACGAGGGTGGTGTATTGCGTGTAGGTTGATTGGTCCATTATATCTATAGATAGATAGATAGATAGATACCTTCGATATAGGTATATAGAGGCTGGGGGTGGCACGTCTGGTGGACGCTGGGGGATATGGTGTGGAGGTTCAAGTGGATGAGAATTGAAATCAAGCAGTGGTGATGATACTAACAAATCCTTGCTTCACTCCATATAAATCAACGAAATTTCTCCGGATAGGTGCCGCTTAAGTGAAGTAGAAATCCAGGCTATTCACTACCAACTGGGTTAGACCATGCTTTCCCCACACTCTATCGCGAAACGATGCCAGTTCAAGTCAAGCGAATCGACCACGCACTCGCACCGTATATATGCCAATTTGACACCGGAAATGGGCAACCGTTCTTTCGCATCTGCTGTCCTTACCGAGATTTCCTCCCCAAATAGATAAACTATACCCCAACGAGCATGTCCAGCCCACTCCCACCCACCACAGACCAGTGCCATCCCCCGCAAACCCTAAGACACGGACGATCCCTCCAACAACTCCTCGAATCCCACTTCTCTCTCCAAGGCCGCACTATTATTCTAACAGGAGGCGCCCGCGGGATTGGTCTCCAGCTTCTCCAAGCGATCATCGCAGCCGGCGCAGACGTCGCCTGTCTGGACCTGCTCCCCGGCCCGCCAACAGAAGCGCTCGAGCAGCTCAAATCACAATGCGGGGCAGACTCCTCCGTAATCTCCTTCCACCAGTGCGACGTAACGGACGAAATAGCGGTGCAGTCTGCCGTTCGCCAGATCCAACAGCAGGCGGTGGCTCAGCGCCGACCTATCCGAGGACTGGTGAACTGCGCGGGGACACAGATCGCTGGAGAGGCGTTGTCCCTTCCTGGAGGGGACTTCCGAAGAGTCGTCGATGTGAATCTAACGGGGAGCTTCTTTGTTGCGCGTTGCGTAGCTGATGTTCTGAGGGAGACGGGGCAATCGGGGAGCTTGGTGCTTGTTGGGTCGATTGCTGGGCATGCGGCGAATCGGGTGGGTGACTTTCACTATCATTATTGATGACGTATCTAACAGATGATACAGGGAATATGGAACTCAAACTACAACGCCTCCAAAGCAGCCGTTATCCAGTTGACGCGCTCTCTCGCTCTCGAATGGGGCCAATACAATATCCGAGTGAACAGCCTCTCACCTGGCTTCATCCGCACGGCGATGACCAACGAGTTGCTGGTGGAACGGCCGGAGTTTCACGATCTGTGGATGGCGGGGGCAATGTTGGGTCGGTTGGGTGAAGTGGATGATCTGGAGGCAGCGGTGCTGTTTCTTTTGGGGGATGGGGCGCGGTGGATGACTGGGGCGGATTTGCGGGTCGATGGAGGGAACAATGCGGCGATGTGATGTAGTTGATATATCCTGCATAAAGCAGGGAGTAATAAAAAATATCGTCTTATTTGACAATGTCGTGTCGCCAGCTGAGACACCGTTTTGAGGTTAGAGGGACACAGTTTAGTGCTTCTATGGTTCTCTTCATCCTATCAGCCTGAAACAGAAGACATCAATAATCTATCCAATAATCGGGTAAATCCTGCTCTTATTCTGTCTTACATTCCGTTAGAGTCTAACACGCCAGATCCATTATCATCTTCCAGTATCATCTTACAGCGAGCCCCATACCTATTTATCAAAAGTGGTCCGGTGATCCTCTGTCTCCGTCGACGATTTGTGCCCCAACCCCCTCTGCCGTCTGCTTTCGATCGCTGGCGGAAGAAAAGGGATAACCACAAGCAACAATACACATGTACCAGCAAACACGCGGTAGCCAAAGAATTGATCTTTTCGTGGTGTGTCTCGTGGTGTGTCCCCTGGTGTGATCTTCCGTGGAGGTGTCCGGAGGAGTCGTCTGCGAACCATCATGATATTCACTGCCTGTTGGTAATCGGATAGTGGAGAGAAGATAGTCAACATTGGGTAGGATATAGTTGATATATTTAGAGGTACCGGTGCTCAATATAGCTTGTTAACCGTGCATCAAGCAGATGGTTTGATCTCGATGTTGCCAACGGGATACTTAGGGCTAATTGTACGCTATCCTTATTCGGGGGGATTAGCCTACTGTGACTGCAACGGACCAGCTTCACTCTCGTGGTTAAACCTTCTGTGGATAACGTATCCATGATCAATTCGGATGTTGACCCCCTCGGGACAATCCATCCCATGTTGAAACTGTCTCGTCGAGTGACCCAGGGTTAGTTACTCGAGCTGTGTCGCTCTGTTGACAGACTATCCACGAAAGTACATATACATACCACCAAATCTCTATCCCCATTCACATGTCTAAGAAGAATACAATATTACCTTTACCACTCACCAAGCTACAATGCCTCAAACCAAATGCTGGACCCTCCGCCAAAAACCAACCGGATGGCCCACCCTCTCAGGACCCAAATCGACCTTCGCCCTCACCACCCGCCCAATTCCTCCATTAGGCAAAAACGAACTCCTCGTCAAAACGGTCTACCTCTCCAACGACCCGGCGCAGCGCACATGGATCGATTCCTGCGCCTCCCCAGGACGGCTGTACGTCACGCCCATCGAAACCAACCAGGTGATGGCCTCGCGCGGCATCGGCGAGATCTCCACGCAGCTGCCCCTGACGGAGTCACCCTTTACTTCGACTGCGTGGGAGGAAACATTCTCGACGCCATTCTCCCCGTCATGGCCCTACACGGCCGTATATCGGCGTGTGGCGCTATATCAGGGTATAACAGCGACGACGGAGTCCAGCTCAAGAACTGGTTCCAGGTCATTACCATGCGGCTGCGGATTCAAGGGTTTATTGTTCTGGACTATGCGGCGCAGGCACACGAAGCGAGAGCGGTGCTGCGAAGGGCTATTGAGGAGGGGAAGTTGGTTCTTGATGCGGAGAGTGAAACGGTGTGTTCGGTGAGATTTGAGGATATACCGGCTGTTTGGATGAAGTTGTTTGAGGGGGGAAATCGAGGGAAGTTGGTGACGCAGTTGGAATAAGTTTGCTGGTCACAGCAATGAGTATCAATATCAAGGGTTATCAGGAAGGGGTTGAGCATCTATGCGAAGCGAAACACGGTCATGTTATATAGATCTACGTTCTAATATGAACTCATCGCTGGTAAAGCTGGTCATTCTCGAGACCAATATATATCGAGAAATATATTCAACATGCAGATTCTCTTGACATTCCGATCGTAAATAAACAATTGCAGCATCATTCCAAAGTAATCTCAGAGATATATATAGATCGATATCATTTTAGGGCTGTCGATCCCGTGACTTTCTACTATCTTTTCTCTTTCTCGTCTGTTTCTTCATCATCTTCTACTCTTCTTTCACTTCACGTTCTTTCTCATTGTCTCTCTATCTTTCCATTTCTCTCCTTCCCACCTCAATGATCCCAAACCATTCTTCAATCCTCTAGGCAGCTACAGCTCCTGTCTCAGCGGAAGACCCACCAAACCCGCAAGGATCGGCGCCATGCATCAACTAACGAGTCTATTGGACTTATTGATTATGCACCTCGCTGATCCACCTCCCCTGAAATCCAGTTCATTCGGTCCACCGTTCCTATTCCACCGGACATGCATTCAGCTGAAGCGAAGCTGACAGTCCCGAGTGGCTCCAGTCCAGATCACAGCCGACCAATGCATCCCGGTCACACCATAACTCAATTCCCCTCCAGTCACGCATTCTTCAATCTGTTTGCAGAGTCCGACTCCGAGTCCTCGTCAATCTAATCTGCATCTCTCCCTGCATCGGACCATCGGACCATCACAAATCGCCCGATTCGGCTCCATAATAGGCTACACTATGCGCCATGCCGATCCCGCCGTGTCCGGCCAGCCATGTCCTGTACGACCGTGCAAGGTGGACTCGAGTCTCTTGGCTGGCTGATCGCACTCAGCAATCTTACTTTGCAGCAGTCAGGGTGCGACTGCCGTCTCCATCCCGGATCCGGGAGAGTATATAAGGGATGCTGGCTGGCCCCGCGACCAGTCAACCAGCCATACAGCTTCCTACCTACCCTCTCCCGTCCATTCCAGGTTGACGGTTCTTCATCATGGCCCCCAAATCGGTCTTCTACTCTCTCTTCGCCTCCCTCTCTCTGGCTCTGGCCGCCGCCACCCCAGAACCTGACTTCGAGACCATCGTCGTCGGTGGCGGCCCCGCCGGATTGAGTGCCCTGAGCGGACTGTCGCGGGTGAGGCGCTCGGCGGCCTTGTTCGACTCGCACGAATACCGCAATGACCCCACGCGCAACATGCACGATGTGATCGGGAATGATGGTAGGTTATCTACCCTTTTCTGAGTTATCACTCCCGCCTCCTGTCAAATGACTAACCTCGCCAGGCACCGTTCCCAGCGAATTCCGCGGCCTCGCCCGCGATCAAATCACCACCAACTACAACGAGACGGCCACCTTCATCGACCAGAAGATCAAGACAATCGAGCCCATCTCCATTCCCAAAGACGGCGACGCCACCGACACCCTCTTCAAAGCCACCGATGCCACCGGCAAAGAGTACTACGCCAAGAAGGTCGTCCTAGCCACCGGCATGATCGACATCCTGCCCAACACCCCAGGCCTCGAAGAAGCCTGGGGCAAGGGCGTCTACTGGTGCCCCTGGTGCGACGGCTTCGAGCACCGCGACCAGCCCTTCGGCATCCTCGGCCCCCTCCCAGACTCCCTAGCCAGCGTCAACGAGATCTGGACCCTCAACAAGGACATCGTCGTCTACCTCAACGGCACGCAGACCCCCGAAGCCGAAGCCGCCATCGCCAAGAAGAACCCCGACTGGCGCAAGCAGTTCGACAAGTACGGCGTGCGCGTCGACAACCGCGTCATCGCCTCCTTCGAGCGTCTTCAGGACGGCAACGCCAACAAGGATAACCACGGCCGCCAGTTCGACATCTTCCGCATCCACTTCGTCGACGGCTCCCACGAAGACCGCAACGCCTTCATCACCAACTACCCCTCCGCCCAGCGCTCCGACCTCCCCGACCGTCTCGGCCTCGCCATGATCGACGGCAAGATCGACGCCCAGTCGAACCCGGGAATGCGCACCACCCTCCCGGGCGTCTTCGCCATCGGCGACTGCAACAGCGATGGTAGCACCAACGTCCCGCACGCCATGTTCAGCGGCAAGCGCGCTGCCGTCTTCCTCCACGGTATGTTAACCCCCCCCTGCTTCCGCCTCACATATATCAAAACCATTGAAAAAAACCCACTAACAACCAAAATAGTCGAACTCGCCAAAGAAGAAGCCAACCACTCCATCAGCAAGCGCAACCTGCCCTCCCGCCGCGTTATGGAGAGAGAAGCCGAGCGCGCGATGGGCAACGACCTCGACGAGGTGTGGAACAAGGCTCGTGGGCTGTAATTTGCTTTCTTTGCTGGAAAAGAAGGTAATATCCCATGATGTATGTGCATGCTTGCGTGCTCTAGTTACAGCCTGAGACGGCCCACATCACTTGTGGGACTCGGGCATAGATGCCTCGCTTGGGTGGGAACAAAAACGTCTTATGAAAAGCTACTTTAATTAATTTAATCATAATTGTTCCTGGACTAGAAGAGGCTGCTGTTTGTTGCGTATATAGTAATGTGTAACGACTACGCGCGTAGCCAGTCTATGCTATACCTGTGGTTTTATACAGCTACACTAGAACCGCACATACTGTTTAATATTATTATTATCGAAGCTATTACTAGTGGATAAATCAACATAGCACGTATATATCTCTTTCTTTACTGTTGCTCCCTCCCCTCCTTCCACCAACAGTCGAACTTTTGCCCGTGAAACAAACCAAGCGATAAAAAACCAAACAACCAAACAATCATACCCAAATACGAATACCCCCAACCCCATAAACCAAAACAGATTACGATAGTGACGCCTACCCAAAAGGCACAGTAAATTACTCCGCCTCCTCTTCTTCCTTGCTTGCAGCCAGGAAGAACCGGCCCTTGGGCTTGCCGGGCTCCTCGTACTCGAGGGTAAGGCGCGCCAGATGGCCGAGCAGGTTCTCGATCTTGAGATCGCCCTTGTCGCGCTTGGCTCGGCCCAAATTGTCAAGCCACTTGAACTTGTTCAGCATGAAATACACCAAAGCGATGACGATCTCCACGCCTAGCGAGTAGCCCCATACCCGGACGACGGTCACGATGTCCGTCCAGCCGTTGGTTGTCTCCACGAACTTGTCTGCTGGGTGGGTGGGCATCGTCTCGTTGGTGAACCAACCGAACAGGCAGAAGATGGTAGCTAGAATGTCCACGCCCAGGATGGCTGTGACTAGGTGGATTGATGGCCATGTGTCTGCCCCGCGAGTGACGAAAATGAGCCAGTTCTCCGTGAGCGCCACTTCCAGGAACAGCACCTCTTGAATGGAGCCCCAATTCTGCACGATACCTCCGGACGGTAGGAACATGGAACCGCGGACCACCCAGGTGCCCAGCGCAAGGAGGAGACCGAGAAGCACTGAAATAAACCAAATCTTCGGCAATTGCCACTCCACAGGTCGGAGTTCAAACGAGGCATTATCATATGCCACTGCCACGGTTGCCAGATCCGCAAAGAGGGCCAGGAATACAATCAGTTCCACGCGAATACTCTCATTAATGATAATCATCGACGTGACCAAATAGATCTCCAAGTGCAAACAGAGGGCGATACGGTATTGAATATACGCCTTCATCCGGTGGAAGATCTGCCGAGCCACCTTGATCGAGTCAATGATAGTCGATAAGCCTGGTTCCAAGAACACAATATCCGAAGCTGATTGCGCTGCTTCCGATGCACCTTCCACGGCAATACCGCAGTCCGCTTTCTTCAAGGACGGGGCGTCGTTCACACCATCTCCGGTCATCGCAGTCAGATGCCCTCGGTCCTGGAGCATTTGGACCACCTGGTATTTATGTTCGGGGAAGACCTCTGCAAATCCATCTGCTTTTTCAACCAAGTCCCCGGCCATCGCTCCACTCAGACCGCCGTGAATAAGCTTGTCCGAGTTGTACACTTTAGTACCAAGCGAAAGCATCTTGCAAGTTTCCTTGGCAATAGCCAACGCGTCACCAGTAAGCATTTTAACACTGATACCGAGGTTCTGGGCTTCATGGATCGTGTGCGCCGTGTCCTCTCTGGGCGGGTCAAACATCGGGAGCATGCCAAGCAAGGTCCAGTCTTCGCCTTCTTTCTGCACCGCAACACCAAGAGAGCGGAAGCCACGGTGGGCAAATTCCTGCGCTTTGGATTTGTAGAGGTCGGAGGTCTCTTTGGGGCAGTTGGTCAGCTGGAGCACAGCTTTGGGGGCTCCCTTGGTGCAAGTGTATTTGACGCCATCGCAGCTTGCAACGGTCACGATACGCTTGGACACTGGGTCGAAGGGTTGGTATTTCTCCGTAATCCAGCCCCGACGCAGGATCTCGCGCGCCTTGGGATACTGCCTGAGCGTGAGGATCGTTACTTTGTCGATCGGGTCCAGAGATTCAATATTGTGGGACGACGCCAGTACGGCCACTGCAAACATCCAATCGATGTCGACGCCTTCCGCAACGTAAGGATCCCGGATGCTTAGTTTGTTGGCTGTAAGCGTGCCGGTTTTATCGGAACACAGGATATCAACACCCTGATACTAGGTTAGCTATGATATTCCCTCTCGGCATGACAGGCACGACTTACCGCCAACGATTCAATTGCCGTGAGCTTTTGGACAATCGCCTTCTTTTTGGCCAAGTAGGCCGCACCCACGGCCATGGTGGTGGTGGTCACCACGGGGAGACCGACGGGCACACCAACGATGAGCAAACCCAGGGTATAATGGAGGAGAGTCTGCTGGCGAGGGGAGGCGATGGGCAGATGACGGAAGAAGCCGCCGATCCATGCTGCAAGGATCCAGGCCATGACGAGAATAAGGAGCGAGGTACCGATGTTGTCCATGACGATTTCGAAATGGCCCGCGCCGCGCGCGGCCTGCACCATGCTGGCGGTTTTACCCACAAACGAGGTTTTTGCGCTAGTCTGGACCACGGCGTAGGCTTTCCCACGCTTACAGCCGGTCGTGTAGTAGATCATATCGCCCATATAACGATCCACTGCTAGGGACTCTCCAGTAATGGCCGAGTGGTCGCAGGCCAGGATCGGGTAGCCTCGCCTGCGTCTCGGAGTCGGCTTCCCCTCGCCCTCCTCGCCCCCCTCACCCTGTTTCTCAGTCTCTTTGTCCTTACCCTGGTTATCCACATCTTCGATATCAGATTCCGAAGTGCTGCTGAGATCCCCCTGAGTCTGCATGGTTTGGAATTCTTCCCATCCGTTGGGGTCATTAACATCACAGACCACTTTGGAATCAGCCGGAACGACGTTGCCATCGCCAATGACGATCTACCGTGCCGTTAGAAAGAGACGAAAGGCATACAAAGCCGGTCTTCAGGTATACACACCACATCACCAGGCACAAGTTCCTTGGCCAGGATCTCTTGCTCTTGTCCATCACGGATGACCTTCGCCCTCATGGCAATGTCTCCTTTCAAACTGGCCACGACATCGGCGGCTTGCTTCTCCTGGTACCAACCCACAGCGGCATTCAGGCACAAAATACCGATAATGACACCGAAGTCAATCCAATCGTCCAGACCGGCGGCAAGAAGCATGGCCAGCTCCATGACTGCAGTCCTGTTAGATCTCCTGTATTCGCAGCCTGAATGGAGTGGTCGTCTCCCAAGGGTGACAACTTACCATAGAGAATGGGCCCTCGGAAATACGATATGACCTTGGCGATTGGGTTCTCCTTCTCCGAGACCAGCTCATTCCATCCGGAACTGCGTCGTCGAACGTGGACCTCCGAGGAGGAAAGACCCTGGTGAATATCGGTGATGCGCCACTCTTCCGGGTACTGCCCTTCTTCTGCGGGCTTGTGCTTGACGTGAACCTTGCGCTTCTTCCAGGGAGCGTACCAAACTCTTTTCACTTCTTCGTCCTCCTGACCTTCATCTCCCCGACCCTCGCGGTACGTGGAAACGTATTTGACGAGCTTGCCATACTCGTCAAGGTTGGCATAATCTTCCTTGTAGGAGACCCGGGAGACACGTCTAGAGGCACGCCCCTCGGACGTTGAGCCACGAGTTGGCGCCGTGCGTTCAACGTCACCGGAGGCAGCGCCGCCTTGCTGAGCCATCTTGACGGCTATGGTATGAAAGTAGGGGGGACTCGATTCGCAGGCCCTCTGCTCTTCGCACACCGCCGCGTACAGTACAAATGAACGGACCTGGGGAGGGGAAGAGACAGAAACGAGAGGTCAAACGTAGTAACGATAGTATGTAGAGTAGAAGAGAGAAAAAGAAAAAACGGATGTTGTAGGACTGGCACGAGAAGATAGTCACTGCGTTGCAGCGATGGGCTTGTACAAGATCAATACTCGAACAGGCAGCGGATCCCACTGACAGGGACCATCGCACAAAGATTATCATGCTGACGTAGTCGAGTCCGGGAGAATTTCCGAGAAGCTTAGTGGTGATAGGTACCTGTGTTACCCCTTTCGGCAAGGCACCGCTGGGGCAGTGCCTGTCATGCTCAGGACACCAGCGTGATTAGAGCCACGACTCCTTGATTCAACCATGGCTTGAACATTGTTGACGTAGATCATTTGCCAGGTCTACCCGAGGGATCCGATGGACTGCGGGCCGGGTACACCAGGGAACAAACGCTGTTCATTTGCTCTGGCGTCCCACCGAAGTATATGATAGGGCCCATGCAACAAATGACTCGAAAGAACCGAGTGAGCCGAGACTGATTTCCATGGCTGTGGCTGACTACCGGAGGGGTTTGGTCGCAGAAGAGCCGTGGAACGAGTCGACAGGAGACGACAGGGGAGACCAAGATGAGAGGGGTTGCATCAACATCTCGATCTGCTGTACATGATAGATCGGAGAAATGATCATCAAACCAGACGATCGACCGATGTGGGGTATGTAACTCTGATGGATCCACAGTGAAGGACGAATGATGAAGAGAAGAGGAAGAAAGACAGAAAAAGAAGAAGAAGAATAAGACGAAAAGGGAAAAAGTATGGCTGACCAAGTCCTGACTCATCGAGGCCTGAGGCCGTTAGGGTTGAGATGAACAGACATCACCACGCGTCATTCCTGGACTATATACGGAGGGAGATTCTTTAAGACGATCTTGGCCCGTCAAAGCTGAATGATACTGACCAACTGCAGAAAATTCGCAGTCCGTCCACTTGGAGGAAGGGTAGAACCATCCGTACTGTAGGTCACCCATAGAGATAGAGCGCCTCATTCTTGGATACCAGTCGAAACGGTACCAAGTCCATTTACCGAACTACATTTCTAACCTGAGGAAATCATGAAAATATTGAAAGATGATCTACGGAGTTGAAATCCAGATGCAAAAGAGCGAGGTGAGCAGACGATATCCATGCCGTCACCACCCGCTTGGCAGTACCTACGGATGCAACGACAACCGCACGCCTCGGAAGAAAGATTGGTTGCAGCCTAGTTGCTCAAGGGGATGCAGGATTGAGGAACGAAATGCTTGATAATGTTTATTGATGTATATCTAGACCATTAACGGATCGTCTTCGGTTCTATTTCATCAAATCCATTCCAAACGTAAGGCGTCATAGCCTACCGTGATTATGGGCATTTATTTGCCCGTCTTGCCGGTAGGGATGTTGAACAGGACGGCCGGCTGGCCCGGCGCGTAGGCCCGGTCGACACGGTAGTATCCCTTGCGCTCAAACTGGATGATCTCGCCCTGCTTCAGGTCGGCCACGTTGCAGTCGGCCACGGCGTCCTCGCGGAACTCGGTCGTCTTGTTCAGCACGTCCTCGAGAGCGTCCTCCTCCTGCAAAGTGTCCTTGTTCAGGAGGTAGTCGAAGTCCACCAGCTCCACCGGCACCAGTTCCTGGTCCGCCGACAGCCAGGTGACCTTCTTCTCCGTCTTCTTGAAGTCACCCTCCAGGTGGAGCTCCAGCTCCAGCTCCTGGACAACACCCGCGGCGTCCGCCGTGATCTTGCGCACAATGGCATTGCCCCAGCCCATCAGCGTGACTTCCTCATCCTGCTTGAAGCTCTTGGCATCCTCCTGGTCGAAGAGGAGCGAGCTGCTGTAGACGACCTTCTTCTTGCCGACGGCCGGGTTCTTGACATGGCTGGGCTTCTCCTCCGAGTAGGGCGCCGCGGGGCCCTTCTGGGTGATGGTCGCCTTGACCAGGCCCTTCTTGAGGACGGCCGTGTGGCGGGGAGCAACCGGGTCGATGTACTTCCTGTTGGTGGCCCAGATCAGGGTCCAGTCCAGGTTGGTGATGTTCTTGCTCGGGCCCTGCTTGAGGATGAACTCCCGCAGCGCGGGAATGGTCATACCACGACGGCGGATACCGCGGATGGTGGGGAATCGGGGATCATCCCAGCCCCAGACCACGCCCTCGTCGACCAGCTTGGTGAGCTTGCGCTTCGACAGCAGGGTGCGGATGAAGTTCATGCGCGCAAAGTCCCAGACCTGCACGTGGCGGAGCTTCAGGGTATCCAGGAACCACTGGTACTGGGGGTTTCGGTCCCGGTACTCGATGGTCCTCAGGGCGTGAGTGACGCCCTCCATCGAGTCGACAATCGGGCAGCAGAAGTCGTAGGTTGGGTAGATCTTCCACTGGGTGCCAGTGCGGTGGTGCGGGCTGGGGTTGCAGCGGTAGATGACGGGGTCACGCATAGCCTTGTTGGGGTTGTCGACCGACATCTTCGCGCGGATGCACCAGCGCTGTCCCTCCTCGCTGCCCGTCTTCATCTCTTCCAAGTGAGCCAGGTTCTCCTCGACCGACGCATCACGGCGCGCGCTAGGCAACCCGTCCATGCGCTGCTTCTGCATGACTTCCTTCTCCGTGTCATCGGCGTAGGCATTGCCCTCCTTGATGATGCGCACACCGTAGTCGTACAGCTCATCGAAGTAGTCACTGGTGTAGCTGGTACGGTCCGGCTTGATGCCCATCAACGCCAGATCCTCGACGATGGCCTGCTCGAACTCCATCTTCTCCTTGCTGGGGTTGGTGTCATCGAAACGCACAAGCAGCGTGCCGTTGTACTTCTCGTGGGCGAAGTAGTCGTTCAGGAGGGCAGCCTTGGCGTGTCCGATGTGCAGGTACCCCGAAGGCTCCGGGGGGAAACGGGTCACAACGCCCTTATCGGTGTTGTGCAGGGCGATGTCGTAGCTGGCGCCCTCCTTGGCCTTGGCAGATTTCTTCTCCTTGGCGGTGGCATTGAGGGCCTCAATGGCAGCAGTGGCCCAGGGGCAGAGCTCCTCCAGGAAAGTGAACCACCGGGTCAAGTTGACCAGCGCACCCTTGCGAACGGCCGAGATACCGACCCGGTTGCCCCGGATGGCACCCCAGAGGGCAATGTCGGCAGTGGAGAGGGCGTATCCAACCACGAACGACCGCAGAAGCAGGTGGGTGTTCAGGCGCTGCAGCTGGGAGTCCAGCGCCTTGAAGTCGAGCGTAGTGAAAGACTCGAGCTGAGAGAGCCACTCGTTCTCCTGTTTGGATCATTTCCGGTTAGACATAGGGTCCTCTATCTTTTTCTTCCCGTCTAGACGCCACGGCAGTGCAGGTCCGACTTACCAGCTGCTCATCCTTGCTCTCCAAGTAAGGGAAGCTAGACTGCAACTCCCGCAGAGCATTCACAGTCCCATACACAGGAGTGCCACTGGTTCCAGTAAACTGGACCACGGCCTTATCGCCCTGCTGAAGCTCCGCAGCATCCTCGTAGGTGATCTGGATGACCGGCTCCGGGCGGGACTCATTGATAGAGGTCGCAACCAGAAGCACGGGAAGCAACAGGGCTTGATTGGCCCGAGTGGCCAAAGTAAGATTGACGTTCGACATGACTGAATTCGATCCCTTCGAACGTGCAGGATTGACTGAACAAGATGGAGAAGTGGGGGAGAGTTGGAGGGGCAATTTCACCCGCTGATAATTGGGCAGACTCGGGCGCCGCGTTTCTCCGCCCCGAACCTCCGAGAGAGCTTTCGGGACCAGAAAACAATTCCATCGACCGTTCTTGTCTTGTCGCTCGTTGTCTCCACACCACTCTTCATCCACCCACGTTCCCTCTCCAGCGGTCATGTCCTCTTCATACGGCTCTCTCCTGCCGTCCGCGGCAAGGAGTGTCTTGTCATTATGCCGACCTCCTCTCCGTCAAGCGCCAATGGCTCCTTTCCTCGCCGGCTTCCAACAACAGACCCGCGGTTTCAAGAAAGGGAAGAAGGAGAAGAAGGAGAAGGAGGCAGCAAAGAAAGCCCGCAAGGGACCGCGGGATTTCGTTCAAAAGGATCTCAAGGATATGGAGCAGTTTGCGCTGTGCGACGCGATGAGGTAGGTCGACCGTAACTTCAGTCCGGAAGAGAGAAAGAGACCGCCTGGCTGACCACTTCTTCTTCCCGCAGGTACATCCGCGCCTTCGAGGTTGGCCGTGACCCAGCAGTCACCAAGTACGAGATTCACGTTCGATTGAAGACGAAGCGCGACGGACCCGTCATCCGCAACATGCTCCGATTCCCGCACTCCGTCCAGACCGAGTCGCGGATCTGCGTGATTTGCCCGCCGGGGTCGAGACACGAGAAGGAGGCGCGCGCGGCGGGCGCCGTTCTGGTCGGTGAGCAGGAGGTTTTCGACAAGGTCAAGAACGGACAGCTTGAATTCGACCGCGTCATCTGCCACCCGGACAGTTTGGAAGCGCTGAACAAGGCCGCGCTGGGCCGCATCCTCGGTCCCCGAGGGATGATGCCGAGCGCGAAGACGGGCACCGTCGTTGAAGACGTCGCCAACCGCGTCGAGATGCTGCGTGGCGGTACCGTGTACCGCGAGCGTGATGCGGTTATCCGACTTCCCATCGGCCAGCTGCGCTTCTCGCCCGAGGAGTTGCGCGACAACCTGCGTGCCACCCTCAACCAGATTAAGAAGGACGCCGCTGGTCTGAACGACCGTATCACGAAGGAGATCTACGAAGTGGTATGCAGATTCCTCAATCTTCAATTGGATCGGTCTAACAAATTATAGGTGCTGAGTTCCACCCATGGGCCTGGTTTCAGCTTGACCGGAGAGTTCTCGAGCGACAATTCCCCCGACACCGCCTTATTGCGCGGGATGTAAATTAAATTAGCCATTGACTTGTTTTGGGTGTACAGATTATGTTTCAATAGGAAGGAGCTGGTGTATAATGGGAATTCATTCAAATATATAGTCTAAGAGAGAGGAACCAACGGGGTCTCCAACGCCGACGCTATGCCAGGTAAAATAACAGAAGGGATCAAGTAGTTAGGCAGAGGGAAGTAGAAAGAACCGTGAGTGGCACTATAATTTCTTCAGGTTCTTCAGGGTCGACACGGCACTGTTGTCCTCTCCCATGAGATTGTAGAGGCGCAAAACGGCCATAGTTTTGGTGTCTTGTTTATCGCCCGCCCGGCTAGCCTGTTCGAGGGCGGTCTTGAGATCGAGAAGGAGAGCCGCGTTGATCTTCGAGATGCGCGGCCGCTGATTGACGAAGAACGGGTGGTCATCCCCGAGCCGCGACGACGATCGCGTCAGGTAGACGTATTTCTGAATGTGATGTTCGAGTCTCTTCAGCGACACCAGGGGCGCCGTGGCCGCTCCATTAGTGAGAAGCCCCTCGTCGCCGCTCTCCTCACTATCCGTATCCAGCCCGTCGTCGGAGTCCGTCCCGGAGCCATCGTCCGCATCCCGCCGCTGCATAGCCGTTGTCGTCGACGAAACCGCCTCCCCGATCATCAGCCTCTTCTCCAGCTCGTCCACCCGGTCCGCGTAGTCCAGCAAGGCGCGACCGAAATTCGCATTCCCGCGGAGCCGCCTTTTCTCGTTCAGCAGCTGTTCCATCTCCTCGTGGCGAGCTTCGACCCTCTCCCGGATTGTTTGGACGTCGCGCTGGAAGGAGAGCAGGCCCACGCGGATCTGCTCGACCTTCTCCTCGCCTCCGTGCAGCGCGGAGCCCAGTGACAGGAAGTCCTGGTAGTTATGGTTGACCAGGTCTAGCAGTTCCCTGCCGAGGAGCTGGTCCAGTTCGCGCAGCTCCTGGCGGAGGTCTTCGAGGCTTTGGTGTCGGTTGGTCAGGGACGAGAGGTACTCGGCTGGGTCGAAGTCGGGGGCGAGGAAGGAGGAGCGGGTTAGGGGTTCCGGAAAGGGGAGGCCAGAGGGATCATCGTCGATGTCGGACCCGGAATCGTCGGGTTCGCCAAACTAGAGCAGCGCGATTAGAACAATCAGTCCAAGAGAGTTCAGGGAGGGACTGCAGGTGGGTGGGGGGGACCATTGGTGGGATCATGGTCTTGCGGGGAGGTGCATACACGAAATAGGTTCATTTCGGTATTCAATCCGAGGATATATGAATGAAGGAGTAAGCAAGGATGTCTTGCGCGTGGATCGAAAGCGATGTGGAGAGAGGAAGTCGGGGAGAGTGTGAAGAAGGAGCGTGAGATGAAGTTGGTTGGCGCGGAGTACGGGATCGTCCCGACTACTAAGAGACCACCCGTGGCTTTTCTTGTCTACTCCGGTGTACACTTCAACAACTACACCTACCTATACCTATGATCTAGATATAGGTTATTTGGCAAGATTTCCTTTCATTTATTCTCGCCTTCCAGACGAATAAGCCCTCAGAGATTACATTCTACAACCATAACCAACAGTGTTATTATATATGTTATACATTCAAGACTCGCCCCAATTGATACTAAGGCTTCACACCATGCGATATCTATCCAAGCAATGCAAGACTAAAGATGGGACTCATTTCTCTTCCCCGGTCTATGCGATCCATAATGGTTATACTTTGCAATACCGGCCGTAACCGTCTTCAGTTCTTCCAGATAGTTCTGATACACCCTTCGCGGCGTCGTGCCATACTTCCGACACAGAAAAGCCGCAACAGCAGTCGCAATCCCATGATGACCTCCATTCCCCATAAACTTGGTATTAGAGCTGGCAACGTGCGTAGCACTCATATGTTTCCCAGCCATCATCAGGTTCGACACATTGACCGAATACAGACACCGGAACGGGATATCGTAGGGACTCTTATCGCGCTCATCCCACTCCCAGTGTTTGAGCCGGAAGTCGTATTTCTCGTCGCCCGGATAGTGTAGACAGAATGCGCCGTCATTTTGGACCACGGCGTCGGGGAAGGGCTTGTGCGTGCGGATATCCGTCTCGGTGAGCACGTAGTCGCCCTTGTAGCGATGGTGCTCGCCCTGCGCCGGCACGAAAGCCACCCAGTCGAGGGCGAGGTTGGCGTAGGTGTCAGGCTCCACGGTCTTCACGTTGGAAAACGTGCCGTAGATTGCGCGGAGTAGGTGGTCACGGATGTGCTCCCCCTGGGTGTACGGGTCCAGCCACTGGCCGTACTCCCAGAAATGCGTGAGTCGGCCCTTGATCGTGGGGTCCGGGACGTGGCCGGGGGGCAGGATCACCGGTCCAGGTCCATTCTCCCGACCGGGTCGTCGCAGTTGGCCTCGGAGGTCGGTGTAGTCTTTGGCTATCTCCGTGGCCCATGGCACGGTGGGGAAGGAAATCGGGGAGTCGGCCATTTTGGTGCGGAAGAAGACGGTGTTGCCGTGGTGCATGTGGTCGCCTTCGACCGGCGCGAGGCTCTCTCCATACTCCGCCTGCGACTCCTGACCGAAGAGCGTCTCTGCACTGGAAAGTCGTCCGAGGACAGCGGTTCCCGAGCCGTCGATGAATACGGGGGCGGAAATCCGCGTCTCTCGGCCGCTGCGGGCGTGTCGAGCGTCGATCGAGACAATGTTAGACTCTGTCGTGACCGTGTGATAGACTGTGTGCTCAAGGAACACCGTGGCGGTTGGCTCAGCTTCCAGTAACCGTACCGCCAGCAGGTCACCGTCCGCGGTCCTGGCGGAGAACTCGTCCACCAGCGGTCCGGTCCACCCTCGCGGGCTTAGTCCAATCTCCACGCTGGCGTTGCCGCCCAGAAAGGGACGGTCCTGAACCAGGGCCACTCGCTGGCCCAGTCGAGCGGCCGTCAACGCGGCTGCAGTGCCAGCTACTCCCCCTCCGACGACAACGACATCAAAAGATCCACCATTGACAGGCTCCTCGGGGAGTCCACGCAGCCGACGTCTCCATGCGCGGGATGTCTCATTGACTGCCACGGGTGGTGCCATATCCTCCGTGGTGAGGAAGATAGCATCACAACGCCCACAAAAGCCGGTAAGGTCGTGGAGCGCCAATGTGACGTCTCCCGCGGCCAGATTCACCTGGCCACCTAGTTCCCAGTTCCAGTCTCGGTCGTTGGCACCAAGCTCGGTGGGGAGGCGTTTTCCACCGACGGAGAGGGTGAATCTTCCAGGATGATGGCCAGGAACCCAGTCTTTGGCGCGCACCCAGACGTTGTACCGCGTGGGGTTGCGGATGGAGATGACGGTGGTGGCATCCGCAACCGGAGTGCCATTCCCATGGGCCAGCAGGTATGGTGATCCCATCTCGTTCTCAAACTGGGAGTCCATCACCCAGCCGCCGAAGTCATTGAATGACTCGGCTTCCACGAGGATGCCCATGGGGTATGATTCGGTGTCCATGGTGGTGGGTTTAGACTACCACTTGGCGCGAGTTGTCCAGGTAATGGCATGAATACACGCAGTTGCAGTGGATTATTGGCCACTCGGGGTATATCAGAACCGTGAATGTTCGGCCCTCGGTAGTCTAAACGTTCAGTCGCCTCGGTCATCCATGCGGTGTTGACTTCAAGATTCAAGTTTATACTGGTATTGGGTATACCTAGAATGAGCAAGTTTTCCCTTCGGACATTTCAATATAAGGCCCATTCCCCTACATTATAATCATGGTGATATTGTTGTCGTTATCATCAATAGGTGCTCGGATAGATTCAATCTGATATTGTAATCCGGACTTGTCTATATGATTGGCCATTGACACCAAGACAATACCTAAGTAGCGACAATGCAGTTACCAATAGGCACAAAGACACAACCAAGAGAAATACCTCGTAGTATCCTCAGTTGGCAAACTGCATAAGCCACATACACGGTTACAACAGACGTAGTAGCGTTGTATATATCGGGGTCGGCTTGCCGGTCTCGGGTGATCTTCCGCCTAGATCCCGCTCGGCATTCGGTCCATCGACCGAGGACTTAATGATGATCCTTATCGGAAATAAAGTACTCCAATAAGTCAGAACTTATTAAACGAAGGATTAATACAGTAGATACCCATGCAGAAGTCACGGTATTATTGTATTGACCGTGGTATCACCTTGTAAGGATCTTCGTCAGACATACCATCTAGTAATCTATTTTTCCCCAATCGGGCAATGGTGGTCACCTGAGATACACTTCCCCTCATTCTCCATCGCCAATGACGCTTTTCTTCCGCGCCAAAGCAGACCGTGATGATCGTCCGGCTGCAGATCTGGAAACTCTGCAACTTCCATAGGAATCCTCCTCCGCCACTGCAGCTCTGCGTTCGTCCACTCAATCAGAAACCGCTAATGTGGTGCTGCACCGCCAGCATGTCCGCTGTCTCGTGAGCCCATGCAGTCATCGATACGTGTCACTGGTGTCTGACAAAGTCCACCAATCCCACCACAGAGGATCCCTCTGAACAACTGGACGAGACGTTGGGAAACAAAACGGTGGTGTCGTCGTATCTGCGTCCCCTCCCCCCTTCCCACGTTATCTTGTCACGGACAAGGATCGCTCTGCCGGCAGTTAGTACTACTAGTACTTACAACGGAGTACATCGCCCTCCGACCCCTCCTGCCTCCCCCCCTCAAGTCGGGGAGATGGATCTGGAATACAGGTCGGACAGGGTGTCCACCCACCCTGACGCACCGTTGCGTCGTCCTCCACGTCCCCCTCGCTGGTCGCAGATTACCACCCCCTCCCACTCCACCCCGGTGGTCGAACCCGTTGGTCCCTCTCACCAACCCACCCCAGCTATCAATAGCAATCGCGGCTTTATCCTCGATGAGTCGGCTCGTGCGTATCGTACCACGGCCCTCCGTCAACTCAACGGGTCGTCCGCCAGACCCTGGTCCGCGAGTTCGCGACATCAGGCCCATCATCATCCTCCCCCCACCCGGTCGACCCTGGCGTCGCAGCCGGTACTGGTAAGAGCCTATTCAGGCGGTCCCCATGATTCCCAAGAAACGTCCAAGATGCCGTCGCGGCGATCATTCCTCTTCACGGGTGGCTCCGGCCCCGGGTCCAGCTCCAGCTCCGGATCCCAAAACCGCGGACCCCCGCTCCCGTCCCACGAGGACTTCGGCATCGACAGCATCCTGCGCGCCATTGAGCCCAACATCCGTGGCACCCTAGAGTCCATCGGCGAGATATGCGGTCGCAGCAAACTGAGCCTCGCCAATGAATACGACAGCCATATCGCTCCCTTGGGCGAGATTCGCGCCCCGGCAGGCGGCCTCTTGACCGTCGAAGAAGCGAGCTCGGACCATGAACGCCAGCTGGACAACGTCGTTATCTACGACGACGAGCCGAGTCTCGTCGACGGGCGGGATGGGCCCCGCTCTCACGCTGAATACTGGGACCATCGTCTCCCGCATGGAGCGGCGGTTTATCCGTCCACGATACCCCTTGCTCGAGAGGCACCGCCTATCCAACCAACGACAGATGCCCGCGCGAGCGATGCACCAGCAGTCCCAACTACCCGGGAATTCGTATCGAGTCCCAAAACCGGCGGTCGCGCGTTCCTGCAGAAACAGGCGCACACAAGCGGCGACGACCACAGACAGCGGATCCTTACCCCGGCGGTAGTGTCCGAGGTGCTTCTCGACGCGCGAGCCGAAAGCCACCAACATGGTCCTCCGCTCACGTCGGAGGTGCCGGATGAGGTCCCGGCAGAGACGGGGGTGGGCGCTGTTAACGCAGACGCGGATGTCCGACAGCAACGCTGGCGATCGCCTTCCGAGTCGGAACGGCCGTCGATGGGCGCGGATGCGCAGGCGCTATTTGGCTGGCTCCGGACTGCTCGCGACGGTCGAACGGATAGACCGACGGCGGAGATGAGGCTGCGGGCGATGTTGGAGAGGCCGCGGGAGGTGGCTCATGCAGAGTAGTCTTGTCCTTTTGACCTGGAGATGGGATCTACCTTGCTCGGTCTACCCTTACTGTCTATCCTTGATACGGTCTACACTGGATGTCAGATCTACCTTGATACCAGATTTACCTTGATATCGCATCTAACCTAGATATGGAAATGTAACATGATACATGATCGAACTAGCTGCATATTATGAAATTCGCTTGAATGCGAATAGTCTTCGCATATCAATCTCTATTGTCAAACCATGGTATACGATATCGCTATAGACACTAAACCCCAAAACAAACCACCCAACTAATTCCCCTCAATCTGCGTAATCAACGTCTTTGCAAATTCCTCAAACCGCCCATACGACCAACACTCGCGATACCGATCCACAAGCGGTCTCTCATCGGGAGCCCCCGTGCTCTCCAACTGCCTTCCTTCCCCTTCCCCATCATCATCACTGTCATCACTATCATCACCCCGCACAGCAGACCCCTCAACCAGCTCCCCAAATTTAACATCAACCGGCACGCGGCCCAAAAACGGCACGCCCATCTCCCCCGCCATAACCTCACCCCCGCCACTCGAAAACAGATTCGTCACCTCTCCACAGCAAGGACACGTATAACCCGACATATTCTCAATAACACCCAGCGTCGGAATCCGCGTCTTCACGCAAAAGTTCACCTCCTTGCGCACGTCCGACGTCGCCACCGCCTGCGGCGTCGTGACGAGCACCGCGCCCGTCAGCCGCGGCAGGGAAGGCGCGGACGCGGTGTGCGCGTCTGTCGTGGAGAGCGTGAGGAGCTGTTCGGCGAGCGCGATGTGCTCGTCGCTTGTGCCGGGGGGCGTGTCGATTAGCAGGTAGTCTGTGGATCCCCAGTTCACGTCGGCGAGGAATTGTCGGATCATGGCTGTTTTTTTGGGCCCGCGCCAGATGACGGCGTCGCCGCGGTCGCGGAGGAGGAAGCCGAGCGAGATGCAGCGGAAGGAGCCTCTTTCTCTTCCTTCTTCTCTTTCTGCTTCTTGTGTTTGTTGTTGTGGTTGTGTTTCTGATTGTGGGTGTTGTTCTTGTGCGCCGGAAGAGAAGGAGGGAGAGGATGTGGTGGCGTCGTGCACAGTCACAGGCAACCAACCCCCCGGACCTTGCGTGATTTTGGCATCTTCAAGGCCGACGAGACGTGGGATAGACGGGCCTGTGAGATCGATGTCGAGGATGCCGACGGATTTGCCTTGCAGGGAGAGCGCGAGCGCGAGTTGCAGAGTCACGGAGGATTTGCCGACGCCGCCTTTGCCGGATAGGACCTGTATTTCAGCCGGTTAGCACGATTATATCTAGTATATATATATTTTTTGTAAAATTATAGGTTGTAATGAGTGGGAAGTTCAAGGTGGAATTGTCACGGTTTGCGCCTCACATGGCGGCGTTATCGATAAGCTGAGGAGGGGTATTTTCTCTTCTTCTTCCTGTTCTCTTTCTTTGGATAACTCACCAGCACAATATTCTTAACTCCCGTTAGAGGCATTCTCAACCAATTAGCCTATATTGTTATAGATGATGGGTTTATTGCGGAGAGAGAAAGGAAGGAAGAGAGAAATCCCGAATTAGTGCAGCTTTTGCGTCATCCCGCCATGCTTATCAATCACCGATTGACACCGCGCATTACAATCTATATTCTACGTTCGATCTGCATAGAAGAGCTCCACTCGACATCGTCTAATCAATTCATTTGATAGATTCTTGCACTTCATTACTGACATGCAATCCGTTCATTGCCATTTCTGCACCACCACCCCGCCGCGTCTAAACTCCGGCAGTTCGGACAGGGCCGTCGCCTTGTCTGTCAACTCCTTGCTCGGGAACGTGGTCATCAGGGCCCACGGCCGCGTCTGGCTGATCGGGCTGGCTGCCGCGACGAACTGGTAGACGTCGCCGATCGTGTGGCTGGTGTTGAACCGTGCCGTGAGTCGGGTGCCATCGCCGAGACGCACTTGCAGCGTGATCGTCGGCTGGGACTCATCCACTTCGGGTGTGTTGGGTTCGACCACGGGTTGACTGGTGGCGGGGACGGGGGAAACGGCCGGGGCGGGAGACTGCACGCCGGGCGTCGGGCTGCCGAGTCGCTGCCCTTGACCCGAGAACGGCTTGTACTTGGGCTTCGGCTTGACGTACTTCTCGTCGTGCTGTTTGATCTCCACGTCGACCTCCTGGCCCGGTTGCACGTTCATAATCGAGAGGGGCGCACGGCCCTGTCGGATGCCCTCCAGGATCTCGGCGTTCCGGGGGTCGTCGGAGCGGTAGAGGTCGCCGTCGTCGACGGAGAAGCCATCGGACCAGAAGTGAAGGGTGCGTTGGACGCGTTGTGCGGGTTGAGGTCGTTGAGGGGTGGGGGTGTCGATAACCCGACTGGGGGCGTCGTCACCACCCAAGGTTCGCGCGGACCCCGTGAAGTGGGATCTCGTCGGCCCTGCATCGTCGGATTCGGGGATTTGAGTCCTGTCGAATGAAATATGGACGTTAGCATTCGGACTCCCGTTGTAGATGAACACCTGCCGCTGTTTCGTACCTTTGAGCCTTTTCAATGATCTTCCTCTTAATATCGTCAGGATTCTGCACAGCCAGTCCAGATTTCTCCCCTCCTGCGAAGAAGTCCTGATCTTCCGTGTCGTCTTCGTCGGTGGAGTCACCAGCCCCGCCACTCTTGGACGTGTAGTCTCCCAGGGTCGCAAACCTCTTCTTAGGCGCTGCGCTACGGGACGTGGACGGCTGAGCTTCGTTTGCCGGCGACTGGGAAGCGCCCGGCTGGTCCGATGAGCCTCCCACCGACCGCCCCCCGGCATTTGTCTCTTGTAACGCTTCGTCCTGCGCGGCGAAGAATTCGGTCACGCCCGCCTCCAAGTCCCAACCATTGGCGGAGAGGTATTCTTTGGCCTGGGCGTATTTGGTGATCAGCACGGGTTATGTTCGAAATGGAGGAAGCTAACGCCTACCTCTTCAGGGCCGGTTCTGGTCATGAGGCAGAACTGAGAGACGATCTCATCGTGTTCGGTGTTGTGTTCCATGATGGGAATCAAACGATCTATGCGCGGGAATCCAACGCAGACGTACGGTCGGATGGCAATACGTTTGCACTGGAGATGCTAAGGTAAACCGTAAAATAGTCGATTGTGATGGAGGGGAGAGAGGAGGATTGTCAGATCGTGATGGAGAAAGAACAACACGAAGAACCTCAGGCCCAGATACGTCACTGCGGGCGGATTAGTCAGTCGGAGGACAGATCTTCCGATTGTCCTCAGGCAGCAATCAGTCACAGACCTCGTCCTTTCTATATTCATAGAGAATGATGTGACTGCATGGAGGAATTACAGTTATAGTGACTATACAACAGCAAAGTCTATCGATGTTGAATTGTACCTCGAATGCGCCCTGAATAGTACCTGTAGGTACCAGGCATGATACTGCTTACCTAAGCCAGTGTCCAATCAACTCGTGCGGTCGACTCCATCCCATCCACCGCATCATTGCGACCTCAACAACAATAATCAAATCGCCCTGGATACCCTGAGGCTGGATCTCATCCCTCATCTGGATTAATACTGTACATCCCCGCCCTCGGAGACCACGTACGATCCGCCGGTCTATAGTCCGCTCTGTTCGTCCCTTCGTGGATCAACCCGCTCCCCGCATTCTCATCCCATCATCAACATCATGGCATCCGAACACCACTCGCAGTCGAAAGTGGAGTTGTACGAGTCCGGTATCACCGTTCCCTCGGATTCGGAGAACTACTCGGCCCACCAGGAGATGTCGTCGTCGTCCTCGAGCTCGCCTCTGATCCTCTACCAACCCCCGACCCTCTGGAGCCTCCTACGCGGCGCGGCCATCAACCTGGTCCTCCCGTTCGTTAACGGTCTGATGCTGGGGTTTGGAGAGTTATTTGCACATGAAGCAGCCTTCCGGTTGGGCTGGTCCGGCACAAAGGTATGCTTGGCGCATGGGAGTTTGGGGTGGATCCATCGATGTCCGGTGGACACTGAGGAAGACCGTTGCTAATTACTGTTTCTCGTATACAGATTTTCCCGACCTATCGACGATCTCATCCCCTCGGTCCTGGAGTGGAAGTGCGGGATCTTCCCTCGCGGAGAGGCAGTCGTGCCGGTCTGGACTAAGCGGACGCGGTCCCGTTGCGATAGAAAAGATTCCCAGAATTTGTCATTTAGAGGGGTTGGTTACTGCGTGCGACATCTTTGGTTATATACTCTGCATTGAAACGGATTAATACATGATTCGTTACTGTCCATGGGAAGTGCATAGACCCTCGGCATGCACAGCAGTGCCTCCGCGGATGGGGTCGGTCTCGGACGACTCCAGTCGATTCGCATTCACATCTGCTGTTTCCCTCGCCGTGCGTAGTATCTAGTAGCCATAGAATTAAATTGGACCACACGACAGACCATACCACGATGTTGATCTCATCCTTCTGGCCGCCTCATAGTACATTCGGACCGGTTCCCGCCCGGCAGAAAAGCGGTCTTGGCGGGAAAAGTCCACCCGATCCAAATCATTTCCACGTCCAGATTCATTCCATCCGTTTTCTTTCCCTCCCCCGCTCTCTCTCTCTCTCTCCACTTTTCTCTCCTTCCTCTCTTCATTCCTCACTCCCCATCTGACAATGCTGGGAGGCGCTGGACTGAAAGGCCGAGGCGCAATGCCGGCCATGGCACGCCAACGGGTCGCCGGTTACTCTCGTTCGGTTTGTTCCGTCGCAGTCTCATTGCTGGTAAAGAAATCAGGACTGATTGGTGTCATTCTGTGTTGTAGATGTCCTCGCTCCGTTCGCGACCCGCGAGCCTCTCGTCAGTCCGGATCGGAGGGCTTCATCGGTCTCTAAATGCCTCCCCGTCGCTCCGTTCCGCCTGGGCCATCCCCGGGGTGTCGGCCGCGCGATTCAACTCCACTTCGTCCACCCCCCCGACCAGCGGCGCTGCAGCGACCCCGACGGATCTCCCAGATGTCCCAGCGAATGGGACTGACGTCGCCGACCTATCGGCCCTCGACATCAACTCGATCCCCGAGAAGATTGGGTACCTGAAGGATCTGGGGCTGGACTTCGGCTGGGGCCCGTCCGCGATGATCGAGTACTTGATCGAGCATATTCACATCTGGTCCGGCCTGCCGTGGTGGGCCAGTATCGTGGGAACCGGCCTGTTGATCCGTCTGGCCCTCCTCAAACCCATGTTCGGCGCGGCGGACACCTCCGCTAAGATCAATAACGTAAAGCACATCACGACCCCTCTTCGCGCCGATATGATCAAACACACCCGTGACGGCAACACGTCCGCCGCGGCGAAAGCCCGGGTGGATATGACTGAGTTGCACCGCGAACACGGAATCAAGCCCTGGAAATCGTTCGTCCCGTTCCTCCAGATTCCCTTTGGAATCGGCTGCTTCCGCGTGGTTCGCGGCATGTCGGAGCTGCCGGTGCCTGGGCTGGCCGCGGAGTCGGTGGCCTGGTTGCAGGATCTGACGGTGGCTGATCCGTTCTACATCCTCCCCGCGATTTCGTCCATCGCGATGTACCTCAGCATGAAGGTATGTTACACTCCCACTAGGGGGTGATTTTCTCACTTCCTTCTCTTCTTTGATTCTTCCCACCCGCTAATACGCTATTGCGCGGTACAGAAAGGAGGAGAGAATGGCATGCAGGAAATGCAGAACTCGGCATTTGGGAAAATCTTCTTCTACGGCATGCCCGCCATCTCTTTCGCCTTCATGGCTTTCTTCCCCAGTGCGCTCCAGCTCTACTTCACCGCAACGAGTATTTTCGCCCTGGGCCAAGCCCACCTGATGAACTCCAAGTCCTTCCGAAAGGCAATGAACATCGCCCTGCCTAACCCGCCGACAGAGGCAGACCGGGCCGAGCAAGCCCAAAAGATCCGCATGCTGACCGAGCTCCTGAACAAGAAGCCCGAGCCGGCCGTGTCGGCAGCAGCAGCGGAGAAAGACAAGGGGCCCTTCATGGCGAGGCTCCAGAAGGAGTTCCACTCCAAGATGGACGAGATCCGCGGCTCGGCCCCGAAGACCAACGCCGACGGGTCCCCCGCGGAAGCGCCCCGGCTGAGCGAGAAGGACCGCGAGCTGGCGAACAACTACGAGAAGCGACGACGGGAGGAGGAGGAGTGGAAGCGCGAGGAGCGCAACCATGCGCGCCGCGCGGCGCACCTGCGGACGCTTGAGCAGGAGCGTGAGCGGGCCCGGACGGCTTGGAAGAGCGCGGCTGCTGCTTCTTCCCCCGCGAAGAAGCAGTGAGAGGCACTGATTGGGCGATGAGTAGAGGTGGGAGTTTGGGATTCCTTCAGCTTGTACTATATGACATCTTCCTCGCATTGTTGGTTTACGATAGGTATATTAGGTCATAGATTGGCTGTATTGCACTATACTTTGTTGTTCCTTTGTCTGTTTCATATCATTGATTTATAGCAAGTGCTTTTCTTATTGAGATGATTTAAAAGTCTGATAGGAAAGATGGACGTCTTTCAATGAGCATACCCATAAGAAATTTAATAGCAAGTAGCAACCATACCATCATTTAAAACACCCAGTGACAGCAAGTAGTATATCTACAGTAGTAAAACATTCAAGTACCAGCTACAAGGTACATACACAGTGAAGCTACCAAAAGAACAGTCAGTTACTTGGCTGTATATAGTCCCCGGTAAGTCAAAAACAATAAGAATACCCCGTCCGCCCTGACAGTTCATCACATCTCCTCTATGCAGTATGTAAGTATAACTTCCTACGGTTTTCTCTCCTACTGTAGCAAGTATATCCCGTCTGCTCTCGGCCCTCGAGGTTGATTATCACCTACAGATGCTGCGTTAGCTAGTGTATCGGCTACAGATAGTGCTTATAGAGTATTGACCCAAGAGGAAGTCTCATCCTTCATAATGTCCCGACCCGTCTATTGTTCTCCGTGGCGGTAGGACATGAATAGACAGATAATAATAGGAGGGATGTCTGTTCATCTTGTTTCATTTTGTCTTACCTTACTTGAGGCGGAGTGATGTTGCTACATAGATTAGTCCAAGGTGATTAGTACATTACTAGTACTTTCTCAACCTCCGCACAGGAGGGACATGCAGGATTGATTGAATGAGTGAGTGATGTAATTCTCCCCAGACATGTATTGATTTGACTTCTACAATTTACTGGAATAGTTGATTTCTAGTGTCTGTGTTGCACGTGTATCACTGCTATTATGTATTGGACGCGATAGTACTATGGGTATATCACTAGGGCTAGCATATATCGACCAACAACGTACTAATCAAATGAATCTATAAAGCAAACAACAAATCTAACATGAGTATTAAATATAACCCCACCTACATCCCTCGCTCACCCGAAGACGTGTGAGCATAAACAGGCAAGCGAGGATCCACTGAAACGTCCCCGTCGTCTTTCGCTGCCTTGTCATCTACAGGACAGGTTTTGGACGACTCCGACTCCGACTCCGTCTCCGAGGTATGTACCTAGTCATTTTGTAAGCATATAGACAGACGACGAATGGATAGGAAGGCACACGTACGATCACAAAGCGAGGATCAAGCTCGCGCACGTCCACGGGCTTCTTTTCGCCGAGCTTGGGCTTCGCTGGGTTTTCCTGGTGGGGATCGTTAGTATGGGTTGCTCTTTTCCCCTGGGATAGATATATGGACGGAGAGAGTATATAGATGAGGTGTACGAACCTTCGTATTCTTCCAGACCCGCAAGTAGTGATCCCACTTATCACCACTCTCCTCAGACTCAACAACAGCATAATCACTCCCGCCGTTGGGATAAACACTTCCAAACCGGACGCGGTCCTTATCGACCTTGATATTCTTCACATCGCCGAACAGAGCACCAGCGTCTTTGAACTCCGGCACCGTGCTGCCTTTCCCGCTGGCGGGTGTGTTGATGAGCGCAGTGACCTTGCCCTTGTCTTCGACCCAGACCAGATCAGACCGGTTATCCCCGTCGATGTCGGCGAGCTGCACGTCGGCGATGTCGTGCTTGCTGTCTTTGCCTTGGACGACCAAGCCCATGAACTGCCAGGAGACCTGGGTCTTGGTGGTGCGGGTCTTGCGCTGTCCGCCGTTGCGCCAGCAGTAGAGGTCGTTGTTGGCGACGAGGCAGCTGTGTCGTTATTAGATATCAATGTGTCCTGAGAGGAGATGAAAATAAACATACTAGTCAACACGACCATCCCCGTCAATATCACCCAGACGCACATCCCCCTGTCCCAGAACACCGTCGAGGCCAGGACGCACATGCCCGATGGACTCGAACTTGGGCGGGTTGCCGCCTTTGTTGATGGACACGGACATGCCGCCGTTGTGAGCAATGCAGATGAAGTCGTCCAGGCCGTCGTTGTTGAAATCAGCCCAGCGGATGTCTACCAGCCAGGTTAGTATATCAGGGAGCAAAGACTTCGAAGGAGACGACATACCACTAGCCACACACCCCTCCTTCACCGCAATCTCAACAGGCTTCCCAAACTTGCCCTCGCCATCATTCCCAAACATAAGCATGCTCTCGCCATCACGCGCCCAAACGAGCTCATCCACAGACGCCTTCTCACTCTTCTTAACAAGATTCGCGAAGCGAACCCCAGAATAGGCTTGATCCGGATGAGGCGTCGACCCGATGCGGAGAACACGGCCCTTATCATCATCAACAACATCATCACCACCACCATGGCCCCCCTCCTCACACTTCCCACCCTTCTCAATCTTCTTAGGCGCCCTCAGCAAGCTCTCCTTCTCCGCCTGCTCGATCGCAGCCCACCACACAGCCGCCATCTTCTTATACCCGGCATCAGTAGGATGGGTCTTATCATCATCTTGAAGATCAGACAGTTTAATGAACTGGCTCATCTCGGCCAGCACGATCCGATTGTATTCCTGTCTGCGCCTGCGCACGATATCGCGGTACTGCGTGTTGATGCGGTCCACGCGCGGCTGCACGCCGGGATTGCCGTTGGGAATGAGGGTGGACAGGATGACGGTTGTGTCTGGGATGGTGAAGAGGCGGTCGAGGAGGGCGTTCATGCGGTCGTCGATGGTGTCGATGTCGTTGTTTTGGATGGCGTCGTTGGTTCCGGCGCTGGGCTTCTGTTAGCATGGTCTTCTGATGATTCTGCTGCTGCTGCTGCTGCTGCTGCAGATGGCTATGATGACGATTATGACAATGGGTGAAGTATCATACTTGATCAGAATCAAATTCGGCGCTTGAGGAATCGTCTTCTCCGCCTCCTTCGCAACCTGCTTGACCACGAACCCGGAGTGTCCTTCATTATCCTAGTCCCTTATTAGTTTATCTCACTCAAGACCTGAGGTAGGAAGGCATGAGGATATAAGGTAAACGCACATTATCCTCCATCTCCCCAGACTTAACACTCCCCACCATATTCACGTCCCACCCCGCAAAGCGCATCTGCTTGCGCAGCCACCCGCGGTAGCCGTTCTTGTCGGTGGACCTCTCCCCGAAGGTGATGGATGCGCCGAGGGGCATTGTGCGCAGAGCGAAGGGCTTCTCGGTTGCATTGTCGGTGTCATTGTGGGCAGGAGTCTCGAGAGGTTGGGCCACCGGGGTGGAATAGACTGATGGGGCCAGGAGGAGCAAGCTGGCGAAGGCCAGTGGCAATGAGGTTGGCCTCATTGTGTAGTGTAGTGTAGATTATGTTTTGGATGGAAAGAAGGAAAGCTACTTTCGTTGAGAGACAGTTCAGCAGGATAGGTGCTATTTATTTATTCATTTCAGCCTTATCCATGGAAACGGACCAGGATCGCATCAGCCCCCACTAGCTATTTTATATATAGGCCTGAGGCCTAAGCTACCCTTAGGGCTGACGGCGGACAAGTCAGTCCCAGTGTTTAGTGCTATAACAAATCTTAGCATTGGGATCGGCCCGGTCTGATTGGGGCGCTGGAAGCGGATTATCAGCACTAGCGTTCGGCCGCCGTTGGGGTCGGTTTGGATTTGATTCATTCGTATGGCGAGGGAGCCTGATAATTTATGTCGTGCTGGGCCCGGATCGTAATTGGACCTGTGGACGTGTCTTGGGTCTGGCTGGCCTGATCGTCGTGATGTTTCCCCAGTCTAGGATAGCCCGTAAGCTTCGGTGCGTCTCGAAGAGCGTGGATCCAGTGCTATCAGCATCAGCCACGGCAGCCTGAGCTTAGCCTCGCTTCTGCAGACTGATTCCCCTAAAGCTCCTGCAGCCATATTCAAGATGTGATGTGATTGATAATCATTCGAGAGAAACGGTTCCGTATTGATAATCATTCCGAGAAAAACGGCTGCGTATTGATCAACTCTACCGAAAGAGACGTCGGCCCCCAACGCTACCCGAACTCCATGTCACCGACCCGCGCACTCCCATATTGCCCATACTCAGCCCCGTGAAGCCCACCCCGCCGCCCTCGCCGTCTCGTTTATAGCGTCGCTGCGCCTCGCGCAGGTGTGCAGGGAGGAGCTGGCCGCGGTGTGGATTCGGTGGCGGTCGGAATTCCGGCCAGTCCTGCTCCGGTTGCGACGCGTGCGTGGCCTCGAACTCGGCCCGCGCGGATTGATCGTGCGCGTCGGCCCATTCCGCTTGTACCGTGCGCGCCTTTTCGATCATCTCGCCTGCAAACACCTTGGTGAAGCCGTTGATGGTGGTCACCACGCTGGCTGGGACCGACTGCGACAGTGCGTGGTTGACGATTCGCCGTAGCGTTTCTTTCCGTAGTTTGGCTCGCTTGAAGAGATCGTATCGCTCGGATTGGAGGGGATTGAACGCGTCCACCAGTAGGCTATTTTGTCAGCACTTCAGTATTCCAACCCAACCAAGGTCGTCCACCAAGAACCAGTCAAACATAAAAAAAAAAGGGGGAAAAAGGAACATACGCCAAATTCTTCTTCTCCGCCTCGGTATCAGTCGCCCCCTCCTCCCTCCCCAACAACTCCCCCTCATCATCAAAATCCTCCTCATCATCCACATCCTCCCCCCCTCCCCCTCCCCCAGCACCACCACCACCACCAGCACCGCCCTTAACAGACGACCCATCCGCATCAACCGAGCCCACCCGAGTGTCCGTCCCACCCCCTCTCGCACTCAACGCGTCCTCCCGCTCGCGCTCCTTCTCCGCCTTGCTCTTCCGCCCGCGCTTCTTGGCTCTCCCCGCAGCGGCGAAGATACCGTCTGCGGACGTGCCGCCCAGACTGCCGGTGTGGCTGCCGGTGACGCTGCCGGCGTCGCTGGCGGCGCTGCCGAGGCCGCGGGCTTCGTCGGCGGTTGTGGGGAAGGAGGTTTGGCGGAGGGGGTGCATGCGGGCGCGTTTGGCGCTGATGTGCGATTGGGAGGTGTTGATGGAGGGGCGTTTGAGGGGGTTGGTGGGTGGTGGGGAGGACATGTTGATGGTTTGGTTGGTGGTGTATGAAATGATCGGTTGGTGTAGGTAGGTCGGTGGTGATGAGAATAGTAGGTTGAGTACGCGAGAGGATATTAGAAACTCGATTTGTAGTGGGACCAGCCCAGTGAGAGAATAACGAGCGAAATGAGAATTTCAGGAATGACAATGAAAGGAACAATGCCAAAATGAGATGGCGATGAACTGATGATGAACTGAAGAGGAAGTGAACGAGAGATGAGGAATTGGATCGGCATGGGCAATATACACCGCCTACCGCTTTGGGCCGCCTAGTAGGTCTTCACTATATGGGTCTTTCTCACCAGCAATGCCGTATTTACGATCCCACTACGGAGTACTCCATACAGCTACAGATCAAATAGTCACGTCAATTGCAGTTCATTCTGACAACGAAAGCCACAAACAAGCACAAATTAATCGCCGAAGGGGTATCTCCATCGGCTACGGGCAAAACAAGAACAGAACAGCGCGCAGAAAGGCCAGGGGAAGAACCCAAGGAAAACCCAAGGGGAGACAACAGACAACCGAACAAATCAGGTAGAGACACAAAAACACAGACTGATGAATCAATAGAACAGAGCAGCAGGTTGTCGATCATCAGAAACGGTCCTCGCCGAGCCGCGGGGCCCCCCTTTCCAGTCCAGCCGCTCGTAGTAGCGGAAGACCAGATCGTATCCGTCCAGGTCGTGCACAATGCGATCGACCCGGCGGTAGCCCTCGACGTGCTCGGTGCGCGACGCGCGGCGCGCCGCCTGCCGCTCGATGTACTTAACCTCCTTGATGCTGTCCCAATCGCCGTCCGCGGCGGCCGCCACCTCGGGCTGCGCCTCGAACAGTGTCACCGTGAAGCGGCCCGGCTTGAAGATGTTGACGACCTGCTGGATGATGCCCGCCGTGGTCTGGCCGGTCTGCGAGTGCGGCACGTTGGTCTCGAACGACGCGTACGAGCACTGCGGCTCCGGCGTCACGTGCACCGTGAAGTAGTGCGTCCCGGACGCCCCGTCCGGCGCCGGCACCACCCCGTTGGCGGAGAAGCCGCAGGGGGTGAACAGGTAGGCGTCGATGCGCGACTCGGGGAACTTCTCGCGCGAGTAGACGTCCGACAGGCCGCACGTCTCCGACACCACCGTGCCCAACGCGTGGCCCTCGGTCGTCAGCTCTGCGGGCAGCACGCGGTTGTTGTCGGGACCGTCCAGGTCATCGCCCAGGTCCGTGGTGTTGCTGAACACGTCGAGGTGGTCGCCCGTGTCGCGGTCGAAGTCAAAGTTGCGGTACTGCTTCTCCGCGGCGGCCGTCGCGTGGTCCAGGTAGAACTGGCGCGCGTTGTTCTCTTCCAAATCGGTCATGAGCACCTCAAGGGTCTCGTCGGAAGCGTCGCCGCCCGTGGGCTTCGCGGGAGCCGCGGGCAGGTGGAGGATCCTGGTCGCCGTGCCCTCGTCCTCGGCGTCCGAGTCAGCGGGCGGGCTCGAGGGCGGGGTGAGCAGGGTGTGCGGCTCGGTCAGGTACAGGTACCAGTGCTCGCCGTTCATCTTGCCGATCATGTAGGCGCTACCGTTGAGGAAGAGCTTGTCCATGTTGCGCACCTCGTCGCGCCAGCTGCGGTGGGGGCCGCGCTGGCGGTCCGGGAACAGGAAGTTCTTGCGGCTGTAGAAGACGCGGTACGGGGCGGCAGCGATGGAGATGCCGCGCGAGGCGGGCGCCGTGGACTTGGGGAAGCCACCGAACAGGGCCGCGATCTCCAAGATGCGCGGCAGGCCGGAGAGCAGGGTGGTGGTGCCGCAGGTCTTGAGGATGAGCTTGTGCGGCCAGACGAACATGCTAGACTCGGACAGCAGGTAGGCGTCGACATCCTCGGACGAGACGATGGACAGCACCTGGCAGTTGACCAGGTCCAGCATGTCCTTCCAGATCTCCTCGGGGACGGCCTTCAGGCCCGTCCCGCTGACGGAGCGAGCGGAGGGGGCGAACCACACCTCCAGAAGCTTCTCGGGGCCTAATGCGATGAAACGTCAGTCCTGGAACCGTTGGCAGGCTCGAACGTCAGGGAATCACCGGCACGTACCTTCAAAGGCATTGGAGGAGTCAAGATCCTGGGTAGCCTCGTGATTGATAGTCAGGGACGGGGTGCCCATAAACGAGGAGGGCGAGGTCGTGTAATTCTTCGGGATTCCAATGAACACCATCTCGAGAGCGGGGACCGATGGGGTCAGCAGGCAGGCGGGATGGCAGTGGATTTGGCTGTATGGAAAAACCGGCGCGTGGGCAGGACAGGACCGACGAAACAGAAGACGATCAACGGCAAAGCCAAGCCTAGGAAGCACAATCTGCTACCCAGACGAACAGGGGGGGATGTCCGCCTGAGAAGAGAAGGCCCTTTATCAACTAGGGTCGAGTGGCACAACAGCCAAGAGGGGAAGTGATCCAGATGAGCCCGAAGGGCTGCTAGGGAGGGCGGAAGCAAAGAGCGAGGTAAAAGCCTCTAGGAAAAGGAATTGTGGCTAATCTTCGGTACCCTCGTGCTGGAAGATACCGATACCGGTCAAAGTATCGGGTCTAGCAGACGAGAGGTATCTGCTTTGGAGGGGTAAAGGAAGGAAGGAATTGCGAACGGGCGGGAAGGCGCGAACCGCAGCAGGGGTTCTCAATCGTGTTAACGAGGTCTGGCAGAGGGAGACACTCCGTTAGTCACCGACCAGGGAAGAGAAGAGGGGCAAGAAGGGCATACTTGGCGGGTTTGGACAGGTATCGCAGTAGATCCTCTGGGTTCATTGAAGGCACAAATCAGATGGAGCTCAGAGCAGCGCGAGAGAGCTGACAGAGGCGACGACTCTTGACATCTGCGAGAGCGAAGCAAGCGAGACGAGAAGAACGAACCAGGCGGGAGAGAGAAGCTCTCTTTTTATTGATTTTTTTTTTCCTTTATTTTTTCACCGAGGTGAGACCACTCCAATGAAGCAGCAGCGGGGTCAACCACCAGAAGGCGCCCAGCGAGATTGAACGAGCGCGTATGAAAGAGACAAGCGATGAGGAAGAGGGGTTGTAAAAGTGAGAAAGATGTGTATGAAGTCGAGGAGAGAGAAGAGGGAAGTTGTTCGCACGAGCAAAAGTCACAGCAAAGCAAGATTTTCGTCTCTCCGATCCAGCCCACTTTTAGCGGCCTTTGAGATTGAGGTATTTTACTCTTCTTTTTTTTTTTAAGGCGATTGGGCTGTGTGGGCCGGAAAAACGCCGTGGGGCACCAATCGGGGCGCTCGGTTGGGCTGCAGATAGTAGTCGGGGGTAGAAAGTAGGGAGAACGCTCAGTCAATTGGGCTGTATAACAAATGGATAAATAGGATGATGAACAGGATGATATGGACAAAAGAAGAGGGATGTCAGAAGTAAGAGAAGAAGAAGAGAAGAAGAAGAGATGATGCGGAATGATGAGGAATGAAGGTGAGGTCCGTGAGGCGACAGCGGAGATGCCCGATCTGGCAGGCGGTGAGACACTACGTACATGACTCATCCCGGTGACGTCGCCTTGTCAGGCACCGATGCGGAGGAGATAGCCGGAGATCTCTACGGAGTACACTGGAGTTGATGATGGTAACATGTTGAATAAGATAATATAAGCCCCAATCCAGAACGCCAATGCACCCATTCCATCACCTATAATTTACCAGATGGAGAGACAGAAACAAGACACGAGGAAAAACAAAGGGAAAAGAAAGCAAGGATCATGCATCCACAATCGCATGCGCCAGCTGTACATCCCCCCCCTCAGAGATCTGACCGGCCAGGAACTCTCCCACCCGATTCGTCAGCTGCGTCCGCAGATCGTCCGTCACCGTCCCGTGGTGTCCGTTAGCCAGCGCTGGACCGCCCTCCCGCAGCGTGCCTAGGACCCCGACCAGCAGTTCGAGCACCTTCTCTGCTTCGGGGCGTCGCGCCCCTTCGTCCGCCAGACCCTCCTGCAGGAGACTGCCGTACGTGGGTAAGTTCGGCAGGATCAACACCCGCACGGCCTCCACGCCGCCCACGGCGTGCAGCCCGATGATGGCCCCGTAGTGGGCGCCGAATGGCTTGGACGGGTCGAGGAAGGTCTTGAGACAGGTGCGGGCCAGCCGGGGTTTGAGCGTGTGCGACGCGTGCGAGTATTTGCGGGCGATGAGGCCCAGTAGCGACCCGGCTAGATCCCGCAGGGCCAGCTGCTCCGACAGGTCGGCGTTGCCGCCGAGTTGGCGGCCGATCAGGCAGGTTAGAATGGAGGGGACGAGGGAGGCGACCTATCATCATAAGTATATACGCGTAGAGGGAGTGAGGGAATGGGAGAGAGAGAGAGAGAGGGAAACTCACATAAGGATCCACATAAAGCGACTGATTCTGCACCAACGCCTCCGCCATCCGCATCACCTGCGTCAGAACAAAAATATCCTTCATGCCATGCGTGACCTTCTCCGAGATGAACTGCACAAAGTACGGCACGAGCTGATGCAAGCCAGGGTCCTCGCGCAGACTCGAATATCCCGACGTGCGGTACTCCTCGCTACACTCGTCCAGAAACGCCCCGCACACCTTCTCAAAGTACAGCTGCAGCTCCTTGGACAGCACGTGCTTGACGAGCGGTTTGACGGCCACGTTGCCGTTGCCGCTCATGGCGGCGAGGGTCGAGTTCGCGTTGGGTCCCTTGGACATGAGTTCGAGGTTGCGCGAGTCGGCGGCTGTGGGGTTCTGTGGGATGGATGGTTGGACGCCCTCGACGGCGAGCCAGTGAGCTATAATATACATTAGCACCCCTAATACTTAGGGAACCTATATAAGAAGAAGAGAAAATACCCGTAAAAGCAATCTCCCTCGGCACCTTCGGCAAAGGCGCATTGATCAACTTCTCAAAGTCGACCTCCTCATCCTCGACATAAAACAGCGGCTGGCCCGGTCCCAGCGACGCCTCCCCAAAGCGCAACGGTCTGGTCGTCTCATACCCATACAGCGGCTCGACATCTAGCACGCGCAGCGCGTGCGCGATATCCTGCGTCGTCAGCAGCGTGCGGCGGCCGTGGCGCATGAACTTGAGGGCTTCCTCCAGCACCTGCGCGATGCGGTACTCGACGTCGCGGGCGAGGTTCTCCGTGACGTCGTTGTTGAGGTTGACGATGCCGACGGATTCGGCGACGTCGCGGATGTTGTCGGGGTTCCAGACCGACATGGTGGGTGGATCTTCAAGGGTGTGTAGAGAGGGAGGTGAGAGTAGCTGGTAGATAGGAAGTGGTGGTACTGCTGGGAGGTGGATATGTCGGTGATAAACGTCGATCGCAGGTGGGAGATGGAGGTCGTAGTAAAAGGACCGTTAGGGCAAAACACAGCAGTGACGCATTCTGGGACCCTCGATAGATGGTGATGGAGCACCTTGCACCCAATTCAACAGACGATTGATTCCGTGATGATGAGGTGAAAGTGGAGGAAGCGCGGAGCAAAAGACCGCAAGGGACCTGCTGACCGCCTTCTCGATCGATCTGCCTAATGATATATATGATGCCTCAGGCAGCATTTACATACTCTAGACACACGTCAGGATAGAGTACATGTAGGATGTAAAGGAATGGATTCAACTAAAGATTATACCCAATCGTAAGAATGACAGTGCATGAAGTATCTGAGGGATCAAAAGAACAAAGAATCAAAACAACAAAACAATCCATCAATTAGTAGTGATAGTCCGATCCTCCTGGGTACAACCCAATCGATACTCGTATGGCATGGCCATGGAACGAAAGATCACCCATGCCGTTTAGTCCCTTCCTCTACCACCAGAAGAGTCTGTTGAACGTAATCTTTCGTCGTGAATCTGCCGTGATTAATGTTACAGAGGGCGCCCTCAGATGCACCTCGCGGGCGTTGGTCTGCAGGTCCCCGCCCTTCCCGCCATAAGATTGGGGCAACTGGACTTTAATAGAATTCGGAAATTTGGAGGACAGTTCCTTGCCGTCGGTAATGGCATAGAACGGGCGGGTGGTGTTCTGGCTCCGCAAGATCTCGCTGAACTTAGACCTGCAGCCCTTGATGGCTGGGACGTTGACGAAGTACCTCTCGTACAGCAGCTCCTGGTAGGCCGCGGTGACGGTGTCGATGGTCCACTTGGCGCAGCGCTTGAATTTGGAGTACCCTGACTGGGTGAAACTGACATTTTTGAAGTCCTGCACCTGCCGCATTTTGTGTGGGTCGGGGCCGCCATAGTTCATTACGATCGTGGACTCGTCAATCTTCAACTCGTGGGCGGCCATCTCCAGGAGCGCTATGTGCCAATCACGGAAACTGGCTGCGTTAGCACCCCGTCGATCATGGTCCGGGGGTTCGCGCCAACTCACTTGTATCGATTGCCATAGGTAATATTGAAATCCCTCGCCACCCCGTAGATAATCCACGTCGTGACCACTTCCTCCCCGGCATTGTCTGTGTAATGTGTCAGGTACCCCAAGTCCCTGAACCTCTGGTGATTGTGCTGCGTGTTGGCCAGCCGAATCGGGTTCATGTCCCGGCGCCACTCTAGCACACTGATCAGGCGTTCCTCCGCCCTGTGCAGGTCACCGTCACTGGCGCGCAGGAACTTGATCAGGATATTCACGGTAGGAATATGGCGTTCATCCAAAAGGTTCACGCCCCATATTTCTCCGTGTCTCGCGACGTTGATGATGTTGGGCAGCCTGTCGAACAACGGGCCCAGTTGAGGATGTTTGTCCAGATAGTCCGGTCTGTCGGGGGGGTTGTCCGGATTACCACCGTCCTGATCGTTCTTGTTGTTCCCGTCGTTCTTGGTGTTGTTGTTGTTATCGCCGCCACCATTGTCGCCGCCAACTACTTCCTCGCGAATGGTATCATCTTGCGCACCAGTCGGCCTCTGTGAACTTTCCCCAGTGGTGGACTTTGGCGCCGCCGCCCTCTCGCCCTGTTTCACCGAACCACCTTCATTCCCGCGCCGATTGGACATTGTACGAACGTAGTAGATGTGTGATGGGGTAATAGAATGTAGATATATAAAATAGATGTGTATCAAGGATGGATCAAGGGATGTTTTCAGAGAAAAGAAAAGACGAAGTGTACTGATAGAGACCGATACTGAGAATGTGAAAGGAAATGGGTTTGCTTTGATATCCATGGTGGACGAGGGGGGGAAGACGTAGAAGTGGAAGTCGCAGATGTAGAAAGAGCGAAAGTGGAAGGAGGAGACCTGAAAGGTGTACTTGCCTTGATAGGACTCTGACTTGGCTATAATCAGCCAGAAACCTCAGGCCAGACGCAGACTAATTGTTTCCAGTCTTCATTACCCTATCAAAGATATGATATGATATATCCGTGTCATCTATCGTAATATTTCAGAAGACTAAGAAAGAAAGATAAACCGCTGGGGAATATACATCAGATGAACGAAACACGATTGCTCAACGAACCAGAACCAGGACCAGTACCAAAACCATTCCACCTTCCACTCCTTCCTACTTCGACCCATTCGCAAACTGTTGAGGGATCTGAGGGACCGGCGGGGGGATGGGTTCTGCCTCGCCCTCGTCTTCGTCCTCGTCCATCTCGTCTAGTTCTTCGGGGTGACTAGATATTGAGTTAGATCGATGTCCGCATATATATATATCTGTATATTATGGAACTCACGCTAATAATTCCTTAATGTTCCGCATCTCATAATGCCGCTTCCGATGCTGCTCAAACTGGCGGTGTTTCTCGCGAGCCTCTTCCGGCGAGAGGAGATGGTCGGGGTCGTCCGACCCCGCCTCGCCGTTAGTCTGCTCGGACCCAACCACCACGTGCTTGTCATTGCGGTGCGACTCATTGCTGAGACTCCGTTCGCGGGTGATGCGATCATGCGACGCGGCAGGCTCGTCGGCCATGGGCGACTCCTCGGGCTCGCCCAGCTCCAGGTCCGGGATGTCGTCCTCGGGGACGGCTTTGCGGGACGGCTTGGGGGGCTGGTCCAGCTCGTCGACTACCACCCCCTGGGCATCGATCAGGTCCGCGTCGGCCATCTCCTCCTCGTCCTCGTCCTGGCTGGGGTCGTAGTGCGGGGCGTACGGCGTCTTGGGCTCGTCGATCTTCATCTTGGCGGTCTTTTCTTGCTCCGCGAGGTAGAGGTTCGCTTCGTCCCATTTCAGCCGGGGGGAGTTCTCATCGTGGTGTCCGTGGGAGCTGGCGAGGGATTGGCGGCGCGACGAGCTCCCGGGGCGGGCTGCGGACGAGGACCGTCGCCGACCGGCGTTCTGTAGGGTGTTTTGGATGGTGATTTCCTTGGTGTCCACGCCGTCCACGGACGGGAGGGGAGACGGATCCTCCGGGATTTGGGGGACTTGGAGAATACTCTGGGAGCTAGAGTTCTTGAGGATCCCTATTCCTTTATTAGACTGAAACATTGTATATGAAAGAGAAAAAGACCTACCCTTAGGCCGCGAATGGGCATCCTCCACACGTTGCTGTGCCATGATCATTGCAAGGAAATGACAAAATTATTCAGGCGTCCAGGAGAAAGATAACTCAAGGCTGATCAAATCCTTTTATCTTCAAAAGAGAAAAATCCCGCACGAGACAAAACCAAGTCAGCTGGATGTGTCCTTCCGGCGATATTTTTATTTACTTATTTGCGGAAATCCCCAAAATAAGTAAGCATCTGAGACCAGTAGATGACCCGACCGCGCAGCTGGGATCACGTTTGTCTGTAGGGTGAAGGGGAGGATATATGTGGTGGGGTTTCAGCTTGGAGGGGCTGAGCTGGTGAGCTGTGGCTGCTGAGTCGTTGGAGTGGAATGTGACGAAATGGTTGGGTTGATTGTATTGTATGGGAGGTGGTTATTTTGCTGGGATGTTGGATGTTGGATGGTGGATGTCTGGGTCTTGGTATTTTGCAGACTAGATTGTAGAAGTCTGACTGGAGAGGCAAGATTGAATTGATCTTCAAGATGATTGATTGACAGTCGAAATGGGAGAATGAAGAAAAGAAAGATGAATGAATGAATGACTGAATGAGGGAAACTGGCTGGGACTATTTGGGTCTAGTCCGGCGGCGTTGCGCTGCCGGGCACGTGGTGTGACGTCATGGTGGACTGGGGACATACCTTTATATTGTGTACTCCATGGATTGATGTTGGATATGATGGTTATGACTTGATTTTGTGGAGTAAATTACAGATGGTGTAAATGAGGACAGTAGAAGTGCGTGTATATCGGTAAGGACAGTGTATATTTGCATAGCATACTATGTGGACGAGGTATACCAGAGGACGGAGTATACCAACTATGCGTGTAGAAGGGTGTACCAGAGGAAGCGTATACCATACTATGTAGGAGGGTATACAGAACGGTATATCAAGGAGAGTGTACCAAGTAAAATCAAATCAACCTGCTTCTAACCCACCGGAAAAGAAAGAACAAATGAATGAGAGAGTCAGTAGACAGATCCATAAACCCATATTGCTCCTGGTTGAACCGCAACACAACCTATCGCCACACGCGCCCTTACGCAAGCACACACACACACACACACACACACACACACACACACACAGAGAGAGAGAGAGAGAGAGAGAGAGAGAGAGAGACACACAGACAGAGACACAAACACACACACACAGAGCAAGGGTCAGCTAGACAATGCTAGAAAAAAGAATTTAAATAAATAATAAATATATATAAACCTCAAAGTGGTATCATGTCATGAAGCAACGCAGCAAGACGAGAAGAAAAAGCATTTCGAACGCCTGGGATATCATCACCGAGTCGAATGAATAGAATGAAAAAAGAAAAAAAAAAAAAAAAAAAGATAATAAATGAAAAGAAAAGAAGGGTAGAATGGAATCAAAAATAGAACCAGAAAAAAAGAAGGTAAGAAGAGAAAGAAGCGACAAGATCAAGCAATCGAATCAAACTCCTCCCGTTCCCGAAGTCGATTCCTCGCAAGATCATCCCCTCCCTGCGCCGACAGCTGCATCCAGTGCAGCGCCAGACACATGCTCTGCGGGTCGGACTTGGGATCGTTGTCGCGGTGGTACATCATCTCCGCTTTGTAGGTGTCGCGGAGGAGTGTGAGTGGCAGCGTCACCCGCGGTAGGAGTTCCGGGTGCGTGAGGTAGAGAATGGCCAGCTCGCGCTGGGCGACGGCGTGGCCTTCTTTGGCAGTGATGATCCACATCCCCGCTGCGTCTTCGATGGCGTGGCCTGGCCGGGGGGTCCCGTCGGGTCCCGAAGGCGGGTGTCGCCGGCTGAGCTCTTGTGACACGATGTGGTCGGCGATCTCGACCATGCTGTTGCAGACTTCGTCCTTTAGGCTGAGTGCTGCCAGTCCGAACTGCAGGAAGGCTGTCCCGCTGTCGGTTTGGTTCAGTGTGTCTCCCGGCACGAAGGCCGCGATGAACTGCAGGTCCCGGAACAGCGTCTTGGGCTTCATCTCTAGGAGTAGCTCGCGGAGGGCGTCCACGATCTCCTTCTCCGTGGGCGTGGCGTAGTCCGACGGCCGCGACTCGAAGAGGACCGATTCGGCGGCCGGGCTCGTCGGCGTGCGGACGCCGTCCCGCTCGGGGCCCCGCGGCGTCCGCGACTCCGAGAAACTGTGTCGGGAGCCTCGCGTCCGGCGCACGTCCGGGCCCGGGCCTGGACCCGGGGACGGAGGACAACGGTCGTCGGGGCCCGCGTTCAACGACGCCACGACCAGGGCCCGCAGCTCACGCAGGGCCTTGAGTTTCACAAACGGGTTGCCGTGCCGCGAGAAGACGTCGATCAGCCGGCGGAAGACGACCCCGTACGCAAACGGGGGCTGATCTTCGGGTATGGGGTCCCCACTCGCACCCGTGGGCGTCGAGTCCCGGTCTGCGGGGTTAGGAGGAGGCGCGGGCTGGTCAGATGGCTCCAGCGAGCGGCTCCGGCGGCGCCCGTGGGCCGACGACGTCCGGTGGATGGTGTGACGAATCGGGCGGTCGTCGAGCTCGGCGTAGAACCGTTGGATCCGGGAGCGCTTGCCCATCTGGATCCGGATGCGCTCCTGGTCCAGGACGTTCCCGAACCACGCGTCGGTCTCGCTGCCGCAGCTCCACACCGGCGAGCCGAGGTCGCTCAGAAGCAAGCTCGTCAGCGTCTGCCGCAGCTCGTCCAGAAAGACCGTCTTCCCGTGCGGGGTGGTGCGCTCACTGCGGCGCGGTTGGTGGGTCCCCGTCTCACTGATCATGGACGGAGGACGAGAATAGACGCTGGACGCGCTGGCGGCGTAGTACTGGGGCCGGTGCGGCGCCGACCAGAATGTGCTACACGAATCGCCCGTGGCCGTCGATGCGGCCTTCCCCGGCGAGCCCGCGATGGACGAGGCGTCTGTGATGGACGGATCTCGGGGGGTCCGCCATCGCTCCGGCATCAGGTTCTGGAGCGACGCATCGCGGGTCAGCGCAGGGAAGAAGTCGTGCGCGGCGGATCGGGGCATGGGGTCGGACGGGCGCCCGGACGGAGGAGGCACGGGCCCGTACGCCGTGGGGGTCGCGGGGGCATCCTCGCCGGCCCGGCCGAACGATCGCAGGCCCGCGGAGAGGCCCATGAATCCCCGCGGGGTCGAGCCCTCGAACTGGGCGCGCTCGCGGTGGAACAGCTCGCTGGCCCAGAGCACGGGCGTCTCGGCCATGGTCTCACCCACGAGGCGGTTGATGCTGGCCTTGACCTCGTAGCAGAAGCGGTGGATGCGCTCCTCCCCCCGGCAGAAGTTGTCGATGCTGTTGTGGGCCAGCCACTTTCGAATCAGATCGACCTGCTCGTCGGACAGCTTGTTGGGCCCGGCCTGGTTGCTCGGCGCCTTCATTACCTGCATCACCTGGAGCTCGGGCTTCTGCAGAAGGGACCGGGTCGTACCGCCCCGTGACCGGGTCTCCGCCGGCCGGGACAGACGCGCCGAGTGGACCATTGTCTTGAGGGCTAGCGCTACGTGTTTGGCGTCCTCGTACCGCATGGAGTTCTTCACGTCGGTCATGTACCACATCTTGTCGCGGAGGCGCGCGACGGTGGCAACCATGTCCTTGACGGTCTTCTGCAGGCGCTGCCGATGACGGTCGAGCGCAACGAGGTCACTTTCGCTACGCTCGATGACCGATCGGGACTCGCGCAGCGAGGCCACATTCGACCGGTGCATTGGGCGGAGGATCCACGAGTCGTCGGCCTGTCGGGCGGGGGCGGTCGCCACGCTGCGGAGCAGCTGCCGGCCGGCGTTCCACCAGTAGTGGGCGCCGATGAAGTCAGACTCGTGGTGGCAGGATGCCATAGCGCGTTGGAATCGCTGCCGGAGGGAGAGACTGTCGGCGTGGGCGCCGGGTGCGGGGAGGCCGGCCTCCACGCGGTCCCCGGCGGGGTTCTCCTGGATCAGTTTCACAATGGCCGTCTGGAGCGCTTCCAAGTTATCCTCCATCCCCAGGGTGGTGGACGGGGCGTCTCTGACGGAGTGGTTCTCCGGGTCGCTCGCGTCGTCGTCCGGGAAGAGTCCCCAGACCGGACGGTCGTCCCGGGGGTCGATCGAGAAGACGGCCCAGTCTTCGGTGGCGGGCGGCTCCAGGGTCGTCCGCCCTTCGGGCTCGACCAGGCCCGAGAGCTCAAAGCGGATCCGGTCCGCCTTCCGGCGGAGGCGATCCTCCTGGGGCGATAAAAAGGTCATCTCCGCGGGGAAGAGGGACCGGGCCGGGGATGACAGTCCCGGCGGGGAGAAAAACCCGGGCTCCACGATGGGGGTGGCATACCGGGGCGAGAGGGTCTGGAAGGGGTTGTGGAGGGACGATGGCACAACACCCGACGGCGGGCTGTACATGGACGAGTCGACCCTAGGGAAGAGTGCGTTCAGCATGGTTAGAACATCAGTGGCCGAGAGCATCAGGAACCCGGCCGGCGATGTTGGGGCCGTCCCCGGTGCTGGTCGCGGGGTCAGGTGAGTCGCGGTCTGTCGGACCTGATTCACCATGTTGGTGACATGCCGTCGAACGGTGGGACGAGCCATGGCGTAGTGATCCCTGGACAGGACGGTTAGCGGTCATCGCCAGGAAAACTGGAAAATGAAAGACTCACATGGACCGCAGCACGGCAAACACCCGGGAGTACGCCTGCATGCCAACCTGGCCGAGGAGCTTCTCGCGCGCATCCTTCCGGATGTGAAAGTCCAACAGAAGACCGTGGGCCTACGTATCATGCTGTTAGATGATGGACGGACCTATCAAAGGTGGGCCGCTCCGGGTGAGGGCGGGGGCGCATACCTCAGGATATGTCAGTGCGCCGTAGAGGAACGAGGCAAAAAACCACTGGACAAACAGAAACTCCAAGAAGCGGTCGCGGGCATCCGGGCGATGCAAGCGCTGCAGGATAGCAGCACTCAACTCCATGACGGCGTGGGGGAACCCGGCATCTGGGTCATCCAGCAGCTGAAACAGGGAATCCACGGCAGTGGCAAAGAATTCCTCGGCGACATCCGTGCGGAGGGGATCGATGGGCTCGGCATCAAAAGGCAGATTGGGGGGCGGGTCTACGTGCTCCAGGAGGAATGCGCCGGTCTGGAGGATGTCCATCAGGTAGAGCTCAAACTTGGGCCGGGCTTTCCAGTGGCTCCCCATGGCCCAGGCGGCGAGGATGTGTCCGATCAGGGGAAAGTAGCGGGCGCCGCCCTCGGTGAAGAGGTGGGCACATACGGACGCCCACAGGTCCAGGCGGCGCTGGGCCTCGGGGCCGTTGGAATCCAGGGGCGCAGAAAACACGTTAAACAGCAAGATGGACAGGGCGTCCGAGCGCTCAAATCCGAGGACGTGGTCCTTGAAGGGGAGGGACGGGGCCACTGAACGCTTGGAGAACGAGGAGGCAGAAGTCCGGGATCTGGCGCCCGCGGGGACGGACGAGGCGGCATCCCCGGCCTCCACGGCGGGGGCGGAGGCGGCCACGAGAGCGGCCAGCTGCGCGGGGGACAAGTTGCGCAGACGGTCGACCACAAATCGGGGACTGGTACGCGCCAAATCCAGGATCTCCAGCACATCCGTCCGGGACTGAGGGCTCAGTTGCAGGAAGAAGTCCGGGGCATGGTCCGCGGCGGCGTCGCGGGCGGACGCGCCGACCTCATCCCAGGGATCCGCGGGGTGGCCGGGGGCGCGAACGACGGACTCACAGGATTCCTGTAGTTCGGATAGACCGTGATAAAGGGCGATGAAGTTGACCTTGTCCTCGTGCTTCAGGCGATCGACGAGGCCGCGTTGGACGGTCACCCCGACACGGACGAGGCGGGCGGAGAGGCCCATGGAGACCTTGACGACATGGAGACGGGATTCCAACCTTTTCCGGCGGGATAGTTTGTGTTGGGTTTGGCGATGGGAGCGGGCTAGATCTTCAAAGGAGACGGTCTCCACGCGGTCCACGGGGGCAGACCGACGATCATCGGGGGTTGGGGAAGCGATTTGGGTAGTGGGGGTGATTGGGTCTGTTTGATATCAGAAGACGTAATACGGACGGTCCATTCTTTTTAGTCGCAACGAAAAGGGAAAGGAAAGTGGAGGGAAAGGGGAATGAATATAGATGATATCGACAACAAAACAGGACGAGAAGTACTAACTAGTCACAGAAGAAAACCCCTCGAAAGAAGAGCGACGACCATCGTCGCAAGGCGCCTGGGCAAACATGGCGGCGGTGCCATGGGCCGAAGAGGGTGGAGAGGAGGTAGGAGGCGGCGAGAAGGCCCAGGCTTGACGGGGGACTTCTCTATGGCATGATCTAGGTGTTACTGAGGGAGGTGAACCAGTTGAAGAGTTGTCGTCCAGGGTTGGATGGAGGGGGAGGGTGGAAGAGGAGGACTCCAGGGTGGATGATATGATATTGATATGATGGTATGTACGGTGGGGGAGAGAAGAGAGGAGGGGAGGCGAGGAGGGGCGATGGATATAAATCAGGATATGCAAGTAAAGAAATGGACGAGAGACAGGAGGAAAAAAGACGAATTATCAAGACGAATAAGAAGAGCGAAGGAAGAGCAGGAGAAAAGCCGGATGATTTGCGAGAGACGATGGAGAGATGATTAGTGGAGAGGGCGAGACAGCTGGCTGCTTGGCGATGACACGCAGGAGAACAGAAGAGAGTACGGAGTAAGAGCAGAAGTAAGAGAGGAGAGAAGAGAGGGGGAAAGAAAGAAAGGAAGACCAACTATTTACTAGGGAAAGCGAGTGATGAGCTGGCAGTGCATGAGTTAGTCTGCCTGCTGATTTGTCCGTCCCCCTCCTTGGATGAGTCAATCTTCCTATGGATCTTTGATATTGATTGGTTTTATTATACTGATATGTTGATTGTTTTATAGTTATATTGATATGGTTTATATAGTTATTTTATAAGATAGTTATTTGTTGATTTATATCTATCTATCGATATGGATATATGGATTATGGAGTCCTCCGTAGATAAAATATATTATATGGATGACCCACCGCGAACTCAATCAAGGACCAGCGCATAACATATCACTCAATCAGTGAAACAAAGACAAAACAAATAAGAACAAATAAGAACAAATAAATGGCTAATGAGAATAATAAGAAAAAATCAATTCATGTCTATTGGCACACCCATTTCTTATCCACCTCCTTCTGTCCCACCCGCGTCGCCACGCTGTTCAACGTCTCCTTCAGCACCTCCTTCGACACTTTGGGGAACCTATCTTCTGTTAGATTCGAATCAAAATAGACGAGAGGAAAAGAAAAGCAAACCCACCGTTTCTTCAAGATCTCGATCAACCCCAACTTCGACAAATCGCTGCCGTCCACGGCCCGCTTGAACTCCTCCAGTTGGTCCACCGGAAATGCCCGCTTGGTCCGCCCGGGTCCCGCCCCCTCTGCGCCCCGGCACTCCCCAAAGTCCCCGCTGATGATGCGCCCCCTAGGAATGCATGCAGCGACGACCGCCCGGGACCTGCGGCCCCGCCCCCGCCGGCGCCGGCGCTGGCGCCCAGTACGCTGTCGAGAAAGGGTCGATCGGAAATGTAACTGCGTCGGAGATCGTCTCGATCCGGTACCGCTGGAGCTCTGGGTCCACTGACGTCCCCCCCAAATGATCTGACTGCCACTGAAGCCCCGAACAGGCGGGTTCCAGATCCCCCACGATCAGCCGCCGCTTCCCCGGTCCTGGCGCCTGCTGGTCGTCGCCCTCGTCGTCCAGGAACCCGTCCAGGTCGTCCTCGCCGTCCTCGCTGACGTCTTCCTCCTCCTCCGAGTCCAGCTCCTCGCCCTCCTCGGGCTCTTCCCACTCCGCCTCCGACTCGTAGTCGTAGTTCGTCTCCGGCAGCCCCCGGTGGAACGGGTTCCGCATCAGCCGGTGCGCCTCGGCCGCCGGCATGCGCCGCGTGTACGTGCCCTGGTACGGCGGCCGCACGTCCTCGCCGAACCTGAGCGACTTCATCCGCACCTGCTTCAGGAGGTTGCGCGGTCGTTGCACCGCCTCCGACGTCTCCGGCTGGTCGCCCAGATTCTGCATCTGGAGGAGGATCTCTTTGACGGACGCGGGGATCCGTCCCCGTCGTCGCTGGTAGGGCATCATCTGGAATATCTCCGACGGTCGAAATTGAAACCCTGAGCGCGGTGCCGGGTTGGGTACCGCCTTCATCTGCGCGTCGACCTTGTCCCGCATGTGCTGCAGGGCTTGGGTGTCCCGTTCGAACCGGTTCGCCGGGGCCACCGTCGTGTGGGATTGGAGGAAGAAATCGGGGAACAGCCGTTGATAGTCCGACAAGGTCGGGTGGGACTCAGCTCCCGCGTCGGCCGGGGGAGCATCACGCGTGGCTTTGCTCGGGGAGTGGGAAGCCGTCGAGGGTCCGGGCTGGGAAACCGGTTTCGGTTTGGCGAAGAAAGCGTTCAGCTTGGGTTGTGCCTGTCCTTGATTAGCGAAGAAAAAGAAGAAGAAAGAAAATAGAAATCTCACCCTCTCCTTCTTCAACTTTTCCTCCTCCTTCTTCCGCTTTTCCTCCTCCTTCGCAGCCTCTTTCTTCCTCTTCTCTTCTTCCTTAGCAGCCTCCTTCTTCCGCTTCTCCTCTTCGCGAGCAACCCTCTCCTCCTCTTTCACCCTCCGCCTCTCATCCTTCTTCTTCCGCTCCTCTTCCCGCTCCGCATCGCGCTTCTTCTTCTCTTCTTCCTTGGCCTTCCGCTCTTCCTCCTTTTTCACCTTTTCTTCCTCTCGCTTAGCCTTCTCCTCCAACCGCTGCCGCTCCTTAGCCTCTTTCTCCTGCTGCTTACTGGCAGGAGACAGCTTCCGCTTCTTGGCGGCCGGCGTCGTCGCCGATCCTTCGGAAGGAGGATTCATATTCGAGCTTGAGTCGGGAACTGTATTCATCGTGGACTCTGAGAGGGAGGTCGGGCCTGTGCTGGAGTCGGCGGCGTCTGGTTGTGCGGGTGCAGGTGATTCGGCAGTGCGTTGTTTGGATGGGGAGGGGGAGAATGAGGAGGAAGTGGTCGTCGTGTTCTCTTTGTCGTCTAGGGCTGTCGTTTTGGGGTCTTCGGGGTGGTTCTTCGCCGGTCGGGTTGGGATGTCGTGTGTGTCTTCGATTGGGCGCTTGCGGCCTCCTGTGCTTGGGGAGGTCGGATACGGGTGTGTTTGAGGCGGGAGGTTGGTGTTTGTTGAGTCTATGGAGACTTCCATGGTGTTCACTAGGGTTGATCGGTGGTGAAGGTGCGATGCTCGATGGGGTCAGTGTTGGCGATGGTGCGATGATGGGTTAGACGTAGGCAAGGCGTGTAATGATGGAGGCGATAGCAGAGGCGAAGATGATCTTGAGCATCGACTTGAGGGTAGGATAGAAGTAGGAGGAATCGGGCTTCGGTTGTCAAAAAAAGGACAGGTTATGAAGGGGACCGACCAAGTGCACTTCGGTGAGGGATGGCAGTCACAAATGATACAGAAGGGGTAGAGAAATCCACCGCTCTCAATTCTCTCAGAATCAGGTAGTAGAGACAGCCACAGGTTCGAGTCCAGCTCAACGGCGATGAAGGTGCAGCGGTGGAGGGAATGGGTGATTTCCCCATCGACGTCTGTCTGGTCTGTGGGCCGATCAGGTTCAGGACAGGAACGGAACGGGGGGGTCACGCGTTAATTGGGTTGCCCGCGCGCTCCGTCGCGTCGCCCCGGCACGTGCTGATTACTCATCCAATATGGTCCATTCATCATTCTGAAGATATAATATCAGATAGTATAATAGATAAAGAGAAAATAAATATATGAATATATTATGTGTAGTCTACATGATGATCGGTGTATGGAAAATACATATGTACAGGTCGTATTATTATTACTAGCGACTCTGAGAGTTTCCTTCTGACCCTCAGAAGGAGGAGCTGAAAGGCGCACTGAGAACAAGGCACTCCGGGGAATCAAGGACGAAACGATGCAATGTCGCCCGAGCAGGACCGCCCGGGAAAGATACCGGGCGATAGGCAAAGGGAACAGGACGGAAAAGACACAAGACGCACGCCAGGAGAGCGGGCTGTCTGCCCGCTCGGTCAGTTCGTGTCTCGTGACCCGTGCCTGGTGCGGACAAAGAGCAAAACGGAAGGTTGGCAAAAGGACGGAGTGCGGTACACAGAGATGAGGAGCAAAGAATAAAAAGAAGAACAACAAACGGAAGGCAAGAAAACTAATCGCTCAAGTCCGGATTGGCGACGAAGAGGCGCACGTTGGTCATAGATGTAGTACGGTCATCCACGCTGCCCCGACGCCGTAGTTCGTCGGCCTTGTTGACCTTATGGACGGCGGTATGGGCCGCACTCGGGGCCGTCATGTCGCCCACGCTGCCGAAACTGTTCTCGCGCTCGCTGCCGCGGCTGTGCAGGGTACCGGTGTCGTCCCGTAGGGAGCCCGTGTCCGCCTTATCGTCGTCGGCGTGACTCTCGGCGGGCGGATGCTCCGTCACCTCGGGCAGGTCGGTCTTCTCGTTCGGAGGCGTGCCGTTGCTCCCCATGGTGCCCTGCGGGGTGGCCCGCTGGTAGCCGCTGGGGTAGCGGTGGGCGCTCCCGATCGAGCTGCGACCGCTGCCCGTGCGACGGTAGGGGAAACCCGAGTCGCTGCGGGCGTCATCCTCGGCGTCGCCGATCTCGTTGGCGCTGAGGCGGACCGGCACCTTGGCGCCCACGAGCGTCGAGGCGGAGAAGTCGGCGGCCCCCTTGGCGCCGTGCTTGCTCTTGCCCCCGGCGAGCGGTCCCTTGCGTCCGGCGCCTGCGCCGTGGACTTCCAGATAGGCTCGCTTCTTGTCCGCCACCTTCTGGGCGCGGAGGCGGGGATCCTCGGGCTGCGAGCGGTCGCACCAGACGGTGGCCTTCTGCCGGCGCATCAAGGCCACGTAGCCGAGCTGGCCCTGGGTGGACCGGGACGAGGCACTCCGATGGATGTCGGAGAAGGGGGCGGCGGGGTTGCCGGTGGAGTTGCTGGAGGTGGTGGCGCTCGATAAGCGCCGCGAGGGCGGGTAGTGGAGGGGGGAGGTCATGGTGGGAAGCGGCGAGGGACCACTACCCATATATTGCTGCTGCTGCTGCTGCTGCTGGGCCATGTAGGGCAGCACATGGGATGAGGAGGTCCGGTTGCGACTATGGGCGAGGGAGGCGGCCGTGGGAAGGGGGGACAGCTGTTGTGGTGGTTGATGTTGTTGAGGGTCATAGGCGGGCCCGGGATACCCGGAAGATGAGCCCGGCACGGGTTTCCGAGCCGGGGCCGCATTGTGACGAAAAGGCAAACGGTAATCAGTCATGGTGGGTTGTTAGAGCTGCACACCAGCCATATATGATCCGGAGGGGGGAGGGATGAGAAAGAGACGGTCGAGATCGAGGACCGAAGAGATGGCGGAAGGTCGCAGCAGTGGTAACAGGCGGTTTAGCGATCGTACGTAATGGCTGCAGGTAAAGCGCCCAGCCGGTGGAACGATCAATGCAGCAACCAGCAGCCCTTCCTACAATCCTGCCTGCGGTGGTGCGGCGCGAAGGCGAGGATCTGTGACCCGAGGGAGGACAGTGGTGGATGAGGAAGCCACAGAGGGTGCCCAAGACCGAAAGAATGGAGGAGACAGTTTACGGAAGGACAAAGAAGAAGAAAGAAGGCAGGGCGAAAGAAGACGAAGAAAAGATTGCGTCTAAGGGATGAATGAGATTTATGTGTGGTCGGTGTGGATGTTCGACGAGGAGTCGAGACACAATGGTTCGGAGACCAAGTCACGCCTGCAGGGGTAGTCCTGTGGTCATGAGAAGAGGAGTAAAATGACCAGGCGGATGACAGCAATTGCACTGCGATCGATAACAGGATTTTACCAGAACCTGCAATAAAGAGGCAGAGAATATAATCAAGGAATGAGAAGAAAAAAGAGAAGAGAAAGAGAGAGAGAGAGAACAGGGAAAAGAGAAGAAGAGGGGAAGATTAGAGAGAGAGAGAGAGAGAGAGAGAGAGAGAGAGAAGGGGCAAGACGGGGTAATTCGAATACGAGACCCAATACCTTAAGAAGTACTACTACTAGTTAGTTAGTTACCTGAGGGACTTGATACGGAGTACTCCGTAGTAGTACTCGTAATGAACGAACTAAGGAAAGGAAACGTGGCGGTGCAATACCAGACAGTACAATACACATACATGACGTCGATCCATACCGTCCCGTCCAATGGATGGGCAGCCTGAAATCCCTGGCTGTCTCCAGTTTTCAGCTCGCCTCTGCCTGAATCTGTCTCAGCTGCGGACTTGATCCGTGGTTGATTCGTTTCCCCTGACACAGTTTTAAATTACGGAATCTTACAGACGGGAGTGAAGAGTGGCTGGTCAGCCCTATAATCCAATCCAATCTGCCACATGCTTCATTACTACGTCAGTCTTTCATGCGTTTCATATGATAGGATGATGAATCTAGGATGATAGATGATTACTTAGGGTCAACTACAGCTTTGACCCCCCCAACAAGACAAACGTCCCATCCGGTCGCACCTCGTACTCGCGACCCGGTGTCCACCCCAACCAAGACTGCAGCGTCTCGGCCCCCCCAGTTCCAGGGCTCAGGCCACCCCCGCGCCAGCCGCCGTCGTCCGCGGGGATCGGCCGCGCCGGGGTATCGACTAGGGTCACCGCCGCCCGCTGTTCGTACCCGCCCTGTTCCAGCTCGTCCTGCGTCAACACGGGCGTCGCGCACGCGTCCGTCCCATCGAAGATCGCCTCCCACTCCGCCCGCGTCTTCTCCCGGAATCGTCGCGCAAACGCCGCCCGCAGTGCCGGCCAGTTGTCCCGGTCTTCGCGCGCAGGCAACTCAGCAGCCTGGAACCCCAGTCCCTTGATCAGGGCCGCGTAGAACTGCGGCTCCAGCGCCCCGATAGCAAAGTACTGGCCCGCGTCCTTGGTCTCGTAGGTATCGTAGAACGGACTGCCCCCGTCCAGCATGTTCTGGCCCCGCGGTTCCCCCCAGAACGGCGTCTGCAGGTTCAGTCGCGGCATCGCTGCCAGGTACGCCGACCCGTCCACCATGTTGGCTTCCACCACCTGGCCCCGCCCTGTACGCGCCCGCGATAGCAGAGCGAGCAGGATGCCCTGGAAGCACATGGCTCCGCCGCCCGCGAAGTCGCCGAGGATGTTCCCCGGGGCGTAGGGGCGCTCTCCCGCCCGTCCCAGCATGGAGAGCACCCCGGACACCGCGATGTAGTTGATGTCGTGGCCCGCCATGTCCTTGTACTTGCCGTCGCGGCGGAATCCCGTCATGCGCGCTACGATCAGCCGCGGGTTGTGCTTGAGGAGGACCTCCGATGGGGACAGGCCCAGCCGTTCGAGGACTCCGGGCCGGTACGGGTCGATCAGCACGTCTGCTTTCTTGAGGAGGGCGAAGAGAATGCGGTGCGATGCTTTGTCTCGGAGGTCCAGGGTGACGGACGTCTTGTTGCGGGTTAGCTGGTCCGCGCTGACGGCTTTGGGTCGGTCGATCCGGACGACGGAGGCGCCGTAGTCGGCCAGCAACAATCCGGCAAAGGGACCTATGAGGCTTAGTATGGCACCGAAGTATACGTTTAATCAAGAGTAATGATAGTCATACCAGGAGCCAGGCCAGCTAGCTCGACCACGCGGATTCCATCGAGGGGTAGAGGGGGGGCGGACATGATTTACAAAGTGATATGTCAAGATAATTCTCGCACAGAATGTATTTTCAATAGAATGAACACCACTGAACCAGCAGTGACTGCGACAGAGGGGTACTTTAATGGGGAGAGAAACGGAGGAAAGGAGTCTAACTATTGAACTGTTGAGTTACCGGTTGCCATCTCCGCAGCCGAGGTCCGCCCACGTGCGGGGAACTCACTTCATGCGATGCGATTCTATCACCGTCATGCATGCAACGATCCATTGGGAATTTTGAATGTGATTCCGACGGAGTGGATGACCCCGTTCGATTAAGAATCTCGTCTCAAACCAAACCGCTGAGGTATTGTCTACCTAACTTGAACTAGTCACTAGAATTGGTCCTCAATCAATCCGAATCCGAGCCCGAACCCGAACCCGAATCCTCCTGGCCTTCGGCTTCACCCCGATCGTAGGCATCTCCCATGTCATCTCCGAATGATTCCACGGCGCCGTACTTCTCTCCTGTCCACTCGGCGACGTCTTCAGGGGCTTCCTCGACGTTTTCCACTGCGTTGTCCCATCCGTCTTCCACCTTGTCTTCGGCATTGTCCCAGTTTTCTTCAGCCTCGCCGACCTACGCTTCTGTCAGTAACATCAACACACGGGGACAGATAAGCATATCATACCTGCTCGCCAGTCCACTCGGCAGCGTTCTCAGGAGCATTCTCTACATTCTCCACGGTGTTGTCCCACCCATCTTCCACTCGGTCTTCGGCACGGTCCCAGCCCTGCTCAATATTCTCAGGGATCTGCTCAGCTTCACCGACCTAAAACAACCATTACTATCATCTCATCCCTGAATCAAGACCCGGAAAAAACTCACCTTCTCACCAGTCCACTCCGCCGCATTCTCAGGGAACTCCTCAGTATTCTTCTCAATCTCCTCCTTGTTTTCGTCCCACTCATGCATGACAAGCGCTCCGCCCGCCACACCGGCAGCGGCACCCAACCCCGCATACAGCATGCCATTCCCACCACTCTTCCTCTTCTCGGATGACTCCTCAGATCGGTGCTGGTACTCTCCCTGGTTCTGGTACTCGCCCCCGTAGCCCCCGCCATACGGCGCCTGCTGCTGCTGGCCGTACCCCGGCGCGCCCCCACCGTAAGAACCCTGCTGCTGCTGCTGTCCATACGACGGCTGGCCCCCGCCGTACGACGAGCCCGGATGAGTCCAGCTCGACTCCCCAGTCTGCTGGTTCACGAAGTACCAGCGCTGACCCTGGTCATCCCAGCGGGCGGTCCATGGGTAGGGCAGGTCCTGCTGACCGGAGGGGGGGCCGGAGGGAGCGGGAGCACCGTATCCGCCGTCGTACCGGGGTTGGGACTGCGAGTCGCTTTCGTAGGACTGGTGGGATTCGCCGTGGTCGCCGGATTTCTTTTCCATGTATTTTTCGGCGAGTTTCCCGACGAATTCCATTTTGGTGATTGGTTTTGTAGATGTAGATGTAGATGTGACTTGTAGATTGTTGGTTATAGATTGTTGGTTATAGATTGTTGGTGTCGATGGTAGGTAGATGGTAGATATAGATTTAAACAGAAGCGTATTATTTGGTCAGAAGAAGGTTTATAATAAAAAGGAATAGGGGCAATAAATAAATAAATAAATAAACTAATTAATCCCCCCGAATCCTTTCTAAGATTAAGAATGAAGAAGGAGGGGGAGGGGTAGTCTCTTCTCTGGAATAGTACTACTTCTACTTCTACTTACTACTTACTACTAGGACAGCAGTAAATCAATCCAGTTCGAGTGGAGATAATGAAGATCCAACTATAACCAACAGACTAGTTTCAATAACGTTATTGCACTGAGAGCAAAAGGGAGAAGAAGAGAGAACACAGTATCTACACAGTATCAAGGTAGTAAAGTAGGTCGTAGTAGGGAAGTAAGTAAGAGTAGACTAGCTCGCCCAGACAGGAAATGAAACGGAGCTTAAGTTGGATCCATCGTGAAACGCATGCCTGTCTGTCTTTGTAGCACTGTGGCATTGTGGCATTGTGCGTATTGTGCATGGTTGTTTGTCTATGCAGTTACGCCACCTAGCTACGTAGCTAGCTGCCTTCAAGACCCTTCATACTCCGTAGCACGAAACAAAGACAGTCTAGGTAATGTTGATCATTTCCCCCCTGTGGATCCATCCGTGGGGGGTGTGATCTTTACTACGTATGTACCTCCACACTGACGGTGTTCGTCATTTCATCCCTTGCTGCGGAGTACCTCTCTCACTCATGGAGGGAGGATAATCCTTCTTCTGTTTCCTTCCTTCCTTCTACTTGAGGAAAGGGGAGAGGGGAAGTAAAATTACACACTACCTACTGTAGCATAGAGAGGGGAAAGGGAAAGGAAGGGAAAACCCATGTGGAGCAAGAATTAATGGTGGTGCCTGATCTGGAGTTATACCCCGTCGGATCTAGTAGGTAGTTTAACGACTAGTTTCGGTTAGGTCGGAGCTTGTCTTTTGTTCTACGCAGGTACGGCTGGTTGAGGTGGAGATGCTAGGTAAATCTTATGGTGACACGTTGGTGGTGTCATGCTAGCGCGATAGGTGATAAAGTAGAAAAGACATGAAAATATTTGGCAAGGACAACTATGATCAATGGTAGAAGAAAGGGTGTCCACGGTCTTAAAAGGAACATGTGATCGAGATCCGTATGAAGCCTTACAACACGGCAAAAACCGTCAGTCCCACTACCACCAGCGCAGCCACCCCTTCGCTCAAGCTCACGCTCCGCACACCCGCACCGGTAAACACCGGCGTCTCCTCCTGAGTCCCGCTCGGGATGACCGTCACCCAAGCATGAGATGCGCGGGCAGAGCCACTTGGCGACGGCCGGACTGCCAGCGTCGACGAGTGTGGGGCACTCCCGGCCCCGGCGCCCGGGATCAGGGGACGGCTTGACGTCGGATGGACATGGATCGGAATCAGCGTGTAGGTCTCTGTCGAGCTGGAGGGGGCCTCATGTCCGCTGGTGGCCTTGTTGACGGCCGCCACGGGTACCGTGATGGTCAGCGCGGTGGGCGTCGGGGCGCATTCGGTGCACACGGTTACCGTCGTGGTCCATCCCTCTGGGAGCGCGGGAGCCGTGGAGGCTTGGGATACCAGGTGTGCAGGAGGGTTCGTCGTGGTTTGGACGGGCACGGTCAGCGTCACCGTGGTGGGCGTGGCTGCGCACTGCGTGCAAACTGTAACCGTCGTGGTCCAGCCTTCGGGCACAGAGGGTGTCGACCCGGTCACCGAGAGAGGGTCGCTGGTCGCTGTGGCTGTGGCGGTTCCCGGGCAGTAGGTCGTCGTATAGGTCGTAGTGATCGTGATAAATCCCGTGGGACAGATGGTGGTGTACGAAGTGACAATGACGGTGGTCACTGTGGTCGGCGCGGAAGTTATAGCCACTAGTGTGGTAGACGGTGTTGACGATTCAGCGGTCGGGTGCAGAAACGAGACAGAATGGCTAGATGCAGTCGGAGTCTCCGAGCTCGATGGCGAGGCGGTGCTAGAAGGAATCGCCCTCGAGCTCGACGGGGTACCCGTCGGACGTCCTCGGGAGGTGGAGGTCACCGTGGGAATCACGGGCCTGGAGCTGGTGGACGTCTTCGAGGGAGTAGGGGAGGGGACCGGGGCGCTGGACGAGGGCAAGGGTGCAGGTGTGGAGGCACGTCCATCGAGAATGGCTTTGACATTACCGGCAAAGCTGGACCCATTGACCTGATTGAGCTCCGAAGAGGTTGCCTCCCAGATCATGACACCACCAAAAGTGTCCGGGTAGAGGTCCATGTACCTGGAAACTAGCAGTTGCACCTCGTTAGGAGAAAGATAGAAGCCATTCTGCGAGATGTCACCCCCTAGCAGACCCATGTACAGCTTCGCAGACGGGTTCGCCCCGTCCTTGATGACCTCAACCCAGGCATCGTAGTTGAACGAAGCTCCCGGGCTACTGGGGGAGAAGAAGTCACGAGCCGAACAGCCCCAGGTGTTGTAGAACTGGACCCAGATAAAGTCAAACCAGGAGTTGGAAATGGCGCGACCCAGTTGCGCGTCCGGAATGATACATTGAGGGCCCCCGGAGATGTAGAAGGACCGGTCAGTGACTGCAGCGTAGTGCTCGCGCAAACGCCTCACCATGGTGTCGTAGCCTGCTGCGATTAATATTGCGTGCCACCAGCATAAAAATGTGAGGCTACATACCAAAGTCGCCGTTGTGCTCAATATCAAAGTCAAAGCCATCAACCACGACGTCGCCAAACGGACGGGGACCGCCGATTTCCACCCACGCATCCGTCTGCGGACCGAATGCAGCCCAGAGAAAGTCGGCAAATTGGATGGCTGACTCGTCGGAGCGAACCCTCTGCTTGTCAGCCGGAGACGAGCCTCCAAGGGACAGCAGAACCTTTTTGCCGGCCTGCTGGCAGATGGGAATGTCTTCGATCAACTGGTGACAGCCCGAGAGCAGCTGTGTCTTGACCCCACCAATCTCGTAGTACTCTCCATTACATTGGTTCCCAAAGTTACTCCCTGGCCAGCCCGCATCTCCCTCATCAGGGAATACATTGATGAAGCCAATGTTAATGATGTCCAGGGCTGGATCGTCGCAGAAGCGACTGAGGCGCGGCTGATCGTACCCTTGACCCTGGATAAATGTCAGCGCCAGATCCAATAGAACTGGTAACAAAGAGGGCCAGCAGATTGTCCATACATAGTAGATGGCCACATTGGACTTGGACTGAGCGTCAAAGGCGGATGCCAACGGCATCAGTGCCGACACGGCCGCAGCAACGGCGAGACTTTTGGACAGCATTCTGCAATATAATGGATGGCAGCTGATTCAGACTTTAGATAGAGCCGACTAGACCAGACAGCTGGAATGGCAGAGTTAATGAGAGGACACAGACAACAGTCTGCTGGGCCGGTCTCCAGGTCAGTCCACGGAGCTGAAGAAGAAAGGGAACGTCAGGACGAAAGGCCGTGGAGACAGACCTCGGTAGTATATATCCCAGCGGGGCCTTTTTCTCCCCTCCAAGCAGAGAGCAAATGACACCTGCGTCCAACGTCCAATTTCCTAAACATGGTTTGGTCGCACCAGGGTTGCTCAATTGTGACAGGACCCAGCATCACGGGGAAATGATTCCAACGGCCGGCTGGTCCGGTGAGGACCAGACACTGAAACGAGAGTGCATTGAGCAATCACGCCGGGTCTAGACGATGCATCTGAAATGAATGTACGCCGTACTAGCCGTAGCCGACTATCGATCCAAGACATTGGGTAGTGCTGGAGGTTGAAGAAGTGCAGGTTGTTCACCGTGCGGCAACTTAGAACCGTAGAGCCACACTAGCTAGTCCTGGGAGTACAATTTTCACGAATGTCGCAACCCCGGCTTGAGACGATCTGATCAGCCTCGGTCATCTTGCCGGGTCACACCCAAGAGCGCGGGCCCAACAGGTCAGATGGCTCGGTTATACCAGACAGGAAGAAAGCTCGATGGCTGTCTCTGTACCTGCACAAGTGGATCAGAAGACAGACCTTGATAGGTGGTTGACGGAGGTGAATGTTCCGGTGGAAGCCACATGGTCGATGGTGGCATATCAACTAGATAGGTTGGTGGAGGGAAGTCATAGCAAACAATGAGGTTATCCTGGTCTTGGTTAGGTCAACGTTCAGACTGGTGTAATTGATCTGTACTGGTAATCTGACCGGAGTGAGACCCGTTCGTCTCGTACTACTGGCTAAGCCACACTAGGACTGAAGTTGGGACGATGCACCGATTTTATGTAGTGCACAGACTCAATGAGACAATACCGGTACGACAGCGGTACGATATAGTAAGGTACAGGACTGTATTTCTAGGGTTCATGGCGGAAAGACAGTCGGATCACCAGTGGCAAACTTGACCTCTCCACTCTCCTTATACTAGGTACTATGGAGGTACTATGGAGGTACCGACAGATAGCACTAGCATCGAAGTGCCACTACACAGTCCACCTGAGGTTACAACGGAAAATTTGACAAACCCAAATAGAGGCAATCTCCACTTCGTCCAGATGGCATCGGATATAAACAGACCAACAATAATGCCCCGCTCAGCCATCTCATATCAACGATATAGGGTGAGAATAGCCGATAAGACTATCTAACACTATTATCAATGACCGGCGTGGTGAAATTTTCTATCGATTTCGAAACTAGGGTTTGCCTCGATCGAATAACGCTGAGGCAGATGTCGACATATTACCAGTACACTACGGAGACATTGAGGATAGCCGGTTCTATAGGCCAGGATTCCTTGCCACAACCTAAAGTTCTGATAGAATGACCTGATAACTAGAAACATTGCGCTCATATACTTATATCTACATATTTCGGTTAACGTGCAAATGTCCGCGTCCGATATATGATACACCTACTACGCGACGCAAGAAGTGCGGACATTTGAAACAATGGCTGACCATACGATATACTCAGCAGACTTTCTTTTACGTCTCACAAAGCACGGCCTGACATTTCAGTATCTGATCAGCCCCTTCAGTTGTTTGGCACGATTGCATATGATTGTCACGATGCCAATGTCATGTCCAGATCGATGTGTGATGTCAGTCCATGAATCTGTGTAGAAATACCGTCGTTCTTGGGTCTATTCGCAAATTCTGCTGCAATAGAGTGCTCATACTAGTTATTGTGTTTTCCTTCTGCAAGCTACTTGCTCCTTCATCCGTGTCCAGGGCTGATAGAGCACGAAGGATTTGTCCTTGTGCATGAAGTGATAACCAAAGATATCAAGACCTTAGAACGACTATAAGCACTACCAAACCACAACAGATATTCTAGCACTATCTTCATTACGACAAATACTTATAGGTCAATCTTAGACACAAGAAACACGCTGCCTATGAGACGTAGAAGCTCTACTTCTCTGGTAACATGACGACCTTTTTTCCACCAAAATCGCTTATCTGTTCCATACTTCGATATCACAGTGGACTAAACTCATCAATCCTGAGATCAAGGATGAATAGACAAAATATTTGGAAAGGAACCCTAGATACAATAGCAACCACGCAAGATCGATCGACACGCCTCGGTCTACCCCTCATCTATATCCCCACTACAACCTCCCAAAAGCAAAATCATACAAAACACAATACATCCCAACCAAACCAATATCCCATATAATTTCTCATCCACATACAAACACCATGGTCCAAACAGCCCAAGTCTCCTCCGCCCTCTACCACAGCCCCAAGGGCTTCACGACCCTCGGCGAAGGCCCCTTCTACCGCGCCAGCGACTCCACCCTCCACTGGTTCGACTGCCTCTCCACCCCCAGCGAGCTCTACATCCTCCCCGTAGACCCAGACACCGGCGCACCCCGCGGTGAAGCCCGCGTCCTGCCGCTCGCCGACAGCGTCACGGTAGCTGGATTCCGCAAGGACAAGCCAGGAAGCTACATCGCTGCGTATTACCAGGGTGTGTGCACGGTCGACGAAGAGACGGGCCGCATTGACGTCGTCCGGGAGATTATTCCCACTGAGCACCGCGACAAGCTGCGCTTTAATGATGGGGGTGTGGACGCCTGCGGCCGCTTCTGGCTCGCTGAGATGGATCTCCAGGCGCTGAAAGTCGGGGCGAACGGTGTGCCTGAGAGTTATGGGTCTCCGAAGGGTAGATTATGGAGGTACGACCCTGATGGGAGTTTGCATTGTATGGTTGATGGAGGCATTACCTGTGGGAACGGCGTGGCCTGGAGTCCGGATAATAAGACGAGTCTGTCTTCCATCTATCCATCTGTTGACTGGGTGAGATTGCACGCTAACAGCCATGCGGACAGTGTACGTAAATGATTCCGCCACTCTACACGTCTACGCCTATGACTTTGATCTAGAAACGGGTGGGATCTCCAACCGGCGCATCTTAGTTGACGAACGACAATGGTCTGGGGGCGCACCCGACGGCATGGTCGCGGAGTAAGCATTCCCAACAACCAACCTACAAGCTTTGGATCGAAAAGTGTTAACACCCTCTCAGCAAGGAAGGAAACCTGTGGATTGCCGTCTACGCCTCCCGCCGAGTCATGGTTTTCCGACCCGATGGGACCCATCTCCGCGACGTTGAATTCCCGGCCCGCGACGTGACGTGCACTACATGGGGCGGCAAAAACCACGATATCCTCTACGTGACGAGCGGAACGAACCACAGTGGGACGCATCCCGCGGGAGAAGAGGGGGGGCCTGTGTATATGTTTCGGCCGGGGGATGCGTGGGGGCAGGCCAAATATGAGTTTGGGGGGTAGACTATCTCCCTACTGTCATATATATTTGTATATATATTTGTATATATAGAAGATGGGATATTGATTGTTTTATAGCGAGTATATACCTAAACAGCCGCAATGCACTCAATCTCCACATCTGTATCCAACGGCAAGGTCTTGACAGCCACGCACCTACTCACGCATCAATTAGCATCCATCCACATAGACATAGGTCAGGTTTTTATTCGAGAAAAGAAAAAAGATAACGTACGTCCGACAAGGCTTAACATCCCCCCAGTACTGCATATAAACCGAATTCATCTCGGCAAAATCATCCATATTCGACAAAAAGACATTCACCTTGAGCACCTTGGTGATGTCACTCCCGGCCGCCTCGAGGACGTGGCTCAGGTTCTTGATACATTGGTGCTGGGTACATTATTAGTAGTCTAGGTCTAGGTCTAGTGTGGCTGGTGGGAGGGAAACGACGCACCGTGTGCACTTTGACATCACCGTCCACGATCTTGCCGGTCTCCGGGTCCATGGCGACTGCGCCGGAGCAGTAGATGGTGCCGTTGTTGACGATTGCTTGGGAGTAGATGCCTGGGAGGGGCTTGGGGGCTTTATCTGTGAGGATTGCTGTTTTGGAGGACATTTTGGTGGATTTCTATATCTATCTGTATGATATAGATATATTTTGGTTGAGTACGAATGAGAAAAGAAAACTCAATTACTGGGATGATTGAGAAGGTCGTATGAAGAGAAGGAGAAGAGATGAGGAATGAGGGGTATGGATATCGACTCCCCTCATCTGTGATATACTACTGCACTACTCCGACATATCATGAAGGATCAATTCACCTCAGGCTTCTGGATTGACCTGCCTGATTGAGCAGGAGTATATAGTGCTGTATCGTATGATACGGTATTGTTACATACCATGATACCCCACATGATCCATCCTGATTGATCATCTTCATTGTTGCTTCTCCACTTCCTCTCTCCTGCTAACATCTCCATTTCCATTTCTATACTAGATAGATATCTTTGGAGTATGCTTTATCGTGTTTGATGGTCTCCCCGCCATAAGGACACTAATTAAGTTCGAGATTCCTCCGCTAATTCCAGTCAAATCCTGGACGATCCCTTGTTATCACTACTGTGATAACCCCCACCCTCTCCTTGCGACGCGCCTGTTCCCCTCCTTACCGATAGCTAATCATACGTTCTCGTTGGGAAAATGGAATGTAAAAGCCGTGGTCGAGCCAAAAGGACCAGTGGAAAGAAATGACGCAGAAGGAATCCCAGGACAGTTGAGATTAGAAAGCATTTTACCCAACAATTGTACGTGATCTTGAGATCACTCTATCGCCTCGTGTTCAGTCTTTCAATTGGAAGGTTGCTGCAACTATATAATATCACGTATCCCCGCCCCTCCTGGCCCTGTACGTACACTGCAATATACTGCAAGCCATCATGTCCCTTGTCTCCGACCCCCAACCCCCCTATCCTCTCCATGATTCCGTGAAACACCTGCTGGACCCCGAATACGTCAACTTCTACAATCAATATGTAGCCAACTTGCAGCAGGTCCACCTCCAACCGGTCGCTGCCTCCCGTACGGGCGGCGTCTTGATCCCGGGTGGCGGTCCTCTCCTCGACGTCGGTAAGACCGAAGATATTACGATCCCGCGTCGCGAGACGGAGGGTCCTGAGATCCTGCTGCGCGCCTTCACTCCAAGCGGGGAGAAGCCCGCCACTGGATGGCCCGTCATGCTTTACTTCCACGGCGGGGGCTGGGTTCTGGGAAACATCAATACTGAAAACCCAGTGTGTACGAACCTGTGCGTGCGGGGGAACTGCGTGGTAGTGACTGTAGATTACAGGTTAGTCTCCTAGGCTCCCCCGGCGAAAGTCCTCTCCAGAAGATGGACCAAGAGAGAAATATTCCAAAGCAAAGGGGAAACCATCCAGTAGGAAGTGGAAAACCAACGATGACTCTCACAGACTGGCTCCCGAAAACCGCTGGCCGGCTGCTGTCCACGACTGCTGGGAGGCCCTACTCTGGCTGATCGCGGAGGGCCCCGCCCGATTGGGCGTCGATACCTCCAAGATGGCCACCGGGGGCTCCTCGGCTGGGGGCAATCTGGCGGCCATCATGACGCACAAGGCGCTAACGCTCTCCCCACCCGTTCACTTCCTCGCCCAGCTTCTCTCCGTCCCCGTCACCGACAACACGGCCACTGTGGCCAACAACGACTCCTACCGCCGCTATGAGCACACTCCGGCTCTGCCCGCCCCTAAGATGATCTGGTATCGCGAGCATTATCTCCCCAACGAGGCCGATCGCACCCACCCCGAGGCTAGTCCGCTCTTCTACAAGGGGGATTGGTCGAACTTGCCGCGCGCCTTGGTCATGGTTGGCGAGCTGGATGTCCTCCGCACTGAAGGCGAGCAGTACGCTGAGAAATTGGCCCAGGCGGGGGTTCCGGTCGATCTGCAGATTATGAAGGGCATGCCACATCCTTTCCTGGCTATGGATGGTGTGTTGCAGGAAGGAAAGCGCTGCATCACGTTGATGTGCGATCTGCTGAAGGACGTTTTTGGAAACGCGTGATTCCGCAAGTTAGAGGGATAGAAATGATATGATGGCGTGGTCATGCATCCGGTCATCACGGGCGAGGCTCAGCGTGGGATTCTTTCAAGGCTGTTGTAGCATGATCCGTTCAATGTAAGAGACATGGTAGCTATCTCACAAGAAAGTCTCATAAAGCTCCCCTAAAATGAACGTCAATGATGTCGTTGCAGGCTCCCCGTACTAGGCTGCGGTTATTGAACCAGCAGCATCGATTGATGGCATGCCAGCATTCTCCCCAAATGTCCCTGTCGGACAGTTGAAGAATCCAGGGAATAGTAGTTGTTGCGTCCAGGTTTGTAGACAGAGTCCCTCATCTATAGAGTCACGTGAGCGCCCTTTCGGGCATCCCTGGAACAACATCGCGAGTCGCTTTTTCTTCCCTTTCTCTCCCCATCTTCGCTCCTATGTCCTCCTGTCTCCTCCTACATTCTGGTCGATTTCCCTGATCCCTCATATTCTTGGCCCCTGTCAAGGATCGGGTCTCCCTCAGTTCCCCTTCCACAGCGTGCGCTCGCCAGTTTGGGCCCAGTCCAGTGCAATGATGGTGGCTGCAAAGGCTACTCCACTCTCTCTATCTAGGGGTGGAAATCGACACCAACCTTGCACATGGCTGAAGTCAATAGTGTTTACTCCCAACTGCAGGGCTTACCAATATAGGACGCGGTTCGCCACCAGATTAACTCCTTGACTGCGAGTCTGCCTACTAGTATCTTCATACCCAGGGATCTGTCACCCATCCCCCCAAACATTCCTGGCACGCGAAATCGGTCATCTTCCCCAATTTGGACCGACTCTTCTCCGTCGGGGGGCATTCTTGAAGAACCTCTCGACGCCCTCCTTCCCACACGCGGTTGGAACAATGCCTGTTGCTCATTCATTCCGGCCCCTCTACTCCTCGGTCGACGCGCCGGAGGCGCTCAATTATATCTTCTTATTTCGCCGGCTGGGAATTCTGACACTGGTGGTAGATTCTCTTTTTCCATATCTTTGTATACTACTTGGAAGACAAATAGACTTTGTATTGTCTGGTGGATTGTGGGCATCCCCAGCCCCCCATTCTTCTGTCTGATTTTTCCCGCTCTTCGTGGGCAATCCCGTTTCATACTCACGTTGAATCACTGGTGTTTTCTGGTTGTTGCTCATTCGCTATACTCACGGCTTCGAGCTACTTGTTAAGCCTGCCTAGTGGTGGCAATCATGGCAATCGGCCAAATGACGTCGAAAAAGGCCGGGTCCTGGACGAAGGTCGTCATATTCGTTTCTCTCTATGTGCTCCTCCTGGAGTCTGTCATTGAGTGGGCGCTGGTCCTCTACCTCTATGGAAACCGACTGGTGGACTCGAAGATGGCCCCAAGTCTCATCCTTGCCTTGATCGCGGTAAGGGCCGAATATTCTCTCACACCTTTTTTCTGAAGAAAGCCGTGAATTCTGACACAATCGCAGTCATTCTTTACAGTACCCCTGGTGGTTCTTCATAGCTTTCTTGCGTGGCAGCACAATAAAGTCGAGGGATTCGAGAGCCAGAAGGCGCTCCTGTGTACGGCGTGCACGTATCTCTTGCGATTGACTACCATCGTCTGGTTAGCTGCCAGTGTGGCAGGCTTGGTGGTCGTGGCCCAGCAGGCTTCCTGTTCCCCGGATAGCGGGCATGGTGACTTCTGGAGGACCGGCATCAGTTGCGCATTGCATAGAGCAGCCGTTATCGTTTCGATTCTGTCCTTGTAAGTTTCCACATGGCCAGATCCACCCGAGAACGCACTGACCAGGAGATTCTAGCATCACTGTGTGTCTATACTTCTGCTCCCGAGAGCTCTGCGCGAGTCCCTACGCGGTTTCATTACTGGGGGTATACAAAGAGCAAACACAACAGAGCGACGAGAGCATATTTTCCAGCTCCAGTCTAGACAGCAACACCACCCTGAAGAACGACATCCTCTATCTCTGTCGTGGCCCGGACGTGACATATGGGGCCGGACTTTACGTGTCGCCAGGCCATAACTTCATCCCGAAATCAGGGACCATTGAACAACCTACCCCGATCCACCCGTGGCCGCAGATGGAATTTGGCGCAGACCCAAACTATGAGAATGCGGAGGTCCTGTCAGGGACGACTGTTTCGCCCAACGGTACCTTGAACCATCTCTCCTCGGCAGGGAACACGAATCCCGATTTGATGTCTGTCTCTCGGACCCCCACGATGGCGACATTCAGCACCGACAATCATAGGCGGCCCCAAGCTCCTCCAGTCGCAGAGTTGCCTAGCGGTTTGGAGTCCTTGTCCAGACCTGGACATAAACGGCAAAAGTCGTCTGTTACGTCGCTTCGCAGATTTCTCCCTAAAATCTTTGCTTTCTCCTCTCCTTTATCGGCGGATCCCCAAATCCGGGCCCTTGCGGAATCGACTTCCACTCGAGATATTGAGAAGCAAGCGGATGGCGTGGAGGGTGCTCGGACTGTTTTGCAGGATCATGGACATTCGGTACCTTCACGGACAGAGCAGCCAGCAAAATCAACAGCCCCTATCCACACAGCTCCTGTCCAGCAAGCCCCCGTCCAAACAGCTCCTGTCCAACCAGCTCTTGTTCAGCTAGCTCCCGTTCATCAACCGCCTCCTATCCAAACAGCCCCCGTCCAGACTCGCGGACCGCAAACACCCCCAGAAAAGACACTGACCCGCTCTGACACCATGAGCTCAGCAGACGCCCCAGAAGTCGCTCGACCAGCACCCCTAAACGCCCGTCGATTAAACACCTCCCAGACGGCACCAATCCCCCACACCCCATACCACGCCCCTCCCCGCGAGCCATTCTCCACCCCCCCAAACCCAATGACCCAACACCCCGTCAACCGATCCCTCTCCTACGGAGGCCCACCCCCAGGCCCCAGCCTCGCCAAACGCCAAAGCACCCGACGCAGCAGGAGACCTCAAACCCAGCTCTACCAGTTCGAGAACCCACACATCCCGCGCCACACCCGAAGCCAGTACCTGCCCCAAGCGTACTACAACAACAACAACAACAACAACAACCGCCAACTGCCCTTCGAACCCCCGCGGAGGATATCGTCCCTGCAGCGCCGCAACGACGTCGAGGTCATCTACCCCAGCACCCGCCGGCCCCGCAGCACCACCTACGGCGGCCTCGGCTCGTTCGGCAATCTGGATTGTATCCGGGAATCGGGCGCGTCTGTGGATGAGCCGCCGGGAGATGTGTTCACGGATCGGGGCACTTATAGGGGGACGACGAGGACTAGTATGAACGGGTATTGAACTGAAGGCTGGGAGAAGGTGTGACGTGTGTATGATGAAGCGTGTTCGCCTGCTGGTCGGGCGGGAGTAAGACTTCTTTTTTTGTTTTATACTATCTGGTCTTGGTTTCATAGGTCTGAGAGGTTGCCGTGGACGATGGGATAGACTTAATCACTTGGTTGCGGTTTTGCATGGAGTGTGTTATACCAATTTGGATGAAATTACTACTGTGCTACTATACTGCTACTATACTGCTACTATACTGCTACTATACTGCTACTATACTGCTACTATACTACTAAGATGACGATGCTGAAAAAAAAAAAGAAAAGGAAAAGAAAAAAGTTCTCTTGAGTAATTTGACTAAGAACCAACCCAATGGAACCACAACACCCCTCAAGATACAACCCGAGACCTCAAACGCTATAACACGGCATACAAATCCAAGCAAAAAAAAAAAAAAAGAAGACAGCAATCCTTGACCATGCAAGCGATGCACCCCCACCCAGCCCTATATGAACCCGAGATCGACCAGCGCAATAAGCTCCGAGCGAGAAAGAAACAGGCCGGTTAATACCGACACAAGAGCATGCGAGAAGATATCAAACACAGAAAGAAGCGGGAAAAATGAGGAGGAGATCAAGAGCTCGTATCCCCCTTCGCACGCGCATGCTTATACCGATACCCCTGTCTTCTCCTCCCCAGCTCATCCTCTGCACCCTTCAAATCGCCAACTTCCTTCTCGCCCCACGACCACATCAGCGCGCGAGCCATCTTCTCGCGCTCCTTGAGGAGCAGATCGACTCGGCGCTCCCACTCCTTCTCGCGCTTCTCGACGGACCGCGCAATGCGCTGGTCTAGCGTTGTGGCGGTTTCGTCTTTGGCTGCTATGATGGATGTGAGGCGCTCGACTTCGGCGCGGAGGGACCGATTCTCGGACTCGTGGGCGGACCGGCGCGGGCGCTGCTGGGTGGTTTCGAGCGAGGTTTGGAGGCGGGATTCGCGCTGTTCGGCGGCGGAGAGGAGGGCGCGGAGTTTGCGGGTGGTTACGGCGTGGGAGGTGCGGAGGGTGGATATCGCGGTTTTGTGGGCGACGTGGAGGCTTTTGATTTGGGCTTGGTGGGAGTCTTCTTGGGCAGTTGGTGGTGTTGCTCGGGTGGTGGGTGGGGATGGCGGGGGGCTGAGCTGCTGTGGTTTGGTTTCTGCTTGGAGCTGCTCGATTGTGTCGAGAGCGTCGGAGTGTTCTTCTCGGACGCGGTTGAGTTCGTTTTGGGTTGAGTCGAGCTTGGTTTTGAGGTCTTCGTTGCGTTTGGTGAGACGAGTGTTTTCGCCTTCGATGGAGTTGATGAGGGTTTGCGATTCGGTGAGCTGCTCTTGTGACCGTGATAGTTGGATCTCGAGTGTCTTTTGCGTTGCAGAGGCGTCTTTCAACTGGGCTCGGAGTTTGGCCAGCTCGTCGAGGAGATGCTGCGTGTCGTTGTCCTTCGGTGCTGGTTCTTTGCCCTTGGGAAGGGAGTCGAGCGAGCGCGCGGGCGGCGGTCCGCCCAGATCTTTGATCAGCTCCAGAATCTCGGTGTAGGTGTTGCCGCCGTTTTCCAGCGGGAGGTCGGCGGCCACGGCCTTGAGGGCATTCTCGTGGGCGGTGACCTGCGACTGCGCGCGGCTCAAGTCCGCCTCGAGGGTACTGTTCATCTCCTCCAGCGGGCGATTCTTAATCTCAAGCGAGGAGATCCGCTCTTCAAAGGTTTGGTATTTGCGGGTCGCCTGGGCGGCTTCCGCGCCGAGTTTCTCGATTTCTTCGAGGTGGGTATCAACCCGGGCCTGGAGCCGGTCGATCTCGGTGTTCTTGTCTTGGATTTGCTGCTCGGTTGCGGCCGCCATCTCTTTCAGCCTCATGGCCGTCTCGTCAAAGGCCTCATCCCGCTTCTTCAGCTGGGCCTGCGAGAGATCGAGCTGTTGGCGCAGATACGCGATGGTCTCGAGCCTCTCTGCGCTCAGCTCCGGGTCTGAGTTGCGGGTCTGGAGCTCCTTTTGCATGTCGCTGATTTGGGTTTGAAGAGCGCCGAGATCCGATGCGTTCATGGTCGACTGCCGGAAGAAACTGTCTTTATCTTCGTTTTGTCGCTGTAACAATCGTAGTTGATCCCGTAGAACGTTCTCGTCACTGTGCTTCGCATGCAGTTCGTCAATGAGGGCCGTTTTCTTCTGTAGCTCTGCCTGTAGCTGGCTGATTTGATCCTTCACCGAAGTTGTCTCCTGAGTCTGTGCGAGCAGTCTCGCAAGCTGTGCATCCCGTTCTTCAAGTGCTCGCTGGAGTTCGGCAATCTGTCGACGCAGGCTCTCGTAGTCATCCGCGTCGCTCATTCTCGAGGGCACGCGCTGCCTCCGCACGGACGGCGTCTGCGCCATGTCAAGCTCATCGTCTGGATCCTCTTCGATGTTCTCCAGGTGTGTTATATCCCTGCCTATACTATTCCGACGCAGAAGGTGAGACGGGGTCGACATGTCCACCGGCGGGCCAAATTCGCTGTACTCGCCCATTTCCTGATCCTCCTCCACAGCGGGCTGATGCAGTTGAGAGGAATGCTGCTGATCCTCGTGTCGCTGCTCCTGCGGGAGTGTCGGCTCCTGGGGTTCCTGTTCCTCGGCGGGCGCAACGTCTTCCCCGTCCTCCTCCCCAAACTCGACCTGACTCCCATGTTCCCGAGTATCGTCGTCCATGAAATACTTGTCCATATTGGCCGTGAAATCCTCCGGACCACCCACCTCAGACAAACGATCCTCCTCATGGGGCAACTTCAGCTCCCCCAGCGCGTCCTCATCATCTCCCGGTTTTGCGCCCGGCAGGCGGCTGAAGTCCACCGTATACTCGGCCAAGCGTCTGTCGAGGGTATTGTCCATGGCGCGATGATCGGGGGACGATGCGCGGGATGACCCCGGGGACGGACCGTTCTCGAGGCGCAATTCTTCCTCGTCGTCGGTGTGGCCTGCGAGGAGATCGTCGATCGGAGTGTTTCCGCGGTCGGGCGATTGCAGGGGATCTTGTTCTGGATGGCCTGGAGGAGAGGATGGCATGAAGAGGGGTGTGGCCAGCGTCGATGCGCCGACCGTGTCGTGGGATGTGGTGTCCATGATCGAATGCAGGGATAGACACAGGGGGTGTTTCACTCGAAGCAAGGCGACATAATCCGTGGGTCAGCCAAAGATGCGGTGAAATGGGCAGTGGATTCAACAGGTGAATAACAATAGGTGGGATAGACAACTGGCGATCTGGAGTCTCGGGGCGGTCATGGAATGCGATCAGTGACAGGAATAGAGTCAAGTCGGGGAAACGCGAGATGGTTGGCCGGCCTTGTTGCCTCAGGCGGTGCTTGTTTACTAGGTTCTCGATCGGGTTTAGCGCGGTTGCTATGATGATCTAAGCATCTCGTGCATGTTATGCAGTCTCTCTTTATACTAGATAGTCCCATCTTTCAGAAAGAACAAACACATTCCGATAGACTGATAGAAGCATTATAATCCCAATCTATCAAAATAAATCAAGTCATCCCCCTGAACTCCTTGGGAGATGTCCGATCATGCCGTAATTGAGTTACCAAAATTACAACAACTTTCAAATGTGGATCAATAATCGTCCAATAATATTGAGTGTCTATTACACCGCCTTCGGGACAATTTCCAGAATTTCATGGTTCTTATCAGTGTTACCGCCAAAAAATATCAAATAAAAAAAAGTGACGGCCGACAATCCACCTGCTGCTTCTCCCCACCAACACCCTCCAATTCGTTCACACGAACGTTCCTCAATAATGCCTCCTACCATGTCGAAAAAGCGCAAGGTCCTGGACGGCCTGAAAGGCAAGACCGGGAACCCCAAGAAGAAGTTCAGAAAGCAGCGTCAATACCACAGCAGCTCCGATGAGGCCTCCGACGACGACCAAGCCGATTTCCAAGCCGTCAACCTCGCCGATTCGGATTCAGAGGTCGAAGTGAAGCCGAAGGCGACCAAGGATAAGAAGCAGAAGCCGACGACAAAGACGGCTGCAGCACCTGCGCCGCCCATCAAATCTGCCATGAAGCCCACGAAGCAGACCGCGAAGGAGGACAGCGACGAGAGTTCCGCCGTCGAGGAGGACGATGAGCCCGACTTGGATGACATTGTTCATGACGACGAAGACGACGAAGAAGAAATCTCAGGCTCGGAGCAGGAGGACGAAGACGATGCGGATCAAACCTCGGGTCGCAGGACGGTCTCGAAGCGCAACGATCCCACGGCGTTCTCGACCTCCATGGCCAAGATTCTGTCCACCAAGCTGCCGACATCCGCGCGCGCCGATCCCGTCTTGTCGCGTAGCAGGACCCTCGAGCAGTCCCGGACCGAGCATGCGGACGAGAAGCTCGATCTGCAGGCGCGGGCGAAAATGCGCGCCGAGAAGCGCGAAGACATGGATCGCGGCCGCGTGCGCGATGTCCTGGGCATCAAGCGCGGTGCGGCCGGTCCGGTCGCCGAGGAGGAGAAGCGTCTCCGCAAGGTGGCCCAGCGGGGTGTGATCAAGCTGTTTAATGCGGTCCGCGCTGCGCAGGTTCGCGGAGAGGAAGCCGCCCGGCTCGAGCGGAAGAAGGGCACCGTGGGTATGGGTGAGCGGGAGAAGACCGTCAATGAAGTCAGCAAGCAGGGCTTCTTGGAGCTCATCAGTGGAAAGAAGGGGAAACCGTTGAACATCGAAGAGGCCTGAACGAGGCTCTGGTTCTAGTTCTGGTTCTTGAGGTGGGCATGTTACGGGCGTTGGGGAGAAAAATGGCTTGATGTGATTTGTATCTTACGTTTCGATTCCTACTCGTTTACTTCTTGTATTTTTGGATAAAAGATAAAACCGTACATTATTTACAGGTGGTGGTCTCAAATCGATAGGAATGGAGATCGGAAATACCAGTATTATACTCAGCGGCCCATATGGTTCCCCAGTGTACCCTCATATCATACAGTTCTCTCCCCCGCTGGAAACCCGCGGGGCGCCACAAAGTGTATTCCCAAAGATCGGGATGTTGTCTTAGTCGTGGTCATATTGCGTCCTCTTAAGTCTTCGGCGCAAAGTCGCTTGCTTGCATATTCCTCGTCATGGACGGCAGTCGGACCACTAATCCGTCCAGATCCTTGTTCATCACCACCTGGCATCCAAGGCGGGACGTCTCCGTCAAGCCGAATGCCAGATCCAGCATGTCGTTCTCGTCATCGGAGGGCTCCTCCATCTTGTCAAACATGTCCGGGTCTTCGACGATAACATGGCACGTCGAACAGGCGCATGAGCCACCGCACGCTCCTATCATCCCAGACTTGTCAGTACCCAGTCTCACCAAATTCATATAAACACAAAAATCCAGAGTCGTGCCCACCTTCCATCTCCAGGTCATTCGCCTGTGCGATATCCAACAGATTGTCCCCCTCGGCGACTTGGAACTCGTACTTCTCGTTGTCCTTGTCGATAAAGGTGACATTGATCCTAGATCGGTCAATATCCTCATCAGAATTCCCCCGCGATCGGCCAGACTTACTCCTCCCCGGCCTTGGGCGGGGTGACATGGCCGTGCTGTACTCCGGCCGTGGCGGAGAAACTCCGACGAGCCGACTCCAGCCTTTGCCACTGCCCCCGCCCCCGTGCGACCACGTTCGACCTCGTAAGCGTCAATGGCGATGTCGTGGAATTCACAATCCGAGATTTTTGTGCAGAAGAACTGAGGAATCTCTGGGAGTCAATGCGACAGATACCCTTGCCGGAGACGGACTTGGGGACGGCATGACGCAGACCCCGGCCGGCTTCTTTCCAGAACATGACGGAAAAGGTGCTGAAGGAAAACCTTTAGAAAGGGAGAAACGCGATCAAGAAGAAATAAAAGCTAAAGCGAATAACAAGGGGAGGGAGACAAGAGAGGGTTGTGAAAGAAGAGGGACCGACGTAAGAAAACAAGATCGAATAAAATCAAATGAAAAAGCCGAGAGTTTATTCGCTGGCGGCTGCAGAGTCACGGGTTATTCTCCCCATCGCTTTCTTTTCAACCTCACTTTCTCTCCTCTCTCTGGCTTCTCTTCCCCTCTTCTCCCCCCACTCCCCACTTGTTCCCCTCGGTCATTGTTCTGATTTATTTTTGAATCATGTCGTCCTCGCGGGAGAGTATCAATCCTCTCCGTCCCTACTACATCCCCCCATCACTGGGTCTGGATACCTCCAATGGTTCCTCCCCTCCCGAGGCGTCATCAACCCAGGTTTTTGGCAGCTCTGCTCGCGACTTGTTGCCGGACCTCGACTATTCGGACTACCTGGAAAGCTCGCCGTCGGTCTCTAGCTGGCTCCGCGATGGTCTGGACAGCTCCATCAGACGCTACTTGAGTACATTGACCGGTCAACCGTTGGATGTTGCCAAAATCATCCTTCAAGCCTATGTCGCCCCCGATGCGTTGGACGGTTCAGGTCCCCGAGAGTCGCATCGGAGACACCCGTCGACGCCTGCTAGTGATTCTTATGAAGAAGAAGAGGTATGTGAAAGCGCAGTATTCTGGAAGTAGCTATCTCGGAGGTTACTAATGTGCGGTCGCTTGTATCAGGAGTACAATTCCTCTGATGACGAGAGCAATTATTTCACCTCGTCGGCCCCCGCGGTGGCTTCGCCGTCCACGCCACGGTCGAAGAAGTCGCGACGTCAGATCACCGATCGAAGCGGCTACATCCCGTCTTCGAACTCGTCTCGACATGCCTTGGCCGTCAAAAATCCGGACTCGCTCATGGACGTGCTCTCCCAGCTCTGGACCAACAGTGGCCCCACGTCGCCGTGGAAAGCGACCAACACGACCTTCATCTACTCGCTCCTCCTACCGACCCTGAACACCTTCATTCGCAGTCTCCTGTCGGCCATTGTCGGCTTACCCGAGGAGGATGTGACGGCCTCCGTGGCGGCGGACATTCTGACGTCAAGCTCGCCGCTTGCGACCCTGATCCTGTCGTTCATCTCCACGTCGCTGTCGGCCATTGTGCTGGCCCCGATTGACACGGCGCGCACGTTCCTCATCTTGACACCGGCCACTCACGGACCCCGCTCGCTCCTGCGCGCCATCCGGCAGATCCCGACCCCCAACTGCACGATCCCCGCCCACCTCGTGCCCATCACCATCCTCCATTCGAGCTTGCCGAACCTCATCTCCAACACAATCCCCTTGTTCCTCAAGTCCTACCTGTCCATCGATCCCGTCATCAACCCCTCCATGTGGAGCCTGTTCTCGTTCCTCGGCTCCAGCTTCGAGATGGCCGTCCGATTTCCGCTGGAGACCGTGCTGCGTCGGGCGCAGATCGCCACGTACACCTCTCCCAGCATCCGGCAGCAGTCGATCGGAGGTCTGGAAGCCTCCAAGAGCCCGACGACCACATCTCCAGGCACCTCCTCCGAGGTCGAGACTATCGTCCCCACGCCCCAGACCTACCGCGGCGTCGTGGGCACCATGTGGGGCATTGTCTACGAAGAAGGGGTGGAGCCGATGTCCGCCGAGGCCGAACAGGCCCAGCGAGCGCTCAACAAGCCACTCCTGCTCCGGCGACGACAAGGTCAGGGTCTTCGGGGTCTCTACCGGGGCTGGCGCATCGGCATGTGGGGCATCGTTGGCGTCTGGGGAGCCAACCTACTAGGCAGTGCCGGCGGAGCAGACGACGAGGTGATGGTCAGCGGTGGTCGATTCTAGAAGACAGATGAGTTTCGTCGTTTGTTGGATGGGCATACCCAGCAAAATATAGTTCATTCCCTTTCCCTTCTCACTGCATCCCTCTCCTCTCCTCTCCCTTTCCTTTCTTCTCTCGTTACCACACAACCCTCACCAACTTCGTGACGCCGGTACGGAGTTCTTCTTTTTGACTTGACTTGACTTGACATATGACGGAAGCGGGCAAGGCGTTTATTTCATCCGTTCGTTCTTTCATCCTTCTTTCAATGTGGGCGTGTTTTCGTCCTGTAGATAATCCATAATATCGGGAGGTGTTTCCCTCCCCTTGTGCTTCTCTTTTTCTGCCTTCTTGTTCGGTTCTGGATTAACGGCGATATACCAATCATACATACCATTCTTCTTATACCACTCTACCTACATATCTGTGCTGATAGAGACTCGCGTTTAATCCATTGGGGGAATCTACTCGCAGCTTAATAGTCTAATCATAGCTGCGCTGGTCAAGCTTTTCTCGGCTTGGGATCTGGACTTGGTAAATGGTTCTGTAGTTCCCATATATGTTACGATCCAAGCAGATACAAGACTAGACATGATGTTGGTAAACAGGATGTATCCACAAGTGACTTCATCCCCAAGGACGAGACAGACAGCACAAAACAGTCGAGACAGAATTACCAGTCATACACTGGTTTAGAACATACAAACAGAAAGAAAAGAAAAGACACAAGATGACGGATGGAAAAGGCTATTATTGCAGAATTGTACATCCAGAACGAAATATGACAAACGTGGATAACATAACATGATAAACCAAAAAAACGCCATCCATGCCCCCCAACCCATCTAAGAAATTCACGATAGTGTGCCTGCCTGCCTGTCCCAATCCGATATGCAGATCCAAATATCCATCCATATCATAAAGCAATTCATCCAGACAAGACGACAGACACCGGATCAAATCTAATGATCTAACTTTTCTCAATTGCGTTTCTTTGCTTTTGGTTTGGTGGTTTTGTTTCGGTGGGTAGGTTAGGCTTTTCCGTTGTCGTCCAAATCATAAATCCATCGTCAACATGGGTAACCGTGTGTGTTCCTCTTGAGACTTCTTTTTCTATGTTTTCTTTTTCTTTGTTGTGGTGGGTATGGCAGGGTTGATCCAGAACCCCGGGACCTGGACAAAACTGAAGATAAACAAAACAAGGGTCGTATAAAGTACAAACTCAGACATACGTGAGTCAGGTTTGGGTATCATCAGAAATAAAAAAATGAAAAATAAACGAGAAAAAAACGGTGGTCGAACAGGAGTAGAAAAGAAAAAAAAAAAAAAAAAAAAAGAAGAAGAAGAAAGGGGAGAGAGAGAAGAATGGAGAAAAGGACGAAGAAGGAAGGAGAAATAAGAAAGAGTGCCTTATTTGTCGGCAAAGCGCCGGTCAAAGTATCGCAGGACACCCATGACGCTGGCGGCTTCTACCTCCATGGCCCCCCGCGGGCCCTCGGCGGGGGCGACATCCCGAGGATTGGGGAGAGGGTGCAGCTTGGGCAACCAGGATGAAATCTCATCGCTGGCTCGAGAGTAGTTGGGATGGCGGGACAAGGTGGTAAAGGCGTCCGCGCACGAGAGGGTCAAGGATGGGTTCGACGCCCCGGCCCCGCCGAAGCCCGCGGCGGGGGCAGCGCCAGTCCCGCTTCGTGGAGGGTTGGCAGGCTGCGAGGACTGGCAGCAGCCGCCGTCAGGACCTTTGCCGCCGCAGCAGCCGGAGGGGGCGCCGCGGGGGGAGCGGGCGGCCGCCAGCGTCTTGCAGAACAGGGTGCTCTGGGGATCTGCCATGCATTGCGCGCAGGTTCCGGGCCCGTTAGCACAGGGGTTGGTGGCCTGGCTGATCGGGGGGAGAGTCACCTCGGACCGCACGTCACCGTCCGAGGGCGGCGGTGTGAACTGCGACAGGTTCTGGATGGGGGCCAGTCGGTTGTTCTCGAACGAGCGCCGCCGCTGCTCCTCTTGGGCGGCCATTTCGGCGCAGATGCAGGGGGTGCCGTCTTGGCAGAAGCCGCAGGGGTCGACCGCGGGGGAGTCGGACGACGAGACCACGGAGACCTCGTCCGAGGGCCGGGAGGCCGCAAAGCGGGCGGTGAAATCGATCTCCATCTCCTCGGGGTCGGGTTTGATGGCGGGCTCAGGGTAGCGAGTGATCGGGATGGCACCGGTGCCCGGGCGCCTGGACAGGTCGACGCCAGGGATGGCAAAGGCGTCCTCGATGCACTGGCAGTGGACGGAGGAGCAGTCCGGGCATCCCAGCGGCACCTCGTCCGCGTCGTCGTCGACGAAGACCTTGTGGTGTGCCGGCGGTTTCTCGCTGGCGACGGATACGGATTCCTTGGCCGTCGACCGGGTCTGCGCGGCGGTTCGCTCCGGGCGGGCGGCGGGTGCGGCGGACGGGTCGGACAGGGAGGTGCGGAATTCCTTGACGAGGGCCTCCTTGGCGCTCCGTTCGACGGAGACCTCCTTCTCCAGGGAGTGGGCGCGGTCGCGCCACCAATTCATGTCGCTCCGGCATTGGTCGACTTCGTGGGAGAGGTTGGCGATCTGCTCCTTGAGCCCGAGGACGTACATGTCGTGTTCATCTTCGATCAGTTTGATCTGATCCTCGAGCTCGTTGACGCGAGCGGCGCGGCGTTCCCGGAAGGCTCGCTGGGCGGCGCGATTTTGCGCCTTCCGTTTCGTGGGCGGCGTATCGGTGGCCGGTTTGCGCCCGGGCTTCGGACGGGGCGGGATGACCCATTCCCTCGAGGTGATCGATCCGGGCGTGCCCGGACCAGGCGAGGGTGAAACCGTCGGTTTGGCCGCAATTGCGGGCACCAACGGGGCCACCGCAGGGGCGGGGGCGATGGAGGGAGCAAGCGTGGCCATGACCCTCCGTTAACCCAGGAGAGGGAGAGCAGACGATGGTTTGGAGAGGAAGAGAAGAAAGGATGAGGGGAGAACAGAAAGAAGACGGTGGGGGGTGGCCTGAGGCGGTGACGGTTAACCGGGCACGGTCATGTGATGATGGAGATCCAGAGATCTGTACCTGAACAGGGACAGAAATGCCGTCGTTGTTGGGAGTAATAATGACGGTACTAGTACAAGCAAGGTAGAAGTAGTAGCAGTGCTAATAGTAGCTGTTTGATATAGAATGAAGTTTCAGAGTGTACTGAAGGGCGTCAGGAGAGCCTCGGCCGGAACAGCGGAAAGTGCGCGTGGTCTCCAAGGGTAAGCGAGTGGAATTGAACCACGCCAATTGGGAGTCAGAGAGAAGAGGTCGATTACACATCGAAGATATTAACAGAGAATAATCAGAAGTATTCCAGTTTGCTGGGAAGAAGAAGGATCATAGGGAAGAAAAGAGAGAAAGCGAGAGAGAGAGAGAGAGAGAGAGAGGAGAGGGGGGAAAGTCAAGACTCAAGAGGGAAAACGGTTAACAAAAAGAAGGACGGATCGGATCAGATTAGATTATCGTGCGGTCTGCCCGACTTCGGAGGGAATTTCTGTGGTCATCTCGTCCCGCTTGGGTCCTATGTCCATGGTTCAGCCCTCGTTATCAATCAGTTATACTTTACTACATTCTAGCTAGAGCCTTTTTGAACAGTCATCCACAAATGATGTCCGCCGTCAGGGAACGGTGAGGTAAGAGGGCGATGATCCCTGGAGCCCTACGTAATGGAGAGGCCTTCATTGCCAATCACCGGATCCGATTATCCGACTGTGTGCAGATCAATATCCCACGGGCGAAAGAGGGAGCAAAAGAAGGAAGAGGAAATGGAGGAAATGAAAGTAAACTATGATAATATTAATAATAATAAAGAGAGAAAGAAAGAAGTGTAGAGAAATCTCTGTCCAGGCAGCTCCACCCTAGAGGAATCAATCAGTTGATGATCTTATCTGATCATGGATCTCTCAATGCCGAAGAACGGAAATTCCGCTTTCGGCACACCGCACCGTATGACGGAAGAGGTTCCATTTGATGATCCGTATGATTCACATAGACATCGAGAAGGTGATAGAGAGAAAATATTTGCAGAATTGAGACTGTCATGCAGATGTAGTACTAGTGAAGCTGCACGTGAGTAGTAGAGTCACGTGGTTATATACTCAATTCTATACTGTAGACGACACTTGATACTATCTTCTATATCTCCACCAACTCATGCGCCCTCAAACGGTCACCTCTATCTACAGAAAGCTACGTCGTCTCTGGAAGGATATGTCTGTCAACGTCATCTCGGCCGAGCTGCATGGATGACCTCTCAGACAGCTTCACAGCGGTCAAGCAGGTCATCTTCCTCATCTCTCTCCAGTGACGACTACGATGAGTACGATGACCAGTACGACGTAGACCATTCTTCTAATTTTACAACCAAACGCAATAATGCAACGCATGCTGCATGAACAACAATTCCATAGTGAGAGACTGCATCTGACAGGTCACCCTCGTCTTCACCGGTTACGTGGCATGGGAAACGGTCGATGGCTATATGGACCGTGTGCCCCGGAATCCCACGGGCCCAGAGGTAGTCTTTATTGCAACAGCTTAATCTATCACATCGAACCCTAAGTAGCCATCATGAAACATCTCGATCGTATCTTGAAGCACGTCCATCACAAGGACCACCACCACCACCACCACCACCATCACCAAGAACACCAGAAGCCCCAGTCCCAAAGTAAGTACCACCGATACATGCCCTCATTTCTCCAGAGGCAACTCTCTCTCCTGACCGGCTTCTTCTTTCGGAAAAAAGGCACAAGTCCAGCCGCCCCTCCGCCCGAGTCCCACCCGACGGGTCCACGGCACGTCTTTGCCCATTTCATCGTATGGACACCGCTCCTCGTGACATGATACCGCCCGTGGCTAACCGAGTCCAGATTGGAAATACGTATTCCACCACACCAGAGCAATGGGAGTTTGACATCAGCGAGGCCAAGAAGGCCCATATCGACGGCTTTGCGTTGAACATTGCGCCCCAGGACCACCACACCGACCAATCCCTACACGCCGCCTACGATATCGCCGAGAGGCTGGGAGGCTTCTCGCTGTTCCTGTCGTTTGACTATGCGTCCGGGGGGCCGTGGCCCGCCGACCGCGTCATCTCCACCATCAACACCTACAAACACCGCGCCGCCCAGTTTCGTTGGCAAGGCCGGCCCATGGTGTCCACGTTTGAAGGGCCGGGCAACGTGGGAGACTGGCCCAATATCAAGCACGCTACCGGGTGCATGTTCATCCCCGACTGGACCAGTCTATCTCCGGGGGGCATCGGGGGTGTTTTGGACACTATCGACGGGGCCTTCAGCTGGGACGCCTGGCCTGTGGGAGCCCAGGGCAAGACAACTGCCAGTGATGAGGCCTGGTCCAAGGCGATCGCCGGAAAGCCGTACATGATGCCGGTATCCCCCTGGTTCTACACCAATCTTCCTCAATGGAATAAGAACTGGCTGTGGCGAGGGGATGATTTATGGCACGATCGGTGGAAGCAGGTCATCGACTTCCAGCCCCCTCTCGTTCAGGTTGGTGGTTCTCTTTCGTTCTTTTCTTCTATCTTTTGCCTCGGTTCTTGGAGCTAACCCAAATGTTTTGTGCGGTAGATCCTCAGCTGGAATGACTACGGTGAGTCCCACTATATCGGACCGATCTACGAGGCGGGATTGCCCGAGGGGTCCTCGCGATACGTTTCCAGCTGCCCGCACGACGCCTGGCGTGTACTATTGCCGTACTACATCGACGCCTACAAGCGGCAAGGCGGGGCCGCCGACCTGAACAACCCTCGGTACCCCGTCTCCTTCACCGAGAAGATTGTGTACTGGTACCGACGCACCCCGGGACACTGCGGGAACTCGGACGGGACGACGGGAAACAACCCGGGCTCTGGTCAGCCCGCTCTGGCGCCGTCCGAGCTGTCCCAAGACCGGGTCTTCGTGACCGTTGCGGTCGTCAAACCGAGTGAGCTCCACGTACAAATCGGGTACGCGACGCCCACGGTGCTTCAGGCCACCCAGCCGGGCATCAACCACTTCTCGGTGCCCTTCCACGGGCAGATGGGGCCGGTCCACTTTGTGATTGTGCGCAATCATCGGGAGATCGCGACGGCCACGGGGCCCGCCATCACCGACGTCTGTGAGGATGGACTGGCCAATTGGAATGCGGTGGTGGGATCCAACGAATGATCGTATATGTTTGATGAATATTCTTGCCAGTAGTTATATTAGTATCATGAGACACACCGAATCAGACGAGTTCCCTATAAATATAGCAGCAATCCTCGACCGATCCGTCCATTCGTCATAGCGGTGTTGTAGATCGACCGGCGATCTATTCTCCACTCGTCCCTGCTGACCAGTTGGCCACATCGGGCAGGGATCTCCCCGTGCCTGAGGCCGGCGTCATCCTCCCTTCTCCGCATCTTCTCCTCTTCTCCTCTTTCTCCCTTCATCACTCTCGCTTCATCCATCTCAATCTCGATTCTCGACTTGTTCCCTCTCTTTATATATATTCTATCACTATCAACGCTATACCATCCCACCACCATGACCAAGAAATGCTTTTCAGAGCTCCAAACCGAGTCGTGGAGGCCTCCAGTCCCTCCATTGACTCAACCACCAACCACCACCCTTCCATCGCGGTCCACGACCGAGAATACCTCTCCGAGCGCTGCCTCCTCTCCCGGTGCTGCCATCTCTCCGGGCGACTATTCCCAACCGTACTGTGATTTCATGACCAACAATCCCACCACCTTCCATGCCGTGAACAGCTTCACCAAACAGCTCGAGCAGAACGGCTACCGCCGTCTCTCAGAGCGAGACGCCTGGACAAACAGGCTGCAGCGGGGCGGAAAATACTACTGCTCGCGGAACGGAAGCTCGTTCATCGCCTTCTCCATCGGCAAGGACTACCGCACTGGGAACGGCATGGCCATCGTGGCCGGCCACATCGACGCCCTCACCGCCAAACTGAAGCCCGTCTCCAAGCTCCCCTCCAAGGCCGGCTACGCCCAGTTGGCCGTCGCCCCCTACGCGAGCGGTCTGGGTCCGACCTGGTGGGACCGGGACCTGTCCATCGGCGGCCGCGTCATCGTGCGCGACTCCGACTCCGGCATGGTCAAGTCCAAGTTGGTCAAGCTGGACTGGCCCATCGCGCGCATCCCCACCCTGGCGCAGCACTTCGGCGCCCCGTCGCAGGGCCCCTTCAACAAAGAGACCCAGATGGTGCCCATCATCGGGGTCGACAACTCCGACCTCTTCCAGGCCCCCGCCGCCGCGGACGCGAGCATCAAGCCCGGGGACTCGTTCGCCTCCGCCCAGCCCGAGAAACTTGTCCGCGTCATCTGCAAGGAGCTGCAGATCCACGACCCGGACACCATCCTCAGCTGGGAGCTGGAGCTGTACGACAGCCAGGCGGCGCGGCTCGGCGGCCTCGAGAAGGACCTGATCTTCGCGGGCCGCATCGACGACAAGCTCTGCTGCTACGCCGCGCAGGAAGCACTCCTGGCATCGTCCGACGACAAGGCCACCGAAACAGTCAAAATGGTCGGCATGTTCGACGACGAAGAAATCGGCAGCCAGCTGCGCCAAGGCGCCCAGTCCAACTTCATGAGCAGCGTATTCGAGCGCATCACCGAAGCAATGGCCCCGTCAGCGGACTACTACGGACCGAACCTGGTCTCCCAGACCGCAGCAAACAGCTTCTTCGTCTCCTCAGACGTCATCCACGCCGTCAACCCCAACTTCCTCAACGCCTACCTCGAGAACCACTCCCCGCGCCTCAACGTCGGCGTCGCCGTCTCCGCAGACTCAAACGGCCACATGACCACCGACAGCGTCAGCTACGGCTTCATCCAGCGCGTCGCTAAGAAATGCGACGCCAAACTCCAGGTCTTCCATATCCGCAATGACTCTCGCTCTGGAGGCACCATCGGCCCCATGACTAGCTCTCGTCTTGGCTTCCGCGCGATCGACGTCGGCATCCCCCAGTTGAGTATGCATAGCATTCGTGCTACCACTGGTAGCTTGGATCCGGGGTTGGGCGTCCAGCTGTTCAAGGGGTTCTTTGATCATTTTGAGGAGGTGGATCGGGAGTTTGCTGATTTGTAGTTTTCTCTCTTATATGGGAGGGGAGGAAGGGAAGGAAGGGAGGAGCATGTTACTTTATTATATAGCTTAGCTTAGCTTAGCCTATCGTTGGATATGAATGAATACGAGTATGATAGACTGACTGACATTTCATCGTAAGTTACAGTTTACCCTAATTGTAGGGCTATACATACAACATCTCGAATCACATATTATCCCTATACTTATGCTGTCAAAGCAGAATGATCATCCCGTATTGAGAACACACTAGGAAATTGGTATTGAGCTAAGGTACAAACGCTTGTGGTGTATATATGTACGTATACATGTAGGATGGGTATGCATAGTGAAACAGTAAAGAAAAGGGAATCAAGACATGAGTGTTGTAGTATATAGTATATAGTAAACCTGGACAGCTTTAGCATGTCCAAACAAGGTTAGAGAAAGCAGGAGGCGGAGAAATAAAAGAAAGAAAGAAAGAAGCAGAAGAAGAAGAACACAAAGTATAGAAAAATGGATATCAAGGCGTGAGGATTGATTATATATAGAGTTGGTTACCCTGCCACAGAAGCACTGACATGCTAGTGGCAGCAGGAGTAGGGTTTTCGTCATGATTATGTCCAACCTTCCGAGGAAGGGACAAATGAATGAGATGTAGAAAAAGTCATGAGGGAGATGTATGGTATGTATCACTTCGACGGCTCAGACGACGCCGACGACGACGACGACTCGGCCCGCGCTTCCACGGGCTCCTTTGCGTCTTCCACGTCCTTGGTATCCTTAACCGTCAACTTGCGCTTGCCGTCGAAGTCGCTCTCGGAGACGAGCGTCAGCATCCGTTCGGAATGCTCGCGGCCGTACTCTAGGTCGTCGCCGCGGCTGATTGTCGTCATTACCGTGCCGGTGCCGTTCCAGTAGGAGGGGGGTTGTGCGTGCGATAGCGGCGTGTTGCTGTATGGTGTTTCGGTGCTTGTGCTGAATGATGAGAGGAGGTGGGGCACGACGCGGGAGATGAGTGGTCGGAGGGTTGGGAGACAGGCGCAGATGATGCCAACGTTGCATTCGATGGCGGACCATGCGGCTGCGCCGACGTTGTCATCTATTGAGTTGGAAGGTTAGCTTTTATTTCTTGCTTTCTTGGTGGAAGGGGCCCGTGGCGGCGTACAGGTAGGGTCGGCGGACTCGGAGATCTTCTTCAACGAAACTAAACGACAGACGCTGGTGACACAAACACTGCAGGGTCTCATATTAGCCGTTGTCTTTATCCTTCCATACGCAGATAGATCCAACTCACAATCCACCAAGCGCAAAAACTGAGATCAGCGCGATCTTCTGTCTCTTTGGGATTTCAAGCCCAATCAAGGCTGGGATCGGTATGATCAAGATAGCCAAGTCGGTAGCAATGTGCATGGCCGCATTGGAGAACCACAGCCCCTTCTGATTCAGACAGTAGCCCGTGATGGATGGGTCCCAGAATTTGGCCACCGGAATGCAGTTGAGAAAGCCGCTCAGAACTGCCCACGATCCATATGTTGCCAAAACACCTATCATGACCCATGAGATGGTGCGCATCCGTGATGTCTGGAAGACGCGATAGTACTGCAAGAGGATAGACGCCTTGGCGCTCAACAGCGCAGCATTGTAGAAGGGGATCGTGATCCAGAAGGCCTACCACGGACTGTTAGACACCGTGCGGTACATGGCTTCCCGAAGGCTGCCTTACCTTCATCTGTTTCAACATGATTTCGGGTGGAATGTCGGCGCCATGCATCCCTATTCCGTTGAAGGCCTCCACTATGAAGAACGCCATGAAGACGAAGGAAAACAACTGAGCTCATATGTCAGTGTCACTGTGTGGGGCTGTTTACTAGATGTCCCAGGCTCATCTTACCAGCGCAAGAAGAACCATCCAGTCATTGCCTTCCATGCGTTTCATCAACACCCGCCGTGTGTAGAGTCGTGCGACAACGAAAAGACATGCTAGACTTGTGAAGACGATGCTGACAGACAGTGCTTTGGCTCCTCCATGGGAGAGATACGGTTGGACTCCGTCTCTTCGACGGAGTCCAGGAGTAGATCCCGTCATTCTCGCGTCCAAGACGGAGTCAAGTTGTGCTTCTTCTCTCGGAATCCTTCTGTCTTGCCCTAATGAGTTTGTAATCAATACCGGCTAGGCTGCCGGTGGACACAACTCTAGGATAGCAACGTTAAAGCAAGTTGATATGTATGGCCCATGCCCAGTGTTACCGAAAGAGTATATCGTTGATCACATCGCAGAGCAAAAAGGCAGGATCGGGTGGTGGGGGGACGATGGATCTATAAACCTTTCCCTTCGACCCCAGAAACGCCTCGAACTTTTGTAAATCGAAACCACTGCCCTGTCAGTGAAGATCATTCTTCAATGTCTCATTGCTTTTTTTCGGATTGGTGGTCCGGAGCTCAGGATTAAGACATGGGCTGAGTCCAATAGGGAGAAGGGAGGCGACGAAGGGAAAAGCAAGCAAGGGAGGGGACAAATAAGCAAATGATCTGAAAAAGCCACAGTAACCGTTTGAAAAAGACAAGTCGAAAGATCCAGATTCATGGGAATGAGATGTGAACTTTTTCTTTCCATTTTTCTTCATTTTTTCTGATCAATATCTTTTTTCTCCCTTCCATATTTGGCTTTTGGGAAGCCTACTAGATTCCCCGGGGCAATGATGATCAAGCGACCAATTCCACCCCACTGGAGTCACTAGGGCTGTTGGTCAATGCCAATGATCAACGATAACTGTTGTTCCCACTGTCGAGGGAACCGACCCGGTCCAGTCAGAGAGAGAGAAGCATTGGTGGAGCGGGCGTTGGAAGGATCGACGACGAATCGAAGCCCTTCTCCGAATGACGATGTGGGGAGATCGGTGTGCATCGAGACGTCCATCTGCATACACGGACTTCTAGTCCTCATTGATTTGTTCCAATACAATCTATAAAAACACGTCTTACGTCGAAGTAGATAGATCGTGGCAGCATGGTTGAGTCCCTGGTCTCTCCAAGTGCACCTGGAGCTGTCAAAAGGACCCTCCCTCGAGTAAAGCCTCAAGATGCCGCAGCAGGGATTCGAGCTTTCTCCCCGAGGGCGCACCCCTGGTCGATCCAAAAATTTCAGAATCAACAGTGACAGGGAGACCACCCCAGCTCTCCTTCGTGACATCAGTTGTCTCGTTTCGTGGACCCCTAGGTAATAGGAAAGGGGCTGAGGCGTGTAAGGGAATCATGCCACCCTCAAATTTTTAGGAGATTTTATAGAGTAAGGGATGCAACATCAAACCCTCGTCCCCTGTAACAAGATTGGGCACCGTCTCGCGGCACCTATGGTGTTCACGAAAGGAGCATTATTTCCAATCGAGTCGCACAGTGGACGATAGAACTGGGACGGAGGACCTCAGTTGGCCCCGTTAGGTTGAGCCTAGAGGATACGATATATCATAATTCTTTTTTTGGAGGACTTTTGTGGTCTGCAGTCGTGATTGCCGCCGACGTGAGCCACATTGAATAACGAACATGCAGGGGGCGGAAGTACCATGCATCAGAATCACAAATAAGAGCAGGACACTCTGTGCGGCGAAGGCCATCAGCCCACTATGACTCCATGTCAAACATCATCTAACCTTGAGTCTGGAGGAGCATGGTCTGTGCAATCGGTTGACAGGTCACATTTTCGCGCCGCGGGTGCAGTTAACCCTTCATTTTGAGGGGGTCATCAAACAAAGGCGTAGCCATATTTTGGTTTAATGGTCAAACAATTGGAGGACAAACTTTTATATTGTACGACAAGATTCAGTAGGCGATCTTGGCGTGACAGTGGATACATATATAGTTGGGTTGGGCGGGGACTGGAGGTGGAAAGTGGGAGTGAGAGTGGAAGTGGAAGTGGAGTGAAAGAAAGCGTGGGCTGTGGAGTATGATGGGCTGGTCGAGTCGTGACCACTGCCATCACGGTGATCGTGGACATTAGCAAGTCGCGATTGCTATGAATGTTGTCAATTATCCAGGTATCATTAAACCATCTCCTACAGGACTATTAAATTTTGACTCTCAGCTAGCTAGATCGACCACTCCTCTCTGTACCAGGCTAACAGCTGAGTTGAGCGTCAGTATTAACATCCCCAAATTGCTTTGCCAGGGTCATCATCTTTTTAGTTACATTCAGTGGTAAATGATTGGGTCTAGATTCCCTTATTATGGAGCCAAGCCAATGTTTGCCAATGTCTCTCTTGGTAAATAGATGGTGTATAGGGGAAGTCAGGGGAGCCGGCTGGACTGACATATAGATCACCGTCGTAGTGGCCGACCTTGCTGACATTTTATTTATATACTAATATTGGTGGTATTCGACTAGTTCGTGTTATGATGGGTTCACCCCAAAAGGATGGGGTGCCAAAATTGGCCCTTCTTTAGTTGACATGTTTCCATCTATGGATATCTCTGTTCATGGCACGAAGTACCTACCGGCAAGTACCATACCTTTGTCTATCATTGTTGTTACCTTCGGGTCGCTCCGGTGAGAAGTGGAGTATGACGTCCTTCTTATTTCCCTGTCTTTAGCAAGGGTATATATTTGAAATCTATCCATTCGGATGGACAAGAGGCTAGTATTCCAGGGTAGTATGGAGTCGTCAAATTGGTTGATTTCATCTATACAATGGACGTGTCTCGTCCAAGCAACTCTCCATGAAGGTACTTTTGGCGATGAACGGTTGAACCTGTCTTCAGACACCATGAAGCAATTATAGCATCCCGTAATTAGACCGCGGAAGATAGCGTGGAGGAATAGTACATGAATCACAACGTCCCCATGATCATCAAGGAGGATCTCATTCGGCCGGGTTACCGAATGCATGTATCTATGTCGACACAAGTACTCCACTGAATCACATGCATCGGGTGTCTGTCGAAGTACTTCAATAAAGACGCAGGAGTCGCTCACAATAGAGTAGAGCTGAAAGGCTCCACCATCATTGTCAAATATATCTCCAGCTATCGCGGTCGATATATTAGTCGATCAATTAGGGGGCCGTCTTACGTACGATGGAGCGGATCGAGATGGAGATCATATGCATGAGCTGCAGAGTACTTGTGCATCCTTGATTTGATGACAGATAGATCGATTCCAGCGATGATCTCGCCAAATGTATGCGGCTTGTTGTTACTATTCTTCAGCTGGAACAGATTTAAATATATATGTGTTTTTAATGCATTGTTTGCGCCACCGAGAATACACAGCACTGACTTACATATCGTCCACGATCCAGCCTCACGTGGACCAGTCCTCAACTTCTGGACCGCATGAAGCTGAGAGTTGTACAGCCCTTCGATCTTTCTGGATCCCTCTGGTACTTCTGACCGAGGAATTACCATCCTGCAGTATCCATGGATGATGCATGCGATCCCGATGGATACTATCAACCAGGATCATGCCATAGATAGATAAACTTCGCTTTTCGAGGTACCGAATCTTGCAACCAGAAGGAATCCTAGCCGATAAGAACAATCAAGTTGACTCGTACACTCGCTAACATCGCCGTACAGATCCAGAACTGCAGATGCTGGTTGTTTGTGTTTCATCAACTAACCGGGCCGATCAAGCCGCCTCCGACGCTAAGATAAGGATCCCGCCCGCACGGACCACATAGAAAAAAAAAATTCCCTGCGCTTCTTCATCCCGCATTGGATGGTGACAGTTGCTCAGGACGACACCACCCCCCACTATCCTCTTCCAACCGCCTCCCAATAAGGTCCTTTTGATCGCAGAAGGATTCAACAAACAAAATGGCGGACTCGACAGCCTCGGCGCCCCCGAAGCCCGTCCACACAATCGTCCTCGATGCGGGCCCCATCTTGAAAAATACCCCGCCATTATCGACCCTGCTGCAACAATGCGAGGAACTCGTCGTCCCCTCGTCGGTCGTCCGTGAGATTCGCGATCCCGACGCCCGCACTCGCGTCGAGACGCTCTACCTGCCGTTTGTGAAGCAGCGCAACCCGACCCCGAAAAGTTTCCAGATCCTGAGCGAGTTCTCGAGGAAGACGGGTGATCGGTCGGTGTTGAGTAAAACGGATATTGAGGTCCTGGCGCTCGCTTACGAGATTGAGTGTGAGAGGAACGGCGGCGATTGGAGGTTGCGAAGCGTGCCGGGTCAGAAGCAGGTCAACGGAAAGCCGCCCGTGAAGGTAGAGGAACCGAAGGCAGAGACAGAGGCAGACCCTGCATCGTCGGATGCCCCGACCAGCAATGTCGAGGTGGATGCAGTCACGGAGGACTTGAAGAAGGCTTCGCTGGAAAACGATGACAGCCAGTCGGAGGAAAAGAAGGAGTCCGAGGTGGCGCAACCAGACGTGTCTGAATCGAACGAACAGGTGAACCCTTCGGATGCCCAAGAATCTCAGGAGGAAGACGATGCGTCCGATGATGATGGAGGCTGGATCACACCCTCCAACCTGAAAAAGCACCAGGTCCGTGATGAGAATGGGACAGCGTCTGCTGGACCTGGGCCGAAGGTGATGCAGGTTGCTACCATGACCACCGATTTTGCCGTAAGTGCAACCCGATTGACCTGTCGCGAGGCAAGATAGCTGACCACGAGTAATCTTTCAGTGCCAAAATGTTTTGCTTCAGATGAATTTGAATCTGCTTTCGACGTCGACCTTGCAGAGGATCCAGCATCTCAAGTCGTTCATCAAACGCTGCCACGGCTGTTTCCTGACCACCAAAGACATGAGCAAGCAGTTCTGTCCGCGGTGTGGCAAGGACACCCTCACCCGTGTCTCCTGCACCACCCATGCCAACGGCCAGTTCACTATGCACCTGAAGAAGAACATGCAATGGAACAACCGGGGCAACCGATTCAGCGTTCCCAAGCCCGTCGCCGGTAGTTCGAACGGGAAATGGAAAGGAGGCGGCGGCAAGGGCGGTTGGGGAACGGAGCTGATTCTTACCGAAGATCAGAAGGAGTTTACCAGAGCCACTGCGGAAGAGAGCCGAAGACAGCGAAGAGAGCACGACTTGATGGATGAAGACTACCTTCCCGGCATTCTGACTGGAGAACGCAGTCGGCAGGGTGGGCGAGTCCGGGTGGGCGCTGGCAGGAATATCAACTCCCGCAAGCGATAATGGCATCAGATGAGGTTCTGGTTTGGAGTTTGGCCAAGAAAATTCCGGGTGTCTTGTCTTCTTCTTTTATGATTATTATTCTGCGCTGAGGATCATTTGTCCCTCAACCCTGCATGCTTATGATGATGGCCGATTTACGAGAGTTTATAGAATAGTCGGAACCTATGGAATACATACCCAGTTTTGGACAGGATTATTATTGAGGAGGCTGTTGTCTTACTCTTTGCTAAGTAAAATCAGAGAAATACTTATACATTATATATTATACAGGTGATTCTTATCAAACCAAGTACCTAAACTTCACAATAAATAAGTGTTAAAGTGATAAAGTGAGTACAATAAGCATAGTTAGTAGATCAGTATATTCTCTAGCTATTATATATGAAATAGTTTATATTAACATGAGTTAGGATAATTAGGGGGGTTGGTTATTGGTTCTAGACCCAGTGATAGGCTACCTAAGCCTGCGGCCTCCCTTGATGTTTATTGTCATTGTTTTGTTATTGTCATTTCCAGATCCCCTGGGCTCTACATAAACATGTTCCACCGCGTTTTGATAAGTTTGTCTATCAGCTAATATCTCTTCTCTGATCCATCATGATACGCAGGCTGTCTTATTCACTCAGAAAGCCAAAAAGGCTGCCGTTTCCACATCTTACCAAGCGACGTCGGACTGAGCGTTCCCAGCCATTTTCTACCGATTGGAACTCTCATGATGAGTTCTTCAACTACACGAGAGGCCGTTTTATACCCCGCGAGTCTTATGAAATGGCCATTCGCCATGTTGACTTTGATATGAACGAGCTAGCAAAGTGCGCTGCTATGTCGATAGGCCTTGATCCTACGCAATGTGTCCGAGTAGACAAGTTTCCAGATGGAATGTTCAACAAGACATTTCTTCTCACCATGGACAATGGCGCACAGGTTGTAGGCAAGGTTCCAAATCCGAATGCAGGAAGGGCTCATTTCACAACTGCGAGCGAAGTGGCAACGATGGATTTTGTAAGACGGATTAGACTCGTTTTCATCTCTGTGCTGATGTGTATCTATAGGTCAGGAATAAGTTGGGGGCGCCGGTGCCGAAAGTACTGGCGTGGAACTCAAAAGCAAGCAACAGCCCGGTTGGAGCTGAGTATATAATCATGGAAAAGGTTATGGGAGTGCCGCTGGAAAGCATCTGGCCAAAAATGGATATTAAGGAGAGGTTTGAACTCGTCAAAACGATTTCTGGGTATCAGAAATCTTGGATGTCGGCATCATTCCCCCAATACGGCAGTCTGTACTACTCATCTGACCTAGTCAACTGTGACGAATGCACTCTCTTCGAGGCGGGCGTGGACAGATCCAGAGTCACGGCGCCTGGTTTCTCTATCGGTCCATCAACAGGGCGGGAATTCCTCGATGATGGAAGGATTGCATTAGAGTTCGATCGAGGCCCTTGTAAGCTATCTCCACCTGCGCAGGTGTGTTGAAAGTCGTCTAGTACTCACATGTCTATTCCAGGGAATTCTGTGGAAGACTATAAATCTGCGATTGGTTATCGAGAAATTGCCTGTGTACAGAATATGTCTGAATTACCCAGGTCACCAGTGTCACTGTACGGCCCAGGCACATATAGACCATCTCGTTCCCGGAAAATAGCTGCACTTGAAGGCTATCTTTGTCTGCTAAAGTACTTGCTTCCATTAGATCGATCACTTTCGTCTTCCTACTTGTGGCACCCAGATCTTCATGCTGAGAATATTTTCGTCAACCCCGAGAGGCCATCAGAGGTATTAGGGATCATTGACTGGCAGTCTAGCGAACTATTACCACTCTTTGATCAAGCGCGTGTACCTTATTTTCTTGACTTTGATGGGCCAATCTCAGACAGCCTCAGCCCGCCCCAACTCCCGGCTGATTATGACAAGCTTGATCCCGTGGAACAAGACGAGGCCAAGTCTCTCTACCTAACGACGTCTCTATTCACCCTATACCGAAAGTTTACCCTCGCAAAGAACAAACCACTCTTCAACGCCATGGGGTTTCGGCGCTCTACAAATTTTGATATGATGCTGTTAGCTCAGAATCTCCTTGTCGACAGGGAAGCCTTATATATTTCTATGATCCTTCAACTGCAGGATGAATGGTCCTGCTTACCAGGTGTCTCGAGCTCCGGAAACCCTCCTTTTCCTATTCAATTCTCTGCAGATGAAGCCGCCTCTATTGACGAGGATGCCTCTGGTGCGATCAAAGCCATGGAATTGATGCGCCAGTTGAAAGAGTCATTGGGCGACCTATGGCCTGAGAAAGGTGTTGTGCGGCCCGACCAGTACAATCAAACCCAGGAGCGCCTGGAACAGGCCAAGACAGAATTCATCGATCGAGTCGCGCGCTCGGCAGCTGAACGAGCTGCATGGGAAGATGCCTGGCCGTTTGACAAGTAATGGAGGTACTTTCTAGGCCATGCCTTCAATCCTCGAAAAACCCCCATCGTGCTGTAGCATCATCTGTTGCAACAAATGCACTCGTCTCAACCTACACTCTTCAGAGTCATTATTGGTTATCGCTGAAGAGAGAATTCAAATACGACCGAGTGCCTCAATACAGCTACCTGTATATACTTCGGCTGATAAGAGTACTAACTCGAGTAGGCTAGTGCTGCCTTAACCGGATGCTGAGTCACCAGAACCTCTTTTTAAGCTGCGGCAGCGCGCGATTCTTTTTCTCTTTCTCTTCACAACCAAAACCACCTCCGTCCACATAGTAAGACACTGGAGGATGCTCATGATGATGATGATATGATGATGCGCATCGTCCACAGCATTTAGCATGATTATGCTGGGGGTTTTCTCTAACCATCAACTGTATTCTAAATATCTACAACGTCAGTCCTCTTCGGGGGACCGTGGATGACCCAGAAAAGACTTTCTGGTAAGCATCAAACTAGCACTGTCAAGCTTGTGACAGGTGCTTGTCTCTATTCTCCGGTGATGATGACAATTTATACCCAAAGGCAATGGCACTTTGATTTCTAGCTGTTGCCGATGATGGGTGTATTTGACTACAACGGTATCTGAGGAGAATAATTCAAACACTTGTTCTTGTTATTTTTTGCTCTTTTTCTTCCCGGCCACTGGCAATGTGGGTCTCGCGTAACAGAGAGCTATGTCGCTGACTCTTCGCGGTTACTCTCCAAGTAGAATTTTCCAATCAATTCAATTCATTATCATAAATAAACCATGGCAAATGATGCTACGTCCACCTCGCCGTCGGCGGCGGTGCCAGTCCCTAGTCAATCCGAGTCCAAGCAGGGCGCTCCCCGGCCTCGTGTCCCTCGGCCTCCAAGACCCAATTTCAAACAGATCTATCGCTTTCCTCTTCCGATCGACGTCCATCCTCTTCCACCGCTGATCCCGCATAATCCCTTGTCGATCGTCAGCGTTCTGCTGTCTTACTTGACCTATTTTATCGCTCCGCCTCATCAGGATGTATACCCTGCCTATTTCGATGCAGACACCTCGTCCGTCCACGTCACGGACGAGAAGGCGATCCGTGCCCTGTGGGAAATGGGATTCTTCGGCAAGGGGACCCTGAGTCGCAGTGAGCCGAGTTGGTTGGGTCGGGAGAAGAAACGGCGAGGGCTCCTGGGGACCGTCGCGAGTGAAGACATGACGCGCCAACGCAGGTCCGAGCGCCGTGAGCTGAAATTGGAGCGGGCGAGGATGGAGAGGGTCGCCGTGGAGGAAAGACTGAAGGCGGAAGCTGCGGCACGGGACGCCGCCGATTTGTCCGCTGATCACACTGCCCTGCCACCGTCCGCTGATGGTCTCACGAACGGCACGGACGGCACGGCCCCGAACACAGAGAAATTCTCCTTGCGAAAAGCCAGAGAGGCCAGATTCCTAGAGTCGCGACGGCTGGCTGCGCAAGACGGGGAGGAACGTGTCGCCGATCCTGCGGGGAAGCGGCCGGCCGGTGGTAAAACCGTGCGCTTTTCTCCAGTTGTCCAGGCAAAGGAGATCGCGTCCGATTCGGCCGTTCATCTGCTCGATCCCATCGGGGATGAGGCTGAGCCCGAGGAACCGGCCCCGCTCCAGAATGAGGAGCATCTGCAGTTGTCCAACGAAGAGGCATTTTTCTTAGCCTACGGACTTGGTACCCTAGATGTCTACGACGGCAAGCGAAACATCTTGCTACCGGCATCCTCTTTACTCCCGCTGTTTTGCCGACATTCACACTTCCCTGCGCAAGATTCCTCCGTCGATCCGAAACCGGATGATCCCTTCCTGGTCTCATATGCCGTGTACCACCATTTCCGGTCCCTGGGGTGGGTGGTGCGCTCCGGCGTGAAATTCGGGGTGGACTATCTCCTTTACAACCGTGGCCCTGTTTTCTCCCACGCCGAATTCGCCGTTGTCGTCATCCCGTCCTATAGCCATCCTTACTGGTCTGAGACCGAGGCCCGTCGAGCGCAATGTGACCGGAACCAGTCACGTAGCTGGTGGTGGCTTCATTGCGTGAACCGTGTGCAGGCCCAGGTCAAGAAGAGCCTGGTAATCTGCTATGTGGAGGTGCCACCGTCGGGTCCTTGCGCCGCAGGGGAAGGTTCCACGAGTGACATCGGGGACCTTCTTTCTCGTTACAGCATCCGCGAGATGGTGATGCGACGGTGGGTGCCCAATCGGACGCGCGATTGAACGTTCGTTGCTTGGGTTATAATGTACTATATGATATCAAACACTTGGTAGAGAAAAGCGACCGACCCTCAAGGAAGGAACTACATTTAAACCAAATCAGATATAAAAGATGAGAGTGATAGAGTAAGGGAGATTCTCAGCTCCTGTCGACATAGACATGCACACGTCCGTCTGCATTTCTAGAGATGCGCAAACCTAAACTGAGACTGCGTCGTGACTGGCCCTGGTACGTAGTACCGCCTCAAGGAACCATTACACGAACCTATCCCCTGTTGCCACCGCCATTTGACTGGCACATACTCATATTGCCCTGGAGAACCAATAAACTCAGTGTCAAAACAAGCTTTAGATCAATCTACAGCACCGTCCATTGTTTGCGATGTGATATAATGGAGACTGAGAGCCTTAGGTGTAAGGCTTGGCCCGTCCCAAACCGGTAATATTGCACATCACGTGCGGGACGCGTTTCGCGTTTGGCGAAACCCCGATCAAGCAGATCCCAACCGCTTCTGCGGAGTAGAATTTCCCCCCAGCCTGTCTGACAACAGCAAAAAGCGCCCTCCCGATGATGCTTATGCTCTATTGCGGTGTAGGGAACTGCAAGTGAAGGTGATCATGGAAACCCAGGATGACAGCCTGGACATTGTGAAATTACAACGCGTCGCGCTGGGCTTGGTAGGTGTTACCTTTGTCGGTCTGGTGCCGAGCCTGATCTGGATGGGGAGGGACTAACTAACAACGGTCATTTCATCTAGGATGTTCCACCATCACAACACCTCTTGAATGAGCCTGAGGTGACTGAGAACCTACCCTCGGACACCGTCGACCACGGACGCCACCACATTTCGCTTGAAAGCGTGCCGCTTGCGAGCCAGGAGGCCATGCGGAAGTCCCCGACGCATCAACCCCATTCGCCATCCCCAGAGCAAGGACCCGATATTCGCCCTGGAGGCTTCCAGCATTTGAGAATGGACACGGCAGACGCGATTCCGTCGGATACGCAAGTGATCTCGCAATCGGTCTACGACGACGTGATACGGCAGAACAAGGAGGCCGCCACCGCGGCGGCGTTCGATAGCAACCTGGGGGATCGTGCGACGCTCATGACTCTTCATGAGGGAGACAGTGGCCATCTTGATCTCTTGTCGGGTTTTGACGCTACCAACATCGACTCGGCTAATCTGGAAGATAACGATGATCAGAGCAGCTCCAAGCTAGGGGAGTCGTCTCCTATGGTCTACCAGCCAAATCTGTTCCCCGAATCACAACGGTTCCTATCGAAAACTCCGGCGTCGGCTGCGAAGCTGGGTCCCCCGGGTACGCCTGCAACGGGAACCCCCTGTGCCTCGCGAAATCCGTTGGCGGCGAATGTTGAATCGAGCGGGGGGATTATGGCCCTGAGCCAGGTTTTTAGGGCAACTCAGGTTCCATCCTCGCCGTTGGTCAATGGGCAGCTATCGGAACCGCTGTCTGAACGGCCGTCGCCTAACCTACCGATCCAGAACCATGCACCCCCGCATGGTCTATCGTCCCCATTGCATACCCTCGCAGCCACCTTTCCGCAAGACTCGTCCGAGCCACACTTGCACTACATCACTATGAAGGAATCGCAGACTCGACGCGACAAGGCCATGCAAGAGAGAATGGCCCGGTCGGCGGAACTTGTTTACTCGGAGGACCAGAGCGACGGCGAATTCGATAAAGAACCTAGCTTCGTCGAACAGCTGCGGAGACAGAAGACGATAGATGCGGAAACTACAGCGCAATTCGCTGGCCTCACGGCGCCTGCGAGGTCGCCGAGCCAGCGGAAGCGTCCAGCTAGTATGCATGGCATGTCACCGAGTGGGCGGCATGAGCGACGGAAGTGGCCGGTGCCGCCTGTGCCTGCGGTCTCTGGGGATGATATGCAAGAATGTGCCGCTCCTCCCGCCGTGGGAGTGGCCAGCGAAGAAGAAACAGAACAGGAAGAAGAGCTGTTCCCGCCAGTTCCTCGGTCTCAAGATCCCGATCCTTCAACCGAGGAAGACAAAGAAAATTGTCTGGACAATTCGCAAAACCAACCTGACGGCGCGGGCAGCGCTCACGGCCGCCTATCCCAGGTCCTTGATCTATATGAGAGCCCAACCAATACTCCCGGACAACCGGTAGCGGAGTATGTGCATTCGTTCTCAAACTCCCAGGAACCCACTGCAGATGAACATTGGGGTGGGACTGGTCGGTCATCCCAGGTATTGGTTGTGAAAGATTCTCAGAGATCTCCAGAGCCACAAGATGGCGATGGCCTTTCCAAGGCCACCATAGACGGACCGTGGAACGGTAACCAGGTCCTCAATTCTGGTCCACGACACCATGCTGGTCCTTCGAAGACCACGCCGTCCCCTACGAAAAATCTTGGCATACAATCATCTCCTCCCTCCGAATCTCAACGCAGCCGGGTCTCGTTCAGGCTTGATGATCACAATACCGCAGTGCGGGCTAGGTCAGACTCCGCGGGCTCGGATGTTGGTACTTCAACCAGGCTTCGGGTTCCAGCCACCCAGGAAGACAATGGGGACTGGCAGAGCATCCCCGCTACGCAAAACCATACAGTCCTCAGCGATCAATTGCAAAAACGAGGTCTCGGAGAAAAGTCGTCGTCAATGCCTTCTCGTGTTGCCGAGACACCCATCCAACGCCCAGAGAGCTTCGGCGATGTGCTCACGACGAGTGTACCGGAGACGAGTCCCAGCCGCTTCCCCAGCCAGGCTTGGGCCGGTGACGGGAACAACGATGCCATGGATCAAGAGGACGACGACCTACCCCCTGTTTACGTTGCCACGCACGAACGAGCCAGTCGTTCTCAGCCTCTGTTTTCGGACAGCTCCTCCCCCGCGAAAGACTATTTCCACTCGAAGATATTTTCCAGCCCGAGTGGCAGACAACGCAGGGCACTCACCGAGATTGCCGCCGATATCTCGCCCTACGCTGATGCTGGTCGTTTTGACGTCGATATCAACATACTATCGACAGACGATCGAGATTTCAGGGCCGCAGTCGCAATGTCACCAACCCCAAAGAAGAAACGCCGTGGGAATGACGGACAGGGCCTTTATGCCTCGGATCCGATCGTCCCAGTCACCCCTCGCCCGTCTGCGTTTTTCCCTCCTCCGCATCGAAATAACATCTCGGAAGAAGGCGAGCAGCAGCCGACAGAACCGGCAAAGAAGCTGCAGGCTGTCTTGGAACGGCGCATGAACCCTACACGCCAAGCTGATACCATGTGGGATATCGATGACTCACCTCAGTTCCATGTCTCGCGTAAGGACCGGGCGAGGAATCTCGGTCGCTCTCATATCCCGAGACAGCGAATTCCGAAGGAGCATAAGCCTCAGAAGGCAGATGTGCAACCTGCGACGACGGGTGATGCTGAAGAGTCTCTTCCTGTCCGGAATCAACCACGCCATGAATCTGCCAATGAAGGGTCGAAAGAGGCAGATTCCCGACCAGTTCCCACACATGGGCCCAAAGAGCCTACGCCCTCCCATCAAGAGCCTCAGAACAAAACTGCTGTCGAGGAGCCTAGAGAAACAAGGATCCTCGATACTACAAAGCGCAAACGCGCAGATACTACATCTGTCGATGAAGAGCCACGCAGGGAAATCACTGTGGAAGAACCGAAAGAAACAACAGCTCAAGTGACCACGCACGAATCCCAGGAACCAACCCTCATTCAAGAAGAACCACGGAGGGAACTTTCTGTCAAGATAAGGCCAACCATGAGATCTACCCCAGAAGACCCTGTCAGGACAGCTACGTCCTCAAGGCAGGAGGAACAAATCCCTAGCGGGAGCAATGCACCGATTGCGTTCAATCAGGTTCTTGCTCCCTGGAGTGGGCCAAAGCGGGCGTATTACCCTGCAACATGTTTCGGGAAGCCATTCGGGACGTCACAGTCCCGTTATTTGGTCAAATTCGAAGACAGCACGCCTGTCGAGGTGCCGCTTGGCGCAGTCAAACGGCTGGAGTTACGGATTGGCGATGCTGTGAAAGTCGACGTACCCAACGTTCCCAAGGTCACCCATATTATCCGAGGCCTGGAAAACAAACTCAGTGGCGACGAGCTAGCGAAGGAATCCGCCAGTGGTACGATTCCGGTGACTGATATATACGGCCACTCGACTCTATTGCTGGGCCCAAAGCAGCGCAAAAGCCTGCCAAACGGGGGCCTTCCAGGTCCTGAAAATATTGTCAAGGTCCCGATATCCCGGATATACCTGGACACGATCCTGTGGAATCAGCTCAAGGACAGGCAGTACACCTACACCTCTGTATCAAAGCAAGTGGAGTCGGGCCTCCACACACCTTCCGACAGACACATGACGCCAGCGTCCCCCAGTACACGTCTGTCCCGCAGCATTCGCTTCTCAAGCGGCCTGTTCACCGGGATGGTCTTTGCGGTCTCGTACGGCGAAAACGCCGACACCAAGTCCCGCATAGTAAAGATGATTCTGGAAAACGACGGACGCATCCTGGAAGATGGCTTCAACGAACTATTCGAGCTCCCATCCAACGCCCCCCTAGCCACCCCAACCAAATCTCCCGCCTCAATCACCAGTGGCAACAACAACCAGTTCCGCCTTACGAGCGGTGCCAAAGACGTCGGGTTCGCCTGCCTAATAGCCGACAAGCACTCCCGCCGGCCGAAATACATGCAAGCGCTAGCTCTCAACCTCCCCTGTCTCTCAGACCGGTGGATCGAAGACTGCGTCACGCACAACCGGATCGTCGAATGGGAGATGTACCTACTCCCAGCGGGCGATTCATCCTACCTAAACGGGGCCACCAAGTCCCGCTTCCTCGCTCCATACCCAGCAGCCAAGGCCCGGCTCTCAGACACGATCGCCGCGCGACCGAGCTTCCTAAGCGGCCAGTCGGTCCTCATCGTCATGGGCCGCGGCAAAGCCGACGAGGAGCGACGCAAGACCTACCTTTTCCTAACGTACGCGCTGGGCGCCTCGCGTGTGGAGCGTCTACCGGACGTTAAGTCCGTACGAGCCGCCTGCGAACAAGGCGCTGGGTCCGGCGCCGGCTGGGACTGGGTCTACGTCGACAGCGAGGAGAAAGCCTCGGCGATAGGTTCCCTGCTCGGGCAATCCGTGTCGGGGTCGCAGCAGTCGCAGTCGTCGCAGTCGCAGCGGCCGAGGAAACGCAAGCGGTCTGGCTTTGCGGGATCCTTCGCGGGTGATAATGACACGGGTGGGAATACCAGTGTCAGGATTGTGAGCAATGAGCTTGTTTGCCAGAGTTTGATCCTGGGGAGGTTGTTGGCGCAGTAGCGTTAATATTGCTTTGGCCATTTATTGTTGGTTTTTTTTTCTTCTTTTTAAATGATTTGCTTATCATGTGAGAGTCTGACTCGATGTTGGATCGGCATGTATGGTCTTCATTGTTGACATTGCGAAAGCGAATATACCCCTCTACCTCATGTTTACCCCTGTTTGTTAAGTGCATATGTGCCGGTTATTGATTAGATCTAGCTATGAAAAAACAAGTGTGACAATCTGGTTTTCATCCTCTGTGGAACAGAAGAAATAAAAAAGAAAGAAACTTCAGACATGGTACATTTATACGGCTAGCAACATCTATAAATACAACAAGTTAAAGCACCGATTCCATTCCAATCCAATCAAGTCGACCGACCGAACGAAGAAAGAGAATAATATCTTGACATGTATCGTTTAGCGACCACCCTTGCCCTTCTTGGTCTTCTTCTTGTTCTTCAAACTCTTCATCTGGGCCGCGCGATCAGCACGAGCCTGTCTCTTCCGCCACGCCAACCAGCGATTCTTGCTATTATACGGCTTGGCCGTAATCCCCGCCTTCTCCGCAGCGCGACCAATCTGCCAATTCGCCTCACGGTACATATAACCCGGACGCAGCTGGGGTCCACCCTGCGCGGCGGTCGCAGCGTCCACGCTCGCAACCACAACACCATCCGCACCCACATGGGCCGTCAGATCGGACCGCGCGGGCGACTCATCAGCGATCTCAATCCGCGGCACCGCAACGCGGTTCAGCTTCCGCCGGCTGGGCGCATTCCGCGGCGTAGGCAGCTTGCCCTCCTTCTCGAAGCAGACGCCGATGAACTTGCGGTCCGGATGAAGCTCCGGGTCCAGGTAGTACCGCACGTAGCCGGCCTCCGTGGCATAGATGGTGTGGTCTCGGCCCAGCGCGCAGTTCTCGCCCGGGAACCACTTCGTCCCCCGCTGCCGGAAGATGATGCATCCTGGCACGACGTATTCTCCGCCGGAGCGCTTCGCGCCGAGGCGTTTGCCGGCCGGGTCGCGCGAGTGTCGGTTGCCGGCGCCTTGGGAGGCGTGAGAGGCGTGGCGGACTTGGGAGAGGGGGAGGAGGAGGCGGCTTGAGAGGGGCGATGGGGTCGCTGAGATTGGTCGCGGGAGGATGGACGAAGGTGTGATGGTTGAGGATCGGGTGAGGGATTGCGAGGAACGGAGAGATGGGGCGATGGCTCGTTCGAGCAGCCGCATGGGCGTTAAGAATCGGGACTGTAGCATTGTGGGCTATTGCGATTGGAACCCGTCCTGTGGTAGGAATTGCCAGGAGTGGATATGAGTCGGGATGGATCGAGAGTCGGAGATGCTGAGGCCTTTTTTCTCCCCGTGACCGAGTTCTTGGCGGGTCACGTGAACTGGCGCGAGTTGGCTTGATCGCCGACAGCAACGTAACCACCAACTATACATTGTACTTATTTCGATCGCATTCAAACTTTCTACAAGGATTACTCTAGTATAATATCCAGATTCGTCGCTCTTGAGAAATTACCACCAGACTCCCAGCTTCGCATTGGCAAAATGCTTCCCAACCTACTCCGCACCCTAGGAGCCCTGCTCCTACTGGTATCCGTCGCCCAGGCCCAGTTCCAGTTCTTCGAGCAAATGTTTGGCGGCGGCGGCGGCCGTCAGGAACAGCAGCGCGCTTCTCAGAACGTTCCCAGCGACAGCTCCCGGTATCAAAGCATGTGGGAAGGATGTACGTATCAGACCCCCCAATCATGTACTCCCGCAGTGGACTAATCGACGCTCTAGCACGATGCGATAAATACCTCTGTCCTGGCACACTGGCTTGTGTCCATTTCCCGCACCACTGTCCGTGTCCGCATTCCGATGTTGAGGAGAAGGTGGAGTTGGGTGAGGGCAGCGCTGTTTGTGTCTCGAAGGGGGGTTATAAGCCCGGGGAGGCGGCGCGGAAGATTGAACTGGCTAGGAAGGGGCTGCTATAATTGTTTGGATTGGTTCTTGCGTGGTCAAAGGGTAGTTGTTTGGTGTCTGAGATCCAGTGGTTATAGTTGTGCTCTATATCCAGTCAAGGTCAGCATGGCGTGTATCATGGTCCCGGAAGACTCATTACAAGTAAACTAAAAACACATAACAATACATTGATACCCCTGTGTACACCTGTTTATTCAACGAGCAATGAATCCAGCAACCAACAACCTCACATCTTCCATTGAATATGTCGTGAAGGTGCACTGGATGATAGCCCCCTCGACAAGACTCCTCGACCGGTTCGACAACGTCGTATATTCTCTCGAAACGTCGCATGTCGGAATTGATTGTAGCTTACATGGTGTTCAGCAAACAAGGCTGTCTTTGTCTGGATCAATTGTTCTTGTCCCAAGGTGTACAGAGCTATACTGATTCTCAAGAGAAAATGGCGGAAAGCCTTTGTACACAACTCGGAGCTAGACAATTTGATATCATGTAATCGAGCTTGAACTGTCCAATAACAACTTGTGGGAACACCTGTTGCTCAATGATGCTTGCTCAGGAATTTGAGATAATTGATACTTCACTTTCTCTTTAAGATATACTTTGAATAGAAAAAGACTGGTAAGCGTATTTAGAGGTAGAAAATCGATATTCCCACGTCTGTAACTGTACCATGCTCTCATAATCTTGTTCTAGTGACAGGCGTGTAGTTTCATGGCTTTGTTGGTGTTGGCAAGTTGTAACTCCATACTTGGAGTCGTAGCGGTGATGTGGGGAATTATCTCCGGGGTTAACTCCGCCGCCAGAACAAGTTCCGTCATGCTCTCTTCTGTAACCGCCACAACTACATCTCCTTCCTCTTCCTTGAATATCTACATTTCCACCTATTTCTTCTTGGATTCACAATACTAGGTGTCTTGATAACTTACTTCGCCGTATTGGCTACATTATACACCTACTGGACCATGTGGAGTGTCCAACTCCGACCGCACCCGGCGCGGTTGCTCCAAAAGCCCAGTCGAGCTTTCGCCAGCTCTCTCACTAGAGGACGAGTAAACCCTCGCGGCCCGCGCAATTCAATCCGAAGGCCAGAGCTTATCCGGAAACCAGGAGCTTCGCCGCGGCAACCTGAAACGTCGAATCCGCAGACAGATCAACCCAGCTCTGTCAATACAAACTATGACCCCGCGCACAACACCCTCCTGGCCCCAGTCCACATCCCAGAAGACCCCAATGGCGTGCTCAAAGAAACGCATCCGGCTACGAATCTTCTGGTGAACTCGGGGTTGGTGGTGCAACGGCAATTGGAGATGATGAATGTGATGATGTGAGTGGTTGTTCCATTTCTACGGTAGTTAGTCGGGTGTCAAGCTGACAGATGGATTTTCCGGCAGTGGTTTCGAACAAGCCAACAAATATGTCATTATGGATGCGAACGGGAATCATGTTGGGTACATGGCGGAGCAGGAACGGGGCATGGGTAACATGATGGCGCGGCAGTGGTTTCGAACCCACCGGAGTTTCGTGACGCATGTATTCGATAAGCACGAGAATGAAGTGTTGCGGGTGAGCACTCTCAACATAGATATGTTGCTACTCTTCGTTAGGCTCACAATGTCAGTTCCACCGTCCGTTCGCCTGGATCAACTCTCGCATCCGTGTGTATGATCCTCTCGATGTCTCCAACAATGTCCACTCCACCTCGACCGGTCTCCAGAACGTTTCGTCGGGCGCCCTTACCCAGGCCACCGATGCATCCAATGCTAGAGTCTCGCCGCTCGGGTTCGACGAGATGCGCGTGATCGGAGAGGCCCAGCAGCAGTGGGCGCCGCTACGGCGCAAATACAACCTCTTTACCTACCACCACTCCCCCAACCCTGCCACCGACATGGGTTCTACGCAATTGCCGCTTTCGCAGTCTGGACTCTCCCAGATGCAGCAACTGCAGTTGATGCGATCCGCCGGAGGTAGTGAGGATATGGGACAGTTCAGCCAGTTTGCCTATGTGAACGAGCCTTTCCTGTCGTGGGATTTCTCCCTCCGTTCGGCGGAGAACCAGTTGATTGGCTCGGTCAACCGTGACTTCTCTGGATTTGCTCGCGAGATGTTTACAGATACGGGAGTCTACGCGCTCCGAATGGATTCGGCCGCTCTCGCCCCTGGACAGGCACCAGGGCCGAACGACGCCGCCACGGGGATGACCCTGGATCAGCGCGCCGTCATGCTGGCGACCGCCGTGAGTGTCGATTTTGATTATTTTAGTCGCCATAGCAATTCGGGCGGTTTCGGGTTTATGCCGCTCTGGATCCCCGGTATGGGCGGCGAAGCAACCGCCGGGGGCACCGCTGCCGGGACCGCCGCAGGCGAAGCTGGGGCGGTGGGGGATGCCGCCGCGGGGACCCTTGGCAGAGCTGGAACCGCTGGAGGACTGGGCGAAGGAATGGCAGCGGGGGCCGCCGGGGCAGGGGCCATGGCTGGATACGATGCCATGTCCCGGGGCATGACGGGGGACAGCCAGGCACAGCCCCCACCCGATCAGCCGCCGGCTCCCATGGACCAGCAGCACCCGTCGGCGGGGCCAACCGGTCCTTATGGGGACACCTGGGGTGAACAAGCCGAGAAAGACCCATGGGGTCGGGGTGAAGAGGTCGAGAAAGACCCGTGGGGTCGTGATCAAGAAGATCCCTGGGGGGCCGAAGACCCCTCGGACGGAGGTGAAGGCGGTGGAGATGACTTTGACTGGTTCTAATGCATGTAATAGATAGCTCGCTCGATATTCCGGGCCTTTGTACTATATTCAAGGAGATATCACCGGGTGTAGAATAGTATATATTCATTCTTGGAGTGGACCGTACTGTAGCCTGAGGCATCAAAGGTCCCGATTAGGACACGCCGAGATCCGACCGGCGATTTGCAGTGGCAACAATTGGGAAAAGAAAAAGAAACGGAAACCCCATCATTCCTCGTCTCATTCGTTCATAAGTAGATATAACCGGTATCCCTCTCTATTTTTTGTTTCTTTCCTATCTACACTTTTCACTCTTTGCGGACCTGATCTACTTAGTCGCTGGTGGTTTTCACCCGGCAGCCCCACTCCGCCGTTCTCCGCAACCGCCATCACTCTACCAACATAAGTACACTTAACTAGAAGATCAATTTCCCGACTGCGCTCCTCACCAAATACAACAACCCCATTGATATCGGAAACTGTTCCTGCTAGACACCTCGTGCAGTCACCATCAATCTCATATCACCATGTCGTCCGTCGCTCAAAAACGTCTCTTCCACGAGTACAAGAACCTCTCAACCAACCCCCCGGACGGGATCACTGCTGGGCCCGTCACCGAGGACGACATGTTCCACTGGGAGGCTCTCATCGAGGGACCGGGAGGCACGCCGTTTGAGGGTGGAGTGTTCGCTGCCGAGTTGAAGTTTCCCAAGGACTACCCGTTAAGTCCGCCGACGATGAAATTCGTGGGAGGTGGGGTTTGGCATCCGAATGGTGAGTTTCTTCCCTCTTCCACCTTTCCCCTGTTGCAACAGTTTGAATAAGTAGCTGACGGAAATGCGTCCAGTTTACCCCAACGGAACCGTCTGCATCTCCATCCTCCATCCCCCCGGCGACGACCCCAACCACTACGAGCATGCGTCAGAACGATGGTCGCCCATCCAGAGCGTGGAGAAGATCCTGATCTCGGTGATGAGCATGCTGGCGGAGCCCAATGACGAGAGTCCCGCGAATGTCGAAGCCGCTAAGATGTGGCGGGAACGGAGAAACGAGTACGAGCGGAAAGTGCGCGACGAGGTGCGGAGAGGGTTGGGGTTGTGAAGTGAGCAGGGGGGTTGATTGATAAGGAGGGCGGAAGTGGAGGGTTAGACTTGGCTGGAGGAAGAGGAGGAGGGAAAGGTGGCTTCGTGCCATGCGTATATATATGCTCTATTTGTTGTGTTCGTGTTGTGTTCTCTTCGTCGCCAGGCGCTTGGTATGCATAGCTGGTCTCTGTTGTCGATGCATGCGTTCTTAATAGTCTTGGATTGACTGATGAAATTCGGGGCTGGCGTTCATGGCTTTTTCAGTTCGCTGTTGCGAATATATTCTCTTTCTATTTACCTTTTTTTTTTTTTCTTCTTCTTCTATCTGTTGATCCTATCGTACTCTGGTTTCTGCTGATCCCTGGGTTTTCATATGCACTTTCCACAGCCGGAGAACTAGGCATTCCACACGTCAAACTACAACTACTTCTAAGTATACAGTCATGTATGAACTCACCTTAGCCTGCATGATGACCACCCGTCAAGATCACAACAGCACCTCCATCCTCCGATCAATCCACCCCTCCAACCCCCCCTCCCGCTCATAAAGGATCTCAATCTCGGCCTTCACATTGAGCATAAGCATGCGTTGTAACTCCACACGCCAACCCAACTCAGGCCCGTCCACCGCGAAAACCGGATTCCTGCACAGCATAGTAACGATCTTTTTCCTGTCCCTGGCAGTCAGACGCATGAGCGCATCATCCCCACAGGGGTCCGCTCCCGCAACGACGGCCGACACGTGGAGGCCCAGACAGCGTAGACCGCGGACGTTCAACTGTGGGTTCTCGTGCGCGGCTGCCATCGATCCGTACTTGTAGGTTGCTAGGATGGCCAGTCCGTCAGGGTCTCCGTCGACTAGGGCGAAGAATTGTGGACGCCGGTGGGGTTGGGATTGGGAGGGCGCGTCGAATAGTTTCCGGATGAATGCTCTGGTGGAGTAATCGGGGTATCCTTTGCCCTGTGCTGTGTGTTGGCACAGGATGGCCGGGAGGGAAGAGCTTGAGGGATTGGAATGGGGTTATGCTTGCTTACTGTGATGAGAATGCCTTTTCCGGCTGCTGCTGTGTTGTGATATCCGCTTCCTACTAGTCGACGGTAGACAGCCTATGCTTGTTGGTATTGTGATGGAATGCGCATCCTACATATGGGGGAGAAATGTTCCATGCGTACCTCCTTTTCTAGAACCAAGATCCATTCTATGTCGGAGATATCCACCTCTATCGTCTCCTGTATCCGTGGTACGAGAGTGCTCTATTCCCGTCAATGAAGTCTATCCTCGTCGATTTCCTACTCAATCGGTGGAGGCAAACCTCAGAGTATTGGCGCGTCTCCGTGGGATGAGCTGATGGGTGAATCAGCTTGTATTGGCCCGCGACGAGTCCTTTTGCAGCTGCTTCCTTTGTTGACCCTTAAAGTCAGTGTCTGCCTTGTGAGTCTGTCATCTGCGAGGGCAGTCGATACCACGTTCAACGATGCCCGGTTCACGCCAATGGTGTAGGCGATGTCATCGACTAGGACGTCGACGACTCTCTGGGATCCGAAGCAGCCGGGGTCGCTGTAGTAGATATCTCTATGAGTAAAGAATGATCAGCCGCCAGCCGTCTATCAGATGGATATGAGACCTATTGATATTCACCGTTTTGACACCACTAGACCAGCGTGGAATGCATCGGCAATGGCCGTTAGAAGACGCAGGGTGATTGCTATGGTGAGTCCTAGTTAGGATTTCTCCCCCAAAGAATCGCATCCATGATCAATGTGCAAAGGATATAATAGATCTCATCTCACTGAATCTCCACGCTTCGAAGCAATCCTTTCCTGGCCAGGAATAGGTGAGAAGAGAGCCTGTGTCTGTGGTCTCCAGAGCACCACTGTTGGGGTTGATATGGAAGGCAACGTTTCCAGATCTGCGTCTCAGTGTGACTGAGGGCCTTCCATTGGCATCGGACATAGCGTTGAGGAGACCTGCGAGAGTGTCGTCTATGTACTTTTGGACTCGCTCTTGGTGGTGATTCTCGGGGGTTGGCTCTGTATTGTCCATGTGGCGATTGGTTAGGATTATATGTAAAGATATTGTTAATATACTTTGTATCAGTAATTTATTGATTGTCTCAGAGTAATTGAAGTAGTAGATGCCGTTGGGAATTACCTATTAAGGTCTGGCATGCAAGATGAGTTTATAGATCTGGTGGTTGTAGTCGGATATCTATATTCACAACACACTACTTGTTCTATACAAATGAACAACACAACCACTATTATTCCGACCGTAATATCCTACCATATAACATTATATCCACATCCCATCTACTTACACCTACTTCACCACCATACTAACTACTGATATATGGTATAGACAGTGTCAGTGATTGGTCAACGCATAGACTACCCCTGATGACTCAGCACCAATCGGATCCTTCCCTGATGCATTAATTGGCTGCGCAATTGAGGTGCATCCTGCATAAACATGACTAATCGCATTGTGATCAGGCAAACAGTTCGGCCTCGGACGATCTCCCAACTTCCCTTCTGGATCTCCTTTCCCTCTCGCCTTGATTCAATTGAACGGAGTCGTCGAAGGGTGATCGCTGACGTTTTGATCTTTTGACAGTCTTTTATCTTATACGACTTCTCCCCTAGATTTGTCTTCCTTCTAGCCGTCTTCTAAAAAGGGCAGAGGTCAAATAAAGAAATAAGGTCTAGTCTGGTTCATACCCTAGGCTCCACTGGTAACAATCGCAACTTACAACCATTGTACATCATCACCCGACGTCGGAAAATGACCGGGGAACACATTGGCCCATGGCGGACGGCCGTTCAGGGCCATTTATCTCCTGATACAAATGGGGACGCTCAAACGGACTACTCGCGGTGGAGGTTGCGCGATGATCGCGGTCGTCAGACCTGGCATTACCTCGAGTCGGACGAAGAGAATGAAGCGTGGGCGCAAACTGTCGCTGATAAGTATTTTATGGGCTTGCCCACCGTTCGTCTCCCGCGTGTTGATCAACTATTCGAAATCACAGACGTGGTGCTGACCTTCCGATACAGGGACTCCCAGACTTGCCGCCGGCAAAGACGCCGCTGCAATGCGCGGAGAATGGCTTGGAGTTCTTCTCCAAGCTTCAGCTCGAGCCCGGAAACTGGGCTTGCGAGTATGGTGGTCCCATGTTCCTCCTGCCGGGAGTGCTCATCACCTATTATGTGACCCATACTCCCATTCCGCCGGAGTATGCAACCGAGATCAAGCGGTATCTCTTCGCCCGCCAGAACCCGAACGATGGCGGCTGGGGTCTTCACATTGAGGCCCACAGCTCGGTCTTCGGAACTGCAATGAACTACGTTGCTCTGCGCCTGGTCGGCGTCGGTGAAGATGATCCGCGCATGATCAAGGCCCGTGGGTTGCTCCATAGCTTTGGCGGCGCCCTCTATGGACCCCACTGGGCCAAGTTCTGGCTCAGTATTCTGGGAGTCATGGAGTGGGACTGCGTCAATCCTGTACCCCCCGAGATCTGGTTAGTTTTGTGACTCTACACCTGACACCGGCCTGTCCTATGCTAACCCTATTCTCCAGGCTCCTCCCGGACTGGGTTCCTTTTGCCCCGTGGCGGTGGTGGATCCACATGCGCCAGGTTTTCCTGCCCATGTCATATCTCTGGTCCAAGCAGTTCTCCCACCCCTTGGATTCGTTGACCAAGCAGCTTAGACAAGAACTGTATACCCAGCCGTACGACTCGATTGACTTTGCAAGCCATCGGAATTCCATCCACGAGGCTGATAACTACTACCCGAAAACATGGCTCCTGAACCTGGCCAACCAGGCCCTGGTCCACCTCTGGAATCCCTACTTCCGGTTGAACTCCGTGGTCCGCCGCGCGGAGGAGTGGACCTGGGAGTTGATCCGGATGGAAGACGAGAATACCGACTATGCGGGGCTGGGACCCGTGAGCAACCCGATGAACATGATTGCCTGCTACATCCATGACGGTCCCGATAGCTATTCGGTCCGTCGTCACCGGGAGCGTCTGAACGACTACATGTGGATGAATAACGAGGGCATGCTCGTGAACGGCACCAACGGCGTCCAGGTGTGGGACACGGCTTTTATCACGCAGTGCATTGTGGTGGCCGGGTTTGCAGACGACCCCAAGTGGCGCCCCATGCTCACCAAGGCCTTGGAGTTCCTCGAAGATCACCAGTTGCGCGAGAATGTGCCGGACCAGGAGAAGTGTTACCGCCAGCACCGGAAGGGCGCCTGGCCGTTCAGCAATAAAACCCAGGGATACACCGTGAGCGATTGCACCGCGGAGGGCTTACGCTCCACCATTCAGCTGCAGGACATGCATGGCTTCCCGCGCCTAATCTCCTTGGACCGCCTCAAGGACAGCGTGGACTGCTTGCTCCTGATGCAGAACCCTTCCGGTGGGATTTCCGAGTACGAGACGAGGAGGGGATCGCCCAAGATCGAGTGGTTGAATGCTGCCGAGGTGTTCGGGGGGATCATGATCAGCTACGACTATCCCGAGTGCACGACGGCCACCGTCACCGCCCTCTCGCTGTTCAGTCGATTTTACCCAGACTACCGCGCCGACGAGATCCGAGCCGCCAAGGACAAGGCCGTAGCGTATATCAAACGGGTGCAGAGAGATGATGGGAGCTGGTACGGCTCGTGGGGCATCTGTTTTACCTACGCAGCCATGTTCGCTCTGGAGAGTCTGACCAGTATTGGGGAGACGTACGAGACGAGCGACTATTCCCGCCGGGGCTGCGAGTTCCTTCTATCTAAGCAGAAGGAGGATGGCGGCTGGGGAGAGTCCTATCTCAGCAGCGAGCGACACGTCTACACCCAGCACGAGACATCCCAAGTGACCCAGACCGCCTGGGCGGCTCTTGCGCTGATGGAGGCGGGCTACCCGCACAAGGAACCGCTCCGCAAGGCCATGCAGTTGATGATGTCGCGGCAGCAGCCCAACGGTGAATGGCTGCAGGAGGCCATTGAGGGGGTGTTCAACCAATCCTGGTAAGTGCGCTGAAGAAAACCGAGTTGAAAGAGAATTGAAACGAAAGAAACTGACTGATCCGTGTCCAGTATGATCTCCTACCCGAACTACAAGCTCTACTGGCCCATCCGGGCTCTGGGGCTGTACAGTAAGAAGTTTGGCAATGATGAGCTGGTCTAGGGGCGCTGGGGGGATTTCATATATCTAGTAATGTGTACGTTTTGCAAAGCGCTACAAGTTTAATGTTATAATTCTACATAATACCATGATCCGACCGTTCCGTTCTATAGATTTCCAATATTTTATATCCAGATCTGTATATATGAGGTAATCACGACCAGCTGAAGCTGTGGCTGACTAAGCTCCTCCCCCGCAGGTCCAGAAGGTGATGGAATCTCCAACAAGAACGCCTGCAGCTCTCTCACTACTGTCAATGCAGACTCTCTTCATACAGGACTTCTATTCTCGACCTCATACACAGTGAATAGTCAATCATCAAACACACCCAACGAATTTAACTATCCGGCACCATGAACTCCGCATCACAGGGCGAAGCGGCGCTCGCGAGCTCCGACTTCCCCAGCGCAATCCGGTGCTTCACCCAGGCACTCGTGGAACATCCCCGATCCCCGACCTACTACATCAAGCGCTCGACGGCCTTCTCCCGACTTAGACCCGCAGATGGCGGTCCCAACCACGCCGCCGCCCTGCGAGATGCCGAAGTCGCCTTGACGCTGGCCCAAGAGCGCGGCAGACGGGAGCTGATCATGTCTGCCCAGATGAGGCGCGGTGTCTCGCTGTATCAGGCGGGGAAGTACGGTGATGCGGATTACCTTTTCGGCTGGATTCAGCAGAAGATTGCTCCTGGGGGGGAAGCGGCGAAGAATGGGGCGGGTAAGGAGGGGAAGATTCAGGATGCGATGGCTGCTAACAAGGGCTCGTCGTCGGCGTCCTCGACTAAGTATGAGCAGGAACTGCCGATTTGGAAGCTTAAGACTGCGGGGAGTCTGCGCAAGTTGGCGGAGGATGATCCCAGTCGGGCTGTCACCGTTTCGGAATACCCCGCCGGCGTCCGCGTTCCGTCGGAGAAGGAGTTAAAGGGGGAGCTAGAGGCTTTGAAATCTGGGAAGGTGGATGGCGTCCAGGCACAGGCTGGGTCGGCTGGAGAAGCTAAGGGTGGAGAGTCTGCGGCGGTGAATGCTGCGTCGGCTTCGACAGGTGCTGGAGGCCAGGCTGCGCATGGCGCTCAGACGTCTACGGCAGCACCTTCGGCGGATAAGGTCAGACACGAGTGGTATCAAACGAATGATACTGTCGTTGTCACCATATACGTGAAGGGGATTCCGAAGGACAGCGTGGACGTTGATATCAAAGAAGACTCGGTACAGTCCCTCTCACCCGGTGTGCATACCAGACAGTACACTAACCGACTATCGACCAATAGATAACCCTACAGTTCCCATTGCCCTCAGGCTCCGAATACGACTTTACACTGGACCCTCTGTTCGCACCAATCGACACAGCCACATCCAAGCTCTCTGTCATGTCCACCAAGCTCGAAATGGTCCTGCGAAAGCAGACCCCCGGCCAGAAATGGAGCACACTGGAAGCCTCCTCAACGAACGTCAAGATATCCGATCGCGCGGCGGCCTCAGGAGCAGCACCCGCCAGCACTCCCGGACCCGCGTACCCATCCTCGTCGCGCCACGGGGCCAAAGACTGGGACAAGCTCGCCTCGACCCTCACGGCGAAGAAACCCTCCAAAGAGAAAGGCAAAGAGCAAGGCACAAAGACCGACGACGCAGGCGACGAGTCGGACGGGGCCGAATCGGTGGACTCGGACCTTGGCGGCGATGCGGTTGATGGGTTCTTCAAGAAGCTCTACGCCGGCGCGGACCCGGACACCCGTCGCGCTATGGTTAAGAGCTACGTCGAAAGCCAGGGCACTTCGTTGAGTACTAACTGGAGCGAGGTGGGCCAGGGAAAGGTGAAGGCTCATCCTCCTAGTGATTGATTTGGTTTGTCTAATTGTTCGTTATCGGGGCGTACATACCAAGAGCGAGTGCTTTCACGAAACGAAAGGAGGGTGGGAGGTAAAAACAGCATCGATCGGAGTTACGACGGCATCATAATCATGATCATTATTATCATTACATCTAGCGCGCAATCATGTACTCTTTCATTTTAGTTTAGTCCTTTATCCCGGCATTTTCAAACCGATTTCCATCAAAGGTCATTCAGTTGTAATTTCCTCCGTCCTCTATATATACAAAAGTAATGGATACTCCCATTCCCATCCTTAAAACCCAGAACGCCCGGATAAAAGCAACACCCCTTCGTAAAAATCCCCCCACAACGCATATGCATGAATTTTAGTAGTATGCAACCCTAGTCGCTCACCCCCGACTACTCTCCCCACTAGCCTCTTCATCCGATTCTCCACCCTCCTGATACAAGAAAAACTGAACAAAGATGCACATGTCCAAAAACAAGGTCCCAAAACTGCCAATCAACCAGGAGAGGTTAACGAGAACATACCGTCCGTACTGCGCAGCGGCGTCATCCGGGCTACAACGGCCACCTGTCTCAGACGGACAGACGGGGGAGTAGGCAAGGATAGAGAGCACGTAAGTCAGATTGCCTATGCAAGCAAACAGGAAGAAAAGCAGCGAGACGCCGTCCGTGGACTTGCGGCGATAGTTAAGCAGGATCTGGGGAAGCCGGGAGCCGAGGTAGAGGACGGCGCAGAGGTAGCCGAAGATCTGGCCGAGGGTGTCGAATTTGAGGGAGTCGTCTGGTGTGGACGATGGGTCTTTGGGTTTGGAGGGCGAGGAGGCCGGGCTCACGTACCAGCCTAGGATGCCGGCTGCGCAGACGAGAGCGACGGCGGAGGTCTTGATGAGGATTGATTGGAGGGTGCTGATTTGGCGGGCTCGGCGGGCTTTGGTCTTGGGGTCGGTGGGTTCGATGAAGGGTGTTGCTGGGGAGAGGTGCGTTCCGTCTACTATGGGGTGGAGGAGGGAGGACGCTGCTGAGTGGCGGCGGTGGGTTGTCGGGGAGAGGAGTGGAGGCGGTGCGTGCTGGGGTTCTGGGCGAGGGTGTGGTGCGGGTGAGGTGTCGACTGGTAGGATTGCGCGTTTTTCCTGGACAGTAAGGCTGTGCGCTCGGATGACACGCCGGTGTCGCCGGCGGCAGAAGAAGTGTTTCCAGGGTCATTGGGCCCGCTGTCCTCTGCGCGAGATGCTGGCGAGGATGGCTCCTGCAGGGTGAATCCACGGTAGTAGAAACATTGTCCGAGTAACACGATGTCGGCGAGAGTATAGTACACGGCTAGGATGACCATCGTCGGCAAGACCCCCTGGAGAACCGCTCCAAGGATATTGAATACATCGCCCGCCAGCCACACGATGAGGAATAGAAGCGAAAGGCCATCTGCAGAGCCGCGGCGAAAGTTTTCAATGATCTGGGGGGAGAAGACGACGACCCAGCAGGTAATGGATATAGAGCTATAGTAGTGGTTAGCAGATGCTTCAGTTTCCTCTCCCACATCTTCTGCTATTCTTTCCCTCTTTGTTTCTTTTTCCCCGGGGAACAATGCTTACCCACAAATGCCGCTCAGCGCCTCAAGATCAACGTTACCCAGTTGCGAGGGAAACATAGTGAGAGCGGCGCCAGAAGGCTAGATTGACACCAACTCGCCGTTCAGCCACACTGTCCTGTAAATTGGAGAGCACTGGAGAGTCTATTTGAAGAGCGAAGGAGCCAGATGGACTGGGAATGAAAGAAGCCCTGACAATGACGTCTTGAAGACTCTGCGGGATCACGTGGTGATATCCGGGGAAACTTCCGCTATGTTCGTATGACGATGTATGGATCGTCCCAGAAACCAGACAGATCGCATACACCAGCAATAGTATTGGCTTTTCAGACTGCCACTCTGATATTAGCGAACATGCCAATATGCAATTATAACAGTCCTCGAGGGAGTTACTCCTGTTCGCGACATTGAAAACGGCCATGTCATGTGATCGTTATCGATAAGATGTCTATTAGTCATCGGTGGGTCGTCCTGCTGTTTCGCGCAGAAGATGAACTGAATGATTCAATCCATCTTCAAGATTGGACCTTCCATAGAACGGAAGGAAGTCACTTGCCTCATTTGCTTCAAATGAACGAGCTGTGACATCGGCCGTGCACTCCACACTAACTCTCGAGCTGTATCAGCCAAGCATGTGTCTTCAATGACGAAACCCTCGATCCGAATCCCTTTGACTGGGCCGCTGCCTTCGCCGATCATTGTTCCCCCGTCCGCGCGCACGCTTGCTGGGGCCATCGATGCTCTCGGATCTTTCCTGACGGCCTCTCCGTCTCCGTATCTGCGTGGGGTCGATGTCGGGCGTTACTCTCAGACGGTCCTTTTGACCGGCGCTGGCATCTCCGTCGCATCAGGTCTGTCGGACTATCGAGGGGAGAACGGCACGTATGTCACCAACAAGCATTATCGGCCGATCTACTTCCATGAGTTTGTGCGACAGCATGAGTCCCGCAAGCGGTATTGGGCTCGGAGCTTTGTCGGATGGCCGGGTCTGCAGAAAGCCAAGCCCAACACAACCCACGAGGCCATCCGGGACATCGGCGCCAAGGGCTACATCAGCTCCGTGGTGACCCAGAATGTCGACTCGTTTCATTCCATCGCACATCCCACGCTGCCCACCTTGGAGCTTCATGGCTACTTGAGGTCTGTCGTGTGCACGAGCTGCCGCAATCAGTTTTCTCGGGAGGAATTCCAGAAGTCGCTGGAGAAGCTCAACCCCGCCTGGGCCGAGTTTCTGGAGAAGGTGGTCACGAGCGGGGCACTCGACACAGACAACCCTGTTGAGCAACGACGGAAGGGTCTCAAGCTGAATCCGGACGGTGATGTGGATCTGGCCGAGGCTCCATATTCTACTTTTCGATACCCACCATGTCCTACGTGTGTGGAGAAGCCTCCTCGTCTTGAAGATGGCACACGGACCAACGTTGACGTTGAAAACGATGGAGCTTGGCTGCCGACGTCTACTGCTGGGGTGTTGAAACCGGCCGTCATCATGTTTGGAGAGAACATCGACCCGGCAGTCAAGGTCGCCGCAGAGGAGGCCATCGATGATGCTGGAAGACTCTTGGTGCTTGGCAGTAGTCTTGCCACCTATTCGGCCTGGCGTCTAGTGGACAGGGCCCAGAAACGCGGTATGCCCGTCGGTATCATCAATCTGGGCGGTGTCCGAAATGAGTCGGTCCTCTTTGGTGAATTGGCACAAGGGAAAGGAGATCCGATCGGATCCCAGCACATACGTTGCAGCCTCCCCTCCGAGTCGATTCTCCCAGCGGTTGCGTCACAGTTGCCCGATCTCCATCACAGGATGTATTAAGTCCATGCAGGGGGGGGAAGCCATAGACCGCGCAGACTGTATAATATTGTCCAGGATAGACCACCTATCGGAGTGCCTACCCTCCATGGGGACTCGGCTGATCCAGTGTACATAATGTGTGAGTGACTGGATGCATTACCACAAAGCGTAAGCGCCAGAAGACCAGCTAGAGTTCCGAATATGCATGATGATAAGCAATGATTTGCGAAGAGTGACCGTGATAGATGTAAGCGCCAGGAAGGGGAAGGCGGTGGGAGAGACGGACTATCGCGGCCGCGGGAAACGTGGGAAGCCCCGCGCTTGCGGGAATCCAGACCATCTCTCTCTCTCTTCTTCTTTACTGCAACTTATTCTTTTATTATCAACAACTCTTTCTCCTCTCTTCGACCTGAGTATTTGATTATTTATATGGACATCACCAACAACACCCCCCTTCGTACTGCCAGTTCATCCTCCACCACGCGCGATCCCATCCCTCAGATCGTTTCACCCAAGTTCTTCCTCTTCCCCACCCATTCGCAACCACGCCCGACAGTTGTCTCCGCATCATCAGCCATGGATAAACAACCTAGCTCGTTCCAACAGTTGGAAAAGGTAGGCGCATAATTTTCCTCTCTGTCTTTGTCTTCTTGGCCGGACTAGGAATCGTGTGATCATCGACTAACCGTGACTCCGTTATCTCCAGCTTGGCGAAGGCACTTATGCCACCGTACGTGAAAATCACTCTGATATCCTCTCACTCCTTGCGAATTTGAGATCTACCTCCATCTCTTCCGCTCTTTCCATCGATTCATAATGTAACCAGTTTGAAAACAGGTGTTCAAAGGGCGAAACCGGCAGACGGGTGAGTTGGTAGCTCTGAAAGAGATCCATCTCGATTCCGAGGAGGGGACTCCGTCGACGGCCATTCGTGAGATCTCGTTGATGAAGGAGTTGAAACACGAGAGTATCGTGTCGCTTCATGATGTCATCCACACGGAAAACAAGTTGATGCTGGTCTTCGAGTACATGGACAAGGATCTCAAGAAGTACATGGATACCCGGCCTGATCGGGGCCAACTGGATCAAGCGACGATCAAGTCGTTCATGCATCAACTTCTCAAGGGCATTGCGTTCTGTCATGAAAACCGGGTCCTTCATCGCGACTTGAAACCTCAGAACCTCTTGATCAACAAGAAGGGCCAGTTGAAGCTGGGGGATTTCGGCCTGGCTCGTGCTTTCGGTATTCCCGTTAATACCTTCTCGAACGAAGTGGTGACGCTGTGGTACCGTGCCCCCGACGTCCTTCTCGGCAGCCGGACGTATAACACGAGTATTGATATCTGGTCGGCCGGGTGCATCATGGCGGAGTTGTACACGGGCCGTCCCCTCTTTCCAGGGACCACGAACGAGGACCAGTTGCAGAAGATCTTCCGCCTAATGGGCACGCCGTCAGAACGCTCGTGGCCCGGGATCTCCCAACTGCCCGAATATAAGCCGAATTTCCATGTCTATCCGACCAACGATCTTGGCGTCATCCTCCCCCAGATCGATCCGCTCGGACTCGACCTGTTGAATCGCATGCTCCAGCTCCGACCGGAAATGCGGGTTAGCGCGCATGATGCGTTGCAGCATCCCTGGTTCCATGATCTCCCGCAGTTGCAGGCACAATTGCAGCAACAGCAGCAGCAACAACAACATCAAATGGCAGGCTCCTATGGAGGCATGATCCCACCGCAGCAAGCATATTAATTCGAGTTTGGGTTTTGTTTTGACCTCCTCTTGGGGGAAGCAAAGGAGACGTATCGGGGCGGCTGGCTTCCTCCTCCCTTTGTTCCTCGTCATCCCATTTTCTTTGTGCCGTGTGCATGTTATGGCCGGCCAGGTGCGACGAGATGATGAACACATTAGTATAACTGGAGAGTGTGGCGTTGTTCTTGGCAAGGAAATTCATTGATTGTCTTTTGTTCCTGTTTATTTTTTTTTACTTTATGTTTTACTTAAATCTGTTTTGTTTGATTCTATCTGGGCGATTTCTTTGTTCTCACCATGCATCGGGGTGACCACTAAGAGGCACGCCACTTTGCTTGCGACACTTATTGATTGTTACTTGAATTCAGCGACTGGCGAATGAGACTAATTGGAACATCTTCTGAAGCAACCCGATTCTACTACCTTCCCAACTGGATAATACTAGTACAAGTAACCATTGTTCCTCCCCTCGACTTGGTCACTTGGAAGAATCTGCGCATCAGCTGGTGATACTTGCTGAACAGCAATATAAGCTACTAGACAACAGTCAACACGTGCTATACATCAATCAGAGCTGAAGACCATCGGCGGATGAATGATCACGAATGCAATAGTCCAAACCCCTGGTCCAGTTGACTGGATAGAGTTCATGCAGAACACAGCCACGGGGTGAAAGGCCATGAGGACACTAGCCATTTCTTGATCATGAAGATTCCACGCCGATGCCGGGCGACTTGACATTTCTTTGTTGTATAAGCCCTAGCATATAGTCCCATTCCCGGTTTGAGGCAGAGCCCGACTTCCCCAGGCTCTGGTCTCACAGTCCCACTATCCTTCTTTCTTGATCTGCACAAGGTTGCCTATCAGTCTAGAGGATGGACCATTGACCTTGGCTTTTGGGTTGTACCTCTTCTCATATGCCTGTCCCTCAAAGAAGAGACTATGTGACTCGCGCGGCATTAGGAACCATTCGGGTCCTACATGAACAGCGCGTTGACTTGATTTAGAAAGTGTAGAGCATAGTCCGTGCACATTGATTGAATGATGAGTTCCTAGTCGACCTAGACGTGCGACAAAGGCATGCTCAACTGGGTATAGGGTTTGGACGCATGATCACAGCTGCCCTCATGGGTAGGAACTGATCAACACTGAGGCGCCCTTCGGTCCACGGTTGGTGGAAAGGACCCAAATGTAGTACTGATATGTACGGACCGCTTACCTTGGGACGAACTGCCTCGCGCACAGCCTGGCCCTTCCTTTTTCTTTATCCCATATGCTCGCTGACTATAACCACATATATTATATGCGGTGATTCCATCCGGGTCGGACCCCACCTCCGGTTGAAAGGCTATGCTACTCTTTTCTTCTGGATTGGTGATCTGACTGGATTGTAGGGCTCACACCCTTGTGAATTCCTGTATATATCTAGACGTGGTATACAAAGACATCTGGACATCCCAAACCCAAAACAGACACCATGACAGTGCTACCACACCAACGATATGCCATCGGATTCACAGAGCGTGTCTGCTCCGTCGTCTCTCTGCTCGGAACGGCCGTCATCGTCATCTCTTTCCTCTCGTCGCCCTCCTTCCGCAAGCCCATCAACAGGCTGGTCTTCTTCGCCTCCTGGGGCAACATGATGACCAACATCGCGACGATTATCTCGGCAACAGGGATGCAAGCAGGGTTCAACACCCCTCTGTGTCATTTCCAAGGCTTCCTGATTCAATGGTACGTCGACCTATCCCGAGCTGTCTGGCCATGCCTTTTAAGTCAACGCACTTTACAGGTTCATGCCGGCCGATGCGCTGTGGACGTTCGCCATGGCCTGCAACGTCTACCTCACATTTTTCCACAAGTACAACTCAGAACGACTGCGCCAGCTCGAGTGGAAATATCTGCTCTTCTGCTACGGCCTCCCGTTCATCCCGGCTTTCACGTATCTCTTCATCGTGAGCGAAAGCCGAGGGGCTATATACGGCTCAGCCACCGTGCGTCTCCTTCTAAACCCAACCCCACAGCCGCCAGCTCGAATGCAAATTAACTAATCGCTCTAGCTCTGGTGTTGGGTCTCAGACTCCTGGGACTTCCTCCGCATCGCAACCTTCTACGGCCCCGTCTGGTTCGTGGTGTTCCTGACATTCGTCATATACGCGCGCGCCGGCAGCGTCATCTACAAGCAGCGACGACAGCTAGAAGAGATCGGCGGGCACGACTCCGGCCTTGACGTTGAGAGGCCCCTCCGACGAGGTCTGACCAGGACGACCGAGATCCGCATCACTAGCGAGCCAACACACAGGGACACCGAAGCAGGTCGGACCGTGGCTGCCGTCGTGTCCAGTCGTGTCCAGTCGCTGTACGACCCTTACTCGGTCTCGATTGAGGGGGGTGGCATCGCCAGGCCGGAGTGCTGCGTTGTCGCTTCGAAGCAGGTTGACCAGGGTGACCTCGAGCAGTGTGTTACTGCTACCACTATTGCTTCTCCTCTTTCTCCTTCTCCTCCGCCTCTCCCGCCTACTACTCCTTCTCTTCAACGCCGCCGTGTGCGCTCAGACGCTAGCTCTGCGGCGTGGGTGTACACCAAGTACGCCATTCTTTTCTTCTGCGCGATGCTAATTACATGGGTATGTATCCATTCTCTTAATATGTCCTTGTCAAACCGCTACAAAACCACTCACTCGCTCACTCACCACTCCATAGGTACCATCGACGATCAACCGAGCGTACGGGATTTTCAACCCCGGGGATTTCAACTTTGCGTTGAATTACGTGTCTAGCTTTGTGTTGCCATTACAGGGGTTCTGGAATAGTATCATCTATGTGTCGATATCGTGGCCGGCTTTTAAAGAAGCGTTTGCGCGTTTGAAAAAGGACCGGTTGGCGGGGCCGAGACAGCGCAGCGATATGAGTGTTAGGGAGAGGGCTGGGGGGAGGTTTCATGCTCAGCCTTTCGGGGTGGATGAGAGGGAGTTGTTGTCGGATTAGTTGATTCTTTCTAGTCCTTTATATAGGGTTAATCGGGAATACAATATATATATACTTCAATCGCATTGACGTTTTAAGGGCATTGAGAGTGCATGTGGCTGCTATACTGGGTGCTGTAATATGCATATATATGTGTAGACAATGATCATCTAATTATAATAGTTATGGTATTTATATATCCCTACCCTTGCAACGATATATACTAACCATCATATGCTTGCCATCAAGTCTATACAGATCACGTGTCCCACGCGTCCCGAGGCGGACGGATCCTTATCGCAACCCGCGCGACGCATAATACAACAACACCTCCACCAAATCCCTCGCGCGAAAACCAAACTCCCCAAAAAAGAGAATCCAAATCATTCCAACCAACGAGCCACACACAGCATGCCCGACCAGTTAAGCACAACCAGCCAACGCCGCCGCGCCTCCCGCGCAGCAGCAGCATCCCCCTCCCCGCCGCCCCCAGCCCCCGTCGCCCAAACGCCCGGCCCGCGCGCATCGCGTCTCCAAGCCGTCTTCGAGCAGGCGCTGGCGCGCACGCTACGCGCGAACTCCTTCGCGAATTTCTCGGGGTGTTTTCCTACCCCGGCGACGCATGTCCCCGGGAGTCTGGAGTCCGTGTGGAGGCAGTTGAACGCGAAGCTGGAGGAGAGTGCCAAGGCGGAGTTTGAGGATATTTTGCATGAGAGAAATGCGATTGGGCAGTTGAATGAGCTTGATCGGTTGGTGGGGGAGGCGCGGTTTAGGAGGGATAATTATGATAAGGAGGGGGAGGGGGGGGAGGGGGTTGTTGCGTATGTTTTTCTCTCTTTTTCTTCTTCTTCTGGGTGTTGAGGTTTATGGGTGTTGGTGGTGGTGGATGGCTAATTGTTTGTATGTTGCAGACCGCATACACTCTCTCCGGATGAGCTTTACAAGGCCCGTCTTGCGCCCTATTTGCAGGAAGCGCAGGAGGCGCTGGACGTGAAGATCGAGACGACGCATGCTCAGAACGAGGAACTGTCGCAGAAGGTCCAGGCCCAGCGGATGGAAATTGATAGTCTGTTGAAGAATCTGGAGGCCGTGGTTGGTGACCTCGAGGGCGCTGCTGCTGCTGCTAGCCAGTTTACCTCCGAGAGTGATCTCCGCAAGGATGCGATACAGATGGAGGAAGAGCTGCGGACGCAGTCTGAGAATTGATGCGTGGTGGAAGGTTTGTCTTAGGTTTGGGAGCGGAGGATGGTAGTATGGGTAGGTACACTTTTCTTTTCCCTTCTTCGGTCTTTTGGTTCATGACATTGATTCCATTATTTGGTCGGTTCTTACAGTGACGGCTATATTACAACAATAAGGCTTCCATATCTGCCGGGGGTATCCATCCGTCTTCCACCACGTCTTCGGCCACCGCCAACAGCTCCTTGGGAGCTGTAGCCTTGAGATTGGCCAGTTTCTCTTTTTCACCGCCCAACGCAGCTGCGATCGCCTCCTTGCACGTCGCGTCTCGTTCCTCGTCTGTGGCTCCGTCCCTGCGGGCGAGAGCGGCCGCGCCGCGGTAGTACGTCTGGGCATTCCGGAGAAGGACGGCGCCGTTCTGCTGGGCGGCTGGGTACTCCCACGGCGACGTGCCGAGTTTCCATCGGTTCATTTCACCGTCACCCCTGGCGAGATGAATCTTGGGCAGGTTCTCGGCGCTGGGAAGCTTGGTGGCTTTGGTCAGGCTGTCCAGGGCGGCTGAGAGTGCTTCCCATCGCAGAGTCAAAGCATTCGCAAAAGCGTCAGGCCCTTGAGACGGCGGCAAGTCGCCAACTGCCGTGTTGAACGCCAAGAGCGCGTCCGCCTTGCTGCAGAGACCGTCGGGGTCGGACGAGATATCCAAGTCGGGACCGTACGCGCGGCTGATTACCTGGGAGTACGTTTCGACGTCGATCCTCTCACCGCGGTAGAGGACCTCGTTCAGGGCGCAGGCGAATTTGGCCCGGGCCAGGTACGCCTCGTACTGTCTGTTTGAGTCCGCGACGTAGGCAGTGATCTTCTCTTGGAGCGAATCGGACGAGTACTCTTCGACCCACGCCAGCCCGACGCCGGGATCGAAGGTCAGCAGATTGCAGAGCGCTGTCAGCGTGTCCAGCTGCGCCACGGCGGTGTCGACTAGGGTATCCTTGGTGATGGGCTCCACGATAGCGGCCCACTGCTCCTGTTCCGGTTCTTCGGAGGGTTTCTCCTCGCCTGCGGGCTCGGCGTTCGACTGCGACTGTTGCTCCCCCTGCTCCTGGGCGTCCATTTCGCCAGATTGGATCTGCTTGATATGCTCCTGCATCTCGGTATACCGCATCTCCTGCAGCAGCAGACACCGCTGGAACAGCTCGACAGCCTCCTGCAGGAAGTTGGCCGCCTGGGAGAGCCGGTCCCCGGAGGGATGTTTGGTATCGGTGATGGCCTCGGCCAGACTGGTCAGGACCTGGGCGGTGTTGAACAGGGTGTCGGCGTTGTCTTGCTCCATGGCGAGGGCATCGCGGTGGGACTTGAGGGTGATGTTGAGGATGTCGACCAAGGGAGCTGGGAGTTGGGAGGCGAGTTTGGGGTGTTGGGTGATTTCGTATTGGACGCGGGCTCTGGTCGTTATTAGTTATGGTTTAGGGTTGATAATGAATTGACTGGTTGGTGATGGGATTGAACATACTTGTTGTACGCGAGATCAAAAGCATCGGGGTGCTTTTTTAAGCCCTCGTCGTAGGTAGCGATGGCGCGCATGAAGAAGCGCATGGATTTGGCGGCGTCGCCGGCGCGCCATTTCTCGCCTGCTTCTTCCTGTTCGACGCCGACTATTCGGGTTGATTCAATATTAGATACATATGGAGGATAGAGAAGGGTGGTCAAGGGTTGGTTATAGTAGGATAGCATCCCACCAGGGAGGAGGGAGACTAGACATACCAGCTAGATACTCATCAGCTGACTCTGGGCCCTAATCATTACGGTCAGCCATCATATCTAGGATAAGAGGCTCTCTGGAGTAGAGAGGAAGACTGACCTTCTGAACCGCCGCTTTCTTCTTCAGCTTGGGCTCTCTCAAGAAGGACTTTGGTTTCGGCATGGTGGATATCAAGCATGCAGTTCAGTATTGCTTTTCTTGCTTTCTTCCTGTCACTTCTTCTAGTTTGATATTGTGTTGTTTGTCTTTGGATCAGGGAGCTAGGTGGGAAAAAAAAAAAAGAATGACGTCTGTTTCAATTGGTTTATTTTCCGTATTTTTCATTTCGGTTCGTTATCAATCGCCGTGGGGTTATCTTACACCGCCATCCACACCGCTCAGTCTAATATCATCTTATGCACATTATGTCTGGAGGAGCCTGAGGACTGAGGTACTGATCATATTGATATATGGGTACCTTAGGATTGGGATCTATATCAGCTACTAGGTTAAGATATATATGGATTGATGAAATATATGATCATCATCTGAAGAGACCACAGGATGAATGACCAGGGAAAGCAAGTATAGTATAAACTGACCCTGTTGGATAAATCCTAATTATACCCAGACTAACAGCAACTACTAGTTACTGATGATTATCTAGTTGGTTAGCACACTGATCAACATCCCCAAGTGGGCGATGTAAGACATAATGCGCCGTACACAGACTACGGAGCACAGGAGGGTCATGTCGATCTTCCACCAACGGTTTTTGAACAACGGATTTCCATTCTCCAGTAATTGCCCGTAATGATACCTCACACAAGACAGAAATACGTAACCGTAAAGTAAAAATCTCTGAAGAAGGGCTAGACAGTTAGTGCTGAGTTGAGGAACTAACACTGGGTCAGATTCTAACCGTCCTCGGCTGATGCTCGCGTGGCTTCAGGCACGTGGCGGAGAATCCTGGTTATTTTATCATTTATTATTCTTGTTTGTTCTGATGTTATTCTGACGATTGTTATACTTGTTCTTGTTCTTGTTCTTGTTCTTATTCTACTTATATTTGATTATATATGATTATTGTTGTGATTATGATATTATTACTATTTTGAATTTGCAGTTGGCCTGTCTCTATAAGGATATAACCTGTCACCATAATTCTCATTATATATAAAGATATAAGGATCATAAAGTAATAACAAAGATGGATAGGAGGTGGCATGACAGGATAGTACTAATTTATGCTAATAGATTTTGACTGATTTCCCCACGTCTGCTCCGGCTTCAGTCCTTCATTGATCGTCCGTTCTTTTACTTCTCTGGGCTGATTTTCATTTTACTTTCTTTTTCTTCTCTTTTCTTTTCTTGGTTGTTGGTTCTGATTCAGACTGGTCTCTAACTTCTGTCCTTTAATATTATTTGAACATATCTGACTCCCCCTTATTCCTCCGTAGGGATTGAGGATACAGGATATCTGGATTCCTTCATGAACAGATATAATAAATCTACCGGTAATAACCTGTATCAACAAGTCAACAGTATTTATCTATAATTCTACGAAAACCCACCGACAATCATCCACAATCATCCCAAGTTAGGCTGTTTCGCATGGCCGAGTGAGGTTAAATCAACTGAGACCCACCCACGCTCACCCATGGCTTGTCTCACTCACTCATTCTCTCTCTCTCTCTCTCTCTCTCTCTCTCTACTCTCTCTCTTCTCATTCTCTTTTTCCCTCCTTTGCCGCCCCCTCAATCTCATCTCCTGACTACTGTCAAATACCTGTCTCCCCCCTCTAACTCTTGATCTTGGAATTCTTCTCCAATTTCTCCTCCCCGGTCTTTTCCCTCTCTTCCTCTCCAAATTTTATCCCTCCTATCTGTTGGTTTAGGTAAGGATAGGCGCATGGCCCTTTTTCCCGCGTTCGTTAGGGTTCCTGCTACAACGGCAGTCGATGATTAAATGCATCTGCACCCTGGCACATTCTCATCTCCCGTCAATTTAATCTATCCATACCCACTTCTCGACCCTGCGACGAATAATTCCGCCTATGCCATTGATCCGATTCAATCAGACTAACATGCCGGTCGCAAACTATAGGTATCCTACAATCCGACCGACCGATTTCCACGATCCGCAACTCTCTTTTCCCCCACCTGACGAACGGTGAATCACCCTCATCAAAAACTTCACGATGGCAAGACACACTTCCCTGGACTCCGAGCGACCGATCATGGCGCAGTCCGTAAGTGAATCAACGATCACAACGTATGCGCCGCCGATGGTCTCCGTCTAACAGCTTGCGATATAGAACCGAGCCTCCAAGCGATTCTCCACCGTGAGTGGCGCCCCCTCGATGGTCTCGTCGACCGGAAGCATCGCCAGCGGCGACCCCCGCATCGCCGAAGTCCGGAACCTCCGCGACGGTCTCGATCGCCTCGAGAACAAACCCCTGACGCAGCAACGTTTCGTCCCGACCGCCGAGAAGACCGATAGCATGGGCAAACTGGCCCTGGGCGCCAAGGTGGAACGTGCTCTGGGCCGCCGAATGACCAGCCAGGATGCGGTGATGCGGAAACCGGTTCTGAGCGAGAAGCCTATCAGCAAGGTTACTGGTCATTGAGCATCTATCTTCCTCTCTGTCTGTTACCTGTCTTTCTCGTCTCTTTTCTTTTCTCCTTTCTTTGAGTCTTGTTTTGCAATCCTTCTTGTTTCTTTTGATACCTCTTGCGCTTGGTTTCCGTTCTGGTCCTTTGAGTTTGTTCTGTCTGCACGTGTTTGCCCGAGTGTATTTCTGTTGACTGTCAATCCGTCATCTCCGTCCTCTCATACCCCTCCATTTTTATTGATACTCTTATTATCATTATGTTCGAACCTGCTTTCCCATGATTGGTATCTTGTTTCTGAGTATTGCGGAGATTGATTTTGGGCTGTACAGGATAGGGTATGGACCAATCTTCGCCACTGTCAATGTAAGGTGTCTGTCTCATTCTTCTGTATTTACCAGGGTCCAATCCCGCCATGTTGATAGAGCTACAGCGGTTCGGGTATCCCCACATGTCTATAGAAGTATTGGATCCCATGAACCGCATGCCTGCGAAAAACGGAACGTCAAATATAGATATCTGTGCTTTTTGACTCTGTCTCCTGTGGAACCAGCACAGTATGAATAATGTTCAACCGCAAAATAGTATAGTATGTATACTCATGCCCGTTGAGAACACTGTAGGATTTCCTACAATGACGCTGTCAACCCGCCGACTCGGGCGCGTTCTTCTCTTTCCGGTAGGCGGTGAGCGACAGCACGGCCGGGAGGGATCCGCCGCACTTGCGGGTTCGATTGATTCTTTCGACTTTTGACCTCAACTTCTTCTTCTTCTCTTTCAATCACATCTGGTCTTCTCTTCTTCTTTCTTGTCAATTCTCTCTCCCTTCTCACTCTTCACTTATCCCCTTCACTCAATCTCAAACTTCCTGCTTCCACCTCCCTTGATATCTTTGCTAGACTACTCAGTCGTCTTTCTCCCACTATCCATACTCGATCTTCTAGTCGTGTTTTTCATTTTCGTCCCCAGTGATTCCCTCGGTCTGTAACAATCCTATCAGGATCACACAACAATCTTCCTCCCCGGAACTCTTCACCTTCTGTTAACCACCGACACCGCGCCTTTTTCCCTTCTCCTTCTTTTCTTCTTCTCTTCTTTTCTCTCTTCTTCTTTTTTCTTCTTCTTCCTTTCTCACCAAAGGATATCTATCCACTTTTGCTGCATCTCTTGGGGTCTTGTGGCTTTTTCTCTTGAGCATTGTGAGCCACCCTTCCACACTACTGTCAAATCCGCACACACCCGCCCACGCGCCCACACACACCTCGACTCCTCCCCCAATTTATTTCCTACAGGTCCCGGATCTTGGCCTTGCAATACTGACCCGGCTTCTTCACAGTCTAGCGATCGGGGAAAAGTTTTATTTTTTGTTTCTTGTGTCTAGATCTCTTCTCGTCTACTCTTGCCACCCTAGACTCTTTTCATTCTAGATACCTTTTTTTTTTTTTTCTCTTCCTCTTTTGGCATCGAGCTCTACTCGGCTCCGCCCAAACGCTTCGCCTTTCCAACGACCGTTTCAGTTTCCACGCCCCAACTTTTCTCCAATTTTCTCCAATTTCTTTCACCATGGCCGACACTGCCCAGGTTCCCGTCAACGGCACCTTCCCGGCGCAACACGCCTACCCGGACTCCTACAGCCACGTCCCCGCCCCCATGAACAGCGCGGCGAATTTCCAGCCGGCGCCCTCCTCCACCCCGAGCAATGCCCCCGTCCCCGACCAGAAGAACAGCATCTCCAAGGATGAGGTTGGTTGGTACTTTGTTGAGCAGTACTACACCAACATGAGCCGCAGCCCGGAAAAGCTGCACCTCTTCTATTCGCGCCGCTCGCAGTTGGTCTTTGGCACCGAGGCCGAGTCCGTTCCCGTCGCCGTCGGTCAAAAGGTGAGTTCAACTTTTTCCACGATGGTTCTACCTCGAAATGCATTGGACTGACCGTGGCTTTCAATTCCCCCCTCTAGGCCATCAACGATAAGATCAAGCAGCTGGACTTCCAAGAATGCAAGGTCCGTGTCCTGAACGTGGACTCTCAGGCCTCGTTCGACAACATCTTGGTCTCGGTCATCGGTGAGATCTCCAACAAGTCCGAGCCCTCCCGCAAGTTCGTCCAGACCTTCGTGCTGGCCGAACAGCCCAATGGCTACTACGTGCTCAATGACATCTTCCGGTACCTGGTGGAGGAGGAGGAAGAGGTCGTGAACGAGGAGTCGGCCCCCGCTCCCGCCCCGGCCCCTGCGGCGCCCGCCGAGAAGCCCGCCGTGGAAGCTGTGGCCCCGGCCGCCGAGGAGGCTGGCCCGGCCGCGGTGGACGACACTCCCGCCAGCGAGGACGCGGTCGCCGCGGTCCAGGCCGAGGAGAAGGTTGAGGAGAAGGTTGAGAAGCCCGAGGAGAATGGCGCCGAAGTGCAACCGGAGGCGCCGGCCCCTCAGACCAACGGAGCCCAGGCCGAGGCAGCGACGGAGGTTGCCAAACCGACCGAGCCCGAAGTGGTCCAGCCCGAGAAGCCCGCCACCCCCGAGCCGACCCCCGAGCCCACGCAGGCGCCGGTGCAGGAGGCGGCCGCACCCGCCAAGGAGAATGTGCCCCCCGCCCGCGCGGTTCCCAAGACGTGGGCCAACATCGCGTCCAAGATTACCGGTGCGGCGGCTCCCGTCGTGCCGGCCGTCCCCGCCGCGCCCGCCGCGCCCGCCGCTCCCGCTAAGCCTGCCGCTGCTGCTGCCCCTGCTGCCCCTGCTGCCCCTGCCGCCGCTGCCGCTCCTACCGCTCCTGCCAGTGGCTCTGCGCCCGCCCCGGCGGCCGCCCCTGCCGCGGCTCCGGAGAGCACCCCGGCCCAGCCGTCGACTGATAGCGCGGGGTGGCAGACGGCCGGCCACGACCACAAGAAGACCCAGTCCCGTGCGGGTGAGGAACAGGGGGTCCAGGCGTACGTGAAGAACGTGACCGACAAGGTGGACGCGTCCTTGCTGCGTCAGGCCCTTTCCCGCTTCGGCAAGCTCAACCACTTTGATGTGAGCCGCACCAAGGTAAGTCGAACTTTCATGTTCCATCCACCGACCGCCCTCTCTAACTGACGTTCCCTCCCCAGAACTGTGCGTTTGTCGAGTTTGCGGACGCCGCTGCCTACGCGGCGGCCACCGCGGCCAACCCCCACCAGATCGGCACAGAGAAGATCTACGTTGAGGAGCGCCGCCCGCGTGCTAGCGCCTACGGCAATGCCAACTACGGCGCGGGACGCGGTGGTGCTGGACGCGGCCGTGGTGACCGTGCGGGCAGCCAGGGACGGGGTGGTTTCCAGCGGGATGGCCGTGGCGGGTTTGCCCCTCGCGGCCGGGGCGGCCACGCGCACGCCAAGAGCCGCAACCAGTCCCAGGGAGCTTAAGCCGTGACCCCAAGGTAAAATAAATAAATCCACGAAAAGACAAAAAAAAAAAAAAAAGAGTTTCTCAAAGGGAAAGGGGTATTACAACGGCGCAGAACCAATTGCCCAAGAAAAAGCATATCGGAAAAAAAAAAAAAAAGAAAGACCGAACGAGGCAAATACACACAGGCACTTGAGGAAAAGGCCCGGCCTTCTCAAGGCACCTGGAGAAGAGAAACGGTTGTGCTTTGACGGACAGGCGGTTGTTTCTGCTCGTTTCTTTCGTCCCCTCTGTTTCTTTTCTTCATCTTCATCTTCATCTTCTATTATTTTTTTTTCTCTTTTTTTTAGCCCTTCATCCTGGGTGGCATGGGTTCTGTCCCCGGCGAACCAGGACATGTATTACTCGGAATTACTGATAATGACATGTGTTACGTGACGCAGCACCGGCACGATGCGTCTTAGCGGTTGGAAAAGTTGTTCTTTTTCATGACCGGTTTTTTTTTCTATCTTTTATTTGCCCTGCAGTTTTGGACCGTGCCTGATTCTTTATTTTCTATTTTCTGATATTTTTTCCTGTTGTCAGGAGGGACTCCTTTTGTGCCTGTAGCATAGCGAGTTGATTGTTCCATGATGATATTACTCCCTCTGATCTGAATTCGATCGAAATGGTTGCCCGAGCGATGGAGAAACAGACGTGGAGAACGTTCTAGATGGGGGCCTGAGGCATGCACCGATCCAAGCTTTTCGCCTCGGGTCTACTCGTCATCGCTCCGTCCACTTTTTTTCTCAAAGATTCCCTGTAATAATAGAATCAAATAAAGCAAATACCAAAGTCAAAGAAAGAAGGAACTGGAACGTAGTGGAGACCAGCCAGGCAGGGAAATGGAAGACAGTGGAAAGTGGAAAGTGGAAAGTGGAAAGAGGAAAGCTCGACCCAGACAGTGCAGAGCAGCGTGGAAGTTGCTGGATCGTCGTAGAAGAAAATTCCATGAACGACTTTCCTTCTTTTTCTCCCCCTCCTTCCCCCACCGATCTCTTTTTCTTCTTCACTTCTTCACTTCCTCACTTCCCTCTCTCCATCTCATCCATCTCTCTCTCTGCTGTTTAAGCAGATCTCTCATTATCCTCCATTTCTCAATTCCCTTTTTACTCTCTCCCTCTTGAACCTTGCACTTTTTTTAGATTCTTGTAAGTTAGCTCTTGGTCGCTTTTCCCCTCATTCTCCACCGCCTTTTGGGTTGGAGCTTTTTTTTTTCTTTGTCGTGGGTTTCCAGGGGAAAGATGAGAAACAGGAACAAGAAGAAGAAAGAATTCAAAAGTCATTGAGAAGAAGAAGATGAAAGAAAGGGAAAAAAAGAATGAGGATTCAATCTCACTGGAGCTGTCCAGCTGGAATCCTCTGGTTGCAGCCTGGCGGGTGAGGCTCGTTGGGTGATCATCACTGAGCCTTTTCGCCCCTCATCTTTTTTTCTTCCCTCCTTCCTTCTTCCCTCAACCTCTTGGGAGGACTTGGCTCTTTCTTTTTTTCGATTTCTCAACTGTTTCTTGTCTTTCTTCCTCGCTTCCCTACTCTCGCTTTCTATCAATCACCAATTTTCAATCAGGTGCTAACAATCCTAGAATTCCTCTAATTCATCATGTCGGCCGAAACCTTCGAGTTCCAGGCTGAGATCTCTCAGCTCCTCTCGCTGATCATCAACACCGTCTACTCCAACAAGGAGATCTTCCTGCGAGAGCTCATCTCCAACGCCTCCGATGCCCTTGATAAGATCCGCTATGAGTCGCTCTCCGACCCCTCCAAGCTCGACTCGGGCAAGGATCTCCGCATCGACATCGTCCCCAACAAGGAGGGCAAGACCCTCACCATCCGTGATACCGGTATCGGTATGACCAAGGCTGTATGTTCTCTCCTATATTATATCTCTTCATTATCGGCACAGACTGACCGGATTTAGGATCTCATCAACAACCTGGGTACGATCGCCCGCTCCGGTACCAAGCAGTTCATGGAGGCCCTCTCCGCCGGTGCCGATATCTCCATGATCGGTCAGTTCGGTGTCGGTTTCTACTCCGCCTACCTGGTCGCCGACCGCGTCACCGTCATCTCCAAGCACAACGATGACGAGCAGTACATCTGGGAGTCCGCCGCCGGTGGCACCTTCACCCTCACCCAGGACACCGAGGGTGAGCAGATCGGTCGCGGCACCAAGATCATCCTCCACCTCAAGGAGGAGCAGACCGACTACCTCAACGAGAGCCGCATCAAGGAGGTCGTCCGCAAGCACTCCGAGTTCATCTCCTACCCCATCTACCTCCACGTCCTGAAGGAGACTGAGACCGAGGTCCCCGACGAGGAGGCCAAGGAGGAGGAGTCCAAGGAGGAGGACGAGGAGAAGAAGGCCAAGATCGAGGAGGTCGACGAGGACGAGGAGAAGAAGGAGAAGAAGACCAAGACCATCAAGGAGAGCAAGATCGAGGAGGAGGAGCTGAACAAGACCAAGCCCATCTGGACTCGCAACCCCGCCGACATCACCCAGGAGGAGTACGCCTCCTTCTACAAGTCGCTCTCCAACGACTGGGAGGACCACCTGGCCGTCAAGCATTTCTCCGTCGAGGGTCAGCTCGAGTTCCGCGCCATCCTCTACGTCCCCAAGCGTGCCCCCTTCGACCTCTTCGAGTCCAAGAAGACCAAGAACAACATCAAGCTCTACGTCCGCCGCGTCTTCATCACCGACGACGCCACCGACCTCATCCCCGAGTGGCTCGGCTTCGTCAAGGGTGTCGTCGACTCCGAGGACCTGCCCCTCAACCTGTCCCGTGAGACCCTGCAGCAGAACAAGATCATGAAGGTCATCCGCAAGAACATCGTCAAGAAGACCCTCGAGCTCTTCACCGAGATCGCCGAGGACCGCGAGCAGTTCGACAAGTTCTACAGCGCCTTCGGCAAGAACATCAAGCTCGGTGTGCACGAGGACGCCCAGAACCGCCAGACCCTGGCCAAGCTGCTGCGCTACCACTCCACCAAGTCCGGCGACGAGATGACCTCCCTCGCCGACTACGTCACCCGCATGCCCGAGCACCAGAAGCAGATGTACTACATCACCGGCGAGTCCCTCAAGGCCGTCCAACGCTCCCCCTTCCTCGACAGCCTCAAGCAGAAGAACTTCGAGGTCCTCTTCCTCGTCGACCCCATCGACGAGTACGCCTTCACCCAGCTCAAGGAGTTCGACGGCAAGAAGCTCGTCGACATCACCAAGGACTTCGAGCTCGAGGAGAGCGAGGAGGAGAAGGCCGAGCGCGAGAAGGAGGAGAAGGAGTTCGAGGGCCTGGCCAAGAGCCTCAAGAACATCCTCGGCGACAAGGTCGAGAAGGTCGTCGTCTCCCACAAGCTCGTCGGCGCTCCCTGCGCCATCCGTACCGGTCAGTTCGGCTGGTCCGCCAACATGGAGCGCATCATGAAGGCCCAGGCCCTGCGTGACACCTCCATGAGCTCCTACATGTCCTCCAAGAAGACCTTTGAGATCTCCCCCAAGTCCCCCATCGTCAAGGAGCTCCGCAAGAAGGTCGAGGCCGACGGCGAGGGTGACCGCACCGTCAAGTCCATCACCCAGCTGCTGTTCGAGACCTCGCTGCTCGTCTCCGGCTTCACCATCGACGAGCCCGCCAGCTTCGCCGAGCGCATCCACAAGCTCGTGTCGCTGGGTCTCAACGTCGACGAGGAGGCCGAGACCAGCGAGGAGAAGGCCGCCGAGGAGGCTGCTCCCGCTGCCGCCGCCGGCGAGTCCTCCATGGAGGAGGTTGACTAGATTCTCTAATTGATCTTTTTTAATTGTCTTTTGATGTTGCATCCGGAATGGAAAACGAACTTGTCACTACTTGACGACCGTCCTCCCTCCCCCCCGCTCCCGCGATCCATCGCCATCCGGCTGTTCGCCGGGATGATCCTTTGCGTGTATCCTTATGGGGAACGGGGCGGGACATGGTTTGCTACGTGATCATGTCACTTTTCGGCGTTTTGAGCGTTTTTATCTTTTATTACTTACCATTAAATTTTTTTATGTCTGACGATTGTTCCGGGGCTGCGCGTCCATCTTTCTTGCCCCCCCGCCGGGGTGGCGGAGAGGGTTCGTCGCATACCAAGGATAATCTCAAGAATGAAAAGCTTTATCTGTTCAATTGCTGTATTTGCTCCGTAATTTGCATTCTATTTGGTAAAAGTAGTACTCCGTACTCGATCCCGTATGTGGACTGTCTACCCAGGGCAATTCGATCAAGTCCTTGATAAGAACCCATACCCATCACTCCATGTAGTTCAATCTAGTCCAATCCACTCCATCCACCCGCAAAAGTCAAAAGTAAGTCAAGTCAAACCAAGTATCTAGCGTAGGTAGAGTAGATAGATAGATGGGCAGATAGATAGCTAGATACCCTTCATTAATGATGTAAACGCCAGGCCAGACCCGGCCCGTTCTTCCCACGTAAACAAACAAACTTCCATAGCATTGAAAACCCAACAAAGAAGAAAGAAAGAAAGAAAAAAACTCCAAAACTGCCCTTCCAAACGTAACGAAACTCCTGTTCCTACTGCATTTCCTGTTCATTTCATTTCGTTTCATGGGCGTGTTTCGTCACTTTATCTTTGCCTTGTATAGTGAGGGGAGAGGGAGAGAGGATAAGGTGTTGTTAGAGATCGTGGAGAGAGAGAGAGAGTGTGTGTGTGTGTTTGTGAGAGTAAGTGAGGTGATGCCGCCATCATTCGGCGACAGCTCCATAGTAATAGTTGAAGTTCATAGTAATAGTCAAGCCCATACTGATAGCCAAGCCATGCTAATAGTAAGCCCATACAGATATTAAAGCCCATACTGATAGTAAAGCCCATACTGATAGTAAAGCCCATACTAATAGTAAGCCCACTAATAATCGAACCGCCACTCAGACAACGTCCTCGACGGTAATCCCCAAGTCTGAGCCAGCCAAACAGCCAGCCCGCCCACGACGCCGAAACTACCCACGATCTGGACAATCGTCCACCCCCGGCGTTTGAGGTCTTCCGACCAGCGGATCAGGCCCAGCGGGTCGTGGGGACTGATCGGAGCGACGTGGTACTCCGTCTTGGGTCCGCTGTGTCTCCGCGCAAGGAGGCTGCGGCGTGCGGCCGATGGCGTCGTCTTCTCTGCGGTGCTTGGGCTGCCTAGATCGCTGTAGCCTGGAATCTGCGTGATCGGGACTAGCGAGCCGTCGACGACACACTCGCCGAGTCGTTCTGTGAGCCAGACGGCTCGGTCGCCGCGGGCTAGGGCTGCGTAGCGTTCTCGCTCGTTCTGCAGGCTGCGCTGCAGGTCGCAGGCCCATTTGGCGAGCCGTGCTTGAGCTAGTCGGTCTTCCTGGTGGGTGTAGTCGGTTATGCGCGAGATTGCGTAACTCGGAGGGGGGCTGTACGTGGGGAGAGGGCGACCGGCTTGTGCCAGGGCACCACTACCACCACCCGGCGTCCATCGAAGGGGACGCTCTCGCTGTCGCTGCGCGAGTTTCTTCGCTGCCGAGTGACGGATCCAGGCGACATTGTCGGCGTCGAATATCTGCTGGACCAGGGCGTCGAGCTCGGAAGTTGCTAGCGGTTGGACGTAGTCTGGGCTCATCAGCGTGCTGGCGTCCATGACCTCGTCGTCGCTGCTTTTGGCGGATGATACGGCAAAGGGCACCCGGGTCTCGAGCCCGTCTGCCCCACCGGGGGAGCCGTCCCCGAAGACGAAGGGCTGGATCGCAGCTGTCTGAGTTTGGCTGTAGAAGGCCGATTTGAGGGAAGACAACTGGTCGGCGGTGAGGAGATCTGATTTCGAGATGACTGGGATGACATTGGTCCACTCGCAGAGCTTTCGAATGCACTCGACATCCGTGGGGAGGGTGTCCTCGGCCAGGAGGTAGACCACCGCATCCACTTGCAGCCCGCCGTTCCCGGCCAACATGTTCTGAAAATCGTGGTTGGAGAGATGCACGGAGGAACTCGCTCGGTAGAGTTGCTGCTGCATGTATTGGATGATGGCGTCGGTCTGGCCCGCTCGGCTGAGGGTATTGGACGGCGTATCGACGAAGCAGATATTGCGTTCAAGGACGACATCTCCCGTGCTCCTGCGCCTTCGCAAGACCCGGGAGTCCTCCAGATCGGACCACCAGGGGGGATATGGCTTGGTGCTGGCGTAGACCTCCGCTATCCCCGCCGACGGGGTACCAGGTTGGGACGGTGAGGGAGAGCGGTGGGATACCATGGGCGAAGGCTCCGAGAGTAGAGGATCGACATGGACGATATCCTCGCAGGTCTGGACGATCGATCTAATGAGGGAGGTTTTCCCAGACCCTGGGTTTACACCCGTCAAAACCTAAACGTGAACGCGGACGGAGTGCGCCGACAACTCACCGGAAACCCCAGCAAAGAGTAGCTTCAAGCGACCCAGAGACTTCCCACGATCTGTGAAGGGTCGACGACTGGGCATTGTGATACTGGGCATGATCAGTTGGGAGACATGGTCGGGTCCTAGCTTGGGGGACGGCCGCGAGTCACGGTCGTCGTCCTCCCCCGAAGGCAGGGCTTGGATGCTCAGATCGTCCGTGATGGAGATGTCATCGAGATGTCGCATGGAATGGTTGGAAGTGGAGGCAGGGCTACTGGGAAGAGACAGCTGGTCGTCGGGGTTGCTCAGGTTGGAGGGAGTCGACGGCCTGGGGGATGTTGGATTGGAGGTCAGAAGGGTTGGATCGGACGGGAGAGGATGGAAGAGATCGGAGGGTCGGAGGGTAGATCTGCGACGAGGCATGATCCCGGAGTCTGAAAGATTCGACGATTCCTCTCCTTCGTTCCCTCTAGACTCTTTTGACCGGTCGTCGTCTTGGACGGGTGACTCCATTGGGCTCGAACTGACGGGGACGCTGGTATCCTCCAAGCTCCGTACACCATACATGTAGTCAGGGGAGACATTCAACACATTCACATCGACATTATTATTATTCTCATCATATTCGACATTATTGTCATCATCATCATTATCTGGACTAAAGGGAGAGGCGAGATCCCCATCTTGGGAGCCATTTCGAGCTAAGAAGAAGGTTGCGGGGGTCATAGAATGAGGATCCGATCGGGGTGGAGGTTGATCGAGGGAAGACTTTCGGGAACGGGAGAGAATCACATCGGGGACTGGAGGTCTCATCATGTACTAGAGAGATAGATAGGGGATAATCAACAGGATGAGAGTTGACGAGGAGTATGGAGTGTGAAGTATGAAGGAGATGATCGGATGGATGTCATGATCATGGCACGTGATCCGCACCCCGCATGATTATGTCATCTGATAGCTGAGTCATCAGTCACGCCTCAGTCCGTCACATGATTCGCCATCTTCCATTTCTCTCCCTCTGCAAAGTACTCCGTATCTTCTCTCCATCTTCACCTCACTTCACTTCATCTCTTCATCCTCACTTCTCTCTTTCTCTCCCCCTTTCTCTCGTTCCTGGATCTTTGGGAGTGACCATACTCTGACCGATCTATGTGGGGCTCATTCTCCTTCGGGATTTAAGTTGCGATTCCCCTCAAACCTACCGAATCGAGTCGACCAGGACGATCCCACTACTAAGCACAGGAACCGACCCAAGGTTCTGCTTCCCTATTCTTTCCGTCCAATCTACTCGCTGCTTTCCGATCTTCCTTTCCTCCATCTCTCTGCTCTCCTCTCTTTCCTTCTCGCTTCTCGCGTCTCGCGTTCTTTATTCTTGTGCCCCGCGGAGATCGGTTCCCAATTGGACTTTCTCCGACACAATCTTCAAACCACCCCCACTTTTTACAACTATAATGACGTCTGTTAATCCTCTCCGCTGAGGTGCCTCTCGGTCGGCTTCTTTCCTCTCGGCATATCGCTTCTTTTTCTTAACCTTCCCTACTCTTTCTTACTGGCTTTCGCCTCGAAGATCATGGTCATCCTGGCTTTTGACGTCCACTTCTAGTCGCCATATCTTAAAGATTTCTCAACTTTTCAATTTCTTCTTTCTTTATAAACTTTTTTTTTTTTTTTGTTTTCTTATTTTTTTTTTTTTTTTTTTTTTTATAACAAATTTCTTATCTTGTCCTCGTCTCTGAATAAAACCGAAAAGGGACACAGAAAGGAAAAGAAAAAATATCCTTTCCCTTTTCCAAAATTTCGGCCTTTCGAATTAAGCCCTCGATCGTCATGGACCAGGAACAACAGTGTCTGTCCTTGCAGGACATATCTGGTCCCGGCGACGATGACTTTTCTAATTTCTTCGCCTATGGTGGCCATTTTGCCGATTTAGACTCGCACGGGTCAAGTGACCAGCAACCTCCTCCCCGTTCGCTGTCCGTCTCCATGCCCGCTTCCACCGCACCTCCTACCCAGGATCAGTGGCTTCAAATGGACACCACCGCCTTCGATTCCGTCATGGGCGATCTCCCCGTCGACCTCGCTCCCCATGCCCACCAGTCGCCGTCCGATGGGCCCGCCCCGGCGTCGTACGCCCACGCGCCCATCGCCCCGGCCTTCTACTCCCAGAAGCCTTCGCTTCCCCAGGTCTTTCACCAGCAATTGACACCCGACGTCCAACCCCAGCTACATCCTTCCTCGCAGCCCTCCTCGCAACCCTACATTCCCCTCGGCCAGACCGTTATTCCCCCGACTCCGAACTCCATCGAGCTCCAGGGTAACGCGGCCACCTACCCGCGGCGCATCGATGACAATCACGACCTGTACGATCAATATTCCCGCGTCGATGAACAAGTGAGTGTGGAACCCATTTTTAATCCAATTCCCCCTCCTCTCCCATGGGGTCACCGCGTGCATGCATGGCTAATGCACCTACCCGCCCCTCACAGGTTCTCTACACCCCCCTTGTGTCCCCCGCCATGACCCCCTTGGAAGCACAGCTTCGCCTGCCCGAATACACCGTACCCGGCGAGTACTTCACGCCGCTCACCTCCCCGGCTCTGGAAGCCCAGAACGCCAATTCCAACCCTTACCCCTTCAATCCGGGACCCGTCTCTGAGATGGGCTTCGTGCCGTCGCCCGCCGACAACTCATTGCCCGGCTCCTCTACCCCGTCGTCCCCCGCCATCATCCGCCACAACCACCGCCACCGGCCCTCGACGACCACCAACAAGGGCTTCTCGACCCGAGCCAAGAAACAGCAATCTCCGTCGGTGCGCCCGCGGACGCGGAAGACGTCCCTGCTCAATATCAATCCCGATGAGATCTTGAATGGTCTCAGTCAAGACCCCTCTAAGTCCCGCCCGGTGGGCACGAGTAGCCTTCGGTACGGGAGCACCGAGAGCTCCGGCCAAGATTCGGTCTCCCCGGAATCACTCTCCGAACCTTTGATGCCGCCGCCCGCACTGCCCCCGGCGCGAAGGTCTCCCGCAATGGCCCCCCAGATGAGCCAGTCCCAAAACAACGAGCCGGCGACTCCGGCTATGTTGATGCGCCTTCAACGACAGCAGCAGCAACAGCAGCAGCAGCAGCAACAGCAGCAGAGCCCAGCGACCAACATCCCGGCGCCGTCTGTGTCGTCGGGTCCCTATGACGACATCATGGAAGACATCACCCTTCCCGAGGCGGCCAATCCCACCTCCTATCTGGCGCGACCTGAGGTCCCCCGTATCGACACTGCCGTGCGGACCACCGTCCCGTCGCCGGCCTCGGGGGTCAAGATTACGCCAAATCTGGAGCCCAAGTCCGCCCCCGACCGCCCCCCGGGCTCAGTAGCGCTCAGTCCGCGATCCATCGCCATGCCGTCCCCCAGCGGTCCGGTCGGCAAGAAGTCGGACACTCCCAAATTGGGACCCATGGCCCGAAAACGTCAGAGCCTGAGTGCGTCGCAACCAAGCCCCAATCTGCGTCCCAAAATCAGCCCCAGCATCAAGCCCATGGTGCGTGGTGATGGTGAGTGTCTACCGTTGTTTCTATTTTCTCCCCCCCTCGTACTTTGGTTAACGTGATGGTGCTTGTCTAGGTGTGTCGAGTGAGTCCTCGGCTCTGTATTTAGCCTCCAAATCCAATTACCAGCACATCTTGGACGGCACGCTCCTTCCCGGCGTCTCTTACCCGGAAACCCTCGCCGAAAATTTGAGCTCGAAACGGACGAATCACAAGCTCGCGGAGCAGGGCCGACGGAATCGTATCAATACGGCGCTCAAGGAGATCGAAACCTTGATTCCATCTGCCTTTGTTCAGATGAAAAATGCCAAAGAAGCCGCCGCCTGCAACGTCAAAGTCAGCGAGAAGGAGAAGGAGAAGAATGCCAACTCGCAGATCAGCAAGGCCAGCACGGTGGAGATGGCCATCGACTACATCAAGGCTTTGCAACAGGAGCTCGGTGAAACCAAAGGGAAACTCGCCGCTGCGGAATCTCGTCTTAGTGAAAGTACGGGAGACGCCCAGTCCCACAAGGAGGGTGTCACCACCCCAGAAAGCGGGCAAGCAAAGAGCAGCACCGAGGCCGAACCCGACAGTGCTAGTTCGAGCGCCTAGGAGATTGAGTGAAAGCCTTGGTCGGTGTATCTATTCATCTCTTTTCTGTCTTTTTTGCTTTTTTCTTTGTGCTGCGTTCAGGGCACGCATAATCTCTTCTCCAGGAGAGCCCACATCGGCGACATGTCCTGGTGGATATGTTCCAAAATAATGGAGTACAATGGGATCGGGATATGGGTTATTATGGCATGGATTACAATGGGATTGGAGGTTTACAGAGACTTGCTGGGTCAAGCAAGGTTTTCAAGGTGGTCTTGTCTGCGTAAGGCGGTATCTGTTTATGGGATTCACATACTGGGTATGGCGTTGCAGGTTTATACATTCACTATTTCTTTTTATTTCTTTTATTTCTTTTTTCACCTCATTCCACCTTGATTTCATTGTTTCACTGGTACTTCTACATTAGACTTGATACAGTTGTAAATACAGTCCACATGAGGCTCTTGGTTTTACCATATACTCTTTGTCCAAGAATCGTATGCAAACAGCGTAGTATTCCAGCTGAAAAATGGCTAAATATTCCAAATCGCATATGCTTTTATTTATGCAAGACATCAAATGCCAGGGAAGAGAAACTCGCCCTTTCCCCTCCCTCAAAACCCAATCAATAACCAGCCTTCTTTTTTGTTTGTTTCAATAATCCCTCATTACAGCAACCATCTCATCCAAACGACTGATTTCGCCCACCAACAGCGCCTCCTTCGCTTTCCACTGCTCTAGGAGAGTCAGCTCCGCCTCGGAGAGATACCGTTCCTCGTTGCCCTTGACGTCACTCCGTTCCGTCTTCTCCAGGAACTCTTTTAAGCGGGCGCGCTCGAAGCGAAGACGCTGCAGACAGCGGGACATCGTCTTGTACGTATCTTCCAGCATGCTGCTGCGGACGCGGTCAGGGTCGTAGAACCAGAGGTAGATCGTGCGGGAGGGCTGGCGCTGTGCGTCGCGGGGCACTTCCTGGAGGTCGACGAAGCCGCCGGATTGCATGTTTGCCAGGACCTGGCGGAGGTCTTTGAACGGGAGGAGACTGATCTCCTGTAGCCGCTTCTCGTCGAGTTTCCCCTTGGCGTGTAGGACGCGGATCAGGCGCAGGGCGACGTCGCCGTAGCGCGCTTCGATCATGCGCTCGAGCTCCAGGTGCCGCAGTTTGCGGGCGAGATGGCGGAACTCGATTGTCCAGCTTGGGAGGCCGCCGATGTTGCGCTTGGAGGTGAGGTTGTGGGGCGGTTGCGCGAGGAGGCTTAGGTGCTGGTCGACTTCGTAGGTGCGGTTGCCCTTGGAGGCTAGGGTGTTGGCGGCTGCGTGGTCGGTGGTGCCGTTCATGTGGTCGTCGTCGTCCAGGGGGCGCTTGCCGCGTCGGAGGCCGGGTTGGGATGCGTCCATGGGGCCGATGCTCGCTGCGAGGTCTAGGTTGGGATCGACGTCGTCGGCTACTGCGCTCAGGGCGATGGGGGCGGAGTATTGTTCGCCTTCTTCGCCCTCGCGGGGGATTTCAACGCCGTCTCGGCATTTGGAGGTTTGGTATTCGATGCGTCGGAGGAGGCAGTCGTAGACTTCTATCGTGGCTGACGACGAGTCGCGTTCGGCCAGGTCTAGGAAACGACGGTTGCGGAGGGCGACGTCTAGCTTGTCGTAGTTCACTTGGACCGTCAGGGTAGACTAGATAAGGATGTTAGGTTTGCGTGGGTTAGGGTTAGATTCAATCGGAGGAAAGCTCACCTCCATGGGGATCTCGTCGTCTAGTTCGTCGTCTGACCATTCATCGTCGTGTTCGTCCTCCTCGTCAACGGCGGCATAGTCACTCCGTGCCTTCTTGGTAGGATCATCGCCGTTTCTGGCATCGGGCCGTCGCTTGACACCTCGGGGCACACCATTGAACACCAGTCCACGGGTGAGGTCGCCGTCCATGCGCTCCTTGAGCATTGTAAGTGTGGCTTCGATGACTGCCTCGTCTAGTTTTTTCCCCTTGAGCTGTTTGATGTCCGGTCGCGCTTTGATCACCCGTTCGGCGTCCAGGACGTTGTCGGCGTAGCTCTGGAAATGGGATTCCCGGACACGGATGATATACCCGTGGGCCGCCAGAGCCTTCAACGTTGGATGAAGACGGGCCGCATGCGCAATATCTTGGCCGTTGTGTCCATTCGTCTGCCCTTCCGTTTCTTGTTCCTCCTCGACTCCGTCTATGTCTGTGGGCGCGGGCTGCAATTCCGGAAGGTCCTCGAGGTTGCCCACTTGGACGTGGCCGAGGTACAGTATGGCTGACATGACGGTAGCGGCATACTTCCCCAGTCTGTCCTCGATCAACTCGAGAATCTTCCCGGTTCGAACGAGATAGTAGGCAGCTTGCAAGTTGGGCGTGTAGTATGTGAACCCGTCGTCATAAGAGGTGTAGTGGTAGACGAGGTGCTGTTGAATCATCGCTGCGATGCCATGGCGCAGCTGGGGGTAGGAGAGGTGGGAGTAGAATTTGAGGCGGGGCAAGGAAAGTCGATCATAGCGAACGAGGGTCGAGAAGATGCGCTGAAGCGGATCGTCAGTCTTGAATTGTCAAAACCAGGCCTTTGAAGCATACCGCGAATAGCTCCCCGAAATTATCTTCGACAAGGAGCGCGCATAGCTCCGCACTATACTGCAGTCCTCGTGGTCAGCGCCTGAACCTGGACGAAAAGTACAGAACAAGAATTGGGTAAATATTAATGCGCATACTTGAGAAGACATTTTGCGTGTCTTCCAACGACTCTAACCAATTTCAATCCTCTATGGAAGGAGAACGGTCATCGGAAGAGGGACATTGGCGGGTTTTTCTTTCGGGTTCTAGTGTCGGGGGAAGAGAAGACGAACGAAGGCGAGGATTGGTCATACAGCGACCAAGAATATAATACAGACAAGAAAGAAAGAGAAAAGAACAGAGAAACGAGAGAAAAGCAGGACTATGAAGCTATCCCATACTTCTTCGGTGATCTTTTTTTCTTATCGCATGCGCGCCCACCGCTCACGTGTATGTCAGGTGACAGTACATCACATGACCCGGAGGCTCAGGATAAGCCGGTTCCGCCCGCACTCGCCATTCCAGCCAATCAGGAGGGGAGTAATCAAAAGGTGCCCGGGATCTTGAAGCTTTTCAGACGTTCATCATTTCCAACCAGGAGCCTTCAATACTCTGCTCTCCCACCACCCTCCGTCCTCCCCCCCCCACCAACAATTGCTGTTGAGCCCTCTCGGCTTTTCACGGTCTCTCCCTCTCATTTTTTATTTACATATTCCGCACATGCGATAATGCTGTCGCGGTCGACTATCAGCCGAAATGCGCCCCGTGCGCTCCAGAAGCAGTGCTCTGCGGTCAATGGCCGGGGTATGGCCTCTGCTGCCACTCCTGGTCTCCAGTACGACGTCTCCGAGTCGGCTGGCGTGAAGTTTGCCAACAGAGAAATCGCGGGCCCGACGGGTACCCTCGCGTTGGTCGCTAAGGCCGGCCCCCGTTACCAGCCTTTCCCGGGCTTCAGCGACGCCCTCGAGCAGTTTGCTTTCAAGGTCAGTCTTGATCCAATCCCTCTCTTCAGCAATTATTCGACAGTCAAGATGGTTCTAACGACGCCTCCACTCAATCACAGACTACCCTCAAACGTTCGGCTCTGCGGATCACTCGGGAGGTTGAACTTCTCGGCGGTGAAATTGCCTCGTCACACTCGCGCGAAAACGTTGTCCTGAAGGCCAAGTTCCTGGAGCGTGACCTTCCTTACTTTGCGGAACTGCTGGCTGAGGTTGCGTCTCAGTCCAAGTTCGCTCGTGAGTGCATCTCAATGGCCGGCAAGACGACATGACACTGACCTGGATGCCTTTGCTAGCCCACGAACTGAACGAGGTCGTTATCAAGCTTCTCAAATACAAGCAGCAGGCCCTTTCTGCCAACCCTGAGAGCCTGGCTGTCGACGCCGCCCACGCCGTGGCCTTCCACCGCGGTCTGGGTGAGGCCATCACCCCCTCCACCTCCGTCCCCTTCGAGAAGTACCTCTCTGCTGAGGCCCTCGCGGAGTTCGCCCAGCAGGCCTACGCCAAGCCCAACATCGCCCTTGTCGGCAGCGGTCCCAAGAACGCCGATCTGTCCAAGTGGGTCGGTGAGTTCTTCAAGGATCTCCCCAGCGCCGGCAGCTCCAGCCAGTTCAAGCTCCAGCCGAACACGGCCTCCAAGTACCACGGTGGTGAGCAGCGTATCGCCTCCAAGTCCGGCAACGCCGTCGTGATCGCCTTCCCTGGCTCCAGCGCCTTCGGCGGCTCGAGCTACAAGCCCGAGGCTTCCGTCCTCGCTACCCTGCTCGGCGGAGAGTCCACCATCAAGTGGTCTCCTGGCTTCTCCCTCCTCTCCAAGACCGCCCAGGGCTTCTCGCAGCTCCGTGCCGGCGCCAAGAACCACGCCTACTCCGACGCTGGTCTCTTCACCATCACCCTGTCCGGCAAGGCCGACCAGGTCGCCACCGCCAGCAAGACCGCCGTCGACGCCCTCAAGAAGATCGCCGCCGGTGAGATCGCCAGCGAGGACATCAAGAAGGCCACTGCCGCGGCCAAGTTCCAGGCCCTGGAGTCCGCCCAGAGCCTCAGCACCGGCCTCGAGGCCACTGGCTCCGCTCTCGTCAGCGGCGGCAAGCCTTACCAGATCGGCGAGGTTGCCCAGAGCATCGACGGCGTCACCGAGGCGCAGGTCAAGGATGTACGTTCCTCTCTAACTATTGTGTTAATGAATGATATGCTAACCAATTCCAGGCTGCCAAGTCCCTCCTCTCCAGCAAGGCCTCCGTCGCCGCCGTCGGAGATCTCTTCCAGCTTCCCTACGGCTCGGACCTCGGTCTGACCGTCTAAACTTGTATACAGTAGATACTAGATTGACTTGGGGAAAAGCGCGACTTGGGAGTTGATAGCCCCAGGATTGGCTGATATATCTCTTTTTTCTGCGATGTGGTTGTAGCTGTTGACTGTAATACAATTGTATCTTAAATGTTTCCCTTTTTGATTGTACAGCAGTCCTGCTTCTTTGGTAATGTCTTTTCTTCTTGTTTCTCCGATCACGGTGGTGGTGATGAATGAGCTGTCATATCAGACCACCTCAGGTGTGAGTAAGACCTCATCCATCGTCCACCATCCTCCATCCCCAGGCTCCCCACACATGTCCGTGGTAAGACCAAACCGAACCCAATCCTTAAGATTCCATTCGAGTGTCCAATCGACGGCAGTAAGTCTGAAGTACTCCCTAGGTTAGTAGTATCGTATCTCCATTCGACTTCAGATGTTGGATACAATCGATCCCAAGGCACAGATAAAAAGGCAGCGTGTCCAACCAACAAGGAGAGGATACTAAGCCCATCAAACCAATCACTCAATCCTCAATCAACCCTTCATCATCAACATCAATCAATCAATCAATCCTCACTCAATCAATCAATCCCATAGAAAATACCATCCATATCATATTGCCACAGCAAGACCAAGAAGCCATGATTCAACCTGATAGATAGAGCAACAACTCAGTCACTCACTCACCCACTCACCCACTCACACATGCAATCAGCTTTGCAATCACAATTGCAAAACATGCACAACACACTCGTCAGTTAAATCAGATCAGCTCAATCAGATCGGCTCAATCAAATCAGTTCAATCAAACCAGTCAACCAGGTGTGTGAAAAGTCAAGACTATATAGTACAGTATAGTATAGTATACTGTCCACGATAGCTTCAACTCATATCCCATCAGACCATGCGGAGAATGCTACCGCTAGCACTGACACTGACACGGACACGGACACCACTTGTAGATCCAACAAAAACAAACAGTATGGAGAGATAAACCATATAGCCGAGTTGAATATTATCATATGACACTGGTGTAATAGCACCCCTAAGTAATATTAAATATCCATCAAAAGCCGCTAAAAGTCTCTATAAGATAGACACATTGAAGATCCCATCTGATATTAATATTAAATATTAAATATACCGCATATCAATACTGAATACACCGCATATTCCAGGCAGATGATTAAAAAGCCGAAAGCGGATGAAGATCTCTTGATAGTCGGGTATTGGCTACGCTGAATGATGTTACATCCGGGCTAAATCTGCCCGAATCGCGACATCGGACTTTTCTACCGTAGGTACAAGTGGGTAGTGGGTAGAGTGCAAGACTCAGGGCCCAGTTTGAGTCCCCGGATGATTTCTACCTCGGCCTGTCTCATACATAGTAACTCCCGTAGATTGACTTCTAGTGATGCATGCTTGGCTAATCCGATTCCCTACAGTTCTGAATCCTGGCTAAATATATGTACCTCTCTTGGTAACTCCGAGATCTCGACATCGGAGCCCGAAAGTCCCGTCCCAAAATGATACAATATCAACAACAATATTCGAAGAGTCACCGGGTATACTGTATATCGCATCCCGGCATTTCTTCCGTCTGCATAGCAGAAGGGTGTCTCAAACCTTCTCTAGTGCTTAGCGGTGACTTGATCGCCAGTCAGTTTTTCGACTGCCTCCTTGGCCCTATTCGGTGTAACGGAGACCCACCGGTTAGCCTGAACTGCTCCTTCCTCGGTAAATCACATGGGGAAAAGGCACTTACATGTCACCAAGAGCCACCATGCAGACGGTCTGCCAGATACCCAGGCCTATGCGGGGGGTGACACCGCGATAGAGACCCTTGACGCCGTTGCTGTCGTAGATATACTTGAAGGCCTTGCCGACGGTCAGGTTCTTGGGCCGGTTCGGGTCTTCGGTCTTGCTCTGCATCTCCACGCGGATCACCTCGATGGGCTGGTTCCAGGCCGAAAGACCACCACCAAGTCCCGAGGCGAGGACCTTCTCGGCCGCGCTGAGCTTGTCCTTCTCGTCCTTGCCCGTGACGTTACGGATGGCGGACTCGGCCAGACGGGAGAGACCAAAGCGGGAGCCCCAGTTCGTAGTCTGGCGGATGGCGACCGCGTTCACGCCGCGGTTGATACCCCGGACTCCCTCCCGGCGGTAGATGTCCATGAAGGTCGCAAAGGTGCTGGGAGGCTTCACCCCCTGGGAGGCCATCTTGTGCTTGGTGATCTCCACCGTCTTCATGCAGGTGCAGAAACCCATGGTCGCATAGGCTTGCGCGACACCACCGGCCATACCTCCGGAGATACCGGCGAGGAAGTCCGGAGCGCCCGCCACCTTGGCATAGTACTCCGCCTCGGACGCGACGAAGAGGAGGACAGCGCCCTTGGTGGAGGCCTCAATCCAGGCCCACGGAATGAGACCTTGGTAGTCTGCAGAGAGATGGGGTCAGACGTCGTACCAGAAGACGGTACACGGAAGGGTGGAACTTACAGCCGAGGATCCCGCCTCGACCCCATATCCGACCCATAGCGCCGGCGAAGCTGTCACCTCGGTTGGCGGCCATGGTTGTCTTGATCACTTCCAGCGGCTGAGAGGGTTAGTATTACGTCGGATTGAGTTTGTACGAGTCGTTCATACCTGTCCCAAGGAGGTGACCCTATATCCACGTTAGTATTGGCAACACATTCGCACGGCAGACAGGATACTTACTCGAACATGTTGAGACCTGCGCCCACTATAGTATAATCATGTTAGAATCGTCCATGGCAAGGTTGTGTCTTTCTTTTCCCCTTCTCTACTTTGTATGAAGTAGGTAGAAAAGAAAACAGGTGTCTTCTTTTCCATCTGATCTGTCTAACATGCTGGGGAAAGAGAGGACATACGCAACAAGTTGCTGAACTTGACAGGCTTCTTCTCGAGCTTGGGGCCATCAGAGGCCGTCGCAGGGGTAGTAGTAGACATCTTTGACCTTGGGGAGTACTGAAAGGGGCCCTGACCAAGGGATGTCGGAGTAAGAGGGGAGGGGAGGGGGAAAGTTTTCGTCGGTTAAAGAATCACGACAGAGAACAAAGTACGGAGAGAACGGCGACGGGATAACGTCAGCGCGGAGAAAGTCAGAGACGAATCGGGTACCGGTTCTTAGTTGATGGAATTTGAGGGGGAGGGAGGGGAAGAAGTGGGTAGTAGAATTAGAATGGAGGAATGGAGACAAGTAAATCGGCGGATGGAAGGAAAGGTCGCGGATCAAATAGGGGAGAAGAGGAGGAGGAAATATGGGGAAGGGGAAAACAAACAGTTTGGAGTATCCATCCAGCTTGGGGCTTGGCTGCCTGGGGCGAGAGAGAGTGACGAGTCTAGATGATGCACCGATCAGGCTAGCCTATTTGGTGTCTTGCCTGAGGTTCACTATGCGCTCACTCTTGAGATTCTTACTTCAGATTTACGGTTATTAATTCTACTCCATGACCCCAGATGATTAGAATAAGCATCAATGTCTTTACCCCCATCATTCACCTTAATGGTGTTCAAGAATCACGATCATTCTCAAGAATCATGATCATATCAATAAGAAACCGACAGCGGTCGGCCATCCTCCGAGCATAGTTGAGCCGGAGCAAATCGGACCCTCTCAACAATGCGCGCCGGAAACCCGATCGAGCAACAGTTGAGAGCCTGAGTCCAACGCCAGACCCAGGAACAGTCTCAGGGGTCACCGCCTCCTCTTTCGGTACTAGTGCCAACACATGCATGGGATTTATCCACGGAGTTGTGCTCTCTCCTCCGATCTAATTAATCCTCAGGCAGATGCGGTCAACCTCGGGACCGAGGCTGCGCTGTAGCTTTCATACTTCACTTTCAGCTCTATACAGGGGACTGTTCCTACCCACTGTTTCTATCTATCTAGGTGGCTAGCGTCTGCCTTGGGCGCAAGCTCAAGCTCAATCCTGTAATCGATTTGTTTCTAAGCGATCTTACCGACCATAGTGCTGCCATCCTGCAATTGCAATTGCTTGTGATTATGACGACGGTCCCCACAGGATTGTCTACAATGGTCATGGTGTTTACTGTCGAGACAGGTTTACAGTGGGTACATATTAAGATTCAAGAGGAATGAGACGGTTCCTCTACTCGACAATCAACGGCAATACCGTCACAAGAAATCCAAAGCTAAGCTTGGTCCGGATCTTGCCCCGTTGGGACCCCGTAGGCCCGTAGAGTATGCAGATCTCGGACCCCGATTCTATTTCACAATATTCAATCTGCCCTTGTTATGTCGGAAACCCTTGCATGTGTCGGAGACCCCGAGCTCTATCATCTACAGTTCTGGGATGGACGGAGAGTCGGTTCAATAGACTCTCCGTCCGGAAGTACACCATACGCCTGAACCGGCACTATAGTATCCAGCTTCTGCAGGGACCTGAGCCTCGACTATCCTACGACTTATGATCGGTGACGTCGGTGCAGCGCACAGGGCAGGCCGACTGGGGTATGGAGAATTGACGTGGATTCTGGAAGTGTTGTTCCTACAAGGCCCGCTCGAACCAAGTCCTATCATACAATAATCGAACCAACCCCACCCCAACACTCCACCGGTCCCAGTCTAAAGAATAATACAAAAATGTGCTATATCGTTAAAAGAAAAAAAAATTTCCTGGCGCTTTTCAAATCATTCGACAAATTTAGAACTTGGCGCCGACCAGCTTGGCGTAAGCCTCGGTGCTGAAGCTCTTGGGGCGCTCGATGGGGGCACCCAGACCACGGTCGATGATCAGCTGGGGCAGGACACCCAGAGCACGCGACACACCGAACAGGACGGTGTAGTAGTTGGCCTCGGTCAGGCCGTAGTACTGCAGGAGCACACCAGAGTGCTAGGAGAGAATTAGCAAAGGGTCAAGGTGGTTCGTCAAAATGGCAACTTACAGCATCAACGTTGGGGAAGGGGTTCTTGGTCTTGCCGTGCTCGGTCAGGACACCGGGGGCGATCTTGTAGACCTGGCTGACCAGCTTGAACATGGGGTCATCGGGCAGCTTGCGGAGGGCAAACTCGCGCTGAGACACGTAGCGGGGGTCAGTCTTGCGGAGGACGGCGTGGCCGTAGCCGGGAACGACCTGGCCGCCCTTCAGGGTGGACCACAGGTAGTCCTTGATGGCCTGGTCGCTCAGGTCGTTGCCAATGGCGGCCTTCATCTTGGTGAGCCAGTTCAGCACCTCCTGGTTGGCCCTGTAGAAAGATTAGATGGTTGTTCTAAGGGGGAAGAACATTCGGGGTCGGGGCAACCTACAGGCCGTGCAGGGGACCAGCCAGGCCGTTGAGACCGGCAGACAGGGAGAGCATGGGGGAGCTCAGGGCGCTGCCGACCAGGTGGGTGGTGTGGGCGCTGACGTTGCCACCCTCGTGGTCGGTGTGGATGGTCAGGTACAGACGCATCAGCTCAACGAAGTCGCTGTTGCCGCCGAAGCCGAGCTGGTTGGCCAAGTTGAAGGAGTAATCCTTGTCCTTCTGGATGGGGGCGACCTTGCCATCCTTGAAGATGTTGCGGTAGATGCGGGAGGCAATGTTGGGCAGCTTGGCAATGAGGTCCATGGAGTCCTCGAAGGTGTAGTTCCAGTAGTCCTTCTTGTTGATACCCTTAGCATAGGCCTTGGCGAAGGAAGACTCGTGCTCGAGGGCGGTCACGGCGAGAGAGAACTGGGCCATGGGGTGGAGAGTGCTAGGGCAGCGGTCGATGAGCTCCTCAACGAACTTGGGGAGGTCGGAGCGGGCAGCCCACTCGGCGGACAGGTCGCGGACCTGCTGCTCGGAGGGGACCTCGCCGGTCAGGAGCAGCCAGAAGAGGCCTTCGGGCAGGGGCTCCTGGCCACCGGGGGCCTTGGGGAGGAGCTTCTGGCACTCGGGGATCTGATGAAACAATGAGTATTGTGACCGCAATTGGGTGAGAGACGACAACTTACGGTAAGACCACGGAAGCGGATACCCTCCTCGGAGTCGAGGACGGAGCCCTAATGACGATGTTAGCTTTTTTTTTTTTTTTTTTTTTTTTCGACCTCACGACCTGTGATGGACACTCACCTCCCACACGAGGGACTTGATGCCACGGGCACCACCGTAGACCTGGTCAAGAGTGACCTCACCGATGACCTTGTTGCCATGCTCCCTGTTGTTTTCAAGCTCCGTTAGCAATCATTCGCACCAAGGTATCGGACGCGAGTGGGCGGACAGGCATACTTTCTGAGCTTCTTGACCTTCTCGATCTCGGCGGGAAGGTTGTCGGCGAAGGTCTCCTTCAGAGACTAGAGAGGCATTGACGTCAGTATCACTGCGATCGAGCTCGCCGAGAAAGGGAATTGGTTACCTTAGCCTTGCTCGAGTAGCAGCGCAGGCCATTGAAGGCAGCAGACTGAACAACGGGCTTGCTGGCAAAGGTAGAAGAACGCAGAGCAGACGTTCCGAGTCTCAATGTGGACGCCATATCGAAAAGACCCTAGTAGATTTAGGGAAAACGAAAAGGTTGAGAGAATGGGAGAGAGGAGAGGAAGAATGACCAAGGGAAGGAATGCTCAATCAAAAAGAAAGAAAGGGAGAAGAGAGAAGGAGAAGCGGGAGAGAGAGAGTTGATGAAGCTCCCGGGGAGATGGCCCAATTTTTTCCATCTGGCCGTACAGCCGGTACATGGGCCGTACGGTAATGATTCAGATGTGGGCAAGACAATGGCGGAAAGGTGTAAGATACGGTCACCCTCCATTCCAGGCCGGTCTCCCGAATTCCAACCCGTCATTTTCTTCTCCCTGTGATAATTTCTACTTGTGTTCGCACGTCTACCCGCCATATTCCGTCCACCGAGATCACTATAGTTCTCCGAGTCTCCCATCACTAATCCTTTATTTAGATCTCTATAGATCTCAATGATTCTTTGTGTTAAGCTGATACTTCCAATTCCATCATATAGTCTATCAATCTAATCTGTGTGCCACTATGCCATACCTAGGGAGGCCCTGGCGTCATCAGATAACTGAGTATCCGACTAAACTCTCTCTTTCCATGGTCCCTTGAACTTTTGGGTGCCCGTGGACGGGACCGATATTCACACTACCGCCCGTTCAGCTCAAGGCTAGTGACGTCGGCAAGTCGCCATTCGGGCTTAGACTGAATCAATGGGGTTGGGACTTTTTTGCCTCATTTTGTTTGAATTCTCTTTTCGCCTCTTCCATCGAAGGGTATTGCTTATTGTATCTCTTTTGATTGATTCCAAGGTGTATATCTGTCCAGAACATTACGTGGACTGGAAATTGGAAGCGGATACCTTTTATACGTAATCTTTTGGAAAATGAACATTGTCAGTGTAAATTTTCTTACTCTTGTGACTATTGACTAAGGAGAGACCCACAGTAATATAATCAATCATTCTTCTCCATACGGCCACGGAACTCTCACTCACTGAGCGCCATTACCGTATGGACTCACCGGGACGATTGACGGTGTTGGACGTCATGATATATCTCCACGTGACATCATGTGACCTAACTTTCTTCGTTAGGGCATGTACTGTATAATCCATACATAACATTTATGCAACAGGAGTCTGACACCTCGGTAGTAATTACAATCAATAGAAGAGCATATTATAGACAGAATTTTATCACTGCACACTTGATATATTAGACTCAATCAGTTTTTGCTCTCACTGGAGATACCGAGTAGCACTGAAATATTCACAAAGAAAAAAGGCAGTACAATAACTATGTATGGACTGACTTGACAAGCAAGTATGACTGGAACCATCTCAGGCGGTATCAAGTTTCAATATCCGATCTAGATGTTTCACATTCAAACCACTTGGGCAGACTGACTTTCAGGAATCTCAGCATATGGGATGTTCCATATTGGAAGAGGACAGTGTCAACAGTGAACAGTCAGAACTATATTTAGTCCCAACAGATGAGCCTCAGGCCACCGTATGAGGTCACGTGCAGCCCCTTCGCCGCTAGTGTGGAAATTGCAATTTTCTCCTCACTCTCAGGCTGATCATTGTTCTCTTTCCTCTCCTTCCCTCCTTCCTCCTCCTCCTCCATTCCCATCACTCTCTTCTCAACTCTTTTCTACTCATCGTCTATCTAATCTCCCTGTAACTCGTCGTCTGCTGTGTTCTTGATCGTGTGATTTTTCCACGCTTTAGGTCGTACCCTGTACACGTGCTCGTTCGCGAGTCGCAAAAGCCCTGGACACGATCGCTTGGCTGTGTTCCAGCTGTAGGCGGAAGGCCCTGGTCCTCCCAAAGCACAGTCGTGGGATCAGTAGTGACCCGGCAAGAAAGTCCGCTTAAGAACCTGTTATCAACAAGAGGCCAAAATCGGTCGCCTTCTCCTGGTTTAAGACATAAAACAGTACTGGATCACCAGTAGAACACGACGAGGTCTCGCTTGCCTTCGCACTCAGAACAGATAGTTCTTTCATCTCTCTATCTTTGTTTTCTCCAGGAACCCAGATATCATAACCAACCATGTCTTCCGCTGTAGCAGAGTTGGATAACTATCTGCAGTCGATGCTTGCCCTCAAGCCTCCGGGCGTGTCGGGTTCTAAGATCAACAGCATCACCTCTCTCTGTACTGCCAACGTCCAGGTAAATACCTCTTTGCGCTCTTCGTGACATCCAGCTTGTTAACAGTCTCTCCTCTAGAACGAGTCCGTTCTCATCCAGAAGATCTATACGCACTTCAAAAAGGCTCCAGGGACACACAAATTGGGCGTACTCTATGTCGTAGACTCTGTAACTCGACAGTGGGTAGAAGCAGCGCGCAAATCAGGCCAACAAGCTGGTAGCGCAGCTCCCGATGGAACCTTTGCCGCTGGCGTGAACAGAGTGACCGAATTATTACCTGTCTTAATGACGGATATCATAAACAATGCTCCTGAAGATCAAAAGGTACGCTGGACACATGGCTTTAGCAAGAAACAACAAGAAACCACACCAAACCAAAAAAGAAAGGATGAAATACTTCAGAGTGCGGGCATGCATAGGCCGATATAAAGGCAGCGCCCCAACCTCTCCTAGGGTCGTTCGACCTGCGTATCTCCTGCACTACCCCCCACTACTACGTATCCCCTATACCCTGCATAGATTCACGCTCTCTTCTAGCTTATTGTGACGAATAATGTGACCCTAATATTTTTTTGCTCTGATATAGGAAAAAATCAAGAAGTTGGTGGACATTTGGGAGCGGGGATACACTTTCCCTGCGCCGATGCTCGCCTCATTCAAGCAGAAATTGAATGCACCTGCACACAGTAAGCGAAATCCGTTCCATTTCTAGACAACCGGTCGTGGAGAGACCCTAACCCTTTCTTAGATATTGAAAGCACTACTCCCGAGGGGTCTCCAGCACCTAACATGCTAGGCTCCCAACCCCAAGCCAATGGTGCCACCTCAGGAACCCCAGCGCAATCGGCGCCGGACACGTCGAGTATTCTCAAAGCTTTGGCAGACATGGCCAAACAGAATACGGCGGCTCCGGCAGCCCCGGCAGTGTCCGCGCCTGCTAACCCTCTTGGTGCCTATTCGACCCCGTCAGTGCCACAGCCAGACCCCGCGACACTGAGTGGACAGGCCGGCGTAAATCCCTACACGGCTGGCTCCATGGCCACGCCTTTCGCGGCGTTAAGTATGGCCCCCACGCAGAGCCACACCCCCCCGAACCCCATGGCGGCGAACCCTCTGGCGGCGCTCCTTCCCCAAGCAACTGCTGCAGTCCCGGCTCAGCAAACCCCTGGCATGCCGGGGCCCGACGCCCTGCAGCAGCAGCTTCAGCTCCTGCAGCTCTTGGCTGCACAGGGCATTCCGCAAGACCAGTGGGCTACCGCCCTGCAGATCCTCAGCTTGTCTAATGCCTCCGGCGTGGGCAACATGACTGCCCCCCAGGTCCCCGGCTTCAATTTCCCGGGCCAGAACGTCAACAATGCTTGGGGTGGCCGTGCCGACTCGCAGACGCACGATTTCGATCGCGAGCGTGAGCGAGAACGTGACTACATGCGCTCGCCTCCCAACCAGTACCGTCGCCGTTCGCGCTCTCCCGGCGGTTGGGATAGACGTCGCGAGGTCTCCCCTCCCCGACGCCGCGATAGCCCCGTCTATGGCGAGTACCACGGCGACTCCCCCGGTCGCCGCGGCGGAGATCCCCGCGGCCGACGTGGCAACGACTACCGCCAGCGCAGCCCTCCCGGACGCAGACGCCGCTCGCCATCCCCTCGCAAGGATCCAGCCCTGCCTCCACCGGGACCCAAGCTTATTGAATGGGACTACTCTATTGGACAAGGATGCATTAAAGGTGAGTCCGAACCTCCCCCATCTCCTCCCTAAGGCCGGTCATTAACAGCTGTTCTAGTTCTGAGTCGCACTTTGTTCGTCGGTGGTGTTACGTAAGTCTTCCGCGACCCTTAAGGGGATCCCAATGTACTGACAATTCCAGATCATCCGAGGCTCATCTGCGCTCTCTTTTCTCCAAGTTTGGTATCGTCCAAACCTGTATCGTCAATATCGATAAGCGCCATGCGTTTATCAAGATGATCGGCCGAACCGATGCCATCAATGCTCGTGACGGAATGGAATCATACAAGTCTGGCGACATGCAATTGCGAGTAAGTGAAGTGGGATCATGATACAACCGACACGATGCTAACGTTATTTCCAGACCCGCTGGGGCGTAGGCTTTGGCCCTCGTGACTGCAGCGACTATCAGACCGGCGTCAGTGTGATCCCTATCGAGAGGCTCACCGAGGCCGATCGCAAATGGATGGTCAATGCCGAGTATGGCGGCACCGGAGGACGGCCCATTGAATCCGGCATGGTCGTGGAAGAGCCCGACATTGAGATCGGCGCTGGCGTTTCTTCCAAAGGTTCGTCCTGCACAATCCCCCCCGCATAGCCATCAATACTGACTAGGAGAATAGCCATCAGCAGACGTATCGCGACCGATACCGGTGGCAAGCGGGGCCCCGTGTCATCGCGCACCCAGCAAGATCCTCGGGGTGGTCGCCGGCCAGAACACCCTGACCCTCAAGGCGGGAAGCCAGTTGGTCCTGGCGGACCTAGCGGCTCCGTCGATCGGGAAACCTCCAATGTGGGTAACATCGGAGTGCCCCCTGCCGTCCCTGGCTTCGGTTTCTCATTCCCCGGCATGCCGATGTTTCCTCCGGGTTTCATGATGGGAGGGGCTGGCGCCGGTGGCTCCACACAGCCGCCTCCCCCGGGCCAGGGAGGAAACTAAGGTCTGACCCGATGAATATAATGTCTAACTGTCACCTGATATGACTGTACTTTCGTCTTTTCCCTTTCTCTTATTCAACCGCCTGTACATTTCTTTTCTTTCTTCCCCCTTTTGTTCCCTTCCTCGTTGTTTGTTGAATAGGAATCCGGCGTTCACCAGGTCATTGCTTTCATTGAGACAAAAAAAGGTACACCGACCAAAACCGACCAACAACTGCATATGTGCGCCAAAATGGCGGTGATCATGTACCACGGGGGTAGTGGAGTGGAGTCATGTCATATGGAGCCTCTTTCACCTACGAAGGTCATCCACACACTACACCCCTCTTTCTATTTTTATTATCTTATTTTTCCTGTGTGAGAATCTCAGTACTGGATGGTTTTTGGGCGGTCTGGTCTTCGTTTTGTTGTTTTATCTCATTTTTATTTATTTTTTACTACCATTGAGGGAAGTTCTTCTTCTCTGCTGCGTGTATTACACTTTTAACTGCTTAGTTTTATCCATTATTTATCTATTACTTATTATCTTCTTTATACTTGAATACTTGTTGAATGTCTTGACTATTCTGTTCGTGATGTCTTGTTTGTAGTCATGTCTCCGCTGGACTAAGTATGTATCTACGTATGCCTTGGTCGGTCAGATCCCTCCGGCCGGTGTATTTCCACGCCTGAGGAAATTTACCGAAAACTTGTCAAATAGTTATGAAAAACCGCCTATCTTTAACATCACACCGTTTACCATATATTACTTGTTCTGTCATGAAAAATCGTTATTATATACTAGATCACTAGTGGCAATACCCATCTATCCAAGGTCATGTTCAACATCACTTGGCATGCCCTGCTCGAATGTATTCATGCAGACAAGACAAGGGGAAGAGTGAGACAGCCATATACATTTGTTGATCAGGTTTTGGTTTAGAATTTACTGGCCGGCGTTCACAGCGCTCGATGCCTTGAAGGACTGCTCGAAGTCGGCGATGATGTCGTCGATGTGCTCTGTGCCGACCGAGATGCGGATCGCGTCTTCCGTCACGCCGGAATTGAGACGCTCCTGGTTGCTGAGCTGCTGGTGCGTCGTGGACCAGGGGTGGATAGCCAGGGTCTTGGAGTCGCCGACGCTGTTGTCACATTATTAGATGAGCTCTTAGAATGAGGAAGAAGGGGGCGTACTTGGCAAGGTTCGAGATCAACTTGAACCCGTCCACGACTTGGCTACCGGCAGTGGCACCGCCCTTGACGCCGAAGGAGAGGACGCCTCCGAAACCGCGGGGCAGGTAGCGCTTGGCAGTCTCGTGGCTGGGGTGGTCTTCCAGACCGGGGTAGGACACCCAGCTGACATTCTCGTTCTTGCGGAGCCAGTTGGCCAGGGCGACGGCGTTGGTCGCGTGGCGCTCACCACGCAGACTGAGCGTCTCGATGCCGAGCAGGAGCTGCTGGGCAGCGAACGGGTTCAGTGCCGATCCGAGGTCACGGAGGATCTCCACCCGCACGCGAAGCGCAAACGCCAGGGGACCGAACGTCTCCCAGAACTTCAGGCCGTGGTAGCCTTCCGAGGGCTCGACCATCTGGGGGAATCGCGCGGCGTGCTTGCCCCAGTCGAATTTCCCGCTGTCCACGACAATGCCGCCAATGGTGGTACCGTGCCCGCCGATCCACTTGGTGGCGCTGTGGACGACAATGTCAGCGCCATGTTCGATTGGACGACAGAAGTAACCGCCGGCTCCGAACGTGTTGTCAACCTGTATTCTGTTAGATCACGACAGTCTTCTTCACGGTATTTGATCATAAATCAAAAAAAAAAAAGGAGGGGAAAGATGGGGTAGACATACAACTAGAGGAACACCCTTTTCGTGCGCAACCTTGGCGATCGCTTCAAAATCCGGAACATTGTACCGAGGGTTCCCGATGGTCTCGACGTAAACCGCCTTGGTGCGGTCATCAATGGCCGCACCGATATCCTCAGGATTATCACCCTGTACGAATTTGGTGTTGATCCCCAAGCGAGGGAGCATGACCTTGAATTGGTTGTAGGTGCCACCGTAGAGGTTGCTGGTGGAGACAATGTTGTCCCCCGCGTGGGCCAGGGCGGCGACGGCCATGAACTGCGCGGCCTGACCGGAAGAGGCGGCAACCGCAGCCACGCCGCCTTCGAGGGCCGCAATGCGCTTTTCGAAGACATCGACCGTGGGCTGGAGAGTATTAGTCGTCAATCCGGGTGGGCGGATTGAATTGAACCTACATTCATGATGCGACTGTAGATGTTTCCGAATTCTTGGAGGCCAAACAGCCTCGCGCCGTGAGCGGAGTCATTGAAGGAGTATGACTGATGTTGATGAGCAACTCAGCCTCTTACATAGCAGACGGGAAAGTCTTACGGTGGTGGCATAGATGGGCACCGCGCGAGCGTTGGTTGTGGGGTCAGGTTCCTGGCTGGAGAGCTGTCAGTCAACGGTGACACTGCCTTGTGGGGCTCAAACCGTACCCTGCGTGGAGCTGGAGAGTCTCGAAACGAGGCTGTTGAGCAGACATGATGATTGATTTGGAGTAAGGGAACAGAAGAGAAGAGGGACAAAGTGTGGAGGGGAAGTTAGTATGAGGAGTGGACTATATAACAGTAAGGTATACACAGCGATGGCGTGATTTGAGGAGAACATGAGGGGTGCGAAGTCGGCGACTGCGGGACCACCAATCTTTGGGCTTCTTCCCCATATTTCCTTTTCCGGTTCTTCTTCCTCTGTTCCTCAATTGATTGTCGTGTCTTTGTGTGGGGTCCTATAATACCAATTGACTCGAAGTCTGGTTGAGTGGTCAGCTGTCAAAGATCTCCCTGACATGGATCCCCGCTAAAGGGAAATCCAGACGCCACGACCTAGAAAGGTACTGGAGAGATATGATATACGCGTCGAGGTATAGAATGCTCTATAGAGCTACCCCAGTGGATCGGCATCAGCTACAATTAGTTGGGATTCGGTGTTTAATCAATTCCTGACGAGAAAATCTATTATCAACCTCATCGCAGAAACAAAGCCACCAAGGACCTGACCACAAATAAACACGATCATCTGACTCATTGCATGCAATAACTCAACTAGGTAGTTATGGAGTGGTGATCATCATGCCAACGCCACGACGTGTGGAGGCCAAACACGAGATATGCTGCTACCTAGACTATATTGGTCCTCTGGCATTCGACCACTGTCGTCATCGGACGGCTATTTTCCCGTCCAAGCCCTATCCCTGCCTCGAAGCATGTTAGGTACCTAGCAAACTAGCAAATTAATCAATGAAAAACTCGGCCAACCAAGGAATATCCCCGCTAATGCAGCCTTTACGAATCAAACGCGCCCAATACGAGTGCGCCTCAGATGACGTCCGCCCCTCCAGGGCTCTTGCCAAAATGACTGCCTTAAAAAAAGGACCGTTATAACCAGGGAGGTTCCCGTCTGCTGTCTCTGCTGGCAGGTGTCCCACAAGGCAGCTATAATTTTAATTGAAGAAAACCCTTTTGTATTGGGAAATCCTCAACTTTGGCACTGGAGGTTACAAACTATACTAATCCAACACCGAAAGACTCATTCATTGCATCATGCAGCTCAATTTTCCCTGGATCTATCCCGTACGGGTCGTGCAAGTCGTCTTCGGCATAATAGTGCTAGGTTTGGCAGCATATGGTCGGTTGTCTTTCTTTCTTCCATCTAGCCTAGAACTGATCGTGATGCAGCCATCAATATACCTGTGAGTAGCGATACCGTCAACTTCATGCTCTTCAATGGCATCTGGACGGCATTCCTCGCTACGCCCTATCTCGCCTTCGCACCGGCGTTCTTCCCCCACGCGGCCCTTCAGTTTGTCGTACCTGCAGTAGAGGCAGTCACTGCGATCTTCTGGTTCGCAGGTTTCGTGGCCACAGCTACTATCTTGCCCCCGCCCCGATTGTGTCACGGGGGACTGTGTAATTCGCTGCAGGCGGCTACGGTGTTTGGGGCTTTCGAATGGTATGTTCTCTCGCCTTCTGTATTGGGATGTTCTCATGTTAATGATATAGGGTGCTGTTTATGGTCACTGCCGTCTTTGCTGGACTGGGTGCTCTCCGAACTCACCGGGAGGGCAGGACGGGGAATGCCCCCCCGACGACCACCGTCAACCTGGGTGTCTAAGAGCGTATCGGTGTCGTGAAATGTTTGCAATTCTGCTTTTCTCCCCCTCCCTTTTTTATCTGAAGTTATCCCGCCGCGAAACTCCCGGTCGACTTCATGGATGATACGGCTTTTTGATACCCTTGCCGCGGCGGGATGTGTTATGATGGACGTGCCTATTCTGGCGCTAATTAATGCCGCGACTCGCGAACAGCCCAAGATATCGGTTTATTTTTGTATGGAATCATGTAATTGAGAGACCCGTAGCGGTCTTATTAGCTTGTTTGAATCCGATTTTAACTGCTGGACTGAAAAGTAAGAACTCTTCTTTCTCCACATGACAGGAAGTGATATGATAGTATAATATGTAACAGATCGGTATTCTTGTTTATTCGAATTGAGTTGATTGAGCTTATTTTATTTTCTTTCTTCAAGCCAAATAGAGGTTGTTGTCTTACTATCTATCTCCTGGTGAGCACTGGGTAGTACACATCGACCCACTGATAACCACAACAGCCATGTAAGGACGCAGGATCCGTCGGCCTGCAGTAGTCACTCTATAGTCAATATATTCCGCGACAAACACGAGCGCAAAGCCAGAAGAATAGAAAAAGAAAAGAAACAATCCAAGACAAAAAATTGCCATCGAGCTTTAGCACTGTTTATTATACATCTATCTTTAGACACGGAGTAGTACATAGATTAATAGATACCCTGCAGTAATAGCCGAGGACTTGCCGGAGTCCCGGCATGGAAGGAAAACTCTGCCAGAGCCTAAAGTGCTTCTGCTGCTGCTACTGCTAGGGTTGGACTCGGGTGGCGCCGAACAGCAGGCCTCAGGCTGTCGCACACCGATGACCCACTCCGATGGCGGGATCCCATTTATCTTGTAGTTCTATTAGGTGGATGGGTGAAGTTAATGACTACGGTGGCACTCCAGTTTGAGTCAGAAAATAGTAATAAAAAGGAAAAGGAAAAGGGAAAGGAAAAACCCTTCCACTCGTATCCGATGAGACAGATTCGATCCTTACTATCGTGGTTATAGTTCCATGGCTGATCTCGTCGTCTATCTTGCAGTGTTGCATTCGGTATGGTCGTGAGGAGACTTTTCCGTCTCCCCCTCAACTTAATCATTCTTTTTACCTAAGATCGTCTGCGTCGCTATACTTTTTTGGTTATTATCGTTGGTGTTCTTATTCGTCATACCTGCTTCTTTATCTCGGTCTTTTCTTATCAATCGCCTCCCTCCTCGTTTCTCTCTCGGGGAACTCCACTGGTGACACCGGAGAACGCAAAATAAGAGACGGAAAAAAGGGAAAGGATCGGTCATAACCTTGCAGACTGTAAAGTGAAAGAACTCAAGTGGGGATATCGTTCGACTCCGTTTAAGTGGGGTCTCCCAGCCGGACCGCCGGTTTTTCTACTCTTCTCTTTCGCACCTCCCGGTTCGCAAAACGCTGCCGACACCGTTCTTCCAAACCCGCGCTCGAGTTCGATTCCCTCTGACGATCGGTCCTTGCATGGCCAGCGATGGCCTCCGACACAAAATCATTCGATGGGGCAAAGACGACCACCGACGATGCCGTCCAGGCTGACCCCCCGTCCCAAGGGTTGAACGATATGGACTGCGAGAAGCATGGCGCCAACAGCGAGTCCAATCCGCTGCCCGATCTCAAGCGGAAGTTGAAGAGCAGGCATCTGCAGATGATCGCTATCGGTAAATAGACCTAAGTACTCTCTGCGATCCCTCGCCCATGACACTGACACTTGCACTCCCCCTAGGCGGTACTATCGGCACCGGTCTCTTTATCAGTAGTGGCACCGCAATTGCCAATGGCGGCCCCGTCGGCGCCCTGATCGCCTACCTCTTCGTCGGATCCATCGTCTACTCCGTCATGACTTCGTTGGGCGAGATTGCCACCTACATCCCCATTCCTGGAGCGTTCACCGCCTATGCGGCGCGCTTGATCGACCCCAGTCTCGGTTTTGCCATGGGCTGGATCTATTGGTTCTCCTGGGCCAGCACATTTGCCCTCGAGTTGACGGCAACGGGCCTCATCATCCAATTCTGGGACCAAACGATCAATATCGCTATCTTCATCGCCATCTTCTGGGTCGTGATCACCCTGCTCAACTTTCTTCCGGTCAACTTCTATGGTGAACTGGAGTTCTGGTTTGCCAGTATCAAGGTGATCACGGTGATCGGGTTCATGATCTTTGCGATTTGCGTCGACGCCGGTGTTGGAGAAAAGGGGTATCTGGGGTTCCGTTACTGGGTGGACCCGGGGCCGTTTGTCCCGTATGGCTCTGTCCAGTCCGATTCGACGGCTAAATTCGTTGGGTTCTGGGCCGTGTTGATCCAGGCTGGTTTTTCGTACCAGGGGACTGAACTCGTGGGTATCGCCGCGGCCGAGACCGAGAATCCCCGGGAGACCGTGCCCTCGGCCATCCGCAAGACCTTCTTTCGGATTCTCTTCTTCTTCGTGTTGACCATTTTCTTCATTGGTCTGATCGTGCCGTCCGACGACAGCCGCCTTCTCACGGACGGCAATGACGCCAACTCCTCGCCGTTCGTCATCGCCGCCCGGCTTGCCGGGGTCCGCATCCTGCCCCACATCATCAACGGCGTGTTGCTGACGGTGGTGCTCTCCGCGGCCAACTCCAACGTCTACAGCGGGAGCCGTGTGTTGATCGGTCTGGCCCAGGAGGGTCTGGCGCCGCGGATCTTCAAGAAGACCAACAAGCACGGCGTGCCCTACTACAGCGTCGCGTTCACCGCGGCCTTTGGGCTTCTCGGCTTCATGAACGTCTCCAACGCCGGCAGCACGGTGTTCAACTGGCTCCTCAACATCTCCGGCGTGGCCGGCTTCATCACGTGGGGGTCGCTCAACGCCTGCCATCTGGCCTTCATGCGGGCTCTGAAGACGCGCGACATCTCGCGCGATCTCCTCCCGTACAAAGCCATCTGGCAGCCGTGGTACTCGTGGTACGGGCTGTTCTTCAACGTCCTCATCATCATCACGCAGGGGTTCACGGCGTTCATCCCGACCTTCAGCGTCACGGACTTCTTCATCGCCTACCTCAGCTTGATCCTGTTTGTGGTGCTCTACGTGGGGCACAAGATCATCGCGCGGCCGTCGTTTGTCCGACCGGAGGACGCGGACATAGACACGGGGCGAACGATGCTGGAGAACGAGATGTGGGAGACGACGCCGCGGACCAAGTGGTACAAGCGTGTGTACAGTGCCGTTCTGGGGTAGACTTACCGAGTCATCCCGTATTTTGAGCGTGTTTTTAGATTCTTTCTTTCTTTCTTTTCTCACCGGTATATAGTGCGACTCTTATATGTACTATATTTTAGACCCCTCTCGTTGGTTAGCATTGGCATGGAGTTGGTTGATTGATATGTGATAGTTGAACTATCTTGTATATATTCTTTTTGGTGAATTCCGAGTACTTGCATTGATCAGATTGTCTCCTCACTGCATTGTGGTGATGCCCTTGATAGAGTCCTCCGTAAGTATGATAGCATAAAAGTGGGGGAAATTACCAAGCAGCCCGAAAGGGGGGTATCAAAACCAAAAGGAAACGAGAAAAAAAGAAATAGAAAAAAAAGCCAATGAAAATCATTACCGGCGCCTGTTTCGCATGGAGCAGCACATGGAGCAGCACGCGGGAATAAGATAGGTAGTACTCCATACCTCAGGTCAAGCAGGCCGCAGCAGTCTTCACATGAAACCTCCAATCTCCACGGGGGAGGAAGAAAATGATCTACCCCCGTAATGTGATCAAATTGCTTTGTCCGTCCAATTCCGGGGTTACCCAGTAACCTATCTATCTTTGGGGTCATCTGGCTAGTAGTACCACTGCATAGCCTGGTTGGTGCGTGGCCAAGGATACCTAGTAGGTACCTGCCTAGGTACGGGACTTACTCAGTCGATGACCAGTTGGTAGTAGGTAGTAGCCAGGTTAGTGGCCACTCATCGGGCCAATGACCCGAAACCAGTGACCCCAGAGTCGGCACCGAAATGAATGCATGTGAGACTTGTCCCGACGGGGTCTCCGATGGTTGATCCGTGCTGAGGCTACTACCTTATAGGTAGGATTCTTCCGATTGATCATTCTTTGTGTTGTTTGGTTATCTCATTTGTTACTGTCGTACCACGTGTCCTTTGTATTGAGTATCTTTGGTGTATGAATCATGATATCCATGATGTGTTGATGTATCATGATAATGAATATAATCATATAAGAATAGAAGTTTAAAAAAGAGGAGATGAGAATGGCCTGTGATCGGATCACAAGGATCATAAGGAATAATGAATATGTCCCAATCGGGTTTAGTGTCCGGAGGGAAGCCACTTATGCTATGTCCTCTGGAGCATGCATAAGCCCGATCCTGAGGCCTCGGCATTCCGTCTGTATAGTGATCAATGTGATCGTTCTCAGTTACCATCCCAGATGGATCAATGTGAATAAATGACAATATTCAGACTATCAAAGACAATAGACATAGAGAGACAAGTTCAAAAAAAAAAAAAAATAATAATAATAATAAAAATAAATAAACAACTGTTGGGATTGTTATGATTCCAAGAAGTAAACCATGACATGCCGAGGTACTTCCTCCTCGTGGAGGCAAAAAACCCGTCACGATTTCTGGCTCGGCCACTCAGCGCGTTTCCCCTCTGGACTCCCGGGGGGGCTTGGATGGATCTTTCTCTATCCTCCTTTAAACTATTCCTCTCCTTTCTTTTCTCTCTTCTTCCTTGGTTCCTTGAGTTAGTCTGGATTGTTTCTGTTTCTTTTCCCTTTTTTTTAAAGACCTACCTCCCCCCACCCCCTCCTTCTCCAGAGCTGCCTCCCCGTCAATCTCATCTGGACTGGTCTAGAAGTCTTTCTTGACGGCTGGGCTTGTATGTTTGTTCTATACCCCGTGTTTCTCTCCTTGGTCGCTAACCTTTCTTCTTTTGAAAAAAGATTAGAATATAGACAGAATGTTTTTCTCTCAACAACCCGTTCACCTGGCGCGTGCCGAGGAATTGCGCCAGGAACCTCGCAAAGGCAAGCCTTACTCCGTCGCCATTCCCGGTACGGAGAAACCGGGCCGCAGCCCCATCTATCGAGCCTGGAATACCCAAAAGGGCCTCGTCAAGACCCTGGACCCGCAGGTATGCATTCTTTTTGCTTTCCTCTTAGATCACTTTTTTAATCTCCGTCACTACAGGTCCTCACGGCCCACGATGTCTTCGAATCGGCCGCCAACCGCCTCCCGAAGAACCACTGCTTGGGGTGGCGTCCGTACAACCCCGTCAAGAAGACCTATGGCCCCTATCAGTGGTTAGATTACCAAACGGTCCAGAAGCGTCGCGCTGCATTTGGCGCAGGGTTGGTGGAACTTCACAACAAGCATAACTGCGCTCGCGCGGGCCAGTACGGCATTGGACTGTGGTGCCAAAACCGCCCGGAGTGGCAGATCACCGGTATGCTTCTCGTGAAACATATTGGGGGGGATTACACTAATGGGGATTTCATATAGATCTGGCCTGTATGTCGCAGGGCCTCTACTCCGTCTCCATCTACGACGTTCTGGCCCCCGATGCGACCGAGTACATCATCAACCACGCCGAGTTGAGCTGCGTGGTCACTTCGCTCCCCCATGTTCCTACGCTATTGAGGCTGAAGCCCATGCTGCCCAACCTGAAGATGATCGTCTGCCTCGACCCCATCGACGCCGGCGAACAGCCCGGTCAGTCCAAGCGTGCCCTCCTGGAGTCCGTCGCCGCCGGCCAGGACGTCTCCATCTACACCATCGACCAGGTGGAGCAGCTGGGCGCTGCCTCGAAGCGCCCTTACAACCCCCCGACCCCGTCGGATATTGTCACCATCAACTACACCTCCGGTACCACGGGTCCCCCGAAGGGTGTGGTTCTGACCCATGAGAATTCCGTGGCGGCGACCACGGGTGGTCTGGTCGGCATCGAGCAGACCGCCGCCGACACCATGATATCCTACCTGCCATTGGCCCACATCTACGCTCGTCTGTCGGAGCACGCGGCGTTGTGGTCGGGCGCCCGCATCGGCTATTTCCACGGAAACATCCTGGAGCTGGTCGACGATCTCAAGCTGCTCAAGCCCACGGGTTTCATGTCCGTGCCCCGTCTGTACAGCCGTTTCGGCAACGTGATCCGCGCCTCGACCGTGGAGCAGCCCGGCTTCAAGGGTGCGCTGTCGCGACACGTCGTCGACGCCAAGATGGCCAACCTCAAGAACCCCGACCCGTCCAAGGCCACCGTCAAGCACGCCTTGTACGACCGGGTGTGGGCCAAGAAGGTCGCCGCGGCGCTGGGACTGGAGCGCGCCCGCCTGATGGTTTCCGGGTCGGCGCCTCTCGATCCGACGCTGCACAACTTCCTCCGTGTCGCCACCGGATCCGACGTCGTGCAGGGCTACGGCCTGACCGAGACGTACGCCATGGCGTGCGTGCAGTCCCCCCACGATCTGACAAGCGGCAACTGCGGCCGCCTCTCCCCCTGCACGGAGGCGTGCCTGCTGTCCCTGCCCGACATGAACTACTCCGTCGATGACAAGCCCTACCCGCGCGGCGAGCTGCTCCTGCGCGGCCACAACGTCTTCAAGGAGTACTTCAAGAACCCCGAGGAGACCAGCAAGGCCATGACCGAGGACGGATGGTTCTGCACCGGCGACGTCTGCACGATCGACGAGATGGGCCGCATCGTCATCATCGACCGCCGGAAGAACGTCCTCAAGCTCGCCCAGGGCGAGTACATCTCCCCCGAGCGCCTGGAGGGTGTGTACATGTCCGAGATTGGGTATTTCGCCCAGGCCTACATCCACGGCGACAGCGTCGAGACGTTCCTGGTGGGCATCTTCGGCGTTCTGCCCGAGGCCTTTGCGCCATTCGCCAGCAAGGCCCTGGGCCGCACCGTCTCCGAGGCCGACGTCAAGTCGGTCCTGAACGACGATAAGGTCCGCAAGGCCGTGATCAAGGATCTCGAGCGGGTGGCCAAGAAGCACAAGCTGGCGGGATACGAGCGCGTCAAGAACTGCTCCTTGATGATTGATCCGTTCACTGTCGACAACAACCTGCTGACTCCTACGTACGTTCCTCCCCTCTTACCATCAATTTTTGATTTTCGAAGATTTTCTAACCAATCTGTCTACAGCCTGAAACTGAAGCGCCCTCCCACCGTCAAGGCCTACCGCGAACTCCTGGACCAATTATACGCCGAGGCCAACGCGCAGATCTCGCCCAAGGCGAAGCTGTAGACTGTTTTTGTTCCATTTTTGATGAGGAAAGGCGAAAGCCTTCACTGTATATATTGTTGTGGTTTCGGACATACATATCGGGACCGTTTAGTAGGATAACTGGATATATCCTAAATTATAGATGTATTTAAGACACTGTATGATATTGGATAGTATAGACTGTCACTTTTAGTGAAGTGTAGATAGTAAGGCGATGTAGATATAGTAGGTACCTCTTTAGGTATTGAACTCGGTGGTATCCAGCAACAGTGACCTCGGCCGTTGATTGATTGGGCTGGGCTGGCTTGGCATCGACCATCGCAACTCCACCGCAGCTCTTCCGTAGACATCATCCTCCGAACACCCTCCTCACTACCTTGCTTTTCCTACCTCAAGTCCAAGGACTACTCAAAAACAACATGGCTCTCCCCAGCCCATTCCGCCTCCTCCTCTTCATCCTAACAACAACCACCCTAGCCTCATCCCTCCTAACACTCACCATCCCCCCCTCAAACGCCCTCCCCAACCCTCACACCCTCCCACCTGGAACCCACGCAACACTCACCTCCCTTCCTTCCTCCTCCAATCCCTCAGAAGGAGCCTACAACCAGGGACACAAATCAACCGCTCCCCTCACCCGCACCGCAACCTTCACCTTCCCCGCCCTCCCCGAATCCTCCTCCCCAACATCTTACCTCCTCGACATCCGCTCCGCAGAGTACATCTTCGCCCCCTACCGAGTCGACCTCGCCGCGGACGGATCCGTCCTCGGCATCTGGGAGACCTTCCGCGGGAACCCCTGGGATAACCGTGGCGCGGAGAAGTTCCTGGCTGATGTTTCTGCGCCGGCGTCCGGGAGGGATGTCACTGTTGAGGTGAAGGTGCTTGCTCGGAGGGGGTTGTATGAGGAGCGGTCTACGTGTGAGTTTCATCATTTTAACCTGAGAGGGAATTTGAGGAGGTGGATTATGGCTGACTGTGGACGTTTTTGGTTGGTGTAGTCTCGCCTTTGGCTCTGTTTAAGAATCCGATGATTTTGCTCGCGTTGGTCGCTTTGGGGTTTACGTTTGGGATGCCCAAGTTGATGGAGAATAGTACGTCCTTTCCTATATATTTCTATTCCATCGGACGCCCTGCTAATTCATGACTAGTGGACCCCGAAATGCGCGCCGAATTCGAGAAACAGTCTCGCGCCTCCCCTGTCTCTGGCGCGGCCAGAGGCGCCATCGGCGGTGGTGCTGCCCCCGGCAACTTTGATCTTGCTGGGTGGATGGCCGGTACTGGGAACAGGCCGGCGGCGGCTGCTCCTGGGACGGAGGCTGAGCCTTCCCAGGGTGGAGCTGCTACTGGGAGGGAGAGCGGAGGTGCTACGCGGAGACGATGATCAACTGGAGGTGACGGGGTGGTGTTGTGTATGGTGTGTTTTATATGATACTGAACTTGTGGATCCAGAAGGACAATCAATCTTCCAAGAACGCCTCCTAAGCCCATTGTCCAGAAAGATACACAAGAAACAGAAGAAGAAACAGAAGAAACAGAAGAAAAGAAACAACTATCCTACAACATCACAACTTTCACAACCTAAAACCCCCAAAATCCCCTCCTCCTCCCCCAAAGTCCCCCCACCCCCATAATCACCCCCACCGTCATAATCCCCCCCTCCTCCCCCATAATCCCCATCATGATCATGATGATCATCAAACGCATTCGCCAACATCGCCCCCCCAAGCAATCCACCCCCAACCCCCAAAGCAGCCGCCCCCGCAGTCCCCATCCCCCCACCACCACGTCTCCTCTGCTGCTGCACCTGATACGGCGAGTAGTACCCTCCCCCACCACCCTGCATCGGATACGCAGAGTATCCATACCCAGGCTGCGGCGAGGCCATCCCGCCATAATACCCCCCACCACCAACACCTTGCTGATAGGGATAATGCTGCTGCTGCTGCGGCATAGCCGGCGGAGGCCGTGAGTAGCCCGCACTGCTACTACTGCTACTACCGCCGGAAACCTTCCCCATAATCTTATTCAGCAACCCCCTCCCACCGCGCGATTTCTGACCAGACGATGAACTCTGCGGCCGCGGAGGCAGTGGCGCCTGCTGGTACCCTCCTCCTCCTGCTGCCGCGGAGGAAGGCGAACCACCACCGTAGTAATCATCCGACGCGCCCTTCTGCTGCGCAGATGGCGTACCGCGGGCGCGCGCGTCTTCCTCCGCCTGCAACTGCGCCGCTAGTCTGGCGTCGCTGTCGAGGATGTTACTGCTGCTGCTTCTTCGGCCGGTGGTGGGGCTGTCGGCGCGGTGGATGTCGCTGTAGGGGTTGTTGGTGTTGGTGTCGTCGCTGTAGGGGTTGTTCGAGTTGAAGGGTTTCTTCTCGTTGATTCCTGAGAGTGACGATCCTGGACCGGAGGAGTCGTAGGATGGGGGTGCGTCGCTTGGGGCGCTGTGGAGGTGGTGTTGTTCTGAGGGTGTCGTGGGGGGTTGTTCCCATTGGGATTTGCCGGTTTGGAGGTTTATGAAGAACCTGTTTTTGTTAGTTTTATGGTTTATATTATAGATAAATAGATATATATATTATATATATATATATATATATATATATAGGAAGAGAAGAGATAGAAAGAGGCTCACCATCGCTGATACCTATCGTCATACTGAGCCTTCCATCCATCGGGGACAGACGGGGGCGGAGGGCCCGGCGGCGGGGCAAATGGCATCGACATGAAGATGGATCGATATAGATAATAATTTAGTAGGAAATAACAAAAAAAGCAGACAAGAAAGATATATTACTATCCTGTGAAATAGAAGTAATACTCGTGTTTGCTTGCGTAAAAGTTGGATGATAACTGTAGTATATATCCCCCGGGGTATGATATCACGAGATCGACGGATTGAGCCATGCGGGATCTTTGCCTAGATTCTATCCGGCGCTCCAGTGGCGGTGGCGGGGCTGTCTTGCTCAGCCACAACTGCTGATGATATACTTGGGTACAACCATGTCACAGGTGGTTACGCCGTAAAACTCGCGTAGGGCTAGGTACCACTGTAGATCTTGGACAGTTCTCAGCTACCGCTGCCGAGTTGTCTTTAGGAGTGCGCTATGCTGATAATTGTCAACTCCACTTAGAAGTTCTATAAGATCACAAACGGTGATCAAGACTACGTAATCAAGAAGTTCTAGTCTTGGTGGCTGGCATCTCTCCATTAACATGCCTCGTACACTATATACAAGAGTATCAATTACAGACTCAGGCTCAAAAGCGTGGTCATAAACAGGGGGTATCTTTGAAAAGCAGAAAATATGAAATCCATCTCAAGCGTACAGGGAGAAGCGCTTCATGGAATATTCGCATCAACAGTAGAGTTCTCTGGCCACCAATGGTCATCCTCCAATTTCTCTTCCAACTCCTCTAGGGCCCCACTGACCTCGGTGAGAGGTCTTTCACTCGAATGTAGAGGATCCGTGCGGAAAGACGATAGCGTTGCTTCATCAGTGTCACTTGTAAGATCAATGAGTTCGGGGATATCTGTCGTGGGCCGCTTAGCCGCCAGCTTGATAGGTTTGATGTCTTCATCTTCATCACTGCAGAGGTTGATGAAATTGTCTTGAGGGAGATCTTGAGAATAGTCTTGAGGAGAGTCTTGATAGCCAATTGCCGAACTCTCATGTTTTCGTTTGCCTTCGTTTTGTCGTCGATTGCGCATTCGAGAGAGTTGGACGCGAGCAGCATGATCCCGGCGAGCCTGCTCGTTCAGCCCTGGGCGACGTTCCAGCGGGGGCCCTTCAAGCTGCAGCACTTGATACTCTTTCCTCAGATTGACTCTCGACATCTGGTCTGGAGGTGTTCTTTCTGGCCGAGCCCAGGCGGCGAAAGGACCTTTGTAGTGTGGACCTTTGCCGACGCCATAAGTTGGGTGCCGTACGAGTTCACCTGAGGCCAGGAGGTCTTCCGCAAAGGAGATACCCGACTCGGTATCGGGTTCGTGTTGGGACGAAGATGCCTCTGACGCCCCCTTATACTCCATGGCAATCTCATCCGCGGAGAAAGGACCCGGTGATAGTATGTGAAGGGCACCAGCGGAATCTCCTATGAGGAGATTGGATTTGTCTTCTGAGAAGGCACCGCACATCACCCCCCCCTGCAAATTGACCTCGTCTCTGACCAGGGTATCTTCGGGGGATCTAAGGATATTCCAACGTTTCACCACGCCATCAGAGGCGCCTGTATACAAGGTGTCCATATCATCCCCCCAGACGGTCATCCTGACCCCCACGTCTGCCTCTTCCCTTGGGAGAGTCTCGTCAATTGGGTTTAGGGGGGTACCGTGTTGGAGCTTGTGAAGCAGCTGATTTTCCTTGCGGATATCCCAGGCGTAAATTGCCCCGTCCGTGCAGCTCGCCGTCAGATAGTTGGGATTGAGCGGGCAGAAAGTCACATCGTTGACGTCCAACGCGGGACACTCGAACTCGTGCGTCCGGTTCTTAGATAGCAGTGGTTGGTAAAGGCGAACAACGGACCGTGTGTCCCTGGAGGCCATCCCCGCCCTTCCATTCCCCACGGAGCTTGCAGTTGCAAAGTAGGGGATCGTTGGATGCCATTTGATATCGAAGATATTCTGTGAACAGTGGGAGAATTGTATAGGCGTTGCGGATGCCTCGCCAATACGCCAGGATGCGAGAAGCCCATTTTGCGACACACCGTCTTCTTTTTCAGACATACCGGCAAGCAGAAAGTCCTTCGTCGCATTGAGTGTTCCCCACACCAATGAGGTCGAGATCATTTCAGGGCATTTCTTCGAGGACGCCTCAAGAGGCGTATATCTTGACGAGTCGATCTGCCATAATCCAATGCGATGGGTACCAGTTGCGAGAAGGTTTCCTCGAAGAATCGACCGGGCCATCACTTCCACTTTCGAATCGTGGATAAAAGTTTTCAAACATCTTGGCCTGTGTCGAGGAAAATCCCACATTTTGACAGTCTTGTCGTAGCTTGAAGTGAAGAGTGCGTCTTCGAACCATTGCATACCAGTGACCGTCATGAAAAGCGGCGTATCATTCAGTATCCTGCTGTTTGTACGCGGACGAGAGATCCAGTGGTCGGGCAGCTCCTCGAGGCAATTGCTAACCAAGTCACCCACGAGCAGATTATTCCGTCGGTTGTAGTCCATGTTGTGTTCGTCGCATAAAGCCGTGGCACCTGCCGCGAACCAGGTTCCGTCAGGAGACCAGGCTAAAACATTTACATCGTTCGAGGCCCCCTTCCACGTCCTGTGAGTGATTAAGCGCGATTTGATCTGTGGGCGAAGCTTGCCTTCCACGCGGTGGCCCAACTCGCGGCCCTGCAACACTCGATTGAGCGTGGCCGAGCGCCGAGACGCGCGAGTAGACTGCAATCTATTACTCGGTTTCACGTCGGTGACTATGATCTTACTGGGGACGGATGGAAGACTGCCTCGTTTGGCGTCCTCGAGGAATAGATCGATGTCGGATCCCCTGCGTCGGCTCAAGATGGATACTTGTGGAAAGTAAGTTGGTAGTTGCATAATCGTTGTGGTGAAATCCGAGAGAGAAGCATTTGGATCCTTCAGTCCCAGAGCCTTGGTAAGATACCGCTGAGCACGAGCATGCCGGTGGTGTTGCGTGGTTGGAGTTATTGCATCCAGAAGCCACAATGTGTAATCGCTCGCCTGGGCCCTTGTGAGCAACGAGACGAGCTTGTTTATTTGGTTGATCCGTTTGCTAAACCCTGTCGGGACGCTGGATGTTTTCACAAGGTGTATTACTTGATCAGCAGGTGCCATCTCATGGCTCACTGACTGGCAGCAGCCAAAAAACTGTAATAAATCCAAAATTGCTTTCATTTCGTGCTCGAGGAAATCGACATGAGGCACTTCACGAAACGATGGACCACCATTTTGAACCCTCGTGGTATAATCAACCGGATTGCTTTGTGGAGAATAGCGTGCATGTTTCAAATCTTCCATATCGGCTGGTCCTTTCAGATACCATTTGGCGACTTGTAGTTCAGACGAATAATATATCAATTCATATTGCATGCCAGTCGAGTTGCCGATTGGGTCTTCGCCACGAGGCTGGGATGGGGAGCGAGACGGACTGGTTCTGCCACGTTCATGTGATGTGTCAAGCGGGTGATCTGTAGGCAGTGCCTCATTCATAGAGACTCCTTCGTCAAGATCATCGAAAAAATTCGGACACTGGTAATAATTAACCGGCTCGTTCCTCGCGCGTGTAGACCGCCGAATCGGGGATCCTCGACCCAGTGATCTGAGCTTCGAAGGTCCTTGAGATTTGTCCACATGCAACGGTCGTGAATCTTTCGATCCCGCACGCTTACGACCAGTAACGAGTGTTTCCGGTGTTACTGTGCTCCGGAAGGTCCGTGATGGTTCAGTTGGGGGTCGTGGGTGCTGCTGTCGGAGTTGTGGTGACCTGGTATGGTTCCTAGACGAAGGATTGCTATCGTGCTGTCGAGTTGCTACCCCAGAGACCTGCCTTTCCGTTGCTCCTGTGCTCCGGAAAGTCCGTGTTGGTTCGGCTGATTCGCTTGGTGGTCGTGAGAGCTTCCGTCGGGGTTGTGGTGACTTGTTATGGTTCCTGGACGAAGGATTGCTATCAGCCTGCTGGGTCGCTATCCCAGAAACGTGCGTTTCCGTTGCTCCTGTGCTCCGAAAGGTCCGCCGCGTTGGTTCAGTTGGTGGTCGGGAGTGTTTCGGACGGGGCTGGGGCGATTTTGTATGGTTCCTGGGTGGAGGATTGCCATCATCGTGTTGGGCTGCTATCAATTTTTTCGTTAGTAAGACATCGTTGAAATAGTTCGTCCAGGCATCGCCTACCGATGAAGTTGGAGTTGCCTCGAGTCTGTCCAGTACCGTCTGGGGTGCCATTATTGTCCAGGGCGCCAGGGGTCAGCGGAGACTTCTGTGGTTTGTGCGAAGAAGAATGCCTCGTGAATTGTGATAATAACACCTCGTATTCTTCAGTTAATATCGACTCTTCAGAAGAGCTGAGCTCAGCGTAGAGTGGCGTCCGTCGGCTGATAAAGGCCTCAGGCCGAGAGCTTCGGCCCCTGGCGCCCGTGAGATTTTGGAACATGCTATGTGGTTTTCCGATGGCGAGCGGCGGGGGCCTTGATCTTGTGGCAAGCTGAGACAGTCAGAAGAAGCCATGGTGAAAAAGGTATGAGCATCAATTGATACTTACTTACATCTGCAGGCGCTACATTCAACCATGGAAAGCTGGATCGCGCTCGGTGGGGTCTAGCTAGGGAGTTTCGTAGATAGCTCGACTCCCCACGCTTGCGTCATGGATCAAAAATTCATCCAGTTCACTAGGTATGGTCGAAACATAGTACTAGTGATGTGGTAAGAATTTCCATGAACACAAAGATGGAGTTGCGATTCCAGGTTACTAATCACTGGCTTTGGTAGAGGGAGCCGCAAGAGAGAGAGAGAGGGAGGGAGAAGAAGCAGAATATAGGCTGTTTGCTTGTGCATCAAATTCAATTTTGGTCGGTTGGTGTTTTGAGATCAATACAATCCTTGCAAAAGCAAATGGCCTGGCCGTTTAGCAACGCGGAAACGCGAAGATAAGCCCGACGTGTCTGCCACACGCTCTAAACAGGGCAGGTAATTGACTTGGGGTTCTCGTCCCAAAGCAGCAGGCGGTCTGATCACTTCTTCTTGAAGAACGTGACAACATCATCGAAGGAACAATGAAAACCACCCAAACATATACAAACAAAGAGATCTATGTATTACTATAATATCGACAAGGTTGTATCATTGAACTATGAGACATTGGACGTCTCAGACATTCAAACAAATTGTGACAATATATAAAGCTCTTGACGCGACAATAGACAACGCTAAATCACCAACTGATGGGGCCATCAAATCCCATCAATAATATTTGACCATTTCATCGGTCCTCACATATAAAGTACCAAAGAGTCCCGGATGATATGTTATAGAGTTATATATATGGATAATGTTCACAGCCTATAGTAGAAACTAAGGTCTTTAATACACACTCAGGCCAATTTGGTATATGACAAGAACATAAAAGCCTGGAAAAGACACATTGATGATACACGGCCAATGAAGGAGATCTATAAGATTCCCTTCGACACTTTTCACAGCCAGCCTTCGCACATTGCTACCCTTACCGGGAAACCTTACCTCTCTTACGCAGAGAGATCATCATGTCATATAAGACATCCTTGAAAGCGAACAAGAATGCTGCCGTGATAGCACTCTGAGTGACCTTGGGTCCGATACCTGTGTTTTATAAGCTTCCGTCTTGCTTGTGGGGTTTGAGAGTCATGCAATACCTTTGTACAATCCCACGTAACCCTCTTCCTTAATGATCCTCTTCAAGCTGCCGTTCAGGCTCTCCTTAGGGCCATCTCTGCTGGCCACGTGCGCTCGGCTCTTGATGGTGATATAAGGGTATGTGATCGAGGTGGCAAGGATCTTGCCCAGGGCGCCAAGGTAGAAGGCATCCTTCGGGGTCATGCGTCTCCGGCGCTCCACCATGTTCTTCAGTTGTTCGAAGATGGTATATTGGAGGATGGGGTTGATCACCAGCACCAGAGCTGGCAGAACACCGGCGAAGAGGGCCTTGGGGCCCTCCTTCTGCAGGAGTTCCATAAGGGTGCTGATCGTCGACGTCCGTTGCTTCTTCTCGGCCGTCTGTCCCTCGGGTTCGGCCTTGCGAGCCGTCATCCTGGTGTTGATGACCCAGATGGGATTGGTGAGCAGGACCGTTGCGCTGCCCGCGATAGCCCCCGCGATCATAGATTCGACTGTCGTGAGTTTCTTCGAGGCGCGGCCAGCCTTGTCGGCTGCCCTTTCGAATGCCGAGCGCGTCCATTCATACCAGTAGTAGTACACGAAGTTGGTGACACTGATGCCAAACAGCGCGGACTCGAGGCCGGAATAAAGTCCCCCGAACCCCTCCCGCTGGACGATGCGACGGATGGCATCCACGGTGGTTGACTGCGCACGCTTGGATTCAACCTGGGCTCTGGTTGAGAGGGTAATTAAAGGATAACTATAGATTGAGGAATGTCAACGACTATACGTTTTATTAATTATGGGGCCAACCTACGTCAGGACCATTGAAAGAATGCCACCGCCTGCGCCGGCCAAAGCATGAGCGATATTGTCGCCCTGCTGGACAGCGGCCACCACCTTCGCTTGTCCTTCGCTTCTTGGTTGAGACATATTGGGGTGCTGGTCGGGAGGGGAAAGACGTAAGAAGACGTTGTAATATCGAGTGGATTTGCCAACTAGATGGAGATAGGATCTTCAAGGGTCAAATCAGTAACCGCATAGACCGTACAATCAATAGAGAGCGACTTCTGTATATCAAATACAAATGACAAGCAATGAGTGGAAGGTGGGGAATGTATGGGAGACAAAGGGGAAATAAGGTTGTGAAAAGGGGGGAAATAATGACCCTAAATGAAGCAGGCCGGGGATGTTTTGGTTGTTGGGGCGCGAGAATGATTCGGCTCTGGCTGGGGAATGATGATTTTCATGACGTTTGCCGAATGATGTGCCTCGGTTGATGCATGCTTCCTCCTCACCCCCTCCGCTGTCCGAGACTTGGGGTCTGGTTCAGTCATATATCACTGAACATGGTGCACCATGGATTGGCGATGTCAATCTGAACAGAATCATCATATTGTATTCAATACAAGCTTGCTAAATATAAGAGGGTATAGAGGGGATGTTTTAGAATATTACCAGCAGGGCGGCCAGGTACCATCAACAAATACTCAGTGACTTATTCAAGAACAACAACTACACCGCAAGCCTCCTACCCCAATACTTTCATCTGGGTATACAATTACTATCCTATCCTTCCTAGATTTTTATGTCAGTCTTGGCCTCGACATATCACCTCGGGCTGCATAGTGGTGGTATCCTCAACCATCGAGCAATAATTTAGTTCTACTCCGTACATAGAGATAAGTCTTTGATAGACACTAGGGTAAATGACAGACCACTGCATATTATGATCCAGCTATGTTATTACAGTATAAATCTCACGTTGGGTGGACTCGATCAGTTTGTCTCCTTGCTTAGCATGTGACGCCCAACTGACCAGTCCCGTGCAATAACTCGAGGCTTCCCTATCATATGATCGACCGGTCGTTTCATTCTAGTAATCTAAGGTAATCTCAATCTGTGACTGCTTTAAGTCAGTAGCGTACCACCTCTCGATCACGACAATCAAGACACAATAATCTCTTTGGGAAGAGATCCTCGATTCCGAGGCTCGCCAGAGTCAAAGCACACGCGCATATTCGACGTTCAACGTTCCTACGGATTCTCCTTTTCTAAGATCTATTCGTGTGCCAATCGGCCTTATGGAAGAAGCATGCGGTCACCTGTCCTGGGCCAACATGTGACGCTGCAATCGTTGTTTTTTTTTTTTTTTTTTTTTTTTTTTTTTTCAGATCTCAATCCAATTGATCACCTGTCGCTGACATTCTAACTGTAATCACAAAATAGAAGGAACGGGCCTTCCACAATAAAATGGGAGTTCACCCGGGTTGTCGAAAGCCACCACATATTCATGGTCTTCTCATTAATTGATCCCGACAAGGATACGAAACGAATCCAACTACTTAGAAAGAAAGATTAAGGCGAGATCTGAAATGAAAATGCTGCAGGGAAGCCACAAATAAAAAGAAGAGATAAGGAAACAAAACAACGAAGATAGAGAGCATAAACACCTGCAGTATAAGCATATAGAGGACAGAAACACAGGCCGTCTAAAACATGGCGAAGAAATCGACCACGTGGTTCGATAAGAACAAAGAGAAAGGGAAGTGGAAGAGAGGAAGTCTGCCGGGCGGAAGGGGGAGGGAGGGCAAAAGGAGGAACAAGGGGAGGGGATATCCGTGATACAGCCTGTGCTATGGCGCAGTCAAACTAGACCGTCCAATTCCGGGAAGCAGTGAATAGATTCTGTGATTCTATTGCAGTCAAATGGGCGCAGAGCACGGTACTTCATGATTCGTTTAGCAGCATCCGCCTGCAGACCCGGACTGAACACCTTGACCCTGTCCGACTTGCACAGTCGGCTTGTTGTTGACGGTAGCAGTGCCCATGCGTTCCTTGATCTGTCTTGCCATCGTCAAGAAGGCCTGCTCCACGTTCGAGGCATTCTTGGCAGACGTCTCCAAGAAGGGAATTCCAAGGCTATCAGCGAATTCCTAAAACGACCAGTATGTTAGATTTTGTAGCAATATCAGAGTCGTTAGTCTGAGAGTAAGCTACCTTTGCCACTGTGTACTCCACGACCTTCTTGTCCTCCATATCGCTCTTGTTGCCAACAAGCAGCTTGTTGACGCCCTCAGTAGCATAGCGATCGATCTCCTGCAGCCACTGCTTCACGTTGTTGAACGAATCCATGTCGGTCACATCATAAACAACACAGATACCGTGGGCACCACGGTAGTAGGACGAAGTGATGGTGCGGAAGCGCTCCTGGCCAGCAGTATCCCACTGGAAGAGGTGTCAGTGGATTTCGTCATAAATGAACAGACCGCTCTGGGAGGGTTGCCTTACAATTTGGAGCTTCACAGTCTTTCCATCCAGTTCGATAGTCCGGATTTTCTACCACTCGACGGTTAGTTTGATGAGAGTCTAGGGAGGTCGGATGTGAACGGGCGATAGGACATACGAAGTCGACACCGATGGTGGAGATATAGCTTTCTGTGTAGGTGTCATCGGCGAATCGAAGCAGCAAACAGGACTTTCCGACACCGGAGTCTCCAATAAGGAGAAGCTTGAACAGATAGTCGTATCTGATATGACATAATGATTAGGATGACAGGAGACAGAGACGCAGGGTCGCTGGTTTCAGCAAAGGGGTAAAGTAGCAGATCGAATAAACGAGGTCAATACTCTAGTTATTTATAACATGGTCAGCGATGTCAACGTCAAGGAGTGCTCATGTAGAGACAGAAGCTACACGAGGGATGGGTGTGTTTGGCTGTGGGTGGCCAGTGGACTTACCACTCGGGGTTCATGATGGATGGAGGGAGGGTGTATTCGCTGGGTTGGACGGAGGCTGTTCTGAAGCAAGGTGGGAACTCGAGAGTAGTGGGTGGATGATAAAGACACGAACGGCGGTAAAAGAAGCGATGTAGTGATTGCCTAAAGGTGTAGACTTGGATGGACTTGGGCGGCGTCTTGAACTGGCAGTTGTTGAGTGCAGGAGAGCAGGCGAGCCCAGCGTGCAAGTTTCCTCGAAGAGGCTAAGACCGGCCTAACTAATTTAAGTGCTTGTCTGTGACCGTTTCACGTTCCCCCCTTCCATGACCCATCTAGTTTAGTACTCGAATCAGGGCCGACCTTCACCCTGGACTACGTTTTGCCCGGTGATCATTGAATCTAACTGAATACTACTACGAAGTAGGTACCTACATTCTATATTCTTGGCCATGAAGAATTCATGTTCATTGCTGGATGAATTTACCATGATAATCCGCCCTGTACCTACCCATACGTTTACTTCCTGTATCATTACAATTACATAAGCAGTGTCACGTGCTGATAAACCGATTCATTGAATCCAACTAGTACTACGGAGTAAACAGGAGGTTAATACAGGTAACCATGCATCTGTCAAGTCGAGCAGGGCAAGATTCCGACGTGCAAATCCTTGATCGATGGCGGTGGGTTCCAATCTATTTTGTAGACCTATCGGTATATCAAACCCTGGCCTTTCTCCCAATCTTAGCCAACCACTTCCAACCAACACATCATGCATGCACTTTGGCGCTCTACCATCAGGCATAGCCATGGGCCGCAAGCCACTCGAGGACAAGTTTCTCATCCCGTTCCTTGTAGCGTGCGTTAGTCCTGATGCTGTCAGAGACGATCACTAATGCTCGATCATATGCACTTGTGTCCTTGTTCTGGAAGAACGAGGCGATATCGTCGGCAATACTGTGGTCGGCGAACTTGGAGAGACCCATGCGGACGAATCTCTCAAACACAACATTGTTCGCGGATAGGCGGGTCTCGACAGCGCTCCAGTTGTTTTTGATGTATTCCCACAGTAGACCTCGCACCTTGGAGTTCGCGGCCAAAGAAGCAGCACCGTTGTGGACATCTTGGACCGCCACCTTGTCGGAGAACACGAAGTTCAAGTAATCGTTGACAAGCTCCGGCTTTTTGGTACGCCCAAGAGCTGCCAGACAGATTTCCTTCCCATCGATTGAGGTTGTCTTGGAATACTCTTCCTTCACGGCATTGTACTCCTCGTGTCCGCCTTCCGAAATTGCGATGCCAAAGATTGCCGATCGAAGGTTCGCGTGTAGGGCACTCTTATCCTTGCCGGTAGCCCAAAGGTCGAAACGTCGTTTAGCCTCTGCGACAATCCTATATTGTAACATTAATTTGGTATTTGTGCGTCGTTCTCATGGAATGTGACCTACCCTTCGTGGCCAGCTACACCGGCCATTCCGATAAGAAGCTTCCGGAGCTGTACGGTAAGATAATCTTCATTCGCCTGAAATTCCCATCCAAGCTTATCGGCAGCAGGAGATGCTAATTCGCGGGTGAACTTTTTCAGCCCGGCAGTCACTGTTTCATTCTGAGAGAAAACAGAGCGTAGGTTTGAAGCGGACGATGAAATTTGAGACCAGACCCTAAATGTCTATTAGCACTGCTCTTCAACTGGACGCGTATTCAAGACAATCCCCCCCCCCCCCCCGACTCACAGGTAATCTCGCTCTGTCTTAAACCCTTCCAGAAGAACTAAGAGAGCAGCAGAGGTGCCTTCTCCAGAAACAGCCAGCGCGGCTGCGTCGCCAATCAGACCAATCTTGTCTTCAGTGCTCAACAAATCCAGAGACTTTCCGAGCTTGGCCAATCGATCAGCAGGATAGTTGGTTCTATAGAACCCGGAAAGGTCTTTGTTAATCTTATAGAACGAATCTTGACCAACGCCCTGGACAGTGTCAATCTTTGTAGTGAGGGCACGAGATTCGACAGTCTCCAGTGTTTGGCCGGATTTGACTCCCAGAGGAATCCACCACGTTGTCTCGTCCTCTTCAGGTTTCGCATCTCCTGTTGAAAGGAATCGATTTTGGCGAACGCTGATTTGACCGGGCTCCTCGGCCACAGTAACGACAGGGAACCCTATCTTTCGAATCCACGGGTCCTTGAATGCCAGTCAGCAGATGATACTGGGCGTAGATATGGAAGTTTTTGTGGCTCACCATGAAGCTAGTGACATCCTGGTTCGAAGCTTTGCTCAAGGCGGACCAAAGGTCGCTAGTTGTGGCATTTCCTGAAGGTTGCACCTTGTAAGTCCCTATTTAACGCCAGATGGCTCCGTTATTTGAAAAGTAAGCTCACCATATGCATTGGTTTTGAGATATTCAGCCACTCCCCGAAGGAATACCTCCTGACCAAGATGGTTACTCAACATCCGAATCACGGAACTTCCTTTGAGGTAGCTAATATGGTCGAAGATCTGATCAACCTCAAGAGCATTCTTTACTGGAACTTCGATCGGATGCGATGCGCGCAACGAATCGAGGTAGAACGCTTGTTGAACACCTTCAGCCTAGAAACAGTTAACCTCTGGATTGACATCGCAATTACCTCTAGAATTTCGTACGACAAACTGGGACCAGATGTTCCATTCTGTGCCAAGACGTTAGATCTCAGTCGATATTCAAAGATGATGGAGGCTTACCAGGGTAAAAGTGGTCGACGGCCAACCAGCCAACCCAAGTTGCGAACCCTTCGTTCAGCCACAATTCATTCCACCAATCCATCGTCACGAGATTACCGAACCATTGATGGGCGAGCTCTAGAGATCTTTAGTTAGACGAGATGATGGTTCATCAGGCGACTGGAGGAGGCGGACTAACCATGCGCCACTACATAGGCAATGCGATTCTTGTACCGAGTATCGGATATGCCCTCCTCAAAGAGGACAGCGGTCGTTCTATATGTCACAAGTCCCCAGTTCTCCATCGCACCCATGGCCTATTGTATCAAATATGTCAGAAGCTATAATAGAATGTTCGGAATAAAGGGCTTACAAATTCATGGACAGCAAGGAGGTCGGCCTTCGGCAAAGGATATTCGATCTCAAAGACTTCAGAGAAATAGTCAACAGTGCGATGAGCACATTCGAGAGCAAACCGAGCTTGCTCTTTCAGGCCCTTTGTGGTATAAACGCGGACAGGGATACTCTTGCCCTGGTACTTGCGTTCGGTCATAGCCTCAACGTATTCGAAGTCGCCAACAGCCCACGCAAGAAGCTTGACCTTTGTTAGACATTTCATTAGATCAAATAGGGAATGAATGGCTTACATAGGTGCTCATCACGGGAGTCCTTTCAAAAGTCACGAATTTGAGCTCTTGGCTACTGCCGTCTCTTTCCGACTTGACAGGCATGTTGCTCAGGGCTGTCAGTCCTTTGGGCACTTCGATCTCGAAGTCGAAGGTCGCCTTGAGATTCGGCTCGTCAAAGCATGGGAAGGCTCGGCGTGCGTCGCATGACTCAAATTGTGTGCTCAGCATGTACTCAAAATCATCCTCTTTCGGGGTGTCCGCAGTCGATTGGACCGCTGACTTGTATTTCGACCGATAGAACCCAGCCATAGCGTTATTCATCGTTCCCGTGAATGCAATATTTAGCTCCACATCTGATGGAGCAATTTCATCTGGGAACTTCATGGTCACGCGTTCGGAAGTTTTGTCGTAGGTTATCTCGGAAGCCCTGGTAAGCACCGCGCCTGATACGAACTATCAGTATATCCACCAATTTCAGAGGTTCATATATCCAAGTAAAGTAATTCATGCTGACCATCTTTTCCGGCGATCTCCGCGTGCTGGATTTCAATCTCCTTTGAGTTCAAAACAATGTCCTTGGTGGGCTGGGCGACTTTGGTGGTTATTTTCAAATTGCCCTTGTAGCCCCAAGAGCTGCCAAGTTGCAAGTCGTAAAGCGATACATGGTAATGGATCGGTTTAACCCTAGAGCGCTGTCAGATTCCACCGTCACTTGTCCCTTTCAATCCATTTCCATTTCCATCTGCAGTGGGGAGAGGTTTTCACTCACGCGTCCGGGAGAGTTTCTCTGTCGTTGGTAGCCATTGCGCGTATTTCAGCGGAGCAATATCTCGTAAAGGTGAGAGGATTTGTGACCGCAGTCAAAGGTTGGCGGAAGGACTGAGGGCACGAGGAGAGACGAGAACGAGAAATGGGGCGGGGTCGCGAGCAGGTGGTCAACGAGCGGGGGATGGAGGGGCGGGGGAGACGATGACATTGGACCGATGGTGTGGCCACGCCAGCACTCAATGCAACACACCTTCTCCTCCACATTGGTTCGAGGAAATTCACCCGGAGTGGAGGCTGCCTTGGTGGGGAAGATTTCAGTTTATCGATAGTTGATAGACGTTAAAATTATTCCCCCAAGGCTTTGAAGCAAGGAATTGCAAGCTGCTGCAGTGCTGGGTTGTCCGAGAGAGCTCCGGCGGAGCTTGGACCAGCCTGTCGATCGATCCTAGTTCCGACCAAGCTCCGGCTCCGGTCAACCGCCGTGTCACAGTCCACCCAATTCACCACTGTTGCTGCGGTCATGGCCGATTCCGATGAAGATTATATTGGAGAACTCTCGGAAGACGGTGAAGAAAATAATGTCGTTCAGCCACGAGGAGGGTCCGCTCGGGTTTCTCGCTCAAGGAGGAAGAGACAACGCGGAGGCGCCGAATGGGAGGTTTCGCGAACGTGGGAGACACTCGTCGAGGGTGCCGATGGAACGATCAGCTCCACGGTCGAGGGTCTCCTCGAAGCTGGAAAACGGAAGAGGTATGTTGGGTCTTCCCACGCGTCGAGTCGTCGCCCTCGATATTCCCTATGGCATGGTGCGCTGACCTTCAACGACAGGCTCCTGAAAGACACCACCCCGTTGCAACGGGGTATCATTCGACATCTTATTTTAATCTTAGATTTATCGCAATCGATGACGGAGAAAGACCTGCGACCTACGCGATACCTTCTCATGATCCGATACGCCCAAGACTTCGTGAAGGAATTTTTCGAGCAGAATCCGATCGCCCAGCTTGGAGTACTTGGTTTACGAGATGGTTTAGCAATTCGGATCACTGACATGAGTGGAAATCCGACTGAGCATATCAGCGCGATTCAGGCTCTCAGAGACGATGACCCAAAGGGCCTACCCAGTATGCAAAATGGCCTGGAGATGGCTCGCGGCGCTCTATTGTACGTCTCACGCACATTTATGTTAGAGTTTTGACCTACGGAGCTAATCTATATCTTATAGTCACACCCCAAGCCATGGCACCCGGGAGATTCTGATTGTCTTCGGGTCGCTTCTGTCCTCAGACCCCGGCGATATACACCAAACAATAGCCACACTTGTCAATGAACGGATTCGGGTTGGGATTGTCGGCCTTGCCGCTCAAGTCGCTATTTGCCGAGACCTTTGCTCAAAAACCAATGGCGGCGATGATACCGCTTATGGCGTGGCGCTCAATGAGCAACATTTTCGTGAGTTGATGATGGATGTGACGACTCCACCAGCCACGTATTCTCAGAAACAATCCGCGAGCTCCCTCTTGATGATGGGCTTTCCGTCTCGTACCGTTGAGACGTTGCCCTCGCTTTGCGCCTGTCATTCGAAACCTTCTCGTGGAGGATATTCATGTTCTAGGTGTGACAGCAAAGTCTGTGGCCTCCCCGCCGAGTGTCCTTCTTGCGGTCTAACCCTGATTCTTTCGACCCATCTTGCTCGATCGTACCACCATTTATTCCCTTTGATCAACTGGGTGGAAGTTCCGTGGCAACGGGCTTCCCTTAGTACCGCATGCTTTGCTTGCGGTATGTCTTTCCCTCCAGTACCTCCCAAGGATCAATGGCAACACACAGAAAGCCACTCCAAAGGGATGAGTGTAAGCAGTCGCTATGAATGCAATGTGTGCAGGAACCACTTTTGCATCGACTGCGATGTATTTGCACACGAAGTCGTTCACAATTGCCCTGGTTGTCAGAGTGGAGTTGTGTCTTCTGAGAAGCCGGAAACTTCTAATACCAAGAAGATGTCACAAGATATGGACACTTCGGTATAGCGCATTTGCGCTTGAGTTCACATGAGGAATTTACATAATGCATGGGTGGTGTTATCTCTCTCTCTCTTTTTCCCCTTTTCATGTTCCTTTACCCTTTTTTTTTTCTAAAACTTTGTGTATTCTCTTTTGTCGGCTTGGGTAGCTGAATGTTATTCATAGAGTTTATGCCTGTTTAGCGCTTATGTTTTGACGAAGATTTACTGTATAAACTTGTTCAAGAATTGGTCAGAGGTCAAGCAAAAATCCATGAACATGGAAGAGAATTCATCTCGAAGATAAACAATAGTGACAAGGACAACATCTACAGTGGAAATGCATACAGCCGTATCCTGAGTTAGGTTGCTAACCAGGTCCTGCGTTTGATCTGATAATATTGATGGATTTTGGACGCGTTCAATATTGATTCTACACCAGCATACGAGTACAATCTCAAAAATAGGAAGATATACCTATAGTATCACTGAAAATATCACTGTATAGTACATTTCAACTATGACAATACACTGGAAGACCCAATTATATCGTCTCATGTTGATTAGGAATTGCTCCCCTTCAATAAAAAGGATCCTCGGCCCCTGATCCTGATTACCTACTTATTCGGCATGTGCTCGATTGGTGGGATGGCAGAAAATACCCGCAAGCGGTGTACCGTAATGGCGGGGTTTGTATGGATGTTGTATTATTACCCCCCTACGGATACCATATGTGATAAATAATGCATTAATACTGGGGTGGCCCGCCATACGTCACAACAACATACTATCAACATATGATTCGGGCCTGAGAGCCATATCAACCTTCTTCTGCATCTATAAGAATATTTGCTGACGCGCATAACAACTTCCTGACGTCTGGTCTTTCAGACTCCTCAATTTACTCCTTCTCCCCCTTTCGAATTGTACATATACCGTTCTCACCATCATGGAGACAACCCAATCTCCAGAACTATCCTCGGCCCCATCTGGTGGGACGACTCAAATCCCCGGCGCCTACGAGAGCCCAGCAACAGAATCTCTCTTCAAACAGTTAGAGTCGTATCCTTTTCTCACGGATCGGGAATTTGCCAGCGGTCTTTCAATAATCCTCGGTCATCCGGAGACGCCCGCGACTGAAGCCGAGATTAGCCGCACGGATGATCTTGTCCTGCAGGCCAAATGTTTCTATTTCTCCAAGTGAGTGCGCTTTATCCTTCCCAGAGGAACGATTTGACCAGGGACTGATCGTGATGCTCACTCGGGGGTTATGTAGAAAAGCGAACCTTTCGGCACCTCTAGATTTCGCGGCTTATAAACATTGGTTGGGTTCGGTGACAGCTCCTGCGCCTTCAGAGGGAGCCAAAACCGCGGAGACCCAGCAACATCAATTGAACACGTCGACAGCAGTTGAACAACCATTGACTGAATCACCGGGGCAAGGAACCCGCCATCAGGAACCGAGCTACCCTTCTTCATTCGCACATATAGTCGAACTCATCACTACTGGTCAACCGATCCCGGGGATCCAGCAAATTCCAGACACCGTCTTGACAGGCCATGACACGCCGAGCTCGAAACCGAGCAGGCAGAAGCCGTGGGAGAAAAAGAATGCTGATAACCACACTCAAGAGCAAAACACGGCCACAGGGCAGTAGCTAGTGCGGGCACGCGCGTTGTCCATTGATGATTCCACTTATAGAAAAAATAATCGAAGGCTGTGCTATTGCTTTAATGGAATGAGAAGATTGAACCACCTGGGGAAGTCACCCCTGCTTTCGGGGCAGAATATAAGCAATAAGGAATGACCTGATATGGTACATGACATATGACCGTGGATAGAAACACAACAAGTGCTGTTTGATTCGGTAAACCAACGCTCCTGCATCAACAATTCACATCTGTAATTGCCACTTTATGCTCATAAAATATTCTTCATCTTCCTTCAAACTGGCCGACTCATTGCTTAATTGAAAGATCGTAGGGGTCATTCTAGAGAATTGACTTGGGATAAACTAGGAAAACATGGATGAATAGCAAGATGAGAACCATATTCGTCGTTTTCTCGTCGTCCTCGTACCAAATTCGATGGGCGCACTTGGCTTAGGGTTTCTGCGCGGAAGCTGCGCGTAAGTCTCGGATAAAGATCAATCTGGTCGTTCAATCAACCAGTCAATAATTCGTAGCATCTTAGTAAACACAGCATCTGACGTATGGAGAACTTCAGAGGTAGTTCTGTTCGCTACCGGTGAGTTGACTCAGCGGAACGGCGCGTAGTTGGAATTCCACTGGTTGCCACGATGGAATCTTCCAGTATGGTGTCCAGCGACTTGGAATCTGTCCTCGGTATAGTTGTTGAAACGATTGACTTGGATTCCAGCACCTGGTCCCGGCCGAGTCGCATGGGATGGGTTGCAGCAAAGCATGGCTACACGAGATCCGAACTTCGAACCACGCAGAGAAACCATGTGTTTTCTATTTTACCTTTGTTAGAGATGCATGACACCATATAAGAAAATAGGGCAGAACCTGATATGACTGGCTACAAGCTCACGCTGGTGTGGTGCAGCATTCATCAAAATCCACTGGATCAAGTAGTTGCCGTACTGATCTCCAGCGACTGCCAAAATTCAGAATAATCTCAACACAGGCCGAGGGCGGTTCTAAACTCACTGTCAATCAAAGGCATTCTAGGTCGATCAGTACGGCCGGTGCACACTCGAGCGAGGTAGCGGTCCAAGAACTCCGGACCTCCTATTTTCAGACATTTTTCTACTATTTTAGAGGCAAACTGGTCCATGCTATAATCAACCGACCAGTGGATGATATGCTCAATGGCACGGCTTTTGTCGTGAGAAGCACCATGCTCACATATGTGCTGGATACACCAATTCCCGAATTGACCGTGTGCAAGCACGTCAATCTTAGCTAGCACTTCTTCGATAGCCGGTCGCTGGATATTGTCAGTGAATTAGACCAGGACAATCCAAATCACGCCCATGTATGCATATTCTCCTGTCCGAAGAATGGGGGCACTGGACGGTGCTTGGTATCGGGGACTCTCACCTTTTCATCCTCCACACAATTCTCAAATATATTCTGAACTACTAGACTCCCTGTCTCACCTAAGGCGACCTCATGCCACATTCCGCGCAGTGCGTCGTTGACTTTAGCCATGATTTGAGGTGGCTCCCCACTCCAGCGCAACTCGAAGAGTTTCTGCCAGACATGGCACGCATACCGATGTATGACTGTTTCTGGGATTCTGCGCAACAACTCGTGAACCATAACAGCCTTATGCTCCTCGGGGACACAGTCAAACGCCTTTTGGATTACGTGGCAACCAAAAGGGTCCATGCTGAGGTTCAAGGTATTGCCTTTGATTGCATTGGCAATGGCAACAACTTGTTCCGAAGTGCCATGTTCGAAGCAACGTTGCACTAGAAAGTTGCCAAATCGATTGACCATAAGTGGGTAAGCCTGATGCACTATCGCTTCAATGATATCGTACTTTTGCTCTGTAGTTCCAACTTTGAGCTTCTGTTGCAGGAAAATGGACGCTTGTTGGTCGTTATTGCAGACAATCTTGTCTACAATGTACCTCCAATCGCAAGAAACGTTCTTGTCGAGAAGTCGGCGGTAGTTTAACGGCTCAAGTGGTGAAACGTAAGTCTGGTTGTAGTTCCCGCTCATCTAAATATCTCAGCTTATGTCAAGTAATTAGTTGGAATGTCGCTCACCGATGAATTTCCCCAAGGCACTACGGTTGTACTAGAAGAAGTGAACTCAGTGGCCGTGGGAGACAACGGGGTGTCAATATGTCTCTGGGAACACGAGGGGGTCGGGAAATATCCAACTTGCTGATAAGTACTCTGTCGGTTGGTTGGCGATCTGGGTATATTTCCACCAGGAGAACCGGTCGAAAACGTCCCCCAAGGCGAGTTTTGGGCCGGAAAACAAGATGCACCACGGTTTGTTTGAGTGAATGATCTGCGTGGCCCAAAGTTGGGGCTTTGAAGGTACCTGGCTGGCTCACCAGAAAACCGCGTATCGGCATTGCAGGTTCCAGGGGAGGGCCCTGAAAACACCCTGTGGGATGCTAGAGGGTGACCAATGCCATCGGTGTTCGCAGTTGCACCACCCCAAACGCCACCGGCTTCTTGACCAAATGGATTGATAGGCCAGGGCAGGGTCTCGCCATAGCTTTTATCGGCAGTCCCAGCATTGGCGTTCATCCCCAGTGCCCCTTGTGTTGGGGTAACCCAGAAGCCTCGTGCCTTACCATACGCACCAGAAGAAAGTGCATCCGATATGTCTGACTGAGAATCATCTTGGGCGTTCCATCTATCCTGGAGATGATTGAAAGCTGGAATGGAGGCGTTGAATGCATTCTGCAGGTTGCTTATTGTCTGCTCGGAGATTTCACGCTCACTAAACTCCGCTTCAGAGGGAGAACCAAGAGCCTGGTCTAAGGTGTGTTTGATCACACGTGTCTGTGCCAACTCCTGCTCTTGCAATGCAATTTTGGAATTGGCTGCGATCAATTCCTGCTTCAAGCGAAGCACTTCAGGTGTCTCGACAAGTCCCGCATCAAGACCGACGGTATCCATGAGCGCAGGAGCATGGAGTGATTCTTTGACGGCCGGATGCAACGATGTGCGGAGTGACTTGCCGATTTCTCCATAATTTCCCGGGGCAGTCATACTATTGGTAAGATAGTCATCTTGATTCTCAACCAGTGCCTGGTGCTCAGTCAACTTCGTGAATATTCCTTGTTTTAGCGAAGATTGAGCGATGAAAGACCGAGGCTTTGGTGAGAGTTTGGAGAGCAACCTCTCCATTTCAGAGTTCTTAGGTGCAGACAAATTTGTTGGCCGCTCTAGCTTCTGCTCACGAGTTTGGAGGTTAGTTTAGAGTCCTAAACCATTCGGGGAAAGGGAACGAGAACCCTCACCTTGGATGCTTGACTGCCCTCATGCTCGACTCTTGCCTGGAAGTTTCCAAGACTGGAACGTTTCAAGGGATCGGAAGGACTATTCGAAAGCTTTGTACGTCTGATATCCTGCAATTGGAGAACATAATCAGACTCGAATTCTTTTCAGGGTCTCCGCGTGGCTGGGAATTGCAGACAACTCACTGATGTTTCGCTGCACCCATCACTAGGGAAGTTCTTTCCTTCAGAACTTTTGCGGTCAAACTTAGGTGATCCAGTTGAATAGAGAGACATATTGATCTTTAGACAAAGTCTGTCTGGAATCTGCAATTCAACAATACAAACCAACGAGCAAACGAGGAAATCTTGCAGACAACGAAGTAAAGGTCAGAATTATTCTGTTTATAGGACGTCCACGCTGCACAAAATCCAGTTGTTCACATGAAAAGACAGTCCAACAGCAGAACAAATGTGTATGAAATGACTATTGGTGAAATATAAGTTTTGGTCAGTTTTTATCTTGTATTTGAGGGGGAAAAGACAAACCAGGTAGATAGAGTACCAGAAAATCAGAAGCAAGACCTTGGGGGAATCCAGGGGCTACATTAAGAAGAACAATTCAAAGAGTAGATAGTTTGAGGAAGTAACGACGATGAGAAGGGGTTTGAAAAAAGGAACCGTTAAGCACCGCAAAAGAAGGAAAGCCCAGGGCCAACACTCCCGCAAAATAACTTCCAAAGTATAGTAAGGTATACCTTATCAGGAAGCTCATCATATAGTCAGCTACTATCTTAAGCTTGTGCTTAAGATAATCTCTTCTCACTGTTCTTGACAGTTTTTCTGGTTTGGGCCTGGGCTGTGACTGTTCGCTCTTTCAAGATAATCAAACAATTTAGGAAAAAGGGCGAGCGCATTATACTCCATAATATCATGAGAAAGTATCTCAAAAAGTGTTGAAGGACGGATGTCCATATGATTGTATACTCAAATCTGGGGACTTTCATCGACACTGGCCAATGAATCCTGGAGTAGTCTTTCCCTGGTCTATCATTCCTCTTCTGCAACTTAGTATATTATCATAAATTCTATTAGCCCATGGAATAGGTTGAGGATCCCCAATTCACCTTCAATGTGCTTTTGATCACATAAGACATCTTCGACTGTTTGAGTAACTTGGTGTCTAAAATTAAGCCCGAGCATTATTTTATATCATGCGTAGGATAAGCTTTCTAGACTTGACTCTTACTTATCACAATTGCCTCTCTGCACAGAGTTCATCCAGTATTCCCGGAGCATCAAAGTAATCCCCAGATGCCCTAGTATATATTTTATGGGAAATGCGTGTCTACTAGAGGAGAAAGTATCAACTAGTACACATGTTTGTGTGCTGATTCAAAATCAATTATAAATCCTCCCTCTTCTCAACAATCAATTCGATTTTATGAATCTGATTAACTCATGCCTCGGACGTGAAGTGTATATGTAAACAAAAGGTTCAAGTATGTCATTGCAAGTTAATGGTCTAGCCTATCTAATAACGGGTCATAGCGTAATCTTTATCCTATCAATGGATATTATACTGTACACTATATACAAACTGTGGGTAGTTTATTAAGACGGAGTTTACATTGCTATATACTGAATGAGCAAAAAGTGTGTCCTACCAGATACTCGGTACCCTGTACTATATCTTTGTTTTTCGAACTTATGTCCTCATCGGTTTCTCACAGGTCCAGTTCGCGGGCATGTTGTCCACTGGTCAAATTGTTAATATCTAATTTCCTGTCATAGTAATAATCTTTTGGACTGCATATATGATTCGTAGTAAAGTCCTCTTGGTGGAGTGTTTTGTCCATATAATTCCAACTAGTTCGGATAGTTAGTTAGAATGCCCATAATTATTAAGATTACCTCCTCCGCCGACAACTAGCTTGAATGATAACCATGTTCCTAGAAGTATCAAGTCCTGTTAACTACGCAATCAATTGGCAGTATTAGTCTATTCGATGCATCCAGCACCGACCCTGCATATGTCTCAGGTAAATTTTTGAGATTTTTGAAAGTATTTAAGGAGACAAGACCAATTCATTCTAGAATGGGACAGGAATATATCGCGACATAAAAATTGCAAAAAGAAAAGAACTAACAGAGAAAAGAATACCTAATATGTAATATGACTGGAGAGAGACAAGAGACACGGGTTGTAAGTGCGTAATACAGGATTAGAGTACAATGTTAGTCATCCAGAGTGGATAACCCGTGGATAACCTGAGACGGGGGGTTGAGGGACTCTGCGTTCCTGTACCCACTTAGTAACTTAAATACTGCTCCGTACAGGACTGCTATCTGCAAACGTTACGAGGGTACCAGAAGAATAATAATAGATCCAACCACAACGTCCCTCTTCCACTGTCCTACCATCTCTCCTTGCAACCGAGACATCATCTCATATTCCTCCACTCCAATCTCCTTCCCTCCCCTTTCTCGGTCCCCATTCAGAAAATTGTTATATCAATTCAAATGGTATGTTCGCAGCTTTATTTCCATGTGTGGGGATGCATCAGAAAATAAACTAACCACAAGAAGCGCCGTTCCAACAGCGACTGAGAGACTGGGAAATGACTACGGCTATAACAACGGGTACCGGACGGCGTTCTTCGTTACAGCCGACAGAATTGCAAATACCGACAAGAGCGCCCAGCGCACAATTGATGACGAGCCCAGTGGACAAGTTCCCAGCATTCGGCGACGAGCTTTACGACTCACCGAAGACGAAAGAGCCCGATGCGAACCCTACGCCACCATATACACCGAACAATCGCTGGGCACCGAGAAAAGCTGGCTATGCGAGTCGAGATTTCGCAAATGGGTCGCTCAGGAACCCAAAGCAGAGGTCGAGGAAGAGTATTAGCGAGGCCATTAGCACTATTCGGACTCGCAATGCCAGTGTGAGCGCCAACGCACAGGAATTGGCGCAGGCTCTCAAAGCGCCAGTCTCATATAGATTGATCGTAAGATGGTATTGCCGAGTTTGCATAGGTTGCTGGCTGACTTCTACCTAGACTCTATGTCTTATTTGGTACATGACTTCGGCGCTCACGAACACATCGTCTAAATCCATTCTCAACGCCCTGCCGAAACCGGTCACTCTTACAGTTGTACAGTTCGCATTTGTGGCATTCTGGTGTCAACTACTCACCCGCCTTTCGAACTCACTACCTTGGCTCAAAAATAGCATTCCGGCTCTCAAAAACGGCATTCGACAGCCTTCGCGTGAAGTTCTCATGACTGCTTTACCCCTGGCAGTATTTCAGCTGGCTGGCCACATACTTAGTTCTATGGCTACTTCACAGATACCAGTTTCTTTGGTTCACACCATCAAGGGGCTTTCGCCTCTTTTTACGGTACTAGCGTACCGCGTGGTCTTTCGCATTCGATATGCCAAAGCCACTTATCTGTCGCTCATTCCACTGACCTTGGGCGTTATGCTCGCTTGTTCGACGGGATTTTCCACCAATTTCTTCGGGATCTTGTGCGCTTTAGTTGCGGCTATAGTATTTGTGTCCCAGAATATCTTCTCCAAGAAGCTCTTCAATGAAGCTGCGCGGGCTGAGTCGGAAATGCAGTCGTTAGGTCGAACCAAGTTGGATAAGCTCAACCTGCTTTATTATTGCTCTGGGTTAGCCTTTATCTTAACGCTACCCATTTGGTTGATCACTGAGGGGTACCCCTTATTCTCGGATATAGTCCAGGACGGGTCAATCTCTCTTTCGGAAAAGAAAGGATCCTTGGACCATGGTGCACTTTTCCTCGAGTTCGTGTTTAATGGGGTATCCCATTTTGCGCAGAATATTCTTGCATTCGTTCTGCTGTCGATGGTGTCGCCCGTGTCTTATTCGGTTGCATCGTTGGTGAAGAGGGTGTTCGTTATTGTTGCCGCAATCATATGGTTCGGCAACTCGACCACTTCGCTGCAGGCTGTTGGGATTGCCCTTACTTTTCTTGGACTTTATCTTTATGATCGCAACAGCCATGACGACATGGCAGATCAGCGAGCCAACTCTGATCACTTCCGCACGAAAGGAAGTGTTCTCCCGCTGAATTCTCAAACTAATAAAGCATGGGACTCGAATGGTTATTCATTCCCCGCGGAGAAAACTCCCGATCGATCACCATACTACCCGGATAATCTTCCTATACCGAATCATCCCAAGAAGGAGGACGACGAGCCAAGTCGTGCTCGCACAAGAGGGAATAGCAATGCCAGGACATGGCTACCTCCTGGTACAAAGCAAGAAACAACCTGGCAAGCAAAAGATTCTTAGTGCGCAGGCTTTACTAATTGAGTCCTATCTCATTGTACCATATCATGGCATTATAACGTTGATATTATTACCAGGCTAGTCTGTTTTGCATTTTACACATTTTTCCCCATCCGTTTCTTTCATTCAATTGTACAATATTCGGCGATATAATGGAACAATAAAACTTAAGACCCGAGCGATGAGCATGGCGTGGAGATGTGTCGACGTTGGAGCAAGATATAGTATTTTCTGAATTGGCACTTTGTCCTGACGATTTGTGTGCTCCACGGATTACCCATTTACTAGAACTGAAAACTCCAGTGGTGAACTCAGACGCGATGGATATAGATTGAATTATATAGAGGTAAAGAAGGTAGCAGTTGTGAAATTTGAAATTGATTGCACCGTGGAACGGACAGTACTAGGTAGTAGGTAACCAGTAAGCTAGATTAAAAATCAGATTATTATAGGAGAATGTTGCGGCTGTTGGTAAGGAACCACCCATCATCAGGCCAACGTCTTCATGATGAAAACAACCCTAGGGAGCTCCAGCTCAGTCCATTTAGTCTCGGAACACGTAGCAGAGGAGGCAGACACTGAAAGCGCTCTGCCACCTACAATAAACATGCCCTTGAATGAGTTAGTAAAAGAAAAGAAAAAAGAAGAGAAGGAGAAGAAAGAAAAGAGACAAATTTATGCTGCGGCAGGCGGGAAAGGAAAGGCTCGGATTAATGATTTCTCCCCATAACCGAGCCAATCCGCGGCCGGCAATTTGTGAGTGACGCCCCAGACGGGCATAATGGCAGAATCCGTCCGAACGAGCCAAAGTGCTTGCTCTCTTCAAGGACATCATCAAGCCTAGAAAAGCCTCACGCCCACTCCCTCCTTGCCAGCAATTCTTTGCTACGGGGCTAATTGTATTTCTTTCCTTCCCTCCGTGTCCGTCTCATCATACAGCATGCGGCCGCAGCTGTTCCGTGCGGCCGCCCGGTCTATCCGGGGTTCGAAGGTCAACTATCCCAGGACCTTTGCGACGACAGTCCCTCGCTCCGCCGATGTGGAATTGACAATTGGTGGGTCTCAATGGGTTCTGTTGATTGTGGTCACAGCTAATTGACTTTGTTACTAGATGGGAAGAAGATCTCAGTCGAAGGTGACTATATCTCTGAGCCGGCGTTTTGAAGCCCCTCCCCTACTTACACGATTCACAGCTGGCTCGGCCCTAATTCAGGCTTGCGAAAAGGCAGGCGCAACTATTCCCAGGTACAATCTTTCTCTTCTTTTCCTTTGGGGATTGGTGTGGTCAATTTTACTAACAGCTGGCTTTAGATACTGTTATCATGAGTACGTTCCGCGCCCCCCAGGGTTCTCCCATTTATAATACCGCTACTAACGAAATTGATAGAAAGCTTTTGATCGCAGGAAACTGTATGTCCCCAAAGATTAAGTGATCAAGTGTGGAGAATCAGAGGAGCTAACATATCAAGGCCGGATGTGTCTGGTGGAAGTAGAGCGTGCTCCCAAGCCGGTGGCTTCGTGTGCCTGGCCCGTCCAGCCCGGCATGAATGTCAAGACCAACTCGCCCCTGGTGCACAAAGCAAGGGAAGGCGTGATGGAATTTCTTTTGGCTAACCACCCTCTTGACTGCCCCATTTGTGACCAGGGAGGTGAGTGTGATCTTCAAGATCAGTCCATGCGGTATGGTGCCGACCGTGGACGTTTCCACGAGGTTGGCGGCAAGCGTGCTGTCGAAGACAAGAATATCGGACCCCTCGTCAAGACGTCCATGAACAGGTGTATTCATTGTACTCGTTGTGTCCGGTTCATGAACGATGTTGCCGGTGCCCCCGAACTCGGCACCGCTGGCCGAGGCAACGATATGCAGATTGGTACATATTTGGAGAGAAACCTCGATTCCGAGCTCTCCGGTAACATTGTCGACCTCTGCCCCGTCGGAGCCCTCACATCGAAGCCTTATGCCTTCCGCGCTCGTCCGTGGGAACTGAAACACACCGAATCGATTGACGTTCTCGACGCTTTGGGATCCAATATTCGTGTCGATACCAGGGGTATGGAAGTGATGCGGATCCTCCCGAGACTCAACGACGATATCAACGAAGAGTGGATCAATGACAAATCTCGCTATGCTTGTGATGGCCTGAAGACCCAACGATTGACGACGCCCCTCATCCGTCGGGATGGGAAGTTTGCGCCGGCCACGTGGGAACAAGCTCTCACTGAGATCTCGTCTGCCCATCAAAGACTGCAGCCCAAGGACAACGAATTCAAGGCCGTCGCCGGCCACCTCGTTGATGCCGAATCGCTTGTTGCCATGAAGGACCTGGCCAACAAGCTTGGTTCCGATAATCTCGCCTTGGATCAGCCCGGCGGTAGCTCGCCTGTCGCTCACGGTGTCGATGTTCGCTCAAATTATCTTTTCAATTCGAAGATCTACGGAATTGAAGAGGCAGATGCCATCCTCCTTGTTGCCACGAACCCTCGTCATGAAGCCTCCGTCCTCAACGCCCGCATTAGAAAGCAATACCTGCGCTCTGATCTGGAGATCGGACTTGTTGGACAAGAGTTCGATAGTACCTTTGACTACGAGCACCTCGGTGCCGATGTCGGTTCTTTGAAGGCCGCGCTCGCTGGGAAATTCGGAGAAAAGCTTGCCTCTGCCCAGCGACCCATGATCGTTGTTGGTAGCGCTGCTGCCGAACATGCTGATTCCAAGGCAATTTTCGAGGCTGTTGGTAGCTACGTGGAGAAGCACGCCAACTTCAACACCCCCGAATGGCAAGGCTACAACGTCCTGCAGCGCGCCGCTTCCCGTGCTGCTGCCTACGAAGTTGGCTTCACCACGCCGTCGCCGGAAGTTGCTCAGACTAAGCCGAAGATGCTCTGGCTTCTCGGCGCCGATGAGGTTGCCCAGAGTGAGGTCCCTAGCGATGCATTCGTCATCTATCAAGGACATCACGGTGACCGCGGTGCTCAGCTTGCGGATGTCGTCCTGCCCGGCGCCGCCTACACTGAAAAGTCCGGAACCTACATCAACACCGAAGGCCGCGTGCAGGTCACTCGGGCAGCAACCTCTTTGCCTGGCGCTGCTCGCGACGACTGGAAGATTATTCGCGCCACTAGCGAGTTCTTAGATGCCCCTCTTCCCTACGATGACATCGAGGCTCTCCGTGATCGCATGGAGGAGATCAGCCCCGTGATGCGCCGATATGACGTTGTTGAGTCGACTAGCCTGGGTTCCTTGAGCAAGGTCCAATTGGTCGACCAGAACAAGGGCACCACGCCAACTGACGCTCCTTTCCAGAGTGTCATTGAGGACTTCTATTTCACAGATACCATTTCCAGAAGGTCAGTTCCCCCCTTATAAATGTGCGCGAGACTTGACAGTGAACTAACTCCCATATCAGCTCACCTACCATGGCCCGTTGCTCGGCAGCCAAGGCTACCGGGAACCCCGAGACCAACTTCATGGCCGCTGGTGAAATGTCTCCCCAGGCTCTGTACGGTTAATTCTTTTGGGGGTCCGGTGGTGGCGGTCTTCCCAACCTTTTCTTTTGAATAAAAGATCTTCTCTTGTGTGTTTTATCTACTGGTCTAGGCGTTGTTGTTTGTAACACCTAAACATAAATTCGTCTATTTGTTATAACCGTTGTCTACCGTTTCTTAAGAGTGTCCCCGAATACCCTTGTGTATAATCTACCTATCACCAAGGGTAAACTTGTACATAAGACTGAAATTATTTTACAGGGCAGTAGAAAGTATCGCGAGTTTGTAGGCTAGTCACCCCATTTGACATGAGTGATAAGGTTCTATGTATGTAAACACGAGCTCAAACTTATATACGGCGTTAGATTACGGAGTATATATGCGAACCTTTCCTTCAGAGTTATCACTTGAATAATCTATCAACCAACCCTATATTTGCCTGAGATTTGATCCACGCCCATCACCAATCATGATGGGCTTGCCGATCACTAGCGTGGGGAAGGGAGACTGTATACCTCCATGATTGTTTTAAAGAGTAACTTGGGATCACTAGACCTATCCGTGATTTAACCACAGCCCGGTTGCACATACGGCTTAGAAACCCCCCAGTAGACATGGAAAGTTGAATTAGATGGAAGAGAGGTATCCTATTTGCCAATCACCATAAACAAAGTTTACAATTCATCATCATCAGATCCTTCCGTACTGCCTACTCCGGCATCCTCCTTTCTGGCCACCTGTGGCATGTCGCTTTTGGATCTCTTCTGGAAAGGCAGAGATCTGCGCGGTGGAGGCACCAGGGGTGCTTTCTTGATAGTCGGACCACCTGGTGCTGCTTCTTTGTCGCCTGATGTCTTCTCATTATCCGATGCATCAGTGGTCGATGAAGCAGACCCCCCGGTCGTGGAATCATCGTCCCAATCTCGCTGTTGTGCAGCTTGTGCTTCTTCGTTTGGTTGCTCGCTCTGTTTCGGCCCACTATCGTCGATTTGCATTTCCTCGAACCCGTCTTCGCTCTCGGATACGTCGTCGGTGGGTTGAGGGACACCGCGCTTCCCAGTCTGACCCTGATGTACGGGAGACCCGTCCGCCAGTGTCGTATCAAGGGCAGACACTGGATTGAAGTAATGTGAGTTTTCAAGTTTAGGTATGTTGTAGGCGCTTGGCTGTGGGGACTTACTTTTCTCTGGGTCTACTTTGGCGGATGATAACAGTCGTTGTTGGTTACGGATCTTGAGCTTCTTCTCATTCAAGAGCTGGGCGAAATTCCCCATCAGTTGCTCCTCGTGTTGGTTTTTGGTTTGGACAAAGTCTTGTAGCTGTTTAGTGAGCTCATCAATCGTGGTCTCTGCGGCTTGGTAACGATCAGTCAAGGTAGATAGCTGCTGCTCGAGATGTTGCGCTCTCGAGACGGCTACACCAGACCAATCGAAAAGCTCGATGGCTTGGTCATCGTTTTGCTTAAGGGTCAGAGAACCAAGCCTTTGCTACCACAGTCAACGTTAGCATGCGAGGATGAAAAAGGCCTCATCGTATGCAAGTTTTACATACAGTTATAGACTGTACGCGTTTCCTTATCGTGATGATCATCTCTTTGTCCTCATCGTCAGATCCAACGATGCTGGCTGATGATTCAATACCGGATAACAAGCCCTGCCCTGCGTTGCATTGTTCCTGACCAAAAACGTACGACAGGATTTTGATCCACTCATCGTCGCTCCCATGGTAGTTTTTTGCGCGAAGGTCTTTAAGGCGTTTCTGTCTTACTGTCCTAGAAGTCTGAGTATCCATGAGAAGCTGAGCGGACGGGAAGAGGCGTACCAGTGCCCGAATATGGGCTTTCCCCTTCAGTGGCAATGACATCTATATCGAACTGGGAGTCCTTTGGGCGAGAGACGTGGAGAAGCACATATCTTTCGGTGTCATCTGATCTTGGAATGCGTAGTATTTGGGGAGTTGATTGAGACATTATTGTTGTTCAAAAACAGATGGTGGGTAGATAGACAGGAGTAAAAGGGTGCAGCTGAAGTGGAATCACATCCAGGCAGTTGTTGGGCTTTTATCTCAAGTAGATGAGTGAGAGTTCTGGTGGAGCCATTGTTGCCTACTTCCAGTATGGATGCGTTGGATGACGATTTAGGCACATGGCACGGACGGGGCTATCGGAGGTGGGAGCTTGAGCTGGGGTAACTGGAGGTATCTAACCGTGGGTACTGGCCAGGCAGAAACACGGAGCGGGTACCCGAGTATCAGGCACCTAGACCACCGATGTGGATGATGATAGTGGCCAACAAGTAAGGGTATTTAGAAAGTAAGAATGGTTGCCTATAATTTCACCTCATTAAGACAAAGGTAGATATTGGTGGAAGAGTCAGTGAGTGTAGGCGTTGTTGTATGGTACCCATCTGCTGAATGCTTCAAGGCGTTTGGTCAGTGCTACATATATATTGTCGATCACAGACTCGTCATCATAAGATCATTGTCCTTATACGAATACCAAGAAACCATTCTTTTCTATAAAAGTATATTTCGTAGACTAATGCTTTTGATCTGGCATATACTCCATACTCTATCTGGTTCTGTTATTCGAGTGGACATGTGACTAGTCCAGAGGACTCAGGCATCGCAGGGTTGTGGATCAAACTACCCCGAGTGTCAGAGCAACAACGACTCACTCCACACCAACAAAACAATAGCAATCTTACTCCATTCTTCTCTCTGCCACTACACCACTAAACCCCCCTGTTAAACAATAACAATGATTGATTTATATTAGTCTTTTTTTTCAAATCGATAAACTCATGTTGTCATTTTACTTCAGATCCTCATGATGCTCTCTTAAACACTGCTGAGTGAGAGATTCTTCACTCCCCGCGGACGACAGTGTTGTGCTGGCCAAGCATCTTATAAAAGTCTCCCTGCCTCTCCCCCCCAGAGACTGGATATTTCGCACGCAGCTGTTGTTCTGAACTCGCGTGTTTCTTCTTTATCTCATGGCTCTATTCATCACACCAGTCCGCTATCCCCGACACGCTGCCCTTTAAATGACCTTGATGGGATCCCTTGGTTGCTAACTGCGACACGACTATTTGGCTCCCTCCAGGCTTGATGTGTACAGCCTTCGCTCAAGCCCGCTAGGTTACTATCATAAGATCGAGTTCTCCCCAAAACATTTCTCGAAAATCCAAACCGCGTTTCTCATTCGAAAAAATCACCATCGTTTTGTACTATCCATACGGGATGACGCCCATTGGCTCCTTCGACGCATTCTTAACGCCGAAAGATCCTAAGCTTTGTCGCCCTATTCATTTGTTCTAGGGACGCATACTGATCCGCTGTCTCTCATACCGGCAATACCATGGAGCCATTAACATTTCCATTTCACCACCGTGACGAAGAGTCGATTGAGTGCTGGGACGATGACGATGACTTGCTATGCGACGATATCCAATTGCGAGCCGCGTCAACTGCTACTTCTGTAACGAATTCATCCGTTCGCCGCTCGGGGCATCGAGATTCAATATCCTCACGCCTTTCTGCACGCTCCGACCTTGATTCCAACCCGGGCGGTGATGAGGACTGGCAAGTTCCTCTTGTGGCTGGCGGGGACATTGTGAGCGAAGAAGCCATTACGTCTGCTCGGAACGCGGGAATCCCACTACCTTCGAATATTTCTGGATCGGCCCTTGTTGGCGGAACTATTAGACGTCTCGGGAGTAGGAAGCCTAAGAAATGTTTGATTGATGATTGGTCTGAGGACGTGGAGTTCCCAGGCCCGGAAAGTGTTCTGGAATTGAAGAGTCCGCCAAAGGGATCTTTCCCAGAATCTATCCGGCAGGTCAACTCTCCCACAAGAAGTCCGATAAAGGGCTCCAATCCCGCTTGCTGGGGCGATTATCATACCCCGTCATTCCCAGTATCGGCACTTACAGTGCCGCCTGGAGACCAAGACAATGAAGAAGACGGCAGTCAAGATGTTCCTACAATCAAAATGGCGAAGCCTCGATCCCCTCATACGAGAGATCCAGAGCGAAGACCTTGGGATGACATACCAAAGAATCTGACTGAGGATCTAGAAGACGACTTTGAATTACCGGAAGCCTTTGACTTTCGACTTCCGCACCGAAAAGTCAACCCGCAGGGTTCAATCGCCGCACCAGACGACTTGGACGTCGATTGGTCTGAAGGCAGTATTGGGGTTCGATTCGGTGGCACTGGAAGAGACCACCGATCGAACCCAAGTTCCTCTGTCTCTGTAATCAGTCCCAGCGCCTCCAGTTGTCTCACCGGTGAAAGTGACGATGAAGGCCTTGATGGTCTTGTTATCCCAGAAGGCCCATTGAGTCTGGGAACGCCTCTGAATCATTCCCGAGAACCAAACACTGCAGTCGTGGACAACTCCGTGTCAAACACAAATTTCCAGGACCCAGTTAAAACGGAAGACTTCTTCTCGGATCTTGAGATTGGCGATCTCGACCCTTTCAGTCCCAGGAAGTTTACAGTCAATCCGAATGTCAAATGCAAGAAAGAGCGCACAGACGGTTCGCCACGACGTTCGGCCACAACACTCACCTTTACGAATACAACTGGGTCCCCAAGGACACGGATTCCCCGTCTCTCCAACCACGAACGACAACATTCAACCCACCTCGAAACCGTCTCAGAAAGCGGTGCACCACTGGCCAAGTTTCGGGCGTCTCAATTCCGAGGCGACCATTCCTATCATTCCTCTGCGCCTAGACATTCTTCTGGCTCTACATCACCATCACCAGGACCCTTGACCCCAGCCCGACGGCTAGTTGGCACCCGGATATCGAGAGATGCGCCGGTCGACAAAAGCGCCAGTGGCGGGAAACGATTACTCAATACAAAGAGATCGATGCCAACAATGCGACACATGCACCACACAACATCAACATCATCTCGAGGTCCCCCTCGCAAGGATGTGACGAACTGGTCCAATCTTTACGCTAGCGGGTCTAGAAGCCCTGTTGACCGCGTAGGAATTGATACTAAAGCGGTTGGCCGTAAATTACAGGCACCTTTCATTCCAGCCGGGGCTTCTGAAAGACAGTCTCATCACGCCAGCCTCAAAACCTATCGACACTCTCGCCGAAGCGACTCGGAAGGTTCTAATGACATCTGTTATCCACAAGGGCCTTCACCCCGAGTGTCCCGTCCGAATCTCCGTGGGAGTTTGGGGGGTAGCTCCAGTGATTTAAGCCCAGAGACCGTGATGTCGAGCGCCTCACGAACGCTTACTCGGCCGGCTCGTCGGCGCCATTTCGGCGATGGCACAGAATTGGCTTCCTTCGATGATTTGCCCACATCTACTTCCGCTGAGAGCAAGTTCATGAAGCAACCTTCTGGGCGAGGTGTGCCGAGATCATTCAAAAGCAAACTCGAGCGGAGTAACCCAGCTCCGCAGGGAACGGATGTTCCTCGTCAGCAAGTACAACAAGCACAGCGTACACCATCCAAAACAGGTGATTTTACTCCGCGATTTGCGCGCGATACAAATGCCTCGAGAAACGCCAGGGAACAGCGCATTGCTTCGATGACGTTTAACGTGAAGAATCGTGAGAGCGACCTTTCTGATTCTTTCAACGCGAACTTCAAAGCTCAGAGTGCCTCGCGCGTGCCGTCGGGTACAAGGACTATCCGAAGCAAAAAAAGCCGGCCTCCTGTCGGCTCTAAATCCAAGCCCCAGCTAATCAAGCCAATGGGGGCCGGTGTTCAGGAGCCCAAATGTAAGTTGAAACATCATTTCGGGTAGCCATCGATACTGATATTCCCAGCTATGAACGGCATGCGATACAACCCTAGCACTTTTCGTTGGGAAGGAAATGAGAACCTAGTGCAGGAGTTTGAAACAAACTCGCCCAAAACGCCAAAGCCAGCGCCAGCGCTCATAACCAACATAGGCGCGATGCAAAACGTACAGGTAGTTGGGGGGATGATCTTTGATCCCCAGCGGATGTGTTGGCTAAGGCTGGCTCCACTGCAACCTGGAACCAAGGGCCTGGTAGCGGTCCAGGATGAGGACGATGTTTTCGCTGGTCTTGACGACCTAGAAGAAAAAGGGAGGCTATCTGGCGGGCGAAATTCGGGTGCACATGACGACCCTGGCCTTGGTGGAAGCGGGGATGATCGGAGTTGTGGAGGGTCGTCCGACGAATGGCCCATCACGGAGGAGTTCGACGTCGGTCCAGAATTTGTCAAACGTCAGCGTGCAGAGGAAGACAAGTGGAGACGCAAGGTCGACAAATGGACTACGTTCGATCGTGGAGAACTCGGAGATGGGTGGAGGTGGACCATTCGAGATTTGGTGGGATTTGGCAGCAATCTCGGGGCTCGGAGACTGAACGACGTATGATTCGATTAGGACCACCTGCGCGCAAAATCCCTGGAGGAGGATGGTTTCTGGAAACAGGGGACTGTGGTACGAACGCAAGTGAAGGCTGCGCCAGCGAGCGTCTGTCCTTTGGTGGTTGATCCGTTCTTGTTTGATATTTAGATGCTCACGGCGGTATAACGTTTACGAGGCGACCAATTGTGGCTGGGTATGATGAACATTCTGTACGAGATTATGATGAAGCATTATGAATAATTGAGTCTCATGAACCTGGTAGAGTTACAGTTCACGTTTGTTTCAGTTCTTCTAATCATGCACGTTTGACAAGTTCAGGCAGAAATCATCTGCCATGATCGTTCATCTCTCTATGCAATCCTTGTATGTCCCAATGTAAACGTTGGCCATCTTATTGGAGAGGCCTTCTGTTTGTCTTATTCTCATTACCGGGTTGGGACTAATAGCTCGCGTTTGCTCTTAGATCAAGGCAGTATTATCACTTATGTTCCCCATGTCATAATAGATCAAGTAGATCTCCCTAGCACGGAGAGATTGGCCTATGCTTTTCATCCAATAGCCTCGCATGGCTCGGAGACTTTTGTTGTTGCCAATGATCCGTCTGTAGTCCGTTACAGGATCTTCTCAGTTTGCACATAAGAGCAATATAGAAGCCAACTGATGCTTACACTAGCTTAATGTGTCTAATGCAAAGAATTTGTCAGGAGACTACGATCCAATGAAGCTGTCTCCATTTAGATGCGTACGATAATCAGTTCATAATCTCATAGCCATCTGCATATATTCTCCGACGTGAACCGGTGGTTCCCTGGACAGAGCCTCCAGGATTATAGTGTTAGCGGTTCGAGTTCCTCTCCAGCGGAGAATATCCATGCACCTTGTAGTCCGAACGGGGGATACAACCCACAAACGTGCATCAGATGGCGAGAATATGTCTCTTGACAATTTTTGTCCACTACAATAGTATAGATTGGTCGTGATGGTACTAGGTAGGTAAGTAATACTGCTTTTGATACCGCCCGGAGTTGAGGCTGGGCTGGCTGGGCCTTGGTGCATATGACCAATAGGGTCCCTCGATTGGAGAGGTGCCATCAAACAACTTGACTCTGCTGCTTGCACATTCGGACGTCGGTAGGCTGACAGCTCGTCCATCTAGGTACCCAGGTACCGACCTGCTGCTCTCTCGTGTACCCATTCTAGTGGTTATCAAACAGAACCATGAAAGGTTAGGGATAAGGCAGATATTTTGAAACAAGTTCTTCCAGGTATTGTTGGGAGGATATTTCCAGATCCTTGAGTCCAGGGCAGGGGAGCCCTGTCATCTATGTGTTGGTTGGCAAGGCGTAATAATCGACACGGCGGCAAAGGAAAATGTCAACATAGGTTCACGCAGCACGCTGGAATTGTGGGACTTGTTTCAATATTCTAAACTCTTCTGCCTCTGCTTTTTTATGGGGACGTTGAGCAACTCTCTTGCGCAAAGTTATCAACCAGGCTTTTACCCCCTTGAGGTAGATAGATACCCGGTCAATCTCAAGCATTGAGGCTCTCGTGGCATATAAGACCGTGCTTGGTATTTGGGTTTTAAACTTGTTGGGGCTTAATAGCCAATCCAATTGGGCAAATGTCAAGCAGAGACAGGAAAAGAGAAGCTATCTCCAAGGTTTAGGGCCTCGCCATGGATTACCGCAGAACTTCGCGCGAGATACTGGTTGGCCAATAGCTAGCTTGAACGACCTGAGTATTAGGTAGATGGTGAAGATAATTTATGATAGAATACAAGAGTGAACCGTGGATGTTTGACAACTAGACTGCAGATGCAGCATCAATGTCACGGCCCTAGCCAGAGTGGGATGGTGAAAAACACGAGAGGAGATCTCTTGGAGAGAAGGGGGCTTTGCTTGCAGGGGTTATGCAGCAACTTAGGGCCTGTGAGACCAAGCCATATTGGCTATCCTGATTTGATACATGCCTAAATCATTTACATTTTTTCTCTCTCTTTTCTTTTTTTCTGGAGGGTGGCTGGGGTGAATATGGATTTGTCTTGGATGAACCCCTGTAAGAACAGCGATGCAGAGTGTGTAAGTGTGCTTGATCTGGGGAGGGTTGTTGATGATGTACAAAGTAATTATGGATTCGACAGTCAACCAGTGATGAATGAAAGCATGTCTCGCGCCTGTCAAGCCGGCTACTTGCAGCATACCCACATCTTGCCGATCCTCGAAGAGACTAGGCTACTGTGCTTAACGCTGTGATGACTGGAGCGGTTAGTTCGGCAAGTACATACTTGGCAGTCTTGGAGGGAGCTATGTAAGAGATCAGTATGGCGTGGACTCACTTGCAGTCCAGGTACTGGGGGATAGATTGACCCTAGAAAGATGTGCATATCCATGTTTGTGTGACTAACATCCCCAGACATGAAGGCCATTAGAGATCAGAGGTGAGACAGTGAATAATGGTACGATAATATAGAGCCATCTTACAGCTGGATCGGTGCCAGAAACGCAGAGATCCTGGTCCGGCGAGCTGTTTCGGGTTTCATCTTCGATTTGACAGGCCAGTCTTTGTTCTTGATCATTCGAGGTGAGAATACGCCAAGAATAGGATGATAATGTTCCTTGACTTTGGCAAACAAGCCACAAGGAAACCGCCTCGCCGGTTATTAATAGGCTATGCCGGATGTTCATTCGTATGTGTGTAATAAATTATCATGCATGGTTTCAAGTGCTTTTCTATCTACAAGTCCAGGCAGATCTGCAGGTGCATAACTCTTATGATTTTGCTCTGCAGCCAGGGTCTTAGATTGCCTACCTATGATAGTCATACCCATGACCAAAGATATTGGTGACATCTTATTGCTATAGAGTGTGAACTATTCTGTTGTGTTCGTATGATATTTGATAATAAGGGTAAAGTATATCAAGAGAGACATCATAATGATTATAGTCAAAAGCATTCCAAGGCGGTCTCTAGCTTACCCTCTTTCTACCAGGTCTTCCGTATACGATCCAAACCCCATCTTTCCCGTGGCGAAATCTTTTATTCTCTTGTAATTAGTTCCTGCTTTGGTGCTATCTTCTTAATGCTGTTGCTTGGCTCACTCAGCTCCAAGTACCAGTCATGCGTGATCCTTGTCTATTCCCTGTCTGTTTCCTGCTTGCTTTCTGTCTGTTCCACAATAGCTTGACTGTATTGGGATATTGCGTCTCGCCCCTCTTACTGCACAGTGTTCATTTCTTTTTCTTTTCCTGCCAGGAAAATTTTGTCAAGATTCTCCAACCTTGTCTGAGTGGTATTTTCATGACCAATATCTTTTCTCTGTATTCACCTGCTCTCTTATTCCAAATTCTATGCCTGTTTGGCGTGTATGCGCATGTATGCTCATGTGAATGAAAGTCTTGGTAACTGACTATCTCGTTTCCTTTGATTAACAATCTATTATGATTAACATATATGGCGATTAACAGTCTCAGTAATGGTTACCTTGTATCCTTGCTGAGCAGGGTGTTATGGATCTATGCATACTGAGATAGTGCTTTCCATGCTGCTTCACACACACACACATGCACATGTCTACCTGCTTATACACGCACATACACATCATACACATCATACACACATACACACATATACACACGCGCATACACACACGCACAATTCTTTTCCTTCAAGAAAAAGAAAATTAAATGAACATAATATATTAGATCAAGAAGAAATTTGAGGCAAAGGCGTGGCATACTCGACATTTGACTACAACTCTGCGACGCTATACCTAATTCTTGTATAAAGACTGTGTGTGGTCCTTCTGCCTTTCTTTTCGCTATTATTCAATCACTTCATTGTTTTACAGCCTACAGATTTCCCAGAAATCCAAAGTCTCCGCAGTGATACTCTTGGGGAAACACCAACATCTCTATACTTCATTTGTCTACCAAGCCGTTGCTATTCGTCTTCGTCTTATTTTTTAAGAAATAGGTGACATATCTGACCTAAGGGTTTGCAGCGAGATAATAACCAGTTACCCTCTACCTGCATAATACTGGGCGTCGGTTTGTATGCCCATCTTGCTTTGAATCTATCAACTATTATTCGTTTGGTTATTATTTGCATCATGAGTAGTTTTGGAAGACGCAGCAATGATGCACATGAAAACTATGTCATGAACCATCAGATCGCCCTCCCCATTCCATACAACCATGGCGATAACCACGAATTCGGGGTCAACGAATCCGGACAGTATCAGTTCCCACAACAGTCCTTCCATCCGTTCACTGCTCAGTTCAATGCACCTTATGGGCACCCGGGAATTCCATTGCACGCACACCATCTGTCTTCGCATACATCGCCCGGGCACTCCATGTCAACGGTAGATCATCCGGCACTACAGCACCATCACCATAATCATCAGGTGCAGTACATGTCACAGCCACGTTATCTACAATCCCCAAGATATCTACCTCTCCGCGAAGCCCTCGGTGAGACGGATATCGAGAGCCAGGAATCCCGGAACGAGAACACGATGCTTTCGGAGCCCGTTATTCCTGCGCTGGAAGGGTTTCCCGATGTGAGAGAATTCGACCAATTGATGAAAAGGTAGATCTAGCATTCGAATGCTTCCAGTGCCCCAAGCATCATGTTGATTCTGAAAGTAGTTACGTCGATGACCTATCAGTCAAGAAGCAAGACAAAGCCCTAATCCATGCAAAGAGGGCACGGAATATCAGGACAGTACTAATAGATCCCAAAGACACTGCCATTGAATCGGCCCAATTCCGGTATGATTTATTCATTCCTCTAGCCGTCGCATGCCTGAAAAATCTTTCTACGATTGAGGGCTTTCCTACCAAGCTTCCTAACCCGAAAGTGTCTGAGAGATAACATGCAAACTAATCTTCTCGAACTAGGTTTTGGGTCAAGAAAATGTTCAAACTGCAAGCAGTTGGCACTGCGTCCTCAGATGTTCGTATTAAAATCGTCCAAGTAGAGCAACTGGAAAGACTGACTTGTATCAAGTGCATGAAGATGATTTGCCACGAAGGAAAACCGGTAGCCGTTCGAGAAAAATTGTTCAAAATCCTCACCAAGGCACATCAACAGTGCCAACATGGCGGTAGAGACAAAACCTCGGCCCAGGTTCGACAGTTCTATTCGTGGTAGGTAGAATCTCAAGGTTATCCCAAACAAGCCGGGTTCGAGCTGTACCTACTAAGACATATTGACGCATTATACGTACATCATACTGATCAGATACTAGGGTCCCGAAGGAACTTATTTCGCGCTTCGTCAAGATCTGTCCAACCTGCCAAGTGCGCCGAGGAGGATCGCGCCTGACACCTCCTAATTCAAGGAGAAGCTCACCCCGACTCGAAATAGCACCGCGCTCTCCGAAATTGCCGTCGCCACCTATATCAAGGCGCGAGTCTGCCATAAGCCACCATATCCAGCCGGAAAGAACCCAAGCAGATTACTTCAATAATTTCAGCGGCCATACAAGCTGGGTGGACAGTCAGCGTCAGTTGCAGGGTCGACAGAACATGGGCCCCATCCGTTCATTTGTTGGCGGGACTGTGAATCATCTCCCGGGACCTCTCACTGGGACAGTGGATTCTTTCCACAGCGACATATCAACGGCTCCCGCTCAGGTCAATTACAACTCCGGGTATGCTTCTACTCAGGGTGCGCCCAGCCAACGGGACTTTTAACCATCTTTATCTCGTTCCCAACCTGTCATATGTTTTTCCCAAAGTTTACAAACATATCTAAGCTAGAGTGCAGTACAGTACTACTACTATATAGTTGAAGCATTGGGCCTCTATAATTGCTCTAGCCTTCGGGATGTATCCTCTTTTACGCATGTGATTGCAGAGACAACGTATGAACGCCCATTTAGTGAACAATCAGCAGTGAAAAACCGGTCCTCGCCCACTCAAAAGATACAATAGACATCCTACGGAAAACTTTGTGGCAATTGAGGAGGAAAGTCGAAAAGGAAAGGGACACTACAAATCTACACATGCAGAAGAGATGAAATTGCGGGTCTACATACTCCCCGTTCGAATCCCATCGCCCGTAGGGTCGGGTGATCTACCCGGTGTTCCTCTATATCGGGCTCCACTCCGGTAGGTGGATCCACCGAGCTAGGTCTTTAAGCTTTGCGCCAGTGGTATTGGCCAGGACTCAGTGGACACCGCGATGTGTGTGATGTACTTCGTAGTGGTGATAACCAGGGATCGGCGAAGTCGCGGGGAAGCAGAAGGCTACCCGTGGATACAATTATTTCCAGTCTAAGGGGCAGTCAGTGTGCGCGGAGTCCTTTGTAACAAAAGTGTCATAGGGTCTGTCAACGTACTCTGTAATGGGTGGCTGGGAAAAGGAGTATCATTCCACTAATCACTGCTATTCCCTGTATGGGGTCGGGGAAAGGAAGCAAAGACAAGGAAGGAAGGACTCCACATCATGAATCGGTCTATTCACACCGACCTATCAATGTGTACAGGTTTGTAAGAGATCTTGCAGGGTATCTACAGGGTAGATACAATTAGACAAAACTATAATCGGGGAATGTTCATAACCAAGCCCCTATGTGTCTCACATCAGGTCTATGGCTGCGGGATATAGAAGAACTCGTATGATACCGTCGTTACATTCTCATGCAGTGGCATGATAGATCCAACTGTATGCAGAGAATTAGAATTGCAAGGACTTGATAGAGCTTAACATGCTCACAGGGTTGCCTGCTTGTAAGAACCAAACAGCATACTAGTCACTCGGTAGAACTCTACACAGGCACTCGACGACTTTTGTTTCATAGGGCCTGGTTTTAGACTCATGTACTATGCCTATATGTACCATTTACATTATTATAGACCGCGTATGGAACAGTCACTACATGATAGCAGTCTTTGAAACTTCGGTTAAACCCTGCTGGCGACCACATATGAATACATCGTTTTCAATTGCAACACTGTTAAATCAAAATTTTCATCCTTATACTATTATCCCAATCTGTGATATTGTGCGCTACTAGATAAGAGATAGTGGTAAGTTTATAGCCGATGACGTGTTGGATAATCACGTATTCTCAGCACCCCTCCCCAGCATTTTACAGTATTTAAAGGTACAAGGAAGCTACAAACAATGATGCAATGTAAACTCTGCTTTAAGACCATCCCTCTCACCAGCATCCAATACTTGGACCGCATCTTTAAACAGGGAGCGAAAACTTCCTTCCCTTCATAACCCTAGAAATAATCAGTATTGACGCTAGAAAGGGACCAACGTGGAAAGCGGTGGACTCACTTCGTATAGTAGATATAAAAGAAATCGGAGTACAAGACGGTCTGCACAATACCTGCAAGGACAGGAATGGGTTGAAGATGGCTTTCTGCGAAGTATCGATACACCCAATTAGGGATATAGAGGGCTCGGTATGAACCCAGAGCAAAAAGATAGTGCGTTGTAATGGTATCTGCTTCGCCAGTACGCTGGAGCATGAAGAGCTGGGGGAGGATGGCAACGGATTCTAACCAGATGGAGAATGTCCAGAGGATCTTGTGACAGTTAGAGTATGTCGTCAACGTGACATGTTGGGAACTGACCTCGGAAACACTGTAATCATGTGGGAAGATGATAGCGAGTAGGGCACTGAATCCCACAAGGTACTGGACTTTGAATGTGTCGATGTTGGGATCGTGCGTAGGTTTATAGTCATTCAACATGAGGTAAATGATGTAGGCAGACGAGCCAATGAATAGAATTTTGAACGTTGTGTTGTATAGCGAGTCGGTAAAAGCCCAGAAGAGATCTGCAATTTCGCAGCATAGGTGTTAAAAAAGAAATAGACATTGCGAGAGAGGCAGAGCGTACCAAGGTATCGTGTCACAAAGACTACCAAATACAACACTTGCGATTTGAAAGACAACCCGGAGCAGCTCTAGAAAACCACATTAGCCAGGAAAAACAGTCACAGGGAAGTGACCATACGCTTGAAGACTTCATTTTATGTAGAAGTATGAATATTGAAGCAAGATGAGAGAAATCGGCTAACCCGCATGTTAGAAAAGTCAATTGTTATTCAATATTCAATATAGCACCCACCAAGTAACCTGAAGATATTCATGGTGGAAGGATTGCTGCGACTTTTGACGCCAGTTGAGCGGCAAACCAGACGTATTAAACTGAATTTGTAGCAGGGACAGATACAAAAATGGGTGAGGTAGGTGGTTTCCGATCAGGTTACCATGTATGGAGTAAATGCTCGGAGCTTCTGGCTTCTGCCCTTCGGGAGAATATACTTGACCAGCTTACGAGATCTTAATGTTGACACGAAGCCACAAGGTTGCGCGCGCCCCACACGCGCAAGCGCGTGATGTGGTAATACCCGTACACGGTACTTTACTATCATACTTGCGCATTTAACTACAGATACATAGCATCGATTATAGCTTGCCCTGCTCTTCTTGTTACCAGTCAATAATAACCTACGGAGTGGGAAAATAATCAAATTCCATATTGAACAGGCCAAACGTAAAATATGTTATGCTCCTGAGGATTAATCCCCAAAGCAAGCCAATGTTTACCAGGAGATTCATTGCCCGGCGAGGTAATCATAACGTCATCAACGTCCAAATTAATTCTGGTAACTATATCGAATATTTGTAATACTAAAACAACGTTCCTGCATGGACAGAACCACCATCCGCTAGGCGCTGTAGATGCCCCTCTGCTAATTCGCTTTTCAAAGCACAGATAGAGCTTTCTCGGTCAAACCTATCCCAATCTCTGACCCCTAGCCTCTTCAGACTCTGGCTGTCTGTGTTCTGCTCGAGGAGCCGATCCTGGTCGGAATCTAATTGTGAAAGGCGCTTCTCGATAGAGACATCTAAACTGGAGGAAATAATCCGGCCTCCAGGAATTATGGAGCAAGAACTCGATAAGTGGTTCATATACCGCGGAGCACGGGGGTGATTAATAACCCCAGCATTGCTGCCCTGCCGGTAAGTGTTCTGGCGAATGATTTCAACACCTTGACCCTGCGGACCATTGATATTGCGTGGGCCTGTAGGAGGACCATAAGGCATAGCAGAAACAGGGCCACGGCGAGCAGATCCACCAGCCCAACTGCTTTCCTTGAAGCCTGCACCCCCTCGAGGACGGGTCGGCGCTGACAGTAGAGATAGATTTAGGCCACGGTGATGGGTGAACTGGTGTTTTGAGCCATGCGACGGTCCAGAAGGTGGGGATTGACTTTGCACGGAGGGGAAGGCCCTGGGATGACTGGGGATACTGGGAGAATGTGCATTGTCCAGTTGAGGATCCCTGTCATGAGCATCGCTGGGCCGAGACACTCCAATATCGCCAAGATCAGTATCATTACCCGACATACGTAAGTGTTGCTCTGGCGCTGCAAGCCTTGAATTGGTGTCGTCTTTGCCCAGCTTATAAGGCGCGGGGACTACACGGTCTGCATCCGGGGGTTTGGACAAACGCCGATCGTGGGCGGGGTGGGCGGGCGATCGGTCTGTTGAGTCCAGCTGAGTCGTAGTGACTCTGTCGACCGAGGGCGATGAAAGCCTTGAGTTGGAATGAGATCCAGGGGCCGAAGCATGGACAGATGGGACTCTTCTGGGGGATGGCGACCGTCTCCTCTGGTTCAGTGAACCATCTAAATGGCGCTCCCTCTGCACTCCCCGAAACGGACTCCGAGACCGAGATATTGCCGATGCACGAGGCCCATTCTCTCGCACGGGCGGTTGTCTTAAGGATGGACTGTATCTGACATAGTGATCAGGAACAGATGGCCTGTCACTTCTCGACAACCTGGAATCTTGATGAACGGGCGAAGGGTCCCGTGGCCGTTTGGAAGGGGGCCGGCTCCATGAAGTGTTACGGGGACGGCCTTCATTATAGGGAGACCTTGGGCGCCACGAGGTTTGGCGAGGTGATCTGGGTCTCCCGTCTCGTCGAGGAGAAAATCGACGGGGGGGGGGGCTTGATCTAGCATATGAAGAAAGACCAGGATCCCTGTTATAAGGCGAGGGACTTCGAGAGGGACGACGCCTAAACCCCGGGGGAGAACGACTCCGAACACGTCCATACGTGCGAGTCGTGGATGGCACCCATGTATCAGCAAACAGGCGAGGAGATCGGTTTCGCTGTGGTGACCGGCTTCGACGAAAATAGCTGCGGGAGTTTGCCGGCCGATAACTCTCTCCGCCCCGGTGATCATCAAACCTACCGTAATAGATAATGTCAGTCCTATGAGCGTTTATGGAAACATATGCTGTGACGGCTAGGGTAGAGCTTTGTTTGGGGTGGAAGCAGACCTCCTATTACGATCCCAATCCATTTCTATGAGATCTAAGAGTTGTACACTAAACAGGACTCAATCGATGGCGGCCAATGATGGTATTTGAGGGTTTTGGAGTCCGCCGCGAACTGGTGGATACTGCTTTAAAGACGATTATGGTCAAGTCGCCACCCTCATGCGCAAGTAAATCTGGCACTAGGCTAACTGAGGTTAGGTGGAAACAGAGCGAGGCTATTGATACCAGTCGGTACCTGTCTAGTAACGTAACTGGTTAGTCAGCTAGGACGGTCACTTGATTAACTACCTTTAGTTGATAAAAAAAAGAAAAAGATTGTATTCATACATGTAACATAGTTATCATTATTGAAAAATTAACAACTATTAATCTATAGAGCTTAACACTTTGATTGAACTAATCACATATACAACATATAATAGGTAATATGATTAAATGCTTCTATAGAATTCCAAGACCATCCATTGGACCATTACGGCTAATGTTACCCCACTTACTAGAAACTGTGGTCCCTTGCCATAGCATAGCAATGTTGGCTATGTGTACGTATGTGGCATTGCCCGATGTAGTCTCAAGCAGATACAGATAGACTGGTTGTGGAGAAAGCAGCAGGATCGCCCAGAGCTCCCCCTCATACAGGACATTCATGTTGCTTGAATACAGACAGTCTCTTCGCCCTGAGAGATCCTCCTTTGTCGGTATACACAACTTTTCAGATTTTGGGGTGCCCGGGTACATGGCTGCCAGGCATAGTTTAGCCTAGTGGTATTCTAGGGGCACCCGAGAGCTTGGGTATATGGTAGGATATCAACGAAGATGATATTGACGGAAACTACTAACTACTCCTACTTTTACTACTCAACAAAGTAATAAGGTAACGCGAATGAACATTATGTATTCCCCTATAAAATACGCCCTTATCACTAAACACAGTCCCCAGGCTCTGCTGCGCCCCCTGGCGTCGTCTTCGACTCGTGTCTCTTTTTTACAGAAGCGATCTCATCTGTAAGCACTCTGTCTTGCAAAGCAGCTTGCGCTGCTGCATTGCCGGCAATTCCTTTACTTGGCCCTTGCCCAGAACCTAGGCACTTATCATGCCATCCCCAACCAGTGAGATACACCCCGATAAAAAATGTCTGTATACCATTTCTGTGTTGTACAGGTGGTCGCTCATCAACGTACCTCAATTTGATACCTTTGCCCATTATCTTTTTCGCCAACTGCTCCTTAGCTTGGCAAACAGAGGGCCGAGCATCGACATTCCCAAGTTTCGGCAGCCACAGGTCTTTTAGCCACTTTTCAGCCACACTGTAACCACAAATGGGATCAGATAATATAATAGCAGCCACATAGGCCTCAAAAATGTCACCCAAGGTTTTTGTCCAGCGCTTTGGTTGGGATAAGTAGTCTTGTGGCACGATGGCGCGTTTATCGAGACCATATCCTGTCGCATATTCAGAAAGAGTTTCATTTTTCACCAGTAGTTCCCTAATTTGCGATATCCGACCAGAAGCCATTCGGTCAAATTTGGTCCAAATGAGCTTTGTTGCAATGAGTTCTATATAGGCATCTCCGAGGATCTCAAGCCGGTCATATGTTGTGTCGTGATTGCTGTTTACTCCAGGGTGCGTGAAAACTGCCCTTTCGAGCTTTTCGTCCAGTATAGGAGGCAGTGGCGGTAGCCTTCCTTTGTAGTTTTCACAAGCTACATCAGAAGAAGTGGCAGGTTTCACGCTGTGCAAAGCTCTATTTAGTTCAGCTGCTGCTTTCACGATGGCTGGTTTTAGCCCGGGCGGTTGTGACTCTATCATGCGTAATTTTTCGAGAACATCTTCAACAAGTTTATCAGCAGGTAGTTGATGTATCTCATGTCCTTGATTTTCCTTTGACGTGTTGCTCGACTGGGAAGTGTTCTCTAAGACATTAGTCTTCCAAGATTAGTATGAGCTGGAGATTGTATGATACAGTCAGTGTTTTCTTACCTTAGCTTTTTTGGAGTGTCCACCAGAAGATGAAACCCCTGGGGTAAGTTCAGATTTCCTTTTCAAATCCATGGATATAGGCTGTAATTTGATTGTTTCTTGGTTATCAAAAGGTGGATTGACGTTGGATAATAATTTTGGATTTAGCGGTCACGTGAATAACACACCTCTTGCGATATCTCCGGACCTCTGCGGCTTATCATTCTACTAATCACAACTTCTAGCGTGCTGCCCATAATGGCCACACCTTATGCTAGTCGGCTATTGCATCTAGCAAAGGTGTGCTTGCATTACTGATTATACCTATTTGTCCGCAAAAGTTCACTAAGCTGACCACGCGGCCAGGTTCGATGCCATGTGTTTTCTCACAACTTCAATCCCGAGCGTTTGCGATTAGGAAACAAAATCCTTCGGCAACGACTACGCGGACCTACACTTACCGCGTGGTATCCTAAAAAGACTGTTTCTTTCCGTGACTTACAAGATACTTATCGGCCGCTTGGTCTAACAACCTTTGATGAAGCCGAGGATGACCGAGAAGAAGCAATTCAAATGTACGAGCCATCCCCAATCTGAACCATGTGCAAGCGTGCCTCATATGATTCCTGTGATATTCTTGCTGACGCATACAAGCGCAAAATCCCGAGGAAAGGGGAGACCCAAGAAGAAACGAACTGCTGAAGGTATGTTTCATAGCAATATGACCTGTTTCTGATGTCCCTGCCTAACATATGTTTCCAGAGTCGAGATCATCAAAGAAGAAGAAATAAACAAATCATTTGTCACACTTCTATCGATTGGTGACATGGTGTGTTTTACTTTGTCACAACTTGAAGCCTTGCCCCCCGCACTCAACGATAGATTTGGTGTAGTCCTGTCGTAAGGAGACTTGTATTTATAGATTGAAAATGAGAGCGCAAAAGTATACATCAGTTCATAAGATATCCAGGTAGTCGACTCTAGTATTACATAGGAGACTACATAAGTGGTTGCGTTTGGAAATGCCTTGATTTTATGTGCCATATAGATTGATACTAACCCAAAGAGTTATCTATACTGCAAGAGACACTGAAAATCATTTCAAATCTCTCCCGAATATACCCCGTATTTTGCATCGTATATCATTGACTCGTTTTTTCTGCCTTATATACCATCACGTGACTCCACCGCCCGGTATCTGACTCCCGATGTCTGTATGTTGTTAGTATAACATTGGCCCTGCATGCTCCTTCCTACCACTCACTCTTCATCCTGAAAGTCACGCTATTTGAAATATCCACCTTTTTATCCAGAAACTATAACCAATTTACATTTTCTTTTACCGAAAAACAAACTATTCCACCTAGTCAATTACTATCGCACTGCTGGTACCCTTTCGCAATGAAACCAAATAAAAATCAACTGAGAAGGGCGCGCAAAAAGGCGCTTAAAAACCAGGTATGACTACTCCGAAACAAACTTGAAGTCTAGAGAAGCTAATTTTACGTTCAAGGATAATGAAAAAGTTTCTGATCCAACTTCTTCGGCCACCCCCACAGGAACCTCTCCAGAAGACACCAGCGTAAATTTGCTTCCCGAAGCACCGGAGCCGGATGATCCATTGTGGGAAATGTATAAAGATGTCGCTATCAAATTCAGTGATCTTGGTGAAGATGCGCAGCGGCCAAGAGAGACTGAGAAACCTGAGGTCTATTTTGACGACGACAATGAAATACCGGATGAAGAAGGACAGGAACCAAAACTTTCTAAAAAGAAAAGAAAGGAGTTGAACCAGCTCTCAGTTGCTGAGCTCAAAGCAATGGTTCGGCGACCAGAAATTGTTGAGTGGACAGATACTTCAGCCCCCGACCCCCGACTTCTCGTTCATATTAAGGCCCATCGCAATGTTGTTCCTGTGCCGGCCCACTGGTCGCTAAAACGGGAATATCTGTCGTCAAAACGAGGAATAGAAAAGCCACCATTTTCGCTACCTCAATTTATACAGGAAACTGGCATTTCAGAAATGCGTGACGCCGCTTTGGAAAAGCAAGAACAAGCTACACTGAAGCAAAAACAAAGAGAGAGGGTCCAACCAAAAATGGGAAAGCTGGACATCGATTACCAAAAATTATACGAAGCATTCTTTCGTTTTCAAACGAAGCCTGAACTTACAAGATATGGCGAGGTTTACTACGAAGGGAAGGAATACGAGACCAATCTTAGACACCTACGGCCGGGCGAACTCAGCTCCGAACTCAAAGATGCCCTCAACATGCCTCCCGGGGCTCCTCCGCCTTGGTTAATTAACCAACAACGTTACGGCCCCCCCCCCTCCTACCCTGCCCTTAAAATTCCCGGCCTCAATGCCCCTCCACCGTCTGGTGCCATGTGGGGATATCATCCAGGTGGCTACGGAAAGCCGCCAGTCGATGAACACAATCGGCCTCTTTACGGCGGTGATATATTTGGGGTGTTACAGCCTCAGCAGACTTTGCAGCAGGGTGAACCCGTCGAAAGAGATCTCTGGGGTGAACTGCAACCCTATGACCAGTCCGACGAAGAAAGTGAGGAGGAGGAGGACGAAGTTGATGAAGATGAGATCGATGCAGGTATACAGAGCCCCAGTGGGCTTGAGACACCAAGCGGGTTAGCATCGGCCGTGCCCTCGGAAATCATCGGGGCAGAAGACGTTTCAGGGGAATTCGATGTGCGTAAGCATCATGGAGGCACGCAGACAGAGGATTCAACGAACCAGAGAAACGCCTTCCAGGTCATTCCGGAGAGACAGGCGAATGTACAAGGCTTCTTCGGAGGAGATAGAATGTATGACCTGAGTGCCCCGTCACGGAATCTACCTGTACTTGGCGTGGATGAACAAAACCGAAAGCGCAAGAAGCCCGGTGATGTTGATGTGGCCGTGGATCCAGAGACATTGGAAGCAAGCGGGAGAATGAGCAAGGGCGATGTCCAACAACTTTATGACGGAAGCCGTGAGGAGAGCCACCACCAATGGGATTTTCAGGAGGATCTTAGTGACATGATCGCTTTTGAAAACCGAAAGAGGCTAAGGAAAGAAGAAGAGATTCGCCAGAAACGATGATTGTTGATGCCATGGATTCTTTAGGATTTGTTACCAGCGATTTTCAAGTGTATATTAATTTTGTCGGTTTCTCGGCAAGGTCTACATGCCCTGCAGGCTACTTTCCCATTTGTGCGGATGATTGATATTGTTTTGGAAATAGCATTCAAAACTGTCTCTTGGCACTGTTCTGTTTTATTTCAAGGATTTTGAACTAGCTCGGGGAATATATAGGCACATCAACCTGCCTCTGCCTGCAAGGCTGCAGATTGAACCAATCCAAGTAGTAGTAGTAGTAGTAGTAGTAGTAGTCTTCATCATTCTGTTCTAGCTTGCCTAAATAATCAGCCATCAGCCGCCGGGAAGGACAGTGAGGGTATACCAGAGACAACTGCCCTGAAGACAAGCTGACCACCAAGCAATATCTTTAATACTCTTTACTAATAAAGAGACTTCTATCATCTTGTTCTAACTCAGGAGTATATATCTTAATATTATAAGTATATTTCTAAATCTAAGTATAATATCTCTAATATAATATTCTTATAATATGAGTAGTTATAGATTATTATAATCTTTTTTCTTAATTAAAATATAATAATCTATAGAATAAAATTCTAATATTAATATTTATAGATATATTATATAATTATTGATAAAGTAATCTAAGATATTAACTTAAGATTAATTCTAAACTTAATAATATAAAGATTAAGATATAATATATTATAATTTAGAATGAAGTTAAGAATAATTTCTTTTTATAAATATAAAATTATAATAAAATATTAGAATTTCTTATAATAACTAATCTAAACAAGCCTATTAAAGGACTTAATCTCTTGATAGTTACTTCTTTTTATTCCTAAATTTATATAATAAATTATTTAATTATTATTTAATTATTTATTAATATCTAATTACTTTTTAAATATATAATTACTAGCTCTCTAAAAATAAAAAATTAAAATTATTTTTCTTTTTTTAAATATTATTTTATTTTTTCTAATTTAGTTTAAAATTATCTAGTCTTATTTTTATTACTTAACTTAGTTTATTTACTTAAATTGAGTTAAGCTATATTCTTTTTAGATCTAGTCTAAAAAGATCTATTTCTTACAGATCCTATTCACTGCAGGATCTGACATAAAGACATGCTTTACTATTAGACCCTGTTACTATTATTAAAGTTCTGCCAGCCACCAGGCTGGGCAGTCAGACTATTAATGAGATAGGGCTTAGTCCTCTTGCCCCTGTTATGGAAACCTAATAAGGTTAATACCTCACAAAGGCAGCACAGCCAGGCAGAAGCCTAATACTAATTAGTTAAGAAAGGATTAGGATTCTTATATAAAATAAACTAGATAATTATATAATTTAATTACTTACTTCTTATATAAATTATAAAATAATTATATAATCTAATTACTTACTCTTAATCTATTTAAAGAATAGTTATAAAGTAATTATATTAAGATCTTATCTTACTAGTTCTTACTTGTCATAACCAGAAGTACTGATCAATATTAAACTTGGTAAGCAGATATAGGGATCTAGTGAATAGCTATTAAACTAATATTAAACTAATAGGTATCTACTGAAGTATAATAAATTATAAGAATTACTAGAAAAAGACTCAAGTAATTTATTTTAAATTATATTATTTTTATTTTTATATAAAAAGTTTTTCTTACTTTTATAAAGATATTTATTAATAAGTAAGAGACTAGCTATTTAAATAATATTTATTTTTAAATCTCTTAATATTAGTCTAGTTACTTATAATTTAAATTACTTTTAATTACTTTTTATAAGATATCTTAATAAATAATCTAGTAATAAATTAGAAAGAGAACAAGCTTTACTAGCTTTTTAAGAATAAAAAAACTTTTTTTAAATTTTTTTTTATTAAGTCTTACTTCTAATCAGGAAAAAATTAAAGAAGTTATTTTTAAAATAATAAAGAAAAAACTTCTCTTAATTATATAATAACTTCTTAATAGTAATAAAAAGAGAAAATCTTAGAAAAGATATATTAAGATTACTAAATCTAAACTCTTTAAAAAAAAGAATTATTAATAATATATTATATTTATATATAATTTTTAAGACTACTTCTATATCTCTTATAATTACTTTTATAATAATATTAATTATATTTTATATATAATATCTTGCCTGTGAGATATCCTAAAAAAAGTCTAGTAAAATAATTATAATAAATAAGCTAAAGAATTAACTTATATAAAATTTAAAATATTTTTATATAATTAAGTTAAACTACTAGTAAGTTATAATTAGAATATTTATTACTAGTTAAAAGAATTATAATAAAAAAAAAAATAATTAATTAATTTATTCTTTATTCTTCTTTTTTTTCTTATATATAAAGTTTAAAAGAATCTTAAACTTTTTTTTATAAATATATATTTTAAGATTATATATCTTATACTATACTAGTAAATATATATATTTCTAGAGATATAAATAGATTAATAATCTATTAATAAATTAGTAGTAATTAAGCTAGTAAAATAATATAAGTTAATTAATAAATATAATTATAGTCTATAAAAAGTATATAAAATAAAAAAGAGAAGTAGCTTGAAATCTTATAAAAAATCTTATTCTTATAATTCTAAAAATAATAAAAAAAAGTATAAATATAAAAAATCCTAGTATTCTAAGAACTTAAGAGATTTCTTAATAAAATAAATATATACTAATAAAAGACTAAAGAATATTTAATATTTTAATTATAATAAATAAAAATATATATTTCAGGATTATAAAAAATCTTAAAAAAAAAATAATAAATTCTTTAAATAAGAACTTATATCTTTATAAGTTATAATAATTTATATAACTAGCAAATTATTAGTATCTTTAATAAAAATTATTAATAAGATAAATATTAATTTTAAATAAGAGCTTATTAAAGCTTTTCTTAATCTAAAAAATAATAAAATCTTTATTTCTTATTATTTTCTAAAAATTATAGAATATAAGTTTAATTTCTAGGAAATATTATTATTTATCTCTACTTTTAATAAAATAATATTAGCTTATTATATATATAATATCTTCTTATTTTAAATCTAGAATAATAAAGATAGATACTAGGATTACTAAATAATTACTTATATTATTAATATAATAAGATATAATATTATTCTAGGCTAAACCTGGTTTTAAAAAATCTAGTTAATATTTAATTAATAGATTATAAAATAAAAATATCTTTATAAGTTAATAAGAGTAAAAATTAAGAACTTATAATACTTTTTTAAGATTATATAAGAAAAAGCTATTAGCTTATTATTTACTAGTATTATTATATTAAATAATTAGAAAATAATAATTCTAATTAAATATTCTAATTATATTTATATATTTTCTAAAAAAGATATAAGTATCTTTTTATAAAGTAAAATAACTTATAATATTAATTTATATAAAAGAAAAATATTATTATATAAATTATTATATAATCTAACTTTTTATAAGCTTAATATTCTTTAAAAGTATCTAAAAAATAAATAAGCTAAAAAATAAATATAATCTTTAGCTAGTCTAGTAGTTACTTTTATTATTTTTATAAAAAAGCTAGATAATTTTTTATAACTTTATATTAATTACTAAAGATTAAATATTATTATTATAAAGAATTATTATTCTTTATTCTAAATTAATAAGATAATAAATTAATTAATAAGGGCTTAGTTTTTTACAAGACTTAATATATATAATATATATTATTATATTTATATCTAGTAAAATAATAAGTAAAAGATAATATTCTATATATAATATAAATAATATAAGTATATTATTATATTATTTAATCTTTATAATATACTAGTTATATTCTAGTCCTATATTAATATTATATTAAAGAAACTACTTAATAAGATTTATATAACTTATTTAAATAATATCTTGATCTTCTTATAAATAGAAAAAAAAATATATTAATTATATATATATAATTTTTTAGTAATTAGAGAGTTATAATCTTTATATTAAATTATTTAAATATAAATTTTATAAGAGTAAGATAAAGTTTCTAAGAGTTATTATTAAATAAGATAATATAAAACTAGACTTTAGTAATATAAATATTATTTTTAAGTAATTAGAATCTTATTTTATTTATAATATCTAAGTTTTTTTAAGATTTATAGAATTTTTTTAATAATTTATTTATTAATATTTCTAGATTATTATACTTCTTATAAACTTATTAAAAAAAAATAATTAGAATTATTACTTTTACTTATTAGATATTATATAAATAATTTTTAAAAAATTAAAAAAAAGATTTATAAAACTCCTAGTCTTAGTATATTTTAATCTTAATAAGAAATAAATATTTATTATTAATATATTAGAATATATTATTATAAAAATATTCTTATAATTTATAAGTAAAATATAAGAGATAAGTAAGCTAAGAAACTAGAAACTTATTATATTTTATTTTAAGAAATTATAAGAACTAGAAACTTAATATAAGATATATAACTAAAAATTACTTATAATTATTAAGTATTTTAAGACTTAATAATATTATCTAGAAGAGAGTTTACAAGTAATATATATATTTATTAATTATATTAATTTATAGTACTTCTTTATAATAAAGATATTAAATTAATAACAGGCTTATTAAGCTAAATTACTTATAATATATAACTTTAAAATTAAGTATTAGCTAAAGAAGCTAAACCTTATTAATCTATTTTTAAGATAATAAGATTATTACTTTCTAGATCTAGAAATTTTTATTAGACTTTTACTAATATAAAGAAAGTTAAAATTATATATTTTCTAGAAATTAATATACTTAATTTTAAAAAGAGAGAAAAAAGAATTAAAACTTTTAATTCTAAATAATTCTTAAAATTTAGTATATCTAATTCTAGAAAAAAAAAATAAATTAAAATCTTTTACTCTAGGTAATTCTTAGTAAAAAAAAATAAAAAAGTTAATACTAGAAAAAAAAAATAAAGATCTAAAACTCTTTACTCTAGATTATTCTTAAAATATAATATATTTAGTTTTAAGAAAGAATAGTAACTTAAGACTTCTAACTTTAAGAGTTAATATTATAAATATAAATAATTTTAAGATTATAAGTAAAATAATAGCTAATAGTTTTTTAGATCTTATTAAAAATATATAAAAAAGAGATATCTTCTTATAATATATTATAATAAAATAAT